AGTTACTTTTGCAGATTGTTTATAAGGATTTGTCAAGGGAACCAAATAAATTATGATATTTATAATAAATTATGCACAGTCCATGCAAAAGAAAATATGGGATCATTAGTGATGTTGGGAAATTTTCGAGTGCACGAGCATTATCCGACATTACATGGTATTTGCATGTTAATTGGTTCTCTAAAAGGGAAGGATATTTTTTACGTAAAGTAGACCAATGCATCCATTTTCATAACACGCTACTTACTTATAAAACGCTATAGCTACAAAGAACACCTTGCCTTCCGACCCTGAGGAAGTGTCAGAGTTGCAAACTATAGTTCAACCTTCCTCCGGTAGGATTTCAAGTTTTCAGGCGAAAACCTTCCTCAAAATGACGTTACGTAACTGAGTCAAGTGGCAACCAGCATCAAGAAATATTTGGTGTTTTGGCACATGCATGTAATCAATTAGATTGTTCAACTTTGAACCTTCCTCACAAACCTCATTCAAAGCCAAACCTTCCTCCGGACGGCAGCCGTGTACCCGTAGCTTTTTTGCAACTCTGGGAAGTTCGCAAACTTGGTAATCATGTTGTTGTTCGCCATGCAAAATTACAGCAATGTTGTGCACAGTACGTGTATTGACTGCCTGGCATTGTGATGGCGCGTGCATACGATATTGCAAGAATATAATTTAAGCGCAACGGCAGACATAAATTTATGATAATGAAAGATGCCGTCGTTAAGGCGCTGTTACACAATGCAATTTGCAACCTGCAATGCAGTTATAATTTTGGGGGATGTTAATTAGCAAAGAATGTTCGAAATTTTAAGAAAAGTTAGCAGATCGTATAAGAATGTTCGTACTTGACAACTTTAGATGCATCAGGATACGAAATTGCGTTGCAAATTGTAAGGAAAGTTCAAAGTTGCATAGTGTAACACACCGCCTTAAACATCGCGTACACTGGTGTGTGTAATGCAACACTCGTTGGGAGTTTCCCTAAATTAGAATTTATAAAGTAGACCTTAAAAGTGTTTACGTCCCACAGTTTTAAATAAGAATGTTTTTATTTTTCCTACGTGTGGCCTTCATGTGTTTAATCAATTTATTCCTGTCGCTGCCAGAACGTGAACACTTCTATGGTCTTTAACTGGTAAAATCTGTCTATATCTTCAATAGAAAACACCAACCTTCAAATTATAAAAAACGTTCGAAGAGCTGTTTGTGGCCATAAAGTTTGGGATCCTTCGAATGACATATGTTGTGATGGTGAGTTGCACCTGAAACAATATGGAAATAGCTCTGGATGCTGTGGTAAGAAGGCGTATAATACTGAGAGTTATGTCTGCTGCCAGGAAATCGTGGCTCCTAAATACAGTACAGGAACCAAGTGCTGCGATACCAAGTCATATGATGCTGTCACGGAAATATGCTGTGATTCAAGGTACATTCATCCAAAATCTGCTGGTGCATCAACTCAGTGTTGCCAACAACACGCTTACAACAGCGATTTTTCAGTTTGTTGCGGGGGTGAAGTGGCAGATAAAATAGCAGGTAATCTTACTCAATGTTGTATGAAAAAAAGCTATGACCCCGAACTTTCCCTCTGCTGTAATGGGAAAACAGTTGACAAGCCTTTTAATAGTTTCCAATGCTGCGGGGAAACGTCTTATGATGTAAAAACGTCGGTCTGCTGTAACGGATATATCGCAGCGAAATTCCAAGGAAACTCTACATTCTGTTGCGGTAAGGAAAGCTATGATGCGACGTTATCTCTCTGTTGCCAAAGCAAGGTGGTTCAGAAATTGGGCGATGTGGGTCAGTGTTGTGGGGAAACATCATATGACTCCAAAAGCTCGGTATGTTGTAACGGAAATGTCAAGGCAAATGTCGCAGGAAATTCAACATTATGTTGCGATAATGACAGCTATGATCCAGCACTGTCTCTTTGTTGTCAAGGCAAAGTTGTTCAGAAATTGGGTAGCGTTGGCATGTGTTGTGGAGAGGCATCGTATGACTTCAAAACGTCGGTCTGTTGTAGTGGACACATCAAGACAAAACTCGCAGGTAATTTAACTATGTGTTGTGGCAGGGAAAGCTACAATCCAGCCACAGATCTTTGCTGCGAAGGACATCTTGTTCAGAAAAAGAGTAAAATTAATGAGTGCTGTGGGGCCATTTCGTATAATCCTGTTAGCTCGATATGTTGTGCTAGACAACCTGTCGTAAGAATGTCTGGCAATTTAACTCAATGTTGTGGTAAAGAAAGCTACAATCCAGAGGTATCCACTTGCTGTGAGACCAAAGTTGTCACGAAACAGGGCAATGGCACTCAATGTTGCAGGGATATACCTTATGACCCTACTTATTCGATCTGTTGTGCTGGACAAGTCGTTCTAAGAATGGCTGGGGCTTCAACGCAATGTTGCCGCAAAGAAAGCTACGACCCTACGTCGTCTCAATGTTGTGATGGCGTTATTACAAGGAAACTGAGTAATGTTAGTGAATGTTGTGGTGATAAATCTCATGATCCAACAACCACGATATGTTGTGCTAAACAACCTGTTATCAGAATTGCTGGTAACCTAACACAATGTTGTGGCGATAAATCTCATGATCCAATAACCACGATATGTTGTGCTAAACAACCTGTTATCAGAGTTGCTGGTAACCTAACACAATGTTGCAATGGGGAAAGCTACAATCCAATGATGTTTCTCTGCTGTAAAGGTGTAACTGTCAGAAAATACAGTAAAGTTAGTCAGTGTTGTGGGGAGAAGTCCCATAGCCCAATTACTTCGATCTGTTGCTCTGGACATCCAGTGGTGAGAATGGCTGGTAATTTAACACAATGTTGTAGTAGAGAAAGCTTCGATCCATCTACGCATCTCTGCTGTGAAGGCAAGATTGTCAGAAAAATGAGTGATACTAGTCAGTGTTGTGGGGATAAAGCATACAATCCCATTACTTCCATTTGTTGTAGCAGAACACCGGTTATGAGAATTGCTGGAAACCTAACTCAATGTTGCATTCATGAAAGCTACAATCCAACAACGTCCCTCTGTTGTGAAGACAAAGTAACTGCACGTTTGAATAATGTTAGTGAATGTTGTGGTTATAAATCTTATAACCCTGTAACTTCAATTTGTTGCGCTAGAGAATCTGCCAGACGAATTGCTGGTAATTTAACCCAATGTTGTGGAAGAGAAAGTTACGATCCTGCAATTTCTAACTGTTGCGATGGAAAAGTTGTTAAAAAATACAGCAAATTCGACCAGTGCTGTGGAGATAAATCCTATAACCCTATGATCACCGTCTGCTGTGGGAGAACAACTGCAGGAAGAGTTGGCGGTAATTTAACCCAATGCTGTGTTACGAAAAGCTACGATCCAGCGACTTCTCTTTGTTGTGAAGGCAAAGTGGTTAGAAAGATTAGTGCCATCAACGAGTGTTGTGGAGACATACCCTATAACCCAATGACCTCGATCTGTTGTAATCGTCAACCTGTCATGAAAATGGCAATAAACTATACCCAATGTTGCGCAATGAAAAGCTACGATCCAGCCATTTCTCTCTGTTGCGAAGGCAAAATCGTTAAGAAAAGGAGTGCTGTGAGCCAATGCTGTGGATATAAGTCTTACAACCCAATAACCACGATCTGCTGTGCCAGGAAAGCCATTTGGAGAATTGCTGGAAGTTCTACTCAATGTTGCGAGACGAGAAGCTACAACCCTTCGACTTCTCTTTGTTGTGAAAATAAAGTTGTCAGGAAAACGAGTGGCATCAGTGAATGTTGTGGAGATGTCGCTCATAATGCTATAACCTCGATATGTTGTGCTGGAAAACCCGTTGTAAGAATGGCTGGAAATTTAACACAATGTTGCGAGGACAAAAGTTATGATCCAGCAAGATCCATTTGCTGTGAAAACAATCTTGTTGAAAAAACAAGTGCCGTAAGTCAATGCTGTGGTGACCAATCCTATAACCCTTTATATTCGACTGTCTGCGCTAGTACTGTAGCTGGTAAGAATCGCTGGTGGTTCAACGCAATGCTGCAACGATGAAAGTTACGATCCAGCCATATCTCTCTGTTGCGAAAACAATCTGGTAGAGAGACTGAGCGCTTTTAGTCAGTGCTGTGGAGATGAAGCTTATAACCCCACCCAATCGATTTGTTGCGACAGAAAACCCGCGGTTAGAGTGGCTGGTAAATCTACCCGATGTTGTCTCGATAAAAGCTACGATCCCGCACTGTATTTGTGTTGTGCAGGCAATGTTGTTCAAAAAATCAGTGCTGCTAGCAAATGCTGTGGAGATGAAGCTTATAACCCCATCCAATCGATTTGTTGCGACAGAAAAGTCGCAGTTAGAGTGGCTGGTAAATCTACCCGATGTTGTCTCGATAAAAGCTACGATCCCGCACCGCATTTGTGTTGTGAAGGCAATGTTGTTGAAAAATTCAGTACCGCTAGCAAATGCTGTGGAGATAAAGCTTATAACCCCATCCAATCGATTTGTTGCGACAAAAAACCCGCGGTTAGAGTGGCTGGTAAATCTACCCGATGTTGTCTCGATAAAAGCTACGATCCCGCACCGCATTTGTGTTGTGAAGGCAATGTTGTTGAAAAATTCAGTGCTGCTAGTAAATGCTGTGGAGATAAGGCTTATAACCCTTCAATCTCGATTTGTAGAGGACGAACCTTGTTTTAGGATGCAAACAGGGTGTGTAAAAAAGGCAACAGTTAATATTCACATCCCAATTAGGAGTATACTATTGTGCACAATATGAATAATAAGAGAGCTGCCTTTTTTATATACACCCTGCATATTAAGGAATTACGGATAAATATACAGATATGTCCGATTACTAATGCAATTACTGATAGATATTGTATCCAGGAATATATTCAAAATGTATCTTCAAATGGACACCCAAAAAGGCGAAATCAATTTTTTTATAAACAAAATTGTAACAGGAATGGACACTTCCCGAATTTGCTCTGGGGCAATGAAAACCAGCCAATAAACAATAGATTTCATGGCCTGCCTCGTTTCCAAGCTATTGTTTTGTGTGCATTCAAGCAAATTCAGGAAGTGTCTGTTCCTAATTAATTCATTCATTGAGATAGCAATTGTGAATTTATTGGAAAATATATATTCGAATATGACGCTGTATGATTCGTAATAACTTCAAATCCCATGGCTGTTCGGCAACGAAAATTTCACTTGCTATGTATAGTATGCGCTGGATAAAGAAATGAATACGGTACTTAATATATGAGCTAAAAGTGTACTTTTCAAGCCTAACAAGACATACTCCTTTGAAACTACCCACAAAGTTTTAAGTCCTTGCATGATTCTATAACCATCGATTGACATTTGAATTTCGCTCAGTAATATCTATACGTTACATACAAGTGATACAACGTATACTAAACTGGATGACTGCATGTGAATCTGAAATGATCTGAAATTTCTCTTTATATATAGAACTGCATCTAATTTTTCCGGTCGCAGTTTCGTCCTGTTTTAGAGTCTGAAACTCGTCCGGTTTGACGACTCACTGGTAAGCAAAGAGCATGATTTAAGACCTGTTCCAAATGCTTTCGATAACATCTACCTAAATTTAGCACCATGTTATATATGAACACACTTAGCATGTTTTACCTTTACATGATATATATTATAACTACAAAATTAATATTTCAATATAGCTAATGTATAGTTTGTTTGTTACCACCTGAGGGTGACCATTTAACAGTTACGTCACTAATCATCAGATTCACAAGATTCACAAGTGCAGGATTTTGCTGACCGAATGTGAAATGGTTGGTATGTATTCATACTGCACTTCAGATCAACGATTACCGTAACCTTGGTATTCGCTTTGCAGCAACCACAATTCATTTCATAAACTCCATCTCGTTTCACAAAGTTCGAAAAAGAAGAGCAATGTCCGCCACAAACGCCTATATGTAAAACAAAATTACTTATTCAAGATAGATTTATGACTTGAAAAAAATCTTTATTTGAACACAATTTCGAAATGAATGGTAATTGAGACCACATTGCTGAACCATGCATATAATCAGAGATATTTTTGTGTGACTGTGTTTATTCATACCGATCTCTACTGGCTTTTCACTGACACATCCACCGATCTTCAAATCAGCAACTTTCTTTCTTAAAACGTGGCATGTACTGCTGTCTGAATTAAGTCAAAAATATGCATGAAAATCCATCATGCGAAATCTAGTCGAATTATACAGAATATATCTATAAAAACAAAATGCATTTATATGAAAACAGGATTTAAACTTACCACGTTTTAAACAAATGCGCTTGAGTAAGGCAACCAACATTGTTGTCGCATTTTCAAATTTCTCCACCATTATCAAATCTTCAGGCGATGTTACAATTTGAGATAATAGATCCTTTTCCGCTTCACCAACTCCAATGACAACAACCCGTACCTCGTGTTTACTTAGCATGGACGAGATCTCTTGTGCAAACGGCGTAATGACCTTTCGAGCACCATCATTAAGGACAACAAGCACTTTTGGAACATTTTGGCGCATGCCATTCTTTGCTGAGAACATTTCGGTTGCGGCTAAATGCATCGCCTTATCCAAATTTGCCTTCCCTCCTTTGAATGGAAGATTATTGATTATTTTTTGGAAATCTTTCTGTGACGTAGTCTCGTTAAATCTCTTCACAAGCAAACTTTCGGTACCATAAACAATAGTACTGGTATGAGTGGCCCCAGACGCGACCTGGAAATATCCAGCGAGTTTTATCACGAAATCCTTTTCTTTTTCATAATTACAGTTTCGCATGCTTGCAGTAGAGTCGAGTAGAAAACCAACATCCATGTCACAAATTTCAGCTACAAAAATATATTTAAAGAATCACTTGTGTTGGTTGATACGACAATTATGTCCAATCTCCCGTCCGCAATCTCGTGCACATGTATAAATTCATACTAACCGTCATCATCGTCTTCTATCCGAACTCTGGATGGCTGGCTAACCGCTACGTGCATCGGCGAGGATAGCCTGACGGTAAATTCTTCGGTCGGTTCCTCGACATCATCATCAATCAAATCAATTACTATTGTTTTACTTTTAACTTTTTCATCAGGTTCGAATGTCACATACGTGGTAACTGGACTGAAATCACTATCATCAGCAGTTCCTTGTATTGTCTTTATTCTGTAAAAATGATTTTTGAAAAGCTATTGTTTAAAAATTCACCATAGTAACCATAAAACCGCAATCAAAGCAGTGAACATACTTTACGCACTCGTATGCACATGCAGTAAGTCTATTTAAACATTTGGTTGGGCACATAAGATTATTACGTTACGTTAGATATAAAAAGAAATAAATTGATAAAGAAATAAAAATCATCTCTGTCAAAATAAATAACTCACTCGACAGTAACAGGTTCACTTATTTCACCTGACGCTAATTCAACCCCAACAACGACTTTTTGATATTCCTTGACATCGTACACTTTTTTTGTAAACCTGAACCCTATGACTAAAGAAAACAGGACAATTATGAGCTCGAAAACTATGCAGAATAAGTAAAAAAGCTTATGGCAAATTAACATTAATATAACCATAAACCGTGCACTATTCAAGTGATGGAGTTAGTAAATCAGTATATTTATGGTACTATGATTATTTATTCTTTCATAGTTTGCAACTTTACGAAAGGTATTTTTAGCAGTAGTAAGTGTAATCTAATATAGCTACATTTCCTGTGCATGTACGTAATATTATCTTCACATGTTTTCCCGTTACCAGAATAACAAGATAAGTAGGTGCATTTTGTGACAGACAGGAGCAATGCCCATATGAGTAATAAAACTATATATTCCTATATGGGCAGGTATGGTCTTCCAGGCGTTGGGATCGGATAATTGTGCGATCACTATATGTCGCATGGAATATATTAAAAACAGGGATAGATGCAGGACAGTAGGAGGAGTGACAGTGTAGGAGTGATGAAGAGTAATATGAAATGTTTGTTCCAAATATAGCAAAATACTTATAATATGCATTCCTACGGATTTTCGTACATAATATTCCCAAATTTAAATCGTTACGCAAGCTTGCACCCTTCCTGCACACCCACCCCCCCCGCCCCCTCGAGTAGGTTAGGGGGGTGTGAGCCCTCCTCACCTTCAAGCAAATGCATCCTTGTCAAAGACAAAATATAGACATGCAGTCATATTTCATAAATTATAACTTGTGCGGGGTTTCTGGGGGTCCATTGTACTAACCTTCGCAAAACTTTCCATCTCCGGCATACCCAGGGTTGCAAACACATTTATATTCCCCAGGGCTCACATCTGTACATAGAGCATGTTTATGACAATCATCACGTGGTGTACCACAAATTGGAGCCACTAATCAAAGTATAAAAGCACTCAATTGTAGAAAGTTGTAGTTAATGTTTTCGCCATTTGTTAACCAAACACAATAGCAGGGAATTTTGAGTTATCTAAAATTTAAAGCAGTTAAGAGTTAACCAGCATAAGAAATTTCAGCAGATCGTTGAGCTGTTGATCGATCAAAGATAACAACAACTTTCTCCTTTTCAATCAAGAATTCTAAGTAAATAACATCAAGATACTTACCGTCATCATCTTCAATATAAACAAAGGAAGGTTCTCCCAAAATTGCACGTGAATTTGACGAGAGAGAAACAGTAAATCGTTCTGTTGGCTCATCATCATTATCATTAAACAAATCAATTTCAACCGGTTTTGGACCTGTTTCACCTGGTCGAAAAATAATTTCTTTGACGGTCCTATCAAAATCATTTCCACCAGCCGTATCTGATTCTGGAGTTATCCTGAAAATTCATGCTTTTGTTAAATATATCTACTATATTTATAGCCAAACTATTGTATCGCATAATCTTAACACAAATCCACACACCTTACAGTGACAGGTTCAGTAATTTTTTCTTTTTCAACAAAAATACCAACAACAGCATTACCACTTTCTGACGCATTATATGCAGGCTGTGTAAAACTGATGACTGGAGGAGGTGGAACTGACGAGAAATAAAGTTTTAGACTATGTTATAGGACAACTAACAAGAGGAATTATTATTAAGTACACCTAAAACATAGAAAATAATTGTAGTAAAAAAGAGGCTAACAACAAGAAAAGCAACAAACAAATATTAAACACTGAGGACAGAAATTAACAAGATCACGTGTACATGTTGTAAAGCTCTATCAAACATAACAAATATAACAACAACCGTTACAACAAAGCATTCAATAGATTATCTTTCTCTTTATAATACATACCGTCATCATCTTCAATATAAACAAAGGAAGGTTCTCCCAAAATTGCACGTGAATTTGACGAGAGAGAAACCGTAAATCGTTCTGTTGGTTCATCATCGTCATCATTAAACAAGATAATTTCAACTGGTTTTGGACCTGTTTCACCTGGTCGAAAAGTAATTTCTTTGACGGTCCTATCAAAATCATTTCCACCAGCTGTATCTGATCCTGGAATTATCCTGAAAATTCATGCTTTTTGTTTAATATATCTACTATATTTATAGGCAAACTATTGTATCGCAAAATCTCAACACAAATCCACACACCTTACAGTAAGGCAGTGATTTTTTCTTTTTCAACAAAAATTCCAACAACAGCATTACCACTTTCTGACGCATTATATGCAGGCTGTGTAAAACTGATGACTGGAGGAGGTGGAACTGACGAAAAATAAAATTTTAGACTATGTTATAGCTAGGACAACTAACAAGAGGAATTATTATTAAGTACACCTAAAACATAGAAAATAATTGCAGTAAAAAAGAGGCCAACAACAAGAAAAGCAACAAACAAATATTAAACACTGAGGACAGAAATCAACAAGATCACATGTACATGTTGTAAAGCTCTAACAAATATTACAACAACCGTTACAACCAAGCAATAGATTAGCTCTCTTTTTATAAAACATACCGTCATCATCTTCAATATAAACAAAGGAAGGTTCTCCCAAAATTGCACGTGAATTTGACGAGAGAGAAACCGTAAATCGTTCTGTTGGTTCATCATCGTCATCATTAAACAAGATAATTTCAACCGGTTTTGGACCTGTTTCACCTGGTCGAAAAGTAATTTCTTTGACGGTCCTATCAAAATCATTTCCACCAGCTGTATCTGATCCTGGAGTTATCCTGAAAATTCATGCTTTTTGTTTAATATATCTACTATATTTATAGGCAAACTATTGTATCGCAAAATCTCAACACAAATCCACACACCTTACAGTAACAGGCTCAGTGATTTTTTCTTTTTCAACAAAAATTCCAACAACAGCATTACCACTTTCTGACGCATTATATACAGGCTGTGTAAAACTGATGACTGGAGGAGGTGGAACTGACGAAAAATAAAATTTTAGACTATGTTATAGCTAGGACAACTAACAAGAGGAATTATTATTAAGTACACCTAAAACATAGAAAATAATTGTAGTAAAAAAGAGGCCAACAACAAGAAAAGCAACAAACAAATATTAAACACTGAGGACAGAAATCAACAAGATCACATGCATGTACATGTTGTAAAGCTCTAACAAATATTACAACAACCGTTACAACCAAGCAATAGATTAGCTCTCTTTTTATAAAACATACCGTCATCATCTTCAATATAAACAAAGGAAGGTTCTCCCAAAATTGCACGTGAATTTGACGAGAGAGAAACCGTAAATCGTTCTGTTGGCTCATCATCGTTATCATTAAACAAGATAATTTCAACCGGTTTTGGACCTGTTTCACCTGGTCGAAAAGTAATTTCTTTGACGGTCCTATCAAAATCATTTTCGCCAGCCGTATCTGATCCTGGAGTTATCCTGAAAATTCATGCTTTTTGTTTAATATATCTACTATACTTATAGGCAAACTATTGTATCGCATAATCTCAACACAAATCCACACACCTTACAGTGACAGGTTCAGTGATTTTTTCTCTTTCAACAAAAATTCCAACAACAGCATTACCACTTTCTGACGCATTATATGCAGGCTGTGTAAAACTGATGACTGGAGGAGGTGGAACTGACGAGAAATAAAATGTGATATTATAGGATAACTAACAAGAGGAATTAACTAAGTACAACTAAAAATATAAAAAATAATTGTAGTCGGAAACAAATTAACAAGAAGAAAAACAACAAGATAAAATTATACAGTGAAAGCAAAAAACTAGAACAAGATGACATTTACATGTTGTAAAAAGTTTCAATACATACCGTCATCATCTTCAATATAAACAAAGGAAGGTTTTCCCAAAATTGCACGTGAATTTGACGAGAGAGAAACAGTAAATCGTTCTGTTGGCTCATCATCGTTGTCATTAAACAAATCAATTTCAACCGGTTTTGGGCCTGTTTCACCTGGTTGAAAAGTAATTTCTTTGACAGTCCTATCAAAATCATTTCCACCAGCCGTATCTGACCTTGGAGTTATCCTGAAAATTCATGTTTTTTGTTTAATATATTTACTATATTTATAGCCAAACTATTGTATCGCAAAATCTCAACACAAATCCACACACCTTACAGTAACAGGTTCAGTAATTTTTTCTTTTTCAACAAAAATACCAACAACAGCATTACCACTTTCTGACGCATTATATGCAGGCTGTGTAAAACTGATGACTGGAGGAGGTGGAACTGACGAGAAATAAAATTTTAGACTATGTTATAGGACAACTAACAAGAGGAATTATTATTAAGTACACCTTTGTGGTAAAAAAAGGGCTAACAAAAAGAAAAGCAACAAGCAAAAATTAAACACTGAGGACAGAAACTAACAAAATCACATGTATATGTTGTAACAACTAACAAGCTCTATCAAATATAACAAATATAACAACAACCGTTACAACAAAGCATCTAATAGATTATCTACCTCTTTATAATACATACCGTCATCATCTTCAATATAAACAAAGGAAGGTTCTCCCAAAAATGCACGTGAATTTGACGAGAGAGAAACAGTAAATCGTTCTGTTGGCTCATCATCGTTATCATTAAACAAGATAATTTCAACCGGTTTTGGACCTGTTTCACCTGGTCGAAAAGTAATTTCTTTGACGGTCCTATCAAAATCATTTCCATCAGCCGTATCTGAGCCTGGAGTTATCCTAAGAATTCATGTTTCTCATTAGACTATTTACAGGCAATTACAATACATCTCAGCACAAACCCACACACCTTACAGTGACAGGTTCAGTGATTTTTTCTCTTTCAACAAAAATTCCAACAACAGCATTACCACTTTCTGACGCATTATATGCAGGCTGTGTAAAACTGATGACTGGAGGAGGTGGAACTGACGAGAAATAAAATGTGATATTATAGGATAACTAACAAGAGGAATTAACTAAGTACAACTAAAAATATAAAAAATAATTGTAGTCAGAAACAAATTAACAAGAAGAAAAACAACAAGATAAAATTATACAGTGAAAGCAAAAAACTAGAACAAGATGACATTTACATGTTGTAAAAAGTTTCAATACATACCGTCATCATCTTCAATATAAACAAAGGAAGGTTTTCCCAAAATTGCACGTGAATTTGACGAGAGAGAAACAGTAAATCGTTCTGTTGGCTCATCATCGTTATCATTAAACAAGATAATTTCAACCGGTTTTGGACCTGTTTCACCTGGTTGAAAAGTAATTTCTTTGACGGTCCTATCAAAATCATTTCCATCAGCCGTATCTGACCCTGGAGTTATCCTGAAAATTCATGTTTTTCATTAGACTATTTACAGGCAATTACAATACATCTCAGCACAAACCCACACACCTTACAGTGACAGGTTCAGTGATTTTTTCTCTTTCAACAAAAATTCCAACAACAGCATTACCACTTTCTGACGCATTATATGCAGGCTGTGTAAAACTGATGACTGGAGGAGGTGGAACTGACGAGAAATAAAATGTTATACTTCAAAAACAACAGGAATTAAATAACAACAAAAACATGAAAATTAATTGTAGCAAATAAAAAGCAAACAGCAGGAAAGCGACAACGAAAACTAATAATGGATTGCGTAGCTAGTAAGATTTTAGATCTGTTTCTTTAATACACATGCATACCGTCATCATCTTGTATGTTAACAGAAGTAGGTTCTCCTAGAATTGCACGTGAATTTGACGAGAGAGAAACAGTAAATCGTTCTGTTGGCTCATCATCGTTATCATTAACCAAGCCAATTTCGACAAATTTTGGACCACTTTCACCAGGTTGAAATGTAACGTCTTGGACAGTATCGTCAAAATCATCGGTACTAGCGGAATCTAATCTTGTTATTAATGGAATTATTCTAAAATCAAAGAAAAAGCACTACGTCCAGACTGACAGGTCGAGTTACAGGCAGGATCATGCAATTACAACACAAACAAACACGACACAATATATACATATATATATATCAGAAATCAAAAGTCAATGTAACTATCCCAAACGTGATGATCAGTTTTCATTTTTCAGTAGCAGCCAGCTCTTCTGCAGTTGTTCAAAGTAGCGATTAAAAATATACTTTTTGAAAAATCTTTAATGTATACCTTATTGTCACCACGTCAGAGACGTAACCATTGGTCACTAAAACACCTATTTTAACTTTTTCTTCACTCTCTCTTGCGCTGTATGAGGGCCGAGTAAAATTTATGACAACTAAAAATAAAAAAAGAAAAAGGTGAGACAATTAAGCAACGACGTGCCCATGGGGGGGAGGGGATCTAGGTGGCCTTGGCTTCACTGTTCGCTCAGGCTAATTTTCAGACTGATAATCAGGAAAATCTTTTGGGAAGGTATATTAACCACCATGTGACTTGCGTATTTGACAGTTGGACCTCCCTTTTTCAGGCTGGCTTTGCCCCTGGTAGAACGAATGGCCTTTGGTAGAACGAATACTACCTGTTTCACTAAAAATTGTAAATTTAAACTGAGAACAAATTAATTACCGTCATCATCTTGGATTATCACAGATGAAGGCCTCCCAAGAACTGCGCGTGATTTTGATGAGAGAGAAAGAGTAAATCTCTCTGATGGTTCAACATTACGATCATCATCCAGACCAATTTCAACAAATTTAGTCTTGGTTTCCCCTGGTTGGAATGTAACGTCTTTTGTAGCATAGTCAAAATCTTGTCTGTCAGCCGTATCTGATTGTGGAGTTACCCTGAATATACAATATATATTACGATCAATAAACTATACCATTCAAACAAACAAGCAATCGACTTAGAGCATTATATAGGTATTGATCATGCTGTAATAATTTCTATTTTATGTTATCTGCCATTTCTTACCGTACAGTCAATGGTTTGGATACAGCACCGTCTGATACATAAATTCCAACTTTTGCCTTTCTTTCATTTTCCTTCACGGTGTAAACACGTTGAGTGAAATTAAGGACGACTGCAAAAATGTTTTTAAAAACATATTGAAATTTGCTTCTTAATATGAATAGAAAGGAAAAAAAACATTCATAGAAATAGCGACTTAGGAACCACAGGTTTTTTTGGAACTACTCATTCTTAGTTGAACTGGAAATTGATATTAATATTAATAAACGATGAACCAGGGGCACGAAGAGTTTCGAAATATTTGCAGGACGATATCTAAATCAATCTATCATTGTATATAACGCATGCGTGATGAACACAAAAGCTTGGTATTTACCGTCATCATCAATGATGTTCACTGATGACGGTTCTCCTAATATCGCTCGTGAAACCGACGATAATGATACGAAAAAACTCTCTTCAGCTTCAACACGACGGTCGTTCACGAGGTCAAAGGCAATTGTTTTTTGCGTTTCGCCTGGTTGGAATGTCACATTCTGAACGATGGCAAGAAAATCACTACTGTCGGCTGTAACTGGGCTTGGATGAATGCTACGAAAATGAAAAATTACGTTTTCATTTGTTTGGATAATCATAATTGCACTACACTTTCCAGTGTAGCAAACTATACAGTTCTAAATGTAACGATTATTATGCAAGGCCTGTTTTAGACGTCGAACTGGTGGGAGCCGATGTGCTGGGAGCTATCAGCCACTAGCACCATATGCACCATTTATCGGGTTCTCCTTACCAGTGCAAAAATTACCAGTACAATCTAGCTGAACAAAGTACACTCGTGAAGCGTACAAACTAACAATTAGCGCAATACACAATAATACAAAGCATGGTTTGACAGTTGACACTGTTACTTCGAAGTGTCAAAATAACTGATACTTTACCTTACGGTGATTGGAGCAATCACTCTATTCTTTGTGACAATTATACTAACAACTGCTTTCTTGTCTTCACTCGTCTCGTAGACGGATTGAGTAAAGTTAATCACGGGTGGATCTAATAAGTTAAAAGATCAAGAAATCGATAAACAATGAAAATATTTTATGCAAATGTATACAGGTGATATATAAAGATATAGAAAATTTTCGAGTGGTCCTCTTTAAAAAAGTTCATTATCATAAATGTGGTGTCGTAGAGAATTTGTAATCAAAATAAAAATAAGCTTTTCCTAAAAACAACAGACAATGAGAAGTCTGAACTTCAGAAAAATTTTTATTACCTGCGGCTTGGCAGGTTGATGCTGCAATTTTAGCTGCACTTTCTTGTAATTCACTGAACGAGCTTAACTCTATTACATGCCCCTCGTCACCAGCGATATCCAAAAGTTGTTTTCTTTTAACTGAATCTCCAATACCGACAGCGTATACGATAATACCTCGTTCTCTCAGTCTGTTCGATGCTTCACGGAGTGGTATTAAATCAGTGACACCTTGGGTTGTCTGTTCTCCATCCGTAAACAAAATCGCTATTTTCTTCGCATTCTTTCGCATACCGGCTTTCGTAGTAAACAGTTCGGTATTGGCAACATGAAGTCCTAGGTCAATGCGGGTTACGTCCTTATGATGAGGAATTTTCCACAGCATTTGAAATAGTCTTCTGACGTTCGAATGCTTAGCGAAACCCGTATGTAATTCTGCTTTTTTACTATACAATACCACTCCAATGTGCGTCAAGCCAGGTTTGAATCCCATGTATACTGCAATACTTTTCATAAAATTTTTTATATTCAGGTATCCTGCATGGTTTATACTTCCAGAGGAATCAACAATAAAACCAATATCCAATGTAGATTGACAAATAGCGAGAGAACCTATTTAGAGATAAAAACAGAAACATGACTCTTTTTATTTCTTCGATATTTTCTCTAAAATTGATTCTGAGGGCGACAATCATGGCCGAATGAGACAAATCCCCTGCTTCGTGGAAAGGGGTATATAGGCAAAGCTATCCTCCGCAATTTTTCCTGCACGTGGTTTTCATCCAGATAATTTATCAGAATAATATAACTGAAACATTTGCCAAAGTCAAGAACAATGTGAGGGGGACAAAAAAAATGCGATTCACTGTATCATTAATCGTGATTGTTTTATGAAAATATAAAACATGTATACCGCAATCTTCTTACCAAGATGGTCTATATTACAAATGTCTTTCCCGACATCTACAGCTAAGGCATCCAAATCTTTAAAGGATTCAACCTGATAAAGATATTCACTTTCATTTCTGACCATCAGCTTAAGTTCATCACGTGAGATGTCATCCCCCACGCCAACAACAGAGACGTGAACATTCATATCAAGAAGCTCCTTAGCTTTGTCTTCTAAGACTCCACTGTCTTTCTGCCGTCCGTTGGTCAAAACCACCACAATCAGTGGTAGAAAGTTCCGTGCACCATTTTTAACTGTGAAGACCTCATCCTTCACTAAACTTAGTCCTCTATCTAAACTCGAATCCCCTCCTAACGCTTTTATAGACGTATCGACAGCATTAGAAAATGTCCTCACACTTGCACCGATCTTTAATAAATCTATAGCGACATTAACGCGAGCCCCTGCCAAAATTACTGACATGTGAGATGCATGTGGTGCCACCTTAAATGTTGCTGCCAGTCTTTTTAGAAAGCTTTTTACTTCAGGTATATTCCTGGGGGATAAAGTATCAGAGGCATCAATCACAACAGCAACTTCCATTGGTGTGTTACATTTACCTACACAATTATAAAAAGATAATGTACTTATAATATAAGGACAAAATGTTGTTTTCATTTTTCAATACATTGCGAGGTTTCCTCAGACAAACATCATTGAAAATAACTCGAGCTCATGCCTGTCTGCTCGGCTGTCAGCCTGATCTCGCATCATGCAGCCATCGGCTGGATGGCTAACAAGCGCGAAAAATCTTTACTTGTCTGATTCACCTCGTGCAATACCTCAGGGAGCGTACACCTATTTATAATTCAAAATATTGTTTACCAGCAGCTTCAAGAATACCGCCAAGCAAAAATAAGGCAACAGTTATTCTCACATCCATTTTATTTTGTTCAGTAACTGTGAAAAAATACAAACGAATGGTTAGCATTTAATGATCTTAACTGGAAAGATGACATGGAGCGGGAGGCCCCAAAGAATATGCGTCTTAAGAGGATACATTGCATGAAGTCATAAATTCAAGATATTAGATTTGACAAAAACAACGTTTAGTTTGTACCTCGTAACTCATTGATAACGAGCAAATATCTTTTTAGTATTTAGATGTTTACCTCTTTCGGAGATCTATCTGAGAGGGGGGATTTTCCATAAAATTATAAATTTTTCTATTTTTGGGGGGGAGGGGAAGCATGGGCCCCTGAGGCTGAACGGAATTCGCAATTTTTTTACGTGATTAGATATGTAGCTAGAAGAAACCTGCTGGGTAATTATTAATTTGTTCATTTTTGCGAAAATTATTGGGGAGGGCTCCGCGGAGGAAATAGTTAAGATACCATATCGTCTGGCATCGAAGTGCGCTCTGCCATATCCTGTTGTGGTATCCCGTCATGTTCTAGATTTGTTGAGAGCGCGAGTTTGCTTTATTTTTTTAGTCTCCATGCTACTAATCTGTTATTTTTATCAGCAACTAGGAAAAAGAACGATGAATTTTTAGTTTGATTGAAATCGAAAAATACACAAGCCGACGCATGCGTGTGGCTGTTTCTCGTCGAACAGTAAAATTTTTAGTCAACAGTCTGTATGCATGATCTTATATGAGTAACTGTGATACTAATGTAACATTAGGTTTGCCAAAAAGTGCAAAATGCAAATACTTGGTATTTTGAACGAATGTTGAACTATTAAAAGGAAATTGTTTCATCGTGGTTGGTCAACTTGGTAAACTAATGCTGGAGGCGAAGTGAATTCGAGTTGATCGTCTAAAGTTTCGGAACCGACATTTATACGGAAATTAACATAGTCAAAACGGTTGGGAAACTTATATCGGGGTCGAAACGTAGCCCTTCGATCTATAATCAATTTAGACTGCGAACTGAAAAATCTTGTATAAACATTGCAAGCCACAATCGAGAGAATATACTTATATAGGAAACTTGTTTTTAGGATCAAAAACGTTAATTTAATATAGATATATCTGTGTCGTGATCCGTGGGGGTTCCATAAGTATATTTTTGATGTGTTGTTTTTAAACGGAAAGAAAATAAACCGCAAGTGTTGTTGACGGGAAATTTTAAATAAAAACGCGAAGTTTAAATTCTTCATCGTAACTATGAGTCCAATGCACTCATTAATCATTTCTCATTGACTAAACTCGATCCGTTACTTATGGTTCGCATACGTATTGTTCTCCTTTGTGCGATACGGGCGTGGTTCGTCAGAACCAAATATATTTATTATTGACAAACTCCGCACAGGCGACTGGATTTTGAAACCTGTTGTCTGTGCTCCCACTTTGCGAGATTATTTTTGTTTTTGTAAGCGTAGCGCTGGTATGCAGCACTAATGTGTTGGCTCTTGAACTGAAAACACGAACGAGACGATGTCGATGGATTATTAATTACTCACGATATTGGAATATATCATGCATGGTCCCAATTACACGCGATAAAAAAATGGTAAAGTAGCAAATGCTTATTGATCTGACAGATTTGATATGTTTAGTTGAGCTCTAACAACAACAATCTTTATGGCTTTAAATTTGATGCACTCGAATAGCAACCTGGTAACCGGAGTCTATTTAAAGCCTATTCAGCCAAGCCGTTGCATGAAAATGGAAATTTTCTAAAGACACACCCGAATGATACCCGACCGTTTAACAGTCATTTTTTGGCGACAGAGTTCTCACTAGGGGAATTGAAATATCATTATTACATGCAGATTCACGGAATAACGAATTTAACATTCTCATGGCATGATTCTCTGCATGACACAGAGAATTTAATTTTTCCCTGCTGGGCATACAAACAGCGAAAATGAAAAAATGGCGAGCGTAAATACTAACCAATCCGCTTTTCCTTTTGCAGTGTAGTGCCATGCACGTATGCCTCTTAGAAAACATGCATATCATTAAGAGACTGACCGCAGCCTAGATTTTTTGAGAGCAGTTCTCCGGATTAAGCTAAGAGAAAAGTGGTCAAAGGGGTGCACATGCAAGAACATTTAAAGAATAACATTGGCAATACGTCAGTGAGATACGTCTGCAAATTCTTCCAGCTGCTCTATCAGTGAGAATTGCCGGCATGGAAAAAGTAATGCGCCTATGAGGAAGGTATAACAGGTTTACATGACGCAAGTGTCATACCACACTCCTGTTGGGAAATGTGTATTCTGTCGGTGACACGCACCACTACCAGCTGGTACAGCAATTAATGTATCTCAGGACTGCTTGTGGGAGTGGGAATGACAAATGATATCCATGCATGCACGTGTGCTAATAGTTTAGACTGAAACCGCGCGTTTGATCTTTAAAAATCTATAAGGATATGGGATTTAAATTTATTTCGGAGTTTCATAATGCTGAAAATGCTTTGCCGAAAAATAAAGTGTTGATTGAAATGAATTGTTTTACATTAATGCACACAACATGTACACAATGCGCACACATATGGTAAAAGTAACATGCATATAGCGACAAATTACACTGCATGACATGTAGGGTAGTTAATTATACGAGTATAGACATGGTCACTTTTATTCATCTGATGAACTGAACCTTGTATCTTTTTTTTAATATCCAAAAAACGGCGGAGAGCAGATCCACTATTTTTTCCTATGCTACTTGTCAAGAATAACTTTCAATTTCTCCAAAACTAATTTTTTAATTGTTCTAAAGTATAAACACCGCATAATGAGGTCTATGCGCCGACCATATTTGTCGTGTTTTATTGTTAATTGACAGGAAAATGGTATTATGAAGATGGTCGTATCTGACGGTTAATGCCTATGTAATAGTATGTATCCCTACTTGGTCGCTATCGCTATTACTTTTTATTGATGGAGATGGCAAAGCGATATCTAGTCAGTAAGCAGAGAATTTACTGAATCCCGGAGTGTGATGTGATACTCTCAAAGATCGTTTGCTATTGTAAGGTTTAAATCATAACATGAAATATCGAATTATGAGGAGTATAAACGATCAAATCCGACAGTGATCGAATGAAAGAGTGCAAACTAATTCGTTTAGCGTAGCCAGAGAAAAGAGGTTTTTAAAATTTTTTAGATTTCAATTTGAAAAAAGTACTCTACACGGCATAAACTTTTTTTATCCTTTTCTTCGTGTAGTAATTGCGTGTTAATTTTTTCCTGTTTGATATTATCACGTCAGCTGCAATAGAATCGTGATCAAAAAACAACTATTTTTATGGCTTCGTTAAAAGTTTTATGTTTAATTAATGTTCGAACAAGATATATGTCGATATGTGTTGACATTCTGACAATAACGTGGGAAGAAAAATAATATTCTTATAATGATGTAAGCAAAATCAAATTTGAGTGACAGGGAGGAATTAAAATAATTAGAAATATGGCATCGAAACTCCAAGCTACGAAAATACTCCGCCCTGCTTCACTATCCCTAGGCTGCATAAGTTCGCTTGCAAACCGTTGTTATACCCTAAAATTTATTATATGAATATTGCAGCCGACATCTATCACAATGCTGGCATGCATGCAGTATCTCTAGACATATCATACTATTTATTATTAAGTAGATTTCATAAGTTATTGCAACATCACTAAAGCGTATATGTATAGCATATGCTATTAGTTTGATACAGATTAACATGCCAATAAATAATATACCCAGTGGTTTCAAATCTTGATTTATAGATATTTTTCACAACCGTTCACAGCTTCGTACTTACACTCGGAGGCATTTGAACGACGGAAAAAATTGCAACAAGTGTTTTTGTCAACAAAATCATGTTCACTTTAGGCTGTAATTAGCATAATTTGAACCGCGCAGGCGCCAGAAAATCAACAGAAGGAAAGCTCGTTTAGTGACGAATTTCAAGTGCCAATCACGCCTATTCCTACTCTGTAGCCAAATGTTGTCTCGTGCACGAGAAAGCATGCCTGAAAGCTCTGCGAAAGGTTGTTTTCTTTTTAGTTTACAATTTGTGTGGACGTTCACGGATGGCGAATGTATAGTTTGGGCAGTTACTTTTATATGAATGCATGGATGATAGAAGTCATGTATGCGTATATCATTTTACCTCTTGAACACTTGTGGATGCTCCTTTAGAACTCTCCTTTATACGTTCACCAATTTCAACGCACACGTCTGTAACAGTATGATGATGTCCTTGAGTAGGTGTTCCGCTGCATAACCAGGGTAGGAACAAACATTCAAGGTTCTAACAACCTTTTCGTAATCTTTTTAAAATACTGGAATGCAATCCTATACATTTGCTATATTTTGCATGGTTATAACTAAGCCAATGGCAAGCTGCCACAGTACACGTAGCGATAATTTAGTCCATTTTCGCCATGCATTTCTTAGTTTATAGTATCATCAAACACATGACCGATATCAAATTCATATATATCAAACTTTATCAAATTCATATATCAAATTATAGACAAAACTCGTTTAGACTTCGGGTTTTTAATATATAATTCAACTAACCTTGCTTCTTCTTTTTTCTGGTATGATCCTTACGATTGGCCCGCCGGGATGAAGTGACGTTGTATTGAATCTGTGAAACCATTTAAGGCATAATTCGTGCACACTTCACACCCCTTATCGCCCCGATGCACGCAGGTGCTGACAGCGTCATATCTAGCCAGAAAACCGTCACGAAATTGGACACGTGATGGCTGATGCAGTCTATATAAGTAGAAAATATTCAAAACAAAAGGTTAAATATGTTTATTATTGTTTTACCATTTTTAATTGTTTCAAATTCTGCATGCTATTCAATTTCGATTTACGAAATTCTCCATATTTTCACAGCAACCTGCGAACATGATAAATAGATAAACAGATATTTGCGATTTCCTACTTTTATAGTTCCATTGTTATATAGTAGCTTTATAATAAAGGCATCGTTTATAAGGAAGAGAAACATTTACCATACATAATTAAGGTGAGCGGGAAGCGAACATTCTATCAGCAAAGTAGAAAACAAGTTTCGAAAGATATTTTGGATGCGCGATCTGTTATTAATTAATATATCGATATCTGTCTGAGAATCTGCTATTCAAAACAGTTTTTCAGCAAAAAACGTTCAAAAACTTCTTAAAACACTGCAACTGCTCAATCGTGCAGAAACTGCATGGCATGGCGATAGTCTATGCTTTCCAAGTGCAAGCTAATTGCTATGAGATAGAGGATCGTCAGTAGAGACATTAAACATGCAGAGAAAATTTTCACCCAGTTGGATTTCGATGCGCTGGAAGCGGGAGGTTTATTTATCTTCCATATTTCATAGCACCATGCATGCATACAGTGGTCACCATATAAACTATATATAGCAAGCGAGGCGACCACACAGACAACGCTCCAGTAAATACGGCAAACTTATCTGAAGACTAAAATCGATCCATTTGACGATAGTGACGTTGTGCTTCCGTGTAGAAATTGGAGGAAGGCAGAGAATTAGCAAGGCGTCGAAAGTTAACGAGTTCATTTAGGTGAAGTGTTGACATGTCGCACAAACGGGTTTACATTTCAGACGAGTCTTCGCCGCGGTTTGCGCCACGAACCGGAGGCCTCATTGCCTTTTATAAAACTCTCAATTGCAAGATGAGTTATTTGGATCATATAGATTTGCTCGAAATGTGTGTGTGACTTTGATAAGCCTATTTTTTATGTGTATTAATCATTGTCGCTGTAAAAAAGTCAACGAAAAAGTCAATATTATCAGCAGGCAATTTTAAAAAATAAGTTAAAAAACAAACTCCAGATAAGCAAGACATCCTGAGAATGCAATGTATGCTTTGAAACAGAGCAAAGACTGCAAAGTTAAGGTTTTTGACCTTTTTTCGGTCATCGTACATGGTACATTTACAGTCTTAGCTCGTGTTATGTTTCAAAGCATATTCTGATATAGCGCATTCTTAGATGTTTTATATTGGCTATATACAAAACCAGTGGATATATCTATGGCTATGCCTATGATCAACGAGGCAAAAAAACGACAAAAAAGCAGCTTCATGCATGAATGACCACACAACAAGGCTTAACGAGGTTGAATGATTACCGCCACGCAGCAATTAAACATTGAATCAGGTCGTTATGTTGAAGGGAACCGCACTTGTGGTAATTTGATTATTTGAATGGCTGTATTCCCTCTGGTTATTTTGGTATACTGCATGGAACATTACCCGTGTGTGTTTACACAACGAGCCTAGGCTAGGTCTAGGCCAAGCTTTGAGCTAGATTTTCGTGGTGTAAACGCACTTTAGTGAGACGTTGGCCAGATTACTTTCCAACCCGTTCTAAACCCAGTCAAAGTCATTTATCCATGCAGAAATCAAATTCAAGCTAGGTCAAGGGCTATTTTAGAAACGCGGTCGATTCGTTTGATTCCCCGAGAATCTCACCGTTTGAACAACTCAATCAGAGAAATTCAAATTCTCGCGATAATACTCTCGACGAAAGCATTAATAAATACATAAACATAAATACTCTGTACTAATTTGAATTGCTAGCTCTTCCTGCATATATTTCACCTTCTCAAAAATATGTTGGTTGATGTAACCTAAACCAGTACTAGTCGTCAGTCGTTTGTTTGCCTAAATGCGTGAGATGTTCCATAAACATTTTTTCATTATAATACCTGGCCTCTGACTGCGCATACATTGGTGTCAATGTACTGTAACGTAGAGAATTCGTCGCAAATGTAGTATATTCACATGTATATATATACTACGAGACAACGCAGTCATAAGGATCACTAGATTCTACTTTATCTTCATCAGTCACTTCGTTCATTTCATTGAAAATCGTTCCTTCGTCAATATTTTCCTGTTGTTCAACATTTCGACTTGTCATTTGATTTTCTGCTAAACGCGTTGCAACTGTACTGATGGCTTCAGATAATGCTTGCCATTGAGTTTTGAACTGACCAAAGAAGGCACTGTAACCCAGACTGCAATAATTCATTGTATATGTACAGTATACCCTCGAAACGTCAGGTCCCGCTTATCCGATTATTTAGTCAACGAAGCGTCACTGTTTTGGGTATTGAAATAAGTAAATTACACAATCCTAGAAGTGATTATCCCGGACAATCAGTGGCGTAGCCAGCCTGACGAATTAGTCATGCTATGCAAATTTTACATTATTATCATTATTCATTTCTTTAGAAATTCATTGTTTTCATAGTCAATGAACACCAAAATATTAGCATAGCGGGAAATCGTCAGGCTGGCTACGCCACTGCGGACAATGGATGGCAATTTTTCATAGACTGAAAGTTGCACCGGCGAAGGGTAGAATAGCGATTCGAATTCTACGCTTCACGTTTATCGTAGGACAACCTTTACGAATTACGGCATAGTTTTATCTTTTAAAAACTAGTGAGGGTAAAGTGACCTACATGAAAAGTTATATTTCATGACTTAAGAAAACCGTAAAATGCCTTTGCTTGCATATGATTATTTGATTTTGTACACTTAGTCTGCTACATGGTGATATATCAAAGATCTGAGTTTTTAATAGCACTTTCGATCTAATCAGTCAAACTATTTCTTATATTAATATGAAGACGCTACAGCCATCTCAAATCACTCATGACACGGACGAGAGCGCCAAAATGCTTATCTTTTCACGATGTTTTCACAGTGAAAAGGAAGTTTTACAGAAAATAAATATCACGCTGGGCACTTTTACTTTCAATCACCAGATTTCTAATGCAGTATAATAACGTATAACTATATAAATATAATTATAATCGACGACAAAAAATCTTCAACACCCTCATCATTAGGTTACATTAACTCGTCACGGAAGAGCTGTACATATATGTTGCATGGGGGCGGAGGTTATCTCATATTGAAACTCTTACCATTCGTGATTGGCCCAATTTTCCAAGGTTTTAATACCATCACGAAGTCGAATGAAGTTCTCTAAAGCAAGTTCATCCATACCCAAAAGCAAGATATCCTCTATGACTTGATTAACCAAAGGTGCGTCTCGTAAGGCAAGTGACAACAACAGAGACCAGTCGAAACAATACGAGTCTGACATCGCTTGCAGCAGAAACCTAAGTAAACAAACTTACATAGCTAGTAGTATATACCAGGATTTATACACGTGAAAAACCTTTAAAGTCGGTAATCATAAATTCTATCATAAAAAGAAAACATCACTGACCTTATTTCTCTATCTGCTTGCCTGGGTCCTGGAACTTGACCAGCAAAATCATCTAAATCCTTTATGTTTGTATCATAACTCCATGTACTGTCCTCCAAGCCTTCTGGGTCATCGTCTAGTGAGAATGAAACTGAGCTCGCTTCAGACTGCTCGACTTGTACTCCCTTTAACTCAACCTCGGAAAGAGCTGGAAATATAAAGAGTAGCATCGAATTATCTAAAAGACAATGACCAGTCAAGTACTCGGCATAATCACATGATTCCCACTGAAACCACTGATTAATTTGCATAATGCATGAGATCAACCAATACCTGTTTGTATATCTTCGATGTTTGGAGAATTGTTCGGGACTGTGTTATCATGATTTTCCCAAATCAACCGGTTACCAGAGGAGGAGAGAAAACTGGTTCGTAGCGACAAGGATTCTTAGTAAAAAGCCATAAGTCAAAATATTAATATACAGAAAAACTACCAATGAAGCATACACACCACAATTTAGGTAACCGTACCAATTTCATCCTTGCCCGGTCATTGTTTTGGTAGCCTGAACACTAATAAGGGTGCCAATTTTGACCGTGCCCAATAAATTGAGTGTAGTGTAAACGGGGCTTAAATAACAATATCGGCTGGCCTTAGCTAGCACAGCTCGCCTTAGCAACAATGAAAGCAGTTGCACACAACAAGTAGGCTGAGTTATAACGCACCTGTGGTAATAGCATTCACCGTTGTTCGTGAAGGGAATGGCCAATCGAACTGACGATGAATACTGAGAAATGCTTCGATAAAATCGTTAACTATTGCGGCTCGATCTCTACAATAAATTATTAAGACAGATCACTGAAATATAATACATTAAGGACGATTACATCATATAGGAGGGGTTGAGGGATACATGGATTACAAGGCCATTAGCATTGAAGATTGTCTTTCAGAAGGCGACGATGGTGAACTTTTTAAATCATTTTACGTCAAGTTTTAACGCAATTCTTAAGTACATGCAAATGTAATATCTGAGGATTTCACACGGATAACGGACGTTATCGGTGGTGAAAGGCATACTACGAAACTCTCTTGAGAATATAACGGCGTATCTTATATTCATATCGTCTCAAAGTTATCAAATACACACTTTCAAACAAAAATAAATAAAAACATAAAACCACGAGAGATTAGGGCAAATACCTTTCCTTCCGAAGCCACTCTCTGAGATTAAAATCAAGATAAGCTGAAAAGCGACCAAGATCTTTTAGTCTGTTACTTGATAACAACTTTCTGGAATGGCGGTTCAGAATGGTATCCAAGAAAAATCCCTCAGGGGCATCTTCTCTTGCGTATCTGAAGAAGCATCAAACGATAAAAATTTTCATTGAATCTGTTCAACTAGGTACCAAAATTTAGCCATCTCTTGTACAACCGCGGCCATGCATGGAATAAATATATTCCATATAGCGGTTTCTGTAGTGCAAAAAATATGGTCGTTATGCTTATTATAGAAGACATTTCAGAGAAACGACGATATGGGATAACACAAGGGTCATACCCTAACCTGAACACAATATGCTGGGATCCACCAGGACCTTCTATATGTTCTTGAGAGTCCCATTTCCTTCCTGATACAGAACCTTTTCCCGTTAAGGATCTATCCTCAGATGTATGACGACCTCGACTTGCTGATTTTTCATACGGTCTAATGTTTTGAAGTTTATCTGAGGAGCTGATGCGGGTTAATGGTGGCCTTGGACTCATCCTGCTACTCCCAGACTGTGAATGTGATTGAATCCCTTGGGGAAGAGGGGTGAGGTCATCTTCTTCGTCGTCCACAAGAGAAGGCAGAGCAGACGACATTACAAGTGTCTTGATACACGGGCTCTGCGGTGGGGAGTCAAAATCACTCACTTTTATGGAGCCAAGAAAACGAACAAGGTCTCTTGCAATCTAATAAGTTGACACAATGAGGATTAGTCTCATTTTAGAGGAAAGAGGTTATTGTATCAAGTTTGGTGAAATTAAAATACTTAAATTTAAGCTTTGGATTTTTTCAGCAAAATTCTTTGCCTAAAACCGAAAGGGTTTTACCTCGTACTTATCACTGGATAAAGTAGCCTCAAGCAGAATTGTCGCAAGCTGGAATAAAGAGTATACACAAGTATTTTTTTCAGTATGCAAATCTTTTTAAGACAACATATCTCTTAGCACACATATCTTACGAAACCTGTTTGCTGACTTCAGGCGTTTCCAGATTCTGTAGAATGATTAGGTATGAAGCAGCTGTTTCAAGGTATCCATCTTCAAGACATTTCTATTAGAAACAGGCAAGAAAGAAAACTATAAATTTCCCATCGCATCACCTGCGCGAAACCAACCTAAGCGCACTATTAAGATCTTCTATAGGTAAAACTAGGCAACTTGGTGAGAAAAATAAAGGCTATCTATCAGCCTTTTAGGGCCGGCGAATTATTAAAAAGAAGGCAATATCTTTTTAAACGTCCAGTTCGACATTTGTTTAATAAACATTCCTGACATGTTTGTTTGTCCTTGCAGTCTAACCTCAAACAGATTTCGTGGATTTCCGACGGCAGCGAAAAGATAACTCCATAACGCTACTTCGGTTTTCCGGGCACAATGTACCACGGTTTGTAAGTATTCTGGGAATTCCTGAATAAATGCCACGATTCTTGGAAGCATCGCATCTTAAGGAAGTACAATTTAAAGTTTATCATGGTCAACTTTTGAACGTGTACGTTTAAAAGGAAGTTATACAGTTAACAGTGTTTCTACAGCTTGTTCATTGATTTAACTGCCTTCGTAAATCACCTGGCAAGGGCTCTGATGCTGTGGCTTCTTCTTCGAGTATTTCATGAAGCATCAATTCAAGCACATGAGGAAAATATAGAAGTTCACTGCAACTCCGAGCAATCCGTAGTGCATGAATACCAAGACTATACAAAAGAATCGCACAGCAGGTTTGTCAGAGACCACACTTTAAAGTTTAAACAGATACATTTGCCAATATTTAATCCATTACATTTGCTAAAATGTTTTTCATTTCCTCTGTAATTTCGTTAAATTTCCCTAATAACATAAACACTTAAGCAATGTTCCGTGTTGTATATTTATTTTTTTTATTGATATATTTTCTTGATAGAAAGAAATTACAACTTACTTTCTTCGAAGTAGCTGGCGTAAAAGATGGTGAAGGTAGACTTGAGCCTAAACAAGCAAAAAAGAAAACATATGCGGTAACACCAAATTCACCCCATTTTCTCAATGAAAAATATATTAGAACGCAACACAGTATTATGTAGTTTACCGGTCTTTCCAGTGCATACAAAGGAAATGGTTCTTCCGGAGAAATTGGAAGATTAGATGAAAGATTCAAATGCACAGGTTCCGACGCAGCCCCAACAACAAGTGCTTCTTTCGATAAAACAACTAAAATAATGTTGCTAGTGCTAGTATAGCCAAGGCAAGGTGATAACAGAAATTATAGAGTGCATGCATGAAAGAGTTAACTCAACATACCAAGTGGGCAAAGTGACATTTGTATTGGAAGCATAATTCTCTTCGATAGAAAGTTCGGAGGTTTTTCATCGTCCCCAGGAAACAATGGAAGCCAAACCTAAATGGAAAAGGGTATTAAATTTATTTACCATGCATGCAATCCACGACTATACTCATTCATATGACAAAGACAGTAATCTCGGCTTTGAGATGCAACCATGCATGCATTAGGCTAAGGATTGGTCTGGGATATAGACAGAATTACAAACTTACTTTCATTCCAGAAACACCACAGTTTAACCATAACGCTTCGACTAAATGTTGTTTGTCAGTTGAAGACGTTTTCAATGATGACCATATTCCTTCAACACACGAAGCAAGAACGACTGGTGCTGAAAATTGCATCTGCATGAAGAATAAAAACATATATACCACATTCATGTACATACACAACAGGCGACCGATCGAGAGGTTGATGTTGTAGGTCATTCAGATCATTACACGCAGATGCATTTATAACACACGCAAGACTCATAGACCAATATTATGTTGCTACCTTTTTTCGCTTCTCTTTTTCATGAAGTCTTTGGAGCATCATCAATTTCCCACCAATATTCACTAACAATGACTCAACTCTGCTTATACTGGAGCTGACACAACCTTCGAGAGAACGAATAAGTATAATATTTACGGTGCATTAATTATTTAATGTCGTATGACCATACGTAGATACCATGCATTTCTAATAGAGGTTTCTATTTTGTCCTCCTGTGTTAAGAATGCTTTAAACTTTCTTCTGTGCATACTATTCACAGGTACGTTTTCTTTGCAGGTGAATGCATGTCCATGCAAAAACTAGCATGCAGAAACTAAGAATACTGCACTAAAATCAATCTTGTAACGCGTGTTTAGAGTTGAGTGACTTTCACAAGATCACACTGTACCTTGTTCGAAGCATGCCATGCTTAAAGTAATTTCAATCACAGATAGTGGATGAGGTACGTGAGGAACTAATGAAACATCTTGCATGCGTGATATCTGAATGTGATCTAAAAAATAAAATACACATGAAGATAAATACAAAGTAATCAAATTTTACACAGTTCAATTTTGTCAATTTCATCTCTAAACTTAATAACACATATATGATTTGATTCACTGCAATATCTATTGCGCCAGTGATTGGTTAATGTGATACAGATTTATAGTATTTGATTGGCTGGATATCGCTAATAAGAATAAAACAACAACCACACCTGATTCACCCTCAGCTAATTTATCCAAGCAATAAAACGTTAGTTTACAATCAGAACAGTAAACCAACAAGATATTGTCTAAGATGTTGATCAGAAAAGGCGAGCATGTTAGGTTTATTTCACTGGCAAAAGCATTGTCCAAATTGGATAGACGTGGATAAAAGCGTATCTAAAAATACAATATATATGTTGGTAGATGGTTGGTTGTCTCATGGTACAAATTACCGGTAAAATGTAATGCATGAAATAACAGTCCCACATATACAGTATTCCTTTCATATTGGAGGTCAGTGACCTGTCTCGTATACACAGGCGCAAACACGTGTACCAGGATCTGACTCTGGCAGGCAGAGGATGTGCAATGGGGTTCAAGTCGTCAAACGCAAGTATGAAATTGTCAATTCCGAAGTTTTCTCGAGTGCCAAAATGTCTTGTGGAGTGCTATATCCTCACCTGGTCACTACCGGAATGCATGTTGTAACAAGCTATCACTAAGAATTCGTTCCACCAAAGAAGTCCACCGCGACAATAAATACTTTGCTCCTGGATGGAAATGTTGTAAAGTAATTTTTGTCCCTGAGAACGCTCAGGAATTATAACGCAGTTTCTTTTCTGATTGTACGTGCAATTGTTAGTAAACATTGCTATAATGCTTCCTCCAAACATAATGGTTTTTTCAAACTAATTTTTTACCTGTGATTCATTCCCAAATAACTTCCATCTTCTGCTAAGTAAAGAATAATGCGCAACCCCCATCCGACCCGCGATTGCAAAATACATCCCTGATTCGTCAACAGCAACGCTCTGCAGAAATTGACATTAAACGACATTATTTAGCAAAAGAATTTGTTAAAAAATATATAACGGCTTCGAAAATTACTACCAGTAAGAAGCACATCTTATAATAAATGAAACGAAAAGGAAAATATCAGCTAAATACCGTGGAATAAATTATTATACAAATAGGAAAACTATATACTTGTTGCATTAATTGTTCCACTCACCCTGATTGGCCAGTTCTTTTCAATGTAGATTTGAGGATACTAAATCAAAAAAATAAACAAAGAGCTGAACTTTACAAGCTATAAATATGTATCAATCATACTAATCTAAAAATTAGCATGCATTGCATTTAAAATCTTCTTTGGCAAACTTGCCCCAGGTTGGACAGTCGAGATAAGTACCACAGAATAGACATTTCACCAGAAGCCTCACTCTTTGCATTTGCCGTTCGAAATTTTTTGAGAGTGTGACGCCACCTGACACAAGCCAAATACGCGAGCACACGCAAGCATTATGGCGCTTAATATCCAGTTTGTATCCTGCTCACGCAATCCTGGTGTGCGTAATTCCTGCACACACCGGGATGGCGTAGAATTGCGTAGAATGACGCGTGCGATTCTGAAAAATTCCGGAAACGAAAACATTAGCAAAATGCAAGGAGTGATGCTTCTGGTATAATGTTTATTCTGTGTGGGTACAGTACACCAAATTCCAGGCGGTTTTCAATTGAAAACCTTCAGATTCAAAGTGTTGACCATCACTATACCTGAACAATCTGCCAATGTTTAGTACTAGAAGGTGAGTTACTACCATCATGACAATCAAAACCAGAGCCTTCAATACCGAATGCATCGTGTAGATGTGTCCGTGTGTCTGATATTACATCAGCTGTACTTAAATACAGACATGTTTCGCCCTGGAGAACTAAATGGTGATGGTTTGCCTGTGAATAGCAGAACACCGGAATAAGTCATTTTAAAACAGATTCGACATTTGCACGCAATTTACAGACATTTACGTCATAAGCCTATAGAGTAAAGCCAGCCGCACACGACGCGATTTTTGTCATATACGATTTTAGTCGGTCGACTAAATCCTTGCGTGCATGTGGCATCAAAACAGTTTCGTGTCGCGTGCACCTGGCTAAAGCAAACGGCAAATTTCATTATCAATACGGGGATCAAACTTGATCTTGCCGAAAGAATATTACAGGGAAAATATCGTCCCATAAAGACCGACTATCACACGGTTATAATCACATACATGATCTATTGTGTACACGTGTTATTATTTCGTTATTTTTCCGACAACAATATCAGGTTTATTTACACGGTACATTCTCCCAATCTATCAGGTTTATTTACACGGTACATTCTCCCAATCTATATAAGATATACAAAGAATTTAAAGCGTTTATACTTTGACTTACCACACATGGGTTAGCGGTCAAGACACTCTTGACAAACGGGATATGAACAATCTCACCTAGAAAATGAACAAAAATTAACGGTACTCAGTGCACTAAACAAAGTAATGCATACAGATAAGAAGCTCTCCATGCATGTGCATTTGCGTATTATACCGTCTTTTTAATTGGCACAAATTTAAAGCAAATTTACATAGGCTATCTAGATCTTAAACAAATTTCACGGTCGTGGACCGTTGTTAAAACGTATAGGTATAAAGGTCTGTTCACACGATCCAACTTTGTCGCATCCAATTCACGTCTGATGGATGTTTTATATTCTATCGACTAACAGTGCGTATTGGACAGCAAATCCACTTAAACCATGCAATCGTGAATCGTATGAACCTATGCCCCGCTTTAGTGCGGCTTTATTAAAATAACAAACTACATTCCGTACGGCAGTGGTGAATTGGATCCGACAAAGTAGGATGGTGTGAATTAACGGGTCTTATATAGTAATTGAGCCAATCAATACAAACCAGTTCCACTCCATTTATCTTCCAGCGGTTTCTCTATCGCCAACAATAAATTGTAACCTTCAACGCTCCATTCCTAAAGTGAGGGAAATCACTTCGTATACTAAGCTATAATAACCATAGATACACGTCATAAAACTGAAAAACATTTCAGTTAACAGCAACAAACGGACTGGTTTAATAGCGGGTAATACCAACTCTCCTGACAAAGACACTGAGGTCGAAACGTGGAGAGGTTTTTTTTATGCATAATTTCAGTTGTATGAGAAAGCAATTCTCTAATTTCAGACCATTTTCAAACCCATAACTAACTATAACTTACTTACCATTGCACTAACGTGCCATGGTTTACCGCAAAATACATCTCCTTGTAACCTACCAAATTAGAAGAAATGCTTAGAAGACACAGAAACTTGATAAGAAGCGAGAGGCGAAAACATCTTTCCTTTGAAAGGTCATCGGCATTACGACGGATTTCTTTCACGCTCACACTGCTTGCATTAAAATGCATTCTTTATAGCTTATATAGTTTACAATGAATATTCAAGTGTAATAAATAATCGCAATAAGATAAGACTTCCGGAATATTATGGTTGTTGCATGTGTGAAAATCAAATCGAAGAAATAAACGTTTAAAATTACCCGTGAGACGATGAGTCTAGTGAACAAAACAAAAAAGAACCAAAAACACTCCACACAGCAAAACCTCCACCAACCCACGATACAGCCAAGACATGACCATCGGGACTAAAACAAAGATTTTCCACTGCATCTACTTGATTGATTGAAGCTGTTGTTAAATTAAGAAAAATATTTTCCATTCGACATTGTGGGGAAAGATCCCCCAGGACTGGAATTATACTAAATTCTATCTGTCATTCTTGAACGGAGAGTCTTTTTCATTGGGCTACTGCAACACGCTATGCTGTATATATATACGTATTAAAAATATCAGGAAAAAAAGGATACTCAGAAAATGTTTAGTTTGTAGCTCAATTTTGTGCGAGAACTGTAAGGCACCAGTGACCTCATCAAACGAGTACAGCATACAACCACCACTAAAAGATTTAAATACATATATATATATACGTGTAGCTACACATTCGGCATAAAACAGAAACATATCAATTGCTTGAACCAACATCTCGAAAGATTGGATTATGATTGTGGTATACCAGGAATCAAGACTACTTGTGGCCCATGCACTGATCATGAACTGTTTCATTTCCATCAATAACGGGTATGTTGAAGAAGATGCAGGGATTGATGTGGGCTTAGCTTGCTGCATGAATTGTCGTCATTTTAGTTTTTCGACAGGATATACATACTGCATGTACTTACTGAGTACAGCCATAGGCAATGATTCGAAATTTGTGGTTAAGTTTAACGCAGGTAGCCTGCGTCAAATCTCGGGCCCAGATGGCAAGAACATCCTGCAATTAAATTAAAGAATGTCTTGCATTTTTTATTCACTGTAAAAACCGAATATTCACAATGGTTCCATTTAGATATTTCAACGCTAAATGTGCATGCTTTAAATAAAAAACTCCTAAACTTCAGACGTAAATCCCGACGTTTTATAGGGGGGGGGGGGAGGACGCTTAAATTTGACATTACGAGTTTCGACCTACATATAAGGTCCTTCGTTAATCCCGTGGTGCGAAGCGAAACGAAACTGGCTTTAGTATAGTTCTTCGATTCTACCTCTCCTGACGAAGAGCCTTAGGCTTAGAGTGACACGAAAAGTCTTTAGCCAGTTGTTATACCAAAATAATAGAAACATGGAGGGCATGATAGCTTAATTTAAAATAGCTTACTTGTGGTTCAAACTTGGACGTAGACGCAGATAGAAAACCCCCACGACCATTTCTCAACACAATAGCAAAGCCTCCAAGTAAAGCACTGTACTGCATATCACGTATATCACTTTCTGACGATTTAAGATACTGAGCCGACTCTGAAAAAATGTTGAAAAAGAAACAAGACTTGATTAATGTGGTAAAAAGAAGATTCATGAAAAAAAAGACGATAATAAAAATAGATGATACATTCAACAAAATGAGTGCAACGAAAAAAAAACAAGAAATTATGCATACTTCATGGAGATCGTTTCCATGATTATTATCCATTTTCCACTTACCAATCGGCGTTTCCAAGTCAAGTGAAAATGGAATAGACGATACTGGAAGAGAAAGCTCTTTATCAACTGTTCCATTCCAATAAACACGATGTAGAATTCCCAATCTACTTGCTACAAATATTTCGTTCCGTTTGATTGACAGGCTTTGGTGAAAAATACATTGAAAATTATTATAAAAATTATTAAAACAGTTTTTTTTATCACAATCACTAAAATTCACTAAGCAACGCGCCATCAACACGCAGCGGAAAAGAAAATACAAAGTAAAAAAATTTTCTCACCTCGAAACTCCGCCAACGATTGAAATTGGAGTTGTTTCAGACAGTAATATTGCTGGTACATCGTACGATATCTTGTAGTTAGGATTGCCAATATTTCTGAAATACGATGTAACAATAATCAAACACACAATTCAAAGCAAAAATTTTGTCACAATGTTATTGCATTTTATCCGAAGGCCTTCAGTGCCCTTAGTCAAATGTGGTGCAAATGGAAATTCATTGGTGCTACATTCAACCAAGAGCTCTATAGACCTGATCTTATGTAGGTGGAATAGGTAATGAACCCTTTTTGCATGTTCAACTCGATGCTTTCTCTCTGGTGATGCTTCGCGACTCATCTTGTCAGTACGAGTATGTATACTGTTCATTTTTCTATTTAACTATGAGATTGGTGAAGAGATGCCACTTGGAGGATTGACCTTCTGAAATGAGGCTACAGACCTCGAACACCAAGCTGCCGAGTGTTAGTGAAACTAACTGGTGACTCTAACGATGTAATATGGAAACTGAATGAAGCAACATTGGCGAAAATGAGTTTATCTTGAACTACATATTCATGCTGTAGGAAGCAAATGTTTTCATGAGGAAAACATGAAAACATTTCAAAAACAAGCTACTGTATTTCTCCACAAGCAATCACTTTACAACATCACTTTCAAATTCCATTCAGCCATCATTAGTATATTACTAATCGTCTAATCACTTCACATTTGATTCTTCACTTCTTGACAGATGTTGTCATTCCTTCTTTAAACTCATGTCTTCAATTTTTTTGTTTCATAGAATGCAATCACCATTGTCTCCTTGGTCCTACTTTATTGACAAAAATTTTACAGGAAAATTGACTTCATCATGAACCAAGGTTCCACTCACAAGTCACAACAGACAACCTGCCACCATTCAAATGTCCATTAAATGAACAACAAATATTGAACATCAGAATGTTGACAATTTGTCCAGAATCTTCAGTTATCTTTATTTTGAAGGAATCTCTGGTGGTTAAAGGTTTTTGCATGATTTAACTCCGACATTATCCAGGATTCAGCCAGTTTTTGCCACATATCCACAGGAAAAAATAGTCCCAAAATGCTACAGTCTACAGTACTATAATTAGCAAGAAAGATGTAAACTTCAATTCAGAAAGCTAGAGTCTGCTAGACTATTCCCAGACTCACTCAATTATTCTTAGATTTAGAAAATTCTATAATTTAGTAATTCTAAAATTACTTATCATAACAGGAATAATGTTTCCATAAATTACACAGGGCTCTACCCTAATACGTAAGTTGAAATTTAGATTTCCTTTCAGATTGCCACTTATGCTATTGTCTTTACCACCTTAATTATATCTAAATTAATATATTATTTTAAAAACAAAAGTGAGGCTTGGTGGTAAAGACAATAGCAAAAGAGAAAACCTAAACAAGTGCTTTTGTACCTCTGGTTTTTGAGAACGTATAGTTGTCCTGAGTCTCCTTTGGAAAGCTTTAACTCATAAAAAATCAATCCTCCATTTGATGTCTGTATAAAATTAAAGGTAAAAATTATGCATATATACTAATAGGCTTAGTGTATAGTCTATGACTTTCCTGAATTAAGATTATTATTATCATTATTATTATTAAATTATACCATTAACACATAAATGTACCAGATTGACTCATACGTAGATTTACAAACACATTTTCATTTTCTACCTTTATTACAATGGCTGATGAATCAAATTTCCATGCAAAATCTTCATTTCCACCAAACTCGTCCACAGAAGTTCTTGATCGACGATACGACACAATCACAACAAATGGCTAAGACAGAATATTTCAAAATTTGTTTCAGTCACAGCAGCACAATAGAAAAATAAGAAACATGTCCAAAAATAGCTGGATAATCTAAATAAGCTCATTCAAGTCATGAATATCATCAGGTAGAAAAATTATACATATGGGGGCATAGCATAGATTACTTGTATTGAAAATGAAGTTTGAATGCAATTGCTGTATTCTTTGATAGGTATAGACCATATAGTAGTATGCAGTAAAAAGTAGTATGCAGTAAAAAGTAGTATGCAGTTAAAAGGGTTGAATGTTGCTTAGTTTTAAGCTTTAGCAAACATTGGCTACAATGAGTGCAATCCTTCTGGAACATATGTTCTCACGACTTTATTATATTTAATATATTAAATACCATTGCATACTTCGAATCTCAGGTGCTCAATATTTGCCTTTAGGCTCTTCCTGACCTTGAAGACATAATATTAGCATCTTTATAAAAATACTCACACGACAATACCACAGTGTCAATGTATCTTCGGTTAAAACGGCTAGAATAGAGCGATCTCGATTAAACTTGAATCCACAAGGCTGATTATTCTTAATGTTATTAGCGCCATAATATTTGGGCCAGCCAACAGCAAAATACATGCTGCAAATGCATTTAAATTTGACACATTTATCAGTGATTTCACCATGAAAATGTCATCCAAATGTTATAGTACCAAAGCCAGACTTCAAATCAGAAAAATAAAACAAAATATGAATGTTATAAATAGATAAAATACATCGTTTCATTCATTGTGTCAGAGAAGAAGCACAAGAAGTTGAAGAAAATATAACACCAACCTGGTATCTTCCACGGAGATACTTCATGTTAGAGAATACTTCCGCACAAATGAGCCTCCATTTACTACCGCTGATGACTTGCCAAGTTGGCACCTGAAAAATTGACTTGGTTCACTGGTTAGAAGAACTTTGAAACTTTTTATACCGATTGCAATAATAATCAGTGGTTGTGACTTTTTTTATTTGCTTGTTAATCTAAACAAAGCGTTTAACCATTTCCAAGGTGTATAGAACTCTGTGGAAGGCTGTCATGTCGTCACAAATGCCGGTAGTAGCGTTCGTTCTAGGAGGACCTGGCGCTGGGAAAGGAACGCAATGTGAGAAAATTGTCGAGGTAGTTTACATGTTGTTTACATGTATACAGATGCCTTACCTTTCGTGGTAATTTTGCTCAGAGGGAAGAGGCACACCCATTTGTTTATGAGTTGTCTCGTTGTGTCGTATTTCCTCTTTGTATAATTTAATTATATTATTAAAATGTTTATTGGGACTAGATGTTCTCTGGTTTATTTATAACGCCCAAACGAATGTTTCCAACTAATTACCTACAAAAAGCCTCCAATGTGAACTGGTAAAAGATTCATGATCATGATTTCACTGATAAAACAACAACTTATTTTGAAGTTTGAAAAAAGTTAATAGAATTGTCATATTGTCATTGAAAGTTACCCGTTATGCCTAGAATTCGACACATCAGTCAGGTTGAACACAAAAATTATTTAGCAATTTTGCTTATGTATGAAACCCAATCAAATTTTTATATTTCATAGCACTTATACACACTTATTCATATAACCCTACACACTCAAACTTGTACAGATATAATACTTCTCCAGTAGCAAAAACTAGCTGATAAAAGGTTATTATTTAAAGGTGAAAATACCTTGCTTTTTTGTTATTTTGGCATCACAATTTGTTATAATGCCATAATCAGTTGCCTCCTCTTTTTTATATAGACCTTTGGTTTTGTTCATTTGTCAGCCGGCGAACTGCTAAGACAAGAACGAGACAGTGGTTCAAAAGATGGGAATCTAATTCAAGATTACATTAAGGAGGGAAAAATTGTTCCAGTGGCAATTACAATTTCACTACTACAAAAGGTTAAATAACATGTATTGTGTTTGCAAAACAGAAATTTTGAGACAAATTTAGATGAATCATCTAAATGATTCTGTTGTATGACAAAATTTGGGTTTCAGTTTTTAATTTTATATTTTTATATCTTTATTTTTATAGGCAATGAAGAATAGTCCTGTGAAAAGGTTTCTTGTTGATGGTTTCCCAAGAAATGAAGATAATCTTCAAGGCTGGAGTGAAAGAATGGATGGCATTGTTGATGTGAAGTGTGTTTTATTTTTTGATTGTCCAGAAGAGGTGAATAACCATATATGTACAGTACTAACCTTTAGCAAACTTTCATGTAAATTTCCTGTCGTGATTGATGAGCTATGTCTAAACAATTAGTGTATTGGTCATTCTTTTCCAGGAATGTATAAGAAGGATAGTTGAACGTGGTAAAACAAGTGGTAGAACTGATGACAATATTGACAGTTTAAGAAAAAGGTAGGTTCAAGAGGTTCACAGTAGCTCTAATTCAAACAGTGTGTTTTTTATGTCCATATTGCATTTATTGAATTTTTCTATGGCTATTTGTTGCTAGATTTAAAACATATAAGGAACAAACAATGCCAATTATAAAGTATTATGAGAAACTTAATCTTGTCAAGACAATTCCTGCTGCAAGAACTCCAGATGAGGTAATTCCCCTTTGTCTTATACATATACAATAGTGTTTTGAAGAAATTTCATATCACTTTTCTACTATTTCTGCAGATCTTTGAAGATGTAAAGGAAGCAATAAATGCAATACTTGAATGATATAATGAACAATTAGATGTCAGTTTTTTAATTTATATTTTTGTCTGTATACTAGCCGTTAATTAATTAACTAGAAAACTAAAATAAATCTGCAAAATGATTTCCTAGTCAGCACCCCTATTAATCCCCCCTACAGTAGTTTTACCTGTTTGTATCAATTATACCACCCAGTATATGATGCCTAGTACAAATATTATTATGTGCATTTTAAACTATATAAAAGAGGTCAATGTAGTCATACCTGGAATGAAGCCAAAGATTAGCATTCTTTTTCAATGGGAAATTGGTCTATATATTGCCTTCTTCTTATATCAAATTTGTTTCTTTTGATTAATCTCTATTCAAAACTCACAATTATCTTGATTAGCTTGATTAAAAGCTTGATTAAAGCTTGATAAAGCTTGATTAAAGCCATGATTATGCTTTCCTTTGAGTTCCAGGCTTCGGCATTTTTCTACGTATCTTATTACTTATTAACTTTTTTGTCTTTTCGAGGTATTAGCACATTGACTGCATGATAATAATTTACACGACTTGCTACCTCAGCTTTGGAATTAACAAGGTAAATTTATTGACTGTACATCATATGTATAATATGTACAACTGGTAAATAAATATTAAAACTTGGACAATAAGAAAGTTTAGCTTATCTATTTTCCAAGATTTCCAATGATCATCTTGTTGATTTCATCAAGCTGACTGGTCACTTTTTCCTTCAACGGTCCGTAGTCACTTTCTACGCTCTTGGTTGCGATAACTACATCATGTGTCAAGGTTATAACAACATTCACAATAACGGAAAAACAACTTCAAAATATGAGAAACGATTTGAGCAATGATTTATGTAATAATAGGACAACACAATAGATCACCCCAACAACGGAGGTAGTAAGTAACAAGAAGCAAGGAAAATTAAAGGATACATTCCTGCATCACAAAATTATTCTGTTCATGATGCTGCCATTTTCGTTCCAGATTTGCAAGCTAAAACCATAATTTGTATAATTTAAACTGTGAAAATGACTGCAATTTGCAGTGAATTCTGCTGATTCCACAGCAGGCTGGTTATTGTAGTTTACACACCTGAGAGTAAGTTTCGTTTTCATTAAGTTTATTCTTCAAGGCTTCGTATGTTTGACTCATATCTCGAACACCTTGATAAATATATAAATAAATTTGTTAATATGGTACTGCACTCAAGTACTTCTAAACCAAATGTAACTTACGTCCTTTCGACGTCTCTCTTCTAGATTCGAGTATTTCTTGTTCGTCGTTTAAATGCTGCAAATATATCGTGGAATTTAATAGCACAAACGCCTTGGGTTGTATATGCATGCCACAAATACCCAGTGTTCATGTGAACACACACCCTGTATTGAAGTTGCACAAACTTGACAAACATATGTACAAGACTTCGTGTTGTAAAAGCAAAACTGTCACTTACCACTCTTCTGTCTTCAGCATTTTCTTTCAATGTGTCCAAATCGTAATACTTCACTAATTCCTACAAAACGAATTCGATGGTCACCTTTTTTCAGATCAATCTTCAAGTGAACACAAAACCAGAAACTTTGACTCAGAGAAGTCGTTCATGCTTAGCCAGTATAGCCGTAGTTTTCTCAACTTTTTGTCCCATCACATGCACGCTCTTATATATCGCCTATTTAACAGTTACCTGGACCGCTGTAGTCTGTAATAACTATAAGCTCACCATGCACTGGTAAAATATGCACCAACGTTTGTTTCTCCTTTTAACTAACCTGCTCCATCGATGCAACTTTTGTCTTTAAAACCTCCAGTTCTGAACTTATCTTGGTTTCAAGCTGTAAAACGACATTTTATATCAACACCAAGTCATCAGTACTAAGTTAAAGCCTACCGCCTACGTTAGCCTAGTGAGTACGTATTATATATAGCCAGACGCATGCATGTAACTGGTACATTAAAGGTTTCCTAAATAATGGGCAAGAATAACTGCAGTAACAGCCATACTAAATTAACCCTTTCATATACTGTAATGTTCAAAGGTTACAAGAAATATACAAGGACGGACTATTTCCCTTTTTGCTGGTCTTACCTGTTGGACTTTATCTAAATCCATCTGCAATCGATCATGCTCTAAAGATTAAAAAAATTCAGACCCCTATCTGAGCTTAAAACACTTAATTTCGAGTTAAATCTTTACGATAACAGCACTGATAATACTATACATGCATGGGATCGCAGTACCTGACTGTAACGAATCTGAGGTATTTTGAGATCTGTGCATTTCATTTTCTTTGAAGCTTAAATCAGCCTAAAAAATGAAGAACCATCGGCAAGATATGAAATAAAGGATAATGCATTATTTAGTATAACTAACCTTTAGGAAAAAAGACAAAAAGGAAAAGAAGAATCATACCTGCATTTGCTTAAGTTCACCAACACTTGGTAAATGTTTCGAACGAATCATTCTCTGCGCAGAAAATTTTAAAAATTATTGAGCTTGTTCAAGTATAACTGTGTGTTTCGAGCATGTTAAATAAAAATCTAATTTATTTCCACAGTTAAAAAGCCGTAAGAATTGGATATGATTACGAAGTCACGACGCAAACTTTATACCTCGCTATAATTGACTAAGTATAGTTACCCTACTCATATGCTCCATTACTGATACAATGTTTCCCTCCAACTGAGCTTTGCGTTCCTAAACATAATTTTACCAGGGCATGAAATATGCTACAAACTGAAGTATGCTGATTTCACATCAAATGAAACAATTCAATTTATTGTGAGTCAATATACCAATTCTCGTTTCTTGTTTTCCTCAAAAGAATCAAGGAACTCTACAAAAGTTTACAAAATAAATGACTCACGAGTTCTTAACTCCTGAACTATGTGGCTATACGTCAGTGAATGTTACTGAACTAGCTAAACGTTCAGTGAATCTACCTTAAAAGCTACTGTATCCTTCGAACAAGAAGCTGTGCGATTATTACACAGCTTCTTGTTCAAAAGATACATCAGCTTTTTAAATTTCTTTTTGGGTCGTCGACATCAACGTTTACTGTGCATGTACTAACAATAGTAACATTACCTTGCATAGTCTCTTCCCTTTTCTTCAACTCGAGATATTTCTGATTTCGTTCACCTTTACGCAAGAGAAAATGCGCGAAGGTTACATATAAATAATACGAAATATCCATACGCATGCAGACGTGCAGTATCTGTACCTTGATTCTCCTCCAAATCCATATCAACATGTTGTAATTCTTCCGAAGTTACTCTAATCTTCTCTTTGATTTCCTGAATCCTAAAGCAATTGCAAAAACACTATTAGCTACAATGCCCCGACCAAAAATAGAATGAAAACCCCAGTAGCTATCTATTTTATTTAACCTTTAACTGAATACAGAGTCTGTGAGCTAATCCCCTCCCCCCCCTACCTTTTCTCAATTGATCGAATCCCCTCCCCCCCCTACCTTTTCTCAATTGATCGAATTTCCTCGTTATCATCTTTAACCTACATAAATTACAATGGAAAATAAGTAATTATTGCGCCAAAAAATCCACTCAAGTTGTTTATATAGGCACAGTCAAGTGTCCAAACTACTGTATTTCTACGGTGCACCTGTTTTAAGAGTTTTTCTCTTTCTTCTGTTGGTGTTCCTTTGCTGTTTGCTTCATCAACTAGGCTTTGCTTTTTCTCTTCCAATTCGTGAATTTTTTCATACAAAGTTACTGAAGAAGACAGACGCAATATAAGTTGATACAATATGCAATTGCGACGATTATTTCTGTTCTTCACAGACTTGGTTTAGAAGATAGAAAGTGATGTACCTGCTTCTTGTTTGACAGGAGAAGACGCTACTTCCTAAAGGATAAAATAATACTGTACGTTACCACAATTTTTATATGAAGTCCCTGACTATTGAAAACGGCTTGTTTTATATGAAAACAGAGAGTTTTGTTATATAAATCAGCTAGAAACAACTAATATTTTATCGCAATCATCGCTGATTTTGTGTGGTGATTACTTGCATGAAGAGTAGCGCGATAAATGCAATGGATTATATGTTTGATTATATTATAGCTGTTTGCCGTGAACTTATTTACCAATATTTTGTTTAATTTATTTTACAGGCAAGCTATAACTGATTCTGACACGGTCACTGTACAAGAAACTTGGTTTAAATCTAAAACGATATTCCTATAGTCAAACCTCTTCCAGTGTTTGCAATTTTGTCGTCACTTTGTCAAGAAGTTGCTGTTTTTCGTCAAGCGCCTGGGTAGAAAAAACAATTTAGTTTCCATAGAAATGATGACCTGAACGCATATTATAACAAATACACATAAGATTGCTTACCTTTTGAAGGTTAGCATTCTTTTTCTTCAAGTTTAGATAATTTTGCTTCATTGATTCTGACTGAAATGCAAAGAAGCATAAGGCAAAAAGTGCTAAATTATTTTAGATGTATGGTATTAATCTTATAGAAAAGAAAGTACTTACCATTCCTTGAACAAGATTTTCTGCCATTCTGTTCTCCTGGTCTATTTCAAGTTGAAGATCTTTTATTTGTTCTTCTTTTCTGTGAACAAGATTTAAAATTGCATGAAGCATGATAAAAGTTTCAGATCATTTTTTAGGACGGGATGGAAGTTGAAGTCAAAAATATATCTATACATAGAGTCGGGAGTATATGTACATAGATCAGTTGCGAGTGTATAACTATGAATTAGATGTGTATCAATGTGGATAGGTTTTATATAATCATATCAATGCTGTATGAAAGATTGATTCTTATACAGCCAAAATACATCTTTATACTTTATAATTGTATTGATTCATAGGGATACTGTAGGCACAGATACTTACTGTTGTCGTTTCATAAACAACTCATCAATCGACTTTCTTTCTCTCTCATTGCTGACTTTTATCTGAGGACGATAACGATATAGCACTTGGTATTTAATCCCAAATGGAATAACATTGATTCATGTTGTTTATCAATACTTAACAATATATTTTACATTGTATCCCTAAATTTTTACATAATTACTAATATTGAATACCTCTAGCATGATTATATATAGATGGCATATCTAGCCCTATATCGCGCACTTGGATATAGCTAACTTACCGCATCGTGTTCTTGAATAATTTCATCCATATCTGAATCAGTATTAAGTTTATCCAAAAGCTACCAAATAAAAAGAAAATATATGAATGATGGAAGACGAATTAGATAAAAGAAACACATACTTAGTTCATTGACGCCGGAGAAAACCGATTTGCATATCGAGCATAATGGCGCAAAAAAGGTTTATACGTTTCAACGACGAACATCATGATAGTAGAAATGAAGAAACTTAAATGCCCAAATTCAAGTATTTATGTTAATAATGGATGTTATATATGAAGCTAGCATTTCTAAGAAAATGTGTGCAGACTACAGTTTACGTACCGTATTATAATCAGCCAGTTGACCTTGAAAATCTTTTATCTCGGATGCCAAACTTTCAGCTCTATTATAAACATATACAGTAATGGTGTGTTACACAAACATGGCCATTTTAAGTTTTAACGTCAAAACTATTAATACTATCCGTTACTTAACCTATACTTTCATCAATGGCATTAACTATATGTTAACACATTACCTTTTTTCATAAGTTAGGTACGTTTCGTGTTCTTGGGAATATTTATCAATATCTTTCTGCATTCTTGCTATTTCTGTGGTCAACTCAGATACTTTTGCTCTTGGGAGAAAGCAATAAATAGAGCATTAAAAAGTGTATATAAACGTTCAACACATTTTACAATACTCTATAACTATATGATTATAATACCTCAGCAGTCCCATGAAGTAAGATTTATCTTGCACCTGTCTTTGTGGACCTGTATTTCAAAAGTAATCAAACGAAATATTTACCGAGGAGTATTTTTGTATCGCAGATAATTTCGGTAGTATCTCGACCCAGATACTGGTACTGCGACAGGTATTAGTTTCTAGCGAAGATATCACCATGCAATATTACAATAAATGAATTCTGTTTTAAGAATTAAGTTGGTAGCAAACTTAATTATATGACAGAATCAAATCACGTCATACCTTTAGCACCGGTTGCAATACCAAGTCCTTGTCTTGTCATTGGACGATCTGTCACCCTGATCTGAGAGTTCAAAGCTAGGGAAAGAAAAATTTATCTTTGAAACGGGAAAAGTAGGCGTAAAAATATTTTCTAGGCTGACCATTTTAAATACAATGTAGTTCGAGGGTACACCATGAAACCATGAATATGATTGTCGTTCGTTAATCAAACTTACAGTGATTTTCAAATCATATTTTGAAACAACATTAGCTATAACAAAGTAGTGTACAAACCTCCCATCCCCCCATCACCACCACGTGTTCCGGGTCTCGCACTTCCTGGGACCTGGAAAAAAATGAAAGGACTGTCAGAATAGTAGGCAGATTCAGCATGAGGATGTGAACGCCAAAAAACGACGTGAAAATAGCGAATAACTGACGTAATGCGCGTATATATGGACATGCTGCGCTATTTATTCGCCATTTTCACGTGGTTTTTGCTATAGAGATATGCCCCAGGCCTTCAGGGTTCCAAATATAATACAAATAAAAAAGCTGTATTTGTATTGTAAGTATAATCTTTCCCCAAAAATAATGCAGTAATCTAATTTCTATGCAAATATTGCTTGCCACCAAGGATAAAAGTGATCAAAGAGACCTACCATTCCAGTTCCTTTGAATTGTTAATTTGTAGACAATGATTTTATCATAAAAAAATTAAAACAAAATATAAGAACAACAACATGGTGTTTGGGTTCATTTAAATCTCTTCAGCTTTGTGTTTTGGAGAAGTTAGGGAAAAATACAGGGCTTTAACAAAAATGCCCTTCACAGATGAGGTTTTGCCCAAATGAAACTGTAGACCCATCCATGAATGCTAAATAACAGACAAGTAGATAAAAACAGAATGAGGTGGTTTCACCTGGTGGTTTTGCCATATCTGACAATAAAACTCAAGTGAAGGAAAATAAAAAAGTTGTTAAATATGATATACATTGAAAATAATTTTTGATACACTGCAGTCAGATAAAAAAAATGTTAACAGACATTTTTTTGCTCATATCTGATTTAAACTTACACATACCGTACTGTACCATATACAGAAACAACCTTTAACTCAGAAAAACTAACAGTTTGGCTAGAAGTATCAAAATTTACAAACCTTCTACAGTAGGAAACAAGTATACAGGACTTTTCTAGCATGCAATGGCTTTAGAATATTACTTATAGAATATGTTACCCAAATATCAGACCGATTCGACATAGAAAAACTAAGCCACACAACTATCTGTATACTACTTTAAATTCAATGTCTTTATTGATCATTATGGAGAGTTAATCTATGACATAAACTTATAAATATATAGCATAAAAAGGATACTGCTTCCCTGAGCCATTCTTCCCTTAGTCCCAGGCCTCAGTGATCCAGATGGAGGTCTATTTCCAAAGTTACTCCTGTTGATAGCACATAGAATAACTATTAGTAATTAAAACATTGCATAGAATGAATACCTGGTTCAAATTTCAATTCTATGTCACAGAAAACAGTGATAAGTAGTTCAAAACAGATAACCAAGGAAAGAAAATGTGTTACATCAAAACAAAAGAATTATACCCCAATTAAAATATTGACAATGAATTTGCTCACATTTATTAATAGATTTACCCAGCCATCAACCTTTTAATGAACTTTGTGATTTTTATCAGAGTTAACATAGTCGTAAAAAAGCTATTAGAAGTACACCAGCAACAATTCTTTGCTTAATTAATATGCTTTAATGAGAACAATAGAGATGAACACTCATATCCAAGCAGTTGTTCTATCTTATACAACTCATTTCACAGGTAATTTGAAGTTTTAACGTAGTGAAAGGTAAATTTGAATACTACCGTTTATATTTTAATACCACCAGACTCTTTTCATTTTTATTAAATTTGATTGTTGGAAGCTATGTCTGCACACAATTTGTTTAAATTTTGCGGGCTAGTAATATGAGTATAAACGAAGTTTAAACTAGGTACCAATTCTACATTTATTAGCTATTGAAGCAGTCAATGAAACCACACAAATTCTTAAATACTTACATTTTCAATATTCCTTGCCTTGGGAATATATAGTTGACGTTTAATATATTAAAATACAAGATGGCGGAATAATGTTATAACTAGTTGTCAGGGTAACAAATGTGAACACAGTAAACCCAAGAAAATAATACAAAATTAGGAACTTGACAAGTGGGAATCGAAAGTTTCGGTTTTTCGACGATAGAGGAAAAGAAACCCTTTGGTTTTTGGCTTTCGCTCGAGGTTTTATATCATACTAGTCTTAGAAACGACTACTGGAAAGAACCATTGCGCAACCAAGGTCCAAGGAAACAACATGGCAGCTTACACTCGTTCTTTTGCTGCTAAATGCTAATGTAGACTGATACAGCCACAGGCTTAGCCGCTAGCACTAAAAAGAATTTTCTCTGATATCCATATCATGTAAAAAATATTTACAAATGCCAGTAAGGATAGGGACCATAAGTCCATAAATTACATAACTTACTTTTTACGATCTCATAAAGACATAATAAGTAAATTAAGTTTCTATTGACAGTATTGTACCGGAACCGTGTTTGTAATTCTTATAATCTTATACATAATAGTCTAAGAAATTTTAATTCTCGTACATACTAATTTTTGAACGTATACTTTGTTATATTTAACATTTTTAAACAATAATTATATAAATGTTGTAATTCAATTTCTGTTGCCGTCGCAGTTTGCAACGGGAGTGCTGAAAACTCAAAATGCGACAAAATGTCTTCAAGAACGCAGAGTAAAAACGTATGAAAATGTACCAGTCTTACTATTAATGAATTTTAGGACCACTAAAATTTGCAAGCGAAGGCTTGTAATCATGAACAAACCTATCATCGACAGGACGCATACCGTAATGTTGATAAATTATGGCGGACAAAGGTGTCATATGCCAAATAACATACATAACCCCGGCCCAAATATACACGAAACACGAGGCCGTTGGGTCAAAAGAGACTAATTGATGGTATTTAGGTAGGATAATCTCGAAAGACTGAAATAAAAGGCGTATACATGCAAGGACGAGGTAGCCGGGCTAAGAAGAATGGGGAAACATTAAGACGGGACATATAAAAGAAATGAAGGTATGTATATATGTCACTAACCTCAGGTGGTCGTAGCGCTGCGGGGCCGATAAAGACAACGAATCAGACTCAGTGACAGTGTACTATACTCTATAGCTATATATTGTATAGCTATAGCTATAGGTCTAAAATGGAGGTTTGTATCATAGACATTCAAATCTGGACGATTCAAATCTGACTCTGTACCAAGTGGCAACATATGTACAGAGCTCAGCAATTCAATATCCTTTTTGACAATCAACATGATCTTTTTATAAATTTTTGACCGAGACATTTTCATAAACGCGCGGCGATACGAAACGGATCGTGAACATTATTGTCAATGTTCACAGACTGTGCAACAAAGTGCAATCACTCGTGGCTTAGGCCTAGGTTATACGTCGCATTTTGGTCGGGTCCGTCGAATTGTTTCAATTGCATTCAACGCGACCAAAACGCGACGTAACCTTAAACCGGTTTCCCACTAGCGTTAATAGTGAGTTTAAGATACGTGAAGTAATATTGTCTTCATTTCCACAGTTTCACAACAGGAATAAAAATTATGGACTCCTTTTGGTAAACAAGGTCAGAGATGTACGTGGAACTAATTAAAACTGGTTTTCTAACAATTCCGGTTGATTTCATGACGTCGGATACGTCCGCGTCGTAGATTTGGCGCATTCCTAATATCGCTTAGAAAACCGGCTTTAGACTTCGATACTTAAGCGAAATAGCTGAAACTGAATTCTCTAAGGCCTGTTTCCACTTCCACCGTATCGTAGCGTAACGTAGCGTATTTCTTTGTTTCCGAAGTATTCGATCAGAACTAAGGACGCTATACGTTTCGCTATGATACGGTTGAAGTGGAAAACGGCTTAAAGGCCTAGGCTAAACGTTGCATGTTGGTCGCGTCAAATGCGATTCAAACAATAGATAATGAGATTATAATGAAGCTTAATGAGGTTTAACATCTCATTATCTATTGTTTTAATTACATTCGACCCGACCAAAATACGACGTATCAGCAATAAGAAACACAATGTGGACTGAGACGACGAGTGCATGTTTGCTTCAAAAGTGCAACGATCCCATCAGTTTTGTGGTCTGTCACACAAAAGTAATTTACTCAAATTTCATTTAAAAAGTGTATCGAAAACATTCCAGCAAACAATTTTAAAAATACCAGAGAAGTGTATGCTCAGTAGAAATGACATTTTGTACGGATTGTAAGTGTTTGACAATGACTTCGACACTGAGGCGAAATAACACCGTTAATTTTTGTCTTGTTTTAAAGCTCAAATCTTGCGTTCGCAAGACGTTGTCTTTGTGCATATTTTTGCAATGGTTTTTGCTTAGATAAACTTACCCTGGGATTAATTACCGGAGACTGATCATAAGTGTTGAACCCTATAAAAGCCCCAGAAAATCTTCCTAAATTATGCGGTACATGCATATGACCATCAATCAAGTATCTGACCCTTTAAGTGCTTATTGAAATTTCTTAATTAGGTCTAGGTTATACGTGGCATTTTGTTCGCGTCGAATGCAATTCAAACAATAGATAATGAGATGATAATGAAGCTTAATGAGTTTATCATCTCATGATCTATGTTTGAATTGCATTCGACGCGACCAAAATGCGACGTATATGAACTAGGCTTAACCGGTAGGCGTATAAGGCTATAATTTTTTTCTCCTAATTTATTGTATTTCAGATTGAACCAAAATAATGGAACTAACGAATTTAAAACTGAGCACCTTAATCTTTTTTTGTGTGTATTTCTTTATTTCTGGTGCGGATGGTTACATTATTTTACCAACAGCTTGGTACTATATCCGTAGTCTTGGGCTCTCAAAAAATTTCTACAGCGCTGTTCTGGCAGCCCAATCTTTGGGTTTTATACTAATGTCGCCAATTGTTGGGAAACTCGCAGATAAAACAAGAAGGGTGAAATTGATCCTGTTTATGAGTGTTTTGGTTAAAGCGATATCGAAATTAGTCTACGCCATTCCAGTGTCTGGTTATTTCCCTCTCGCGGGATGTTTTTTCTCTGGGGCTGCAAACGCTGCTTATTCCGCAATGTACGGTGAAATCGTTCGATACACGGCGAATGAATATCGATCAAAACTGTTTATATTGTTCGACTCTGTATTTACCCTGGGGGCATCATGCGGACCACTTTTCGGAGGCCTGGTTACGTTTAGTGGAAGTATCCTGGGCTTGAAAATCAATGATGGCAATTCTCCAGGAATTGTCTTAGCAGCCATTTGGTTCGTAGCCTTGTGTGTACTCATCTTCCTACCATCTGATCTTGGGACAAGCGAAATTGGTCTTTTAGATGAAATCAGTTTATCTGACGGTGGCGGGAATCATGATGACGTGATGAAGAGTTTCAACTCGTCGGTATTGTGTTTGTATTATATTGATTTTTCAAACTCTCTTTTAGCAAGTACCTGCTCTGGAATTATCCCTCTTTTAACGATGGAATTGTTCTCCTTAAAGCTTATACATGTAAAGCTTTTATTCGCTGTCGGAATGATGTTTGTATTTTTCGTATGTTCAGTAAGTTATATTGCAACAAAACACTGCAGTGAACGCGTTCTATTACTATGTTCCATAATTTTACCAATACCGTCAATGCTCATGTTATGTACCTACGCGATTCTATGGACAAAAGTTTCATTTTCAATGAGTTATACACTCGTCATTTACATTTGTTTTGGATTGCCATTACCATGTTATCCGTTTGCTGGTTCCCTGTTATCGAAAATCACGCCTTCGCGACATGCCAGCACTATTCAAAGTGGTGCAGTGATCAATTTTTTCGTGGCGGCATTAATAGGACGTGGGATATCAGGAGTGGTGTTTACTCAAACATTGCTTATTGCATACAGTATTGTCCTTGCCCTCATGTGGTCAGTTGGTGCCGCTTGGCTTGCTTTCGTATTTCGTCGTTTGCCTCCCTGAACTGGTTCCTGGAAACTCGTCACTGTAGACTTGTGGGATGCATGCTATTGAGTACGAAGTTAAATACTGTATTGAAAGCAATATATTCATATGGAATATTTACTTGTTAGTAAAGTTTATGTCAGCAAAATTTATGTTATGAAAGTAAAAAATAATAGTTTTCAATTATATTTGGATAACTCATTGTTGTCGAAACACCAGCATGTTATTATAAAGTTAGGGGCTCCGGCTCGTATTAAAAGAGGGAGGGGATAGACTCCAAAAACCCAACAAATATTCAAACCCGCGACATGTCCGGGCTGTACGATTTTATGTGTATACCCTGTTGTATACATTATTCAGCGAAGATTTTCGACCGATCCAAGAAGAAAAAAGGTTTGGATAGAAAAGATACAAAGGAGGAGGTCAGCAAAGTTGGCGGTTTTGGAATTCTTAACTTCGCTAATGATCGGACGCATAAATCTTCTAGTAATAATTGTGAGTTGGATAATAATTCAAATGTATGCACCCCCATGATCACTCCAAGCTTTACAAAAGACTTCCGTTGAGCATGCATGCAGAGCGAACATAAGAATACCCCACTTTTGCCTAATAAGTCATTTTTATTTTCGTTTCTTAGTTCTTCCGTTTATCTCAACGGTAGTGACTCATTGTTTTAAGTATTAAAAAACAACCAATCAGACGCTTTAATCGTATACAGAGTCTTAAAGAACAGCGCGAAACCTATACATTACTAATACTAAAGTAATATTAATAAGTATTATTAATATAACTAATATATTAATATAATTAGGCTTATAAAGTTCAACGATTATATATATATACCATAAACGTCATTCTAATATCCTATAAATGCCTGCTGGAGAACGAATGAAGTTTTTTTCTATATAATCACAACTAGTCTATAAAATATACATCGACATCCTACTGTGCATGATTATGAAGATAAAATCAGTAAATATTTTAAAAAGAGTGATTGCAAATGCAATTAAAGTTTATCCATATTCATCGTGTCATACGCAACATTTTCTGTTCCTCTGTCGCCGTTCGCAGTGATTTCCAGGGATTTATTTCTATTTCTATTGCAATATTGATACCAGCACACCAACAACGCCAGTAACAGCAAGGTACCAGCAACACAGCTGACAACGATTAGAGCTGGTTTTAGATCTAAACAAAAGAACACTAGCTCGTGATCACTTATTCTAAAAACCTCAGTTATCCGAAATCTTCCATTAAACATTTTTGCAATTCTTCTTTAACACTTCGAAGCCTGATGCAAAAGAAGACCTCTCCTTACACATCCAGATGCATGCATTAATTGCTCAATAAACAAAAGATAAATCTTCGCTGTACAGACTTATTCGAAGAAGAGCAAGAAGCCTGTTGCTCGAGTTAGCAAAACGAGGCTAGTCAAATTTTTCACTGCTATTTTTCACTGCTATTTTGACTGAAAATACTTGTTTTGGCGTAGCTTGTAACAGGTGCAGTGAACAGGTGATTATAAAAAAAATTTACAATTTCGTTGACAAAAATCTGACTAGTAGCCTTGTCTTGGCGTAACTCGTTACAGGCCTCCAGCTTTTTTCGAAAAGGTCTATAGTGTTGTTGTTCACCTTTAATATCTTTACATTCCCCTTCTTCGTAAGTATAACCAGAGTCACAGATACATTTCGCATGTCCATTCAAGCCACGGAAACAATAAGAGTGAGCAGGACACTCAAGTTTCTTGCACGGATCTACGCAACTTTTACCATCACCATGATAATTTTTGTTACATGTGCAAGTCACAATGTCATTTCTTACTGTGCATGTAGCATGTTCGTGACAACTGTGGAGACCCAAGGAACAAAAATCTATTTTAAAGAAAAAAGATGGTTTAGTTTTAGATCGTTCTTTCGCAACTTTCTCAGCTATAGGCTATAGCCTAACAATTAACCTATATATTTGCCATGTTTGTCTTTATATCAACATGTATAGGGTCAGAGGTATAATATTTCACTCGCCTGCCTATCTGTATTTTGTTTTGTTGGTCAATCTTTTAGTGAAAACGTTGATTTTGGCAGTCTGTTCATTCTATTTGTATTTGCTTAAACGTTAGTCAGTCACTTCACTCACTTAGTAAATATAATAAACTGTACAAATTCCACTTTTGGTTAGTTTACTAGTTTGTCGGTAACATATATAGTTCACGTTTTCCCGTTTCCAAACAAACGTACCTGTCGCCACAAGAGATTTTGATGACAAGACAGGCAATGCCAACGAACCATTCCGAACTGATCTACGTATAATTTCTGATAGTTTCGACGCATTAACAGTCTCCGTTTCTTTTAGTCGAAATATCAAAATATACTGAGCGACTACACTTCCTTTTTTAAAACCAGTAACCTGGCAACCAAGGAACCCAGGGAAAATATTTTCTTTTCTAATCGCAGCTGTTAAACCTTGTTCAATTTTTTTTGCGAGGTCCAGATATTCTGATGAGTTTGGATTGTTGAGTGACTCGGTGAATGTTTGGTTCAGAACCACGTCAGATTCAAATATTGTGTTGCCAGTATCACACTCGTCACCATTTTTAATGTAGCCCTTCATACAATGACACGAGAATGAGTAATCTGAATTCTGGATACATCTTGCGTTCTTTGCACAACGTGATTTGCTGCATTTGTTGGTCTTGCCTATATGCATGAATATAAGTGGAAATAGAAAGAAAATAATGTTATATGAGTGAAAATATGCCGAATATGAGTGAAAATAAATTATGCCGGTTATTCTGCAATAAAATACAGTACATGAGTACGGCTATATTAGCCATAGTCACTATAGTTTTAGCCACTTTCTCTTAGCTCATATATAGCGGGTAAAAAGAATGAGACCCCCAAGCGAATCCAAGGGATTACACTTGGCACTAAAAATGCTTAGGTTGAAATATGGTGAAGTGTATAGTTAAGCAAATTATACTGTATAGCGCTTGCTTCTGCATGTGTTGATTTTCATATCGAAAAAACATACTATTCTCTGGAAGTTAAAATATAAACAGCTCAATATGAAACAATGAAACACTGAGATGACTTTTCAACATTCTGTCGGAGATTTTAGGATCATTGCATATTGCATGTGTAATAAGTAACAAAGTTGACATACTAATGATACTAGCCTTTTTCCTCTAAGAGAGCGTGTGTGATTTCATAAAGAGTCTTCTCCTCTGAGTAAGATACAGTGGATATTTCGGAGTCATGGATGACTTCCAGCTGATGGGCCGTTAACATAAGTAATGATGTAAAGTTGTGAACACTGATACCTAACACTTGAGTTACAACATCAGGAACTGTCATACTTCTTAAAGTAGGAGTAGAAATATTGAAAAATGTTGAGATGTTTCGTGAGGACAGTGTCTTTGTGAATAATATCATATTTTGGTTGACTAGCATTTGTTTCAGTTCTTTCTCCGTCAACATATTGATGTCTTTAAAAGAGAGCGTGTTAAAATGTTGCCTAATTTTCATGACATCCAAACTTATGTTTACATTATTTTTGTAGGTCATCAAATCATCTTTGTACCCTGTAAGTTTGCTCAACAACTTTTGGATTAAAGTAATGGATCTGACTTGCTTAAGAACCTCAGGTTTGGAATCAAGAAATTTTTCTTTTGATAAACCCAATAACTGAACCATTTCATCAAAAGTAATGTTTAGTTCTTTCCCAAGCTCTTCACTTTTCATGTACATTTTCAGTCTATTCGTTTGCTGTAAGAAAACTTTGGCAATGTATTTTAACATCGTGTTGTTTTGGGTTAGATTTTGATCATCGCTGACAAACACGAGATTCATTAGAGTTGCTTTGTTCAGAAGTTTAAATTGGTCTGGTTTGCTTTGAAGATTCCGCACTAAGTCGAAATCCGAGAACTGTTTGTTGTTTGTCAACAATTCTCCGAGATTCTTCGATCGTCGTTCATGCATCTTGGGTAACAATTCTACCAAAGTTTTTTCATAATAAGTCGTAAGGTTGACGTTAGGTCCTGGAAAAGAAAAATCTGTTTCAAATATACGTAGACAATAGATACGTAGACCATAGAATATTTCAAAAATTCTGCATATGTAAACGTGAGGTGAAATTTAAAATCTAAAATTTCAACCTACCAGATTTCATTGCATTGATAAAAGGCAGAAGCTGCTCAACATTTGAATAGACACCATAAAAGTTTTTCAGAGCGCATTGCTTTCCCCAACTCACAATACCTATCTGTACCCATGATCCATTGCGATGACACTGTAGAGGACCGCCGCTATCACCAGAACAAGAATCAGTGCCACCTTCCTCGAAACCAGCACAAATAAAGCTGTCAGAAATATTTCCGTTATATGAAGTATCACTGTTGCAGGCTTCTAGAGATACTAAATCCAGTTCGGCCTCTTTCAGAACAGGGGAGCGATGGTAACCTTGCTTGTTCACGATGTTTCCCCACCCCGATACATAACAAGTTCCGTTCATAAACGCCTCACCATCTTTGACAAGACATAATGGTCGAACATATTTACTATAAGTCAATGGTCGTTTCAACTCAATCATAGCTATATCATTGTCTCCTGGGCTGTAATCTGCTCCACCAACATATTTCGGATGAATAAACAGTTTTGATGCCTCGATTGTGTACTCGTGAGCATCTGTGAAATTTAGGCGGTGGTCTCCGACATGGTAGGTGTAGTTTGACAACACTAAATTCCCATCACTCAGAACAAAACAATGACCAGCAGTTAAGATCCATTTACGATCAATGATAGATCCGGCACAATATTGTTCCCGCGTGTTTGAATTGATAAAGTTTACTATCCACGGCCAACTGTTTTCTGCCGCTTCACGTCCACCTATTACTCTCTTACGACGTGATCGCGAGTGCTTATAACGAATACCACAAGAATCATACAACTCTGCCAATATTTTCTTCATCAAATCATAAAGGCTTTGATCATCAGGATAAGAAACAGACGATATCTTTTTCAGTTTTAAAAGATCAATTTCTTCACTTGTTAGTTGATGTGATGATGCAAAAGTAGTAAGATTAATATGAAGATATTCAGTTAATACTTTAGCGACAGTCATATTTTTCAAAATTTCCAGACTGGTCTCGAAGAAAGATGATATATTACGTACACCTAACATCTTGGTAAACAACATTTGGTTGTGTTTCACTAAAATTAGTTTGAGCGATTTCTTCTCAAGATTTTTCAAGTCATCTGCCGATTTATTCAAATCCTTTTTAAATTGTGAAATGTTGAAAACAACGCTCAAACCCGATTTGTAGGCCATTATTGTGTCTCGGTACATTTTAAGATTGTCGATATATCGTTCAACGTATATTCTTTTCCTGACCTTTTCAATCACTGTTGACTTAGAATTTAGAAATCCGTCTTTGGTTAAGTTAACTGATTCGTAGATTTCTTCAAAAGTGATGTTAAATTCTTTCACAACTCCTTTGCTCTTATGATAATTATATAATCTTTTAGCTTGACTGTCGAAAATATCAGTAATGACGTGTTTCAACGTAGTGGTATTCGCAGTTACGTTGGACTTTGAACTAACGAACACTAGGTCCATTAACGTTGTTTTGTTTATCAACTCAATTTGATATGGAACTAGGCGATAATTTCTCACCAGGTCAATTTTAGAAAACTCTCCTTTGTTTGTGAACAAATCATACAGGTTACTTGAGAGTCTACTCTTCAAGGACGGTCGGACATCCTTCAGCGATTTCATGGCGTACACAGTCAAGTTAGGGTTTGGTCCTAAAGACAAGAAACAAGTACATGTTTAAATACTCTCTTAACGAAACTACATATAGACATATATAGACATCAAATTTCATTTATAAGATATAAGGTGGATATGAATACTAGATCACTACTGCATGGGCACTACGACTAGAGGAAGTGCTTACTAAAATTAGTGAAATAAGGAAAAAAAATTGAAAATGTCGCGATATTTTGCTAAGATGTAAGTCTAGCCTGATGCAAATTGTTGTATTGGAAGTAAACGTGCAAATTTTTTCATGAAACCGGACGGAATATCTTTAAACACATTAGATAAAGCACAATGGAATAAAAAGTAAACATCATTATTTTACCTGCTTGTATTGCTTTAATAAATGATTGAAGAACTCTGACATCGGTATATACGCCATAATGGTTTTCCTCAGCGCATCCGATACCCCAGATCATTATCCCAATTTGTATCCATGTATTATTACGTTCACATTGGTATGGACCTCCACTATCACCCGAACATCCATCAATACGACCGATTTTTTGACCGGCACAGAGAAATCTGTCCGAAACCTGCCCCTTATATGAAGCATTACTATTACATACTTTTAGATCAACCAAATCAAGTTTGACTTCCTTCAAGAATGGTGAACGATAGTACCCTGATATATTTTTATCGTTACCCCAACCGGTTAAAACACAGGTATCATTTTCGTCAAAAACATCATCCTTTTCTCCAAGACAAACAGGTTGTACCTGATCACTGTAGTTTAGGGGTTTTGAGAGTTTCATCAACGCTATGTCATAATCACCAGGAGACACCATATTACCCATAAAGTACTTTGGATGAACATAAACTTTTGATGCCGTAATTTCATATTCGTGTTCATCTGTTTTGTTTAATCCATGATCAGCAACAATATAGGTATAATTTTTAACTGGGCCTGGTTCGGGTTCGAACAGAAAACAATGCGCAGCAGTCAAAACCCATTCATGGTCGATAATTGAACCGGCACATTGTTGAAGATTTTGATTATCAATAAAGTTCACAATCCACGGCCAGGAATTTCTTTTTGCTTCTGTTCCACCAATTACTCTCTTTACGCGACGATGTGCAGCACTCTGCGAGATGTTACGATGTCCACAGAGATGCGAGTCCGCTGCGGATAAAAATCAATATGGCTGAATAGCGTATTGTATATCGTATAACTACTAAAGGCCCTGTTACACGGTGCAATTTTTCCTGCAACTTGCAATGCAATTCTTCTTTTGAGAGACGTAAATTTGGCAACTACCAAACTTTTGTCTTTATTACACTCCATGGCGTATCCAAGTTACACTTACATTTTGAAGACTCTTCACTAATTTACATCTCTTAAAAGTAGAAATGTATTGCAAGTTGCAAGAAAAATTGAGCCGTGTAACAGGGCCTTAAGATATGAATTATTTACAGACGCATCATTGTTTATGCACGCATCAGATCCATTTGCCTGTTGTTACGCATTAAAATGAAATATCTTAACTAATTTGCAATTTTTTAAGGAAAGGAAGTTGGAAGAGGTGTCAGGTCCTTTTTGAAAATCAGGTAACATGAAAAAGTTTATTATTATTATATTAATATATTATAAGAGCTCAAAAATTCCAAGTCCTTAAAGTTAAGGCTCGTTCCTTTGTCACTACCCCACTTCCCGTAATCATCATTCTGCGCGAAGAAGAATGGACTCAAAATGATTTATGACATTCCCAAGCTATACCACCAGTGAACTCAAATAAGACTGGAACGCTCACTCTCTGACTTTCCCTCATTAATGAGTGAAGCCAAGATGGCGGATAATGAAGCCATTCTTGTAAATATGATCCAGGCCTCTGGCGCGGAAATTTCATTTTAAAGATAAAATCATAATTGCCGCAAAAATTGCCGCCATTTTACCTACGAAATATCTGCGTGGTGGCCTGGATCATACCTAAAAGAAAGGCTTCAGTGTCCGCCATCTTGTCTTCAAACTTCCGACAGAGTGAGCGTTCCAGTCTTATTTGAGTTCACTGGCTACCACTACCCCCCCCCCCAGGTCCGCTAATTCAAGACTGTACCCTTCGTTATGCAATAGATTGTACCCTTGAGTACCCTAGACACCCCATACCTTTGATAGACCAAACGAAGCACAGAATCCATATGAGCAAAACTCCTGTTTGGAGTTTCATGACGGTACTTCAAAGCGTATTCACTGTAAAAGTAAAGGAAAAAATATAAAACGTCTTGATGCATTGCGGCAGACAACAAATCACGTGGTTGACCTATGCGCATGATCATATAGCAATCACCTTTCGTTATAACCACATTCGAATACCATGCATGCAGACCAGCGAGTGTATTTTATGATATTCATCCACGCAAATCAGGCGTATTTATCTCAGTTATACTAGATACTTAATATTCATGACGTCTTTAAAATGTATGGCACGTATTTTTTGCGGTAATTTACCAGTTGTATATGTCATACTAACCTACACAGACGTCAAACGTTTGCAGAATTAACTCACAGGTCACATAGAGAGACTAATAATCGGAATAATAAATTACATTTTAAAAAACTTTTTCTTACAATGTTAGCATGTCTTCGCTGCATTTTGTACACCAAAAAATACTGTATAATATATTAGATATACTCATTGATGTTCGTATATGTATATACATATATAGCTACTATGGGAAATGGGAATCTTTATACTATAAATAGACGCGCCTTGAAAATATACATCTGGATTCATCGTTTGCAAAATTTTATTAATCATTGTAAATTAGCTAATATATCATATTAATATTATTGATCTATTTATTGATTAAAATGGAGGATATGAAATAAACTCATCAACTGAATCTAATTTCTGAGCAATAAATGATATGGCGGGCTGTTCAGATCTTCCTAACTTCATCAATACGCGCAGGAAACCATTATCGTTATTAATAAGTACAGACGTACCAGCTACTATATATACAGAATAACATGATCAGGGGCCGGTTGTTCGAAAGGCGTTTAGCTTAAACGGTGGATAAGTTCAAAATGGAAAGCAATATTATCTATTTATTGAACAACTAAGCTGAAATATGTCGATGTAAATAGCTTAATTGTCAATGGAAGTACATATTTATTGCATAAGATGCAGATTTATAGACATTCATAAGATGTATGAGAGAAATTTTAAACTTTGGCTTATCCATGCACCATTTAAGCTAAACCCCTTTTGAACAACCGGCCCCACGTAAATAAAATATTTACTGTTTAACTTGCCAAATTTGGTTTAAATGTGAAAGGGAGTTTTCGCTAGAGAAGGGCAAGCCAAAATTTAATTTTGCGCCTCAAAACATACTTTGGACGGTCTCCCAGCCCAAAATATGAGACAAAGATTTAAAAAAAAGTTTTTCTTAATCTCAGCTTATCTGTCGGGCAAGGCGTATTAGAAAAAAATAAAAACTACCCAAGGGCTAAGAATGCAGTTTATCATTTCATTTAATTAAAACTTCATCTGCCGGGGTCATGCATGATGTGCCCCTTTTCTGTCTCTAATAGGAAACTCAAAAAATAAACAATTTGCCAATGTGTGTCAGTGTGTACACGTTTGGGTTACAGCTTAAAGCATGAATTTGTTTTGTTTAGGGTAAAGGTTACAGCTTAGAATTATGATTATCCGCTAGTTTGTTGTAGGATTGCTTATTCACTGCATGCATGAGACTATCAATTTGCATTGCCTAATTACAACTCCAAACCATGCAAGTATACAAATGTAACAAAAAACATTAATTTACATCGTTGCCTATATAGTTGTCTATATTGGACTCTCGACAGGATTAAGCGCCTAAAATCAATGAATTGCATCAAATACACCAATAGACAATCAATACTCAGTTGAAAATATCGCCGTAACGTTTTGGGAATGCACATGCAATGACACTATACAATTCATTTCTAAAGTTATGAACCTATATAGCGAGCTCATACAGACGGGTTCAAATTTTATCTGACAATAAAAAAATCACCTAGTATAATATCTGCTTTTACAATCGTCTATGCATGGCTATGCCTCAATTGTTTCTTGGATATTTAAGTCCTATATACCAGCGCATGTCGTAGGTAAACTAGTTCCAGCTACAAAATTCAACACTGGCAGCATTACCTACCCTATTGGCAAACTAATCCGTAAACATACAAAGTCCGTAAACCAAGTCAAAATCATGATCAAAACACTTTTTAAGATTTAAGCACTTTCAACCACTTTATCACATTTGAATAATGACACGATGACTCTTATACTATAGACAAACAAATATATCGCACGATCTGCAGGCAAGCACGTTTCGCTATCGAACGGCCCATTAGCGCTCAATATTATATGTTGTATACAAACGAAACATTATCTCGCTTCTCACTAATTAAGTGTCGTGCATGCGTGCGGGGACTCAGGCATCTGCATACGAATCGAGTTTAGAAGTCTGAATATTGCAAAATGAAGCAAATATTGCAAACATATAGGAGGAGGTCCCTAGCTGGAATAACATATAAGTTTGACTGCTCCTAGATGCATTAAAAAGTGCATAGTTGGGTCACAATCATACACCTTTTGACATACCTTGGGTCTACAAAAATTTCTATTATTGGTTTTCTCGAACAAGCTGCCCCCAAAAAAGGCAAAATATCACTTAGCCGACAAGTGCTTTCCGACATGCATTAATATGTAAACTATGCTGTTCAACAGTGCATACCCATAGGTCAGGAAAGGTGATGTGAAAGCGCCATTCTGTAGTTTTTGTAAGCTTGCCAACCGTATATAAGTGATATTTGCATTCACACCCTCTGCTATACTGTCTTACTGATCTAATGATTAGATTGCGTGCCTGATGATGTTACTAATGCACGCGAGCTAGCAGGTTGAAGCAGGTGATCAATTTTTGGGCAAAAAATTTAAATTCGACCAAAAAATAGGATGCTTTTAAAATCTTATTATACAGATAGTGATTTGACATGCAGTAATCAAAGTCACATCACTCAATAAAAGAGGCATTTTGATTGGAGTTGCACGTTATAGTTTTCACTTGTCTTTCATGAAAAGTTCACTTCAATAATATGCGCCAAAAGATATCTTGTACAATACCGAACATTAGCCGCCTTAAAACCGCACTAAGGTTGTTTAAGTGATTGTACTTGTGAAATATTTGAGGCATGACATCAGTAAACAATTCAGACTGATTCTTCACTTAACCCTTATTTGTTATTGGTCGCCATTTGACTGACTTGTTTATCAAGCGATGCATGGGCCATAATAAATGTAAAGTAAAATTAAATCCTTATTTTTTTGCACTTTATTATGATTATTAAGGATCTTCAGACATCTTGTCGCAAAGATAAAACTTCTATGTAACACAGGACGTTTAGGAACTAAACTTTAGGAACTATTATTGTATACGTGATAACCGGTTGTAGAGAATGTTCGGACAATATTAAATAAACAAAAAATCTGTAATCCAAACTCCCTTATTCACAATTGAATTGCAATAAACAACGTCCAATTCCAGCCTACATCCATGATTTATGATCATGCAAGCCTGGCTACAACTGGATCATTTGCTCTTTCGCGTGAAAAAACATTAAAATGCATTTCAGTAATGAAAAAGTATATTCAAATAACACATCTAGTGTAAACGTTGTGTGTTGAAAGAGATTTCAAAAGTAAAGATAACCTGAAATCCTTGTACGATTGCACATCAATACATACGAGTTACGTGTCTTATAAATTAACAATGACATGCAGAAACAAACTTCACAAGGAAATATCGTTTAGTATATATACAATTAAAAATATATTTCACGAGGAATTGAAAACAAAATATTAACAGTACAAATCAACAAAACTGCATGTACGGTATGTATTTCAAACAGCTTTAATTAAGACTTAGAAATTCTCGTGAAATGCATCATTGGATACGTGGACACTCAGTCGAGTCCATAACGAATGAAAACGGTTTGAAATGAATATACAATACGTTGCATTGCTTACCTTAAGTTTAAACCAAAACCAAATTCAATGTTGCAAATATCTGTTCAGACCTAAAGACAAGATGTACGTAACTCATTTAAAAATTAATAACTGTATCTTCCGGCTCCCCGTAACAGTGAAATCGTATATGCAAATTGGGATTAAATAAGACGCTAAGACTTTGAAGGGGCGTCTCGCTCTATCGAACGAGTCATCTAGATACAATACCAAATCTATAAATCTTCAGTTCGTAACATCTGCAAAGGTACTAAGAAACCATGTTTCTTTCAACGATGCAACAGAATGCCAAATCATAGCAGAGTGTTAAAAGATGCATGATATTGATGTTACTTCATGAGTGTAAATGTGAAATTGTATTCAAAGATTATTTATATATAGGCTGCTGGCTGCCCACATATATGGCTTTGCCAATTTAGTACTGATAACTATTAAAATATGCATACCTAACAAAGTAAAGATTGACTTTCTTAGTTACAAATTGAAGGCACCGAAAAAGTCATCTTTTTTTGTTTAATTTCTTTTTTGCCCTAAGCGAATTCCTACTACAGTTTAGTGCAGTTGACCACTCGCTGGGCGAGACAAGCACATTTTCAATGAAATTAACATTTACGTTGGCGTATACAAAAACATCAGTAATAATAATTCCCTCGCCAAAACAAATTAAACTGTTGAAAGAAAGTTAAAACTCTAAAATATTGTAAAAATGTCTATATATATACTTGTGAAAAGAGGACGAAAGAAACGAGCATTTTGTCTCTACGATTACGAAACACTGAAGTCACTACACACAAAAACTTAGTTATATAAATTTAGCCTTGTGTTAAAAGTGGTTAGGATTTATAAGTAGGTATGTCAAAATTGTCAACATCGACTTCCGGAATCTCCACAGGTAGCAAGGGCAGAATATTTTTAACGCCATCACCATCGAAACAAGTTTACAAAAAATGCAGCAAAGGTTATATATAATCCTTCGAGGGACATTAATCCTATACATATACATACATAAGAATAATATATATTTGTGATCTGTTAGAGGGTAAATTTAACCATACTATACCATACAGGGCGAAATATTTAGGTGGGGGGAGGGTGTAAAATGTTACGAGTTTGATTTACGCTTTTTAATACGTCTCAGTTCGGAAGTGATACGTAATTCTAATTGGTAAATCGTGCTGGACTCTAAATCTCACAGATGGTTATAATTTTCCCTATAGTTAACGACCACTTTCTAAATTCTACTTATATGTCTGGGGTACTGCAGCAATGCATCGTGATTGCATTAACATTGATGATTCAACAAGCTTCAACAATATTGTTTACAATACTGTTCCCAGAGTGCAGCACAACATTGTTTACCCCTGATGCAACAACCTGATCAATTTTTAGCCGTGTATATAATATCTTTCACCCCCACCCCTAATAATACAGTAGTTTTAAAAAGAAAACGTTTTGAAATTCAAACTGAGTATAAAAAATCGCATATAGGTTGTAGTAACACATGTAAATTTCATGCATAAAAGTTTTCGTTCATCACAATATAGTTTTAGTTTTATGACTTTTGGTGTTTCATACTTTGAAGACAGCGGCAATTGCTTCACCAAAGCCAAATGTTATCATCTAGCGCAATTGCTCTCAAAACAACTTCAAAAGCAAGGATCTAAAGAAATTAGTCAGTTCAAAAATTTTCTCGCTCGGTGGCGCCTCGTAAAAGTGATCTCTTCCCCCAATCTTGAAATTCCTACGCCTCTGTATGCACGTAAGCCAAAACACTCTAAATCACTTATTCATCTACAATACTTCAAACCCCATACATGCTCTTCAACGCATCATGCATTTAAATGGTTTAACCACTATACTTGAGTTTATATGCAGCTGTACGTGAGGAATGTGCGTCATGCAGTGGAAATCGTAAAACATACACAGAATCAAACTCAATGCCTTGTTGACTTGCGTGGATAATTAATGGTCATTGGTGTGTTCTTATGCATAAAAAACACGAAAGCCCTGAATTGACTAATCATACAAATAAGTCAAATAAATCATAGGACTTATCTAGTCTGCTTTTTTTAAATATTAACATGGCTGGCAAATTTTAAATTAGAGGGCTGACGTAATTTGGTGAAGGATAATTATGGGGTAATCCATGTTGTCTCTGAGTGATTTATTAAATGTTAAACAGGAAGCTATTTCTATTTTTATAAACGCAATGATAAAATAACTGAGAACAATCTTATACGGCTTACGGTTAAGCTGCATATATAACCAGAAAATCCAAGCGCGAAGAGCACAACAGAAGCTTACATACAGAATTTGAATTAACTGGGAATAAATGCAATCATTGTTGAATTGGTTAAAATCTTTGTTTAGTGATAGTAATTTCTGTAGAATTTAGTAGTACATTATAAAATTGATGTAACATTTCTTTTCGTCGTATATAGCTGGCTTTCATACGACTTGAGTGACGTGGCCTAATTGTTTAATTGTTCGCTATAAACGTTAGTTTATATTGAAAGTTATTTAAATGGAATAAAACCCTAAAAAGAACAAACTATGAAGATTTTCCATTGCTTGTTCTCTCTCCCGATAGAGCGTTATCCGGCTTTTTGTTTCTCAAAGCAATACTTTTTACTTCATTTAGTCCCTCTTCCAACAAAACTTCCACACTTTTCTCGCCGTTTTCAACACCTTTCTCCACAACCTCCCCACCCTTTGTCAAATGTTTAACTACCAAACCTTGATACTGTGTCAACTTCACGTGATCATCAGGTGACATATGCTCTGCCAAATACGTAATGATATGTGGCACACATTTACCCGGGATGTGTATCATGCAACCAGTGTGCTGTTGAAATAGTATAACCGCTGCAAGATGTAAGCCCATCGCTGGCTCAGTTTCTTGTCTCAACTGCTCCATTAAGTTTTGACGATGTTCCGCGAGAAGACTCCTTGAAGTAAAAGATGGGAACCATATGGTTACTCAATATTTTTGTATAAAGCAAATTTGAGATTCCAGTCAAAGCTGATACTAAACACAACACCTTTCTCTCTTCTTGTCGAGTTTCTTCACAAGTATTTCACAATATCCCGGACCGCTAACCACATCAAACTGAGTTAAAAATTCTTCCAAATCCTATATTGTGGAATACGGAGATTGATTAGGGCTAGTCTAGTATCAAGCTTTCCCACTGTGTAGTTATTCCATTATGAACGGCTCATAACAGCCATAAATTCAATAAACATGTCCGTTTATAGTCAAAATAAACAGCAAAACGTCTTTATTCCAATCCGAAAGGCATGATCCGATTCAGGCTGATCCTGGGTTAGGTGTAAATTTCGCCAATAAAGAGAAAGAATTTAGACTTAGTCGAAATGGATCAGTGATGTACTTTCTTTGGTACATTTCTAAAATTTTTTGAGGCTAACCAACCCCACATGTGACAAAGTATGCACTTCCTATCGCAACGCAAATTCCATTTCAGAATTACCTTTAAAAATATGAAGTATCGGTGAAAACTTAACAAAGGAAGTATCTTTACATTTTACAATACATGTTGGCCAATAAAACTTTCAATCCATTTTAATGGTATAATAACTATAATTCACTCACTTTTCCATTTAATGATGATGTCAATTTGCCCAAAACATTTCTATTTTTCTCAGGTAACTTCGAAATTATTTTCAACCTTGTCTGAAAGAGGAAATTAAAAAATGCCGTAGTAGTACTACTGGAGACAACGATGTTCTCTAAAGTGTCATATCAATATAAATTTCTCAACTAAAACCCTAATCTATAATTGCGAATAAAAACAGAATCATCTGGCACTAAAAGGTTCAAAACGTTATGAACATGTAACACTATTGAATGAAATAAAATTATTTTCTATAAATAAACCCTATGTTTACCTCGTTTGTTAATGTGCTTGGATCAGATACTGCCATCATTTGGTCAGCGGCTAGGCAATTGATGGCTAAATTTGCCATATCAGTACACAACGTTTTGAGAAGATGACGTGAAATCATAGGTTGAACATCATCTGTAAAAGGAGAAAGCACGTTGTCTTTTCTTATATACTGTAGGTGATGAATAAGAACCAAATTTGGCTGAAAGATAACTTTCTTAACGCACCTGGTAGCTTTTCCACCCCTTTCTGAAAGAGACGAATATTTGTGTATAATCCAGTGACTTTATCTTGAAGCTCTACATGAAGTTTTCGTTTTTGATCTCCTGATGTCAGAAAGACTGTTCGAGCGACCTCTTGATACTTCCTCATTAACGGTCTGAAATGCCATCAAGTATGATATTGTAAACTGATGATTAATATCACAACAGAAGTTGGCAGAAAGTTCCTATACACAAAAAAGGCTGAGATCCGCGTACTCTTCTGTAAATGAGTATGTGATGCAAAGATTGATGATTTCTGTTAAATGACTTTCAAGAGTTTACACAACATTGTCCTTCATGCACAGTAACACAAACCGCGATTAACAAACCATACGATCATTATATGCGCAAGGAAATCACAGCAATATACAAGAAAAAGTCAATCATCGTAAAATACCTGTGTAAATACTCAGACAGCTCATCAACTAGTTCTTCAGGAGTTTCATTAAGATGTTCCGTTAGAACCGTTCCTATCTGTAAAAAAGAGGAAACAGTTAGGGTCCTGTTGCACGGTGTAACTTTTCATGCAACTTAACCCACTTTCCTCACAAGCGTTGCACAAAGTACTGTAGAAGTCAGTTTGTGCAACTCTTAATGCAACTTGTCTCGCTATGATTTGGGTCATTACAAGGCATGTAGACTGTGCAATGACTCGTGCAACTTGTCTCGCTATGATTTGGGTCATTACAAGGCATGTAGACGGTGCAATGACTCCTGCAACTTGTCTCGCAATGGCAGCGAGAAAAGCTGCATAAAAATTGTGGGACTGGACTATTGAGGTAACGATTTTTAATCGCAGTTTCAGATTGAGTTCAGGACGACGTATAATACTCTAAACTGTGTTATTCGAAATGTTATAAAAAATCTGGAGAGGAATATTGAAACAGATCGAATTACCTCTTCCTGTGTCATGAACTGCAGTTCTTGATTTGAAGGTTTTGTTTCCTCCTCCTCAGTTTGTTTTTCAGCTTTCAGTTTGCTCTTGTCTTTCTGTGCATGAAAAGATTAAAAAACACTTAATCCGTGATTTTGGTAAGATTTTGAGACTTGACCTGGATTTGCCATTCATTATCATCTATGTTTTTGACCATGAAATGTTTTAGATGTATACACTGCATGTATATTGTTTTTCGCGAGTTCATTCAGAAGACATCGCGCACGATAACAGTCCTCAAATCATATCATCCACAAAACCCCCTTACCTCACTCAACCTGCCGGATGTTACCAAGTCTATAACCTTTAATCGGTGGATATCGATAAATCTGAAGACCGTTCTTTGATTGGCATCAATGAATGAATGAATGAATGCAAGGGCTGCTTCCCACTTACGCGTTTTTCATACGCACGCACGCTCATGCACGTAAAAACTAAATCCTTACATATAGGTTTTCTTTTTAAAAACTGATTGAATAAATCGAAAGAACACAGTTTTCTGCATATTTTAGTATGTATTGTACTGTATTTGTTGCCCCAGACCTCCAAGCTCTGAAATACTTGAGATTCGTTTAATGAGAGGATATGAAACGTACCTTTTTTGTTTTGACCTCCCTCGCTCCTCTTCCACCTCCACCTTTACTTCCTCCTCCAATCGAGGCTTTCGCTCGACGCTCTTCTTTCTTGTCTTGTTTTGATGATTTGACGTCAAGATCGTGGAGGTCTTTTTTTGATAGATCAGCCAGTAATGCAGGAGAAGTAACTGCATCCTGCATAATAAACAACGTTTGCAAGATTCATGTAAAAAGCCCCGGATAAATGATGTTATTGATATAAGTAGTAAGACTGGTACTTTCCGGACATTTTCAATGCAATCGAATTTATAATAACCAACGAATCATCAGCGACCCGCTAAATCACGTTACACCACAGAGGACACAAGAAGTTTATTTTATTACTATAATATATCCATTCCATACTTCACTATGACTCCTATACGATTCAGTATATAAAACGTTAATATTACCTTTTCTGCCTTTTCCTGCATTATTTTTTCAAACGGTTTGACGCACTGTTCGATGAAGGTTTCACTTGCGACTATAGAACCACAGAAGACATGCGCAGAAGTGCGACCAGAACTGTTCAAGCATTTTTCAAGCAACTGAGCTGCATCATCTGGCAAGAATGGCGACGGAAGTACGGTCTAAAATGAAAAATACATGAAATGTCAGTGGTAGGGGTAATGAACGTCCTTTAAAAAACCTAGATTGTTACCATGACATCAAGCCAAGTCCCAGACGATAAGGCTTCATCTACAGCAGCCTCGAGGTTACCAACCACCAAAGGTCCAGCACAGCATGTCTTCAAATACACATTTGACTTGGTTTTGAAACGACGCTTTAAATATCCTTGTACGTCTGTTATGCCAAGTCTCGACAAATTATCGTATTCTATCAAAGTAAAAGTACACAATAACTGAGTTGCTGTTGGAGTTTAGTTGTCCCTTAATTGACCAATAAAATTATTCAAAAAACCCGCGACACACCGTCGTAGTAATGCATAGAGTAATGAATGACAAAACATAGTTTAAAAGACAAGACTTCTTACCAAGATAACCATTCTGTTGATAGAACGCATCAACCCAATCATTCTGGGTCTTTGAATAAATATCCGGAATAAAATTTGCTTTGTCTTGTCGACCTTGAATAGTACCGCTTAATCTGCCTTGTTTAATAAGGTCGTTGATTACCGCTAAATAGGGAAAAAAGAGTGATACAACATCTGCATCACCACTGTTCTGTGTGTCCTTGGAAGCATCATGATCTCACTGCTAGAGTCTTTTGTTAGAAACAGTATAAAGAATTCTGCTTACAAAGTTCAATTCTATCTACTTTTGAACTTTAAGAAAAGTAAAATCTTTTGGTGGCCCCTGGTACAGTACATATATACTTACTGTTAAAAAGTTTCTCCTGAAAATCATACTGAATAATGAGACTGGAAAGCGAGGTGGGCCTAGATATAATGATATAGTCTTTAATCATGTGGTACCCCGATATAACGTTTTACATGCCAAGAATTGTTAAAACACAAACCTGGTGATAGCGCTGAGAACACCACGGATTCGAGACGTATGTCTCGCAATAAATGCATCAGTAAACAGCACTCCTCTCTCAAGACGATCAAGCTTGCCATGTATTATGGAACCAAGACGGTCTTCTATGGTCTATAATTAACCAGATTATACACATACAATGTAACTGGTCATTTTTATAAACACAGCATATTTTGCATGTACATATTGTGCATTCAGGCTTGTGGTTAGGGCTTTTCAGTGTTTATGATTTGCTGTTTTTGACTTGCTTGCTTGCATAATCAGTAGGTACATGGGATAAAACATTGTTAAAAGTAATAAACAGGGAACTCCCAAACATACAGTACATTACTGTAGCATCTGACAAGAAGGTTATTCTTTACCTCAAGCATAAAATCTGTTGTAAAACCAAATGTCTTTGCTAGTTCACCTATTGACACAAGCCCAGACTCCTGGAGTTTTTCATTAATTTCTTCTGCTATGTGATCCAAATGTTGTCTAAAAAGGAAAGACATTTTTTTACTTACCCTTACTTCAATAAATGTCACCAAATATATCGAGAGCTACACATGCATACAATGTATAGGTATATTTGAAAAACACACTGGAACAATCATAATCACAGATACTACAAGCATACTTTTCAATGAGTTCTCCTTGTACTAAGACAAGACTTCGATCTGTTTTGATAAGTTCTGCAACTTTATTTTCAATGTGGCTAAGATCCACATTGATGACCTGAAGAACAATTACAAATGTTTTAATTTTATTAGCTGTAAATTAACCATATCAAATAGTATAACGGCTGCATAAGTACTGTAGATGAGCACAAATTTATCACTTTAATAGTTTTGAATATCTAAAACATGATTTTTCATAAACAACCAGGATGCAGCACAAAACTTTTCAAAATTTTGCCTTTTGTCTTTTAGAGGGAAAATTCAATGCACTATATCTGCGATGCATTGTTTTACTCTATTTTGCCTGTTCCTCTTACAAATTACCAGTCTGGGGATTTCATTGTTTAAATTACTATTGTATTTGGTCCCACTCAGAAAAATGGAAAATTTTTGTGAACTTCAAGAAGCCATAAAGATGAATCACCTGTTGTAGGTCAACAAGATTTATTCGCCCTGTAAGAAAGATAATGAATACATTTAATTAGCATTAGAGGATTGATTTGTAGCTGGATTTGGCATCTACAATATGCTATACACAATGCAGTGACTGCACCCTTGGGGAGTGGACTTGGGATGCTGTTAAAGTACAAGGCACACATAGGACCTTCTTCTTTAACAAAATTAGAGGCCTATTTAGTTTATATACTAAGTTGTCTTTAATATTTAGTTACCTCCTTCAACAAACAATTCCTCTCTAATTTCTTTTTCCAGTTCAGCAGGTGTGAGATACTCTCTACCATCTGTGGTATAGATCACCTCAATAAGCCCAAGGTTGATAAGTTTTTGAATAAGTTCCACACAATTTCTCTCGGATAACTTATGAGATGTACTACTGAGCTGTGCTCTCTGAAAGTCAGCAGCTAAACGCTTTACTTCTTCCCAATCACTCATTGTATCTACTTTTTTTATTTTGTTTTTCTTCTCTTTCTGATGATGATCACAAATCAAAACTTAGATTCCGAAATCCCAATAACACGTATATTTAATCCTGAGCCGACAGTAAAGCTTAATTTACTTCCAGCGGTGAGGCGAAATGAAGAACTTCAATGAACTTCATAAGAACTTCATAACTTGGCTTTGTCGGATACACATTGATGTTATTCAAAAAATAACGCATCAACGTAAGGATGACATCACAAGTTTAAAGTAATCGTAAAAATACCATTCATCAAAATCTGTGCGTCGTGTTCACGTGACTAGGAAATGGCGCAATATTCGCGAAAGTAGTCAGCAAAAATTTTTTGGCTTCCATTCAAAAATCTTTGTTGGCCAGTCCGTTCTTTGGGCTTTTATAAGTAATCCATAATTTTATTGCCAAAATGCCGTCCGATGCCGCTAAAAAGCGGCAAGCCAAGAAGAAATCTCAAGCACAAGCCAGGGGAAAATCTAAAAGTACGAACAATGATAAAGAAACGTCAAAAAGTGTTACAGAAATTGTTACAAATGGATCGACAAATGGCGAATCTATAGCATCGTGTACCGGCGTTTTGGCTTCACATCCGGAATCGAGGGATGTTCATATTGAAAATTTCTCTATAACTTTTCACGGAGTTGAACTCTTGGCTGATACACGTTTGGAGCTAAACTGTGGTAGAAGATATGGTTTACTTGGCTTGAATGGCTGCGGTATATATCAATTATATTTATTTTGTTTTCAATTTGAAACATTTTTCGGATACATGTTCATAAGTTAAAAAAAACTTTTCTTTAACTGACTGAGATGAACTACTTTACGATCTCTACAGTATAGAGGGATGAAAAATGTTTGAGAATACAATTTATTAAATCTATTGCTTTATGTACGAAATATAATATTTCTATTCTATCAGGAAAGTCGACGTTAATGAATGTGATTGCAAATCGGGAGATTCCTGTACCAGCACATATAGATATATTTCATCTATCAAATGAAATGCCTGCCAGTGAAAAGACTGCATTAGAATGCGTTGTTGAAGTTAATGAGGAAAGAGCTCGTCTTGAACATGAGGCTGAAATGCTAACAAGTGAGGGTGATCAAGGAAGTGAGAGGTATAGTACCACAGCACAACCACAGCACTACTTTACCACTCATATCAGATCTTCCGCTTGTCAAGGAATATCATGTGCAACCTGGCCAAGAGTCCTTCATTATGAAACCTAAGTGCATGTTTACTGTTCTTACCTTGAAATGTATTTCAACAGTGACAAATCTCAGTGTGTCTTTCTGTTGTAGTAAATTGATTAGTGTGTGTTAAACTAGTGTTCATTTACTTCTAATCTTTTAAAGGTTGATGTATGTCTATGAACGTCTTGAAGAACTTGATGTTGATAAAGCTGTAGCACAGGCTGCTCGTATTCTTCATGGCCTTGGCTTTACTGCAGCAATGCAAAGAACAAAGACAAAAGATTTTTCTGGTGGTTGGAGGATGAGAATTGCTTTAGCTAGGGCCCTCTTTGTTAGACCTACATTGCTATTACTTGATGAACCCACCAATCATTTAGATTTAGATGCTTGTGTATGGCTTGAAGAAGAGCTAAAACAGTGAGTATATTCACTATATTGAAAGTGTAACTCAATAACCATAACCTGTTTGAGGTACCAAATGATGTAGCACAATCCTTTTACATGTCTGAAATCAATATTAATGTTCAAATTTTTAGATACAAAAGAATTTTAGTCATAGTATCACATTCACAAGACTTTCTAAATGGTGTTTGCACAAATATTATACATATGCAAGAAAAAGCTCTTAAATATTACGGGGTATGTTCATTCATCAATACTTTGTATCTTGAAAGCACAAAACATTTGAACAAGCAATTGGATATCATTTTCATATCATTTTTAAACATTTTGCTTTTAGGGTAATTTTGACAGTTATGTTAAAACAAGAGCAGAACTGGAAGAAAATCAAATGAAACAATATAACTGGGAACAAGACCAAATGAAACACATGAAGGTCAGATTAGCTTTAATCATTAGTGTATTATCTTTATCATTGTCTCTTTTTAATATGTTGTGCTCCAGTGTCCATGCAAAGATGTATGTGTTGTGTTTAGTTTTTCCTTTGTAATCTTTTTCTTTTTTGATTAGGATTACATTGCCAGATTTGGTCATGGCAGTGCTAAACTAGCAAGACAAGCTCAGAGTAAGGAGAAAGTTTTGGCTAAGATGGTTGCAGGTGGTCTAACAGAAAAAGTTAAAAAGGATAAGGTAATGACCTATGCTCATCTAATCCTTGCTCCTAATCATCCAATCCTTGCACCTAATCATATTTGTGTGTGAAAATCATATATATTTTGTCTTTCCAGGTTATTGCATTTAGTTTTCCAAGTTGCGAAAAACTACATCCACCTGTTATTCAAGTACAACATGTGTCTTTTAAATATTTAAAAGATAAGGTGAGATCATTATTGAAGTCCTAGTATTCTCCTCCTTCCTTCTCCAAGAAATCAGCATTCAATATGTATTATCTATTTCTGTTGCAAATATAGCCATATCTGTATAAAGACCTGGATTTTGGTATTGACTTGGACACAAGATTGGCTTTAGTTGGACCTAATGGTGCTGGGAAAAGTACGTTACTAAAACTTCTTGATGGTTCACTAACACCAAGTGATGGTCTTATACGAAGACATAACCATCTCAAGATTGGACGTTATCATCAGGTATCAAATTACCTCATTATTTTAACACTGTTACGCGTTATGTACAGTATTGACACTACCTACGATACCGTACGTATAACTTCCTTTATAACCGTGTAGTAAAATGCGGTATGCAGTGCTGTATTAGCCATATATTATAATAATGTTTATTTACCGTGTTGTTTTGAATAGCATCTACAAGATATGCTCGATTTGGAGATGTCTGCTGTTGCTTGGATGATGCAGTGTTTCCCAGAGGTGAAGGAGATTGATGATATGAGAAAGTCTATTGGTAGATATGGTTTGAGCGGTAAACAACAGGTAAGTCGAATCACAGTATTAACTGTGATCGAATTCGTCATTCGTTCGTGCTTTAGTCCGATATCCATCATGACTGAAGAATACCAGTCCAGAGTAATAGGATTTACGTTATTATTGTATAGATGTGTCCTATGAAGAACTTATCAGATGGTCAACGTTGTCGTGTTGTTTTTGCATGGTTGGCATTTCAAGGTCCACATCTTCTGTTACTTGATGAACCTACTAATCATTTGGATATTGAAACAATCGATGCCCTAGCTGATGCACTCAATGATTTTGATGGAGGAATGCTGTTGGTTAGCCACGATTTTCGGCTCATAAGTCAGGCATGTTGATCTACATTGTTCCACATTTTTTTGGTTTTTCTTTGCCCCGAACATATACTAAAATGAATGCATGTACACGCGTACGATACTTCCTAATGTTTCATTTGTCATTACCTTGTCAATAGGTCGCTAAAGAAATATGGGTGTGCGAGAATAAAGCTGTGACTAAGTGGGATGGTGATATCATTTCTTATAAACGGACTTTAAAGAAGAAAGTACAAAAATATGTTGTTGAATAAATAAACCTTTGGCTCTCGGTAGTAAAGGCTTCTAATCGAAGAAGAAATTGTAGTGAAACTGTCGTGAAAACTCCATATATTGTATTGTAGGTAACATTCTGTTGTATAAAAATATTTCTGTAAATTATTTTGTACAGTAAGAATTTATCAATTTGCTAAAGTATTTTGAACAGTATAAGTAATGAATGATATGAATGAATGGAATGAATGTATTTTGTATAAAGTGCATTCAAGATTTTGAAATTTAGAATAAGGTACGAGTACTTGACCTATCCATATAAATACATGAAAACATGTACTTCTCGGCGTTTTATTCATACAAACTCTGCTTGCGGAGGCCTCTATTAGGTGAATGCTAAGTGTCGAAAAGTGTTTTGTCTACTTTAGTAGTTGTTCCTAGAAGTGCTGCTCCTTGATTATATTGGAATACAAAGGCATGGCGATGGTGTATACAGCAAAATTGATGATTATATATATCCTAGCATTTAGATAGTAAAGAGAAAAAAAATTGTGAAAGGCAAAATTTATGAATGTGTTACACGTCAAAAAATGAACCCCGCTGCTGCAGCTTAAAAACAAACTGCTGAAAACACTACGAATAGGGGTATGATGAAATTTCTACTAATGATGACACCGCGCTGAATCAACCCTCATAGTCAGGGCGCTTATAAGCGCCCTGCTCATAGTCGGTCTATGCTGTATTGAATGTACATGCAGTTGCATTAAAATAGGTTTGCGCTGAATCAACCCTCATAGTCAGGGCGCTTATAAGCGCCCTGCTCATAGTCGGTCTATGCTGTATTGAATGTACATGCAGTTGCATTAAAATAGGTTTGCCTTCTTCAAAACAAAACATTGCTGATAATATCTTTTTATACGTTATATGAATGAGCACAAAATATCTAAGTGGAAAATATGCATGCCGATCATCATCATATCATCATCGGATCAACACGTCACATGGAAAATTTCACGACATCTTCGTGTACAGTTAGCTCCCAGTCTTTAAATTGTCCCGACGTGTGAATATCCTCAACTACCGAATCCTTGAAGAAAGCCTGAACATAGACCTCAATAATCCAACTGTAGAATCCGTCCTCGTCATCAGGAAAAGCGGTGCGGTCCAATTCATAAATACAATAACTTTGAAATCCCCGCAATAAACACAAAGTTTCCGCTTTATTCATTATTTCTTCCAAAGATAACGATTGTGTCGTCATTATGTAAGCTTTAATTTCGTCTTCCACTATTGTCTCGTGTCTGCCTACATCGATATTTTCATCAGCTCTCTTGCATGATTTCACTCGGAAACAACCAACCTGATCAGAAATATTTAATCAGTACCAATTTAGTGGTACGTGCTAATTCAAATGGCAAATTCCAGGTATGTATACTTGATGGCCACGGCACTTCTTCAGGTCCTAGTTACACGGTACCGGATTACATTTTGTAGCGGATATTTATTTGGTTAATCTGATATGCTATGCAATAGGAAAATATACAGCAAAACAAAGAATTGTGTACCTGTGTTATAGAAATGGCAACCCTATTTAACGATACTGCCTGGAGAAGACCATTTGGAAAAGCGGCTCTGATAGCATTTAAGGCATCCCACCATGTCTTCGTTATTAAAACAAAATCACACGAGTCATCTTTCGCATTGACTTTCTGTGATAAAACAACTGAATTAATACCGCGGGCATGCAGCGCTTTGGCTAACGGAATCCATGTTTCTTGAAACAATTCTTCGCCGATTGCAATTTTTGTCTTAAAACCGATAAACTGCACCCATTGATCCGTTTTCAGTTCGCCCATTGGTCGTTAGGCAAGAAAGCGCATGATTCGAATAGCAGCAACATTTCATGACGTCAGTAATTACGTATTGCGCGCGCACCTCGGAAAATTGTCTCCGACTGATAAAAATATTCAGAAGTCCGAATGCAAACATACTATATACAAAAGGGTATACAAAGAGACATAACTATTGTATAGTTGTATAATATAGTATTGATATTAGAATCTATCTCTGAATATTTTTTATGACATTAGTAGCGTGGTTGTCATGGCTCACCGGTGGATAGTGACAAACAGCCAGTAAGCCATCAAATATTATCGCAATTAAATCAGAAAGATACTACAGACATGGATTCAAAGACAAAGTCACTGTCTATTTTTAAAACAGTTATCCCACGTTCACCGTTCCAAGAAGAGTGCAAAGCCTTTACATCGATATCTTCCCCAGTTTTCTCAAATAGTTTTCCAAGAATTTTGGCAGGGCTCGATGAGATTGGGAACAAGTTAAGTTTATCAACGAGAGGAACAGGAGAGGAAAATGGTAAGTCATCAACTTGAAGAAGCGTTGGAGTACCAGGACCAAATATTGTCCCCGTTAGAGTGACGTGGCTATCGTCAGAATATTCTAACTTCAGGGAAACTGCTTGATCACATGTGACACCAACTGGTTTATTTTCATGCTGCTTTTCAACCTGGAATGAACATCCATGATAAGTTGTTGAAGAGACTTCGTACCGTGTGGGTATCTTACTGCTTACTGATACCCGATAGCAACATACGTCATTACCTGCAGTCCCATTTCCTTTGCGAAATATTCTCCATTAATTAGATTCAGCGTATTGGATGTCTGAGTCATATCAGGAATTAATCCCATTAACACACTCGGAGCAACATATGACGCTGCTTTTTCGAGGCCAGCTCCAAACGTCGTGACAATCACCTTCCGTATTTCCTTTGTCTTATTCAAACCCAAAGCAACTTTGGCTAGACCTGTGCCAAGCTTCAACCAAGGACCTGTTTCTGGCTGTAGGGCACCTTGCAATGATGCAGCATTAATCTAAAAATAATTTGTGATCCTGAGGACGGGAGGGCATGGTAATATAGCTTGACTACGCCTATGTTCTCGTGACTGCTACTCATTTTTGTTGATGAGCGTGTCCGTTGTTATACTTGCAATTTACTGTAGTCTATATATAGCTGTAGATAATTGTTTACCCCAAGCAAGTGCATGTCGTGTTCAGCTAGTTCTTTCTTACTACACAAATATAACTAGATAAAATCATGGAAACACAACAAATATTTTTAACTGCGAGGATTTTCTACTGCACTATACCTCACCAACCATTCTCGATATACAATACTATAAGCGTTGTACCATACCACATCACAATTGTCTTTTAATTTTGCTTTGCTATCCATCGTTATCTTATCTGTCTGACAGTGAGCCGTCAACAAAAACTACTGTTGTGATAACTTACGGCTCCGAATAAAGATTCTCCTTTTGTAGCCTTCAATATTTGCTCGGCGATTTCTTTAGCCACCCTCTTTTGAGCCTCAACTGTACTTGCCCCGAGATGAGGGCAACTGATAACATTTGCATGCTGAACAACCTTCTCTGATATACCTATATAACAGCGATGTAGATTGGTCCTGGAAATCTTTCGAAAAGGGGAAGATTGGAAAGTGATGTAGTGGTAATTATAATAAATTATTGAAAGCGCAACCATAGCACACTACTGTTGGCTTCCCAAAAGCGATCGTAAGGGCAATCTCGTACCCAGGGTCTTCGTACGTCCAGAAATTATTATCGAATCTGAAGTACCTGTAGGAGGCTCGGTTACAAAGACATCTAAGCCGGCTCCAGCACACTGACCACTTTCAAGAGCGGTCAACAAACATTCCTCATCTATGATTCCTCCACGAGCACAGTTAATAACACGAACACCTTTCTTACACATGGCAAATGTTTTGTCATTTAACAGACCTAAAAAATACGTACAACCCATATCACAGAATTGCCACTACTAATCCACTGAAGGTAAAAGTTGTCACCTTTAGTTTGCGGTATAAGTGGAGTGTGCACTGTCACGTAGTCCACTAGAGGCCATAGTTTCTCCAACTCCATCCATTCTACATTAAATTCAGCCGCCATTTCTGCTGACACCAAAGGATCGTAACCAATGGTCTAAATAATGGAAAGGAATATTATTTCACCATTTTCATTCTGATCCAGGCTTGACATTACTTATGCCAAGTGTACCAATAGAATTGTATCCAACATGCGTTCTTTTCGCAAATGGAAAAAGATTCATAATTCATTTTATACCGATTAAGCCCTACTTCAAATTTACAAAAACGCGCATACTGAATGTTTACAACACTGTGCGATTAAAACCTAAACATCCATATATCCCCACTACGCAAGAAAATTTATCATTGCTTGGGCAATTCGTCCTTACCGTCATTCCAAATGATTGCATTCTTGTCGCAACTTCCATTCCAATTCTTCCAAGACCTACAATTCCCAGCGTCTTTCCAAACAATTCGTTTCCCATAAACTAAATAAAGTTTTCCAAAAACTCAGAATAATCAAAGGAAGGTTGTATTGCACGGTAACCAGTACCAGTATAACACGAGAGAACTGTCTTTATTTTTACTTCAACACTTCATATCTATTTCTTCACCTCGTTTGAGATTCCTATAAACTCATTATTGAAAAAACATTACAATTTGTAACATTTTAAAGAAGTTCACTATTATACCTTCTTGCGATCCCATCTTCCTTCGCGCATCGATGCTGCTGCTTGGGGTATATTTCTGGAAAACAATACCCAAGAAATCTCCATCAGCATATGTAGTCATGTTTTTCCTTATGGTTGCCACTATGCTCGCACCTTTTAAAGGGTCGAGTGGCTTGTTGTAGGAAATATAGCGCTGTAAAAATACTTAACCAACCTTGCTAATGATACAATCAGGGCACACGTATGTTCAGCTGCACTCAAGGTGTTTCCACTTGGCGTGCTAAATTAAAACATACAAAGAGTTGAAATCCTAAAAGTAGTCTGGGCACAGACCGGCTGTATCGGAAAGGGGCTAATAAGATTCATAATATAAGAAGTGATTATATTAAGAAGTGCCTAGTGATTCAAAGTATAGTGATTTACTTCATGACAATGACTCCATGACGTGTTGCTGACTTGATATCAATATTATCAACCCCAGTTCCAGCACGACCAACAAGTTTCAATCTTTTGCCAGCTTCAAGAACCTCATCTGTAACTTTTGTGGCTGAGCGGACAATCAATGCATCGTAATTCTGAAACACAATTTAAATAACGTTGTAAATAAACCCGTCATTCGGCGTCAATCTAAATGAGATGAGAGGAAAAGCGTGATAAATACGTCATTTACTCTTCCTCACTTCTCTGCTAGTCTGCTTTTTCCGAAGCCTCACAACTTGTAGATTTGAGGATGGTGTAAAATCGTCTCCTCTCTTTTGGTAAATTTAAAATAGATGCATGTTTCCTCAAACTCACAAAACGAGTCTCGTGTACAATGGGAATGGGCTACTACGCAGGGTATGGGCTACTACGCAGTGCATGCGGTGTGGAGGAGGCAATTTAACCGAGAATACCAGAATGATAACTGTCAAAAACTTTATTGTGTGCAAGCTGTTAAGGACAGGCCATTTGCAATAGAAAATTCTATCTGCCCTCAAAGATTTTATGTGATTAGAAATAACAGCCAAAACTAAAAAACTGTAATAGAAAGTGCACTTACAAAAGAAATCCGTTGGGCAGAACTGAATATATGAATAAACACCCCCCCAATTATCGTTCTAGTTACGGCTCTGAGTAGAAGTATATGAACACAAAAGCAATTATTTTACCAGTAATGAAAGCATATACAACAGGTTAAACGCATGCTTGTGGTTGCATTAATCTCAGCAACCTTAGTAATCTCATTTATTAAAGTAAACTCATGTTCCACTGGTCAGAATCTTGTGCACAGAGCAGAATTTTTTTCATGTCTTTAAAATTTATTTTGGATGCACATTTACACAACGAGGAGATATTGCAGTTAATGTTACCAATTGGAAGATATATATATAACCCTGGCAGGCGATGCAAAATGTCAAATAAGGCAAATGTAAAAACCCAAAATTGCTCATCAAATATTGTGTTTGCTCATCACATATTGCAGCCTAATTGGGCACCACTATATATCAGTTTATCGGTATAAATCAGTTAGTTTTACATCATTCATATATGACTTATAAACAAAAGAAAAGCATGTACCAAAACATTTTCTTTAAAAATTCTCACTTAAAAGTTCACTTGGCCATTTTTCACTTGAGAGCTTTAATTATCATTGGTGGAGTTATGGGTGGGTGAAATTATGGGTACCATGACAATCATTTAAACCATAATTTAGGAACCATTTACATATGTTGTATTATAAAATGGAACAAAAATTGTGAAGAACCCCTAGTTGCTTTAGAGCTGGCACTGAAAATTTAGAAATTTCAGAAAATTTCATCCACAAACATGGAACACCAATGTTCATTCACAGTTAACTCTGTTCAATTGATATTTTAAAGCACAATTTACAGCCTCTGATGGCTGATACCATAATCACCAACATATTTATGACATTCATAAGGAGATGCTTATGCAAAAATTATGATACCCTTAGCATTCTGTGAATGTGTGACAACTTACATCACCAATGTTCAGTCTTTTTCAAGACTAGACATTGACCTATACAAATATAAAAAGGTTCAACTTTGACAGAGCCATCTATTCAATATGAAAGCCCCTTGTTGGCCAGTAAAAATTTTAGCTCCCCATGATAAAAAATCAAATTGCTGACACCAAATACGATTTGGAAATTTCGTTTACCCTCTAGACAGATTGCAGAGATCAAAAGATGCAGACACCTCATAAACAAACTTGGGACCCTACATTAGATGGCCTCCATATACCTAACCTCTCCACCGCGTGCGTTGAACAATATACCTAGTTTTAAACTATAATAAACCTTTGAATATATAAATGACCTACTTCAACAAACGATTTTACTTACAGGAATTTCAGCCAACAGTTCTTCTTTAGTTAACTTCGTTTCAGTCTTGACTACAATACCACCCTTTGTTAAAATTTCAGGGCAGCAATTGTCTAAGTTATCACTAATCAGAACTTTCTCGATTTTCAGTTGAAAAGCCATGTATCAGTCTATGATTCGGAAACTTTAAAGGTTAACTAAAATAGCGTGGACAAGAAGTTAGGCAAATATTTTGATAACATTTGAAAGACACCTGAATAAACTGGCATAAACAATATTCTCTTTTTATTAATGTATGTACACGTGTTTTATATGCGCGCGCAAACCCGCGTTTTTTTAAATACAGGCATTTAATATTGCATGATTTGAATCAGCCATTGTAATCGTTTTGAGATTCTTGTTCATTTACATATCGTATATCGGTATGTCCTACGTTTTTAAGGACTATTTACACGATCCGATTTTGTCGGATTTACTTTTGACGTATATAGACTGTGGGAATGTACCCAGTATATTCACCAAGTTATTGATACTAGACAAAAAAACATCCTTCACAAGCAGCCCTGGAGGGTCAAGTGATCCCGACAAGCTAATTCATGTGATCCGTAGTCAACCAACCTAGAACTTGACTAATCTATGAGGCTACGGTATGAGCTACTTTATCTAACTGTTTATCTACATGAGGTGAGATATGACCAAAAAAGCCGCCAAGTAACGTGTCTGATTTAAACGAGCAATCTTCTCAGTTCTCATACAGATGCTCCACCACCATGATAGAGCCACCACATTGTCACAACAAACAGAGATAGTCTGTATTGGGACACGCTTAGCCTCTTAACGGTCCTGTATCCGACTCCAAGAACAGACGCAATCAAAACCTCAATTTCCATAGTTATGATCTTTATACAATTTGGATAAGAAAAAATCGATTAGGGAGAAATATGTTGGTTCAACCTCCATCGCAGCTAGGTTTGTCACTATTACATCCATACTCCATATCATGACCATATGGTTATGCCAACGCCCTCCTGATCTTTCTATTGAGGGCCGAGTTCCCTTCGCTACCCTGTAGGCCACAGCTGGATATACGGGAAATTACGTATACTATATGCCTATATTAATCTCTAATCTTTGACAAACACTTTTGTCTGTCCTGCGAGGAACAAGGTGTTGAAATGGAGGACACATATGATGTTATAATAGTCGGTGCAGGAGCTGCTGGGTTAACAGCAGCATACGAACTTACCAAAAACAAACCTGAGTGCAAGATTATCGTGCTGGAAGCAAGAGGTAGATCATTATGTCGCCTTTATATTCATCCGCTGTTTTGATGCTTTATACATCGGAGCGGTAGCGGTTCAGGTCGGACCTCGGTGATCAAAATCTGCGCAAGGTCGCCCATTGAGGTTTTGACCGACTGCATTTAACGATACAAATTTGAGCAAAACAAATGTAGCTGTTTAAATTGTATTTCTCTTGCGAGCCACTTTTTTACAAAAATCGGAATTTGATGCAGTTCCAGATTGTCCGGCTAGACTGACCATATTTATATGAATATGAATGTAGTATGTTTACTATGTTAGGTCGTTCCTCGGGAAACAAAAAACAACACATCAGTTCGCAGCTTTTATAACACTATAAACTATTTTATTATAAGTTATTGTCCTGGCAAAGAAATTTTTGATTTGCTTGATTGAATACTCAAAATGTCTGTGTTCGGTAATTTATGTTTATATGCGAGTACAGCTTGTAGGCCAACAACGCACTTGATCGATCAATCTTAGCGTGTATGCCAGCCTGACAATACGTTTAAATACAAATTCAGAACAAGAAACAATACCGGAGATTTACAATAAGTACTAAACTGTATATGTTTTTTTACGGTAAATCAGTAATCTCTATGTGGTCGCTTTAAATTTTTATCAATAACGTTAAATTTTGGCAATATTTACTTTGAGCATCTGTCTTCTAGTACACGTAGTTTAATTAGAAAATATTATATTTCAATTTAATATGCGCATATAGTATTAGTTGTGCGCGCTAAAAGTAGACCTTATATTATGACCTTTACCAATATTATTTATTAAATTACTAAGACTTGGAAAGTCTTGATCATCTTGGAATTACCAAATGAACAAAAGTTCTGGCAAAGCATGATGGTCTCCATCACTGAGTAGCCAGAATGAGAACTTAGTCCTGGTATGCCAATTTCAACTCATAATTTTTCATTTCTTTAGAAATTCATTGTTTTCACAGTCATTGAAAACCATAATATTAACATAGCAGGACTAAATTGTCAGGCTGGCCCCCTAGCAGGTCTCAGTGTTTAGATACAATGCCATTTTAAATCATAATGGTATCAAGGACCATTCAATTTATGGTGTGAAAGTGATGTCAGACAGGATGGTTTTCTGATAATCAGAGTGTAGTATAGGATACCATGATAGGGATGCTTGGCCAGAATATTTATTTGGAAGACTGTTAACAGTGTTACATATGACATAAATCATAAAAATCGGTGTCACATACACAATGTTACACTGTGTTCATAGGTGTCACATTATACAATTAAGTGTTATTTGGTTCTAATACTGTTATTTATCTTCAGTACATAGAAAATTTTATCTCCCCAAATAATCCATTATATGCATTATTTCAACAAGGAATGGGGAGTTCCCACCTCTTATCCTAGAACCACCTTAGTCTCTGTTGATCCAGATCAGGCCTATTTTATGAGAGAGAAGAGTAGGGTGTAATCTTCTGCAATGTTATTTTCAGAATTTCAGAATTTGAGTGAGATGATAAATAAAATTTTTATGCATATATAGTAAAAAAATGTTCTAATATTCCTGTCTAAATACTATTAAACTCAAACACAGATATGCAAAATTCGCGTGTACTGTGATGCACTTTCCTTTCTGAGCTTAGCTTTCTCATTGTGATTAAAATTGTTTCTGTATGTGTTTCACTGTTTAGATAGAATTGGAGGGCGCCTATTGTCAGTCTCTCTTAATGTAAAAAATGGTGGTAAAGAAAATTTTGACTTGGGAGGCCAGTGGGTGTGTAGGTAATATATATTTGGTATTAATGTTTTTCGATCATGACAAAAAAATATATGCTGTAAAATATAGTTTTGTAGTTGTTCGATGTGTACGGAGATATACGCTTAAACATTGATCATAACGAACTTTTACTCGGCCCTCTTGAAACCTTTAACTTTTTTTATGAATCTGTTTCGCTTGTGGATGGCAGCTCTCAGAAGAACATCGGTAAATTAATTGAAACATTCAAGTTAGAAACGTATGATCAATATACAAAAGGAAGTAAACTGATGGAACTAAGTCTGGGAGAAGTAACGAGTCACACAGATCAAATTTCCTCCATCGGTTTCTTCTCTTCAATTGAGATGTTTCTTGCGCTAAAGAAGGTAATTAGCAAGTTAAAGTAACAATATAGCTCCATAGTAAAACACGATTACACATGTGCTGTACAAAACAGTACAATTTCCTAGCCAAGCCAGACGTTGGTCCCTTAAACTAAGAATTTTAGATTACTCTCCAATCTCTTCTACAAGTAAACCAGCCCTTCATGAGCTCATAGTTCTTACTCGTGCCTTTATATGCCTCGATGACTCCGAGCATTGCGAAGAAACGAAGAATCTTGATTCCTTGTATCACGTTTTCGCCCGTGCATCAAAATTCAATGAAGGGGCTCTTCTTACAACCCGCATAAAGTCCTGATGAAGTGAAATATAAATGTTCATCTTCCGAACAAATTACGACTGTCATTTTTTTCCCACAGGACATATGTTTTAGTCGTTATTCTTATACAATACTGGCTTTCAGCATTTTCTTTAACTTTATCCTTCGATTTTTGATATTCGTTGTCTTATCGAATTTCTCTTTTTTTTGCAATTGAGCAAAGATCTTATTCTATGCGAGACATGCATGACCCTTGGTAAAAGGTAGTACTAATAGGCAATGAACTGCGCCTGCATGGCAAACGTTATGATTATTGTAGATCGATAACATGTGCAAAGAAGTACCTTTGACATCGCCAGAAAAATCTCCACATGCGAAACAGTGGGATGGAACGACAGTAGAGACATTTAAAAATGAAACTCTCTGGACAAATAGTAAGTAGCTGCTATATAGGACTTGATAAGAAGCTGTATTCAAAACGAACAATTTATCAACGTCGGCAATATTTTATAACTGACTGAGTATGTCCCCACTCAGTCGAAACCCGAATGTTTTTTAGATGCTAAAAGAGCGTTCGATGTGGCAGTCAGCAATATTTTCGGTTTGTCTTCATCTCAAATATCCTTGCTCTACTTTCTCCATTATTGCAACTCTGCTGGGGGCATTGCAAAACTGATAGATGCCGAAAATGGTGGTGCACAAGCGACGAAAGTTAAGGTACATCAAGCAATGAAGGCACCTCAAGGTTATACACACTCGCGCAGTCACTTTGCAACTGCATATTGAACACTCAACAACGAGAACGTTTTTACCAACCAACTTAAATATAAGTTTTTAAATTTTTTTGCCCAAGGTATGTTGGGAAAATATCCAAGCCTGGATTTTGGAACCTTGGCTGTCAGAATTTTTTAGTCTCTGGAGCGAATCGTCAAGCTCCTTTTTTTTTGAAAAATTTTATTTTGTGTTTTCACAGTACAATTTTATAATTTTGCAAGTCTTCATTTGTTAAGGGTGGCCTGCATCAAGTCTGTTGCTTGTTGAAAGATGCAATTGGGGAGGAGAAAGTTTTACTCGGCCATGCTATTACGAAAATATACCAGGTGGGCATTAGGTATACATATAAAGTAAAGCCAACTTCCTGCAAGACCTATTAAAGCTTTATAAATATAATTATCTTCTGGCTGAGGATATATGCAGCCACAAAAACACAATTTAAGGAAAGTGTGAATGAGGAACAGTTAAAAATCCTTTCACGTTTCCCTACCTACAGAGTACTAATAACAACCATACGAATTTTGACTGTTGTGAAGAAGAGTAGGCTGGCACGGTGATTACTCCCGGGCCAGGCAGGCTGTTTCAACCATCTTTGAGATTTGATTTTTTTCTCGCTTAGGTCAACCTGTAGCGCTTAGCTTATAAACGATTATAGCTTGTAAACGTATAAACGAAATGATGTGATTTTAGGATGACAACATTGTAAGGATTACAACATCAAATGGAAAATCTTTTGAATCAAAATATTGTATCTTAGCCATCCCACCAAAACTTGTAGGTATGAACTAAGATAACCATTTTGCAATCAATCGTTGATCGTATATGAATATATATTAAGCTTATCTTTCCAGCTTCAGGCTTTTCAAATCTGTTCATTTTGACTGACTTTTGCGGTCTGTGAAAATGATCGAAAATATGTTTTCCAGGAAAAATCGAATTTACTCCTGAACTTCCGTACGAACGTCGCATACTAATGAGGCAAATAGTAATGGGGTGCTATACGAAGTTTTTAGCAACATACGAAACATCATTTTGGCGAGAGTCTGGTTTGTCTGGTCAGTTGACACGTTTCACAGATAATAAGGAGTCCGTCATCTCGTCCCCAGTCAGTTTGGTCATGGATGCTGTGACAAAGGAAAACAATGCTGCCCTAGTTGGCTTTTTTACAGGATTCGGTGCAAGTCATTGGGCATCAAAATCAGTATGTTTAATATGTGCTTCTACCTTAGGATAGCTAGGCGTCACTAGACGTCATAAGACATGTCTGCCTCAGTTATTCCTCCTGAGGAGGTTGTCGTGTTGGAGAGATTTCGTGAATTAAAAAAGTTTGCTGTCCGTGTTCTTTTAGAAATTAAAAAATTATTTGAGAGTGCGTGCTTCGGAGGTGACTACAGTATACTGAACCTGTCATATCAGCTGATTTAAGTCATTTTTGATAGGATGATGAGAAGAAGCTGGCAGTCATTGAAACATTGAAAAGCTTTTTCGGAAGCAAAGCAGGAAAACCGTTGGACTTTGCTATAAAGGTACGCCAGGTGTTGAGCGGGATCGTGTTAACCTAGTTACCTAAACAAAGGTTCCTTTTGTGCCTGTGTAACATACATATTGATATAGTAGTTACCGAGTTTAAAGGATATGGACTATATGTTAATGATTTTAGTGAAATACTTTTCTGTTTGAAGGACTGGTGTCAAGACGAGTGGAGTGGTGGGTGCCCGGTGGGAATAATGACCCCAGGAGGTATCACACAGTTTGGGGATGTTTTGAGAAAACCTTGTAAACGGCAAGTGCAGAGTTTCATTTTATTCTTACAACAACGATAAATACTGTAAGGAAATTATTCTGCCTATTGAGGGGGACATTAAATCTATATCTATATAATCTCTAACCCCCTCTCCCCTCCCCTCCACGCGATAGGAATTTATCCAGCATGCCGTATGAACGTCTTTCTATATTTTAACAGGATACATTGGGCAGGAACGGAAATGGGTTCAGTATGGCGTGGTTATGTTGATGGTGCTGTGGAATCTGGTATTAGAACTGCCCAGGAAATAGCAAAGAAACTGTGAACGTTATCAGGGAAAATAATTCTAGGCTAAAATATTTGTTTAAACAGCTCATCTAGTTGTAGATGGAATATTATTTGAAATATCGCTCTCAATAAATGTGCTAATGTTATACATATTACTAACAGCGCAATGGATCTTGGTAGTTATTTAGCGTGTTATTTAGCTGTATTTGAATGATTAACAGAATTATGCTCCATATAGAACATGATGTAGTTATTTAAATTTTTTGGTATACGTCAGAAAAGCATTGAATTGATGTAAATATGAATCTTGTGATTAAGAAAGAAATAATAAATTTATCTCACTTTTCATTTTTAACCGTTTATCAATAAATTTATCTCACTTTTCATTTTTAACCGTATATCAATGTAATATTGTTGTTTTAGTTCTACATTTCAGGTCCTCCTAAAATCCATCCTAATTAGAAAACCATTCCCCGTCACATCACGCGGGACAATATTTGTAACTAAAATATTATAAGATCATGCTAATTCAACTAAATATCATCATTTTAGTAAATGGAGAGTGACTTACCTAAAATATAATCCCAACAATTGAAAAAACCTATCTATTTTCTTACTTTAACTTTCATTCTTTATCTCTTCATACCCTGCAGAATCATTTTGCTCTTTATTTCTTCCAGTTTTGTTCATTGCATTTGAAATACAACCCTTTGTTTTCTTCGCAGAAAAGATACAGCCATCCTAGTGAAAGCAAGAATGCTCATGCATTTACTGAATAATCTTGACAAATAATCTTGACGCACTTGTTTCAGTCCATACAAAATTATACCTTGATCAATCCAACCATTTTCGCCCAGAATTCATAATTAGGAATCCTATCTTTTCCTTGGGCGCCTCGTCTATATTTATATGTTATCCCAATTCCAAGGTAAAGGACAAGAACCGTGAAAAATCTAGAAAATATGCGTAATTGATTCACTATGCGACTACTTCATACCCTTTGTATAATGGTTAAATTTCAAGGAAAACTGAACACTTATTAAGATAAGAAAGCCATGCCAAGATATATTACATGCCACCACGCACGGCCACTGACATGCATGATTGAAGCATTGAAAATCTCTGAAGTGGATTTTCATTGTGCCAACGTTTTTCATAATATATTCATAGTGCATGTTGGTTTTTAAACAACTAGAAAAATAGATCGAGAGTTTATTGTGTTTGGACAGCTATGAGAAAATGTGTTTGCTAAATCCACATCTTATCCATGTAAGTTGTTGACGATTGTGGTTGACGATTTGACACAATCTCCTTACATAATGCAAAGAATAGTTCCGATGCTAATGCCACCACCACTATCATCACTCCCTCCATGGTGTGGGGCATATTTAGTGTATAGCGTCATTGTCTGCAAAAATAGAGAATGAGTGCTTTTATCGTGATAGTTATGGTGCATTTGATTTTCAGTTGTTCATTTCTGTCCAGCTGATAGTCATTACTCTGTCCCCCTCGATCAATCTTGGGCAATCTTTCCAGGGAATAATAGAATTCATGCGTTCATGCAGTTCCTCCTCTGTTTTATTGATTTATTGACTTACATATTGTTGGTGATCTTCTTTAATGCCAGGCACTCTTCCTTCCTCGTTTGCTTCATAACGCAATGTGACTTTTAGCTCTCTAGAAAAACATCAAAGTTTTTACACCCTGTTTGAAAGTATCAGTTGCTGGTTAGTGGAATTCGTATCAAAATGGTTTACGACCAGTTCTCGACATCCCAACTCAGCAGTTTGCCGAAAACTAGTGGGAAAACACAAACAGCGACCGCATGAGGAAGAGATTAAGAAATTAATAGCGCATTAAAATAGATAAAAAAAATTATCTTCCTTATTTCTGTCGTAAATTCCTTACTATGTATATGAAGTATTACTTTTCTATACGGAATATGATGTGAAGATTTTACGACTTGTCCCCAAGACACTTTCTTTTCTAATCTTTACAACTCCAGAAAACCTCTCGCTGACATTCTTGCTGAAGACTTATAGCTTTCGATAACAAACACAGTCGATACATAATTTAAAGGTACACTACGAACATTTTAGTTCATTAGATACGGATAACTTAGTGGACTCCTACTATCATGCACTAGTAGATATGCAACCACGATTGTTAAAAATGAAAAAAAAAACTCTATTAGACTTCCATTTTAATACAATTCATAACCTTGACGACTTATTTTCAGAGTCTCACTGGCAACAGCAAAATACGCCTTTCCAAAAAAAACTACCGTACCTGCCACCATCACCATTTAGATAACGCATTATGCACAGTCCGCTTTCAGTTGAATAAAATACCAGCAGCAATGAGCCAAGGGAATAATGTGTTGTATCAGTAAATTGGCAAGCCTAAACATAAAAATTTTATTTCCAATCCTACCGAATAAAAAAATATTCTAACACGTGTATTCTAACACGTTCATTCTAAAAAGTGATTTTCTGAAGAGGGACTTTCTGGAGGGGTTTTCTGGAAACGTCTATGTCAATGCTTTGGTGAAATTTTGGCAATACAATGTCATCCCGATCTGTCCGGAATGGGTTAGGGAACAGAAGGTTTTTTTGCACTGCACCTGTGCTTCATGAAAGTGCTGCTGCTCACCGACAGAGCCAGAGGTACTAGACTAAAAATAAACAATGTACTTACATGGACATTTTTGCAGCCATTACTGCTATATTTGGTACAGGGGTTCCAGCTATAGGTGTAGTCTCCGCCTTGTGAATCACTTATGTGTTTAAACCTGAGGAAAAGAAATACATTACTACGTAAGACTGACACGTTATTTGCCGTCAATGATAAACGAGTTTGATTGTAGTTATTGTTGTAATTGGGCCACATGCTATAGATGTCATTGGCTCATCGGGGATAGTGGATGGCAGAAAGCTATATGGAAGATACGCGGCCCGTTTGGAAAACATACATTTGTACATCGCATGTACATTGTCATAAACATTAAGAAATAAGCAGAACACCAACGATTACTAGTTCACGATACGTTTTTTCTACCTATATATAGTTGACCTGCTGCAACCGGTACTGTATCGACTGTCAGAATTATGTTAATCGGGTTGGCAGGTAATCGTATAAACAATTTGAGACCCCTCTTTTTGTCATCCCATATACGATAATAATCAGTGATTACGTGAAAAAGGTCTTGCATCATTAAGGCTTAGGTTATACGTCGCATTTTCGTCGCGTCGAATCCAATTCAAACGATAGATAATGAGATGTTTGATTATCATCTCATTATCTATTGTTTGAATTGCATTCGACCCGACCAAAACGCGACGTATAACATAGGCCTAATATATAGTAGAATCATAGATATAACTTTGCTTCCATGCATTTGATATACAATTTCAATAAATAAATATTATAATAAACTATAGCGAAATAGTTTATAGATCTCTCAGTCTGCTCTAGTGCGGCCCGTAGTCTACATAAATGGTAAGTACCTGTTTGAATATATCAGTGGTGTACTAACGAGCAGGGCCGTAGAGATCCAGAAAGTTGACTCACACGGCACTTGGACTACTTTGAAATAAGTCACTGACAACCCAGGAGTATACTAAAATTACTTAAACGACAGAAGCACTTACCTTGGACCGTTCGGGGAGTCTAAAGATGATAAATCTATCTCGACATCGTCACTGTAGCCGGGGATATTGGGACATACAAATTTGCAGTCACCTTTAAGACTGCAATCTCTCAATCCGGTTTGGCATTGTGTTAATGCTAACATAAAAAACCATAAAATAAACCAAAACTGCAAAAGCCATATTAAAGAAAGACAACTGTTTCTCATAGCGGTTTGACTGGCTGAGTCAGGCTGACGATTCACGTTTTTGAAGCTGCAGGCTATCGTACGACACTCATTTGAAATTCATATTTTTACTGCTCATCAATTCAAGCGTGAAATCCTGTTTTGTATAAATACAAATGAAACGTCCCGTTTTAAACTTTTCTTTTATTCTCAACAGGGTGAGAACAATGCAGAAAAACAACATGCATGCATGCATGCATATATATTGATCAGTTGAACTGATTTTTTTATTCAGTTCATCCATATAACTATGGTTCATCAGTGACAGTGTCAGTTTGTACGCCATACGCGCATGATACCATGCCTGGTTTCCATCATAGACAATCCAGAAGACATGTCTTTTGGATTGTCTATGTTTCCATTAAGTCGTAACTCGTGAGTGTCGTGAACATGTCAAGGTGGCTGATGTGATAGAACATTTCTATTTGTGTCCAGCAACAATGACCGATCTGAATACAGAAATAATAATAACCGGACTATTTCTAATCGGTGAAAATGACTCGTTCGCGAGAGTTACGATTAAAGGCTCCTGGTTCACACGAGCTCCTAGATTCGAATCGGAGGTTCTTGTTATACAAAGCATTCCTCTCCTAGTGTCCTCAGACAAGGAGAAACACCGATTCCTAGGACAACTTAAATCCACTAGTGCGCAAATGCGTTGTAAATAATACAATAGATCCCCGATTCTTAGGAGCTAGTGTGAACAAGGCCTTAATCCAGGCCCAATATGGGTTAAAATGAAGCACATGCCCTACAAAGTTGTGTCATGACACAACCCTATAAATTATCATACACGCAAAAACACAAAAATCATGCCTCTTTCTATTCATAATGCCCAAGTCAAAGCTTCACATGCAGTTGCTAAACTGAATTTTCTGGGCTTCCGATGCTATACTGTTACCCTCTTAATAGATCTAACCCTTTTATATTCTCTCATAATCTTTTCGCGTGGAAATGTTGGCACACGTTGAAGAAGCGCAGCCTTGGATGGCTTGTAACGTGTAAGAGCAACCATCCTGAAAATTTACAATATTGCAAATGAAAATTATTAATTATATAAAATTATTATATTATACTACATTATTATCTTATGTGTTAACTTTGTAACAGTCGATAGAGCTGAGGATAAAAGACGACTGCGGCGGTGTACGAGTTAACCTGCATGCCATTTGTATTTTAAAATCGGGGAAATTGCATGCCGTGAAGTGGATGGGAAACTTCGAGTGAAGAATCTTTTGTTAATTTTCAGCGGCAATGGCAATCTTCAAACCCGAGCACATGGAATACAAGATAACAAAGATTACCTTGGCAAGAGAAGGAATCTCAGACCAATACGAATAATGTGGAATAATCTCCCTGCCTCTTGCTCCACGTACAAACTTCATGTAAGGCACACCAATACCAATGTACAAGGCAGTTAAACAAAACACGCTGAAAGTTACATAAAAGAGCTTGTCAGTGTTGACCAGACGAGTAAGATGATTAATTATGTCAGTAGTTGAAACGAAATCTTGAAAAACATCCTTTGCTTCCCATTGTTTTTGAATGTAAGGATTCTGTCGAGGTCGTGAAGGGATCAAAATCAGGGTAAACATTATGTAACACAACTGACAAGTGCACCGAGTCTGAAGCATCGCAGTCATCGCTTTCCTCATCTACTGAATATTTGAAATGCTTTAAAACTCACATAATCAATATGACGGTTCCTATACTCAAACTATCGTCATCATTTGCTTTTTTCTTTATCTTCGAGGCCGAGCGCCTTGGAGCGTATTTCGTGAACAAAGTCATTTTCTACAATTGAAAAATTACCATTATGTCATTTCTGCAGAAGCATACCTGAATTCTTTTGCAACCAAAGGCTGCTTCACTAAGTTGGCAACGGCGTTACTGTTTTTTGCATGCATTTATATGCACGATTTGAAACTTACGAAACAATAAATTTTAACTATGAAAAATCAATAGGACTCATCCCGCATCTCTATGACAAGTACGACAAATAAGACCCCGTTATCATAAGCTTATTCACCCCAACTCCATGATGAAGGTAGATTGGCCATATCTTAAGAAAGGAAGATGAGATAACGAAGACAGCTCTTCATTGGACTCCAGAAGTGAGAAGAAAACGTGGTCGGCCCAAGAACACCCGACGCAGAACATGCAGTTGAGAGTGAAAGACTGACCTCCACCAGACCTGGGGGTCAGTCAAGAAAATGACCCAAGACGGACGGGAGTGGAGAGCTTTTATTGCTGCCCTACATGCCAGGAGGCTAATGGGCAGTAAGTATCATAAGCTTATATCCCATTTGTATCTATTAAGCGAGAATATAGTTCATGGAAAATAGCTATAGACTATTGTTCTATTGTTTGTTATATACTGTACTAACGAAAAATCCACCGTATCTCTCCATCGAACTGGTTCGACCTTCGCTTAAACCGTCGTACTCTAAATACACATCTGTTTGTCTGAAAAAGATTGATATTCAATTTATTACATTTTAGACATTAATTACATTTTCAGAAATGTCTTACAAAATTTAAAACTACAGCATATATCAGTAACTTCACTGATGCATAGAGTCGCTCTCAATTGTTGTGTTTATTATCGGCAAAATTTCGACAGGGACAAGCTATTAGATTTGGCGCAGGGGAATTGCTGGCGCCACACTTTTTTATAAAGTTGGCAACAATTAAGTATAGGGCTAAATTCTAACTTTCTACTTTGTGTAAATTGTATTAGTATGATTTATATCAAAAGCTACACGAGGTAAAACACGTCAACTAAAAACTTCTCTTGTTGTTTATCATCATATATATATATATATATTCACCGTTTACCAACAAGGAATTCTTCAAGAGTATCATAAACCAATCTATATCTTCCTTCTGAAACTTTTACAGTTGGACCATGATTTCCTAAATTGCACGACTGCAGGTCTTCCGGGTTCACAGCATTATTAAACACTCGACCAACCTGAATAAAAGCTGCAGTCATAACGAACTCAGTATCTCGAAGCAAATAGTATATGTAAGAGCATTTTCTTGGGTGCATACAGAAGCAAATGCATCTGCCTTTGAAAATCGGCGCCTAACACAGACACTTTCTGGTACTTACGTAAACCGGGACAGTGCAGTTGGTCAGCTGAAATTTGGTGCATGGACTCCACTGGTAAGAAACATGAGCACTTTGATTATCTGGTATGTTTGCAAAGCTATGTCAAGTGAAACAATCAATATTCATCAGTAAAAGTCGTATAATAGCATGTAAGCGTTTGTACATGATTTGCTTCGACTGAATGATTTAATAAAACATTCTGCATGTGTTTACATGAACCGCAGTAACCAAGCTAAGACCATGTATCGCATCTTGGTCTGTCGCAACAGTTGGTTCTGACTTCTTGGCAAGGTGTCTGAGGCTAGGCTTATAGCCTTATATAGTATTATATAGTGTAGTGCTGTAACTGCTGTTTATACCGAGGTTTATACTTATAGTATATGTCCACAGTAAATGAACATATCAGTCGAATCGATGTCTGATCATCAATAGTACTACCAGCATGCTCGATATTCCGGCACAAATCTAGAACCAAAGTGGAACATATTTAATACAATATTAAATCGACTCTCAATACCTAGGTTGTGTATAATTGCCATCAATAGCAGAGAGATCCAGTATATCGTGACTACAGTTGAATTTACAACGTGATTTGCTTGCTTTCATACATGTTACGTCCATCGGCTTTGCCTCGGAGAAACACGAAGATGAAATAAAACTAAGTATATACATGTTACGAATCACAGCATGGAAGAAATCCATCTACAACTCGACTAGCAAGTCGACTAGCAAGCTGAAGTAAAACAAGCGCGGATGGTGGACTGTTGTAAGAAAGGTCATTGAACCGTGTCAAAAATGGATACACGCAAGATACTACAAAATGCAGTCAAACATGTATATAAAACATTGTACTTGATGATTTAAATGATCGAACAGCATTTTTCTTAAGGCCCGTTCGATCCAACTTTTTTGGATCCAATTCACTTCCGACATATGGAATGTAGTTCGTTATTGATAAAGCAGTACTGTATTGGATCTGTGAGCAGACCTTCAAATTTAGATATCCTCACGGGGAGATACGGGGACATACGGAGTTTTTATCGACCGCAACCGCCCTCCCTAATCCAAAACCGGCAGTGCTTGAAAAAACTCACTGAACAATATTCTATATAAGGCAATTAGAGCTGGGCGAAATTCAAAATGCATTATTGAAATTCCACTGACAATTTTCCCTTGTTTTTAACAAGCTCAATGTAGCTCGTGAACCGCCGAGGTGTAACCAGTAAAATATCCACCCAATTCTTCATGTTCTCAAGTATACGACTTTTAATATATTAGTATATCAAGTTAGTCTATCAGGTATGTAAATAAGGTAATAAGGGGCCAAGGGCCCTTGTTACGTCGTATTCTGCAATGCGTGTTTCAAAGTATACCACTAATTAAAATACTACAATTGGTTGAGATGAATAGGGTATTAACTGAGTATTATGGAATCTAGTAATCTAATAAAAGTGTCAGAACATAATCGTACAAAGAAAGTTTAAAAAAAGTTGTTTGGTTTTTTATGCTAATATTTTACTTCCATCCATTTAGACTTCAAACCATGTATTCGGTGCAATCATTGTGACAACGAAGTGGAGTATTGTGTTCACCAAGCAATATGCACTGGCATGTCATTCCTACAAATTTTGCTCAGTATTCAAATCACTTATCGGGTTTCATCAAACTGGTCCACTACCGACTGGTGTCGATAGAACATTCTATCAAAAAAAGGAGACAAGATGTAATTACCTGTAGTAACCATGAAGTATATTTTAAATATATTCATTTGTTTGCATTCATCTAAATCATCCGTATAGTCACATGCAGTGGCTTCATTTATACTTGATAAAGCTCACCTTACTTTTTCTTTCCCGCCCTATATTGGCCATTGGTCCCCGAATGCCAGAATAGACATTATGCATAATGACGTCGTAACAAGCCCTGACACCTGCAGGGAATTCTGGTCTTAGTAGTTGCGGCGGAAAATTTTTAAGTTTGAATTTTTTCGCCGTGACTACTAAAACCAGAATTCCCTGCCAGCGTCACGGCTTGATAGGACATTACGCATAAGTTCTATTCGGGAGGGGAAGCTAGCAAGCAACCCCTTAGTATTTGTTTACATAATACATAAGGTGATTTGTTTGAACACGCTGTGGTTTGAAGCAGTGTTCAAAGCTGCATGTCAACTGAGTTTGCGTGTTTTATCAGGCAGACTCAACCTGATAAATTTGCTCGTACTTTGAGGTACCTAGCCAGTTGCTAATTTTGCACAAAGTTTAAACTTGATGTTTTAAAAACCTGGGCATGAATTTTTGGGACTGCTCCGTAATCTATTTCTTCTTCATTAAGCAGCAAACTTCGCTTTCTTTTTAAGATAACTTTGTAAGCAACATAAACACTAACAGCAAGAAGAATCACAATTCTAAAAAAATTCAAGAATAAACGAACGCAATGAGAAATTGATTAAAATCCTGCCGATTAAATAAAGCAGGATTTTACGACATCAATTTTTATTGCAATAGAGAGAGCCTGCATTTTTGCAGAGAAATAGTTCGCTAACGAAATATTTCTTTCGAAATGAGAACATTCAAGCTGAACTAATTTATTTATTCTGTCAAAACTCAAAAAATATATGCAAATATTTCGTTAGTGAACTATATCTCTGCAAGTGGAGATCCCCCAAGAGAGCATGCAAATCGTTAAAGTTGAAGAGTTTAAAGACTTCAAAAATCTTACCCTCCAATTGTAATAAGAACAATATAAACTGTCTTGAGTCCACCACCATTGCTTGTGACACTGTTATTAGCTGATGTAGGATAGGGAACCATCCCAGTTCGTAGACATGCCGCCTTAGCCGTAATCGTGGTTTTCTAAACGTTTTTTGAATTAGTCATAATGACTTCGTTATTCATAAAAATTTTTAACTGATCTCTTTGTAGTTTTTTCCTTAATCTTTATGAATCATTGGATAAATCCTGTTTTCATAACTTACAAATCTGTTAGGATTTAAAGGCAAAATGTTCACCATGCCATAATCTGGAACAGTAACATTTTCATCGCACTTCAAAGTAATATTAATGGACCTGAAGTAAGCAAACACACACCCAATATTAGCATTTGGATAGAAAACAAATTAAGGGCTTAGTGGATTATAAAAAGGCTGACGTTTTTGCCTGTTTCTGTTATAATTTAAGACTTTAAGCCTCGCTCATTTCCATCTATACGACAAGCAAAGAGACGAGAACACTTAGCTACAGTGTGGTCGTGCTGCAATGACAAGGAGCTCGTTCGCCTTGAGTCTTGGTTAATCTATTCTAAAGATCATCCCGTACGTTATTTTTACTTCTTCAACAAGAAATACGACACAGGAACCACTGCATGATTTCAGGAAAATATATTTTTTTCCTTTTTCAAGTATGTTAGAGTAAAAGCACTAAAACAATCTATGCCTACAATGAAAACTTGCAGTGGATCGCTTTGCGAAGTTAAGCTGAGTATTTTTAAATTTGTTCAGACTGATATCAGTGTACGTGTTTACAAAAACCATTTGTAAGAAATCAGCTGATTATGCATGTGGTCAAATCACAAACCTTGTGGAGTTCTCTTGGTAAGTACCGTAGTAAATTAAAGTAATTGACTTTGTTTCGTTGTCATATTGGCCAAATGTTGCATTTCCAAACTTCCCTATTTCGAAGGTTTCGTTCTTATTTGCATGGGTATACTGGCAAACCTTTAAAAGGTAAAACAATACGGATTTTCCAGCTAATGTGAAAAGAAGAAGAATACAAAATTAAACATTCGTTTAGTCATTTTGTATATAGAACCGTACCAAGTTTAAATTGAGAACGAGAACTAGAATTAAATTGATTAAACCGTAACGCTCGCGAGATTTAAATTGGAATCTACCGTAGAGTTTAGACACCCTCCATCTGGAACATCTGAATTTTTATTGACTCCATGGCAAAGATTGAACGCAAACAGCCAGCTTCCTGAAGCTTCAACGTGTCCCCGGCTATAAGTGCGAAAAAATTCTGAGTCTAGTCCATATCAAGATTTTACATGCAAAATAAATCATTGTGGAACATCCATGTCTTTGAACTTCGTTAAAGTTGAGCTATAGCACTCGTTCAATTAAAATGGACTCTATATAAGTTTTACTTCCACATGCCTATATATGATTGCTTTCTGCAAAGACACAAAACTCTCTGTATAGGTTGTGACTGATAACAACCGAAGCAGGGGGAGTCTGCTTCGGTTACCAATAAAATGGTCTAATATCGTAACTGATGCGCTTTTGTCAAGAATTGTATAATTTAATAGGTTATAGGTATGTATATATATAGGCGCAACACATTTGCATTTTAAAATGAAAACGTTAGTGGGTTTTCCTAAAACCGCGGGAGTCTACACTATACCCAATATATTTCAAACAATTATCAACCCGATTTATTTATACTATATAGATTAACAACTATAGATTAACATTTAAGCCAGGAATTTTTGAAACAGTAAAAGATAAGGAGAGTCAAAGGTCTACCCGCATGCATGCATTTAAATACCTTATATTTCAAAGCGGTATAATCTCTGTATTAAACAAATGATGATTGAAAATGTAGAATTAAATAATATATAACTCATTACGAGACAGAAAACGTCATGTGTGCAACAAAAATTATGTAATAATCAACATGCTTCAAGACATATTTAGTTGCTAAACGTCTCACAAACAGTATTAAATATTTATGATACCGAGTGAATATTATGCCGAGTATTAAAATATCTATTTCTAATTTACTAACAGTAACACTGTAACAGTAGGAATGATAGATGTAGTTCAGTTCATCAAAATATTTCATACCTTGGCATAGACCATAGTGATATTTTTTCCAGTGGCTCACTGTCACCACTTGTTTTGCAAGAACATTCGTCAACTTTGATGCAATTAATTTTAGCGCCTTCAATGGCAAATGCCACAGTTAAAAAAAGCGTCGCGACGTACAGGATACGAACAGAAACTTTTACTTCGAAGAAAACTTGCATCTTAATATAAAATTGGTTTCTTAGTAAAGGAATAGACACGAAACATCGGAGACGATTCGAAGGCACGTGAGAGTTCCCAGTAAGGCTTTACTTGGAAACTACAGCTTGATTGTTTCGGATTCTTGGAATCGCCACGGTGACAATATCGCTCAAACACCGAGTAGCGACATACAGAAGTACACGGTCTAAAGTCGTCTACTTCTCTTGGAACTTGCAAACTCAAATTGTACAGGGGACCAAACATTTTTTCTTCCAAACTGCGCAGGATCATTTCGTGAATTTAAAGTTTTATTAAATCTGGTCAGTCAATATTGCAAAATGTATTGGAAAATATTTAAATTCCCCACTTCTCTTCAAGACCCACTGAGCTCTACTATATAACTCCTGGAGGACTTCAATGCTCTCGATCACAATAAAAAATTGAAGCAAAAACCTGGCGTATTTTGACATTTGATTGACGCCTCTTGTTCCTATTTACCACCATTTCCATCCCGTGATCGGTTGATACACTTCTCGGTTTATTTTGGCTCACAATCAGAAATACAGTATAGCAGAAAAACTGATTCACACTTAATTGTCCTTTAGACTTAGGGTGGATTCCACTTGCAGGAAAATAGTCCGCTAGCAAAATATTTGCAAATTTTCTTTTGAATTTTGACAAAATAAATAGTTTAGCTTGACTGTTCCATTTCAAAAGAAAACATGCAAATATTTCGCTATTATATATTCGCAAATATTTCGTTGTTGGGCTGGCTGAATTTAATAAAATGCGATACTTGAAGAGGTACTGTGGCATTTTCTTTATTCTGTCATAAAACATTGTCAAAAACGGTCCAAGTTCAAAAGCACTCTGTAAAAATAATAGAGCAAAAAAGCTCAATGCATCGAAGGAGCCAATGCAAATTTCATTTAATAAGCAATCTCATTCTTTAATTATCACACGCTTAATTCGCTTTTTTGGTGGGTGCTGGGTGCTGGTAACGACATCGTTTATGTCCACAGCACATCTAGTATATTTATCTGGCCCATAGGAAGAGGAAAACTACCTTTGCAAATAGGTACTAAGACTGACATTACAAACCTAGACACCTATCCGCATATTATCTTCACCTTCCGCAATTAATAAATATCTTCTTCGTTTCATGACCCTTCTGTAGGCAACATAACAACCAACAGCAAGAAATAACAGAAATCTAGGAAGAACTCAAGAAATAAGACAATTTATCCGTCATATCAGTCCTTCACAACAAAGATATATTTCAAAAATCTTACCCTCCAATAGTAATGATAACAATATAAACAGTTTTTAATCCACCACCAACGCTTTCAACATCATTACGAGGATGAGGAATTACTTGTGAGGTGGAATAGATGTCCACTGGTGATGTAGTAGAATAAGGAATGGCTTGTGATGTAAGAGAGGAGATCACGTGTGAGGTACGCTTGGGGATCACTTGTGATGTAGGATAGGGGATCACTTGTGAGGTAGGATAAGAGGTGATTTGTGGCGTAGGATAGGGGATCACTTGTGAGGTACGATAAGAGGTGATTTGTGGCGTAGGATAGGGAATCACTTGTGATGTTGAATATGGAACCAGTTGTGACGTGGAATAAGAAGCAAAAGGACGTAGACATGCAGCTTTAGCTTTAATTGTGACAATCTAAGTGTTTTTGTTTTGTATTAGCACGAGGACTTCTTTATTCATAATTAGGAAATACGCTAATGCTTGTTAAAATACGCTATTTTAATGTTTTATTGTTTGTTTGTTTGTTTGTTTGTCGTGACCTTGAAGACTATCTACATATGCATAGTTAAAAAATATGTGAAACTGTCGACTTACAAATTTGGTAGGGTCTAAAGGCCGCGAATTCACAATGCCATACTTTGCTGTGGTAATATTTCCATCTTCGTCACACTGTAGAGTAATAGTAATCGACCTGTTGAAACAAGTGACGCATTATCGTGTTTAGACTTTTGTGCAATGCATGACGAATGAAGGACAGCCATATTACTTTTTATCGATATGCATAGCAATAATTAAAGAACGTATAGAAACGCATTAGATATGTTTCCGAAACAAAGTTGACTTAGCCACGATAGCTTTATTTATGTATAACATTGATTAACAGATGCGCTTTTCAGTCGGTGTAGTATATAAGGCCGTTTTTGTCATTTCAAGGAAAAATATTTATTATTCTTTAATCATCGCATTGACCATTAAATGAATTATTGCAACGTTCAAATAGCATAATGTTGCATAACAAACCGCAAAATTTTGAAGTTTGAATTTTTCGCTGTGACTACTAAAACCAAAATTCCCTGCAGGCGTCACGACTTGATACGTCATTACGCATAAGTCACAAACCTTGTTGCACCCTCTTGATGTGTACCATAGTAAACCAAGGTAATGGACTTTGTTTCTTCTTCGTATTGGCCAAATGTTGCATTTCCAAACCTTCCGATTTCGAAAGTTTCGTTCTTGTTCCCTTCAGAAAACTGACAAACCTTCATTAAATGAGAATGTAAAAGGATTCGTTAGTACATCCAACAGTGTCAGAGGAAAAAAAACAACTTTTGCGCAAGCACACAAGTAGGTCTGGCTAGAGTACCGTTGAGTTTGGACACCCTCCATCTGGAACATCTGCATTTTTTTCGAGCCCATGGCAAAGGTTAAAGTCGTACAGCCAATTAGCAGCTCCGTGACTTTTTCCCTTACTATATAATGATAAAGAAACTAAAAAACTCTTGTGGTAGGTGTAATGGTTTCATTTATGCGGACCTGTCATGTGATGGGAACACGTCGTGATACCGAAAAATCAAAGTCACGGAATATATCGTATTTCGATATTGGCTTTCATAATATTCAACCTGAAACTCTGAGCGAGCGTGGGATGACGGGATATGATATGCTTAGGACAATTATGACAAGTGCAGTCATATAGGCAGCCCAGGAAGCATGCGAAAATTACGTATGCATGTTTATATACTTTATATATTATGTATAATAAATAAACATGCATACATAATTTTCGCATGCTTCCTGGGCTGCTATGGTGCAGTTTGTCTGCAATTTCTCACTATGCTTGCAATTTGTTTGCACGTTTATCAGTTCTTCAAAGACAAGCCTGGCAGGGCTAGGCGGAAAATTTCTGCTCATCCTGTTGTTGTAGAACAAGCTAAGACAGATTGCTGTTGTAGAGCTGCTATAAGGGTATAATTTTATAATGCTAAGGTATGAAGAATTGCAACTATTGAGTAATCAGTCTCAGATCAGAATTTTTGCGTCGTGGCAGATGATGATTAGTAAAAAATTTGAAAATAGACAATAATCATTACGAGACGTAGACCAGAATGCCGAACATCAATACATTACACATTTGCACTAACTATATGGCGTTTTTACATGTTTGATCAAACATCAAACGTTTCACAGGCTTTATAATACATTAAACCGGCTGTGAATGTTTCTTTCGCTAACATGCAGAGATATAACGCTTGTGTTGGAGTTTAACACTTGATTTATCTACTTTATCAACATACTTCGTACCTTGGCATTGGCCATAGTGAGATTTCTTTCTGTGGCCCTGTCTCTTCGCTTGTTTTGCAAGAACACTCATCAACTTTGATACACCTAATTTTAGCGCCTTCAACAAATACCAAAGTTGTAAAAAACGTTAGAAAATACAGGATACGAATTGGAAATTTCACTTCGACGAAAACTTGCATCTTTATATGAAATTCGTTTCTTAGTAAAGGTAGTCACTTAAAATTAGTGATGAATTAAAAGCACGTGTGGACTCCCACTAAGGCCTTACTTGGAATTACGACCTGTCCCAGTTTCCTGGAATCCTCTCAGAGTAATGACATACAGAAGTCATACCTAGGCTCTGGACAGCGAATCACAACGTGTGGTCTACTACAACAAATTTACGATTTATCCTGTTATAAAAGTGTAAGATATAATCGATCCTTATGTTGTAGAACGCGAGGATTGAACGAAAAGTTTTATTAATTTGGAATCACCCTGGCCTCACCCTGGTAATGTGCAATTTTTGCAATTTTCAACAAAAACCTTGTGTCAGTTATATTTTCCGATAAAACTCGGCAATCTCTTTATCAACGGGTATAAACTCTAAATCCTTGATTGTGATTGGCCAACTTTCGCGCTAATTGACTACAAAAATCTTGTTATAAACAAGCAGTTAATTATCAAACTTTGGGACTCCTTCACGCTCATCCTGACTAATAATAATACTAGGGATAAATCACACGGTCACGGGATTGAAAATTCAGTGAAAAATATCCATTTACAAATCATACAAGTACTTATGCCAAATCAATGTCAATTCAATAACGGTAATATTTCGCCTTGTCGTTGCTTAAGCCTATGCATTAGGTTATAAGTCGCATTTTCGTCGCGTCGAATGCAATTAGAAATAAGATGGTAAACCTCGTTAAGCTTCATTATATCATCTCATTATCTATTGCTCGAATTGCATTCGACGCGACCAAAATGTGACATATAACCTAGGCCTTAAGCCCGCCGCACACGAGAGCTATCAGCTGAGCTAACGAATTCGCGTGGCAGCTAGCTCAGCCCGAAAACCATCCGCACACGAGAGAAACTTGCCTCTCGAGGCGAATTCCTCACGAAAAACTATTCGCACACGAGAGTAACTTGCTGAGCTAACAGCGACGCGTGATCTTTAGCTCAGCTAATAGCTCACGTGTGCGGCGTTGGGCTTTAGGCCTGTTTCAGACATCGAACTTTTCATGTGCCGAACCTAATGTTAATTAATGAGCTGAAGTCTTTGTTTTTCAAGTTCATTTGCATACTGGAAATATGCCTTGAATGAAAAATGGGACTGGCCTTTCGGGACTGACCGGCCTTATATTACTGTGCATTCTGAATTGTGCTGAATTATCCTAGTTATATTTAGCGACGGCCCACAGCATTTGAGAAATTCCGTCAACTGATCAATCACGTAGAAAATTGAATTTTAACAGTCTATTAAAATGTTGTCCTTGATAACTGAACTTTTATACGAAATTATATTTCATTGTATCCTTCTCTATTGCAACAGCGTTCGCACAGTCCTTTCATTTTCTTGCCAAAAAAGACACAGCCATCCTGAAAGACACCAAAGAAAAAGTAAACAATGGTCGATCTCAACATTTCTTACGATATGCTAACGTTTTCTTAGCATTTCGAACAGTCCGTCTTTACAAATGAATATCCCTCTAAATTATTTTTTATTGCATAGTGTAACAGCGCCTTAATGAAAGTATACGACCCCAAAATATTTTGAGCACAAAAGCATCCCTGTACCTTAACCAATCCTGGAATCGATGACCAAAAATCAACATTGGGTACAATTTCTTTCCCAGTCGCACCTCTTCTGTACTTCATAAATAGAGCTCCAGACACAAGATAAATAACGAGAACGACAAAGAAACTAAAAAGTCGAATAAATATTTCAACTTCATCAGGATGGCACGCTTACTGTGGTACATGGAAAAAACTCACATACAACTTTCTGGAAAGTGGCGCCAAAAATGTTATTTGTATTTTACTATACAAATATAGTATTTCTGTTGCACCATCTTTATAGTTAACTCTGGAAGGATATATATATACTGGCTAGTTTTAATAAAATACATGCACTAGCTGTTATATCGTACGAATTTGTCAAACGTTGGTCGTCACCGTTCCTAGTTTTTTTAAAATACCCCCCCCCCACTCTGTATTTACAGTAAAACCAAAAGATGTTTACACTTCTTACTTACTGAGCAGTGTTTAGTATTTAGAATCGTTCTTATAACATCATAAGTAAGATTAAAGATGTAGCCCCCGTACTTGATATAACGCTCCGCCGTCCCTGGATTTAGTGGTCATGCATTCACTGCCACTGAGCTTAAAGCACCGAAAACTTCTTCAACAAATTATTTCGACAAATTAAAGCCAAAATGAACTTACGTTATGACAAGGATACTACCAGTGCTAAGGTTTCCTTTTTTTCCCTGATTTGAACTTGGTTGAACTTTATGAGGTGCTAGGCTTGGTGATTTCATTGTGATTTTCTTCAACATATTAAAATCCAATTATTACTGAGAAAATTTTATTTACCCTACTTGTGTTATATATAATAGCTAGTATCTATACTTAATAATTAACCAAGGGCTGCTTTCCTATAAACGTTTTTCATACGCACGTAAAATCTAAATCCCCAACATATGATTTTTTTGAAGTGAATAAATCGAAAGAACTTATAGTTTTCCGCGTATTTCAGTATGAATTTGCTAACCTATAAGTCTATATGTTAAATTATAATAAAATACGAACGTACTTGAGAAAAACGCGTAGGTGCATGGAAAGCAGCCCTAAGGCCCAGTTTACACGGGCAAATTTTGCTGTGATGTGTACGAGCGATTTTCGTCTTTTGATAGATATGAACAAATATATTTTAAATTTAAATACTCATAGAGATTATAAATAACAATATTATTATTTTATACTACTTTTTATTCTTCATTATTACACTGATGTTAACGGACAAGGTTAAGGGACCGAAAACTTTGGAGTATTAAATACTTACGTGGTGTGCCTACAAGCTAATTTACTTATTTACCGCCGAGGACGGATACCACTGAATGAAAGTGAACTATAACTGCTCTAATTTCCTTGTCACACTTTGAGAGTGATTTAAAAAAAAGGTAGGCAAAAAAATACGACGAAAACAGACACTTACAAAAGTGAGGCCATCTATTTCTACATCTGGTGGAGCTTCGCTGGCTTCAATCACAATTAATTGCACAGTACGCCTGCCATAAAACGAGAGAAAATATTTTGGGTAACCAAATTTTACACCACAAATATAGTGTTGCGTAATCGTGGCGCTTCTCTCAGGTAATCTCACGCGCTCTCGATGAGTCGGTAGAATCACAATCAAACTTTGACTTTCATGTAAGTAGAGTGTTTATTTATCAAATTAACTTTCGAATAGAGTTCTTCTATTGCATTTTAGTAGGGTCACTTTGCCTATTCAGAATTCGTTTATAGCAAGACTTACTGTTTATCCTGGTAGGTAACCGGTGAATAATTAACAGTCACTGATTTTTTGGCTGCATCATATTCACCATAATTGTTTATATCTTTTGCAAGAGGAAAAGATCCATCTCCTGCAGCTTGGCACACCTAAATAAAACACATCAAAACTTTTAGTTAAGTATTCAAAATACAATTTATTATCCCTTTTGGAATAATATAAAAGCGAATAGAACTTTCGCGTCATTTCCCTGTTTTGTCCTTCAGCTTTTGCATTATGGACTACTTACTTTTTGAACTATGCAAGGAAATGCAATCAAATGTAAAATGTGGAAAATATAGCCTTGCAAAGTTTGCAAATTTGTATACTTTTTTACTACAAACCGAAATTGTTACAGTCTGATGCGTGAATGTGGTAACAATTTCCGTTTGTGGTAGAAAAGTATACAAATTTGCAAAATTTGCAAGGCTCTATTTCCCGTATTTTACAACATTTCGCAACCAAACTCTGCATTTCTACTAATTTTAGTACGCTCTTTTCAGCTGTGGTGATTTTATTGCATTCCCTTCAATGGATAAAAAAGTAGTCTATGAAAATTCATTGGGAATGACCTATCTGTATCCTAGCTGTTACAATATATCCAGAAAAAGACAATCTATCCTCCATCGATACCTTGTGCAAAAAAATTGAAAAAGAATGCTCGAATGAAATATATATGCATGAGTACAATCCTGAACTGAAATGGTCAAAAGGGCTGGACTAGTTTTCAATTAACACTTTTTTACAAGAAATATAGCTACTGTATTTCGGTTTCAAATTCATGTCAGGACTATAGTTTCTTATACCTTAACACGCAAAATGTTAACTGGTTGCTAATAATCGATAAAATACTGTAGAATGGGTTTCTATTTTGGCAATCATTCTGAGCGCAAATTGACTAAAATATCGACATTAATTTAGCAGCTGCATAAATTCGTAAGAATTCATATCGAAATACGTGAAAACGTCAAAGTTATACTAGTTTTTAAAGTCCTACAATTGTCTCTTCTATTCCAGCAATAGTATCCTAAAAAAACCACAGACAAAAACTTTGTATTGCAATAAGTCCCCGAAGACTGCAGGTTTAGGGGGAGGCCAGTGAGTTAGATACTGGGAGTGAAGAAAAAAATTAACAGGAAAGGGTAAGTGATTAATCTCCCTCTTTTCAGGACCTCCTCTCTGATGCACTTAAATTACATCGCGCGCAAAAAATGATGGCTTATGTCCCCATATATAGAAAAAGAAAACATCTGAACGCGGATATACTTACTCTGACATCATCGCAATGGGCATCGCTTACTGAGAACCCATAACATGGATTAATATAGTAGGTCCAGTAGCCAACTGTCACTTTTTTGCTGAATGAGGAAAAAACGTATAGTAATGTGTTCATATGGTCATTTTACAACTCAAATTAAATGTATGTATTAGTATAATAAGGGAAATTAACATAGAAGAGAGGGCGCTTGCTTGGTTACCCAGACCAGGTGTTTGGTGTGGGGGTATTTCCCTGGCAAAACTGTGACTTGTCTTGTTGTTTATTTGCTAATTATCAGCTTGTCTTTTCTAGGTTCAGTTGGTCTTTGCAGATTAGTCTCCTGGAGATGTATCTAGTGTATTACTGTGTGTGCTTTGTATGTGTTTTATGTATTTTCCTTCCACGGTTTTTACTTTTGTGATTCCGTGTGACTGCGTGATCACAGGATGGAGAGGGTACCACGTTTATATCTTGGAGGAGTTACGCATGATTGGAAACAACAGTAAAAAAATATTAATTTTATATCTTTAGTAATTTTTACACTTTACGCACTTTTTCTTACTGATTCCTTCCAATGAAATTTTATATGTTGTTCCATTAAAAGTATATTCACATCCACACTCCACTTTTTTGCAATGATAACTCTCAGCATTTATGCAAGTGGTAAAGGAAAAACAAATAGCAATAAAAAAGATTGACCAAATTTTAAATGCTAGGATCATGTTGTGCCTCATTGAAACGCAATTCTTATTATTCTGATCTAAAATAAAAACAATTAGGTACTTGTTGAGACAACATAAAAAGATTTCCTTAGTATTAGAATACTTTTTATATAATATTGGGAACATGAACATACAAATTTTAACCTTTCCCCATAGGCAGCCCAAAAATAAGTGAGTGGTTGCAATGTTCATCATCCTATATTAATGTTATTTAATAGCATATTAATAATATAAATTTTATTTATAATAGCACTTATTTAAATATTGATAAACGATGATAAACATTGATACCATCCACTTAGAAACCTATACTTGTGAGACTTGTCAAGACTGGAATTTGTAATATTATTTTAGTTATAAATAGAATACCTAATAACAATAGAATAGAGAAAAAGTATAATAGGTCTAAGAAACACAAAATTCATGTCTATTATATCGTTAAGTTTACTATTGAGTTTGTTGTGGATAATTATGAGTTTTTCGTCGGTTATTTATAGCAGTACTGCTAAATTCAAAAGTCTGCAATTTAATTGCATAGCAAGCGATTTACATCATGCTCATTGGCACTAAGTATTACAAACACGTTAATTTAAAAGTCTACTTAAAAAGGAAAATACAAATGTTTGATAGCAACGGAGCCAGAGTAGTAGAATGTACCAGTTTGGTAGTTTATACTCAAAATTTAATATTTTATACCTGCGAATGTAAGTGGTTTATACATATTATATTCACGTTATATATTATATGTTATATATCGTATTATATTCACGTTCGAATCGAGATTTGGAATGATATGGATGATATTTGGAATACAAAACGCCTCAGATATATAAAAAATTTAAACAAAGTTTCTTACCTATTTCTTTGCCAGTATTGACTAAGTTCCACTTAAATTCACCACATTACGAGAACTGTACTATATTATATATTATAATGTCAAAAGCATAAGACGGTCACGAGATCGGTTGACTTTCATTTTCCACTATATATAGCTCAGTGGCTTCAACACGTATATTACCAGAGAAATCGCGGGCTCGGGGAACGAGATTGGTAAATGACGTAACAGTTATACTGTTGTAGAATACCTAGTGAGAATACCAGGCCAACCTCAGTTAATGGGCCAACCAGCCAACCCAACTCTCAACAGTGGATACCATATAGAAGTACCTTGTTTTATGTTACGATTATGTTATTACGTTATGATTTGGACTCACAGAACAAGAAAAAACACTATTTTGATAACAATAGTGCACTGAAATTGACAAATTGATTTTCTTCCAAATCTTTAATATATTGCCGTATTGGCCTGGGGCCGGTTGTTCGAAAGGCGTTTAGCTTAAACGGTGGATAAGTTTAAATGGAAAACAAAATTATCTATTTATTGAACAACTGAGCTGAAATATTTCGATGTAAATAGTTTAATTTTCAATGGAAGTACCTATTTAATGGATAAGATGCGGGTTCAGGCATTCGCAAGATGTATGAGAGTATTTTCAAACTTTGGCTTATCCACCGTTTAAGCTAAACGCCTTTCGGAGTTTCGAACAACCGGCCCCAGGCCAATACGGCAATATATTAAAAGATTTGGAAGAAAATCAATTTCAGTGCACTATTGTTACTAAAATAGTTCGAAGCGAAAGAGTTGCCATGAAAATATAATTTTTTTTATGTTTTGTTTTTGGCGAATGTTTGCCATAATGTCACCTGGTTTATTTCAAAGCAAACAATGTGTCCAGACAATGTTTGTTTACAGCATATATACATATATATATATATATATATATATATATATATATATATATATATATATATATATATATATATATATATATATATATATATATATATAGCTTCAATTCACCACATCGCGGTGTTCAAAAATTAAACTTTTAATAAATCAAATCAAATGCATCTTGTAATATATACTACGTTTAACGTTTCGGGGCGCAGCCCCTTCGTCAGAAAAGGAGTGCAAACTGAGCACAAAGTCGGCTTCAATTTCCCCACCCTGAGTTATCGTTACAGATGTATTAGAGTTCACTGGCAAATACTGAAATTATGCTGAAATAATTATGCTGACTGAACTGGTCACAATGAAATGCATCATTATTGTGCTGAATATGGTTGATTAGCTGAATAATGTCGCCAATGAATACACAACCATCCTAAAAAATATACAAAAAGATACGAATTGTTAAGTTAAGAATACGATCCAAGAGGAAAAAGAGAAATCCTATATATAGCCAAACATACTCAAAATATTCGATAGCCTTGCGACTGCAACGATGGCTTAATCCCAACGCACCATCAAATCGAATGCGCAGACGAAAGATCTTTGCTCAAAGTTCTGTTTAATGCCAAACAATGACCTCTTTTAGCTATCATATTGTGTATAACAAAGAACTGACATTATGAAAAGTACGTCGCCGGTACGGAGGCCACCATCTGACATGGAACCTACTTTGCGAGGTTCAATAGTTGGTGATTTCATTGTAACTATCCGTATATTAAAAATTAATCGGTCTCAATATATATATATATATATATATATATATATATATATATATATATATATATATATATATATATATATATATATACACCCATTTGCAAAAACGTTGGCCGTAGATAGATAGATAGTCGAAATCTAATTAGAATTGCATATGTTGTGTAATATGATTGAAATCCCATGCAAATGTAATCATATCCAATTCTAATTAGACTTCGAGTATCTATCTATCTATCTATCTGCGGCCAACGTTTTTGCAAATGGGTGTATATATATATATATATTATTTCATATTGAAAACTCGCCTCACGTTTTCACCGAGTTAGCGAAAAGCCATTAGTCGCCCAGATGCATGCAGGTATAGATACATTTGTAGGTAGATTTCAGGGACACCCCCCCCCCCACTTTGTATTTACAGTAAAACCAAAAGATGTTTACACTTCTCATTTACTGAGCAGTGCTTAGTATTTGGAATCGTTTTTATAACATCATAAGTAAGATTAAAGATGTAGCCCCCGTACTTGATATAACGCTCCGCCGTCCCTGGATTTAGTGGTCATGCATTCACTGCCACTGAGCTTAAAGCACCGTAAACTTCTTCGAAAAATTATTTCAACAAATTAAAGCCAAAATGAACTTACGTTATGACAAGGATACTACCAGTGCTAAGGTTACTTTATTTTCCCTGATTTGAACTTGGTTGAACTTCATGAGGTTTTAGGCTTGGTGATTTCATTGTGATTTTCTTCAACATATTAAAATCCAATTATTACTGAGAAGATTTAATTTACCCTACTTGTGTTATATATAATAGCTAGTATCTATACTTAATAATTAACCAAGGGCTGCTTTCCTATAAACGTTTTTCATACGCACGTAAAATCTAAATCCCCAACATATGATTTTTTTAAAGTGAATAAATCGAAAGACCTTATAGTTTTTCCGCGTATTTCAGTATGAATTTGCTAACCTATATGTCTATATGTTAAATTATAATAAAAATTTAGAAGCATTTAAATTTTCCGTGGGTGTAGGTACTTGAGAAAAACGCGTAGGTGCATGGAAAGCAGCCCTAAGGCCCAGTTTACACGGGAAAATTTTGCTGTGATGTGTACGTGCGATTTTCGTCTTTTGATAGATATGAACGAATGAATTTAATTATAAATACTCAAAAAGATTATAAATAACAATATTATTATTTTATACTACTTTTCATTCTTCATTATTACACTGATGTTAACGGACAAGGTTAACGGACCGAAAACTTTGGAGTATTAAATACTTACGTGGTGTGCCTACAAGCTAATTTACTTATTTACCGCCGAGGACGGATACCACTGAATGAAAGTGAACTATAACTGCTCTAATTTCCTTGTCACACTTTGAGAGTGATTTAAAAAAAAAGGTAGGCAAAAAATACGACGAAAACAGACACTTACAAAAGTGACGTCATTTACTTGCACATCTGGTGGAGCTGCGCTGGCTTCAATCACAGTTAATTGCACAGTACGCCTGCCATAAAACAAGAGAAAATGTTTTGGGTAACCAAATTTTACACCACAAATACAGTGTTGCGTAATCGTGGCGCTTCTCTCAGGTAATCTCACGCGCTCTCGATGAGTCGGTAGAATCACAATCAAACTTTGATTTTCATGTAAGTAGAGTGTTTATTTATCAAATTAACTTTCGAATAGACCTCTTCTATTGCATTTTAGTAAGATCACTTGCCTATTCAGAATTCGTTTATAGCAAGACTTACGTTTTTCCCTGGGAGGGAACCGGTGTATAATAAACAGTCACTGATTTTTTGTCTGCATCATAATCACCATAATTTTTTATATCTCTAGCAAGAGGAAAAGATCCACCACCTTTCGCAGCTTGGCACACCTAAATAAAATACATCAAAACTTTTAGTTAAATATTTAAAATACAGTTTATTATCCATTTTGGATTAATATAAAAGCGAATAGAACTTTCGTGACATTTCCCTGTTTTGTCCTTCGGCTTTTGCATTATGGACTACTTACTTTTTGAACTATGCAAGGAAATGCAATCAAATGTAAAATGTGGAAAATATAGCCTTGCAAAGTTCGCAAATTTGTATACTTTTTTACTACAAACCGAAATTGTTACCATCTTTTGCCTGAATGTGGTAACAATTTCCGTTTGTGGTAAAAAAGTATACAAATTTGCAAACTTTGCAAGGCTCTATTTCCCGTATTTTACAACATTTCGCAACCAAACTCTGCATTTCTACTAATTTTAGTACGCTCTTTTCAGCTGTGGTGATTTCATTGCATTCCCTTCCTTGGATAAAAAAGTAGTCTATAATGCAAAAGGTCTATTGCGAATGACCGATCCGTATCCTAGCTGTTACAATATATCCAGAAAAAGACAATCTATCCTCTATCGATACCTTGTGCAAAAAAATTGAAAAAGAATGCTCAAATGAAATATATATGCATGAGTACAATCCTGAACTGAAATGGTCGAAAGGACTGAACTAGTTTTCAATTAACACTTTTTTACAAGAAATATAGCTACTGTATTTCGGTTTCAAATTCATGTCAGGACTATAGTTTCCTATACCTTAACACGCAAAATGTTAACTGGTTGCTAATAATCGATAAAATACTGTAGAATGGGTTTCTATTTTGGCAATCCTTCTGAGCGCAGAGTGACGAAAATATCGACCTTAATTTAGCAGTTGCATAAATTCTTATGAATTTATCTGAATTCATATCGAAATACGTAAAAACGTCGAAGTTATACTAGTTTTTAAAGTCCTACAATTGTCTCTTCTATTCCAGCAATAGTATCCTAAAATAAACCACAGACAAAAACTTTGCATTGCAATAAGTCTCCGAAGACTGCAGGTTTAGGGGGAAGCCAGTAAGTTAGATACTGGAGGTGAAGAGAATAATTATAACAGAAAAGAGTAAGTGATTAATCTCCCTCTTTTCAGGACTTCCTCTTTGATGCACTTAAATTACATTGCGCGCAAAAAATGATGGCTTATGTCCCCATATATAGAAAAAGAAAACATCTGAACGCGGATATACTTACTCTGACATCATCGCAATGGGTATCGCTTACTGAGAACCCATAACATGGATCAATATAGTAGGTCCAGTAGCCAACTGTCACTTTTTTGCTGAATGAGGAAAAAACGTATAGTAATGTGTTCATATGGTCATTTTACAACTCAAATTATATGTATGTATTAGTATAATAAGGGAAATTAATATAGAAAAGAAGGCCCTCGCTTGGTTACCCAGACCAGATGTTTGGTGTGGGGGCATTTCCCTGGCCGAAAAAACTATGACTTGCCTTGTTGTTTATTTGCTTATTATCGGGTTGTCAGTTCACCCTGCCTTCTTCCCCTGAGATTCCACCCCCCAAGGGATGATCGTGCTGTTGTTGCTTTATTTAGTTTTGCTTTTCTAGGTTCAGTTGGTCTTTGTAAATTAGTCTCCTGGGGTATGTATCTAGTTATTACTGTGTGTGCTTCGTATGTGTTTTATGTATTTTCCTTCCACGGTTTTAACTTTCGTGATTCAGTGTGACTGTGTGATCACAGGATGGAGAGAGTACCGCGTTTATATCTTGGAGGAGTTACGCATGATTGGAAACAACAGTAAAAAATATTAATTTTATATCTTTAGCAATTTTTACACTTTACTCACTTTTTCTTACTGATTCCTTCCAATGAAATTTTATATGTTGTTCCATTTTTAATAGTATATTCACATCCACATTCCACTTTTTTGCAAGAATAACTCCCAGCATTTATGCAAGTGGTAAAGGAAAAACAAAGAGCGATAAAAAAGATTGATGAAATTTTAAATGCTAAGATCATGTTGTGCCTCATTGAAACTCAATTCTCATTATTCTGATCTGAAATAAAAACAATTAGGTACTTGTTGAGACAGCATAAAAATATTTCCTTATTATTAGAATACTTTTTATATAATACTGGGAACATGAACATACAAATTTTCACCTTTCCCCATAGGCAACCAAAAAATAAGTGTGTGGTTGCAATGTTCATCATCCTATATTAATGCTAATAGCATATTAATAATATAAATTTTAATAATAGCACTTATTCCAATATTAATAAACGATGATAAACATTGATACCATACACTTAGAAACTTATACTTGTGAGACTTGTCAAGACTGGAATTTGTAATATTATTAATATTTTAGTTATAAATAGAATACCATATAACAATAGAATAATAGAGAAAAAGTATAATAGGTCTAACAAACACAAAATTCATGTCCATTATATCGTTAGTTGACTATTGAGTTTGTTGTGGATAATTATGAGTTTTTCGTCGGTTATTTATAGCAGTACTGCTAAATTCACAAGTCTGCAATTAGCAAGCGATTTACATCATGCTGACATTTATAGCAGTTAGTATTTCAAACATATTAATAAAAAAGTCTACTTCAAAAAGAAAAATACAAAATGTGTTGATAGCAACGGAGCCAGAGTAGACAATATTAAAAAATGTACCAGTTTGGCAGTTTCTACTCAAAATTTAATATTTTATACCTGCGAATGGAAGTGGTTTATACATGCAGTACTCATATTAAACTCATGACATTCACGTTCGAATCGAGAGAGATTTGGAATGATATGGATGATATTTGGAATACAAAACGCCTCAGATATATAAAAAGTTTAAACAAAGTTTCTTACCTATTTCCTTGCCAGTATTGACTAAGTTCCACTTAAATTCACCACAGCATTACGAGAATTGTACTATATTATATATTATAATGTCAAAAGCATAAGACGGTCACGGTCACGAGATCGGTTGACTTTCATTTTCCACTATATATAGCTCATAGCGGTCTTTTCCAGCCTCGTACCCGGGCGCTTTGAAAGGCTGGGTCTTTTCAGGTCTTTTCTACACGAAAGGTCCATTTGAACTCATTTGAGCTTGGTAAAATATTAAACCATTAGTTTACAATAATAACAAACATAATGTTAAAATGTAATTGAACTCATCATTTACTAATGTAATTTTATACTAAATTATGCAGTAAATACCAGTCTATTCAAACATCAAATACGGATAAATTTTTTAGCTAATTTTAGCTAAATATGTTACAGTTGCTATATTTTACAATAAGATCCAGTCAAGCCAGCTAAAATATTGCAACTTTTGCAAATATTCACCGTGATTTTAATAGGCTTTTAGCGTGTTACCAGACAGTCATACCAACACCAAGTTGCACTGGCAGTATTGTTAGTAAGCTCATTGCGATTCATCGCCATGTAGTCATCTCACGGACCACATATGCATTACCCGCATAATCCTATCACTTTTCTGCCGGTGAAAATAAAACCATCCTAAACAAGGTGCGAATTGTTAATATGGATATCTATTCGCTGATTTGCAAATCTCACTGAAGTAATAAAAACGTAAAGCTCGACTAATTAACGATCGTATTTTCAAACGGTAAAGTTTACTCCACTTCCGATGCACTGACGATCAAATCGAATGTGTAGCATTTCCCTCCTAGAGACCTTCTCTAGCATATAACTTTGAAAAATATTTTGACGAAAAATTAAACCCTAAGTCTGACCCAAACGGCTAACACCAACTCCTTGATTTCAGTAAGAGGCAGGGGGGGGGGATAAAAAACCTGGGAATGAGGTTTGGGGGTCAACTCCCTGTACAGCTTATGAAATATGGACTTTCTGGTCTCATTAACACGTTAATTTTACTTACGATTATGGCAACAAAAACAAAACAGTAAAATATACATTAAAACATGGTAAGGGCAATCCTACTCAGCATGTGTGGGAAATCACGACACTCAAGTTCGATCTTATTTAATGTAGTTTACCTTAATCAATCCTGGAAGCGATGCCCAAAAACCAACATTGGGTATAATATATATCCCAGTCGCACCTCTTCTAAACTTCATAAATACGGCCCCAAACACGAGATAGATTAGCAGAACCACAAAAAAGCTAGAAAAACAAAACGCTATGAATTATTTTCCGAGTGAGTTAATTATTTTCCTTAGTCCAGAATTAGTCCAATTGCAAAGTTTGTTTGCGAATTGATGGCAAATGTGGAAATGAAATGCGACTATATTAGGTCTGGAAATGAAAAAGGTACGAAATACGAAATTATTTTTTTATCAAGAAAGGTGGTTGTTCTGTTGTCTAGTATTAAAATTTACGTCATTTGGTGTGACGTTAATAATCATTCACACATTTCAATAATTCACACATGTGAATAATTTCTGACGTTTCTCGACTGATTTCTGCGATTCTGGAAAATATATTATGCTTACACAATAATGATATAACTGCCAATGCTGAGACCTCCACCACTTGACGAAGAGCTCCTGGAACCTGGTTGAACTAACCTTGGACGAAGACTGGGTGATGTTATGTCTATTGTCTTCATAACAAGAGAAATTGAAATTATGCATAAGTGATCTCGCACATCAACACTGCATATGCATGCACTTTAATGTATATGCCATCATAGGTCTATAGTCTATACTATAGATATATAAATGCGGACATGAAGGTAAACTAATGGGCAATCTTCAATGTATAATAAATATGTACAAGACTAAACTGATGTATACTTACAAATTGATCTACGCTTGATGATGTTTTACGTTGGGAAACCTTTGACGTCCCGACATCAACTCCATAATTCAGGTTTATAATCAATTGTCTTCTATAGTAATGATTTATGGCAGTGATTAGTAAAGCCATGCATTTAAACCATACATGGCATTGTTTAATGAATTACGCCCTAAACGCAATGGTGATTTCCTGAACCCATGCATTTACTATTGAAAGTCCACAACATTTCCGTAAATTTTCTCGGGATAAATGCAGTCTCTTGTACCTGAGTGTCTGCAAGGTTGCACCGCTTGCACGTCTGAAACATCTCGTTTTAGCCGTCAAATTAACGAAGAAAAAATTGCTTAAATAGACTCTTGATGGCTATGTTCACAAGAACGTCGTTTTCGAGCCGGCTTTCGAGCGTTTTTGTCTCACCGTTAAACTGACAGTATTTGCAACCTTTCAGTTGTCATGAAAATAGAAATGAAAACTTTACGAAAACTTTAAGGTATTGAACATAGTTATAGGCTGAGCCTGAGCCTGAGGAGACAATCCAACTGAATTTCAGCAGTTTTTACAGACGAGTGCAAGTACTACGAGTTCGACTAATGTGTGACTGAATTATCGCTATTCGTTTTAGTTTTCACTTATCCGGCAGAAAATACCTACACTGTATCATCCTTCGTGCTGTTATACGTTGCATAAGTAACTCGAAGTGGTTTGCCTTCTTCAAAAACACCATAACTCGTTATCAATGGTTTAGCAACAGTACTGAATTCTGTTCTATCCGAATTCATTCGACACATCTATTGAAAAATTAATGAACTTTTATCATCATCATTATATTTCAGGATATTGGGCTATAGTTGTGTATGAGAAACACTGCATGCATGGACATGGTATATTTTCACTGATTTTCACGTCCAAGTTCAATATGCCTGCATTTAGTGTTAAAAAGCAAAGCCCCGCGGTCAAACGTCTGAGTCTGAGAATTTGAGTTAATTGCATGTGCCCGCTGTCAAAGAGTTAGCATGGAGGTCAAACTTCAGTTCATCTGCCGAAAGGCGCTATAAAACACGTGTGCGTGTGGTTTATAGCACCCTGCCGGGCCAAATCTAAATGTCAATGCATTTGCGATTCGGCACATGAAAAGTTTGACATCTGAAACGGACCTAACTTAGACTTACTGCTACACGTTGGCAATCAGAATTTTCATAATATCCATAGCAAGGATCAATTGAATAAATCCAGTCACCTGCACCTGGTACATCTGTAAAACTAAAAAAATATTGATAAGCCAGTTTTGTTGGCACCATGGCATTTAGCGAATAGCGGGTACACCAATTACCCTTTTACTAAAAGAAATCAGATTGTATTTTTGGTATTACTGTCATACTGAAAGGAATCTCCTATTTGGCTATTATACTAAGTTTAAACCTTTCCTAATGCTGCCACTTCTGTGTCTCTCCAAAGAAAATTTCCTCACCTAAGCCTTGGGAAAGGTGCATATATAATAATTATGGTATAAAAATATTGGAACCACGTATGGCTTTGCATCAGCATTCATTTCACCTGAATCGAATTGTTTTTACGAGCTGTTAACACGCAAATATATGTTGGAAAAAATTCGAAAGATTTTTTTAAAATTTTTACTCGAATTCCTCGCCAAAAAATCAGTACCAACGGCACTGTGAACTGCTTACAATGGATGAGTAGTATTGCGACTAATTCCTTTCATTGAAATTTCATACACTCCCGATCCATTGCTAAATTGACATCCACATTCTGCTTTATCGCATTGCTGGCTATTAACAAGCGTGATGAATGAAAAATCCAGACACAAGCAAACCAAGAAAATGCTTGACAACTTCTTCATGATCTTTGAATAACCACTGCATGGACTAACAGATATTTCAGGAGTGAACAAAACTGGTATCTAAATACAATAACACAAATTAAAAAATCATTTATCCAAGTTTAAAGTGGAGTTTAGCACAGATAGTAAATTTAAGTTTAGCTCGGTCAAGTGGATCATGCATGTCCCGAGCTAATCACTTTTGAAACTGTTGGTGTCAAACTGAGTCTCTCCAATAGTTCAGTTGAAGTTCCATCTATAAAGGTATCCGCATTTACACCACATGCACCATGGGAGTAGGCAGGTCTCCAAGAAGAACGTATGTGTGGCAGTTATAGATAACGAGAGCTCTCGCATGGTAGTAATCCACCTATAAAGAGCTTAGAGAACCATCATCTTCGCTGTTTACAGCATCTTCGCTGTTTAGCTCGATTTCGATTTAATTTGTTCTTCATATCATAACAACTCTCTCGATCCTTCTATACCTATAGCCTAGGGACGAACAACGTCGATTTAAATCCAGTTTACCAACACTGATGATGACGATGAATCTCAGTTAACTTTACCACGATTATGACCTTGACAGCTGACTCCCGCGCGCGAATTATATTTTGTCCATGCAACCAGCTGACAAGACACTCGCCCCCGTCATCAGCATCTTCAATAGAGACCTTTAGTTTGACCAAACGCGGAACGCCAAACCGCTAAAAAAGTTTGTGTTTTAACTCCACTATCGTTAAGTGTGCGGCAATTTCGCTAAATTACAAACGTTCTACATAAAACTTTGCCGTATAAAATTTAATGCTTGAACGGCTGAGGATGTATATACATGCAGTCGTTCAAGCATTAAATTTTATACGGCGAGCGTGAAACACATACGGCAAAGCTGAATTTGCTGCTAAGTACAGGATTCTATATTCTCTTTAAAAACTATTTTTTAAACATTTTTCGCTTTCGTCCAACTGCAGTTTGCAAGAGTTCGGGGCGAGAACGTGCTAGATTACTGTTGTTAATTTTCTACAAACAAATCGTCGTACTTGTTCAATATTGTTCTCAATCCTGAATTCGTAGACGTAGTCAAAAGTCAAAACTTTGCCGTTATTTCCCGTTAGTACCCTTTTTACTCTTTGCTGTCTCTTAGTTTGCTCAAGTCACAATTAGTAATGTTTATTTGTCCTCTAATATATGAAAGATCACATTCTGAATTAATTTTCTGTAATAAATTTAATTTATAACCATATTTATTTGCTGACAATACTAGTGTATTGTTACAAAGCATATGATGATAAACATATAAGAACATATAATAATCCTCTAATACTCTTTCCTCCCAAATTCTTTTCTATGAGCAACTACATTTATTCGCAAAGTAACCCGCGTACAGGAAGGCCTACCATAGCTGGCCCGTATGGGGATTTCTACATGCAAAAGTGCCAGAAGTATGAATATTTTTAATTATTTATACTGGAGGAATTTCAGAATACAGAAATTTTATACCTGCTGGATAAAATTCCTGCATTTTAAACTCTATAGTCTATAAAATGGTTTGTTTAATTGTTTTTATGTAACTTACTTTATCTACGAGAGCTCGAAACCATGAGTATTTGATTAATTTCAAAAGAATCTATTCAAAGTAACCACATTTCAGCATGGACTACCAGAACGATATCAGCACATGTTCATGCAAAGGTTTATGGCCGGGTCATGTTACTGAAATGAATATTTATTTGAATTAACATAATTTAACGGCGATGGGGGAAGGGGGGGAATCCAACATGAAAGTTGGGGTGCCTTAGAGCTTGTGGTGAAGACTGAAGACTTCCCTCCTAAATGTTCGCATGCACATCAGATCATCAACTCAAAATTGGGTGATGATTATGACCATCTCCAACGGTCGTGTAAACTATAACTGCGTGCAGACTGTGTGAATTTGGACTTCTAAAAGCCACACTGATGTAACATTAAAAGATATTCTGTGGCTGACTCCATCACTAAGCGTACCCGAGACCTTGCAGACGCTGCTGAAAACGCTTCATCGGTACTCGGCATCGATCCAAGAACTGGAAAAAAATGAGCTAATGCATGTTGCACAAAACAGGCGTTATTCCGGTCATTAATATCGACAGCTCTATCCCTCTCTTTATTCAGAGCATTTTTGGTTAGCTGCGTTAATTAACGCATTGTTATTTGCCAACGTTTCAATTTCAGTCGTACGACTTAAGTAAAAGCCACGTGGTAGACGTTTTCAGGGAAAACTGATTAATACAACTTGGTTCTTATGAGCCACTGACGTTAAAACGTTAAAATACGACATCATAAGCCACTTAGATATAGGTTAAAACGGTTTGAATTTTATATTATATTAAGCGTTATGCCGAAAGATTTCATGCAGCCATGTAGACCCTTTATACCCTAGAATATTATTACATACAAGTATAAGTTTTACTGCGGACGTCGAGATGACGTTTTTGTTTTTTGTTACCACGCATCTCTACAATCCGCAATTAATTGAAGCTGCGAAAAATTCTTAAGAAAGTAGACCTAGCTAAATACAAAAAGAGAGTAAAGTAATAACGCGCTGAGCCTGAGTGCATGTGAGGATACTTGAAATGTTTTCTCAGCTTTCTTTGTCTTTTTTTTGACAAAAAAGTTTTTTCAGTTGCGGGTGGTCTCACACATTGTAAGAAAACATGCATGCATGCGGTATCAATAAATACAATGTTCACAGCAATAAAGACCTGAATGATTAGTAAACTGTCCAAAACTAAAAAGGTTATCTAGTATCGACATCCTTGTGGTAAAGAACCGTTTATTTAGATTGTGCTTGTGCATGTCTTAGTATAACAGCTATAATGAAAACCATGATGAAACTATAATAAAAGCAATGAAAAATGCCCTATTATCTTCGCCTTTATTTTGCGATCAGTTTTACTGGCAAAATGAAACAAATTTCTATATATAGCAAACCCTTTTAACCAATTAAGTACGAAAATCTCTGCATTTCATAACAATTCACGAAGACGTGAACCACATGCGCGTCGCCATTTGTCATGTCATTTTTTCAGTAGTCTCTCATATCACTATTATAGGGCAAGAAATGTTTAAACTGATAGATGAAAACTAAATTGGTATTGGTTTCCAGAGAAAATGGGAGACACAAAATTAAGTTGTCGAGGATAAACCATGTTTTCATTTTTTCATATGTCACATTTCACATCCTGGATTGAAAATGCCTATATAGTATAGACACCGCGGCTAATTTCCCATAGGGGTGGTCGAAATTGGCTCTATGATTGATGATGGATCCCATGAAAAAATATCACAAGAGTATATCTAAGAAAATATTGTGTTCGCATATAATCAAGAATAGACTATAGTGTGTGGTAAAGCATCGTTTTGAAACGTTTCACTCCAGCCTAAACATTAAAACACTGACACGAACAAGCTAAGAAGCAACGATGGTTTGCAGCACAATCACATATAGGCATAGCCAAATAAAATAATCAGATCCTCTTGTATAGTCATTGGTATTATATTTATAGTGTATACTGAGACCCACGTTTCACCCGCGTCTATTTCAGTGAAATCATGTACGGAAGTATAAAAAACCCCAAGCTAATACCCCTTGAGATTTGAGAATCATGACGAATAGACTTAAATTTACCAGAAATGCTAAAGATTAGCGTAAGCCACAGTAATAAAATACTCAGTTAAAACGAGTCATGTGAGGTCGACCTGAAGGATTAAATGCATTTGATTTCCGAGTGGCCATTAACCCCATTATACCTTTACTTTACTAGAACTTTTTCATGACAATTGTGTATAAATCACAGTCATGATATTTTTATGATTGAATAATAAATTCATTTGATTGATTCAAGAGTTTTAACTAGCTTCAAGAATATAGCCGGGACAAACTTGCGCTGGTCACCGCACTCCTAGTGCTTGTTGTGACTTATGAGATCGTTTGATCAAGCTGGTCGGTCATTCTTTTTCGACTGTTTGTTCCTTGGGGATGAGCAGGTTTTTGATTAAATGGACCTAATTAGTTTTATTTAGCTACCAATATTTAATACGTTTTTATGACTATATGGGGTAGAGCTTTGGAATCATACCCCACTCCCCATTAACGCACCGGCCACCATGGATATGCCGTAATTAAAGACAACCTTTTGTCCTCTTTATCCTATTTTAAATGTGACGATAGCTTATATCCATTAAATTAGTCCATTAGAAGGACTATTCCGACCTCTTTCAAGCGCAGTCCGAAAAAGAGAAACGTTAAGTCTAGTTTTGCTGAACTACGATGAATAACGGCTGTCTAAAGTTCCAAACAGCTCCAACAGCAGTTCCTGTCAACCTTTAACACGCAATGTGTTGAATCAAGATGAGTTAAAATGCGAGAATACCCGTGCCCGCATCCGTCATCATGCTTATTAATGTTCTCGTGTTTAGGCTTCTTACTTTTGAAAATAGCAGTATTATCTATCAAAATGGCGCAGTTTCCGGCGAACAAACAGCACGACGCCATTAAATAAACACTGTTTACGGAATGTCACTCCTATGCTCTATAAACAAAGATTGCCTACCAACACCCGCGCGAAATTTTGCCGCACAAGTTGATTTTAGCGCATCGTCAAATAGGCGCACGACTCTGCCGATTGTTTACATTTCTGAAACATTCTAAAAGAGCGTTCGTTTTAGAGAACACTCTTTGCCCTAGTGTTGAAAAGGAATGCTAAAATTTTCCATAAAACTCTAGAATATTTTCTTGCGCGGTTGGGAGTGAGCTTAGTAAGCTAGGCACTACAGGTCGAGAGCTATTCAAAATTACTTGCGATTTATGCATATTTTGTTCGCTAAAGTTGACGCAAGCGTCGAGATGACTGTAGCAAATTGAGTAGTTCACAAAATCGCAGCGTAGATTTGATCGATATCTTACTAGAGATGACAGAAGCATTAAAAGCATCTTCTAATTAAGATGAAATTCGATGCTTTATCAAAAGGAACATCGCCATCCCCCCGGAAACAGGAGAAGGGTGTTTTAACATATGCTTTTCCCCCACGGCAAAACTCTAAAACGAAGTAACAAATGTTAAAACCAATGGCAATGCCTCTCTGCAAAGAATAGACTTGATAAAAGATATCTTTTCGCACGCCTAATATGTTCTAATCCTGCTTGGTATTTTATATTTTGGGGCAAATTTGAGGTATCTTTGAATTTCGAATTTTTCGTTCTCAGTTTTCTTGTCATATGCAATCCCTGACGCTATTTCTAAAGCGAAATAGAAGGAATGATCATTGGTCAAACAATTTTAACACTAAAACACCACAACCTCCACGTCTAGCCTCTGTGAAATCGATTATGAAAAACGCATATCTTCAGTGTATCTGAAGTCTCCACCCGAATACATTGTTATAACGCATCTCTTAAAATCCGCGCAATTGTGCATATTTGCTTAAAATGGATTTGCCCATTAAAGGATTGTATTTGCTGTGGAAATTGTTTTAATAGGAAAGAACCCGTTGGGAGATTGATCATTTGAATTTTTCGTTTTGTCGCAAAAACATGTCCTCGGAAATTGTTTTCTTATGCCGACATAATACCTGCGTTTTTTCAGGTGTTGAACCTTCTTTTGTGATAAGAATGTCGTGTGTGTGGTCTCAATCCCACCAGGTCCTCAAAGCTGACGTACAAAGCGATCAAGCTTAATTACTTTTGAACATCCAATCAGGAACGGCAGAATGGAAAGAGGATCTGTTTTAAATTTCCTCCGAGAGCAAATTCCTCTCGAAATTCGACTTGCCATTATTCGACACTCAGCGAGTAGAATACACAGCAAGGTCATATTTCGAGTACGCAAAATAGCGTCTTCAATAATGAACAATTGGCACCAGGTTAACGAGCGAAGTAACAGAAGATTTAGACGTATATGAGCGTCGTACTTTTTTCAAAATTGTGTGTGGTGGTGATTGAATATTACACGAAGTGGTCATATTACGCTACTCAAAAAACAACGTGCGTATTCAGGGCTTATCCAACGCAATATGGAAGGCGAAAGCTCTCAAGAAAAATACTTGTGTTGGGCAGACTTTTCACATCGGGAAATAGTCGAGGTAAAACGCGCGATATGCGTATCATGCGAGCTAAAATGGCGTCGGTGTGTCGATCATGGCAGTCAATAACCCTCAACAAATCATGTTATGTGCGTTTCTTGTTTCAATCGCCTTCCAAAGAATCTCTGGCACTTGCTGAAGCAATAAGTTTGTATTAATGACGAGCCTGGGTAAAAGGGTGCGAATATGAGGCAAGAAGCGCGCTTAATATGGTTTTTAAGGACGAAAATTTCAAGACATGGGGAATGATATAAATACCACAGATTAAATCGTATATGTCGAGAGCATGGATGCGAAGTGACGTATAGTTGTAATCTATGCGAGAATTATTTCAGTATGGGAGGTCAAGCAATTCTTTGTTGTATTGAATAAATTACGCAAAGGCTGCTTAAGTCAAATTATTCCCCATTTCTGGTTTTTCTTGGTAATAATTGCCTCTGGCAGACAGACGCAAGGTTAAACAGCACTTCACCGAGAACACGGGGCGCAATCCTGAAAGATTTCAGCCTTATCATACATACTATTTCGTGGTACCTACCTGTTTCTCAGGGCAAACTCTGATAGCATTTTCGTAATAAAAAAAACAAACGCATTATTTCGGTTCAAACGTATATCTCATAGGGAAAGCACGTTTCAGATTCCTTGACATTGTAACGAGCAAACTATAATCAAAATGTATGCGACTGCAACATAATCAGGGGTGATGTAATATATCATAAGGACATTCCTAGTTGGGCAAGTACTTACACAAGGCATTTTTTGAAAGTTTGCCGTGTTTATTTAGGACGTAAGCTGGAGAGATATGCAGTGGAAAGCAGCCATTTTGTCTCTTTATTATTTGCACAAATTTGACACTTGTCATATGTCAAATGCTCCAATCAGAGGCGCGTTTGTTTCCTTCATTCATAAAGACGCAAAACATTCACTAGATCAATTAGCAAACACATTTGTGTTCACAGGAGAGCGTTTGCCTGTTCTCACCTCTCTTTTTCCTGAACACACAATGATCACGGAATTGAAAGGACAAGTGTTTCAAGTTCCGTTTCCCAAGTCAACTGAGCACATCATTGCTGTAGGTCGTCAACCGACTATAAATGTTTACACAGAAATGGATCGACTTTCCATATTGCAAGGGCACTGAAAAACAATACAAATACGTCGCATAGGGCGCAGTGAAAAACCATTTATATTAAGAAGAAAGTTTGAAATATAACTTTGGGGCACTTTAAAAGTTTTAATCAAATCAAATATCTCACAATTTTTTTCATCTCTGTCGCAATATTTGATATATTGGTGGATATCAACAGGTTTTCGCATTACACATATTTTCATGTTTTGATATGGTAAAACTATACAATAAAAACGTCTTTCGGCGAAATATTTTTACCAACCATTGTCTTAGCGACAGACAGCCGTGACTTATAAGGGGAAGGGTCTACAAATGACCGCCATTACTGTGGCACGCGTCTGCGTTCAGTGTTTTTTAACTTTTGTCATATATTGAGATGTATGGTCCAGCTGTATTGGTAATACACATTCACTTGTTCTTCTATACCGCGGTTGCAAGTGTTAAGCGTCAATGAGAGATTTTCCACATGCATGCTCATAGAGAAATAAAGTGAGGCTTCAAAAGCATATAACAAACTTCCTGAAGTTAAGAAACGGAATTCACTCGTAACATTTAGGTCAATGGTGTATGAATTTCAAAAAAACTGGGATTATTCTACAGTTATTATCTACGTTCATCATTTAATACGCTGAATTGAATATAAGATACTAAGCGGAAAACGTTAAGTGATTGAAAGTTAACTATACAAAAGAAACTACCTGATATTTGTCTCTTTTTATTTTCTAGGGTCGTGCAAAGGGAAATCGTCGTTCACTATGGCTGCGGGCAAGAATGCAGACATTTCTATTCAAGCTTGGCAATTGCGCACAAAACCACAGCGTTCAAGTCGTCATGATTGGGTTGGTAGTTCTTGTCCTTTGCACACTTGGTTTGTACAAAGCAAGGCTTGAAACTAACGTGGAAAATTTATGGATGGAGGGTAGGTTTTACAAATCTTCCAGCTGTAGTGTAATTAGCTGGCGTAAACCTTGTTATGAGTAAATTGCTCTAAATATCTCCATGCATGCCATGGACTTTAATCGTATAATAGACAAATGATGGTTTAGGGATGGTGTTATAACATTCTTCCCCATGACAAATGAGTTATTCAAGTGTATCACGGCTTTTAAATTTGGATTTAGTACAAGGTTATTCGTCGTTTAATCAAACGTCAGCATACTAAAAACGTTAACGCTGTTAGTTACACAATACGACTGTGCCAAGCTATACCTCAATAGTTGTAAATTGCAAAGTGTCGTTCTTTATCCAATTTAATGACACACAGCGAGACTGTTTTGAAAGGCTACAAGGTTGAAAAACCAAAAAATGTTGCCTAATGCAATGTTTTCTTAAGTATCGCATAATATTCAAATTTTCTGTAATGACCACCACACTGGCGACATGTTATCACAAGTGTCATAATGTTCTCTCATTACTGAATTTCAAAAGCAGACCGGAATTATAAACACATTGGTTGGTTGCGCGGTTTACCAAAACGGTAAAACAATATGCTCGGTGACAGCCTGCAACAGAAGTATTAACGATTATCTCGCGATTCATGTTTATTGTATTTCAGCTTTCCGAGTTAATACTCTTACGATATGTGAGCTGTTTTAGTAAACAAACCAAGTGGTAACACATGTAACACAGGCTACCTCAACCCTCGTTTGTCGAGTAAACACGAAAATTGCACGAGTATATATATTAAATAGCTTTAAACAAAGACCGCCATTTAATTACAGTTTGATAAGACTCCTAATTGAAAGACATTCGGGCGTCTTTAGGATAGCATATAGGATAGCATACATAGCGTTTTAAGAAAGCCTTCATTTGGATGTGTGGTATATATCAAATAACGCGACGATATATGTAGTCATTTTAGAGAAAAATGAAATTAAAAACTTTATCAAAGAACCTGGTTCATTGTAATTTGCTGGACAGTTATGTTTGTCTAGAATTCACAAGTTTTTATACTGTTTGTAGTTTTCTACTGTTCCAGGGAGAAATGGTAATAATCGAGCATATTGAAATTGATATTTTGAAATCAGTCTAATTTCATCAAACCGTAGTACAACTGTACCTCTGTATCATACCGACCGTTAACGTTATCAAATGTTAAGTTAACTGGGGCATTTCAGTCTTATTGCAACAGTGGCAACACTGTACAATGGAATCTCTTAAGCCGTAAAGGTAGAATTTCCTGTAAAAGTTCGAAATTTTTTGTTACCACCTTTTGAAAGAGTGGTGACTGGTAAAATAGATAAAGGATGTTCGCGGAATGACTACCAAATGTCGATTTATGTCATGAATAGCCTCATTTGCCACATTAGGGAACGCGAATGCTTTGTTATTCAATTAAATAGAGTAGACGATATTTAGGACCTCCCGAGGAAAGCTAAGGTTCAAATAACTAGTTTAAAAAAATCATGTTTTTGTCATGTATATTCATAGAATCAACCCAGCACAGCCTTTCGCGTTAATTTCGATTATAATTTCATAATATTTGATAGTTAATGCAAATGCGTGGCTAAAAACCTCTATTTTTTCCTAATTGTTGGCAAGAGAACCCATGCAGAGCCAAGTAGTCATGCGAATATAAAATTTTCAATCGCAAATGCGAATGCAAACCTTTCGCAATTCTACAATCAACCAAAACATTTCGACTTTATGTGATTTACGTTTATATCATTGGAAGAGTGGGCTTCTACGGTAGCTGTCGTTCAAATCCATATTTGAATGGCCTGGATGTATCCGGGCATAGTGCATGGCGAAAAACCAAATACACAAAATATCGGTGTTTGCTACCTGTCGAGCAAAACCTGTCGACAAGAAAACTAACCATACTTCAAATACAGAAAGTGTTAAACATGAGAAAACACAGTTATATTTTCATTGTTACACCATTTTCCAGCTCCAATTATACCAAGTACTGTATTGGTAAAATGCTGCAAGATAAATTCCCTTATTCGGCTTTCATAATGCCTCACAAAATAGTAAGCGCGAGATTTTGATATTTGGTTTTCTCATGCCCCATACTGCACCCCCGGTCACCAGAGTTATTACTATTTCAAATTTACTGTATGTTGTTGTCGGAAGTATAAAGTTGTTTCATTAGACTGAACAGGAAATGTCCCAAATAAGTTCACTTTATAATTTTGTTTTTCGACATCGGTTTTGACATATTATGTCTGACAATGTTCTGCAATCAAGTTAAAATACATAAGCGTGTAAAATGAGAATAAATGCAGCACGTTACTTGAATCTTGTCCCATGTAGTTGGTGCATGTGTAAATAATACTCCTTATTGTTTTGTCTTGTTGCGAAAAATTAATGTCAGGTAGTTGTGGCTAAACGCCAGACTAATAGTTTCGCCTCCAATACAAATACCAAACATAAATTCGAGTCATCTTGCATGAGCTGTTGACACACCTACCGATGAATATTTAGCGATGGAAATATTGCAATGCTAGCATCGCATCGCATTACAGTAGTTGTGGTCTTGTGGACTTGTGGTCTGGACCAAAAAACGTTGCCTCCGTTTCTTTAGCCTGTGTACATACTCTACGCAACACACGGGAAACAATAAAATGAAATGACTAGTTGATCGGTTTCAGAAGAACTGCTAGGATACCAATACGTATTGGTTAATTTCACTTGTAGCTAAAACGAAGCCCTTGCATGGTTACATACTACATGAAAATCGAACCTCAAATACAACTGATAGGTTGAAATGGTTTGATCCATTTACATTAAGCATGTAACAAATGAATGTTTGAAAATTGAGATCATAAACGAAACGATATAAGCATATACACACGTACATGATACCACTCTGAGCAGAAAGTGCTGTGAATTTGAATGTAATCGGTGATTTGGTTTCACTTTTAGTTGGCGGACGTCTGGAAAAAGAGTTAACATACTCGAAAACATATGGTGACGATTACACATCGTACGATATAATCATTCAGACACCGAAAACTGAAGGACAAAGTATCCTGACGGCAAAAGCTCTTTTAAAACACGTCGAAGTTGTTAAGAAAGCTATGGAGGTCAAGGTTGAAGTTTTTGACCAGTGAGTAAAACTTTAACGCATTATTGATTTAGTCAAAATTGGTGGGATATATGGATACCAGTTAATAATAAATCATGTATAGATGCGTAACCAGAATCAAACCTGTTACTCAAAGTGGGCGGGGTGCGTTCGTGTCTCTAGACACGTTTCCAATACGTGATGTCAGTCAGGGGATTCGGCCTGAATTCTAGGGGCGTTGTACCAGATACCATCGACGCATTTTGTCCTGAATTGTAGGAAAGAAGGTACTCAGGCCTCGTCTGCTGTACTTTCATCTTTTCCAAAGGTCCAACGCATCTCTAAAAATTAGAATCCACATTTTCTAATACAAACTCTATTTTTTAGAACGTGGTCGGTGCGAGATTTATGCTCTAAGCCAGCGATGCCTGAATTCAGTAACGTAATTGATAAGGTAACGTTTTTCTTCGCATTGGCATGAGACACCGGGTTAAGGAAGGATATTTTGTGTTACCAATCAATCCCAGCCTTTTTAAATTTGTAGTCACCATTTCCCTAATCAAAATGTGCTCTGAAAAGCCTAACCCCCACCTAACTTGCTTCCTATTCTATGGTTTATACAAACATACGTTTCACCACAAATATGCGCCTTTACTAATGGTGAATTTAACAATATTTATCATAATCATAGATGCTTGAAAAAATTATTCCATGTACTGTTATCACACCACTGGATTGTTTTTGGGATGGATCAAAGATTTACTCACAAAACATCACCACTGTCATGTAAGTGTAGAGATTTGCCAATCTCGGATCTCTTTTAATTAATATGCCATGACATCCAATATGCCGTAACCCGACGGAATCTGGATCGCCCTACACCACATGTTTAGCCTCTTTGTATGAGGTAACATGATAATTATCTCTGCTAATCTGCCAGCTTGATGGTCGCGACATTGGATTTTAGGAATTGTACACACTATTATTTTCCGACTTGCACGAGAAGAACATGTTAAAAGGCAGAAGTTTTTTGTTAGCACTTAAGGCAAATGCTGGCAGAGGCACGTGAACGCCATCTACAAAGTCTGGGGTATTTTGGGGCTCGCTTTTTTATAATCATTGGAATTATTTTTTTTAGTTGCACTTACCGCAAATGCTGGCGGTCGTACATAGATGCCATCTAGAAAAGTCTGAAGTATTTTGTGACCTGTTTTTTTATAATTATCTGATTTATTTATAGAAGTAAGAAAGCAATCAACTGGACTACTTTTGATCCATTGGAATTTGTAAAAAGTCTTCCAAGCGATATAACAGATAAAATGGACAAGAGTAAAATGGATTCAATGTTGGAAGAGGTAGGTTTCTTTTGACTTGAAATTGATTTCTTCTTCGAATCTTCGCCATATACTTTCTTTGCAAATATCAACAATTTCCTGTTTAGGCTGGAATTTCCCATGGTTACCTCGACAGACCGTGTTTAGATCCCACGGAACCTGCATGTCCAAAGTCAGCGCCGAATAAATCTAGCAAAAAGGTAAATTTATCCCGTTGCTTGAGCCGTTGTTTTCTTCAACAGTAATTTAAATACATTTTGAACATTTAGCCACCAGATATTGGTGCAGAACTTACTGGTGGCTGCACAGGCTTTGCAGAGAAAATGATGATCTGGCCGGAAGAAATCATAGTCGGTGGCACAAAACGAAATAGGAGTGGCATCATGAGAAGGTACATATAACATACATCCAATGGAAAATATCCAGAATATGTACCCTTTGCTTCACAGTAATATGAAGTTATCCGGTGCCTCGAAAGCAATGTTTTATTTATTTTACAGTGCTGGAGCCTTACAAACCATCATTAGTTTGATGGGTGAAGAAGAACTGCATAATTGGTGGACGATGAGCAATGGATATTCCGGCAACGCAAAGATTCAACATTTAGGCATGAAGTGGAATGTCGAGGCCGCAAAGACCGTTCTTAACGCTTGGCAAAGAAAATTTGTCCGAGTAAGAAATTTTTTACTATTCAATCTCAGTATTTTTAATACCATCACAAGATAACTCTCTTACGGAATGTACTTACGGGTTCAAGGGTAACTTTGCTGAACCTTCACGTAAAACGTACTGGAAACAATTTAAAGAGGTCTTGGTATATTTATAGTTTGATGCTACTTGTGGATAGTTATGAGTTTACGTCGTTTCAGGTTGTAAATGAAATGTCTGAACCTGACAATGTCAAACAGAACATTTTGGCTTTCTCAACTACGTCTTTCAATGATCTCCTAAGGGACTTTTCTTCACCAAACCTATCTCTGATCATTGGTGGATACGTTCTCATGGTAAGGATAATAATAAGAAAAATACAATAAAAAAATGCGTCTCATATACATAGTACGATGCTTTTTTCTCAACAGATTGCATATGCCTGTTTTACCATGATGCGTTCGAACGCCGTTCAATCACAAGGCTGTATGGGTATTCTTGGTGTTTTATTGGTGACCTTATCTATAGCAGCTGGCCTTGGTTTATGCTCGTTTACTGGTATCAGTTTCAACGCCGCATCAACACAAGTTTTACCATTTGTTATACTGGGTGTTGGCGTTGATGATATGTTCTTATTATCGCATGCATACAGAGATCTCAACAGTAAAAATCTCAGATCCAGGGTATGTAATCAATAGTTGAATAAATTATCAATAGTTGTAACATCTTGCAGTAATATACAGTCCACTGATATAGGAAAGCATAAGAATGAACACTTTTTAAGTATCGAATGACAGTGCAATAAACTGCATAGCCCAATTAACTTTTTTGTCTTTTTTTTCTTATTATTAGGAGTATTCTGGATATTGTTTGAGTACAACGGGAGTTAGCATGATGTTGACAAGTATTACCAATGCAGTTGCGTTCTTTTTGGCTGCAATCATCATTGCCATACCAGCATTGAGAAATTTGTGTATAATGGCAAGTTTTCACTTTCACTATCATTAAATAATACTGCATCATTGTCAATCAATAGTAGTACTGCCGTAGACAGTCACGGTAGACTACGAGATGTGTTGGGTCATTCAGCGCTATCATTAACTTCATTTATATGCATGTTGAAAAACAGCCTGCAATTAAGCCCCATGGGCGGAATTCACGAATCCCGCTTAAGGTGTTGACGGATTGCTGGAAATAGCTGTAATAAACAAACAAGATTATTTTTCGTAACATTTCAAGCTAAAAAAACATCTTAGGAAATATATAACTTAACCTGATACTTCTTAGATGGATTTAAGGATTTATCAGCTGAATTGTAGCATTTGGTTGTTGATTTTTTAAGGCTAAAATATGTCTGTTCTCTTACAGGCTGGTGTTATAATTGTTTTCAATTTTTTCTCCATTGTACTCATCTACCCTGCTATGATTGGTATTGATGTGAAACGACGAAAAGATCAACGTTATGATATCTTTTGCTGTGTGCGCAGGTTTGTTTATATGCTAGAGTGTTCCCACACAGAATTACTGCGTGGTAATAAGGGTTTGAGAAGAAAGCATCCCCGATTTAACAAAAATCAATATTGCTTCTTCATTTTTGCAGAGACAGCGGCTCGAATGTAACCAGATTCCAAACAGAAACTCCTTCGTCAATGACAACTTACAACCAAACTTCTTTAGATGAAGATTCGACTTTTCATCAAATTACATCATCCGCAAACGTTTCTTTTGGTCAGTCCGATGCATTTACATTACCAGGTGTTGCTCTCAGAGCTTCAGCTAATTGTAACATAAATGAACCAATGTGCAACATGCTTGGAGGAGATATCAAGCCTGGAATAGTTGTTGTATCAGTTACGTCAAGTGGTCAAAACATTGATGGAGACTCGTCGCATAAAGCAAACGCTAGCGTTAATGCAAACTATGGGAGAGGCCGTACCTTTGATATAAATGCCTCTAGCAGTTCAAGCAGTAGTAGCCGAACTAACAGCAGAAGAATGCGGGGTGCCATCCCTTCAAGAATCAATCATGGTTGTACTACCAGCCAGGATAATAAACAAAGTAAAAATGCACAGAGTTCAGTGAATATAGCATTGGACCCAACCACTGTGACCGATAAAAGCTCCAGTGGTAAAAGCAGACATAATAATTCAAAGATAGGTGCCATGCATGTGTCTGCTAACGCTACAGCGGATTCTTTCGAGGGAGAATCATCATGTTCGTCAAACGCTGAAGTCATATTGAAACCAGAAAACATCCCGAGTTCTCGACAACGCAGCGTGGCATGGCAAAGAACAATAAATTCAAAACTTATTAAAGGTATAACTCGTCTTAGCTTGGGACATTTGACGAAAGAATACTACGGACCTTTGATACAAAAGCCATTCGTAAAGGTACAGTTTTTTCGGACGTTAGTAAAAATTGTAGGTTGTACTGATAAATAATGGATCATATTTTTCGAATTAGACGCGAAGGAAAGAGGTTTTATTGCAAACTTTCTATTATAAGCTTTTTTCATGTTCTAGGTTGTGATTCTCTTCGTGTTCGCCATAATCTTCTCCATCTCTGTTTATGGCTGTACTCAAGTCAAAGACGGTGTGGATATGACTGACGTTGTACCAAAAGATACAAAGCTTGCGGAATTCTTAACGGCCAGAGACGATTACTTTTCTTTTTATGATATTTCCATCATAACAATGGATGACTTTGATTATCCAAACAAGCAAGAAGAACTAGACCGGTTATACAAGGCGCTCTCAAAGGTATTGTGCTTTACAGAACAATCTGAATCTTGTTTGTGCCTGTGATTTGTGGAAAACACACTGGGATCGTGGATTAGGGGCGTTTTTAACTAATTACCGACCACGCTCTCTTGCGGTTTCTGAAAATCACAAATGAGCCTAGAAAAAGCTTTACTCGAAAACATGAATTTGATAATCACCGACCTTACATATTTTTTGAAAAACCTATCTCATCTGAAGGTAACGCAATTTACGAACCATTTTTCAAAAAGTGGCGGGTGTCACGCCCTCACACCCCCCGCTTGTGCGCTGCTGATTGATAAACATTCGGACCTTTCACCTGATCAATACTTCCGAATGAGAAATTCCTTGATGGTACCCCACGGATAGGCCCAACTTAGCTTTTTCTTGACTTGTCCCACAAAAAAAGGAAATAAGTATTTTCAATCCCAATATTTCATGTAATATAATGCATGGGCATTTAAATTTTATTATAGATTGATTATATTGTGAAAGATGAAGACGGAAAGCTGCCTAAATACTGGCTACATTACTTTAGAGAATGGCTTGAAGGTATAAAATGATTTATGTTCAAATTTCTTAAAACAAGTTTTTGAAAATTCTTACTTTGAACACATGCAGGTTTGCAGAAAGCATTCGATGAGGATTGGGAGAAAGGGACTATCACTTCAAAAGGACCGGGTAAAAACGCGACTTATGAAGGAAAGTTAGCCTACAAACTACTCTTGAGTATTGTAGCATCGAATGGAACGTCACAGGTACCTACATACTATTATTACTATAGGCTGTATACGATTCCTGCATGCAGTAAAAGTCAATTTTTTAGCAGACTGTTTTTATTATACAAACGGAAAGAGTACAAATTTGTTTTGTATTTGTTTTGCTAACAACCATAATTTCCAGATTTGTAAAATAAATGACCGAAACGACGATGGTCATTAGTTTTATCAAGAAGAAAAAGAAAACAAAACTCTCTGCGATTGTATTCATTATTTTGCGTTTTCCTTTTAGCTCACTAACGAAAAATTGGTCGAGAACGGAATCATTCACCGACGCGGTTTTTATAGTTTTCTCAGAGCATGGTATTATAAGGATCCGTTTGGTTATGAAAATTCAATGGTAAGTGATTCACACTTAATTTCTTTGTTGTTGATTTCTTTGCCTGTACACATATAGTATATAATATGTAGGCTACACTCTTACAATCAGACAATCATAATTCTTTAATGCCAAACGTGCTTTATCAATGCGTTTTAATTTTTTCCCCGTTTCCAGATGAAAATGAAACCAACACCAAAACTCTTGGAGAATGAAGATGAAAGACCTCATGGACGAGGTATGCGGATGTGTAAACTTCCCAAGTACAAATTTCTTTTTTGACAAATTCAGTTATCGGTGTTAACTGGCTTTTTTTGCAGTTCGACCAGCTGAAAGGATCAAATATGCTCGAATTCCTTTCTATATAAATGGTCTAAAGGAAACCGCTGATTACATCAAACTGATCAAGGTAATGATAATTGAGCGGAATTGACTGATAAATCTTTCTTCTTATCGCATCCTTCAATTGGCATTTAGGATGAGCAAATTGTTTATTGAGTTACACAACTACACTAAGCACACACAGTGTCTGAATATCGCCCGCTTTACATTGTCAACGTTTCTGTGATCACCGTCTACAGTAAAAATTTTGCATCAGTGAATCAAGATTTAATAAAGAATTTGTACCAAACATTAGAATGAAATAACGCTTAATAAATAGAAACTTAGGATTTGCGGTTATAGCATATTCCAACTGTGATTACAGAAACTTTAACAGGGTAAATCTGGCCATATGAACAATATGGTATTGCAAATTATGTATAGCTATAGTCGTACTGAAACATAAATTTTCGTTTTTGTCCATTTAGCAAGTTCGCGAGATTTGTGATAGATTTACCAACGAAGGACTTCCTAATTATCCTCGGGGCGTTCCTTTCACGTTTTGGGAACAATATATTTGGCTTCGAGAGCATTTGTTAATTGCAGTCATTGTTGTGTTGGTCGCGAGCTTTGTTATAATTTCATCGATTCTGGTAAATATCTGGGCTGGAACGATTGTGGTAAGTTATTTTTTTTTGTATTTTCGTATAAGTTCTTCTCTGCATCTTTGCTTTGGGTTCAGATGATTTTGAGAGTGAACAAACGTTGTTAATTTAACGTCTTACACTGTTTGCTTAATCACGAAAACTTTACCTCATTTGTGACCATTTTTGGCCTTCATTCAAGTCTCGTTTAAAATTCTCGTTGCTTAATCATTACAGCCAGTTGGATATAGATTACGTTGAATATACCAACGCACATATAAACGCTTGGTCATGGTGAGATAATAAGTCAAAACTCAGCAAGAAATTATACTAGAAAAACAAAGATTGGATTCCTTTTGCTGATTAAATTAGCACGCTACACAAAATTTGATGTTTCACAAATCATAATTGTGGCCTGTTAAATAGCCTACATTTTACACATCATGAAGTATAAATACGAATGTATGTAGACTGACATAGTACTGCATATAACGTGTGCTAACATAGCCGTATAGAAAGACCATGCGAACCTAGAAAAACTGATTCCGTTCGTTTCGAATCGAGCAAACTTGATTTTCATATAAAAATTTGCAAAAAAAGCATGACGTTGAATCGTTTACTTTCTATTGGAAAGAGAGAACTGGACTGGAATGAACAACTGAAGCTAACGCTATTTTCAAAGCAGAGTTTGTTTTGACTAGAAATTAATGGTTTAAATCAGTCCCATACCATGGACCCATGGCATGCGCGGATTTCCATTTGAACTAGCGAATTACGTTAATAGGTTAACTTAGACTTTGAAATGAAATAATGTTTAATTTTAATGGTTGCAGGTTATGTTTTTGGCAATGACTACAGTTGAGGTGTTTGGTTTCCTGGGTCTTGCTGGAATTAAACTCAGTGCTATACCAGCAGTCACTCTGATGCTCTCAGTTGGTATTGGGGTGGAATTCACTGTTCATCTTTGCATGGTAAGCTTTTATTCTCTCTTCGACTCCATGCCTGTTGGGAAATGTTCGGTGTGAACTTTCTCATATACTGTGCCGGATATTATCTGGACTACGTTGTCATTACCACACTCAAGTGTCCTAATTCACGCTCTAAAATTATTTTCGTAATAAAATGAAGTTACTATATTGTCAGCAAGAGAGTTCAGGTAATTGGTGGTAAATATACTTAGTCAAAGTTGTTAGGCATTTTCAAACAAACCTTTCCATGACGGTAGTACTGTGTATACTTCGTGTCAAATGTAACTTCTGACATTACCCATTTCAATCATATTCAAATTACCAAGTACATTTGTGTCCATCTGTTCAGCAAACAAATACGTATTGCATGCAGGAATAAAGAGAATACTCTTCCTATATATTTAATAAGATATTCATCGCACCTACTTCGCTTTGAAGTTTACCGCACTTTCAAGACTTAAGTACAGCAGGGTATTAGCAGACCCCCCTGTTTTCTATGATTTATATGTATTTCATCAGCTACCAAACCAAACTGTTTTAATGCACACAGAAGTACATCCGTAAACACATAACGACGATAAAGCCAGGGTAAAAAACTTCGAATGAATAATCGGAAAAAATTTGCCTGATTTAATTACTGTTACGAATAGTAGGGTAGTAACCTCTAACTAGGGGACTGACAAGACATTAAAATTAATGAAATACTTTGACTAATCAACTTGAGTAGCTGACAGTACAGAGAAAAAATAATTAGTGTTTCTTCTGATCTTTAAAATACCGGTAATAGAATAGGAAAGACAGAAATTTTAATCACACGCAGTGCTTTCGTAAAGATAATAAAATCGTTTTTCTTAGGAAGTCGTTTCCATACCATCTGTAATTATGTATTTTGGCAGAAATTTGCAGCGATACTTGTTAAGAAATCTTTTTCATGCATATTTTCTCCAAGTGCTTGGCGAATGCAAGTATAAATGAACAAACGCTATTCTTGGCGCCTTGAGTGATCAAATGCGATTAGCACGCGTATGATTCTGTCAGAGGACCCACTGAGCACTTGAAATCGGAGCCATTTGATGAAATTCGGTAGATTTAATTAAAGCTAATGCCGCACTTTGTACGCATTTATACTTCACATATTTAGTGCAGTGCTTTGTCATTCATGTGTTAGAACAGTATCTCATGTTCTTTAGGTAAAATAAATTTGAACGAAACACGCGTGCTAACACGCTCAATTCATAGAGCCTAGAGAAATGACCTACTGTGAGATTAGGGTTTAATTTTAATGGAAAACCCGCATGTTAAAAACCACAAGCAACATTGCCTAATCTGACATTCAAATGAACTTCATGTAGTGTAAACAGCTTACGTTGCTATTTGCTCGGGTGTCTTTCTCCTAATTACCATAATTAGCGCAGTGATGTAACGCAATGTACATGCTATAACTAAATCTCTGCTGTTTCACTGTGTTTCTTCGTGTGTTTTTCTTGACCATAGGTGTATAGAAGGAAAACACGCAGTTTTAATCCAATCATGAATCTCATGTCTTGTTGTTCTAGCATTGACCTTTATACACTTGAATTATAAGTTTGAGACCACATGTTGTTCATTTACCTGCAGTCAAAATAGCTGCACGATGCCATGGCTTGCCTTACGCGCTTCAATATCTCTAAATATGGTCTTTGAAAACGAAATGCTCTATAGGGGTTGTATTTTCGAAATGCCTGATGGGGGTAGTATTCTCGGCATAATTTTTTTATGTTTTGTTTTCTTTCGATTCAACACACAGCAATTGTGAGCAATTGTGACTGTCATACAGAATACCTATATCGCAAGGGGCAAATCAACCCACACATTTCGCACATCTTCAGTAAGAAATCCCTAAAATTTTTGAAAAGAGATTTTTAAAATAACAAAGATCTCTAACACTTGTTTCGAGTGATGCACCCCTCGGGCAATCATACGAGATGCAGATTTTAAAAATGATAGGTCATAAAAAGTCGAGTTTCATCTAAAACGATTAAATAATATAAGTTTAACGGAAATCTTGCGGGCTACACATTAAATAACCCACAACCTAAATTGTTAACACTTCCCTTCTCTAACCTCTTTTGAAAACAATTTTGTATTTGTATTTAAACAATTCGCATTTGTTGTATGAAATTTGCTAAAATCTTCTGTGTTCAACAGGTATTCGTTGCCTCAGTTGGAACAAGAAATGAGAGGGTACAGCAAGCGTTAGAGGCCGTCTTTTCTCCCGTGGTCCATGGCACTGTGTCGACCATTTTGGGCGTCATCATGTTAGCCGGTTCGGAGTTTGATTTTGTTGTAAAGTAAGTCATTTTACATAGTACTTGTTTTATCCGAGACTTGTATTATAGCTGATGATAAAATCAATACGGCTTTTTACGGTTTGCAATGCCATCTTAAGGGAATTGTTTTCGCTATGGTGCTCGCTTCAGTAGCAAATCAGTGTAAATGAATCCTCATTTTTGCTATTGTGTTAGTCCCATTTGATAAGACGCCGTCGCGAATCACGAAAAGGCGTTCCAATCATACACACAAATTCTCTATACGAGAATGGTTGAAAGCTAGTTTCAGCAACACCAATCTTTTTTTTAGATACTTTTTCCAAGTGTTGGCAGCTTTGATTGTTTTGGGTTTTCTCAACGGCGCAATTCTTCTGCCTGTCATTCTATCGCTCATTGGACCAAATCCAGAGGTGTGTGAAACTATTTACTACATTATATGTCAGAGGAGTTGTTTGAAAATAAAATTTCATGCTATCTCTCTGAAAACGAATCAAAATATTGAAAGAGATAATGGTTTGACACTGAATTTTCTCTCTATTTGATTATTTTAACTGGATATTTTTCTGCTTTCCTCTATAGATTGTTCCACTACAAAATCTCAACTCGACGCCATGTACGAGATCATGGATTGGTTTAACGCCTTTTGATCGAAACACATGCAGCTCTGTGACGAACTTAACCAACGATTCACGAGGAAACTCCGGACTTCATCAAGATGATACGATAGAAACTGAAGACGTACAACTTCAAACTCTGGATAAATTTGACTCAAGAACTCGGAAGCTAAAACGGGAAGCTTCCGATCACTTTGACTCGCATTTTCAGAAGACGAAGAAAGAAGTGACGCCGAGACAAATGTATGGCAAAACCCTGCCCTCCTTAACTCAAAAACCTAAACTTGCTGGGTTAAATGACGATAAAAATCGCTCTCGTGGCATGGCTGAGGTAACTGCTACAGCTACAGTCACGGTGAAATTACCTGTTGAACTAAAACAGGAGAGGACCCAGGAAACATGCAATAATAAAGCAATAATACCTCGCTATACCACGTCAAACCCTGACATGGTGGAGGTCGTGGATCTTGAAGACGAATTCGTATAAAGATGTTGGGCTAATACTTCGCGTTCGTCGATTATGAAAATATCAGTCAAAAATACAAGCACGTGGTAAATGAAACGTACGATCAGGACTGGGGGCTCTGCCTTCGACGCCAATGACGTCATTAATTGACACCTCTCTGATCTTTAAATTATACGTGTAGTATGACTGGCTAAAAGATATCAATGTACCCGGGATTACTTGGTTCTTTCAGGTATCTTGGATTGTACGAAGGGCAGCCGATGTGGTCACGACTTAATGGAAACTAATATTAAATATCGAAAAGCTTTGCACATAAATTATATACACATTGGTGGTTATATCACATCCAGTAATAGTGTCCAGAGTGTGACCATATGTATATTTATAACAAGAAAACGAACGTTTTTATATACACAGGAGATATAGAGATATTTATTTAAAAAAAGACGTGCTATATCATCCTTTATAGCCTGAAAAATATACGATTAACTAAAAGATGATCTGATATATACATATATAAAATAATTAAACCAAATGGTTAACATGCCCTACATTCATACCAAGCAGTTTTAGCTTAGAACGTAGTAACAGTGTAGAAGAAATAAACCACAAAATATTTAAGCTTTCTACACTATTAACCCCAAATGACCGTATTTTCGATAAGGGGCTGGTTGTACGAAAGCTGCTGATCGCGTTCTCCACCATGTGTGCGTGTGTGTTGGTTACAATTATAGAATACCCTGCCAATAGTGCATTATGTTAAAGATCTGTTATAGAGGATCAATTTTAGAGTATAGAATTGCCCCGTTCTTTAAAAATAGTGTTTATTCTTGTTCTCTGGAAGTCTAATTCATGCATTAAGAAACATAAAACAAGGAACATTTATCTATAAGACTATATGGCATTCACTGTTAAGAGTTGGGTTGGCAGGGAATTCTATAATTGCTCCCTTTCTTTCAAGGCGGATAGCGCGTTATCCTTCCTCCGTACAACAGCAACGGATATTTTAGTTATCTCGAAATACGTGTAAAAGCATATACTGTATATATAAGAAGAGGAACGTTAGTATACAAAGTAGTTTTCATACGTAATAATATTCTGTATTTATTCGGTTGTTACAAAGGCTCAGTTGTATGAGGTTTTTAACATTGTTGTACTACATATATACTAAAATTATTGCGAGCACATTTATTAAAAGTTGACATGTACGTATTTGTTTATTGTGTATGGGAATATTAACTCGCGCGATCATTCTGGTGAGCATTATATTAGATACCACTTTGAGATTCGTCATTTTCGCCTGTTGGTTTGGCGACAATGACTCTCGCAGAAACTGTGCATACGCAAGTAAACTCGCTCCTAAAACCCGCTCCATGCACGTTTCCTTGCTACTTTACAAAAACAACTACCGTATCTATATACAATAATTGTACATTTCATTTCATAGTGCGAACACAATGTACTTTACCTTCAAGACTGAAATCTGTGATATTTTTAGCAGATGAAGAACGTTCCCAGTTTTTTTAATCTAGTTATCTAGTACCACGCATTTCGCAATCACCCTGATCATATAGCGGTTTGTACATGCTTTTTGTACATGCCACCACATGGTAGAAAAACTTAGCAAGTCATTAACCTGTCCTTTGTTCACGCTCAATCTTTCGCGCCGTGAAGACAATGACCGATTTGGCTGACGTTGGTTTATGTTCCTTCGTCCCTACGCACAGGGGCGTGATAGCTAGAACAAAGGTAGCTTAGCATTGGGATTGTATTTTATGCATTCTGTTCTTCTATGAGTTATTGGAATTATCAACAGCATAAACAACGTTCACCAAACAGCTGTATGGGTTTCGCAAAAGGAAACTGTCTAACGGCATCACATCGATTCAGAGATGTTTTAAAGAAGTGTCTATATATTATTTACGATAAAACAAATTTAAACGATTTCTGCATAAAATTTAAATGATTTCTGCATAGTACAATGGCGTCAATGACACGTTAATTGAGGGGGACCATATTCATATATATTCTGCTATGCTTGTCTGATTTCTTTTGAAAACAATTTCACCTTCAATAGAAATCAACCTGGCATAACAGAATATATGAATATGGTCCCCTCAATAGACCTTATGCTGCATAATGCAGGGATTCCGGTTTTCGCAGTCACGGCGAAAAATTCAAGCTTCAAAATTTCCCGCCGTGACTACTAAGACCAGAATTCCCTGCAGGTGTCACGGCTTGTTACGTCATTATGCATAAGGTCTATTACCGTTCGATTGACGCCCATGGCATAGTAAAAACTGTCTCAAAGACAAATCTCTGTATGAACTAAGTTCTAATGTGTGAGCATATGATAAACGTTAGCCCTTTCGCTTTCAAAAGACACCAGTCAGTCATCATTCGAGTGCAGTTTCCTAACGGTCTGGGACTTGCGCCTTTCGACATTTTTGTACGTTTTAGGTATACAGAGAAAATACACATGACGTTTAGATCGACGTCACCGGTCAATAATAAACTGTTTCGTCATTAACCAATTTAATTACTAAATTACCCAATTATGCATGTTAGTGTCATTTCAGTAGTCGGCATTTGGTGCGAAAATGTGGATAGAAGTAGCACCATAAAAATATTTTATATGCGATTATCAATCGTGACAAGATCGGCAATTGCTTGTCAGCATTATATATCAATGTCAAAAATTCATCAGGTCGTTGATCAAATCTGGTGACACATCATTTTCGGATACACAGTTATCATACACCCTATGCACCTCATTATAGTCCATATGGCTCATATTAGTCATATAATAATTGTTACAGCCCAATAAATCTTCCTAAACAGAATAACTTGTGTCGAGACGTGTATGTTTAGTTTGTTTCGACGGCACGTTCATCTCATCTCTATATATAGAGTTACTCATCATTCATTACATAGTGGCTAAATTATCTTCATAAGAGTCGTTACTTCCTGAATATTTTCCCTTTTATGAACCAAATTCCTCCACGCTAGGGTCTATCTTTTTAAATTCGTAAGCGCCACGGCCGTCCAGATGTAAAACAAACTAAGAGGAAAAACAAATATTTGTGAATATATGCCTCTTAACTATACCTAATCGCACTCAGATCAAAGAGGTATTATATTTAAAATTTTGCACATGCGAAAAAATCGCATAAATATATTTATAGTTTTGGAATGCGCTTAAGTTGCAGAAAGTTTTGTTAACAAGATAGATTTTGTTAAGATTTCATATATCCAATTCATGCGAATACTCATGCACGTGGGATCTCGCATGCATGAGCGTGGTTTTTAGATGCCAATGATAAAATTTGACCGTGAACTATTGATAGTAGTTTTATCTGGCGCCAGGAATATATCCTTGGTGTTAGGAAAAGATCCCATCACACTTCTTTAGAGATAAAAATTTAATAGGCTTTTAACGTATGTTTTTCTTCAAGGATTACCTCATTTTGAACGGAATTTATCCTAACACAAATATACCACCGGGAGAGAAATATTCCGAACGTGAATGATATTGAAACCTTGGCGACCCCACATTATAATGTATTACGCAATAAGCTAAATATCACTGGTCTAAACTACGTGAAAAATATACAAACTTTTCATGTGTGTTTAGCTGAGTTCCAGTGAAGCTCTTTCGTTATTTTAGTTTAGCCATAAACATCGCATTCTTGTTCAATTGTTCGGTGATGTTGTTTTTGGCACTTATTGTATCAAATGGTATAGAAAAATCAATATACTTATGACAGTCTTTTGGGTCTTAATCGCTTGTGGGTGGCATCAAAATGTGTCGACATGCCAGAATATTAAAAACGAGGGTATATCGAGCTCTACGACAGATAAAGTTCCATTTATGTCACTCCTGAACACAAAGGATTTCTATAAGAAGCAGATAAAACTAAAAGGTCGCTCAGATAACAATGTACACAAGTTTTGCCCACTTGGCATTCCGTTCCGAACTTTTCTAAAGCTCTCTTTCAAATTTCTGCCATGTTTAATTTATTGGCATGATTGATATCTCACGGTTTAGATAGTTGGACATAAAAACAAATCCAGGCATCAACACACGTTCGTTTAATTAAACTTGGTTCTTATGCAACATGTCATTATATATGAGTGTATATATAACATTTGCCTTGCAGCAGTTTATAATGAGCTTGGCTCTCTGAGTGCCATGGTTTTGGCAGTGAATACTCTATATATCATTGGATCCGAATCAAATCGCGAATCGTTTTACGAATACTGGCAGCAACAATTTGATACAGTAACATTGTTGACAAAGGCGTACCAGCCAAGCAATCAAGAAAAATTTGCTTGATTTAAAAAAAATAGTTCGTTTTTTAAGATTTTTCAGAGGATTTTGATAAAGATTACTGAAATTTTACAGATGCTTTGAATATCTTTGTCTCGGAAAGGGCAAGAATTTCGTTCTTGATATGACTTTTCAAGTCCTGAGACGACGTGCGTTTCCTTAATCCTTTCCCGTTCTAGATATGTAAACTGATAGTTGGATTGAGAATTTTGCCCTAGAGATCTCATGATATTACCTTGGGTGAAAGTTCAACTTGATGGCGGAAAAACCAGGAAGATAAGATAGGGTAGAATTTTAAAAAGTTCAAATTATTTCACAAGAATTTCACCTCATGATGCTTCCAGAGTGACTTCCTATGTGAAACTGTAAACAGCGTTATACCAATCTAAAAAATACACAAAATATTTTCTCTTTCTCGCCGCATTTGTTGAATTAACGCCTGTAGAGACTACAAGCGCGGGAAAGGACAAAAGCATAAAATGTATTCCTTTCCATTTTTTTCATAATATAGTCTAGATTGCATGAGAGGGGGAGCTATAAACTAGCTAATAAATACATCAAAGCGGCGGATAAAATCCAAACTTTAGCTTGTGAATCAGGCCTAAATATTACGCCTGTGCGCAGGCTATCAACGAGCCTGCATCACTTTGTCAAAGGTTCCCATGACCGGATACTACTGACCCGGGTTATAAAATATTTACCATTGACGAACAAAGCAAAACAAACGATAATAAGTGAGAATTGTTCCTATGAAGTGGCGGATCCAAGATGAGGCACAATAAATTACACGCCCAATTTTGGAAGAATTCCAAATATGTTAATAACAACGCTTCATTGTTTATGGTATTTTCAAATCAAAATCAACATGCACTAATGCGATTGCAGACTACAGTTGTAGTAATTTATTCTGCTTTATCCTAGACCGCACTCATTTCCAACCACGCTGCAGCGAGAGATTTCTCCATATAAACGGCCTCGAGATTTCCATATCGATAGCCTACTAACTTTTCTGCCTAAGTCAGATTTTGTCAGAAATGAGACTTTGCTTCACTCTTTTGTCCAGTGTTAGGAATTTAAACTAAATTCACACTATTTGCAATAGTTTATTCAGGCAGATGAGTTAGTAGGCTATCGATATATTTTCTCGACACGAGCACGGTGTTGCATGGTTGTGGGAATTAAACATGAACCTCGCTATTATGTTGTTATTACCGTCGCAAAAACTAATTCATGCAGGTGCACGTACTCAACTGCAGAGAACTCAAACAACAGGAAATGTCCGAAGTGGGATAAATTTACCGCAAACTCTTTTTTATCTCCATTAACGCCTCTTTGCGATAAAAAAATTCAAAATGAAAAAAAATGAAGTTCTCATACGGTTATGAGTTAATTTCCTCAGAAATATTTATACCTCGCGGCAATGGCTGTAAATAAATCCCTCGACATCAACACTAACAGCACTTGTGCACTCATCCAATATCGCAAACTGGGGACGATGGTAGAACAATCGAGCCATCTACAATAGAAAGAACTACGTCAGATTACTCTTTCAAGCCTGGTTTCCTGAAGGAAAAATGATAAAAAAACAACAACGCGACATCAAGATAAACAGCGTAATAGGGAAAGGTGGGCTTGGAGAAGGGTGTGTGGAGGAAACTCGAAGGGTGGGTTCAGTCTTTTCGGGCCTAACCCCATGCACACATTCCCGAAAGATAAGTAAGTGGGATGATATAAGCATACATAAAATAAAAGGAAGTGAACGTACCGCAATTCGTTGTTTTTCTCCACCACTAAGAACATCCATCCAGTCCTAATGAAAATTTTACTAGTTAGATATTGACTCCCCAAAGAATTCTGTTATTTTGATTTTCATGGTATTGAAGTAATTAGGTGCATTCATTACGAATTAGAAAAACTTTAATCGGTTTGAATTCTGGAATGAATCAGTTTGGTTGATAATCCTAGCTCTACCAATTCGTTTGTGGATGTAAAAATCAAACAATAACCTGAACAGCATCCCATCCACCTTCTCTTTCTAAGATGTATTCAAGATGAACCTAAATCGTATAAAGTGAGAAAAAAATTGACAACACTCCGCCGTGTGTTGCACATTAGTGACTGACTGACCGACTGACGTAAGCAAATCTTTACCACTTTCATCAGAATATGCAAAGCTTGCAAGAAACTTCGGACTAAAACGAACCTGTCTTAAAAATTCTTCCAATTCTTCATCAGATATTTCTTTTTCTTTTTGTTGTTCAGTGGAGTCTGGATATATGACTTGGTCCCGTAATGTCCCTATTGCAAGGTACGGTCGCTAGAAATAGAATCAAAACTAGAAACTACAGTTGACCAAAGCGCAATAAAGTTGAGCTTAGTATTTGTCATTACCTGAGGAACATAAAACAGTTTACTTTTGTGAGGTTTAACCAACTTTCCACCAAAAAGTGGCCACAACTATATGATCAAGAATATATTTTGTGAACATATTTCGCATGAATATACACTGTATTTATAAGGAAAAATACACGCACGCCAAGAATACTGGATTACAGTAATGGCTACTAACTAAACCAAACTTTACCTCTCCTAAAATCCGGAACAACGAGCTTTTTCCACAACCGTTTGGACCACAAACGAGCACGTTCATACCAGATTTTACCTTTGTACAGAGAAATTAGCACAAACGTAAACGGTTTCAATTCTATTTGACGGTAGGAGCACTTTCCAATATAGCATCATATTGCTTCTGTCAATCTTTATTACTATACAGTACCTGGAAGCTTAACTCCCTCACTAAAACATCGCCATTAGGAGTAACCAATGGGACATTTTCAAATCTAAAAATTAATTCCATTCAAACTTTTCCATTAGAGATAAACATGGAATAAATTAAGCCTCGGTCAAGATAAATGAACATGCGCACTAAAAAATATAGTACACTCGATAAATACCGTATGACATGATCGCATTCTACAATTACTCCTGCTGGACAATCTGTGTTTATCTTTAGCGAACTATCTAATAACAAAGGAAATATCTGCATTTACAACCGCGGTCAAGGAATGAAGTATTTATATTTTCTCACGACTTACCAACTTCAGCTTCATCTCCCTCCTTCCTCTGGGAAACCATTGTCCTTTTATAAACCCCTCGGTTCAAATCATTTAAAACATCAATAATTTCCTTCACCCGTTCTGTAAAGCTATAGAAAGCAGTGGTTTTGTACGTACTGTACAATGTACATGAAGAAAAATAGTTCAAAGTTTATTTGACGCAATTACTGTACGAAGTGCATAACAGGTTCGTGAAAATTAGATTTGACAGTAAGCCTGCACTATCGCTACTTTATTATACAGTATCCACATCCATTTTTCAATTGTGGACTGGATTTAACATAGAAGTGAAATCTCCCCAGAACTGAAATGAAACCTATTAGAATACTCTCTTTCATATTAACCCTCTCTTACCCAGCAAGTCTAGTTAATTCTCGACCAGCGAGAGCGACCCTGCCAACGGCCTCACCCATCTTGACCATCATACGACCACTGACATAATAATCCTGAATACGAAAGAAATGCCGAGTTGCTTTGGGTGTTGATGAAGTTACAGTTTATTCATAATGCGGATAACAAATTCAAAGCACTATTTCTATATATATGTGACAAAGAAAGAATTACAACCGAAGAACCAGAAGAAAAAATAATAATGGGTATAGCAGGACACAGGGTGATATAGACGGGGTTATATAGCGTAATCTTAGGATTGGGGTTACTATAAGGGAACGTTCGAGATAGCAATTAGAGTTAGAGACATGGATAGGGCGAGTTTGAAGTAAGGTTACAAATTGAGTAAGGGTCGAAAAAAGAAGATCGTTCAGAACTCGACAGGTTTGCGACTGTTTTTTTTGTACTTTGTTTTTCGTTTTACCTGTAATCTATCACTATATGAACTGTTGATATATCTTGGGTTAGCCAGGTTTAAGAAAGGAATACTGACAACCGAGAAACCAACAACCAAACCAATATCTAAAAAAATATATAGGGACATTACATAGAAATGGAATACTGTTAGAGTGCACATCGTTGGCTATACAGTGATAACTAGTGATAGCAACATACTGTATGAGACTAGCAAAGAGAACTCGCAAATGGATCATCTCACACGCAGGACGTTTATACGTGCAAGAGAGCTACACACTGAGATTACTCAAACAGTGGAGCATCGTGGAAGTCCTCGACCTGTTGTATAGTAAAATCTTGCTTACATTTTGCAATTATGCTGTCAAAGAAACCCATGGTAACTCGAAATTGTAAGAATGTTCTTAGATGATTCACCTGAAAAGATACCATTTCATTAATTTCTTAACGAAATACATAAAGAAGAGAAATGGAAATGCGATTACATTGTCACGCAACTTCACTTCCAAGATACTTACGAGTCTTTGAAAAGCATGATTTATGATCAATTTTTCTCGCGAATCTCCCTGATAGAAAGCAATTTCTTCACTACAAGATAACAGTTAACTGCTTACAGAATCATTCAAAGCTGGATAACACAATGAATGACGGTTTTCGAAACTAATGTGAACAAAAAAGATCTGACTGACCAAAAAATATTTAATTGACAGATTAAATATTGTGCACTTCATAAGACCATGCAGTTAAAGTGCATTAAATTATCCACAATCGTGAAGAGCGCCGAAGATTTCTTCAATACTTTGTTGGAAAACGTATACTTGGTAATTAATTGTATAAAGACCTGGGGCCGGTTGTTTATTAAACACCTTTCGAACAACCGGCGTAGTTAAGAGGTATGGTTAGTAGCCTACCTATTTGTGAGTAATCTGGAGTTAACGTATCTGTATTCTCCCTCTAGATGTTGTTCTTCGACTGTCATCCGTCCTGCCGGACGTCTTAGTCTAAACAGAAAAAAGATCCTCTCCGTGACCAGTTCTCGTCCAGTCAATTCCTAATTCCATGTCACACAAAAACATTGACCATTAAATGAGCTAATATGATATTTGAACGCATGCGCGAGACTGTGTTTCTTGATTTCACCAAGGCTTACGCTGTACGCATAAACGCGTACGATAAAAGTACACATTGTACTGTACCTCGTTAGAACAAAACCTGATATGGTGAGATAACCCAACATTGCAAGAGGTCCCTGTAAAGATTCACGATTTCATTGTAATACAAAAGGTTGCCGACGAAAATGTTTCGATTTTGGAACAACTATAATTCTATTACAAGGTTCACTTTAAACTGCACGAATTTTTCAGCCTTTCCGGGGGAGGTGCTTTAGCTTTAGCTTTATTCTTAGGCGAAGTTGCTCAGTATGCACTATTTCCCTCCTCATGCGTTAATTCTATAATTCTATCATGGTTTCAGTTCTAACGCATCAATATTTACCATATTCTAAGACCTGTCTCGTAAATAACAGAAAAACACCAATCGTAAATTTATACCTGTAATCCAATCGCACCAGCAAGCCTGTACACGTACAATATGATGTCTAAAATGGGCTGCAAAAATAGAAGACTTAAGTGATTATGTTAGGACAGTCTATATAACAACACGTTTTGTATTAACATATCTCAAATTAGTGATGGAAATAATATTGCGATAGAGAATACATTACCGACCTTGCTAAGATTTGAATACAATTCCACTAAACCACTGCAGAATTTCTCCACATCCTGCGTACAATAAAACACAGTACCTTAGTTATGTAATTTAGACAAAAGAAGTCAGCAGAGTTCACGGAGATGTTTACACAAGTGATCAATGCAGGAAAGATGTAGGAGCTGGTTGCGTTATTTTTTAACTAAATGCATGTTCGCTTCTCTTGCTAAAAATGATACTAGAAATCCGCTAAATGCACCTTACAGCTGCTTTTGGTGGCGAAAACAACGATGGATATAATTGAAAATACGATGGAAATGCATTATTGAAGAAAACGTTTTCGGCCATGACATTTCCGTTAAAGGCGTTATCGAAGTTATAAATTGTTGTATATATTATTATACATATTAGTCTTCATTCTTGTTGTACCTGAGTAAGAAGTTGATCTGGGTTAGATATCCTTGAATCAAGGTTGCTTATTTTATAGTAGACAAAATTACTAAAACAAGAGGGGATAATGAATATATTAGAGCTGCCGTATTTTGGTGTATGTTTTCAAATAGTTTGTTGAATTGTTTTAGTGTGAATACATCTAATTATACATTTTCGTCAGTAAAAAGAGCCTTCATCCAGCTGCACACGGCACTGTAAATAATGTCTACCCAAACTTTACCTCAAATATTTTGATAGGAGATATTTCGTCATTCTCGTCCTAAAACGAAGCTCCAATTCATTCAGGCCAAACTAAAAACCAAAGTAATTGCGGGGGGTTTTATTTAATCACAACGAAATTTGAAACAAAGGAAATATTCGTCATTGTTTTGTATAATTTAAGACAGATTATGTTTTACCTTGAGAACATTATTAACAATTGAAAGCTAAAAAATCAGGGATCGGAAAATTAATAATTTGTTTATAAAATAATTTGTGAATAATGTATAAAACACGGTCCTACTAAACACTGCCAGGGACTGCCTGGGACCTAGTAACTAATAGAAATTCACTTACAAGAGGCATACGGTATACAAATGCAAGAATATTCTTCTTAAAAGCTTCAATATCCCGACCAATAATCGCTCTAAAGACAAACTTTATGTATCAGTTTGTTTTTTTCATCTGCCCTCTCTTCACCCAAACCAAGACAATCCCACTCCACAGACCTTTCAGTACTTGTTGTATTTTGGATCATCCAAAGGTCACAATATGTCCGAGTTAGCAGTGAAGCAGCCACCAAAAGCAACAAGCCCGTCTGGAATAAAAACATTCGTACATGGGATATAACAAAATAATACAAGCCTGTTTGGAATTGAAACATTTGTATATGGGATATAACAGAAAAATCCCTCAGACTAATCACGGATAATACAGTACATTGTATAGAGTCTAACTTCCTTTCTGCATAAAGAAATGATATAGGTAGCAAAGGATTAATTAAAAGGTCAAACACATAACATACAGTACCTCAGGAGTCAGCCATCCAGGAATAACAATTTTTATCAGCTGAAATAAATTCCTTTAGAAAGAAATGATTTGTACAAGGTTGTTATGTGATATGCTTGAGTAAGTGGAAACTATCCACTCAAGATTTAGAGCAAATATTACAATTCAGAAATTTCCAAAATGACGAAATCTAACATAGAACATGCAAACAAGTACAGTTTGTGAAATATTTTACCTGAAAAATTTTTTATCAACTGCAGCACGACTTTTTACTTTGCTTTTCTATCAAGAAAATGATTATACTTTATACTAATTATACCTTTGTATACAGCAGCGTCAAGGATGAAAGAAGAGCACACCAGACCAATTTTTAGGATAGCGCTGCCCTTTATTGTAAGCGCGGGTATGACAGAGGATTCTAGACTATAGTTTTAATTTAGATTGCGATTTTTGGCACTTCACTAGATGCATGTAAATTATTGGTGTTTAAAAGGTCTTAATTTAGAGTGAAGATTAAGACCCTTTAAAGCCCTATGATTTTAATTTAGTTCCACATTGCGTTCTTCAGCATTACTATGCAGACATTTCACAATGTTCAATACAAGAACACTGCTAGAGTTTTTAGAAATCCAATATGCAACAACTTTCTTTAACCAGATTTCCAAGAATCACATTAGTCATTACCTTGCTTTCCACATGTTCTGCTTCTAATGAAACAGCAGTATGTTCCTTGGCATTTTTCTGACGTAATCTAGAAATCAACATCAGTGACAGTCAACCTCATGGAAATTTGCCATAAAATTGTGGACTGTCTCAAGAATTTACCTAGGGATTCTCCTGCAGTATATACCAGTCTTTCATTAAATGTTCAATGGTTGATTAATTTCATTTTACATAGAAATTTAGTTTGGTATTTATTTGCATTATACTCCCAGGAAAGGCATAGCATAGCCTAAGGCATGTAAAATAATATTAATAGGTACTGAATAAAGAACGTCAATATCTATTCTATGTTTTGTCTCTAAAAATGAAGTCTGAAAGGAATGAAAGCCACAGTTTTGCTACATTTATGGTCTTCCAGTACAATATTGGAATTATGTTTATTCTGATCTGTATATTGAGTTATTACGTAATTTAAATATTATTAAAATGGTAGCGTCACGAAAATACCAGCATTTATAATACAGAATAACTTACTTTTTTTCCTTTTCTTCAAGTCTAGATTTATTCCAAATAAAGAATGCCACAGTGGCAGCCCCCAAAGCAGCAAGACCGTAATTATTGGCAGAAATAGCTTCGGTGACACGCTGCTGAAGTTTACTAAAAGCCACCATTTTGATATAAATTGTTGTGGTTTTTGACACTGATCTCACCATACTACACTAGATGGCTATTACGACACAACCGGGGGTTACCGGCCACAAAAAATAATGTGAAATCACGAAAACACGAAAACACTGAGTGCTGCAGCAGGTTCATCATGATCTGAGCAGTTCACTGCAAAAATTTGTTTTTAGTTGTCATGTTTATTTATCTGCTAAATGTTTCTATTGTTTTGCTTGTTACCACTAATGTTCAAAAGGAGGAAATTTGGGGGGGGGAGTTGTGATTCTATGTTAGTTTTTTCATGGAAATGGTGCTAAAAAGGTTGCTTCGGGATGCTCGAAGTACAAAAAAATTCCTCAAAGTTTCAAAATTTGCCGAGCACAATTTGTGGGGGACTGGAGGCCTACTCATGGGCTCTTTCATTCCTTTCAACAAAAGCTCTGTATTTATAGCAAAACGACACAAAGTTTTATGTTTTTTGTGTTTACAAAAAATCATTTTTTTGCAAACAGTCTGCATCTTATTCCCGGCAAAGACAATTTACTTGTTAATGTTTTTCTACGAACAATTTTCTACGAACCTCCGGACCAGGGGGTGGAGCTACCTGCGCGATTCAATATGGCGACTGTTAATGAACTTTATATATTTAGTGATCCCACTTAGAATTTTTAAACTGCATTGCGGATGGCTGGAATGGAGAGTCATTCAATGGTAAATATTGATTGAACAATACTAAACCTGAATTACGACTGATGGAAGTAGTCATATTCGTGAACCAATAAAAATTCATATTTTCATGTCTCTTGACACGCACTTGTCCGGACGGACCCCGCTAGAAAAAATTTTTATTAGTAATCTATTGGTAGTCTGCAGAAGACGTACAAAATGAGGTTTCTCCTGATAAGTTTTAATTTTAGCATAAAGCGTCCGGACATTTAAAAGTGTAACATTTCATTTTGATGACGTGTTCTTAAAATGTTTTGACTTTTGAATTTTCGCTTGAAAAAGTCCTGGTACGAGGTAATGCTACACGTGGGTGGCTGCTATTTCCGGTTTAGTTATAACGTTTTGTCACTTTTTGTGGTTGACACTTTCTCTGCTGACGTAATGTGACTGATATCATACACAATTTGAATTGGGAGAAATAGTTATTTATTTCTACCAGTTAATAAACACCAAGAAGTTTAATTAGTTGTTTATTTCTACCAGTTAATAAACACCAACCTTGAGCTAGGGTACCCATCAAAGGGTTTGAACTAGTCTGGAACTGAGAGGTGTCCTCAGCAGCCTGATGAGATACCATAACAGAGCTGTGAATTTTACCTATCTTTGCAAGAATCTCAGAAAACCCCCTGTAATAATTAGGGATGAATAACTCAAATAGCTTGCTGATCATACACATGCAATTACAAAAAGGTTGAACAAATAAATCAGAGACAGTAACAGCAAGATATATCTCTCACGACTCTGTATATAATATCATCCTTGGTAATATACAGTCCACATGACGTATAAAGCATATGGCAGACTGCGGAAAATTTGTAAAGAAAACTTTATAACTAAATAATATTTTTATCTTAAAAAAAGCATCTTCCACTCACACCACTAGCTCAACAAATTGTATTCTTATAACACTAGTCTGGCCCTCAATATAACATACAACCTTGCATTTACATTTAGTTACCAACTCAATAATACTTGCAATACTACATACTTGCTATTATAGAAAGCTATGAGTCATAGTAGGGTTTATTTTTTGCCCAATTTCACTGTCTGCCAGAATTCACACATATAGTAAGTTCAAGTAATTTCCTTTCTGTGGTTCCTCCTTCTAATATTTCCATTCAACAATAAATAAAATTAATAAAAGGAAAGGTTTGCTGGAAATTGTAACCATCTCTAGCCCTAGAAGACCCTGGGTTTGGGTGTAAAACACGATCTCTTTTTTAAGAACCATCTCAAATGTCCATTCCTACAACAATAGTGTCGCATTAACGCACACATAAAAGCCATTAAAACGTAAGTTAATACGACAGTTTTTGGTGACCTCGTAAAGCGAAATTGGGTCATATATTTTCAGTTAATGATTTCACTCGTATCGTTTTCAATTTTTTTCTGTCCACCACGCTCGTTATCTATCGGAGTGTATCGGAATATCCCCGATTTTGGTACTAGTTTTTATCTCTATGGTACAGTACCGTATTAATAAATATTTGTTAGCTAGTAGTAAAAAAACTGTATTATTGATACTTAGGCTTAGAAGAAAATTCATATGGTTGTTATGAAAGGCACATTTATAATAAAAATGTCCAAAGCGGCAAAATATCTCCATATGATGGGCTAATCCAGTCACTTCACACATACGTCTATTAACTCTATTTCATGCATGGTCACTACAAAATGGATCGAAAATGCTTCATAAATATTTTCCTGATATTTATAGGAAGTAGACACACTTGTCGCTACACTGATGTCATTGGGTTTTGATATTGATGGATGTCAGCAAGCCATTGCAGTTGGAAACTCGACTGTAGAAACTGCTGTGGAATGGCAAGTCTAAGTCTATATATATTTTAGTTAGACTGTGCTGTACATTTCAATTTAAAATGTGGGTAGAGTGACCGTCAAGAAACCCGAAGCCAGGGGAAAATTATAGTTCACACATATTTATTTAAAGCAATAGTAATTTTGTTCAGGTTGCTTAATAAAGATCGCGACAAATCCAGGGGGAAGGCTTTAGAGAAAGCAGAGGGAGAGGTTGTAAAGGAAGCAGTGAAAACCGAACCGTCTTACCCAACTACAAAGGAAGATAAAGTAAGCAAGCACTATTCTCTGAGACCTTAGTTCATATCTTTTTCCAAAGATTTGTCATATACCAATCTAAAATCATGGTCAAGTTAAGAACCAGTATATTGGCTGGAAAAATCAGCGTACAAAACCTGCCCGAGCTTTTGAAATTTGATTTTTTCTGACATTAGTATTGGTAATGGACGTAACATTTAATATAACCACAAAACATTGACATCATTCTTGTTCATTATTTGATGTCAATAACTGGACACTAATTAATAAAAAAGTTATATTCATAGACGGCCGCAGTAGCAAGCCGATACACACCTGATGAAACTCAAAAAAAGGCCCAAGACGAATTTGAACAACGACAACGAGATAATATTCAACGTGAAGCTAAGAAACGAAGGCTTATTGATAAACAGGTATGCAATGTGAACGTTTTAAAGATTCTCTAGGATCAGGTAAGGAATAAGAGAAGGAAAAGATGTTGCTGCATTCTAGGCTCGTCAAGAAGTCTTGAAACAAATAAAAGAAGATAGAGACAATGCAAAAACCCGACGATTTTCAGGAAAACAAAAACAAGGAGAGCAGTCAAATGTGGGAAGTAATGACAAATCGTCAATTGGATCACATGAAGGAACTTCGTCAAAAGAATCGGCAAACAATACATGTAAATTAAAGGTACTATGAGGCTGCTATATATGATCTCCTGTAGGAACGGGAGGATTGGATTTTTTTCAAACTTATGTGTATACTGTACTTTGCTCATTTTTATTCTGTTCAGATAAGATTATCTACCGGCAAGAATATCATTGAGAGTTGCGGAAGTAGTGAATCTTTACTTGACGTGATCAACAAAATAAAGCGCACATATAGTGAGCCTGATAACGTTGATATTATTCAGGTATTTCCTTTATACATATTGCACATTATTTCATCGTTGAATGGCATGTTTTAACTGATTCGGCTATCCGGTAATACACCAGTGCACCCAGTACGTAAATGTTGCTCTTCCTTTTATTCCGAATTCAAGCATGGAATTTAGAAAGTAACCTGCTCTACAACTTTCTTTAGCCATTTCCCCACACAAAGTTTAATGCTAACGATATCAAAAAATCTTTGCTTTCGCTTGGTCTTTCTCCGGGTGGATGTATAGTCTTAAAGAGGAGTTCAAGTACTACAGGTAGATAACACTTTTCCACTGGTTCGCTCTCATGCACATTCGCTCTAAATATTCGCCCTTCCCATTTGATGCATACAGTAGTTCTTGCATCATAATGCTTTGTTGATATTGCGCGGTGAAATATTGCCCCCAATTCAATTAAATGAATACCAATCTAAGGGCTAGAAGAAGATATGCCAGAGCAAGATGAAATACAAGAGCAAGATGAAATACAAGGTAATCCCGACGTTGCTCAGCCTGGCATACAACTCGATATTACACAACCTTCCCGGGAAGGTATCGTATCACTTCAACAAGAAGACAGGCAACGAGATGAAGTTCAAGAAGAAGTAGAGGATATCCCCCAGGAAGATGATGTAGAACGTGGCGATGACATTCCTTTGCCTGGACAGAATGTCACACAACGTCAACATGTGTGGGGAGCTGGTGTGTCACTGGGAAGACATCCTTTTAACCCTCACGCAATTAATCCTGTTATTCATGCTGAATCTGCAGCTGAAGCAGCTGAGGCCAGACTGAGGGCTCGGCCACCCCATCCAGGTACAGTATAGGAAAGAGGAATATTTCTTCAAGTCTAATTTATTAATGACATTTCTGATACATTGACTGACGACTGTAAAATCTCATTTACAAAAAGTGACGATTCCACTATGTTTTCTTAATGCGTTGTGTGTTTTGATTCTTTGATCAATCCTGTCAGTAACATCAACATAACTTTTTACATATTGCCACATGATGCAAATACTAGAGAGGTTTTATAAAAAATACAAATGCAAATTTTTTATCATTTTCCAGTTGAACGTGACGAACATTCAGATTCCCCGTATTTACCATCTCGTGAAGTACCGAGTCTGGTAGACTCGTGTATCAAAGATATTGCAGCAAGATTACCTGGACATCACCATTCCGTGGGTAGCCTTGCACCATTATCTCAACGTCTGTGCTTTAAGATTTTGACGTGTTTGATGAAAAAGAAAACGTTAACACCTAAGACGTTGATATTCTTTGTTCCGTGGTAAGCCCCGTCTATAATCATGTTAAATTTGCAAGTCTATCATAATAACTCGTTCTATATGTCTCTTTATCCAGTCAACTACAGCATCTTGTTTTGGACCACTATCTTTATGTGACGAATGAATTGTTCAATATCGTAAGGTATTCAGGTTAACAGATGCTGGATGTCTTTATACAAGTTTCTGTTAGAAGTTGCCCAGTGTGCTGTAAAACATTTCACGGGTGAAAACGATTATTTCTTTTCTTTGTCCAGGTTATTTAAAGGCTTAACCCATCTAAGTGTTCAGTCATGCACAGTCTTTACTGATAAGGCGTTGGAGGCGATCACAGGTACCAATGAAATGTTTTGGTAGCAGTAGTTGAAAGTGCAACGTACTAACGCAAGTTCAAGTTTGAGTATACACGTTACAGGTAACATTTATTTAACCCAAGAGCCTTTACATTCTTTTGTGATTTTCTGATAGGATTGAAGAAAATAGTCCATTTGGACTTTAGCAATTGTACACAACTGACGAATCAGTGCTTGAAGCACTTAAAATGTACGTGGATCCATTTATTGAACAACCTTTGTTAAAAACATGCACGTTTGATTGTTTTTTCTTCTGTATCATGATTGTCTAAGCTTGCGAAAATGTACTTTAAAATGCATGAACTACTAGACTCAAACTGTAGTTAATCATGCATTACTTCTCTTCTTTCAAAGATCACACAAACCTTAAGACTCTTAAACTTGTCAGTACCAAGGTAAACTGGATACAAATTCGGCAGTCAATAAATTTTTAAAGTGTGAATCGACGATATTTTAGTTACTAAAATTTTGGTTTACGCGCAGATCACTGATGAAGGTTTGTGCCCGCTCTTCATGGAAACCCAATGGCTAGAACTCCAAACACTCAACCTCAGCAAAACAGCTGTTACTAACAAATCTCTAGTAGCTATACAAGGTAAAATACCCGTTCGTGTGTAGATGAAATTTGAAATGGCTATATAATTCAGTTCTGATACTGATATTTATCTATTCAAAAACAGTCCTAGTTTAAATTTATGTAAGTTATGTATTTACTGTCTGTTTATGTTAACATGTACTGTCTGATAGCAAAGAAGTTGAAAGAACTACATTTGGAACAAACAAGTGTAAGTAACTCCCTTATAATCATCTTTTCATCTAAAATCATATGCACGTGTACCATAGAAGCACCTACTCACGGAGGAGTTGAGAACAGGGGTGATTGTCTCAGGGCCAAGAGAATAATAACCCTTGAATAGCGGATCTTGAAATTCTAATACGAAGTATTGTCGTGGGGTTTGCTCTGCCTCTTGACCCCTCTGAATGAGTGCATATATGTTAGGGAAATCACGGTGTTCTTAAACCATGCCAGAACACTACCTCAAACAGTGGTAAGTTATTGGGGCAAATCTCGGGTGCGTGGAGATACTGTTAACAAATGATACTGTGTCTGCATGAGGTATAATTTTGAGTACGTTTTCTCAGTATGCTTTCGGTAAACTTTTTGGATAATAATTGTGTATGTAATCATGTCTTCCTCTATAAGGTGTCGGAGTTACAAGGAGTAGGACATTTGACTAGTTTAACTAGCCTGAACGTCGGTGGAACAAGAATAAATGATAAGAGTTTGTCATCTCTAATAAACCTTCCATCTCTGGAGAAACTAAATTTACACCAGACGCAAGTCACAGACCAGGGTCTTTCTCATCTTACGGGTATGTGACAGGTATAGACTTATATAGACATATAATGTACATATAATTGATAAATGTTGCTACACTGGATAGCACCCCCCAAATATGTAAATATTCCTTAATGGATATATACATACGTTGTTTGTTTGATGTCATGTATAATGCATCACATGAACAACTGTTTTGTGAGACAAAGATATAATATTTTCTTACAGGATTGCAGTTAAAAGAGCTTCGTCTTCCAAACAGAATAAACATAACAGACATCGGGATTTCTTATCTTCAAGGTGGTCAAGTATTCCTTTATATTCATTGTCCACACTTTAGATTACTTTGATTGAAGATAGCTTTTTTTTGTTCTTTAATCGAGTTTTAAAATGGTTTGTTGATTGTCAGCATTATTAGTTGTATATATTAGTTACCATTTAAATGTGCTGTACGTAGGCATGCCGCTGACCTCTCTGGATCTCACCGATTACGTCAATATATCGGATACCGCTCTGAGGACTGTTGGACGACTAACAAGGTAAAACCAGCAAACATAGTCATAGTATTTTATCATTATTATGTAATCATGTAACAAAGAGGAGAATCAAAAATAGACATGCAACTTTTCCATATATCAAATGGATGTATTGGATTTGTTATGATCCATAAAATAAATGCACGTTGGTTTGCCCTCATCAATTTCAATAGTCGCACAATTTTTTTATTGACCCCAGGCTTGAAAGATTGTCCTTGAGTAAAACTAAGATTTCAGATAGAGGAATGTCATTTCTGTCAGGTAAGAGTTATGTTGGATCTCTCCATGAGGGTATCGTCAGTTTATTGAATCTCTGAATATACTTGTTTCAGAACTTTCGAGGTTGAAAGAGTTGGATTTAGAAAGGTGTTGACGATTGACGATGGACTGGATGTTCTTTCATGTAATTATTTTTTCTTTACGATTTCATGACATACATGATATTACAAAACCTGCTATTCTCTTTTGATGCAATACGTACAAAAGAATACGATCATTACGATGTGCTGTATCTGCTGAAAAGACTACGATGTGCTGTATCTGTATATTCCCTCACAATAACTATTGAATGTCTTTGTAGACTTTGTTCAGCTTGAAGAACTTAACCTTTCTGGAACCGGTATTACTGACCGTGGTATTTCGGCTGGAAAACTAAACTGTCTAAGATTCTTATGTAAATTAAATCTGAGTAGAACAAATCTTACTGACGCTGGTGTCGCAAACCTAAATCTTCCTGAACTAACCTTGTTAAATATTGACTGGACCATGACAAGTCAGCATTGTTTAAATTTACTTGAAGGTAAGTGTATGTGATTGCTCACAGAGTACTCTATACTCACAGGGTACAGACCATGACGTACCTTAGGTATACAGGTACGTCAAGGTCTGTGCAAAGGCTAACTTCACCCTGGGTAGACGTTTAGCCAAACATTCGGGTGTAATCTTGAACTCTGTTTTTGTGCCGCTAAAAGCATGTTATATTGTGGGATCTATATACCTGTGTGTACAGTACAATAAGAATCCTGAAATTGCGCCTTGTTTCAATTTCTCACTCCAGTTAAATGGTTTTGCTTTAGGCTGTCCACAGCTTAAAGTTATCCGACGTCAGAATTGTCGAACTGAGGGAAGGTGACACAGGTTACAACGATATACAAGAACATTATTTTTCCAGATTTAGTTGATTTTAGCCATTTATTATTTATAGGATTTCACTATTATATACCTAAATGTAAGCGAGTTATCTACTTTTGTAAGGTTCAATTCTACGATTGTAAATTCTCTTATGTACAACTGTGTTCGGCAGGTGCTGTAAATGGTTATTAAACATATTTTTTCCATATTAATACGAGTTCGATCAAACGTCTTCGTGGAAATAGTTTAACTCTGTTTACATTTTGGATGTAAAACAATCCTTGCAATACGCGTCTTCCTTCCATTCCTAATGTTATAACAAATGTAACTGCATGTTTCCTCTTCCTAATCTTATATCATTCAACCATCATCAGATACTGTATTTGTGGTTAAAATTTTATATTTCTCTATAATCGATACACTTCGTCAAAATAGATATAGGCTTGTTTTGTACAATGATGCAGGGGGATTAGGGTAGCCACTAGTTATAGGTAACCAAAATGCATGGTTTAAGTAATAGCGCGATAGCGATAACTATCGCTGAACATTTCCTATTTCGCTTACTTGCAGTGTTCAGTTATTGTGCTTGCAATTTAATCACTCGCCGTCACGTCAACTGCGGACCCCTAAAATTGCTAACCAATATATTTTTAAACGTCCTAATTATTATAAATAATATCTGTAGTTATAGCTATATTGGACTTTCTTTTGTACTATATCGCATATTTTAATGTACAAATCTACAACAAACTAAACGAAAAAAGGTACTATATGTCCTATCTCTTACAAACATCTAAACTCCCTTTCTCCAGGAAAGCTGGTTTCTCAAAACATCCTTGGTTATCTTGTGGAACTTGACTTTTGGCACTTCTACAAATTCGTTGAGTACTTTTGTACACAAATAGAGAAAAGTGTACTCCTTCTCATTGAACGAATATTATCGTGTTCATTTCGCTGACAACAAACCCCAATACAAGATATTCATAAAACCAAAGGAGACTGGAAAAAGAATGCGACAAACACGATCGACCATTTGACTCAAAGAGAAATGACAATTGGATTTATACACAGCAGATTTTGGTATACATTTTGGCAATGCAACCGAGTTACGACCGCGGTGATACAGGTCATTGTGCGCAAACGCGATGCGCAGAGAACGTGTTTCACCATTTTCATCGACTAAACAGGGAGACGTTGCCTCTTGTTGTTTTAACGCGTCCATCTTAAAAGAGTCCTCCTAAAAAATTGCGAACTTGGATTAACTTTATACAGCTTATATAACTATAGCTTATATAAAAGTAATAAGTTAATATAATAATAATACCCCGGCTGTATGAAACCCCGTGGTTAAGTTCAAAATAGAAAGCAAGTCTAGCGTTTTATTTAACAAGCAAACAAAATGTTTTTAACCTTAATACAAAGATACTGCTTACAACTACATATTCATGCAGTGCATAATGTTTAAGTTAACTTATTCAAGAGAGATGTAAGAGTGTCATTTAAACGGGTTTGATACAACCGGCCCCAGCCGATATTTAAAGCGACTTGCTTACCCGCATAACGTTGTTCGGTTTGTACCCGATAACTTCTTCCGTAATATTTGTCCTTTTATCTTCTTTGAGCATATCATCATAACGAGAAAATTTAAAAACGACGAGGGACTCAACCAATGTTGCAAACACGAACATAAAACTTGTGATTAGATACCAGTCTATAGCTTTGGCATAACTCACGCGAGGCATGGAAGAATTGTTGGTACCAAGTAAGAAAACTATCGTAAGAATCGTTGTGATCCCTATGCAGAAATATAGTTTGAGAAGTAATCCTGACACAGTAAAGTTTTCTATATCTCCAAACTCTCAATGCTTTCAAAGTTATAGAGTGTTGATACTGAACACGTCATTTGAATTATATAATATGGTACCTAGCATGCAATATTTAACTAGTCGGAGAAGATCCTTATGAACCTTAGGATTGTTTGCAAGAACAAAAAAAGTTTACCTAAGGATACTCTTTCTCCAATGTCCCTCGGGTCAATGTAAAAGGACAACCAACTAAGTATAGTGATGATTAAGGTTGGAAGATAAACCTGAATGAGATAAAAACCCATCCGACGTTCAAACCTGAATTTCGCCCGTAGACTAGAATAATTTCCTATGAAAACACGGAAAATAATTTAAAAAGATGAAAACAAAATATATCTTCCTCCCACAACTCTAGGTAACGGAAACTCGTATAATTCTTTGCGTTCATTCCTTATTGCAAACCTAAAGGCCTCCTAGTACACGATACAACTAGACTGAGTCGGATTCTAACCCTGACGAGCGGCAACCTCATTGTGGTCATGCGTGGGCATATCTATCTCATATCCTTCAAACTAACCTGCTTTGTATGTAACATTCTCGACTGTACACTTGATATCAGAAATTTCAAATTCAGCCATTTGTGTATTTATGACTTGTATCGGTTGATCTGTACCACTTTTCTTCCAGCGTAGTTGCATATGTTCATTGCTGTAAGCATCTAAACGAAACGATTGCAACCTTAAAAAGTAAACCCTATGAAAATGCTGCTAACATTACCTCAGCTTTACAAAAATTTAGCAGTATACGCGTGATAAATGCATGATCAAGTCGAAGAATACAGATAGAAATTCGGCTGCACGAGAAGTAACTTTCATAAAGATATATAAGACTCTACGATAGTTATAGTGAGCTTACAACTCTCAATTTTCAATGTACACTCCTGAACATCCATTGGGAAATTTTGCAAGTACATTTGACATGCGGCTACAATCGTCACCCTGTAAAACAATTGAACAAAAACATATGTACATGTTAGGGTTTTTTGTTACTCTATAAGGTTTCCAAATGACCAATATACAAGGGATGGGAAACAGGTGCCCCGCTTTAGAGAAATATCAACGTAACGTCTCTACTATTCTGACGAAGTGGAGTGTCAGTGATACTACGTGCAATACCTATGAATATGATGTGAATTGTGAAAGGAGCATCACAGCCCCCTAGCTTAAAAATCCTACGTACTGGCCATGCTAGGGAATCCCACTGGATACTATTTCAACCCGATAAGCTAGGTAGCTTTGCTTCCTGACTGAGCATGGGCTGATGGGTATGACTTTGGTTAAGGAGCTTTTATTCAAACAACTAACAAGACCTCACTGCATCATTACCTTGCACTGTAATACACTCCCCCATCAATTGAAATGACAGCAAGTTGATTTTTCTCGTGTAAAGTAAACTGGTTGGAATTGGGAACATAGGTATCTGGTGTCCAAATTCTCTCTGAAACTTCTTTTCCTTTTAACGATAGAGTTCCTGCAACCTTATGCTTTAGTCTTGGATCTTTCCAACGTTGGATAAGGAAGACGCTTGATGTAAATTCCTTACGAGCAAAAACATTTGTTATTGGATCATATAAAGAAGAGACACTAGCTGCACGGGGGAATACATGCACGTTTCGAACTATTTCTGCTTCAGTTAGATGCGTAAAATACAAAGCTTCACCTTCAAGTTAAACAGGGCATGAATGATTTTTTTTATAAAACCCAAGTTAAACTAGTTACCAAACCTAAGTTAAACTAGTTAAGTCACACAATCTGTGTTTTACCATAGTAGATTCCTTGATGTCTTTAAATTGTTGAATCTGACCAACCACATCAACTTCAATTGGCTTTTCTATAGAGTGTACAGCAATATTTCTTATTATATATTAGCTTCCTAACTCTTGACATAGTAATATTTATACATATATACCCGACATCTTTGCATACAAAATGGGAAGAAATAATTTCAAACGTCTGCGTTCTATCGATGCAAACTTTGGAACTACGGTAGCGCATTGTGACATCCCCCCCCCCTAACAAAAAAGGTTCTACGCCCTTTCATAAACTATATGTGAACTCACTTTGTGCAAACGGACGTGTGCGTATATCATAAACATTTTTATGTAAAAGATCCTTCAAAATATTTGTTGCATTTGCAGCCTCTCGTCTGTCAACAACGTCATCCGTAATTGTAGCTGTTCTAAAAAGTGAAAATAGAGGAAGATAAAATACAGATGAGAGGAACTAATACGTTTACTTTTCTCCTGGATTAAGATTAAAAGCTAAGAGTTTCCAAAATTGGCAACTAAAAGTGATATCTTACTGAGTAGAACGAGTGAAACGAAGTACAGCACAAACCGCATATATCAGCATTATTTGCATGATTGCTCTAAAAATATCAAAAAAAAACATCAGATATCTAACACTAAATATTATATAAAAGTGACTTATTCAAAATTTCAAATATTTAAAATATGTCACGTGCATGTCATCAATGCGAACCAGCTACGTTATTCGATAAACTGAATTCAGGTGTGACACGAAGATGGAAAAAGTTTTGTATTAGTGAACGTAATACTAACTAATGGCTGAAAGAATGTCATTAATTAATTCAATCAATGTCTCGTCAAAATAGTACTAATTAACTTTCTAAATTAGTTTTATATGCAGAAATGACATTATATATATCATAGACCCAGTAATCAATGACCCGAGTATATATATTTTATACAACACAACTCTCAAATAGTATTTTTTTCTTAGTTATACTGATGTGATTGATTGAATGAATTCATTCATCATTCATTCATTAACATTGCCATGCAACGAGGATACAACATTAGCGTAACATTTGTAATTGAATTTCGTGATGTAATGTCATTTTCCATCAATCAATATAATATAATATATATTTATAGACACCACTTCAATTATTTAGTAGTTCTCTGACCCCACCTAAACCAAAAAGGACAAAGAATCATTTCATACGAACAAAAACGGAGTAAAGCACGGTCACTTTTTTTATACGAAAATCAAAGGAGTAATTTAAAGGTAACCTAAGAACCGGCAAATTTTATTATAAATTCAACCACAGCCGCCGACAACAACAAAAAAATTTGAACCAAAACAAATTGAGTAATGGACAGTCATTGTTTGTTTCAAAAATACGTGAGGATTCTACAGCCTTCGACATTTCAAGCGAAGAGCCCTCGTTACGTATGGCTAATTATTATTGCTACATTTCAGTAAAGAAGAATCTTCTATTGATGCATCATCTTCAGAGATTAACCACAGTAGCTTATTAAATGTATAGTTTTCTTTCTTCAGCGGACCCCCGCGTTTGGAATATCAAATTTAGAAATGCAGCCACTTATGACCACAAAAAGGAATGTATATGTATATAGACATAACCGACAAAACAAAACCAATGCATTTTCGATACTTTCGTCTTCAGACAAAAGACGCATATCTCACTGCAGCTAAACAATATTTATAACCTCTAGCTGGCAGTAGCTGCTATATGCTAAATCCGTAAAAACAAGTTGAGGCGAAGTAGTTTTTGCCTCTAATTGATAACTTCGTAATTGGAGGTTCGACTTATTATTCAAAACATAGACATTTATATAAACATGCACAAAGAGTTTGACCAATGAAATAAAAAGACCTAAAGTATGCAGCTTGGTATTGTGGATATGATAAATTTCTGGGGTTTTTTTACTATACTGAAAATAGGGGAATCTTAACAAACTTTCATGTTAAACATCAACTGGTAGATAAGTAAAAAACTTCCTTCTCGGAGATTTTCAGCAACATAGGCAACATACAGTCATATAATTGTATTGTGACGTTATACAATGCCACCAATTTCTGCCTAAATCGTCTCATTGTTCCCATGTAGTATGGACGTTTATGTACGTTCTAGAGAGAGAAATGACCAATTTTCACTTTTCTTGCTTCCAGACTTCGATAGGGTGTCCCTAAGTCATCAGTTATGATACTAAAATGTCTTCAATGATACCTTGATTGTCCCCAATTTACAATTAAATGTGTGTACACGAGACCTTGCTTGTTGTATCTTTAATTTTTGATAAACTACTTAAAACAAAAGCTTGCAACAACGGTTTATAAAACCTGTATTTTGCCAGTTAAATACAAGAAAAAGTGTACTCACCTCGAGACGTTCGTCTATTGTCAAACAGCACAGTTTTAAATGTTGAACTTCGTTCTCGCCAAATCTTCAGTCTGCGTCACTAACTATAAGGGGTTTCTAACATCCACGTTTGCTGTCAATCAGCCTGTTTCAATGCACCTGTGTGTGCTACGTTTACGTTCATTGGCCTGCCTTATTCTGTGGGTATGGACCACAAATTTCAATTCAATTTGCTACAGCCATGATTCCTTTAGATCATGCCCGGCTTTTATGTTTTATTTACGACCATTAATATTTAAATAACGCAACATCGTTTCTCGACTTTTTTGGGCATTTCTGTTAATTTAAAGTTCGCCGGAAACGATGGGTCTTTGATTAATATATAATACATGCAAGTATGATGTTACCTCTCGTTTTGGACAGGATGTTTCTGGTAGACTCGAGTCGACCTGATACAATTGGCTATGTGTCCGCTAATTAATATGGGTTGGGTCCGTCTTATATTCCGTATAGTTACCAGTTTCATATGACATTGTAGATTGCTAATATAGATTCCAGTGGCGTCTACTCGAATAATAATTTCATTCAAACATCCTAGTATACAACCGAAGAATATAATATTATCCTCGATATTATCATGGCGTTTGACGTTTCGATGTCATCGTAATATTTGAGTAAATAAACTGTTAGAAATTTCAACCGAAGATCTATTTTTGAGCTGGATGATGAGTGGTATCAGCAGATGGATGCCGCGGTGAAGCTTGTTTTGATTTATCTTGAAATATATCTATTTTAGGACCGGAGAAATGCTAACAAGAAATACAGGACTAGGCTGACTAAAACCACGCTACGTTAATTGTTATCTGAATTCTTTGAAAAAGAATGAAGTAGAGGTTTTTACATGCGATTGAATGTCAAGAAGCGGCCGGTTTCGTATATGGCAATTTTAAAGGCAATGATACTCCTACAAGATGACAAAGTATAATAAAAGTTAGCCTACCTTAGAGCCAGCCAGCAAGAATTGACAAACGGCAGTAATCTCTTTATCCAACACAGAATGAAATCAGGAAAAAAACACGTGCCGTCTCTTAACAGTTACTACGAATTAACTGAGATCTCTATAGTGCGACTATATTGTGATACCAGTCAAGTCAGATTCACGTGCTGACGTTTACCTTGTTTCTCACCAACGTCTCTACTAACACACGAACCCGGATATTGACAGCACTCAGCATATGCTGAGTGACAAGTTTTAAATAACTTGCTTAGCTTGGAAAGTTCTTTGGTTCTTCGAAAACGTGAAACAAGTGCGATTGCTCGTTGCTTTCGGCGTCAGGGTTGGTAAGTTACTGAATAAAAGAGCGAAATGTTATTGGCGTTTCAAACAAAGATAACAATGGTTATGTTAATATTTGGCTTATTTATTCACAAATCTACCAACCCTGCTCATGTTTTTTATACACCCTCACCCTGCATGTCAATTTTTGTAGCTAGGGTGTCATGCAGGGTGTCTCTAAAAAACGAAACCGACACTTTACCAACGATTTAATTTTTAAATAAAAAAGAAAGCGGAGTTATTTAGCTCTCATAACCTGGACATAAAACAGGATTAATTGCACAGCCATAGAATTTTATGTGTTTCACTTAATAGTTACCATTCATTATCTATTTTCTTGCATTTGACGCGACCAGAATGCTTCCAAGCGAAGATCATGTTTTTATGATCCGAAAATGCTCAGTGGACCGTGGTATAATGTAACTAACGGCGTTACCATTCGGTGATAACATTAATTGAAGTCGTTGATAAACCGTTACTCTTTGATTTTAGTGGAACGTTTCTGCTCGCCAGGTTGCTGTATACGGAGATCAAATCAAACTTGAATCCGCGAGAATTTTATAAATATTTAAAACCCTGTAAGTTTAAATTGTGTAAAGAATAGTACTGTACCTGCATGTGAGCTGTCTATCTGGGCAAGTCCTTGCAAATGTGCGTTTACACTGTGAAAAATTTAGGCGTATGGGCTTAGCCTCAAGAAGTGGTCATCGTTATACCAGATCGTGAAGGAAAGTGATGCAGTTTTTTACCCCAAGCGTCAAAATTCAACCTTCAACATGGCGCCCATACCCGCGCTATCTACGTATATAGTAAGCCTAAGTGCATGTCTTCTGTTCCAGTTTAGTTGCAAAGCAACTAAAGATTACATGCTTGTACATGCACCAGTTTCTTGTCCTGTCTATTTTTCTTGCTCTTTTATCATTGCAATCACTCGAAAAATAGCAGCATAATGCAGAACTGAATTTAAGCGCGTCATCAAGTGGTGTTATTTAGTGATGACCTCCAGGATAGCTTGTGGACGATAGTGGAATAAAATCGCCCCAGGGCGAGAATTCATCTGGTGAACTCAACTCTTGGAGTAATCGAGAAATAGAATTCATGAGTGTTCACGCCCTTTTCGTAAAATTATGAGCCTATAGCTAACCTCTTTCGGTTGGTTTGTTGCTTCAAGTCTTGCCCTTGGTGCAATAACTAACTGGACATGAATTGACTTTCTTAACGAAATTACATCAAAATATGATAAGAGAGAAAACAAGAAATAGTGATATCCATACTTATAATGTTCCCTGGAAACTAAAGAAGAGCTATGGTAATCCCAAAAGCTTACTTTACAAGATAAAGTAATAGTTATAGGTCATTCTTCATAAAGGTTGTAACCTAATGTGTTGCCAAAAGACCCCAATACATGATATTCATGAATAAGAACAAGGCCGGAAATAAAATGCGGCAAACACGATCAATCATCTGGCTAACAGAAAACTCGCACTTGGAGTTATAGAGTGCAGCTCTTGCAAAGCACTTTGGAAGAGCAATTGAACCGCGGCTACGACGGTCAAAGTCGTTGTATGCATATCCTGCACGTCGTGTTTCGCCATTTTCGTCGACTAAACAAGGAGATGTTGCCTCTTGCTTCATCGAGTCCTCCTGAAGGAAAATAAAATTGCCGTTTTTCAAGTGGTAATCTGGTGTATTGTTTCCTAACACGAAACAAACGTCCCAAGAAGTGGCCCGATTTATACCAGAGACGGATTATCCGTTGTTAGGCCTGTTTTCCACTTCAACCGTATCGTAGCGTTGCGTAGCGTATTTCTTTGTTTCCGAAGTATTCGACCAGAAATAATGACTTTAAAACAATGAGATACGCTACGTTTCGCTACGATACGGTTGAAGTAGAAAACGGCCGTTAGACTGGACAAACGCGAAACAAGTTCGAGGGTTCTCCTATATTTTGAACCGCAAGACGGTTCTTCTATATTTTGGAAGATAGTTTTCTCTTTAAAACAATTAGTTTAGTACAAAATATTCTCCATATGAACAATAGCCCTGTTTTCCAACATATAGACAGCGTATGTTTTTTGCGTTCTATTGAGCCACAGTTTAGCTTACCCTCATTATATTGTTGGGTTTGTATCCTTCTGCTGCTTTAGCTTTTTTTTCCTCATGCTCTTTTAGCATATCATCATAACCAGAAAATTTGAAAACGATAAGGGACTCGACCAATGTTGCAAACACGAACATAAAACTTGTGATTAGATACCAGTCTATAGCTTTGGCATAACTCACGCGAGGCATGGAGGAATTGTTGGTACCGAGTAAGAAAACTATCGTAAGAATCGTTGTGATCCCTACAAATATAAATATATTCTTTAAACAAACAATCGAAGGTCTGATGAAGCCATCTGCAACCATCTGAAACAAATTGTCCAAATGCAAAAGAATAATGTCGCTTCGCGCGAAATATATCGCCAGTGGAAAAACGGCTTAAGGTTGAGAGAACTTTAGACGTATTTGCATTCTCATTCATACAACCTGAAATTGATCGTGTTGTATATCAACCTGTTGTTTTTAACAAAAGAGCCCTGGGTACGAGGCTGGTTGCACATACTTGCGCATGCTCACCTAAGGACACCCTGTCTCCAATGTGTCTTGGATCGATAAATAAGGATAACCAGCTGAGCATTGTAATGATTAAAGTTGGAAGATAAACTTGAATAAGGTAAAAACCCATCCGACGTTGAAACGTAAACTTCGCCCTCAAGCGAGTGTACTTTCCTTAGTAACAAAAAAAGACAGTGGATCATCAGTATAGTCGTATGTAATTTTAATGAATTACAAGTGTTTTTGGGGAAGGGGCTGCCACTACAGTTCAAAGATGTTCACACAATTTTCAGATTGTGCATGCAGATCCAACAAAATCGGATCAAGAAATCGGATCATGCAAGCGAAGTGGGCTTAGTTACGTATACATCATGCTGGTGGGCAGGGCGTAACTAGAACGATAATTGGGTGAGTACTAGTGTTGATTCATATATTCAGTTCTGCCCGACGGATTTCCATTGTGAGCTATTGTACTTACAAAAGAAATCCGTCGGGCAGAACTGAATATATGAATAAACACCTCCCCAATTATCGTTCCAGTTACGGCCCTGCTGTTGGGTGATCTGACATTGCATTTTCAACAAAAGTCTAAAAAGCCGCATATTCAGACAACGGCTTGCGCATAGAGAGTATATAAGCACGTGGATTTTAAATTCGGACCAAGATATGAGTACATTATATATTGCATTCTTTGTAAAATGAAGCATCTTAGTTCTTCCATACATAAAGGTAATCTAAAACGTACCTGCGTTATACGTGACATTCTCACTGGTGCAGGTAATATCAGCAATTTCAAATTCAGCCATTTGTGTATTTATCACTATAATTGGTTGCTTTGTTTTATTCCACTCCAGTTGCATGTGTTCGACGGGATAGGCATCTACATTGAAAAGGTTGTGTCGTACATGTCATGTACCCGACAAATCAAATCGGTTCCTGGAGAGGATCATTTTACCAATCCGTTCAGAGACAGCATTTATCTATCTGACCTAACCACCATGCAATGTATACAAGCATGCTGCAATGACCATGCAGGCTGCATGCATCGGGCTAATAGTAGTCCTAGGAAATTTTGCACGGGAAAATACTCACAACTTTCAATTCTCAATTCACATTCTTGAACATCCATGGGGAAATTTTGTAGATACATTTGACACGCAGCCACAATTCTTATTCTATAAACGATGGATTTTAAAATATCACTTTTTATGTTGCAAGCAACATTAAATAATCTTAAAACTAAGGGGACATTATACTGAAGTGCATGGTTCATGGGTCAACTTTAGTGTTATGTGGAGATTACCTTGCACTGTAATAGACTGTTCCATTTTTTGAAATGACAGCTAACTGATTTTTACCATTCAATATGAATTGGTTAGAGTTTGGGACGTATGTGTCAGGTGTCCATATTCTTTTAGTGACTTCCTCTCCGTTCAATGACAGAGTTCCCGCAAAGTCATGTTTCAGTCTTGGATCTTTCCAAGTTTGAATAAGAAAAACACTGGACGTATATTCCTATGAATATGGAGAAAATCTGTCAACTCGTCACGAAAATTGTAGGTGATTGAAATTTAATAAATTTCTATTGCTAACTTCCAGCAAACATGTGGTGCGTATCATGGTAAACTGTCCGTATCGTATGATTAAATAACATCTTATTTCCAAGCTGACATAATTAAAATCTGCTTTAATCCTATTTATTCCTATTTACCATAGTTGATTCTTTGATATCCTTGAATTGTTGAATCTGTCCTGTTACTTCAACTTTGACAGGTTTCTCTGAAAGATTTATAATCAAAAATGCATGTATACATCGAAGCAGAGTTTGCTGCAAAAAAAAGTTCTTCGGTAATAATTTATTCTCTGAAACAATTTGGGAAAATAAATATTCGGAGTCGTTTGACTTACTTTGCACTTCAGGTCTAGTGCGAATATCATATTCATCCAGTAGTTTATGTAAGGTCTCCGTTTCAGTTACTAGCTCCTTTTCCGATACATACGCTCTATAAAATCAATATAAAAAATACTCTATAACTGGCTTTGAGAAATTCACTCTGCATACCTTGTCCCAGAGAAAATGCGCTCAATAACCCCTATGATAAATGTCTATATATGTTCAAATTCTCTGAGCACTTTTCATGAATCATCAAGTCGAAAAAAGAGGCAATGTATGTTTCCAATAAAGGGTTTATCCGATGACCCATGAAGCTGGGATTCAGACATGAAAGTCCCAGCCAGAGTGTCTTGACAGGATATTATTCAGATAGGATTCTCAGTTTACCCGGCTATCACGCCATTGAAACACAATCCAAACCAACCCAGAAAGATCAACATCGTCATGGACATTGCAATAAGCAGACGTTCCTATGGGCTGAAAAATAAAATGAAAATTTAATTTGATATATTGAAAAACGTCTTAAATAAGGCAAATTTGGACGCGCAACACGACGCAATTGCAAAAACGACAGCCAAAATATGCAAAAAGTGTTTGTCAAAAACGAAAAAAAAGCATTTTGCAGGATACCGAATTCAGGACTTTTCGCGATTTTTCATCGTTATGTTGAGTTCAAAACAGCCTTGAGTTCGTAAATCAATCATTGGCTTTACACCTGCTCTTTGGCAACACAGCATCCTCGTCCAAAATTGGTTATACAACATCAAAATCCTATATTGTCAATCAGTGTGCAAACTGAGAAGTGGTGTAAAGAGCGGAATATCAAAGAAATTGAACGGCTCTTTAATTAGGGAGTTGATTGCCAGCAAATGTGTCTTCATTTGTTTAGAAATGCCTATCAATTCTGGCAACCATGGTGGTGACTTGTATCGTTTGTACCACTGTCGATTATTATTAAAATACTGCTGCGGAAACACGTATGACTGAGTCTCTGAGATTGTAATAAATATGCTATTCATATTAATCTCGAGCTGGATTGTAACATACATCGATCTACCCATTTATCGATAGCAACTATTCCAATATAGGTGGACGAATATTTGGTGATGTAATAACAGCCTGCAGTGATTCGTTTCCTTTTGCTCAAAATATATAGTTTAAAATAATTTTCCCGTTTAATTTAAGTTTCAAAACATAAATCTCTATAGACGCTATAGTTATATATAAGCAGGACATAATTTATCATGCAGTGTTGGGACCGACTGTGACAATGAATAGACGGCTCGATTCATAGGATTTTCATCAAAATCGAATGGAATAACAATGGCGTTTATAAGAAGAGGTAATTTATCAAACGAGTAAAAACAACCCTTTTCACTCATGTTTTGTAATGATGTTATAAATTAAACGTTTCTTTAGCATTCCGCCAACATAGCCATAGGTCTGAAATAGCAGTGAAAATTTACTTCCTTAGTTCCTGCAAAGTTATTTTCTACAAACGATAGAATCTTTGACATGAATAAAATTCTACGAATAGTTTCTAAACACTTTCATCAAGTCATCTGTAGAAAAATTAAATTGATGCTGTATCTTTAATTTTTCATTAAATGCCTTGACAAATATATCACAGTACCTTGTTTTAATACCTATGATTCAACATCAATACTATACTTATATTATGTAGCCTATACATGCATGAAACAATATTGAAGGTATTTCGACTCACCTAGCAATTTATGGGAAGACTTTTTTTCACTTTTCAGCAAGTTCCGTTGGGAAAATTGATCAACTCGACATGCGAAGTTTTGTTTCAATGTGTCTAAATTCCACCTGCATGTGTATGCTATGCTCTTTGATTGCCTTGCCCCGTGGGCTGCCACCGCAAATCTAATTTCAATTTAAGATATACGCTATTCCTCCATGGAATATATGTGTATTAAACCCGACTTTGAGGCGTTATTCATAACCTATTTATAAGCTATTAATCTTTCATTGCATTCGACCTTGTGCTCAATCGAAACGTGCCATAAAACGTTTTATTTTAAACGCGGTGATATTCACGAATGTCCATATCTCTGTGATCACAATTTATCAACGAAGACAATCTGATAATAGTCGATTGGTTCCAGTGATTCATTAGGCAAAGAAATAGCAGAAAAGAAAAAACAAACAGTGTACATAATTTACTTTATAGTTGATTGTTCTTCTAAAGGATTTGTTTATTTAATTACTAGAAAACAATGCCTAAAGTGTACTTTAGGGTATAACGTATTTATAAACGTTTCAAAAACCACGAGAATATGTATATTGGAATGAAAAACAATGATGGAAACGCGTTTGCTAATGATTTTCTTGAAGAAAGTATATGCATGAATTTATTTTCAGTAATTTGTATTTTCAGTAACCTTGTTGATTGATAACTGCAGTTTGCCAGCAAGAAATATCTTGATACAAAACTGACCATACAACATTTTGACTTGACGCACTTCTTTTGTGCATAAATTTTTGCGGCAGATATTGTGAAGTTCAGTGTGGGTGGCTATTAGAATATAAACATGGAGAGTTTTGCGCGATATCCTAGAACAAAATAATATCTATCATATACTTTATTGGTGAAGTTTAAGTAATATATATAGGCTATGCTTCGCTATTAGGTGGTAACGTTTATATAAACTCAACAGGCATTTTCTATCATAATTAGAATGTTCAATTTACACTGAAGAATAACCAAAGTGGTTGCACTTCACAATGCAATTAGCCTATGTAAAACTATCGCCTGTATTAAAAAACTCACCCGCACTCATACTCATTAAGTGTGACATGAGATATTCCTTTCAATGGAAAAATTGAAGGTTAGACATTGTAAATTAAGCTTCATGTGAGTGGAAATACTGCAAAGGAATCGCTGTGAAGTGCTTGAGACGTCCTACTCAATGAGTTTATGTGAGTGAGCTTTCAGAATACAAGCTTAATTCTCTGATAAAAGTCCCATGCAGAATACATTTGTGCATTCGGGCATGCAGCATGCAATTTCTCTTGCAATACTTCATTGTTACTGCATTTTGTCACATAAACTAAACTTAACTATACTGTATAGAACGAGTCCATCGTTACAGTTGTCATGTTAATGCAAAACTCTCATCCTGACGTTCATTGACTGAGACTGAATGTATAATCTCAGTTCTATTAATTAACCGTGATGTAATACACCATGACTCTGAAATCTGGACACAGCATCGACAGGAACCGCGGGCGTCGAAGGAAGTGAGGGTGCGTAAGGCAACTTAGGTGAAGTTTAAATCAATCGAGCAAATTAAATAAAATGAGCCAATTTTCAGTGAATTGCTATGAGGTCATCGTGCTTGGTGATATAACTTGAGCTGCTACCGCCATTGAAATTATAGCTGTAGGTATATTTTGAAGGAGTTAGGGCAACTGCGCAATAACATCTCCATACCATTTTCTCTCCACCAGTACCTTCTCCAAGTCGAGCATAAAAAGGTCCACAAGACAGAGATGTGGTTATTTCATTACACCATTTTGACCTTCTTTCCAGTAAACTGTAACCTTAAAAAAGGTGTTCCCGTTATAAATACAAAATTTGAATCGAATCGACTGCCATGCACGTTATAAACATTAAACATTAAGTTAGATGTCTTATGCATGGTGCATTTGAGGTTTCTCTTATGATATATGCTACAATAATGAATGAAAGAAAATCGAGCTCATTACTCAGGAAAACTCTGTGAAAAACAGATTTAAAATTAGGCATATGTTGTTAGGCATATGGTTCACGTATGACGGCGGTAAATAGCTCGCCGTCCATAAATCACTAAATCGATGTATGCAGCAAGAAACGAGAGCATCTTTACCTGGGAAATGAATCGTTGTATTTGAGACCACGGTTAAATTACCAAGAATATATCCTAGCACATCTCGCCATGCTAGATAATCCCCATTGATGTTCATTCCACCGCTCGCCATTGAAATAATGCTCTCGTACGATATAATTATGGACCAAACATTAATGCAGCTGAGATAACCAACGAAGGAACTGGAGTATGTCGTGTTGTTTTGGCCTTTTATTGCACCAATTACAAATTTTCCTCCTGGTGAAAGTTGGGTGATCGGTCCAGATAGTGTGCCTGAAGGATGCTTTGATCCTTCGTAATAAAACTTCACATTCCCAATTACACCATCCCATATGACGCAGATGAAATGCCAATAGTTATTTACAATGCGTTTGTCATCATAAGTGCTATAATTTGGAAAATAAAAAATATCCTGAGACGATATGTAAACTAGTATTTTTGTTGCACCAAATGCCCACTATAACAGGAATTCGTGAGCAGAGAATTAACAATAAGTGATTTGAGTAGAGATACCCTGTAAACCCCTCCCAAGGCCTTGTTCTTCATGTTATTTTTCACATCTAAAATATCCTGATTATAAAGTGCTATACTGAAGTAAATTACTGCAGACTCCCCACTGAGGCTTGGATATAAAGTTGGCTAAAAAAGAACGCTTTCTTTATATATTTATGTAATAAGCTGCAATGTACCTTTTAGCAAGACTGCCGTTGATTTTAGCAAACAAAAAATTTGAGCTAGTAATCCCAAATTGAAAACCAGGGCTTGTTTCATCTTCTACGTAGTAAGAGAAGAATGTGCTTGTGGCAGACGTCTTCAACCAGAGACAACCGGAAAGTTGCTTAATCGGTTCTGCGGGTCCAGGTGATTGCACGTAGCCAAATTGACTTGATTTGAACATCACTTTATAGTTCAAATCTTTATCTATAAAGATATAGGATGATTTTAAGAATTGTTTTTGTATTTCACCTCGAACTGCATGACACGGTCAACAATTTCAAAACGACAAAATTGTAGAAAATCAAAAAAATAAAACTAAATGTTATCATTTTTAAAAATGAAAAAATGTAATTTTAACATAGATAAAAATTTCATGCAGCAGTTTCACGTTCACGTATTCAAACATCATTCTTATATTTGTCCCGTTCCCATCCAACGTAAACGAGAACAGTACAATTTATGAGCCAGTAAAATGCTTACTTGTATTTCGTGCATTCGAAGGCTTAACTAACTGGATATTTCCAACAATACTGTTGAGAACATTAAACCATCTCAATATGTTTCCCTGTTCATCTCCTCTGGATTCGCTCATGGTTTCAATTTCTTCTCCAGTCAACGCCTTATTCCAAATATTTAACCCACTGATTTGCCCAAGAAATCCTTCCCCTTCTTTAAAGCCAGAAGTAGAATGACGTTGTCCTATTACTAAGGTTCCTCCGCCAGGAATGACGGCACCGGCACCAGCTTTCACAGAGTCTCGCAATGCTCGTGGAGTTCCATCAATGAGAACGTTCCAGAGGCCATTCGTGTTGCTCCAAACAAAGCCGAGATGATGCCAAACATTGTCATTGACAGGAGTCATGTAGGTGCTGTATATGTACAAAGATTTTCAGACAAAGATTATCAGTTATACATGATATTAAATGTATTTAACCTAAATGAGAATCTACTATTGAAATAACATGATTAAAAAAAACACCATTTCGAGCATGCAATAAGCAACTGAACACAGGAAGCAAGTGCATGTGTAAATTGGGTAAAATGTATTGAAAAGGAGTGTTGCAGTAGTCACTGAGTAGTGCCCGAAAAAAACGTCGAATAGACCTTTCTCATAATGACGTCAGTCGCGAAAAGTCTGATATTACACGAAGTTTGATTGAGCATTGAACGATCGAGCATTCGGTTACTGCAATGCTCTCACGATTAAATTTGCATATTTTTATTGTGGGAGATGCTTTGAATAAGTTGAGACAAAGAGCATTTCATACACAAGAAGAGATTTCCTGGTTCAAAAACTGCATGGTCAAGCAAACCACCTTGCTAAGGAAAACAGATCTTTTTTCCATGATAAACTTTGTGGAGAAAAAAAGTACGTCTGCATGCTGTGCGGCTTTATTTACTCACGTTTCTGCATGTTGCAAGATTTTCCCTGTAAATCTGTCGACTGACTGTTTATCCGCGTGAAAAAATAAATTGATAAAATCAATGTTGCCATTAGTCTTGTACGACAGAAGGTGATACTTCTTTATTCCGGGCTTGAATTTAAACCAAGCAGTGAAAGTGAATTGATCGAGGTTTGATTTGATGCTGTCCATCTCAATGTACGAGAGATTCTGGTCTTGTGATGAAAATACGACGTCAAAATCACCTAAACATTGACATTTTTTTGAAATTAGGCAGGACTTTAATAACTTGTTATAATAATTTCAGCTAAATTTAAGTCACACTAATTGAACAATATATACATATATCCATTGTGAGTGTGTATACTGTATATATATATATATACAGGGGGTCCCAAAAAATGTCCCCTTTTTTGAAATGAAGCTTTTGTTGGAATTTGAATGCATGATCAAGTGTGTAAATAGCATAGTTATTATAGGTTGAGGCATTCAAATAAAGCGTCTTGCTTTCAACTGGGTTTATCATAATATTATTAAGGCAATCAGATTCTAACAAAGGCTTGATTGCAATGGAGGGGACATTTTTTTGGGACACCCTGCATAAGCGCAAATCACCTATTAAGCTATAACTATCGGGTTATTTATAAATTTCACTACCGTTGCCCCGTATTAAGCAAGCTGATCAAGCAAGGGATTTCGTATATGTCAGTGTATGAAATGTAATATACTTTTGCTTGGTATTTTATATTTTTGTTCCCTGGCACTCTTCCCTTGCATGCCCCTTGCATGACATCATGCACTTACTGTTTTCATTTTCGCAATGTTCCCCGTTGTACCACTGACTACATATGCATGAATAACCACGAGGTTCGCACGACTTTCGCACACAGCTACCACCATTGTTGCAAGGCTCTTGTCTTATGCATATTTCCTTTGAAGAAAAGATGCATTTTTTATGATTTTACGATTCTTGCACAAACGATGTAGTTGAGCCTAAACAGGGTTGTGCATCAAGTGCATGCACGTTGAGGAGGTTTCACGTCCCATAATTGTATGTAGACTAGGAAGGGTAACTAGAACGATGATTGGGGCAGTGTTTCATTATATACTTAGTTGTGCCCGACGAATTCTTTTGTGAATGCAATAGTGAATAGCTTACAAAGGAGATGTATTGTTGCTGGTGAACATGAATTTGCAGATGAATAAGAACAAGTAAAAAATGAATTTTCTCAAAAAGCTAAAAAAAGTTACAAGAAACCATGTTACGAGCAGCTATTGTTGAAACAAATTTAACAGGCCATTTTTTGCTGATTTTTGACAAATTTCAAAACGTTACTGTGTCTTTAAAAAAACCATGACCAGCCGACAATTTAAGAAAGTAAAGTAAAAAGCAAATTCCGAACAAACAAGACATCTTGAGAATCAAAATATAATTCAAACAAGACACAGATTGAGACTGTAAATTTTCGACTTTATTACAAAGTCATCTTCAGACAGAATGAAATACAATACTTTACAACGCATATATATACAACACAGAGAGAGAGCGCACGTGTCAATCCAGCATGTAGGCGGAAGGCCGGTAAACCAAGCAGAGCGAAACATGATAAGGGTGTGAATAAAACTAAATATGTATGCTATATTTACAACAATATGTTAGATAGATTAATTTAAGGAAAGAAAGACCCGACAATTAAAATAGAGAGATTAAGTGAACAGTTGTAGTTCTTTGCTGGCTTTAAGTCCAGTGTTAAGGAAAGGTTTGTTGTGTTTGATTAAGAGTGCTTCAAGAAAGGCGAGAATATGATAGTTATTCGATTTAGTTATGTGTAGAATTCTATAGTTATTGAAAACTAAGTTCTCAATAGGAGAAGGGTTATTCAAAGATAATGGTATATCGTTGAGTAGTGAGAACTGGTTTTGTGTGGCTAAGAATTGAGCATGCTCACACTCAGAGAAATGTTGGCCTACTGCACTAGAAGAGAGCCTAGTAGAATGCTCTTTCAAACGTACAGAAAGGCACCTTTGCGTCATGCCAATATAGGTTTTCCCGCAGCCAGGGCAAGCGACTTCGTATACTAAATTGCTACGAGATAAAGAAGGAAGTTTGTCTTTGTTAGAAACAAAATAAGACAACCTTTTAGTGTCGTAAATAGTGACGAATTTCACCGGTTTGGAAAGAAATCTTTGTATTTTATTGACACATGATTTAAGTAGAAAATCGCCCCGATTTCGGAGATAAGGAATAAGGATCCAGATTTTGGGCAATAGATTATCATCCGCTTCATGAATAACCGTATTGACAACAGGAGTGGAATTTGGAAAATACTTAGTTTTGAGTTTATTTAGCGTAGAGTATATAACATTATTAGGATAACCATTCCAAGACATGAAAGATTTGATGATTTTAATTTGACTATTGAAAAGCTTTTCCGAACTACAAATTTTAAAAGCACGGTGGTAAAGGGACTTCACCCAAGCTGTTTTGCGGTAGAATGGCTCGAAACTAGAAAAATGTGAGTACTGACCAGTGTGAGTGTCTTTACGATAAACGTCAGTACCATCGACCGTGATTTTTATATCTAAAAAATGTACGATACCATCGGGAAAAGTGTCAACTGTGAAATTGAGGTTAGGATCGAAACTAATTAATCTATCTAAATTAATCTATCTAACATATTGTTGTAAATATAGCATACATATTTAGTTTTATTCACACCCTTATCATGTTTCGCTCTACTTGGTTTACCGGCCTTCCGCCTACATGCTGGATTGACACGTGCGCTCTCTCTCTGTGTTGTATATATATGCGTTGTAAAGTATTGTATTTCATTCTGTCTGAAGATGACTTTGTAATAAAGTCGAAAATTTACAGTCTCAATCTGTGTCTTGTTTGAATTATATTTTGATTCTCAAGATGTCTTGTTTGTTCGGAATTTACTGTGTCTTTAAACGCGAATATCTCGGAAACTACTCGCTCAAAATACATATGTAATATATCAAATTCTAAGTTAGACATTACTCAACTAAATATAAATTATTTCATTTCATTGTAATTCTTTAGTTCGTTTGTAAGTTATGTTGAAACTTGAATTAAAGATAGGTACTTTTTTTGGGACACTCGGTATACCAAATCTATCAAACTAATAAGAGTTTGCTGCTAACCATTGCTCTTTGAACGAAAACGAAGATATCGTGACAATCGAATCCGGTATAGTGTAAACGGGCCTAAGGCTATATAATATATTATACACTTAGTGTATGCTCCCGAGGGAAATAGTGAGTTTTGCTTTCCCAAGAGTCTGAAAACTGCGAAGAGGTGTATGTAGAAGATAATGAATATGCCTATACTATCATTGGACAGTTTAATAATTACAAACCGGTTTATCCTCCAAGATCTTGTACACAGTCCACGTATCAATCTCATCTGAGTTCTTCATCACGTCATCTATTTCACTTGCAATCTTACAGTTTATGTCATCACGTGATTCTGTACGATGACTGAACGCCACACAACCATTGATGTCAAGACATTTTTGACCACATTCAAACCAGGAATCAACATGACAACTTGAAATTATGTGCTCATCCAATAGCTGCCCTAAATAGAAAATCTATATCCAGAGATCACACTGATACTCATTAAACAATTCTTGGATCAGCTATGAGATTTCTACTTCAAACCAATAATTCGATTTCCCTTTAGATGAACCTATACGGCCATGCCATGCAGGCAGGGAGAGTTACCTGTTGTTTCTAGTTTCTACGTTTTAAACGAAGCCGCTATAGGTGATACCATTCTGACGCTATAGCTATAGCAATTCCGTTTTGTCTTTTTTTTTTACAAAATATAGCGTTTCTTACCAATTCCACATGATTTAAACGTCAACTTATCTACGATAATACATGTATATAGAGCAGGTACAATGAGATCGCGCAAGTAGTATCGCATATATATTTGAATGTCTTATTTGCATCGCTTTGGTCCATGTTATGATAACTCAAATAACAGTCGAATTTGAATTAAAAAAACCTCCATATCAACGCTATTATTATATTAATCATCTAAAAACTAAAAAAAACATTCCGAAAAATATTGTAAATTAAAAAATGGTAAAAAAGGCAATGACAAGACATGGTGATGTTTCAAAATCTATAATATTAGTCCAAAAACTGTTAAAATACTTGAAATCGAGGTGCGACCTTGGCTCAAACTGATGAATATTCTAAACATGTTTGTTAATGTTGTCGATGAGAGTTGTGTTTATTGTGACTATTGTACTAAATATAAGGCTGTATACGTTCACACCGGACCTAGAACCCTACTCGAATTCGTTCCTCGTGTTAAGGTTTTACATGCGTGTATGTACGTACACAAAAAACGCGACAGTAGAAGCAGCCCTTTTAAGATAAATTGTCTCTATATGACGTACGCCCCATGTATTTACTATGCACTAATGTTAGTAATGTAGCTGTCAATCAAATAAATCTTTCATAGCTAGCGCATTTGGCACGCGCATGCAATGCGATTTGAGCTATTCATTATACAACAAAGCGACGTGTCTAACAGTAGGGTATCAATATACAATTTTGTTATACAAGATGGCAGGTAGCAAAAATTGACGTAGAAGACGTCTAATTACTCTAATAAAATCGACGTAAAATATATATGCTCTGCCGATAGACAAAATATAATATAGAAATTTATACATCTTTAGTGAAGGATGCGAAAATAGCTGATATTTAAATGTTTAAAAAATAATGTCCAAAATCATTGGGGTATAGAGGGACTGCACCTGCATGCCCAGCCCCCGACAGGCCTGTTTAGTTCTGCTTTAACTGCGTAAATTGTATAGAAAACTGTCTTCATTCATGATAGTTGCATGGACCAATAGTGAGCAAAGGTAAGTTAAACCTCTCCTGAACACTTGAAAAATAAAGACCCGTCGTATACTTGTTATATGAATGCGCACACAAGCAGCTGTTATATTTTAATACTGTTTCACTACATAATCCATAAAACACTTTCCGTACGAGAGCGAAGTTTTCTTTTATATATGACGCAGTTGCTATAAACCATTTTAATTAAATGTTATTTATATATATATGTAAACCTGCCGCGCAGCTGTCTGCATGATCCTATTCAAGGCTCGTCTCATTTTCAGATTACAGTTATAACCCTCATGCATCGGTTTGAAACAATTATTTCTTTAACTTTGCCGTATACATCTTACATAGTCATGCATGTGATGCGATTAGCGCTCTTTTTCATCCATGGTTAAAGAAACGAAACAAAGCAATCATCAGGCATTATTTTTTACCAGATAACACACAATAATGAAATCTCCATATATCCTTTCACTAATAATAATCATCAGTCTTGCCTAATTATTCGTTTTGTATGTAAAGGTCGGAGAAAACAAAACTGCAAAAGGGTTGATCTATAACATACATGGACTTTTACTAATATTATTAAAAACGCCACAACAATTTTTCACTTTTTTGCCCATTCAGTACCTGTATACGCAACTTTGAATATTGCTTCACGGCATGGGAGATCTTTGGATCCAAGGCAACATATGAAACAAAATATCAGTCCAGCAATCCAACTTGTAGTCATCTTTGATAAGAACCTCACACGCTATCATCGCAGTATATAGGTTACATCTATATTAACCTGGTAAATAATGTTTGTATTGGCCAGACTATATAGCTTGTTGCCACACGTTCAAGTAAAACTTCACCTCCAATTAAGGCACGCTCATGCCCCCCTTTAAATTTATACATATACCAGTATCTGAATATTATATAGGTAATTTAAATATGCACAAATTCCAAATATGGCAGATCAGCTGTCCTCTTTAAAACCGTGTCCACCATTGACATAATATGTGAATTTTCATAAACAGTAAAGGCCAACACAGACCGGACGCGACTGATTACCGCTTTTGATTTTCCAAAAGCAAATAAATTTTAAATTATCATAATATTCTTGTAGATTACTTAACGATAATACATTTTGACTGCTCTGGCGTCCATAGATTTCAAATTTTGCTTCCAGAAATTAATTTATGTGCTTCTGAAAACTGAAAATTCGCGTCTCGTTGCCGCATCGCGTCCGGGGTCTGGGCCGCTCTCCACTGTCGCATTTTTAGCACGTACGTAGCGGCGTAGCCAGAACGATAATTGATACGCAGGATTAATTTCTTTTCAAGTCAATTGTCTTTACAGTTTGTTAACATGAATATATAAATATGGGCCCCCCAATGGCCTTTTTGGTATTACGTCACAACATTATCGCTTTAAATTTCGAACCACCTTAAATGAGATGGATTTCATGTTTAACTCTCACAACACATGCATGATACATCAAAAATAATTTTTCATTTTGACTTACAAGTATGGAAATAAGCCATAGCGAGGCTCGCGCTTATTTCCACATTTCTTGGTCAAAGCAGAAAATATTTTTCATGCATGTGTTAAAGAAGGATGTTTTGCACGTGGCTCGTGAGAGTAAAACTTGAAATTCATTTCATTTAACGGTGGTTCAAAATTTAAAATGCCGCGTACACCCACGTAAAAGTTTAAATGCTTTTAAATCTTTTATTATTTAACATCAAGGTCAACCAATACATATTAAACTGCGTGGAAAACTAAATTCTTTCGATTTATTCACGTAGTTTTTTAGAGATAACTTATATAAGCATTTAGACTTTTACGTGCGTGTCACGCGTACGTGTGAAAAACGCGACAGTGGAAAACAGCCCTAACTTGATTCAGAGTTGATAAATATTTCGAAACAATTTCAATAGACTGTATTTTCGAAATTTTGTCTAGTGAACGCGGGCCCATGCATGGTCCTTGCCGTATTGTCGAATTTCATTTACCGAAACCAAATGAATTAGATCTGTGTCATCACATTATATAATCGTATTCGATTTCTCATTTCCAAAATACAGTTGTAACTTTGCCATGCCAACACTTCAGAGAGATTGTGACTTAGCTTGCTAGCGATATATTCAATGGCACATAAATGTCATACTACACGTTTAGCGCTCTTTTTTATGCATCTCTCAGTTCCCACATAATGATATGTGATGATAGTAGATGGTATTGATACGTTGTTATTCTGCTTACACGTATGTATGTATAGGCACAGAATACCTATCAGAAGAATAACTCCTGTACTTTTTTCGTAAGTGTGATTCGTCATGATTCGTGACTTAGCAAGTGCATTTTTATGAAGTAGTCACCCCCCTGCCAATACTAAAAATAGCCTGATTTTAGACTACTGACTACTTCATAAAAATGCACTTGCTAAGTCACGAATCATGACGAATCACACTTACGAAAAAATAGTATAGAGTTATTCTTCTGATAGGTATTCTGCGGTATAGACCTGTTTGCACTTAGCACTTAGCTATTAGCACTGCACGCCTGTTACTTAATGTATTTTGCATGCGCAATATTTAGTTATTCTATATTTGCTATATGTAAGTTAAAGGAAAAAAAAAATTCATTCGAAACGGGTTGATCTAGAAAGATACGTTTTCAGATGTTTTCTGTCCCGACTAACCTGTATATGCTACTTTAAATAATGCTTCGCGGCATTTGGGATCTTCCCATGATGATGGGGATACAAAACCACATATAAAACAAAGTATCAGTTCAGCAATCCAACGTGTAGTCATGTTTGGTAGGAATTTCGAATTCACGCTATCATCCCACTTGTATGTTCGTTGGACTCGTATGCCCTGTATATATATTCTTTACTTCGAACACACGCTCATGTCCCCATGTCTATATGTTGTGATCTGAATGAGGAAAATTCTAAATCAGTCGATCAGCTGTCTGCCTGTTCCACGATTATGAAACATGTTGTTATTAAAAATTGCCTTTAGTAATTACCTTTTTCCATTAACGTATTTGTTTTCCACTTAAATTGATTGACATACAGGAGTCTAGCCGTTGTCATAACCGTTCCACGAATTCAGCGTAGGCTACATTATTCTGACCTAAATAAGATTCATAAATGAATTATATGCAGGGTGTTTAGAATGTCCCAAAAAACGTGGAGTGATCTCAATGCGTAAAATGAGTCAAGTTAATAAATAAAATGGATTTCGTTGCGTAAAATGATCAGATCAATGCTACGTGACAATTATCTTCTGCAGCAGGTCAATTCCTGCATAGTGCATGCACCTGTTGTGGATGAATTATGAAGAAAATTCAATTCAAATAACTCCCTTGACAACACTGTAGGATTAGAAATTATTGTCTTGTACACATACAAGGTGTATTGAAAAAGTTAGTCGTGAAATATGTAACAAAAAGTCAAAAACTATGTAATGTGGCTTTTTTCCTATAGCGGACACATGTATACAGGAAGAGTCAAACATACTATTGGTAGTAATGCCCATCCAAACTGATTTGACATGTTGCCTAAGACTAGCCTGACTAGGTACAAACAAAACAAATCTATATCAAGATCTAGATTCCAAATTATAGGTTAAAGCTAGACAAAGATCATTATTGCACATCATTGTGTTTATAAACTTTATATCAACATTAAAATGTTATTCTCTGACCTTCATATATCAGTGAGAAAGGCAAATATACTGACCACTACCCTGCCCAAGTTGCTAGTTCCCTTTTCATCAGGAAAGTTATTTTAATTCTCTTTTTTTTCTCGAATTCTCGTTAATTCTCAGATACACATAAGCATATGATAGGCCACACCTTTTCTAGGAAGTTCACTCGTTCGAGAGTCGAGATCATCAGTCCATCACAGGAAGTCGTAAACGCAGTTGTGGCTGAGTGATTTTCCGTCGTATTTGGCATTCGTGCAACTAAATCTAGTAACAACAAACGATAGCAATAAATTTTTGTAATTTGTTTCTCAACGAATAAGTAGCAGCGCCGTCAAAAATGTGGAAAAGCATCGTTAAGGTATTTCTAATATCAATACCTTTGCCTTTGGCTTTGTAACATCTTTAAAATACTCTGTAGCATTCAGACACAGACTTCGTGCCACGTATGAGGCGATTATTAAGCTCATATTGTTATATTTTAATTAAATACCGATACCGTGTTAAACAAATTAGATTTTATATATAGAAACCTGAAGATAGCTTTAAATTAAATTAAAACAATGCATCCTTTAATATATCATTCTTCCTTGAATTATATGCCTATGCGTATGGTCACGCATGCATAGTTGTTAAAATCAGTAACTGTTGTCAGTGCTAACTAGCCAGTTAAGTCTGCTATAAGGAGAAGGCAAAGAAAGCGGAAAAACCAGTCTGCATTTGCAGACTATATGCACCTAGCTAGTAAGAGATTAAACCTTTCCAATCAGCTCCTTAGTGGCATGTCGGAAGACGATAATTGGGGGGGGGGGGGGCGTGAGGCACATATTCATATATTCATGTTACCAAACCTGTAAAGACAATGGATTTGAAAAGAAATTAATCTTGCACAACATGAATATATGAATACACCACTTATTTCTGAACAGATACATGGGAGATATATCCCAGGCCAGGATATATCCTAAGTTTAACTGGTTGACATAATTCATCATAATCACAAGATTCACAGCAAATCACAACTTCTAAATCATGATGAAATATGATCAAATGAAAATCATGCAATCTGCACACAAAAAATAATCCCTAATGTAAATATATAATGATGTAAACATTTAAATATGTTCCCCATACCTCTAAACTGCCCTGCACAAAATATGATCAGTGCCTAGAGATATAGCTATTAATCCTCATTGTGCACAATGACAGATCAGCCAGGAGTAATTATGGCAGAATTAACTACAACAAATCTAATTTGCCATTGCATTGCTGTTTTATTTGACCTGCTAAATCCTGGAATTGTCCCTGATTGTATAATCCTTTCTCTGGATTTATTTAAAAGAGAAAATTTACTGTTTTGCATAGGTTATGTTGCTTTGGATGGTTTTGTATGCTGTGTCATGTGTGAGTTCTCAGGTTGGTGACCTCAATGCTGCAGCTTTATTGTCATTGAAGATTGATCACTTCATTAATTATGACTAAAATACACAGTTCTGGTTCAAAGATGAACTAACACAAAATATACCTAATGTGATTGTCGAAGGCATGGATGTGCCAAAAGGATCATGTTGTTGCTGGGGGGGGGGGGAAAGAGATTTGGGGGCACTTATAGGGTGAAAATTAAAGGATGTCTTATACTACATCGAAAGGATGTCTTATACTACAAAATTCCAGTACATTCTTGCAAACTGTTCTTTCAGTGGTTGTATTGGCATTGTTTTCACCAGGCATGTCACTGGTCATTTAACTGACAGAGCCAAAATTAACTTATTGTTTATATTCTGCAATTTCAGTTGCTGGACAAAGCTGGTTGTAACTCAACCATAAGTTGTTATAGCCAACCACCAAGTTGTACATCATCTAAGGATTGTAAATATCTTCTTAAGTATTCTGTGCAAAACAATGAAATAATTGACTTCAACCTTAGTTCAAACACATTTGAATGGATTGCTGTTGGATTCAACCCCAAAAATCCAAGGATGGTACGTAACACATATTGGAATATTAATTGGACAATTTATTTTATACGTTAATTGTGACATTATGTGGCATTTTTAAGTGCGTTGATCATTTTTTTAGGCTGGTGGAGAGTCATTAGTGTGCGAAAGATATATAATTAAAGATAACGAAAACATTATTCTACGTCATTATAATATGAAAACGGAAGATCGTCCGTATCCTAGTCAAGTAAGTTTATTTACTGTTTATACACATGAACACTTCACTGGGAACAATATCATGCCATGGCCATCCTTTTAAACATTCTTATAAGGTCGTCGAGAGTGCAATTTATCATATCGAAAATGCTTCCATGATCATTAATAATTTGTACTTTAGCATAAAGAAAATTTTTAGCACTTAACGCAACTTCCGTGAAAAAAACGTTTTCCACCCTCATTGTTTAATACCACCTTAAAAAGTTTTTTCTGGTGGTTTAAGGATACAAATGCGACACTCGTGTCTAGAAGTAAATCAGGAAATATTTTGTCTTGCAGGTAAGTAATGGTATACTCCCGCCTGCAGGCTGCATGCGGGGGATTCTTACTACATTTAGGGTTGAACGTGTTGGTTGTTATAATTATAACCCGCGTTGTTGAACAGTTATATGTCACTGCCTATATAATTGTTTAATATTATATTATAAACTTGGAGATGAGAGAAAAAATTGCTGTAGGAATTAGGATTCTGTTATCCTCTCTCGACTAGTGCCGAAAACGGTTCCATCCTTTTTCTGAGGCGATGCAGAGTTCGACGTTGTAAGAAAAGTGCGCAACTCTCAAAATGCTTGATTGTCGATCGTGAAATATTTCTAAAATAACTCCAGCTAGTTTTACTATAACAGTTATAACAGTGCCAACTGTCAAGGCGACTATTGGAATACTGAATACGGTGCGTTGAAGAATTTTTCGCGAAAAATCAATCACACATTTTAGACAAAACAGGAACTTACCCAATAGTTGAAATGATACTCGTATAATGATCATATTATCGAAGGATTGCAATGGATTCGTCTTAACGTCAGAAAATAAAACTTTAAAAGCTATTGCAAGACGAAGTTTACTTTCGCGCATAATTTGGGTGCGCAGTATCACAGTGATACTGTCATGTTTAAACTTTCAAATATATGCGATTTTGATTCGCTAGTTTTGCGCTAACCGTATGTTTTAAATGCGTTTTAGACCCCGTTTACACTATGTCGGATTCACATGGTCACCGACATCAGTTTATAGTTTTTTTACGGTATGTCTGTCCCCAAAACTTTTCCATTTGGAATTTCTTGTTAAATCAACCATGCTACTCTTGATATGGTGGATTTCTACTGGCAGAGAAAATGCCTGTTCACTAAAGTCCAAACTAAGTTTGATGTCGTTTGAATCATGCGAATTCGGTATAGCGTAAACAGGGCCTTACTGAACCATGGCCAGGAGCGAGAATTCACAAAGTATGTCATGATAATAGGTAGTAATTTTTTCACTCCAGTCATATATATAATTACTGATATATGGACCGAGTGTCACAATATAAACAGCAACTTTTTGTCACAAGTTTAGTCAAAGTCAAACAGGGAGTACTATCGGGAAATACGTTATTCACAGAATGAAAGAGTTAATGATAAAACAGGGTAGAGAGAGTAATTGGCTTTTCTTTGATTCAACTGAAATAACTAAGCGACCAGAAAACACTGACAACATATCACATACGTATGCTTCCACCAATCAGACTGCAATGAACCCTGCGCACTCCCGTGTGAACAAATACCTTGTATAATATAAACTTCCCGGCACATTATGGTTTAAGGTATTTCCCGCCATCTTACAGGCGGTGCAAAAACAATTGTCAATTCTATAGTGACATGCATGACTTAAATGTCGTGATTAATAGGTATGTATGATTCATTCGGGCGGCTATTGAATTTTATGGGGGTTTTTATCCGCTGGAAGATCTGGTCTATTCGAGTATTCGTTAGTGGTGTACATACATAACTTTTACATGAATTATACTACTCGAAGCTTGTATTTTTTCGTCGTCTTCGCGTTCCCGTAAGTCCTACATTCAAACTCAAGCTATTTCCTCGACTGTAAGTGGCTTTAGGAGCAAATAAGAATTTACCAATTATGAAACTCTCTCTGGATTTAACATAGTTATGCTTTTGAGCGCACCTCAACCGCTCTGCTTTTAATGAGCCTAACTCGTCTAAACTTATTTGCATAAAGTTCGGTTTATGACAACAAACACGGCCGCTAAGCTGGCCATAAAGTGCATGCCGGAAAGTATATTTCGCCATATATGATCACAAGGAATGCAAAATTTTAAAAAAATGCAATATTTTTCCTCATTAAGACTTCGAATATTCCTGAATTCTTACTCGCCCTAATATCTGAAGTGTTTGTCAGCTTGAGTTTGGGAAAGCTTGCAAAATTGGGAGGAAAACGTCAAATCGTCCACGAATATTGCACTCTGTTGTGAGAAACAAACGAGATTCAGTCTTGATTTCGCTATAGCGTATCTTTCAGTTTGTACTTTTGAGTAAAGCTATGGGAGGGAAAACATCAAAGGAACAAAATGCCAATGAGAAAGAAGGGAGATCAAATGAAGCTGTACAGGATCTCACAAAGAATAAGAATTGGGTAAAAAAAATGGAGGAATATTTTGATGCTGTCGATTTAAACAAGAATGGCTACCTCACAGTTGAAGAGATTTTAAAATGGTCCGACAACATGAAAGAACTGTGTAGTGTAAGCGATGATGAAAGTGAAAACCTACAGAAGTGTTTGAAAGATTTTTATGGCGCGGCTGGTCTGCTCCCTGGTAAACAAGTCACGAAAGAAGAGTTTATCGAGGGCGTGAGTCATCTGAGCGAAGCTGAGCTCGAGAGGAAGAAGAATGGGGAGGAGACTTTGATGGAAAGTCTTTGTAATGCATTTTATAACGTGATGGATCTTAACGATGATGGTAAAATCACCCTGAATGAAGTGAAAACTATCATGAAAGCTTGTAATATGACCGAAGATGAGGCTGAAAAATGGTTCAATTTAGCAGATAAAAATAAAAATGGCGTTGTTGAGACTCATGAGTTGACTAAAGCTGAGTTTGAGTCTTGGTTCAGTCCGGAAGAAGAAGATTCTTAAGCAGTGATAAAAAACAATGTTGTTATTATGATTATTGACATTAGTACATTACTGATTTAGTGTTGCCAACAAATTTAAAAGGTCGTTAGTTTTTATTGAATATTGCATGGTAGACAATCTATAGAATAATTATGGTTTGGGCAAATATTTTTTAATAAAGAAATGTTTTTTTTTCACTTATTACGAAGTAGGTTTGAGTATTATATATTAACATGAAATAAAATGTTGTCATAAACTGATAAACGACAAATACTTTAGGAAGACTAGTATGCGTGTTATAATATAATTCGCATAGTTACCAAAGAATACTAACTACGTCTACAATCTAGAAGAATTAAATATTGATAGGTGCGGATGAAATTGCAGCTAAATTCGTAGTGTACGAGGTCGTATCTGATCTGATTTTATGTACTAAGCCATTATATTAGAAGCCAAATGCCTTATTAATAATAGATTGTTTAGTGTATTCGGCATCACGAATGTGTTAAAAACAATAAGTAAGGCTTTTAGCAGAGTAATGTTGTAGAAGTAAGAAGGACGGAAAATGAGACATTTTATCATTCAAATGTGGTTAATACTAGGCCTTATACGATATTATAAAATTTTATGCTTTCTATATCACTTTGCATATCAGCACCCAATATTTCAACATTTGCAATAATTTCAAACACGAACGAACATTTTCCGTCTCCCAAGTGTGCTCATTTACCAGTGCCCTTAATTAAGGAAAGTAAGGCCAAAATGGAGACATTTTGATTTCAGATTTGTGAGTGTTCGGCTACTTCGTTCATTCAACACACACTGACCCTGATTGTGTCTTGTTGAATCAGTGAACTGTGTCTGCATGTGTTAAATTCACTTTGCAATGTAACACACATGTGTCACTGTGAGATCAGTGGCGATCGTATTACATTTGGAAAGTGTTGTCATGTGTACATACTTGAAGGAATGTCTATATTCGTGCCTGAATTTACTGGAATCAGTCTATGTCATATATGCCTACTTAGTTCGACGGAAAACATTGCAACCGGAGAAATTTCATACGATTTCCTAGTGTTGCGGTGCCAAAATTAACAATTACACATCATAACTGGTTATTTTTGCCATGTTCCTTCCAAAAAACCAATATGGATTGTTGCATTCATATATCTCAAAAGGGTCACATGAGTTTTAGCTTATAAGCCACTATATATGATATCATTATGCCAATAGATATAAGTCCATAAATTACATAAGTACATATCATATGCATATATACATATATGCATACGTAAGGCCTAGGGATATGAGATGATAATGAATCTTAGAAAGGCTTATCATCTCATGCATTATCTAATGTTTGAATTGCATTCGACGCGACCAAAATGCGACGTATAACCTAGGTCTAAAATATTCAGATGTTTTAGAGTTTAAGTCAAGATATCATCTATCTAGTTATCAACTGGAAAGCGAAATTGGACAGCATTTGTTACAAATATATTTAGCTAATTAAAGTTATTGTGATTGATGTTGGAGTTGGCTGTATATATATATTTTTTTCGTAATATCTTTAGTGTTCATTATTGTACATTTGACTATTATCTGTTACAATCTTAATTGAAGTAACTGTATACTAGTGCCCCGTTTACACTACACTCGATTTATTGGCACGGCACGGCTAAAATAGGTACCCGTGCCTAGCTTCATCTGTGCTCGGCCTTTGCTTTGGTAGCCCGAACACTAATAAAATTGGGTTCGGGTACCAATTATAGCCGCGCCGCGCCGATAAATTGAGTGTAGTGTAAAAAACGGGGCTAAGATGTCCGCATTTGTGCAATGACACCAATCGTGAGATTAGAGTCGAGTGATGCAATGACACCAATCGTGACATTAGAGTCGAGTGTTGCACTCGAATCCCGGGACTATAGGGCCGAAAGGCTGAAGTATTACATGTATGAAACATCTAATCCTCAAGCGCAATTTTAATCTTATAATATAAGCTACGTTCACACGGGGACCGGACAAATTTGGAACCGTCCTCGAATTCGTCCGGTTCAGGTGTTAACACGGTAAAAACGAATGAAAATTTGATGGGTTCTACGTGTTCACATGCACGAGGAAACCGGACGAACTCCAGCACGGTCCCGAATTCGTTCGGTCCCGTGTGAACGTAGTCTTAGATACGACATTTCTTTTTATTTTAGGATTCAACGCAAGTTGGATCTTCAAGTTATACGTAGAAACAATCTTAGAAAACCAGTGTATTTTCTGTACGCTGCAGGAATGACGGATTCAAAACGTAACAATGAAAGATCTTTAAACGCAACTAGGAATTGCGATTTTGTATGGCCTGCATATCCTTCCCTTCAGTATCATTCTTATAAAACTGCATGGGCTCTGACGCTGCAAAAATAGCGTCCAAAGACAGAAACGAAAGAATGAGACTGCCACTGCTGCCAATATCGGTTTCAAATTGTCTTCAAAAATGACGACCTTTCAGTTTACATGGAGTTCACTGCATTATATTAAATAATTAACCATGTCCAGCATTTTGTATAAATCAAATGATTGCACTTCTGATTATTTCTTTTTATTTATCTAGATGATCCTGTCTGGATAAAAGAACATACATTTTCTAGAGCTCCTCGTTATCCTCTTAATGTTTTTGATGTATCTGATAATACCGACACAAGTAAAGCAATGAAGGTAAATTCACGTTTATACAACTTGTGAAGTTCAAAGAAAAGTGCATGTTCAAAGAAATGAAAGCCAATATTTCACAATTATGTAACAGCATCAATGTGACAAATCATGACCCTATTGAAATCTTACTGGTACTGGTGCACTGTTTTCAATATATAATATATTATAGTCTTGTCGGATTCTTCTTCTTTGAACAAGATCGATGTAGTGTTTCTGATAATTTAAACCCTTTGCATGTGTGTATGGCTTGTGATCATTCCTCATCTGATGTTGTTAAATAGTACGTGATGTTTAAACCCCGGCCTCCTGCTTAAGCTTAACTGAGACCCTACCCTTAAATATAATATATCTATATAGAGAATAGATACCAGTCAATGTGGGAAGTCCTTGGGTTGTTTGCGTACTCCGTCTAGTTGCAATGACAATACAGATTGCGATTACTTGCTGACGTTCAGGAAGAATAGCAATGATATCCTATTCTCACTCTCTGGAAAATCTGATGGTTGGGTTTCAGTTGGATTTAATGATAAACCAAAAATGGTGAGAAATTGAACCTTGCACAGGTTGTGATGATAGGTGTCGGCAACATAAACAACATGCCCTTATTATAAAAAAGATTCACAGGTCAAAATTTAGCATGGTATTACTGCAACTCTAGTGTACTGCAGAATTAATTTATGTACAATAACCTCAGTTAATTTTGAAGTACTAGTGAAGATTCGTTGATGCGGAAGTCGAAGTTACCCTCCCTTACTGTATCGAAAATCAAGTTGAACTGATTTTAGCAAGTTAAATTGAATTTTACTGTACACAGTCAGGTATAAACATGCAATTAACGAGAAAACGTTTGTGAATCGTAATTGTAAAACTTATAACCTAAAATTGTTCAAAAATTCATTAACAATGCCATGCAACGCTTTCATTCCTTGGAAACGAATTTAACCTTCAATTTAAGGCAACATGCCAGTCACCCTCAGTGCTCCCCTCCCTGCAAGTAGATTTCAATAAAACTTATATAATTCAATAAAATATTTTCTTCATTGAGGGCGGAACCGATGCTGTTATTTGTCAAGCAAAAGGAACTAATTCCGCTTACTTGTGGGTTGCTAACTTAAAATACAACACCCCTAAACTGATCACTGTGAGTATATCAGCTAGTACATTCCATTCAGTATTTCACTGTGCGGTGCATTAGCAAATCGTCTTTTAGTATGAACAGCATGCATGCGTGGTTGCTGTTCTGCACCAGGGTAACTTAAGCGATAAAACAATATCTTGTTTCACTTGCAACTATATAAGTTTAAAGATTGTATTATTGAGGCTAGTACTAAGTTTAATAAAATGTTCAGCGATAAATATCGATCCGCGCGCTTATCGTATAAATATAAGTCTCTTAATCTTACACAGCCTCCCCAATCATATATCTATATCTATGTATGACATTGACGTTATCTGTTTGTTCCATGTTCCGTTATTTTCAAGCCGAACGAGACCAGAATCCTGGATGGAAAATTTGAAGATGGAATAATCTATTGCAAGTAAGCTACGTGAAAAAGACGGAATTACAGGATTGAGAGTGACCATGCTAACGGATACATGAATATGTGACTGAGTGTGATATCAAATATATATAGATGGCAAATACGTGCAGCTGTTGCAGATGAATGAATGCGCGTCTTATTTTTGTTTCCAGGTTTACAAGGCCTTTAAAGCCAACGGCGAAAAAAAGAGTTGCTATTGATATTCCCAGATACATAATATATGCCAAAGGTTAGAACTTTTTCAATGAAATTATATATGCCGCATGATATTATTTCTGATTAAGATATTAAGAAGGAGGATTAATGCATGCACCACGTATATATAAAAGCCAGTATACTACATGTATATACATGCATCTATGCATAAACCTTCATCGTGTCCATTAATCAATGTCAGTGAAACCTGTCAGTGAAAACAGAGAATTGAAGAAATATTTAAATTTTTGTCATATCAGGTAAGGGAGTCGCAAAATTACACGAACACGCCGACGAAGATAAAGGATGCTCGGAGAAGAAAGTTGATTTTGGAAATCACATATCTTATGATTTGGGTGATTGTGGAGGTGGCCTCGAAAGAGTCCATGGTAATGCTTCTTTTCAACATCCCTGCCGCTGAATGAAATATTGACGATCTACATAAGAATAATCGATGGATCGAATATTCAATGCATGCGAACATAGATGGTTTCCAAACATGGAATAAAGAGTAAAAAATAGCTAGTAAGCATGATGCATCCCAAAGGATGGAATAAAAATCCATTCAACTAAATTTCTAGTCAATATATAAATTTTTAAACAAATGGGGTTAAAAGGTGAGCGAAGTCTTCTTGTTTCCCAAAATAATGCAGGATCAACCTGCACTAATTCATTCCCTTGGCTATATATGAATGTTCTACTGGCATTTAATGCATGCATAAATCTACTTTATCTTACAGGATCTTTTATGATTTTTTCGTGGATGTTCTTAGTAATAATCTCCATTTTTATTGCGCGATACTCTCGTTCGTTGTGGCTGGGTTTGAAAATTTTTGGCAGTGATGCTTGGTTCCAGGTATATTTAACTTATGAAGTGTTTTGATTTCTCATTTTAATACGATTTTATCAATTCCTACTTAAGAAAACATTCGCATGCGGGCGGTGAATATTTTACGTCTTCTTACTGAGTAGCTTTATGCGGCAGCATCGCGCGGCAAAGACTACTACTCATCAGCTACTAACTATAGCATGCAACATTCTCATTTTGACCGGCGCCTCGTAAGTAGCAGTTTAGGTGGAATATCTATTGTTATAAATGAGCTCTTTTTTAACTATTTAACTGTCTAGTTTCACCGCTTGATCATGGGAATTGCTGTTCTTTTTACCATCGTAGCAATAATTATTATATTTACCGACAAGGGAGGATGGAGTGAGGTATGTCAAAGAACGTCGTGTAATGTGAGTTTACGTTAAAAATATTTTTCAGGATCGTAGTGGAATCTTTACCATGAGTTCCTATAAGTTCAATAGGCTTGTATTAATTGCGTCGAACTGTAAGGAAAAGCTGCATGTATAGTGCATGTTGTGACAAACATTTCTAGTTTGTTTTACAGACCTTTTACGACTGAAAAATTTTAGACGATTTCATACTCAAACGAATTATTACTGATCTGAAGAAAAAATACCAAATACTGCGGACCTTTTAAAGGCGAATAAAATAAGTATCGTATACTCTTTTCCAACAGAGTGCCGGTGCTCATGGAAAACTCGGTATCGTTGTCATGGTTCTTGCTATTATTCAACCAACCATTGCTTTCTTCCGACCTCACCCAAGAAAACCGAGGTGGATTTTCTTGTTGAATCAGCATTTTAGTATATCACAAAGATTTTATGATATCCAAATATATTTACACTATTTACTGCGATTTATGTCCGACGTATATCTTCTTTTTCTTCCTATGAAGACGTGTCTTATTTAACTGGTTTCATCGAATTGTTGCCTTATTACTTGTTATTTTGGCGGGTAATTTCTTCATTAACTTCACTATTTATTCAAATATTAAACCTATACAATCGAATACGTATCTTCTTGTGGTGTAAGTGTTCTGTTGCGATGCAACGTTCACTATAACTCGTTATAATATTTGCAATAATCATTTATGCAAGTTTTGGTGTTTGTTTGATATAATTTATCATATTATTCACCAATTTCGCCATTTTTTTTATTTTTGTTCAGTTGTTACAGTTTTCAAAGGCAGTGAACTTCTATTTTCTGATGAAAATAATGTGTCTAAATGCGTGATTGCACTTATTGTTGTCGCCCTGGTAACAGCCTTGGTTCTGGAGTACCTGGCATTCCGTATCAGAGCGAAAAGTTCACCAAGTTAGTTAACTATACTAATATATATACAATCTTTTCACATGACCCTGTGCATTTGGCGGGGCATTAAATTGAAATATTAAATCTGCATGCAGGCATTGCTTAAAAACTTACAGGTATGCGCCATAGGTTTCCGTAATTTAAATAACGTATATAGATATATCCTCCAAAGACTTGACCTATACCTCAGTACAGCATTATTTACAATGGTTTATTTTCTTCAAGGTGTCGGTCTTGCATCTGAAACCTTACAGGAAGAAAATTCTATTGTGGCAGAATCTTTTTGGGTGCGTAAATAGCTATAATCATTAAGAAAAATTATTATACGCGCCGGCAAATTAGTTTCAAACTCCATATAATCTAATCTACATTGCATTTGAACTCATTTTACTGTGTGAATTTTACATTTCGTATAATTTTTATATTGGTAAAACAAACGTTTGCTCAAAAGGTAAACCCATTTGATAACAGATATATACGCCTTTTCATGGTTTGTGACGCCATCTTGAATGCAGTGTTTTCCGCATTCAGTGTTTCTCACTTACAAAGTAACTAAATCACCCCAACAACACTAAATTACAGACCAAACGTGCATATGGCGTAAAGCTATGTTTATGGCTTGTTCCGAACGGGATATTTATAAATTTGGGCCAATGCTGTTGAGTTCATATTAATAAAATAGTTTTTAATTCATGCGTGTATATTTTGTAAATCTGTTTTCTAGGAAACCAAGCTACAGCGCGTGTTGTTGGTGGTATTCTCACTCGTAGTTTTTATACAAGCGGCTGTTATGATCGCGTACGTGGCGGGGGCTGGGGAAGACGATGACGACGATGATTAGATTTGAAAGACCTGACAGTTTTGAATTTGTATTTCTAGCGTGAAATTATTAATATCTAAGGCTGCATGCCGCGATAAAAATATTAGTTTAGCACAAACTAAGCTGTGTATAGAAACTATAGGGATGATGTCTACTGTACATCCATTAAACTATATAAGATTATAAGTGTATGTACCTGAGGTACTTTTAGTATAAATCGTGCAATACAGACTAGTAATGACTAGCAGTATGTGATATGTATGTATACCTGTATGAACTGTGTGGCAACCGCAGCTATGATTATAATGATGATTATGAAGTGCTTCACATTAAACTATTTGCTGATTTAAGTGATATGGCCAAAAGCGAAAACCTATAGCCTAAGAAGTTAACGCCAATAGAGTGCTTTACCGGTTTATACCCTGCGTCAAGTTAGACTTTCTATAGTACAGTTAACCCTGTGTGCTAATATCATTACGTCTCTTAAGTTATCGTGATCCAGTATACTAGTTCGAGTAGTATACGTATGTTTTTTTATCATGCACGAATTCGAAGCTCTGAATTCTCTACTTTAACGTAGACATGAAAAGTGAAAACACAAGAAAGCCAATTGTAAAAGCTATAATTAAAAACTTAAACTGTAAACCAAATTCACAATGGTTATTCTTACAACTACAGCAAGTCTGTACAAAGCTCTACATTAACGACTTACAATAATTGATTTGGAGAAGATAGTACGAAAAATAAAAGGAAAATAAAGGCAGATTATTCAGTTCAGCGATTGTTCTCTCTGCGGGAGATTTTCACCACCTTTGTGTTCACGGAGAGAGCAATCATCTAGAGGACCGACTTGGGTTATCTTACAACGCAATATCCTTTTGAAAGCAACTCGCAGTTTACGATTCATCAACGTATATACGATCCAGTTACAACAACTGTTGGCATACCCCAGCACTAGAGATAAACGAAGTAAATCTGCCGGTACTTTCTTTCGCGTAACCACTCGAGATATTGTCGCACAAAAGTACGGCAACCACATGACAAAAAACACTCCAACTATCACACTGATTGTTTTCACAGCTTTTATTTCCCGACGCAGTGGAGAAACAGTTGAAAACCTGGTTTCTAACACGCTAATCCTTCGCACCTGTTTCCGGGTTATGGAAAATATCGCGCCATATGATGCTATCATTATACCAAGTGGAAGTACGAAGAAAAAGCTGACCAATAGCGAGACCAGAATTTTATCACGTGACCTTGTATTCCAATTTACTTCGCATTCGATAAGTTGAGGATTATATAGTATATCACCCAGTCCAAAGTGAGGGAATAATCCAATAACACACGACAGTAGCCATAAAATAAGAATAATCATAATAGCTTTGTTTGATGTTATATGAGTGTTGTAATAGAAAGGATATTTTATACATAGCATTCGCTCCAGACTTATGCACATGAGATGTGCTATTGAGCAAGCACATAATATATAACTACACGTCGCACTTCCCTGGCACCAGGCCTCTCCGAATGGCCAGCGGCGCATGAACGATGCTACGATGACGTAAATTTCACGCAACAGCGGTACAAGTAGGTCAGCGGTTGCCAAACTAATAATAAAGTAGTTAGGTATCGTGCGAAGGCGTTTGAACTTTATAAACGCTAATACGACTAAGCCGTTGCCAAATAGAGTAATCAAAGATAACACTGACATGCTTGCACCATATAAAGTCGCAGTAAGCACTGAGATGTTGCTTGGTTGTTCACTGATTTTCATTCTGCCCCTGCTAAGAAACAAGATCGTGCATCAGAATTTTGAACTTTAGTTGATCTGGTGGTGTAAACTACCTTACAAAGCATTGCCGTAGAGGATTTTTAAAGAGTGCGGGTGAAAAACACAATTTTTTGGTGAACTTGCACTCTGAAAGTTTAATTTACTACCATCTTAACACGAGGACAAGCTCGAAGTGACTGCACCAATAAGCTTGAAGTTTATAGCTTTTCCGTTCTTAAAACGTACGAGTCACTTATTCCACCATAAGAATAGCTTATACATGCAATCTTTCTTTTGTGGAATCTCAGGGCCGTAAATGGTTTAAATATAGGCTGCCTATAAGCTATTTGTGATAGTTTCGTAAAATGCCAGTTTGATAATTGTACCGAATGTCAGAACCACCTGAAGGGACTGAAGGGTTTATCGGATATCTACAGTCAGATAAATTGCTTATTGGGTGTTCATCTTTCCAAATTGGTCAAAAAAAATTCAATACGCTAAAATTTAAATATCTTTATGTATTTAAGATATCCATTTTATATAATACTGTATACCTGCCAAGTGAGAAGCAATTGTTTCCTCGAAATTTCACTAAGTTAATATAGGCCCCAGATATCTCTTGAAAATTAAGTGCCAAGCCCAAGGTGTGCGCAAAATAAAATACTTTTATCATGTGCTTTATTCAATATATCGTTGCAAAGTGGATAATCCCTGGTTACGACGTGTTTGCGGACTCCCAGTCTACATCAGGTTGATTCTTAATTAGTACAAGTTGAGTGACATTTCGTCATAAGCACACAGCCTCGAAATTAAAGATCTAATTATATCGAAATTGCCTACATAATATTATCTTGTTACGATATCACCAGTTTAACAGTACATATTAGTTCATTATATCCGACGATATAAATCCTTGTTTAGAACCTGGGCCATAGTAGCATATAACCATATAACTTAGTGTGGATCAGTGATGTGGACGTTCTGTAGGAAGAACAATTATTTATAAATACTGTACGAGCTTTTGATTCGTGTCTGCAGACTTCAGTCTTCGACGGACGATTGCAATGCAAAAATCCTGATGAAGTGATTGGTTTCTAATTAAGCACACAAAGACTAACAGGTAATATAATTTACCAAGTGATTGACAGCTCTTCTTTAATCTAAGATTAACGAGCTAAGAATGCTTGCTAGGGGGTTAGTGACTTAGTGTCATGCTCTGTGTTCAATGTATATACTATGTTGTGCTATGTTTCCAACATATTTTTGTTCCTCTACGTACATGCAATGTCATCTTTGAGTTCTTTTTTATCTTAAAGGCCGCATTAATATCGGAACCGTTACTTCGTTAGATCACATGTATTAGTTTGATCTTAAGGTGTCAGTTTGCCCCTGACTGGAGAAAGAATTTATTCTAGTTTGCAAGGGCTGAAAGAGCTAGGTTGCAAACAGGATGATTGAGGGTCGAGTTTTAACGGTTTTCGTAGGCTTTTGGTATGAAAGAAAAAGAATTATAACATTTGACTTGTAACCGATGTAGATGATCTATTTTTAGTATCACCGTAACTTAGCAAATCTATCAACAAGATAAATTTTCTGTTACAGGAGTAAGGATTAGATGAAAGGTTATTTTTGGAACTAGTATTAACCGCATCACGTTTTGTGTATTTGGCATAGTTGGTATCATAAATACTCTGATCATCACCATTCATATATCTCTTTAATACCTTTTCTTTAACTAAAACCCTTAGCAAGCGCTCTACAATGTAGCAAAATATACACGATCAGTGTTCTTTTATGCGGAGCCATATAGCTCTTGTTTGTTTGATTTTTCCTCAGTATACAGCCAGAAGTGTAGCGTTGAAGAAGGGTGTCAAGCCTTTTTTAATCATCTACGTACGAGATCTTGACAACTTGACACCTTCGAATGAATACCATAGCCTTTGCAGATATCGTCTGTTAAGAAAACAGGTTCTATCTAAATAAGACTCTGCACCATTGACACCATAGCAACCACATTATTTTTCACAGCTATGTATTCAGACCACGTCGTGATAAACTGAGCGATGTAAAACTGGAGAGTAATTCATGAATTTCATCCACCTTTAAAATGCGATGAAAAGTTATACAAAAACGAACTTGGTACAAACATAATTTAGTGTAAAACTAAACTCCACTATTGAGATATATTCATCTGATCTGCGCTATATTATTATTATGCTGACAACTGTAACTACAATTGATCAGTAACATACCTGCTTGATTGAGGTAGTTTTCTCAAGTCTATCAAAGATATCATCCAAGTTTTCCTGCTCATTCATTACATGTCCTACTTTTGAGAGATATATCTGTAACAGCTTCACCACTTCCATAACAACAGCTTTGAAAGCTTTTGCTGTTGAATGAGCAATTTCATCTTCTTCAATCAAACGTAATCTTGCAAATGCCAACTGCAGAGGAGATCGACCACATTCATCAAGCGCATTGACATTTGCACCTGAAATATTGCCATTTTTGTCACGTTTTTGGCTACAGCATTTCTTGTATTTAATGAGCTATTTCTATTACTGGTTTACTGGTAAGACCATGCATAATCAGAATATTAAATAAATTTAAAATGAATTTCAAGAAAATTTAATAAAATATCTTAATAAAATTAACCTACCATGTTCAGCTAAAATAGTCACAATCTTTATATGACTAGCACATGCAGCTAAATGCAAAGGTGTATTCCCATTAATATCTTGCAAGTTAGGGTTTGCTCCATGACTTAATAAAACCTGTACAATTGCCACATCTCCTTTAGAGGCAGCAAAATGGAGAGCTGTACGTTTCTTTGTGTCAGCACAAGATACTTTAACCCCCTCTCCTATAAGTCTTTCCACCATCTCAAAATTGCCACTGTTGGCCGCTTCTCGAAACCTCTTCTCACCAAGGAAATTAAGTCCAGCACAGGTACGAAGCACCTTTTAAATATGTAAAATAATTGTATCAGTATAAATCCTAGTATGAAACCATCAAAATAATTAAGCTACTGTATATATACTTAAATGGTCACTCAATAAGCATAATGACATAGCTATGATGTTTACCCAATGTCATTGTTTTTTAATTTCAATTTGTTAAGTTTGATGAAATATTCTAGGGAGTAGAAATCAACCTTTGAATGTCTCCTGGTTGTTAACCTAGATGATTTCAACTTTGTCTTAAGTTCTCTTTGCTCATTTTCACTTGGTAATGCTTGATAACCAGACCCAAAATTATCAGGTAAAACATTTGTGAAGTTAAGTCCAGCAGGAGCTTCAGGTGACCAATTCAGGTGGATTTTGGACCTATCTTCTTCTGCATTACTTTCTGTCATAATACTAGAAAATATAATCTACCATCACATATTTTGTGTGTAATCTTATTCCTGATTGGTTGGAAACATTATTTAGCACTAATTCTCAATATTTAGTATTTATTAGATCATTTTACCTGCTGACATGCTCAACATCCAATAATTACTTGCACAAAAAACAATTATTAGACTCTGCCATGCCCTAGCCTTGCACCCCAATTACTCAAAAAATAGAATTGATCACCAAAGAGTTGCTCATCTAGGGCTGGTTGTATAAAACTCTTTAACTACATTTTGCATGGTTAAATCATAGTTAACTCTGAAATACAAAACTCTGATTGGCAAAACTTTCTGAATGTGAAAAAATTTCATTAATAGGCTGAGTAGTTCACGTAAAATAGCGTGTTGAAGTTTGAATAATTTTTTTTAATACACCCTGTACAACTGGCCCCTGTATACAACCTTGTACACTGGGTTTTTTATCTGGATAAAATGTCGATGTTTCTAATGTCTTTAATTAAATGAATATTAAAACAAAAACTTATTTGGCTTTCACATGATTGGAATCAGTGTTATCCACTGACAAAGTCAATTCAATACATTGGATAACCAGAAAGCTAATAACATAATTTAACTGGCCAGAGTATTAAATGAGGATAATGGTAGCTACTGCATTTAAATCTGCAAGCTGTACCACCGCCAAAATTATATATCTTAATCATATACGGATATACCTTGCTCACACGCTTCTTCGCAAGTTGAAATGCTGCTTGATGTTAGACAAGATCCATCATCACCTTTTATATTTGCTTCGTTTTTCATTTCAACAATACAATTTACTAACTATAAGCCTATGTGTATATTTATTGAGCCAACAAAATTTGTTAGCGGTATGACATAGAAATACTTTATATAGTATAAACATAAGAGTAAACTTGAACACGTAACAGTCGTAACTTGAATCTCCGCTGTATCACACAGTAACTATGATCACACAGAGATTATTATCACAGATGAGGCATATGATTACATTAGCCTCCTCTACAGGCATCTTTAGCTTTCCCTGGGATTGCTCTCTACTACTTACTCTGTGAAATTTTTATCCATCTTTTATCTATGGCTATATGTGTCGCTATATCTATGCTATATCTATGACTACCGACGCCGCTAGGCACTAGCTTATTGTCACGTCATTTTGATATGGGCACGAAAAATTTTAGGCGTTAAAAATTTTTAAGACTTTAGAATGAACTTAAAATATTTCAATCGGCTCTGGCAAGAAAATTGCATAATGCCCGAATACATTGAGTAGGATTATAATTAAAATTCTCTACAACGAAAACTACAAGTTAAAACTACAAAATTCAGTCCTGACGATCATTCTATTTTAAACATATTTCTGAAAAAGAAATGTGAGTGTTGTATAGTAAAATCGGCCACAATACAATAATGGCAAAATATTTTTATCTACAATTCACAAAGTGTGGAACAGTGAAAATCTGAGAACAGCGGTAATTATTAAATACGTTCAGTTGGGCACTTCGATGTTTTAAGTTTTTCCGTTAACACATCAATAAAAATCTTGAACGACAATAAATGTAACAAAGATTACATCAGATGACAGAAATAATATCAATACAAAAAATATCCTGCATATCCTTAGTCATGTAGAGCAACAATTTTTTTTAAATTTCTTCGTCTGTCAACGCGACCATGATGATTTTGGTGGAACCAACTCTATGAGTCAGGAGCACAGCTCGTTTCCAACAAAACTGCATCTGTATTTATACTTTCTTCGGTATCCTTATTCTCCGGTCTCTCTTCTTTTTCTTTGGCATCTTCTGCTGGCCAATTTTCTCGTTTTGTTTTTGCCAAAGGCGAACCCTCAAGCTTATCATGTTCTAAAGAATAATGTTCTTGCCGTGTCTCAACCGATACATTATCTTTCATTTCACACGAAAACTGCTGACTTTGTAAGTCACCTGGCTCTTCAATCGTTGACGAGTTATCTTGCTTTGGTTTCAAAGGTTCATCTTGCAAACTTTTTGTTGGAGACGAATAGCCAAATTTTGTTTGAACCGGGGACTGTTCATCTTGCAAGATTTTGTTCAGAGGAAGGTCGTTGATGTTGGCTTTGCCAGACGGGAGCGGTACATCTGTTGACTTCACCGGGGACTGGCTTGGCATTGACACTGGCTTTCCTAAACGCCATCTCCACAATGCATGACAACAACCAGGAAGACAGTTTTTTTTATTGTATGCCATAGTATGGGAGGGAGAAAGATCACCATCCTTTACGACTAAAAATGCAGAATATGGTATAGTCTCGATTAAACGAAAAGTATTCATTTCTAAGCGTCGTCTTCGCTTTTTCTTAACTATTTTAATCTCATCATTATTTTCTCTCTTTTCTTTGCTCTCGTCTAAAGTCTTACTCAAATTGTTTATACCATCTTGTCCTAGCAAACCCTTTCTTCCATCGAAATTTTGTTCACTAACATTGGTATTATTACTTGTATCTGGTTTCATCTCAACGATAGCTATATCTGGGTCAAAACTTCCCTCCAAGTTAGTCTTCTCCTGTTCTGTAAGACTTGCACGTTTTTTCCCCTTTTTATTTGCTTCATTCGTTTTTTTTAAACTATTCTTGCCAACTTTCCGAACTGTAGCCAGAGGATGTAAATCTTTATCCACAATCTTCTTTTTCTTTCCTGATTTTTCTTTAGATATTGCGTGAGGAAGTTTTCGTTTCTTTGTACATTTTAATTTATCTTTTAGTTTTGTCATTGCAGGTTTTAACCCACCTGAATTGTTATCACTCTTCATAACATTATCAGAGATATCTTCACTTTCAGCATCATTTAAGCCAGACTGTGGTAAAATACCATTCGCCACATGCCACTTATTATGAGATCTTTTAAGAAGCAAAGTTGGAGAACGTGGCTCAACATAGTTGCTACCATTGTTGTTGGCTTCTGAATATGGTTCATCAAAGTTATCATAGTCAAACCTGGTCTCTGCTTGGTCATCAACAATGTTTGAATTCATATCCAGAGATAAAGCATCAGCTTTTAACTGCTTACTGTTTGCATCCAATGCACATTTTTGACCAGGTATAGTATTTTCATCCTCAGTTATATCGGTATAGAATTGGTAGGATTGAAGTAGTTCCATTTGTGTGCGACGTTTTCGTTTTTTGCCATTTTCTTGCATATTTTCGTCAGATATTGAATCAATTGTTGCAACAGGAGAAAGGCTCCGAACATTTTCATCAACTTGTATTGTTGCTAGATTTGAACTTACTGATTTTGATGTTGATTTTTTACCAACCCTGCTGCCTTTGACCAAATTTGCTCCATCTTTGACAGGCTTTTTGCTTGCTTTGATTGCCTTTTTTTGCTGATTACCAATTTTGGGTTTTTTACCTTTAAAAATATTTTGACATTCCATCACCTTGTTGATATCCATGTTTTTATCATCGCTTACCAAATCTAGTGAGGTGTGGTCAGGTTTGCATTGCTCTAAAATCAAGTCACTGTTACAACTATTTGGAATATTGATATTTAAATTTGATCCTTCTGGTTCTTGCTGGTCCGTAGCATCATTGGAACCACTTTTTTCTGAGTATTTTTCCCAATATCTTTCAACATCTTCTCTTGAGACTAGAGTGCAGTTTGAGAAAGCTTGTTTGGTCCCTCCTAATTCTTTTACCAAGTCAACCTCTGCTCTGTTACATGCATGTTTAGTAGCTTTCAGCCTTGTAAATCTATTGCCAACTGTACCTTAAGAAATATCAAGAATAATATAGTGAATTCAAATTAAATATGAATGATAATTTGGTCACATACAGAATTAGATTGGTACTAGCATATGGTATTCAACAAAATCTTTAGCTTGCAGGTTGCTTCCAAAGGTTGTTAGTCAAGTCAAAATTGTAAAATTGAAATACAAGATCTAGATTTAAGGGGAGGATATCAAATATAACAGGGTGAACTTTATGTCATTTTACGCAAAAAAGTATGTGTTACAATGTTGACACATTAAACACATAATTCCTATGAAACTATTACATATGCTTTACATTGACCACGCAATTGACTTTTCAGAATTGGCTGTACCTCGTTTTGTGCCTTGACAAAGTTTAAGCATGATTTCATAAAAAGTAAACATCTGAATGCCATTGACTGTCAAAAATAACATATCCTCTCCTTTAAACTTTATTCGACCAGACTCCTCAATGGAATTGAAGGTAGATTTTTTAATATCGTGTTTGTTGTGCGACTCTATATTCTCCTCGAACGTCTCCCCATTCTCGCCTTCTTCAACCAACGGTTCTATTGCTGCTTGATCGTTCATGTTTTCAAATGCTTTTTATTTATTTATTTATTCAAACAATTCATTTGTTATGTTTATTGTAACCGTTATTTCAAAAATCTTGGCAAATTAAATTAATATTTTCTTTTACTCAGAAGCCCTAGCTTGGAATGAGATTACGTTCTTTCAATCAATCAATGGTCATTTTAGACTGAGGACAGCAGCTTCACATTGATATATCGGATACTTCATCTCGTTCAAATAACTGCATCAGTATAGCAACGGTAACCGCGTAGTGTCGCGTTCTTCTCGTTAAAAGAGAATTACTAAACCATGTATTATTTTAACATTTTACGTCGCACAGACCCTCTCCTAACCCTTAGTACCTCTAGCACAGGTCTAGCTTTTCATATAATTTTCATTCTTGCGAGCGGGTGATATTGTAAAGCTTTCTGCATCAAAGAGACAGTCCCCGAACTCCAACCCCCTCGTACAGTAAAATGTAACTAACATTGAATTACATTACACCCATCCTGCTCTCGAACTATCGTTTTTTTAAATCGAAGTATTATTTAACAGTGGGAATAATTGTGAGACTGTTCCACGAATATATAGGTTCTCTCCTAAATTATTACCGAAATTTTTAGGCCTATACGCCTACACAGGACTGCGGAAGTTCAAATTATGAAGACAAAGCCAAAGGTTCGATCTGTTCTGGTAATAATCATATAATCGAATCGTTACATATAACATATTTACAGTCATTATGTAGCAGAATTATTGCTTGTTTTACTTGTACAAATAGCAAACAACTACTGAATACTTCCTTTGCCAGCAATAGAATAAATCAGGGATGTTTCACCATTCACAGGTTGAGTTATAAAACGCTGCGTATCAGATAAATTTGTGTCTTCATCAGCCACATCGTCAAGCTCGAGTGTGCTAGGAGGACCCATTGCCGACGAGGATGGAGCATAAAGAATCAGTATTGCAAAAATATAGATGTTCCAAAGGCCGTATATACCAGCAATAAATGCACCTAAAACAAGGTTAAAAACGCGACTAAACGTAATGCTGTAAAAATCAGACGAAATCAAGAGGCCTTAACCATACATATACTTATTCATTCTGTAGTTTTATGCACATGATTTAATTTACTATAAAATTTTACGTGCGTGTACAAAAAACTCAACTATTTCGAAATCTAGCTTGGAATCGTATTTGGGAAAAAGGCTTTTCGCCATGTTTGCTTACTGGAAATTTCAATTGTCCCTTTTTCACCAAACTTCCAGTGTGCTTCGTTCACATTTGTTGCAATGAAGAAAGCAATTGTTAATCCAGCACAGATTATAGTGAACGCCAAAAGAAACTTGAATCGATAAAACGCACCCTGAAGAGAGAAACGAACAGACGATTGTAAAGATTTGATCTGATACGACAATTAATCGCAGAGCCTGATTAAGGTATAACAACAGTTCAATACTTTTGCTGGTTATCATGGGCTGCCATAAAAAAGCTATAAGACTCTGTCACATTAGAAAAATACCTCGTATGCAACTCTTCGTCCAGCAGCCATTCTGGAAAATTCTGATCTTTTGCCACTGATATGCCAGAAAACTTTTAACATCATCAACAGGAAGAACAAGAAGTAAAGGCAAGCACAAATTGCGGCAAATATTAAGAATGCCATCTATAATATTATGTTAAGTATTTGATGAAACCTATTTTGAAGGGGTGCCCAATATTTTGTTTATTTGATTTCTCCCAGAGCAGAACCGTTCATTTTTCAACTGAACAAAGCCACTGAATCACCGTGACACCGGAAATCACACTGATGACCTTTTACAGTGCCTCAAAGTCGATCAATGCACACATCGTTAACTTCGTGAGGGGGGGGGGGGTTGAGATGACGTAAATTGAACTTAAGAAAAGTCGCCCGGGGACGGGGGTGAAAGTGGAACTGATAGTAACATTGTCCCAAGTGTCAAGCATTTTGGGTTACGTACTGATTTGAGGGCATCTTGAAGTCTAGAACAGAGCCGAATACGTTATATCAAAACAGACGTATAGCCTATTGGACTTCACGAACCTCATACGAGTGATGACAAAAGATATGTTTGCGAGTTTACACATCTTGATTCGGCCTCAGAAAATTGCATAAACAATTGAAGAATGATGTAAATTCGCAGATCAAAGCAGAGAGACAGCGATAAATGTATAACGACAAAGGATACGCCTAGTTTCTTCCCACTTTCACTTGACCAAATGCTATGGAAAGGATTGCTGAGTTGAACCCCCCTTAAAATAAAAAACAATCTTAATAATCAATATCATAGATAAATCCACATAAGGGAAGAGGGAAGCCGATTTGATGATTACTAATATAAAGGGAACTAGAAAAATCTAACACCCATGCAAAATACAATGTTGCATAGTTAAAAAATCATATCAACAAAAAGCAAATCACCGTCAAGATCATGCAGCTTGGGGTTTGGTGAAATCTTGTGACTAGTTGCGAGTCTAATGAACAAAACCCTTTTTGTACGTGCGAAATTTCAATTGAAATACCTACTAAAATTGGAAAGTATGCAGGCACGCCTGCTAATGCAGACTCAATATTAGCCGCCACACGTCGAAGTGCCCTTTTAGGTTTATTTTGCGTAATGCTCGACAACACGTTTTGATGGTAACGACGATGAACTAATCTGAGCTGCAACGTGTGTCTCCTAGCCTGTATCGAATTAGTAGGTTTTGAAGTAGGAAACGGCTTTCTCTTTTAAACAAAATATTGAAGCAATTGTACCTATACTATATAGGCCTGCCTTACTTGTATCATAAAGCCCTTGAACACTTCACTAGCTTCCTTATACACTTGACTATGTACCTTAAATAAAGCTTTGCCCTTTTGCATGCTAAATGTCAAACACACAGAAATCATAAAATGAAGTTTTTATACAATACTATATTGATCATACTTACCTCTCGGATAGATCAAAAATAAGAAGAGAAAGAGCACCGATTCCGATAGCCACAATTTCTTTTCTGTACATTTTTAGATTGTTTCTTTCAGTGTTGTCCTAAAGAAAACACGAGAAAGTCGAGAATACAGAAAAGTTTCCTTCTAATGGTTCAATTTCTTAACCTCTCATGTATGTCAGTGACATAACATAGACCACATATAGACGGATAGATTGTATATTAGTTATACCACGGTCACCTTTATCTCTTCACGATCCTGTTTTGTGCGTAAATAACCTTCCTCACAATGACGTCAAACGCGGAAAGCCCAATGTTACACGAAGTTTGATTAGCTTGTTAGTTTTGTGGTCATTATGAAAAAGGTCTATTAACCCTCCTTTCTTTTACTTGCAATATTTGCAAAGGTATATATCGATAAGCTTAAATACCACCTAAAGTTTGGTACTTCCAAATGAAAAGGAAAATTAGATCAGAACAGAATTACATAAGTAAAACCTCTCAAAGAAAGCAGGGGTGTCGCAACGTGTCGAAAATGTAATTGCGTCCCCTAATCGACTGTCAAATCAAAATAAAATAACGAATTATCACAAAACCTTCGATTAATGAAACAGAATACATGTAGATTATGATACGTACTCATGAAAACAGAATTTCTACCGCAAATAATACTTACCATGACATGTTCTCCAGCAAAAATCAGCCAGAAGGAGAGCAAGGTTGCATAAAATATTCCTTGCCTAATATCACTGATTATCAACATGAATGGCATATCAATCCACAATGTAAACCATTCCAGTGGAACTGGAGGAAAAATGATATGCAGTATTTCAGTTTCAATTAAGCGATAAAACTGCGCATTTCATTTCACTAATTTTGGTCCAGGGACTCGCAGAAACATACTGAGAATATTTAATTGACTGGGGGGGGGTGTGATGGAGGATTTACCAACGAATTAAATAATTAATATTGTAAAATAGATTTACTCACAATCAAGAATAGCAATTGTAAAACCAAGCCAAAATATGGTACTAAAAATATAAATATTTGAATTGAGAAAAACTAGCAACCTTGAGATGTATTTATTATTATCCAATGATATTCACTTACTGTTCTTTTCAAATGCTTATGTATTTGCATATTTTTGGTAAACAAAACAATTCATAGCTTGTTATATCTCTCAACACGAAATTAATTGCTTACGTCTCAAATAAAAATGGTCTCCTAGCAAGACGATTGATTCTTCTCCTAAACCAGACGACAGCAGCAATCAACAGAGGTGCTAAAACAGTTTTCAGGCCAAACCACATTCTCGTAAACCCCCCATTTTGATGAATTTCCTATAACGACAAAATAAAACATGCATTCTGGGTATTTGTTATGTCGTGATGTATATGGCTGCGCTATGCATGCATCACCAGTTATAACGACTTGCAGTTTTCGAACATCAATTGACGCGTTAGCTTACTCACCACAATATTTACTGAATATATTTGACCAAAATCTTCGTTATATCCCTTACCATAAGGTAACCTGATGTTTATCAAATAATTATCATAATGAACACTACCCAATTCAAATGCAGGCATTTCATCACAATCCCAAATACCACCTTCATCCTAAAATAAAAATTACCAACAATATATACCGTTGAAATATATGAAATCGTAGCTTTGCGCAATTTGATATACACTGTATTATACGGGACTATATATCGTTGTTGATTAATATGTATCATAATTACTGCATCGGTATATATGTTTTAACTAATATATGACGATATATTTACCTGTTCACAAGTATGATCCCGTTGTTCTCTCGACTTTGCTAGCTGTTTCCATGAACTGTCCGTTTTATCTCTCGCGCCAAGACGCATGTCCATCGTTACAATCGGATGATCGAGTCCTGAAGAAATCATTACGATATCATGCTATTTGGCAAGTTATAAAATTATGCCTATTCTTCTCCACTATAATTTGTTTTAATTGCCTAAATGCAGTAGGAGCCATCTTTCTTATAGCTGTGAAAAAACTCTTGAATGCATGTTTGATAAAGCAAAACTCGATTCATTATCGTCCAGTATTGAAATGAATATTTCAATACCAAGACTTCCATTAGGAAAATTGGACTTGATAATTTATTATCTATAATTTATAGAAAGATAGGCAACCACCTATAATGTTCGGATTAAACAAGTTACTTCTTGCTTAACAAATACATGCAGACAATTATACTATATAATAAGATATTTTACAGAAAGTGAAGACTAAGCTATAGTTGCTATAGCTTGTAATTCACGGAAGTAAGAAGTTGGCAACAGAATTTGTATTCTTCAGGGGTTTACCATTGAGCGAGCGATTATACTGACTATCATGCAAGCAATGTGTTCAACGAGTGTAAAAACTAAATGGACAATTAATTAAGAACACAATGTCACGGAAAGATATATAAACGAATACAATCGTATATAATACATGGTTGAGTAAATAGGAAGGAGACAATATACCCATGCACTTAACAGTATCCTTGACAATTAAACCTGATCACTTTGGAATGTTATAAAATATAATAGAGGTGCTTCCTTGACGTCATATGCACACTTCTTAGAAAAAGGTGAACGAGATAATATGTGTTTGCAAGTGCATCCAGTACGTCCTTCCCACGCTTAATGCCCAGAATTGATAGTCGGCACGTGCATGGAATACTGCAAGAAGTTACGATAACTCAATATCTAGATTTACATAGGTTTAGGTACCTTGCAAATCTTAGGGTTACATGCATGAAAAGCACTTTCGCGTGACTGTGGCAACCGTATAGAATACGTTAAAAATAGAAATGATTAATAATAATTATATATAATTACACTGTCCGCACTTGAATTGAAAAAAGAAAATATCACTAAACTAGTCTGTAAGGACAAACATACACAAAGTTGGTCTTTGCAACTGTAGTCATTGAATGACATAGTTAAAACTAGATTTTTGATACTCCTACACAGGCCAAGTAGCTTTCACAGCAAAGCCGGAAATATGTGGAAAAAAACTGTATGCTTTCAGAGTATGATCATGTGCATGCAAGAGCCTGAAAGAGAGCTTTTTCGTTATTCGTATTATTATTAAGTGTATAGATATTGCCCATGCAACTATTCATTCGAATTTGCTCGTTGATTTCTCATGATTTTCCTTCATGAGAAGGCCATCACAACGGTACATGAAAAACGTAGATAAAAGCCTAGTGCACGATATAATGTAGTTTCTGTAGTTCTGACATACACTTGCAGACGTACAGTCAAAGCCAGGAACACATTAGCTTAGCTCCTTTCTAAGTTTATGCAATGTAAGGTAATATTTATTAGGCCTATTACGAAGGTAACTTTCGAACTGACCGCTATAAGGTATATACATATATTATATATATGGAAGGAAGAACTTGTAACTATGGAAGGAAGAACTTGTTCTAAATAAAACGAATTAAACACGTTCTCTTCGCAATATCACAGTTGAACCGAGTTACAGGTAGACGGACGGAAATCTGTCTTTAAAAGTGGGGGATAAACTGGATGGATCGAGTTAACCATACGAAACCCGCGTTTCGCTTAAGTGGATATGCTCGAAAAATGAACAAGACTGCAAATTTACCACGAATGAATGTAAACAACAATAGTTTTTACAACAGCATAAAGCGTATCAGATTGAAGTTTAATCGTTCACAACTTGTATGAAAGTGTTATTTATTTAGCTTATCCACCGCGTTTATGAGCTAAAGAGGTTCGTGCAACCGGCTCTGCAGATGTTACGGTTTTTCCGGTTGGTATAGCGGTTTTATCACCGAGCGGTGTTGAAAAAAAAGTTGGTCTTTCTTAAAATTAGTCTAATATTGATAACATGACGCCCCTGCATGCCTGCATCATTATCACATAATGAAATTAAATCAATTATATTGACCTATGAGAAATTTCCCAAGGCGCGCTCTTTCGTCGAGTCGAGTTCTTTTTTCAACATTATACAATCACATGCAAATAGTGGAACAAATGTATTATTATTATTATCAATATCTACAGAGGGTTAAAAATTCAAATCAAATTCAGCGTTTTGATTGGTCTATATAAATGGCAACTTTAGCTACATTGGAATTGTTTTTTTGGCCAAGTGTACAATTTTTTATTAAAAAATTGCAGAACCATTTGCGAAAACACACAATAATTTTAAATGAATCATGACATTCCACCCACACTCTTTACCCTACACGCCTAACCAGAAAACTGTAAAATCACACATATATATAATAATGCAAAAAATTTGCGGTTTTCACACTCTGCCATACCTAAACCAGCAACAATCTTTTAAATTTTAGATTTAAAAGACGCTTTCGTTGAGGCTTTCATTCCCAAGGACCTGATAGTCATCTGATACAAAGAAATCAAACAAACTTGACTCAAGTATTTGGATCAGTATGCAAGTATTTTATTTTCTAAGGTGCGGGGCTCACGGAAGGTGCAGAGCTCGCGGAAGTGGACCAAAGACAATCTAAGCAGCTTGGAAAATGAAGTACGTGCTGTTCAAAATACTTAAGAGTTTATTTGATTTCTTTGTACGAGAAAGACGTGTAAAAGACCATAACAACATGCAATAGTTGCTAGGATTCTAGAGTATATAAAGGGGCGATATTTTAGGGCGAATCATGCATTTTCGGGTAAGCAGTGTTGAAGAAAAGATCAGAACATAATCATCAGATCAGAACATACGCAATATGAATTCACGACTTGCATTCATTCTTGGTTTCCTTTTGATGGCTGGTGTCGCCTTAGCCACAGCAGGTATGAATTGCTACCTCATTTATTATCTGTTTTATTATACGCATGTCATGCATGCGTTCAAGACCTACATCCTAAATTTGACCACATGGACAAGCACATGAAAGCTAATAGCTGGGAGGGGTAGGAGACAACTTTTCTCAAGCATACAATAAATATTCGTCCCTGAAAAAGCCTAAACATATCCAATTCCTTAACAATTAAGCGAGCCCGTTCAGATGTTCTGCTATCGTTCTTTGAGGTTGTTAAACGCTTGCAAGCCAACATACTACAAGCAACCACAAGATACTACATGCAACTGTATAGAATCTGCTTACTAGTAGATTAGATTTATCATTCATCGTATTTTTAAGATGAATATGAAGAGTACGAAGAAGAGGCCCCAAATGACGAGGAACAAGCTGATAAAGATACTGAAACGGAAACTGCTTTGGTTGAAAACGACGATCCTGATGTTCTTAAAAATAAAGGATGTAAGTGGAGATACTTCCATACATGATACACTAAAATATAAGTAGGAAGATGTCAAGGTGATTAAGAGGTCAAAGGGAGGTTATACGAATTGGATCAATCATTTACATACTCAGCAAAAGATTAAGGCTAAAGCCCAGTCTATAGAGCCCTTAGGCTTAGGTACTTTCCGCGCCTCCTAACATGTACATTTGTCTCTAGTTTGTCATTTGGGCATTGCAATATGGAAAAAGCCAGGATCTTTCGTGAAATGTAACTGTATGAAATGGTAGGCATTATAAAATATATTTTGAATCTGGAGACTTATATTGAAAAGCTGATCTTCGAATTCCCTTCGCTAATTCCGGTCTTGACAAAATACATTTATCATCTTCATATAGTCTTTGCAAAGTTGGTGGAAAATGGGCCTGTGGTTTTGAATTCTCATACTGCCCATACTTCTGTAAGTAGACAATGTTCCTTTAAAACGCCCTCGCACTCAATATGTAGTGTTGAATATACCAAAAGGAGTATTTTTTATATTATATATATAAAAGAAAGGTAGCCGGGAATAATCTAATTTATCAGTTTAGAAAGTCAGAATATTCCTCTTATATAAATCCTTGCCCCATTCCGCTATCAGGAGTATATCAGGAGTATATGATTTTAACGATTAATTTTTCTTCTAGACTGTGGTAACCAAATTTACAACCCCAAAACACACATCTGCTGTTGTGGTAAACTTTACCCCAAGAAATTGAACTTCCATTGCTGTGGATATCATTACTACAGCGGTTTGACGTCCAAATGCTGTGCCTACTTCTCAGTCAAGCCGAAGAAAGCTTACTGTCCACGATCCAAAATATAAATGAACACACCGGCTATATAACTTTTTTATACAATCAGTCTATATATTGTGTTATGACCAAATATAGCCTTCAATGATTTTTAAAAAGCTCTTCAGTATTATTTTACTTGGATAATAGATAAAGCAATTCTAAATAAAAAATCGATAAATGTACCAAACATCGACATCGTACGTAGTATATTTTTCGCTAATTTCGTGCGTTTTGAAAGCGTACAGGTAAAGGTATGTACATGTAGCTATTAACGGTACCATGCATTTAATACTATGGCGATAGAAAGTGCCCTGCGGTGGAGATTGTAATCATGATCATTGCATGGAAATATCTACACTAACGTCACCGCATGCTGACGTGCTCATGGTTTTTCGAATTGATGGATAATACAGATTTTAAACTTTTTTGATGGTGTTTCACTATAGACAATTCACACTGACACGGTGTCACTTCTTTCTTCTCTATAGTCAAAAGGCTAAAGCGGGATAATGTGACCTTCTTCTTGCATGTCAACATTATTAGTTTTAAATGTATGCTAATAGTTTCTAAGATTTTGATCAAATGACGGGCTCGATTGAGCCGACTATGATCACTGACTATGATGGCGCACCGGCTTTAATGGTCGTAATGGACTACTTGCATAATAGACCAACTTACAGCCGAGCAATTTTTGTACACTGTTCTATTACAAGCGAGCAGGGTGTGTAACTAATTTAGTGACATTTCCGCACGTAATACTATAGCCATAGGCAGCCCAATCAATATGGTTACGTGATACTATCTTAGGTAAATAATTATACTAATTATAGGATAAATTCTAGAGGTTCAAAGGGTCTTAATTTCGAGTGGAATTATACACACTTTAAATTCAAGCCAGGAACAGTTGATGAAAAATGAGTCAACTATCGCTCGTAAAATTTACCTGCATCGAGTGAATTGCTATAAATCATATTTAATTATAGGATAGGCTGCCTATGGTAATACAAAAGTATACAAAATTTGCCAACTTCGCTTGGCTATATATTTCATACTTTACAATATTTCTGCATTTCCATTAAGTTTTCTATGCCCTTTTCAGAAATTCCATTTTTGTCGCCAAAATCAAAACTTAATTTATTATGCAAAGGGTCAGTTTATATATATCCCTGAGATACCTGAAACAGAGTTTTTACAGTTTACTTACGTTTTTTATTTTTGGTAGTTATGTCAAGCGACATGACACCAACAAGGAACTGATGCCATCTCGACATGTCCAGCCCTTTGTGTGGGATAAGTACAGTAAATACAATATGATCCGGTGTGACACCTGCATGTGTTAAATCAATTTCTTGGCAATTTTCCCCACGGACAAACCATTCATCACCTTGACCTCTTTTCGAATCCTTGCATACTGTTGCTCTGTGCTGCATGGCACTAGTTGGATGTGGTGCTGAAATAAGTTAAATATTAACTATATATTAGTTGTGATTCAAACTCCTGATTACATGCCTCTGAATCTGATACTTCAAGCAAGAGAATATAGGGGAGAGAATAGAGAATATTTGGGACCCTATTGTTGCTATGCTTCTATCAGCACTGGTTAAAATACAGTTTGGTAGATTTGTGGTGACTTAGAATTTTCTTCCTAACTAAGGAAATTTGTTTTGCAACTAACTGTTACATATCTCATTTGTAGTCTAGCACAAGAGATTGTCAAGTCTGTGATTTTTACAACATACAACACTCACTATACCCCTATATTAATCTGATATTGATGTCTGATACCTCCCCCCCCCTGGTTTCTTTGTGGTTGAACCAGGCAAAAAACTGATTGTGGACATTTAAAACCAAAAATTATTAGTTGGCATAAAAGGGCATATCATTTGTGTATAGGCACAGGCCCACAGCAGATTTGTATTATATAACTGTGTTATAAAGCTGGGTCTGTGAGGTACAGACTAATATCTTTTTTTTCTACTTCCCCCCCCCTGCTCTTGACTAATTACTTGACCTTTCAAATATATGGTATGTAAAATAGAAACAGCAACGAAAGTGATCAAACTAGTCGAAAGCCCTATAGATATTCGAAAACCTAGCGTTTAAAAGATTTTAGGACAACCTATTTATCAACAAAATATTTACGTAATTAAATACGTTCAATATTCAACGACAAACAAACCGTATAACCAGCAGACGTTATCGCAAGTATTCGGTATTGGAATTCATTCAATGACCAGCATCACAAATTGTGAAACATTCCAGCTTACCTAACGTACCACCAATAATAAAGAACATGATTTGTATGCCAAACAGGACCAAAGTGAACAGTATAAGTTGTTTATTAGATACAGTCTCCAGTATGACACCAGCCATATTGAAAATAGCGGGAAATTCACGCTGTAAACGACAAGCTAAACGCACAAGCAATGGAAGAAAGACGGACAAAGCAAATAATCATAACGTTGACGTTTATAGCACAGAAGAAACGCATATGGAGTCACCGGAACCGACTCTTATTTAATAACCAATCATCATAACCTACGACAAAGGGTTAATTGTTTCGGAATGTTTGAACAATTAACCATAATAAAAATACCGATTTCTATCAGATAATTCAGATTGTCTTGAAGTCTGACGGCGTTCGCACCCAATGGATGCGGTTTTATTACTTTTATAGATCTTTGTTGTTAAAGTCTGGTCTTATTCTTACCGCGAAACGACCATCAAGATAGGCCATGTCAAGCATATGGTTTTCTATTTTGTATAATTATTGAAAGTTGTTCCTAAAAATACTCGACGGCACTCACTATTGTCTTGTTTTTTACCTCTTTCTAAAACGGAAGCGACGAAAGCATTGTAACGGAAGCACTGTGTCACTAGAGACCTTTAGCTTCACGTTTACGATAACCCTCTTAGGCTCTAACCGCAAAAAAAAAAAAACATTCATTTCGAATTTTCAAAACAAATGCTAGGTTTCTGAGGCCGAGAAAATTGGTGCATTATTTTCAAACGTAGAGTGATTACTGAGACAAATTGTGGGCGAGAAAGTGCAAAAAATGTAATTTTAAATGTTATTTGAAATTAGCCGTTGGCTGTTCGCGGTTTGTCATATTATTGGTTAAGCTAAAGGTCTCTGCTCAATAAGTGACCTCACATGCAATTTGCTCCTATGACTAACTTAAATCATTAAATTGTACTGTTTTTTTCAAGAACCTCGGTCAGCAGGGTATATTAACTGAGATATATATAGCCTATAAGCCCACCACCTATCCGCAGTAACCAGATAATTAAATCTGCGGGTACACTATGCAGTCCCAAACTAGGACCAGTTGACTTAGTTTACTGTATGAGACAGAATCGCATATTACCAGTCTTTTGGTATACATAAATTCAACTTTATTTAGAAAATCTGTTTAAATTAGCGGGTACATCGGGCTGCCCCACTGCTTCGCGTACGAAAATGCGTTTATGGTATTACTCCTACAAATTTCAGCAGAGAATTTGTGGCAAGATAATTCATGTGATTGTCATGTAGCCCATATCTACTTTTCATACCACAAAGATGAAAAAATTTTTTTGAAGATTTTGCCGTAGGGCAACAGTTGAGCATTACATGCAGACAGCAAGAACTCGCCACAATTGCTACCAATAAATATGCTATGATACTACCCATGCAGCATCGATGTACACAATGCAATAGACTACGAATACTAGAGAAGCAGTCAACTACGAGCCTCTTTATCGTGGTCAACAGAACTTGTTAGTAGAAGAAAGTTGTCGAAAGCCAAGCATCTGTACAACGTTTACGGTAAGCCGGCAAACTATTTTGCCAAATTTACAAGGTTCGTTATAGAAACAGGATTGAAACTTCCATTCGGGGCTTGATAAAACACAACCCCTCGTTCAATAAAGATCGTGAGTTTTCCGTAAGAATACAAAGCTTTGCCTTCGTAACGTCTGCCTGTGATAGGTAGGAACGCGATGTCGTATTCGTTTGCCTGAAAGAGATACATATACACTGAGTTTATCTCATTATTGCTTAATGCATGTTATCAAGAAAAAAGTTACATGAAGAACATTGGACTACATAAATTCATAAAACAACGTATAACATAAATTATACTGTCAGGGCGCATTGGAAAAGTATGAAGTAACATAAAAAGGCAAAAAACACATAAATTCCAAAAGAATATAACTTAATTTAAATCAGTTCATATAGCTACTTTTTATCTTATCACGACGATTCTTACCATCTTTTCCAACAAATCTCTGAAATTCGTTGGTATATTCTGCTCCGTGGTATTTCTTGCGGGTTCCGTCTAAAACAAAATGAGATATGTTGTGTTAGGTACATATCATGCATGCATGTCATTAATAATATACCAGCTTATATGGACATGATTATACTCCAATTACTTACTATAGGATCGAAACATCACACTTTTATACATGCAAATCGTAGATGATATGAAAAATTCAGATTCTTTCATATGTTATACTTTAAAAAAAGAAGTTACCCAGTGTTTCCTAAGTATATATAAACCTGCATGCCTAAAATATTTCAAAGATTATCTCACTTATGGAGATATTTTTGAAGCTGAAACATACTTGAGGTCTTGGTTTGTTAATAGAGGAATTAGCTTCTGCTTCTCTCCTAAAAAAATCACGATATTTTTATTATCTAGTGCACTTTTGCTCTAGGTAAAAATCGCCACAGTGCAGGGATTGACAGCTGGGGTGCGATTGGTAAAACAAAATTTAGAAAAAACAAGTTTAGGGGATCAAGCAAAACTGCATGTGAACAAAGTCCATGAGATTGGCGCTTTGAAAAGCAAGACTCAATTGAAATATAAACAGAATAATCTTTCCCTCTGAGAGGTTGGCCAGCTACATGCATATACCTTCTTTCAGTGTTTGTTAAGTATGCGACATTTTCTCGTGCCCCAGGTTGTTGTAGACTCACTGGAGATGAAACAGCTTGGTTCATGATGTCCAAACCACGATTAAATTGAGCTAGGACACAGAGTCGTAATTTTTAATAAAAATATTTTTTAAAAATCAAATTGGAACTAAATTGAAACTATAGGCATGTTGTTATCTCGCTTGTAAGCGAATCTGCCAGTGAGATTCTAAAGGTCGCACAAGTAAACTTCGGCGAACGCGTGCAGACGGTCATTCGTCAAGAGGATAAACTTAGACAGACATATCATATCCTGTAATTTGTGAATGAATCTATTTTAAAAAGAATGAAGCCGCAGGTTAGGATACCTTTTACTGTTGCATTGCTGAGAAGTTGATCATCAAACATCGACTTCCAGCCCATGTACCTGGAATTATCATTTGGAATGGAAAATTCGTTTAAATTTGATATTATAATTCAAATTGATCATTGCATGATAATTTCTTGCAAACTTACCATTTAGTGATTTCATCATAGTTGGGTTGATTATTTAACCAATTACGTAAAACCTAACAAAAAATAATATCTTGAAGTGCATGGTACAGTAGCTACCCTGTTCATCATATGTTATCACACAAAAATATTAAATAAAATGTGCCGCATGCGGATGGGTGATCTAAAGGAGTGGGTGTTCACAAAAAAAGGCCTGAAACTAGAGCAGTATAATAGATATATTTATAGAAATGTAGAATAAATTTTTTTGTGTTTTTGAAATCATATTTTCTACCTGCATCCATTTGGGAAAGAAGTGTTTCTCCAGAAGACTGATAAAATGTTGAAACGGAATTATATATCTCCACGTCATTACGCTTTTAAAAGGCTCTAAAACATTTGATTTAGTAGGAAAAAGGTATCAACTTTTTTATAGCTACACGCATGTAGTCCCCCCCCCCCTCCTAGACGAGCATATCACGCAATATCCATGCACCTAATTTTCACAACGTTTAGACATTAGCACGTGTTTACTGAATTTCTCTAATATACCCAGGGCTCTTAAGTCGGGTTTTAATTAAATTGTTTGTTTCTGTTCCTCCCCATTTTTTTGTGCTCACCAAGATGTTGTTGATGTGGATTAATGACAAATTCTGACAAACATTGCGACAATTTTGGATATATTGAGCGAAGTACGAAAGCGTCCAAGGTCCCCTTGGAAAACACCTGTTAAAAAGGAATTGTCAACTATAATTTAGTGATGGACTGTAATAAAAGAGAACATGTAAGGCTCAATTAATATACGAAATATCGAAATTTATTCCGTATATAGTGACCGTAACTACATGGTGTCATTTAATTTATGCGCCAGTCATGCAAGAGAGCTGGATAAACTCTGAAACATTGACTAATAAACTAAGTGAACTTTTCCAGCTAATGAACGTCCAGTCGTTCTAAGGAGATTAGCTATACCGTGGAACAGCTTGTTAACTGTTTAATCGAGGCAACGACACAAACTTTGGCGCCGTTCCTTGCCAAGTGAGCAGCCAAAAACAATAAAAAATATTGTCCCTTTCAACTTCAAATGTGAAGTGAATATTCGCTGCTAAAATTATTGACCTGCTAAAATGTACTTTTTCACTATTTATTCCAATCGAACCGCCTTGAACGATGGCTATATCGAAAACAACTCAAACCTGTATTTGCTGACTCACCTTAATCCAAGGTTCCAGGATTAATTTGGCAGAAGGATCCGAGGGATGCCAGTTTGTTAAAGCCATGCTTAGCTTGTGACGTATTGGAACATAAAGCACTTCAAGTCGCTCACCTACAGTTGTTGTTAAAATACATTTATGGAACAGTTTCATGTATATGTACAGCATTACTGCACGTGAAAGCACTCATATAAAATTCCAATACGAACATGATATGATCACCGATCCCATTGCTTTCTAAATCAACGCTATATTACTGAGAGACAGACGATTTGCACCAGATAGTAGCGGGTATAAGTTTATTATATCTTACCCATCAATGGCAACCAAGGATGAATCCATGAATGTATAGGAACGGGATCAGTAAGAGGATTCCATGACTCCACTTCGGCCTTGACATAAATGAAGGAAAAATCATGACGTAACTGTATATTTACATCATTAATAAAGCTGTCAGCAACAAAGAGGTGTTTGTTTATAAATCTGTCGTATTCTCACCTGCAAACGTGGCAGTATTATTTCATCAAGAATATTGTCATAAATCCAAGATGGAAGAAGGGGCAGCCAATTTTCAAGAAGTTCAACCAGACTATCACATTTACGTGGATTCCATACACTTTGAGAAACAAAATGCATGGGGGGTGGGTTACCATTTTATTCCTCACTTAATAATTTATGATAATCAATAAACAGATATAATCATCAATACTGTATTCACGCATATTACATGATAATATTACCCTACGTATCTTCTTAAGACTGGCATCCAAATTTCCCAAATCAATCTCTCGTATGTGTCCATGCTGCAGTACATGAAGAAATGCATGTTGTTGAAATTTGTGATACATTGTATGATTTGATCTTCCAAAATACATTTCACCTGTTTGGATCTAAAGACGGGCCTGTAGTTAATGTGAAGGCGTTAGGTTTGTCTCCCTCAAGTAATCTTTTCCATCTTTTAACCAGTTCCAGACCATAACATGGATTCTGAAGTGGATTCCACATTTCTAGATGGTCCTTAATCTGAAATATAGTCATCATGATTTCTAGATGGTCCTTAATCTGAAATATAGTCGTCGGGACACTGCGATATTGCTTGCCCTTCACTGTAAAGCCCCCCTAGGCCTCTGAACATGTCTTCTTGTCACCGACACAAACAGTAGATAAAAATACTCCATTATAAATAAGTGCAATTAAATAACCTGATATTCTATAGTATACCTTTGGAAACACCAGTGGAACAGCCATTGTAACTAACTCGTACATCTATATATAGAAATGAAGATACTTCATCAGGGGGTATGCAGTACAATATTACGTAAAACATGATTTAATGAGACAAATGTTAACTGGACGACTAATCTTAAAATGACCGTCAGAACTAGATGTTATAATTTCAACATTACAAGTAATGTACTGTTCGAATCTATACATTTGATGGAGACTAACTTTGTATAAATCAGCAAATTCATTTTGTAGTTTTTCAAAAAGAACTTCACAATCTTGCAACGTTAGACTTTCATTGGAAGCTCCAGTACTTTGCTGTCTGCACCTGGAATTTCAACCGTACAGTATATATAACTTTGTACTAAATTTTAAAGTGCCTGATATTCCAATTCTGAGGCCTAACTCAGGTCGATCAATACAGTATCCTTCAAATTCAAACATCAGCACGTCTCTCAGTCCTCTCAGTATCGTCAGTGGTTACTGTAACAGATAAATCATTCAACTGATTAAAACAATACGTACAGTACTTACTTTTCAATAATACTCATAACATCCATCAATTGTTTCATATCACTTTCTTCCTGGTTAATTTCTTTAGAAAGTCTTTCTTCCTCGTGTTTTAAATTTACTATTAAATCTCGTTCGTGTCGGAGTCTGTAACAATAATTTAATGATTAATGGAAAAAATCGTGTATATGATGAAGACTACGAATCGGTAAAGAGTACAGTCCGAATTACAGCTCACATATATATTCATATGATGTGCCTGTTATGCATATATCGAAGGGAAGATACAGTATGTATACCAGAGGATAATAATAATTACATATATTAGCAAAAAATATTTCATTTAAAAGAAATTGAAAATTAAAATGGATCGCATGCATGGCGATCAACTTTGGAGTAATAACAACAAAAAACGTACTGTTTGTCCACTTGAACAATTTCTGATTCACTTAAGTCCAATAAAAGGTTCAAGTTATACTCCAGTTCGGGAAGTGAAAATGCACGATCATTCTTCTCGTGAGGTAACACTAAACATAAAAGCCTCATTAATATTTCTTTTATTTCGGATTGAGGAGCGTACAAGAGTCTGTATAGTGAGACAATTAGTAATATACTGGCCGTCATTCAGGACTGCATGTTGGTAGAATGGATTCGAAAATTGGGAGAGGAGAAATAAGCAGATTGTAAAAGCTTATCAATTCGACCAAATACTAAAATGTTTTCTACCAAAGCAGCTAGAGCGCTAGACTATACCGTGTATGGTTGCATGCTTTTCAATAAATACACAGGCCAAGTTGGATTCTATTTGAACGTTTTGCTTTAAAGTTTTTCGGAAAGTGGCAGGAATAGGTTTTATTAATCGTGATTTTATTAATCGTGGTTTTATTAATCGGCTGTAGAAGAGGTTTTATTAATCGTGCCAACATTCCTAAAGAACATTACCTGTTGCTTCATCTTCAGGATTAGCGTGCTGTGTAGCGAATGATCCATAACCTGTCAATATCTTAGCCTCTCGTCCAGTCATATCCACAACCTGTTTTACAAAAATCATGCGTTTTCCCAACTGAAATGATGTGAGTTCGCTGCATTTTATCATAACATTACCTTAATATTACTCGTCGACAACGACAGGCCTGGTTTCTTAGTTTTTCCTATTGCCTGAAACAGGATATTATAAAGATAGCTAAGTTATAATCGGTTTCCGTTATTTTTAAAAACCGCCCCAGCCTACAAAAGTGATTACGTTTCTCTAACTAATGTATTTACGACCGTGGGTAGCATTATATTAACCTTACCTTAACCTCGTCAACAGTTTTGTAAACATACTTTGGTTTTCCTTTCACCTAAAAAATTGCAAACAACTTTGAGGCATTGCAAATGGTAGATTTTTAGCAATTAAAGCCTGGTCTGACTATTGGCAATGTACAAAATCTATCTACAGCGTAATCTAATAGGTACATTATCAAAGAATTTGACACAATTTGCTTGGTAACAGCGATATAGAGTCTTGAACTATTTTCTTTGCCATATATTTTTATGACAAAACCAACAAGACTGTTCACTGGCTAAAACTTATTGTTTGACTTATTTGACAGGCAAAGACATCGTTCAATGTCTTCCGTGTTTATTTAAACATCAAGAGGAGTATTCTCCTCTCTTTACAGAGTTTACTTGTTGTGAACCCAACAAATTTACTTTTTTGAAAATATCAATGTTCTCTAAACTTACATCAGACTTTCTCCACTGACTCAGTTGTTGACGAAACTCTTGTTCTTCGAGATCCTCCTCAGGTAATTGAACCTAATGATATCAAATGATCTTTCTTAAACTATCATAGAATACTTTTAAAATATAGCAACCAGCAATACCAAACTTCAAGGCTATTTAACACAAATCCATTGGGGTAATTACAAGTAAAACATGCAGGAAAACACATGTAGTTATGCATGCATATGCAATGCATAAAGAAGATGTACGCATAAAGAAGGAAACCAACTCATTACCTCTTGTTTTTTCGTATGTTTTTCAGGACCATAATAACTGAGTGCACCACGTCCACCTCGTTTGAAGGCCTCCACTGGGGTGGCAATGCCCTACAGTACGGTAATGACAAAGAAAACAAACGATACTGTAATGCTGTTTGACGCCTCTCTGTAAATTATGTACGGTACCCAGGTGGAACAATAAATTTCATTCTATGCCCTCAATTATTGTCTTACCAGTACTTTAAAAATTCATACAAAATGCCATTCAAAATGCATGTTTGAAAATAGATGCAGTGCATGCATTGAATTATCTCATGTAAATCTGTACATATAAAAGTTATGTTTGTTTATACCTGTCCTTCTTTTCCCAAACCTTTTCCAGGTTCATAACCCATCTAAACAAATATAAAGTTACAAGTGTTGGTTTTGAGCACAGTGTGATAAAATTACACAAAGTTAACTTACAACAGAGCACACTCCCAGGTGTAACAAGGAGCAGCACATAGTTTACTTTTACCTTTTTTAACATTTTTGTACCAAAACCTTTGGTATGCTGTTCCCATGATGCAAAGTCCCTATAAAAAACGTACATTTTCGATACTCAGAATATGCTTGTAATTCACATACATATGTGTACAGCATTCTTTATATCACATACTTCCCAGCATTTCTTTGCATCATTCTTGCATAAATTTTGTTATCTGGAAAAAAAAGCAAAGCATTTCTCTACCATATTTTAATTATTCAGTTATGATACTGCAGAGTACTGTACATCATTTTAACTTTTTTGTTATTAAACCTGCATGGGGTACATCATATATGTTTGTAAGATGAAGCAGATTTCTGATCAATTGGCAAATAAGACATGCTAATTTATACATTAGTTTACATTATCGTTGGTATTTTTAGTTGTACACTGTATCTTCATTTATATAGTATTTGTTGGATGAAAAATGCTTCACAAAACTCTGGTGGACATATGATTTATACCTGGATCAGACTGACTTGATACTCCAGCAGATTTGCTGGAGGACTCATGAAACAGTTTCCGTGGTTTTTCATGTTTTCTTCCTGATGGAGAAGATTCCCGTGAACCATCCTTTGCTAATATTTCCTCTAAAGAAAATGTAAATGTCATGCTCACTTGATAAAGGTTAATAGCAGTTAATAGCAATGGGAAGAAATATGCTTTCCCATATTATTGCGGGAGAAGGACAACATGAGAGCAACTAGACTACAGTTAATCAGTTCATTCAGTTATTGTCTTATTGATTGGGAATGAGTCATTCCCGAATGACACTTACCAATCAAGGAATCCTTATCCTTGGTTTTAACAATACCACCACTGATAAATTGCATTGGCATACTATAGTTTGCTTTCCTTTTTTTGTCTCCAACTTCATCGTCGTCGGAGTCCCTGCTTGCCCAGATACCCAACATTGTTTGTTCCTTAGTCATCTTTCGACGTTTAAGGCCAGGGAAAAACTCATTTTGCAAGTCATAATCAGTTATAGCAAACTCCTCGACTTCGTTGTCTGAGTCTTCCATCTTCTTCACAAAATATTATTTTAACACAAGCGTGAAAACCGTGAAACCTTACATTTTACATCACTGCTTTTAATATACTTCTCTGCCGCCATCTTTGCAGTTCATCATATTTAAGCTTACATCAAGTTCTTCCAATGCAAACGAAAAAAACGTAAGTTGAAGGATGAATGATGCTTTCTTTCTGCAAGTTTTTAAAAGCAATAACTTACCCTAGTGAAGCTGCGTTTAACTGTTCAATTTTTATGTTTTGGAGAAAAACATCCACGTATCAAATATGAGTACATTCTCAGGCAACGGGGGAGGCGCTGCAGTGTTTTTAGATGAGTACAATAGTGACTTGAATTTTGTGATAGAATCAGATGGAGTGACTGGATCATCACTGCATAAAAACGGTTTTGAATATATCTGGGCAGGCGCTAGAGCTACTCAGGGTGTGTCTAGAGGCAAGGTATTGTTAATTTTAGGCACCAAATTACCAAAATCGAACCTTGTGATTGCTATAAACAATGGTGTTTTAAACTTTAAATTAATACACAGTGCAAATTATTTGTATTTACATAGGTGTGTTATGAAGTTCTTGTGAAAGAGAAATTAGAAGTACATATGCCAGACACAGAGACTAAGCCGCATGTCATGAGAGTTGGTTGGTCAGTTGATATGTCTCCTCTTGCTGTAGGTGAAGCACCATTGTCATATGGGTATGGGGGAACTGGGAAAGCTTCGTGTAACAACAGGTTTTTTAATTATGGAGAACCATATAGCACAGATGATGTCATTATGTGTTATATTGATTTGGATGCTGTTCCAAAAGCAATATTCTTTGCAAAGAATGGAAAATATCTTGATGTAGCATTTCGTTTGGGCCCAGAAGCAGATGGGAAAATATTTTATCCTCATATTTCAGTGAAAAATATGCGATTCATTGCTAATTTTGGAGGATTTAACACTTACTTTCCACCAGTTCAAAGTTTTTATCTCATCCAGCACTTACCACCTCAGATGCTAAGTGCACCTCCATTACCACCTAAAGATCGCTGTGAATGCGAGGTGCTTATGATGGTTGGTTTGCCATCCAGTGGCAAGACCACATGGCTGGACAAATATGTGAAAGATCATCCAGAAAAGAAGTACAATATTCTTGGAACAAACGATATTTTAGTCAAAATGAAAGTGATGGGCTTGGGAAGGAAAAGGAATTATCATGGTCGTTGGGATGCTCTCATAAAGCAAGCAACAGGAATCCTAAATGAAATGTTAAAAGTGGCTAAACACAAAAATCGTAATTATATCTTGGATCAAACTAATGTGTATCCAAATGCCCGTCGTAGAAAGATGGGAAATTTTCAAGGGTATCACCGGATTGCTGTTGTGATGGTCAATGAGAATTCTGTTCTGATGCAAAGAAATTCCGAAGTTGTGCGTCGAGATGGTAAGGTTGTCCCCGAATCAGCTTTTATGGAGATGAAGTCCAACTTTACTTTGCCTGTGCAAGGTGAGAGTTTTGATGAAGTCTGGTATGTTGAAGAAAACCGAGAAAGGTCCCAACAGCTTGTCAGGGAGTTTAATGAAGAAGGAGGAAATTGGAAGGAAGAACAGAAGAAAAGACCAGTAGATGAGGTGACTGTAAAGGCTGAACCAATAACTGATTTCAAAAAGCCAAAGTATGGGGACTCAGATTTCAATCAATGTAGAAGTGAACATGATAATCAATTGCCTGGTGAAAAACATCAAAGTACTAATTCTGCAAGTGGATATCAACACCCTAATGACCCCCAGAATTTCCATCACAGAGGACAGCCCACTGTTCCAGTGCAAGAGAGTCACCCAGGCAACTCACATGGACAAGGGTTTTACCAAAAACAGAATACTTATTCTGAAGGTCAACAGCAATACAATCAACAACACCAGAAGAACGAGGGAACCACTTACCAGCAATCAGGAAGAAGTTACAACCATACCACGCAAACAGCAGGTAGCCATACCCATGGTCATGAAGGTTTGCATCAAGGACAGTCCAGCGGAAATCCTGGGTATCAACCGGGTCGTGTAATTAGGGGCGGATTTCCACGTGAGAATTCCGAAAACAACCAACATTCTGGTCCCCAGCGTTATCAAGGTGAGGGTGGGCAATCACACCCACCGGTCAACTCTGGTTATCATCAAGCTGGTCAAGGATATCGCCATGGTCAAGGTGATTGGAGTTATGCACAAGGAAATCCAGGTAACAGTTACCATCAAGCTGCCATTCCTCAAGGTAACCAAGGTGACAGAGGATCATATCACGATCAACCAGGAAAAAGCTTTGGTTTCCAAGTAGGTCAGGCTGGAATATATCTTCATCGGGATTCAGGGAGCAATTATAGCCAATACAGTCCAGCTGGAAATCCTCAATCAAATTATCAGAATAACAACTATTCAGGTCTTCCAAGACGAAATGATAACTCGCAATCCGGCTACGGTGCTGGTGTATCACAAGGGTACCCGGTGAAACAGGAGAGCTCGGATCCAAGACAGGGAACCTATCAACATCCAAATGAAAGTTATAGACGCAATCAACCGGGAGACTATGATGCCACATCCAATTATCCAGGTCCAAATGCCAGTTCTTCTCAGCGTTATTACAGAGGCTCAAACAGTGGGAATCCAACGCAGCAAGGTGGCTTTTATAATCAGTCTCAGGGGTACTGGGGTGGCGGGCAAGAATGGACAGGCCCTGATGTTCCTCAGCCAAGACAGGATAATTGGAATCAGAACCAGCGATATCATTAAAAGCTCTTTTCAAACTCTTAAAATTAAGGATATTTGTTCGCCATTTTTAGATTTCCCTAAAGTTGTTGTTAATATATTGACTAATGCCTTGATTTGACCTATCTATTAAGAACATTTGTAGTTTTTCCTTAGTCAGAACATTTTTGTGTCTGTACATACTGGAATTTTAACCAATACAGGCCTGAAACCATGGACCATATCAGTAACATGGGGGTCTAATAGATTAACTGCAATACCTATGTAATTAAAATAATAATACTTTAAATTTAAAATAATATAAACTGAGTAAAAAATACGATAAACACCTTCGAATATGCGATAGATGCTCACTTGTCTAATCAAATGCTGCATGATCAATATCAATCACCTTTGCGTTCTTAATTCCTAAGATTTGATAAAGAACATATGCAGGAAATTTATTGCAAGTAGTAATTCTTTCGCGATGACAAATATATCCCATTTTTGGGAGACTTTCATGGTATTCGTACGGGTAAAAACAATTACAACAACATTAAAAACTGTTTTTTTAGAATCAACTAACCATTTATCCAAATATATCTACCCTGAAAAGTGAAAATATTGCGCTCATAAACCTCGAAAAGGAACGCCGAAGATAAAGCGGGATATATTCGTCATCGTAATAAGTGGAAATAGTTTCAGCTGAATACTCAACCTCAATACTATGAACAGTGCGAGTTTTTCGTGCCAGATAGCTTACTTAAAAGTTGAAATAAATGTAAAGAAACAAGCGATCTACACTTTATGATTGAATCTTATCCAGGACCAAGACATCTAATAGAAGCGAGTTGAGGCTAGGCAACACCACTGTCTTTCAGGAAAAATGAACTCGATGTAGAAAGACAATAAGTTGCTTACCCTCTTCTCTAGCTTTTACTACATGACCTATGCCGAATAATATAAGGTATGTCAATCTCGTTCTTGCAGGTTTGTATATGGATTGTAACACTAGCTCGGTGATTGTAACAACTAACAATATTGCTGTTACCGTCTAATCGAAGAAGACCCTGGGGACGAGATTGCCGTCAATATGATGCATCCATAACTGCATAATCACTCCAAGATATCGAAGATTGTTCGAATATGTAAAATTACGAAATTCGAAGAATAAACACTGAATCAGTGCTCATTTGTCTTGGATTTTATAATTTTTAAAAAATTCCATCGTAGAATAATTTTCAAATTCATTGATTGGCTTTGTGAGTCTCTTACAGAGATACAAAATTTAATAGCAGTACGATGAACGAAGTAGAGTCAATCAAGGACGACGTTTGTAAAACATTACTTCATGTCTTGAACAAAGCAGTGACTGCCTCATCTCAGGTTCTAGAAATTTCAGGCTTGCAAGATCACTTCCATTCTGCAGCTGATTCACTTCATGAGTATCCTATATCAACACTTCTTATTGTGGTACATTTTATTACAGTTATTCTTAAAATAAGAACATCTGAAGGTATGTAGCGAGGGTTTACGTTGGTCTGCCTGAGTCCATCCATACAGAATACACATTATTCTCGGGCTTAATTTTATTTATTTAAATACTTGCTTTGATTTAGTACAGGAAATATTTGTGCATTAGATAATGCCATATTATTGGTGCCCCACCCTTTATGCCATGCAAGCCTGAATATTAATACAATTTGCCCAGGGAAAAGTGCACTAAAATTAGGTAAGCAACATGCAGGCTAACTATAGTATTTGGCTCATGCACAGCTAGTAATTTGGGTCTGTGATCCTAATAATCTTGCAACCTGTAGTAAGCAGTAAGCCTTTGTAAACCAGCTAGATGTGTGCATGTCATATCTCTTGCATCCCAGCCCCTCTCTAAAAAATCCATCTAATTAGGAAGGCAATCCATGATAAATTTCCATAATAAATTTCCACAATTCACCTTCAATTTTAAGAGTTGAACTACTGCACCTCCCCTCATATTTTTTACTTATGGTGTATAGTGGATATTTTTAATATTCATAAAGCTTATACTTTTATCACTTACCATATAGGATCCAGTTTTGCTAGTACCAATCCATTTGGAAGTGTTTTTTCATCAGTACTACTTTGTTTTGCTGGTTCTGTTATTCAAAGTTTAATGCTGGGAATTCCTCCTGTTAAACCATTTGCGAATAGCAATCTTATTCTCATACTTATACTAATTTGGTAAACCTTTCTCCTATTGTAATTACAATTTTTTACTCAAACTTGGAATGACTTTATTTAAATTTGTATTGTTTAGCAATGAACCCAATGCAACTGCCATATAGTTTTATACTATTTTTATTACTCTATTTTTATAGGTATTTGATGCATTTCTCTCCATTTGATGTTTTCATAAGGCTTGTGACATTTCTTCCAATCAGGGTAAATAGAGAATTGAGTCAAACATTTCACTAAGAAGAAAATTACAATGCACAAAGATTGTATACCCCTTGGAAACACAGACAATGTGATTTGTGAAGGTCATTACTGGTAGTATAACATGAAATGTTTATTTTATATATTACAGATTGCATTGATTTTAGTTAAAGAAGTGTATAGAATAAAGTGTATTCTTGTTGGCCTGAATCTGGCTGTTTCACTATTTCCTAATGCTTTGTTTATAATCATCGCTTGTGGTAGTATTAGAGGTATTGTATTGTGTGTTCACATTAGAGCTGAAAAAATATTCTGACAAATCATCATATTCATAGTTTGATCAAGAAACATGATCATTCCTTTTTCTTACAAGATTTTTCTTTCTATTAGGTTGTGGTAGCATGGTGCTCAAACCATTTGTTCATCAGATTGTAGGACTTGGGACACCTCGAATTGAATTCCATCTACCAACCTTGTAAGTTTTATAAATTGTACCGCACTTCATTTCAAACATTATACATACAGTTTATTCTTAATAGTGTGTCCATAGCAATAGGAACCAGCTTAGAAAATAAGAATTCTAATGATTGCCATGACACTTTTCAAATTTCAATTTATAGTGAAACAATTTGAATTCATGCAGTTCCTCTTTTTTCTAGTACTACAAAAATCTCTATTCTGATGAGTTGTATATTCACCTTGCAAGTAAAAGGCTTGTTGGCTGTCAACCTCTCAAGTTTGTCATTAATTTTCACCATTTTTATGGCCACGTTTCAACTGCTCTTCTTCTTCACCGATCAAACTGATCCTCTCGCCCCCCTGGAAAATACTCTGGCTGCGATTTTTTTGCGTCATCCTCAGCAAACTGCAAGTACATCCAGCAATGAAAGGAAAAAGAAATCTGATTAACACTGGACTACTATGATTCGAATTAAATACTACATAAGCGAACAATACCTCGAACAATACTGAATAGCGAACTCCTTATTAATCTTTGGACCACTGACCTGTATATGGTAGTTCAACAGGACGACTTCTGCCAAAATCTTTACAATAATGTGTTTTGTTGTTAATTATGTCAAATAAACAAATAAACAGTTTCTTATTGTGAAAAATGTGTATTGTAGTCGTTATATGAATCCCGAAAGGTTGACTTTGAAAGGTTACATATCATGTGTAACCGATATTATTTTGCATCATTTATCTACACTAGCTGTCGGTCAGAACACGTGGTCAGAAGAATCGCATGCATGAATTTTTATTACAAGTTATTCCATAGAGATACGTTTGTTAAACCTATTTTGTCCTAATTAAGATGATCTTGATTGTTTGTTCAAGAACATTCCTCAAGACCTGGGAAGAGATAAAATTTTTCCATGACAAGCTTGTTGAGTTAATTTAGAACACGCGTCTGTAAAAAAAATTCTGGGTCGTTGGTCAATGGTCATACTCCTGGACTATGACCATACATGTGCTGCACCGTAGGGACAAACGTTTTTCTCGTGTTTTAGCGCAACGCCAACAAAAATGTCTGCCAAAGTGCACGCCAAGTATCACGCCCTAAAGCACTTGTTTCCAACATTTTTGAAATGTTTCGGAGCACAAAAGTCATAAGGCCAATCATTGCATTGTTTGAAAGTACTTCAAATTTAAACACAGCACTTGTCCTAATTGCGCTTGCATGTCAAAAGGAAACACGTGAAGTGATTTAGGAGCTATAAGTACTTCACTCTACGACTACCATTTAAAATATATTGGGTTGCGATATATCGATATTTAACTATACAAGCGTCAAAATATCGGGGTATAAGTACATACCCTCATTCTGGCACGTTTTCGCTTGATTTACATGCAATTTGACAATGCTCAGTTTACCAGATATATCAAATACCTTTGCATATTTCTACCCACCATTTGGTTAATACATGTGGAATGTACGTCGACTAAATAGTTTGCTGTCAACACGATAAACGACAAATTCAAGATCACATAAAAATAGGCGCATATAGAGAAAGTAGGGGGGGACGAGAGACATGAGCTCCCTGAAACTCGGAAAGAGGAAGCAATTTTGCAGATCCTGTGTGAGTGTTGCTGGGAGAAAATAACAATAAGCCACTGCTATATTGGCCAGGTTTCATACAGAATGATATAAAAGCTCAGTTGCTCAAAATCAAATAAATCGAATGAAGAAATTATTATCAAATACTGAATTCTGATACACAGATGCCTCATGCAGTTGATAAAACTTTACCTTTGATTGTTCATTTTACCTTTTACTTTCTAGAAGCGCGGTTTAATCAAAGAAATAGCATTCATTTTGTAAATTCTCAGCACTAATTACGCGATATGAACCGTTAATGTATTGACATAACTGCGTATCAAGATGGAAATTTCTCGCCACAAGTTAAGAAATGAAACTGATCTGCAAATTTCTATTTCCTTGTATTTATATATAATGTCAGTGCCAAAAGACCCCACTACTTCATGTATAATTCAAAAATGTAATAAATTAAACCACATGTATATCTGAAGTTTAAGCCCCCTCAAACCAAATTGAACCGAAAAAACCACACCTATAATGAAAAAATTTCACAATATCCTGAAAAAGCCAAGGTTTCTGTCACAGCTGTAGCCAGAGGAATTTGCCAATAGGGACTTTGAGATGTTGACAACAGACTTGAGACTACGATAAAATAGTTTTTGACTACAGTTTGTAAATACTGAATGCACGCATTTCTTCAAATGATTGTATACTTGAATGAATAACCCAAATTGAGTTTCGCAAGCTTTACTTTCCTACTCTCATCTCAACGAAACTATCCAAACGCAGTACGTCTGCTTTAGCATAGAAATGCTCTTCTTTAATGTGGTTATGCATGGTATCACTACTCGTATCAGTCACTGCCGTGAAAAATAGTTAAAGTACAGCCTCGGTTAAAGCACTATAATTTGATTGCAAACGATCTGACCAAAGACGTGGTCCATATATACCACTTCTTCGTTGCGTCATCTTTATTAAACTGCTTATTATAAGTTATAAAAACAACAAGGTTACAACAACATATCAAACAATTTATCTTGAAACATCGCTTCTTTAATATTGGCCAATTACAAAATTGTACGATAAATTTGCTTATTATCGATATGCTACAACCATAACTCTTTATAAGTTAGTACACAAAAATCTTATATGTGTGCGTGATTGCTTCAGTTTCCGCTTTATCAAAATAGCACCACGCAACAGTAAATCAATTATATATTGCCCCTAACTTTAAGAAAACTCCATGAAGGAGGATTATACTTTGATATAAACATAAAACAATAATCAATTTAGATAACCGCATGACATTCTCTACTTTTCGCTATAGATGTTAATGATTTCTCATGTGACATATCTTATATCAAATATGAGTAGAAAAATTACGTCCTCTGTTCAACTATCAAAAACAAAAGTATGTTTGCATAGTCATTGCGTCCAGATATAAAGATTCATTATTCTTTTGTATGTATGTGTGATACTATTTTTCTACTTTTCAATTCACGTTCTGACTTTTTTGACTCCGGAAATTTATATTTTGAGATTTACACGCTGTGAAAACATTTGCACAGTGCGCAGGTTGTTCACGCCTTCTTTAAATGTTTGTTTCCGGATCTTGTCGCGTCAGTGCAAACATCTTTGTTTCTTTTTTAATTTACTCCTGATCTAGTTTGAGTTGTTTGTCTTTTTTTCTTTGCTTCAGGTAAATACTTACGTCGCAATACAGATTATATTGATCGCAATTAAAAAAGGGATCAAAGCCAGACGCTTTGACGGCGGTTTACTGTTATACGCGTTCCCACAAGGTCATGGCTGACGCTATATAAGCAGCCTAACTGTTTTATACACACGCTTTCGTCTAGGCGAAGTTTCGTGCAAAACTTCATCTTTCAGAAAATGTCACTTGAAGAAACTATTCTAGGCGTTCCAGGGGTCCTATAGACAATCTGATGATAGTGATCATATATCTGTGATCTCGAATTTTAGCACATGTACTGTAGTTCACACGAGTTCTAATTAAAGATTCCAAACAGTTTATAATATTAATTTTGCAGTTTGGCGCGTTTGCTGTCGATGTTCGCGCAATTACGGACATACATTCTATGTTACAACCACGCGGACATGATGACAAATGACATAGTAAAAGTGGTTTACAATGAAGTCGCTTTCTGCGTGGTGATTGTGAGATTAGGGCGTGGTTTAATATTATAATGCTCAAAATTCCGAACTCTCCAATATATGTTGGCACAAATCACTTAATCTTTAGTCGGACGGCACAAAATTATTTGGTCAAAATATAGGGTTCACTGACAAATGAAAAATGAAAAAAACTTATTCATATCGCTACTAAAGTTGCGTAATGGGATTGTATATAGTAGCTACATGCAGTTAAGAACTTTCTGATCGATGACGATATTTAGTTTATTTACGTTTTTTACGACGACAAATCTGTGATCTTTTCCTATTCTTTGAGTTTTCAAGGTGCCCTAATTTTTTCATATCTAGCATTTATAATTGTAAGTACCGTCTTGTCTCGGATTTTTACAACAAAATACCTCGAATGAAACATTTCGTGCTAGAGATACGTATTCTTTTCATAGTTATGCATTAAAGTCCTGAATAATTCAACTTTAACGTTAAGCTCTGTTTATCTTTGATTTAAGCTTGTTATTATTTCGCCTGTTATCTACAATGTCTTTCAAAACACGTCAACAGGACATCGTACTGTAAAGGTTAAACATAAATTGTGATGTATTCCCATGAGCTAAAAATTGTTATCACAAATTCCCACATTCATATGACGTCAAAAATGTCGAAAATGTTTTGCAAAACTACCACTTAACCTTGAATGTTGGATCTCATGCACACCAAGTATAATGAAACGACCACGTCATGTTAGCACTCGTATATCACCAGTGCCGTCTCTACTTGCCTTCATATGCAGTTCAAGGTCGTTCAAATGATTAGAAATCAAAAATAGCTCGCTATATAGTGACGTGTCACCGAGAATGAGATGGGTATTCAAAAATGCGTTGGCTTAAAATTCAGTAATTGGACGGTACATACAGTCGATAAGAACCATGCATAGGTGTGACGAGAGTTAAACATACTCTAATTGTATCATTTAAATTCTTCAAAATTTCCAATCAACATTGAGATATTCACAAAGTGAAAAGACATACATCATGCAGTCTTAGACTGTTCAAACGAAGTCAAAATCATTCATGCAAATATTGTTTGTTTCTCGTATGTTATTTTGTAATGTTACTTGTTTGTTAATTTAGTGTTCTTTATGCAATTTTCATCTTGAATTAACTTTAAGTAGCCTGCTTTATATCATTATTCAGATGACAAACCAACTCATTTCTAAATTTAATTTACTTTGCGCCCAAATCGGCGTAGCAGACGACAGGTGTAATGAAATTGTAACGTTTGGAAAGACTGAGAGGGCTCGTCTTTTAATATCAGTTTTTGATGATGCCCAATACCAAGGTCAGCCGACCCCCTTGCCTTTTACCAGCAGGGTCAAGGAAGGGGATGCTGCAAATGCAGCCAAAATAGCATAATCGTTTAGAAAAACCCAGACACCGAGATCATCTTATCAAACAGAAAACACGATCAGACGAAAACACCTGCCCCTCAAAGTCATGACTTTGATAGGAAAGAGTGCGGGTAATGTCCTTTAGAATTCTCGAGAAGACAGTTTATATTTAAACACGTGGAAACTCTCAACTGCATGGTGTAAACACCGACCAACTGAAGCTGATCTATAGATTCATTGGACTACCAAATTTAATGTGTAGATTCATTGGACTACCAGAATGGAACATCAGGAACAATACAACTACATATTCATTATTTCAGTATATTCTGACTCAGCTATCTACCGTTTAATCTAAACGACTTTTGTAACTTCAACCAGCTCTACCAGCATGTATGGGTGTCAAGGGTTGGATTTAGAAGATAGTGCTTTAAAATTAACAAGCTTGGCCTTTGGCAGGGTCAACATCGAAGCAAGTGGACGGAAATAGCGATAATATAGGGTCGAGATTTTGACTCCTATATATCATAAGTGCTCCTAAAAATAGGTAATTCCATCGTTTAAACGTTGCCAAAGAGCTGTCAAGGCATGCCATGATTCACGGAATGATACACCACAATAAAGAAGCATGTAATTTTGTACAAACAAGTCGAAATATCTGTTTTTAAAAGGACTTATGTTATGTAATAAGTTGTGGTAAACTAGAGTCTGGATGAACAACTACCTCATAAAGAAAACATAGCAGAATAGTAGAATTAAGAGCTAGCTCTTTGGACTCTTTTAGAAGACGGAATATTGATTGTTTCGTTAATTTTGAAACCTTGCAAGCATTTTTTTGTTTAATCACATTCTACATCGTATTACAGTTTATATACAATTAAAAATTGTGTGGTCAGTCTTTTGCAACCAAATTCCTAGTATAGTTATTAACAAATTATAACACTAAGTCTAACTGTCTAAGAAAAGTGTATACATATGAATTAATTAGTTCTTTGCATACGCAGTTTTTAAAAAACGTTCTTTTTAATTAAATACCATTGATTGAAAACAATCCACTTGTCTTTTCCCTCTAACCTTAATTGCCAATATATTGTGATCATGCGCTGCTTACTAATGGAGATACGTTTTTTGAAATCAAAATTGAACGGCGGAAGAGGAGAAAAATAATTACGGTTTAGAAATATTATGCACCCGGCGTGAACTATCTGTCTCATAGTTTTTGACAAAGATTATAGTTAAAATTTGCGAATTCAGTATACTCCTCATTAAACAAGGATTCGTGTGAAGAGAAGTTGGCGTTGAATGCCAGACAAACTTTAATGGAAACGTTTAATCTGTTTTAATCTTTGCTAATTCTTGTCAGGTGGAGGAGTAATACGACTGCTCTGCTAAACCGTCATGTTAATATACACCTCAACCTTGGTGCGTTATAGACTACGCGTGAAAAGAATGAAGACGCCCACATTATTTTACACGTCTAACACAAGTCTTTTAGACCGATATCGCAAAGTTACCGGGGGTGCGTTCCCTAGATACTAGCGACCATATGCAAGAAATGTAATTTACGATTGCGAATATACCTAAAGCGTTCGTTCTCATTGTCAATATAAGCTTAAGAGTATATTTGCTTTGAATTCTTGCTTCGAATTGTTGTATTAGTCCTTTATTAAACGATACCCATCGTAGATCAGGTGGAGCGCAAGTTGAAACGGAGCCAGCATCTTTGGATCCTATTTAACGTTTACACTACTGGGTTCACATGGTCATGTACGACATCAGTTTAAGTTGTTTTACGCGGGTATCTCTGTCCCCAGAACTATTTCATTTGTCAAAGCAATCATACTCAGTTTGTGGGTAAGACTCGCTTTGACATGGCAAATTTTGATGTCGTGACTATGCATGGAATCTGGTATAGAGTGCAAACAAGCCCTTGTTTGAGCACCATTTTAGGTCATCGATATCAGTCAGAATTCTCTATGGAACATTAAAAAACATAATCCAACATTCGACCAACCATGATATTATAAAATGACATAGCACGCGATTATCTTATTCAACACCTGGACGCTTTTACACGTTAATCATAATACTCTTAATATATATTGTTTGTATGTACACAATTAACCAAAGTTTATATATATTTCACTGGGCTTCACCTACTTCTGTGGCAGTGTATACAACGAAATCTGGCGTTAACACAAAAATTAATAACACAACTGTACATAAACGTCTAGGACGTTGGTGTAAATATTATTCCAAGAGACGTCCGCGTTACGTGTCTATTTTTATACTATATAATATTCAATGCTCGTTCCTATAAATGGAACTTTTACGATATTACATCGCATACGATTTAAAATCGTTTAAATAAATTAACTTAATTTTTTCATATTAATCTGTTCAGGGATTCACAATGAAAGCTACCATGCATATAAGAGTGTTTATATTATAATTCAAGGGATTTTTGCCTGTTGGTATTTACAAATTAATTAACAGTTTAAAATTAAAGTTTTAGTACAAGTATCGCATTATCGAGACGGTAGGAGAAATATCATTCTTGATCTCTTCAGAACCCCTTTAAGTTAATATGGAAAAATATTCGTTGAGAAACAGCAGTAATCTTGCATACCAATGTACTCCTTGCTGGGGTGTATTTTTTGAGTTAAGTAAGTTAGGAAAATGTTTGTACATGACTTTTGCTGGCCAAAACATCGAATTTGCGAACTCGTGGTCGTCTAGCAAAGCATAACAAGAAGCCAGTACACCGTCCACAATGATGTTCCCTTCGTTTGTCAACGGAGCAATTGATCCACGTTCGCTAGAAATGGAGATGCTTGTAACTTCCGCTGCCACCAATTTTCCATCCTTCCGTACCTTAATAAAATCCCCCTTTTGAACCATTTTGGCAAATTGTACATTCCAAAATGTAGAGAATCGTCTTCTCACATATATCAGATGAGACTTTGTGAGGTGCAATACTCTTCTTGGGTTCTCGGTCCGTATGACAAAGTAGAGTACATTCGTCCTGTTCGGTTTATTGTCCAGAAACATAGCCACTTCACTATAGACTATTTCTCCATGTTCATTCATACTTTCTACTTTATCACCCAGTTTCAGCCGATTCATCGTTGTGGTTCTGCCATTTATCAATCTGATCGTTGAATTGCTCCTGAAACATCCCATGTCCGTATAAGGTGTGTGAGGTTTACTGTCTAGAAAAATGAGCCAAAAATAATGCTTCGTGCAAGCGAACTAACTTTCGCCATTGGCATTGCCTTATTGTTTGTAATGAAATATGTGTTGCCTTTTTATTACAAGGGTTAGACTATTTTTATTGCAATGTCAGCAATATGTTAGTTATACGCAAATCGCTGAATCAGTCAAACGGATAGACTATTATATAGAAAATATAAACTATAGAAAATATGCCTATTGTGGATCCTATAAAATATGCCTAATATGAGTATAGACTATAGAAAATATGCCTTAAAATACACATTATTCACATTTCCTAACATTTCGAAAATTCTTTCTACCAAAAACGAACGAGGAGCTTGAGAGCTTCATCCACCATATTGGGATGCTGATAAATAGGGCAATTTTTGCTAAGTCAATAGTAATGAACGTCGGGTAGTTTGTACTCAAGCGTTGACGCCTATGCTAGCATTATAAACTTTTTAGTGTTATGAATCGTGAAAAACAATGGATGTATATTGTATGTACTTGTACTTGTACTTGTACTTGTACAGTTGTAGTCTTAGATTTTTTAATGTAGAAATATGACGAGAATAGTTTGTAATTTGTTAAAATAACCGAAATTACACCTATATGCAGTCGGGTTGAGCCGTCTTTTAAATGCAAAATTCCCTATTATATAGTCGTGCTGTGGTTTTTTACTATACAAACACATTGGATTCTTAAACATGAACATATGCAGCAAAATTTACACTAGTCTTGGCCATACTCAATGATTTCCTCCCCGAAACAAGTACACATTTCCGTTGAAATGCTTTATTAATGCATATTTCAGATGCCAAGATGTGAACATCAGGAAAATTAAATTTTACAGAACCAATCGAAATTTATCCGGCTGCTTTACTGCCTTAAATTCGTGCGTTTGTTAGCTTCTATATTTTTACCAACAACAAAAGACAAACTTACCGACACGCACGGAGGCGTGAACTCTTTGTTTGTGAACGTATTTCACCCAATCAAACCCAGCTTCAACAGCCAATCTTGCAAGAAGTCCTAACTTCGACCTATCCTTATCTGAAGTCGTAATATCAACTGCACGTCCTTCGAAGTGTAGCGATGTTCCACTACTTCTGTGAACCGTTTGTTGGTCCCAAGCTACAATAACCCGAAGCTTTATTCTTGGCCACTTCTGTTTCACGAGTGTTCCTAGCTTGTTCAAAGCATCCATGCATCTCTAAACGAAAAGAAATACAATAAAAATCTTTCGAAACCGCACGAAGAAGGATTAGAAGGATTATATGGTGACTAAGCGGGAATATTGATATATTTTTCTGGTTTGTTAGGAGGACCATAAAGTAAACAACGTTGAAGACAACATGTACTAACCTTACTCATCAATCGCGTGTCACCAGTTTTTTCAGAGTTCTGCTCGAAAACTATACCAGGATTATAATTAGTTTTCAACACTTTAAATGCCCTACTATAATTTATAGGATCGCCTGGTTGTCCACTTGCACCTTGTGAATACTCATCGATGTCAGGAACTTTTTGGTGTAAATAAAACGGCGTACGCGGACTTCTCCTAATCGAACCTCCATTCTTTGGCAAACAGCAGATAACTGGTCTTATAAAACACAGTAAAAGATGCCATATCACAAGGTTTTTCTTCAGGTCGGAAATCATGCTTGTAGTTGATCAATTGGAGAAAAATTGCTGCCCACTCGCTCGTGTGTCCTTTGTGTACTGAGCCTTTGTCGTGTAATGTAGGTACTTTTTTCAACGGCGCGGAGTATGTGCGAAACTTTCACTGATTGGACAATTTGTGCGTGAGCTTTTGCACTTAAGTATGCAAACCTATGTAAGGGAAAGAATTCAAAAATCAGGTACATAAAAGCGACAGCGTCGTGTTGAAAGGACGCCCACAACTCTGTTGATCGGCTCTAATAATGTTTGCATATAAAGTTGAAACGAACGCAGGAAATTAGAAAAATATTCCTCTTTCATTTATGCCGCAAACAATTGAGTTTAGCTTGTGGAATTAACCTTATTGTAGAACAGTCAACTTAGAAGGTATTAGCGGGCCACAGTTGTTTGAACAAGTCTAATTGCCTAGTAAACCACTTCCTAAGATGTTATCCCAAATATCCTCAAGGCCGCCTAGCGACATACCAGCAAGATCTTTGAGATAAACGTCTAACAACTATGCTGAAAGAAATCTCACTTAGAGCATTAACATGGCACAGAAAGGCTCCTCCTACATTTCAACGCCATTTTTAATCGTCCTGTGTTTGTTCAAAAGTAAATTTCACTTCCTAAACTTAATCCCGTCATTAAAGTTCAATGTAGGCAATTATCTCTAAACCTCTAGCCGCTGGAATTAATATGATTTCATTTAGGTCTTTTATTGAAAGCGTTTAAGGCTGTCAGGTTTATGTCACTAATAATGTTTAACATAATCACATATTAAATTGAATGGGACAAAGGTCTCCAAGGCCAATATGCTGAGATGCTTGAAAAGAAATTAATTGGTCTTGCGTCTGGGCGTGGTCAGACGTATTTCATGCGTGCACGGGCTGTTTTGGAAAGCGAATTCTTGCAAAAACTGGCGATTTTACCTGCAAACGTTAAGGCTAAGCACAAAAGTGGCTGTGAAGCACGAATGTGAAGATACACTCTGTTACTAGTATTTCACAACCGGACACGCAATAAACGTGTGACGTTTAAACAATGACAAGTCCACTTTATACATGATAGGTGATAAATTTAAACGTCATCGAACATAAGGTGACAACTGACAGTGCTTATTGAGTTTCTATATTTAACTTGTGGTATTTCGTTTCAACGCAACATAGATAGACCAATTTGGATCGCAATTCCAATGTAGATTTCAGATCGTAGTGTATTCGCTCGAAGCATGTCCGCCAAGTGAAACACATTTCTCCGCACTTTTAGACAATTGACTGCAGCAAAGACATCACTTGAAATTTGTGAAATTGTTCACTCTTCGAGGAATTATTGAAGTTAAATTAGGTTTAACGCGGCGAGGGACCAGGTTAGCCTTTACCTATATCCCTCAAACCATTTGCATGATCTTCAATGCATTAGCAAGAGACGCATATAGACCGTCACAGAATGAGCGTTATTCAAAACATGCTTCTAAATTGCTTACTGTGTAGTGTTTTATAGTAATTTATCATAGCAATCTATCTCTTGTCTAGACAGCAAAACACCTATTTCAGAATTCTAGGGCAATGAATTTGAATATGAATATTTTCATGGCGGCAAAAGTCTGGAGAGAAGGTTTTTAAATCCATCTCGATCAATATCACAATGCTATTAGAAATCGTTGTAAATCATAATACTGTATAGAGCAGGGTTGCATGTCTTGCACTTTTTGGAGTGGCGAGGCATTTTATGAAGCATGCACATTTCGTCATTTGTTATTTCACGTCTTTCCTATCTGATGAACATTAATTCAGCTGTCATTTACAAAAAAAATGACTTGTTGCCTAGTGCAACGACTTTCCAAGTAAATATCAATTTATAAAAGTGATATTTGCTTAGCCAATCGAGTTTAGTAGGTTAGGAGCAATCACGTTCAATATATAGACTTAGGCTAAGGGAGTGCTTTATCGTGCATTGTCAGCAAAAATTCGGACTCAAGTTATGCCATGCCGTATACGTTTTTGTATAATGAACTGAATAAGCCTGCGCAATCATTAGCATATTGTCCGGCCTGTTCCGCCGGTATAGATAAAATGGAATGAGAATTAGTTACTTAAACGAAAATAGAGCACTGACCGTGCTAGTATGATCTTAACCCTAATCCGTAACCTAATACCCAATAAACTGGTAAGGAAAAACAAGGTTGAATAATAGTTGGGATTTAAAGTTTATCACTATCTGGGGAATCAATTATTAGCGAAAATAGCTAACATTTTCAGCCGTTCGAGACCAAGTCATGAAGAGTTATTCTGCTTATTCACACTTGCTTTATTTTGCCTTGTGATGAAGTTCGGGTTTTTGAATGCATCCAAGTTTGTCACAATGGACATAGTTACAGATTTCATGTAACCATAAATTCTTCAGAGTGTATTGGACTTGCGACAACTCGTTTGAATGATTTTTAGTGATGAAAACAAATATTAAAATGAAAATTGATAAAAAATTACACTGTTAATGCAGGAGTTTCGCAAATTTATAATAACCGAAATGCATGTACGGTGTACTAAAAAAACCAAATAATCTATTGTTAGATTTGTCACAGATGACCTGAATGAAGTTGAAAGTACAAAATATTGACCCAAGTGCATATATTAAATATTGCTTTATTGCGTAATTAAAATATCTTAAGAGAGAATAAGTTTGCAAAAATAATTCTTTTGCGTAGTTCGTTCGGTCTTAACGTAAACCACTCCATTATGCATATGATTACAATACGAGCTACGTCAATGATAAATGCACTCGTGCATGGTCTTAACTTGTAAGACCATCGAAATTCCGTAACAATTGATTATTTAATAATTTGCGGTTTTTTGGTGCCCCTGAACCTTAAGCAGCAATGATTGGTAAAAGTAGGCTTGGTAGGTAGCGAAATAATTAGGCCAAACATCATAACACTAGCCCTTTGTTTTCTTTGTGTTCATGACGACACTGTCAATAATCTGACAATTTGGCCCGATGAACTCTTGATAATGTAAAATCACGGGACATGTGTGATCAAGCGACTTAAGTTGGAAACAAATTTTTCACTACGGTTATAATAATTACACTTACTGTATTTTCGTATCCCAGCAGTAGAAGAAGTGCCCGAAAATGACATATTCACCCACAGTGAATTTGCTAATCGTATAACAATACACGAGGACAGGTAGCCGTTATAGATGTTCTATATCCCATGCATGTCCTTTAGCTCTGACGATTGTCACGAAACAAAAATCGTTTTTTTATTTTTGTCATTAAATTCACCTTGACCTTTTAATTTATTACACGTAGCTCAAAGCAATTTTCTTAAAACCAAGTAAATTAATTCCTCTCTAATGCACCAGAATATAACTTTGACTGGTACTGCATGCTGTAGTACACGAAGTTTGAAACACCTAATGGGAAACCATGGAGTAATAGCTGTCCTTTACAAAATGAAACTTTTCTATAAACTTAATTAACAGCTGTGATATTCTACAAAAGAAAAATGTTGTAGCCAATATTTCAATTGAAGTTTCCTAATGCCCTTGAAACGCTCAGAGCAAGGCTGCATAGCGAGTAAATGTATCGTGCAGTGTTTCATTGTCGTTGTAAGTGGACATTACCAGCGCAACACGCTGCTTTCAGCTGAGATAGAAGTTAAACAGTGTATGCTCTCGTTACATTTTTATTCATAGATGAATCTAAAGACGACTTTACACACAATTTTGCATAAGTCGGAAAAGATATAATTTGTTTCCATGACATAACGGTGTTTATGTTAGAAGTATTCATCGACAACGTATACGTAACAAGAACTCAGTGACGGGACATGGAAAAGCTATATTGCCATTGTATTAGATAATATAACATTCATTTGGCAGTTTCCAAGGCAAGACGACTAACTAAAAGTCAACTCACATACTTGTGATTGATGTGATGCGACTTATTACCACCTGTATAATGCTAAATGCGACTGATATATTTTATGCTAAATTCACTATACGTATGTGTGTGCATGCAATAAAGGCCTTTCAAATGTGATTGCTTGCAGGAGGGCTACAATTTTAACTTCTTAACTTTAAGTAATTACAGAATTCGCAAAGCGTGCCTTGATATATGTACGTTAAACCTTATCAGTTTAATAAGAACGTAAATCTATTTATATTTACTAACCTTTTGATATAGTAGAAACAGTTTGTCAAGTATAATGTGCCTGATCTGTCAGCCGGCCAACTTGTTGAAATTATGTCGTGTGAGGATGGTGACATTCTTACAGCATTGTAATATAATTGAAGAACATTAAAGCGGATGGAAAGCGAATATATCTAACTTCAATGGTCCTTAGACTATCACATTTCTCAATTGCAGATACGCGGAAAGGCAGGCGGAGTACCTTCAAAATGTTTAGATTAAAATTGAATTTATTACTGACCATAAGCATAGTCGAAGCGATAATTTCACATTCGCAGTCTTTAATTCGTTATAATTTACACATTGTTATCACCAAACTAGACATAATTATCACATGTACCATTGAGTTAGAACACAATGCAAGGCAGCGTGTAATAGACCATACTGTGTAATTATCTCATTAGAGATAAATATTATTCCGGTTTCTATAGTTTTTGTTTGCTACATGCATAATGGTCGCAAGGCACAATTCTGTCGCGTTAACATTTTTAACACTGCAGGGTACGCTGCATATATATACACTTTCGACCGTGTAATGTTTCTGGTGAGGAGGCCTCGTGTTATTAACACATTTTTCTCATGTCTACTTTCACTTTCTAATATATACATCAGCTATAGTGCAGCAGGTCTAACCATCAGCGTGCCCTCTGAACCGTCGCTTTTTATGCGTATTATCGTATTTCAAAGAAAGTCAACGAATATAGATGGCTTAAGGCTTAACGTTAAGTTTAGTAAATATTTATATATACAGTATTTCTTTATAGTGTATCAAATTAGTTTCTTTTTTATCTTCTAATTAACCTATGTTAGGAATTTATTTTGGGGCGGGTCTAAGAAAAATGAAAAATGTTTCTTTAATGAAACTTTGGATTTTAAGCATTCTCTTTCTCTTGAACTCATTCAAATGTACAAATATAGAATGAATAATTTTATTGATTTTATCACTGAAGTTCAAATTCTTTCTTTGAGAATACTGAGATATCAAGCATGCACTGAATACCGCTCTATACATATCTGATTTGAAGTATATCAAATACTCCTTACCTCTGTGAACAGTCGCTCTCAAAAGTAACAGGAGTTGAAGGACCAATTAGTGTTGGTAATATGTCTTATGTTTCCGGTGTCCGAAACAACTATACAAAGTGTCATTGTGTTTCATCGTGAGAAATATTGCAGGTAGGCTTTTTTCAAACAAACCTAGGAAATATCCATGTCTCATGAGGGAAACATCTGACAATTGTTGTGCAACAACTCTTCTGCCGTCTTTTCAGGCTATGAGCATTACATTCTCAGGGATCTTGTCAAATTGAAACTGCCATAGCAGCAATTAAGTTCATTTGTTGTTGTGAACCCAATCCCTTAATATATATAATCCTGAAGACAACCCTTCCATGATAGCTGTCTGTGTACGATGAAGCAAACACGATGCATACGCCCTTAAGTAGCTCTTTCGTAATTCGGTTGTATTCACGCTACGAGCAATAATATCATTTCCCAGCGCTAATGACAGGTGGAAATGACATGGAAACATTTCATTTTAAAGTGCTTATACCAAAGGCGATTAATTCTAATGTCTAGCCCACACCTCCCGATGTTTTATGGAAAATTGTTCAGTTTTATATTGATAAAATTGTCATTAACTAGCATTTGAAGGTCATTTGATTTGGCTTCGATAGTTTTTTAAATACATTATTTTCGATTTCACTTTTCGTCATATCTTTAGCTTTCGCAATCTAGAAACTCATTATATATTGTGACGTCATGTAAGTCATCTGTATATTGTGTGTCTCGGGGCCTTCATGAATTCTACTTACTGTACGTTTTTACATACGATCGACGGACTTACACGAGTAGTTCGAGCTTGATAATTGTACGTACCATAACTCATGTTTTACTGCTTATCTTCTTTCTGTTGAAGATAAGAATTGTTTTCATTCACAATTCTCGTCAATTTAATTGGTTTGTTTCGTCATGTGATGTATATATTCACGTGACTAATGCACGTGCATCTGATCGGTTTGAGTTATTTCAATTTCATGGCATGAATAACTCTGAAATATAGAAAACTGTAAGATGCACTCGTTTTGCTAATGTATAAAGACAGAAAAATCAAAATGAGATAACATGCATGAAGTTTCACCATTAATCTAGTTCCCAAGATTGTGACCAATAAGAATGATATAGTTCAGTCTTCAGATCAGAAGATGTCTTCCCATCGATTCTTTTAGTTGTCTAAGACGGACGCGCGTTTAAGTCTCAACAAACTGCCATTAAATGGCATAAAAGAGGTAGCTGTAATTATCTTGTTAACTGTAAAGAGGTAGCTGTAATTATCTTATAGAGGTTACCAACTTGTCTTCGCAATTGACATAAGTTGTTAGAAATTACTGGAATGAGAGCGATGGAAATTTTGATGAACTGTTGTCCGTGGTGACTATTATATTCTCTGTCATGCCATGTCTCTTAGGATTTAATACGACCTTCTGTTTAATCACCGACAAACATTGCTATTTAATGAAAGAATGACTGATCTCGATTTTGCTAAATATCAATTGCCTAGGGATAGTCTAAATACATGCGATGTATCCGGATATTTGATGATACATGCTTGGACGCGATGCAATAACGTTACCCCCTCGCCTTATATAGGAAGTTTTAATCACAAAAGATCGAAGTGGGGCTGTGTCGTATGATAAATACCTTAAAAGGTATTTAACACATCATTCTTCTTGCTTCACACCATAAAGTAGATTGGAAAGGAAATATTCAAATTGCTTCATACAATGCTTATCATACAATAAATAAAGTATATGGAAGAGAATTGATAGCCAGTTCTTTATTTTTGCGTCAGTAGGGAGCACATGCAATGATTCGAACCACACTACAATCTGGGTGCATGGCCGTCTTGAACTTCAACGTAAAAAGAAATATGTTTTCTTCCTAAATTTGGTTTCTTCAAGTTTTTTCCGAAGTATAATCTGTTTGGATTTTTACTGGTAGTGAAACCATCTAAATTAGGGGTTTCTTTCTAACCCCTGACCCAGGGTTTACATATAAGGACAAAGGATTTTTCTATATTTAAACTCTGCCTAACATGCCGTTCGGATGCACACCCTATGTCAGTGAAGACCCAGAGCCTCATCGCTGATTCAGATTTCATAACTCAACTTATCACGAGTGTACGTGTTTATTTTATTCGTGTTTTAGTTTTATGATGACAAACATTTTGTTGCAGAATACGACTTTTTATATAAATTCTCTTGCGCTTTCCATGCCGCGATGAATCAAAACTGTTGCAAAAACGTATTTAACCTCTAAAAAGCGTCACTTATTCCCGTCCAAACTCAAATATTAGTTCCATACAGGAGCTGCATTCAAACAATTTCAGCGTAAAACGTTTTAATGGTGTCACAATTGCAAATCAGTTTTATTCATATACGAATATAATTGCATGCAATTAAAGAGGAAAATTATATGATTCGGTCACTTATCAAACTCAACGTAATATATTTTAATATTTTCTATATAATACGAGTATAGACTGTACAGTTTCCACCCGGTAACGTTCTGCATGGCTTTGCGATGTTTGGTCGCAAATAGAAAGTTAAAGACATTTAAGATTGACTTCTACTGGATAAAATATAGAGCTAGCAAACACTATAAATGGTAAAAACTGCTTTGAACAGAAGAACATATAAATTTAACAGCGAAGAAAAGGAATACCGGTCGAGATGATCCACTCGGTAATAAACTCCATATAAAAGGAAAAACAACAATCGGAGAGATAATTTAATTACCTTTGATCTCTTGTGTGTGGCAGAACGGGTTGAATTATATTAGATGTAAACTCGGAAGCGAAACGTATCACTGACTGAAAAAGAAGAAAAGGTAAATTGGTTAATAAACGCCAGCTAAATGATGTACAAATGGCATGTAGAAATATTTTTGTTGAATGTTTGTCATCCTTGATGTTACTATGCCTCAAAAACCAGTGGTTTTGTATAATTTCAGCTGATACCATGCATTTCAACGCATGCATTGTCCATGGAGTAGAACTGACATGTTGCAATGATTGCTTCTAATAAATTACTCATTATTATATATACGCTATGGAAAATAGTATAATTTATGTTTTCCTTGAACTGACTAAACTCATTTAACTTATTTTTAAGCGAGCGAGTAAGATTTTGGAGGGAACAACCCTGGTTTATTTAATGAGTTTCTTATTATAGAAAGTTTACATTGTATAAACAGTGAATTGGCAGCGCGGCTATTAAAAGTTGAATACACAGACAATAATTAAAACTTTCAAACCATTTATAATTTGCATTCTTCGTATACAATTGATATACCAAAGGAAGAATGCGCGTATTCTCTGATATGCTTAAAGCTCATCACCACAAAGACTTTAGCACCATTAATACCCACTGATTTAAACATAACTATTGTTAACTCTTGCTTCAAATTTGAAATCAAGCGATTTTTCATTTAATTTGATTTCTATATCCTTTCCTCTTGACATTTAAGCCTATTCGATATGTGTTCTAGAGCAACCGTAAACCACAACATAATATACAGAAAACGAGTTACAAAGATGCATGAACAGCTTATTTTGGTGTCGAGAACTGATGAAAAGAATTGATGCATAGTCACATAAATAGACGACAAGCAAAACTCACCTCGCATATGACTTCAACTGGGTTCTTGTTCACTTCTTGACTAAAGACTTTGTGGGTCGAGTAAGTTTTCGATCTTCTAAAAATGATTAAGAACCAAGCCTTTTATCAATTTGCTGACACACGAATCTCTAATATTGGCCTTTATTTTAATTGGCGTTCACCGTTACAGTAATTGCTATAGCCTTGTATAATTCTCGTACGATGCGTAATATATGGAATGTGACTTAAGTATATAGTCCTTAGTGGACGAAGTAACACAAAGTTAACAAACTGAAGGTTCACAAAAATTGATGTAAGACTCAAGCAAATTTGGCAGTTTTGATTGATCGCTTCACATGACGTTAAGTTTACAGCAGCAAAACAGCATGTGGTTGAACACTGTGTGCTTATCACGCTATTAATACTGACAGATATATCTAAGTATAAACCCGCTAAAATGCAACGCTACATTACATAAGCATAGAAGGAACGTGGGATTTAAGAGGCCTGCAAACCAAACTTACCCAAAGATGAAAATGGTTCAAATGTGTAATATGAACTAAGAAAATGATTGTGTTTTTTACGTTCTCTTCACATTTACTATCATAGCCTGTAGGTGAATCTTGATAAGACATAAGATGTGGTACACATTCGCATACGAATAAACAGGAATCGTGTCGGGGCTATTAAAAGATGAAGAAAATAGTGTAAGATAGACGCGTTTTGAATGTTATTATAATTCAATTGTGACGGCAAGAAGTATGCATGCATGGGAAAAGCCGCTAGCGTTCTGAGTCAGTGTTTTAAATTACAAAACGCCAAAATATAATATACACTGGAACAAAACTCATGCATTGTTATATATTGCTACAGAATGCCCATATTCTTATCTTTGGATGCAATATCTAATGATCCTGTATACGTCGTTTTAATTTCATTGCGTTAGTCGGAAATGATCAGGAACAAAGTTTAACATGACTGCACACTTATTCAAAAGCCAGGCCAGGGTCATTTTCTTAAACTATGCGGACATATATATTCGTCTATATAATCGTGATAGTGTATCTTATCACCACAAATCATCTCTTAATGATCTACCAACATGAGCATCCAAGGGGATATCAGGTCTAGTTCTTCAATCGCTGACGAACATTGTGTCGAATATAACCGCCCAAATCGTAAATCTGGTGCGGTAATTAATTAATCCTGAGTGGCTTAATGATTGCGCCGTTTTCATTATATTGACCGTGAGTTTCGGCGCACTTTAGTAATTAACCCCGATATCCTGCTTGTTCCGGGAAGATTAATCCAAGTGTTAAACGGTCTTCAAATTCTTTTCCTCTAAACCTAAGGATGAGCCGACGACGCGACGTACCTTTAAATGTTTAGGAATTAACAATTTTGCAACACAACACCGCCAAACAAATGAATGCGACTTGATTTCCTCCTCAATTTCAATAGAATTATGAAATCCGTTTTCTATTCCTTTAAGCGTGATTTTTATACAAAAGAAATTATTTCGGTTTAGAGCTAATGACAGGACTATCGCGAAAATCTTTGGCGACAAACAATTTGTCGTAGAACTTCAAGGCAATTGGAAGTAATAAAGAATCTTGGTGGTATTTCTATCTTATGTTGTGGTCTTGTGGATGCAACTAATTATGCTGTAAAAATTTGCAAGTATAGGGCTTAGCAAAAGCAGGAATCATACTTCAACAGATTTCAAATAAAGTTCACAGTCGATAGTCAGATTTAATTAAACTGCCAAATCCTGTGGAGGATAGATATCTATTAAATGTCAATAGCTCCTGCGGTGATTCCCAACAAGCGTTTTATATGCTTATTGTAATCTTCTCACAAACACAGCGGAGCATTCCTGTGACACTGAGAAAACGACCGGGAAATGCTGTTTACTAGCTGTGTTTTTCTCACTAATTTTGTTTACTAGATTGAGAGTAGCTTCACACCAAACTGCTACCACACGTTGGTGCGTGGGAAATACAATGATTCAACATAAAAAAGGCCCTAAAAGATATTCTTTATTAGTGATCGATATGAAGGTAATAACCTTTTTATAGCCTCAAGTAAATTTTGGTAATACACAATGACAGTTAAGACAATGCTCTATGAAAGTCCTAACTATATTTCCCGTCGACTTCGTTGTTTGAAACTATAGTATCGACGTTGTGGCGCTGTTATTGTTAACTCACACCACAATCACATTTCGTTTGACTTTCCTACGACAAAATAATCAACGTAACAAGTCTCAGCAAATGCGTGCTGGGTGTAATTGTTTTCACTACAATTGAACTACACTGTTGCAAGCAAGACTGTGCGAAAACAGTGCGAAAGAAAAATAATTTATCATCATCCAAAGCTCGTTCTAACTTGTACTTCCTACCGCTGTTTTAAGGTCGGAAATCTCACAACATGAAACGTCGTCTCATGGGAAATGGCGAAGAGAGACATTTTCAAAAGCAACCTCCTACGCCTGTCGCCTCACCCGTGATAAAACTGTATTCTATATTGTATACATAGGAAGGCACGTATATTCAGCAATAATGCTGTCACTCGGCTTGTGGTTGCAATTATACCTATCAAGGTGGGGAAAAATTCCTCGGTTAGTATATTTTTAGGAACATGAATTTTCCAACTGATGGGAACTTTGTAACAGCTACATTTGTTCTTTAAGCAAATCAGTGCCGTCATATTTATCAAGTGATATGCTTTTTTCGTCGACCCGAGCTGTATCTCATGTGAATACAGTCTTTCACACGCATGCATGGGATCAGTAAAAAAAATTGCCAAAACAATTGCTATTTTGAACATGTCTTTAAAAAGAAATGGACTACTAAAAATAGAGTCTTCCGAACTCACAACGTTAAAAATTGCTTTGAACTTTATTCTTCGGAATTACTTCTGAATTGCTTATACAGTCCATAGAACCACATGTGCAATCAGTGTTTTTATCCGTCGAATATAAAGGACTCTGGTATAGAGTGAACTCTAAAGGACTGGAACGATATCTTGATCATGCACCCACCATTTTGCATCCTCAGTTCTGGTAAAGAGAATGCCTTTTTTAAATGATTTAGCCAGGTCTTTTTTATTATTGGTCGTTCCACAAACTCAAGAATATACTATGCCTACGATAGTTAAATCGAACTTGTTGCGGATGTAGTTCGCGTTGATTTTCAGAGGATATTCATATCTATGCTCGAACGAGCATGTCTGGGCCCCAAACTTCGCATTTTATTGCTGACTCACTCATCTTCCTGTGATAGACATACCGAACTAGGATTACAAAATGAGGCGTGGGTTGAGTGACACCGCCCTAATAATTGACCACTTGTTCCCAGTGGAAATTAAAGTCGGTTCTAAAGTTTAATGGCGCCACAAAAATATCATTAATGATTCGATTTCGTATTCAATCCTGTCATTATCGTGAAATATACCGGCGTTGCATACTGGAAAACAGTACTGTAAACTGCAAGAAAAAATACTGAAAGGTTATTCTAGACATTCCAGAGCTCTTCGAATTTTCTCGCTGCATATGTATGCATAGACCTAACTATGATCGCACATGGAGGACGTTGTTATACCTTAATTCAAAAACGTTTCTATATCCTTGATGGAACATTTGTCGTTTCTTTGAACGCCTCTCTAATCACTACATACTGTTTCTACTGTCAAGTGTCAATAGAAAATACTCTGATTCATTGCATAAGAAACATACGAAACATTACGAGCGTTCACGAAGGCAGCACGTTCACAAGTACTCGACAACGATAAATGTTAGACAACATATTCACATACTTTATAAAAAGACAATCACTGCATAAAATACTAACCTGTTCAGTACCATATCATTGATCTGAACAAATGAGGCAAATATTTGTCAATTCTGGACGCCTTTCAGCTCTAAGTAATTTACAGCACTGAATCTAATTCACAGATTTGTATTTCTTTAACAGGCCATGAAGCACTAAAAAACTAATCACGAGTAACAAAAATACACTTGCCCCCCTCTAAGCAATCCGAGACTCAGTTTGAGGTAAGTCATTGAGTCATTAAAAAGAGGGAATAAGTGGAATAATACCAAATATAGGTTTCTTACGTTAGCACTGAATTTTGCATGCAAATCTCACCCTAAAAATTCGGGTAATTACTTTGACTTTCAAAGAATTCAAGTTTTCAAACAAGTTGACCTGAATAACAAGGTGTCATGGATTAAAATATACCTTATTAGTATAAGCTTAGTCAAGTACTAACGCAAATGCGGCATTCTGATTGGCTCAATGGGTTTTTAACACATTAATAGTCAAATCGCTGGAAATATTTTTTTAATCTCAAGCTATAAAATAACTGAATTTGATGAATATTGAAAGTATGTTTGGCGTAAAGTATTAGCGTACTATCGCTGGACGTCATTTTTTGCTACGCACTAACAGTCAGTGTTGAGTGCATGTTCCTAGAAATTAAAATACTATATGATGTAGTTTATCTATGCAGTTAAACTCTATATTTCGATATAAATAAATATCTTGAAGATGATTCCGATTTTTTGCACATCTCATAACCGAAGTAGATATCTTGCAACCGTGCTTGTAGCTACAGAGTTTCATCTCCTGGAGATGATCAGTCCGATTTTTTGCATATCTATAATATCTAAATCAGATATCTTGTAACCGCGTGATTGAATGATATTAAGTTTCGTCTCCTAAAGATGATTCCGATTTTTTCATATCTTACAACTGAATCAGATATCTTGACTTGTAATTATAACCGTGCTTGTAGCTACTGAGTTTGAATTCCTTGAAGATGATTCCGATTTTTTTCATATCTTATATATCATTATCAAATATCTTTGAAACTGTTGTACGGATTTAAATCAAAATATATTCGATAGGATTTGAGTTTTATCATGACTTTTATCATGATTGTGTATTCGTCAAAATGTTTTTTTTATCTATTTAATGAATCTATTCTATTAACATTTAATGTCAGTATGACATGTGACCCTTTACGTTTAAATTGGAAACAGTTGAAAAATTGAACTGAGTGCACATTTACCGTGTGAACACCTAAAACAGGAAAATTCGAGCAATTCTTTCGCTCGCCGGGTATAAATATTGTGTCAATCTATGTGAATTAAGCTGGAACTGACCTTTACTTATATGTACTACCCTCTGTATTTTTCGCTTGCATATGGATTTCACTGATGTTAATGACCGTTCCCTTGATACCAAAACATAGCTACCAAGTAGCAAGCGATGTTCTTCAGTTTCCGTTTTAAGATGTCTCGATCAGTCTCGACGTCCTGTTTCCAACGGCAATGTATATTCAGTTTTGTTAACAATCTCTTCATTTAATAGATTTCTATATTTAATAGTTATTTGTTAGTGAGACGGATCTCTGTGCGAATTTTCTGAATTTGGCATTTAGCTAGCTATTTATGGTCCCTCAATAATAGAAACGGTTTTAACTTTAAGTGTATGGAAATAATGGAATTGTTTTAACCGCGAAAATGTACCGGTAAGAAACCTTTGAAAACTTCGATTGTTCTCTTATGTTGAAGAGATAAAATATTGGCCTTCACATTGCCAGAGTATTCGACCAGAGTGACCAGCATTCTTTTTGGTCTATGCAACATCTTTATATAAATTATATAATATGATTATTTTTACTTTTTCTCTGCATGGAATATGGATTAAAAATAGCTAGGCATGTTATCTTTTCAATTTTGAACTAAATGAAGTGATGATATTACCCATTTGGATAATACTTTTTAACATGGAGGAAAAAGAAGTAATTAAACACATTGTTTAAATATTTACAAATATCATAGCATTAACCATTGTGGATTGAATTGGGATTGTTATGATAGCTTAGTGTAATAAAAAAACATACACATGCAAACATTGCTGTTTCAAGCATGAAAACACAGTACGAAGAACACTGCCTAAATTTCCTGCGCTATGCCGGTTTCATTTGTTTATCTTAAATGGCAACAGTAATTCTTGTGGTGGGAATTTATTTGGTATGTTAGTTAGTTGAATTGAATATCAAGTTTCTTTCTTGCAGGAGTGTTATGTTAAAATAATAAACTTGTTGCACCGGAACACAAGTCGTAGCACTAGACAAGAGCCTTCCTTCGATACAAACAGTTTCAGTATTAGGCTTAATCAATATGGAGTTTGCCCACTCAATACCAATTATGCCCTCTTATGGCAATGAACATAACGATTTACGTAATCGATGGGTGAATAATTTGTTAACCTTATATAGCGACAAAAAGTTTTTAGTTTTAATAAAAGAATTACTTTTAACTGTTTATAACATCCTAATATATGGACTGCTGTTATATGAGTTTCCTTATTAAGCCACACGAAGCTACACTCATTAATAGCTGCGCACGCGCCGTGCAGCCATGCAGGGGAGCACGTATTTTGAAAAGCTCAAAGACTGAAGTGTCATCAAAATTTGTTACAAATGGTTGTCTAGCATAAAACAAGTATGTTCCGTCTGTAATCGGATGTCATGAAAGATCGTACTGTGTATAAACAAACCAGGAAACGAGCTTGTAATAAATTTCATCATTTGTCTGTAATGACTACATTATTTATCATTCATAATATAACTTGGAGGGTCGATTCCTTTGAAGCTGCGATTCGTCTTTCATTATAAGTATAAGCACGGGAAGCTTTGTTTTAAACATGTACTGATGAGTTGCCTGTGTGGGCAGGGCTCTACAAAATATTGCCGTCTACCTTGGCTTTGGGGCGGAGAAGTCAGACGAAAGGTCTGGGCCTTTGCTCTTTAATGCGATAAAAAAGTCATCACACCGGCACTATTGTTTCTAATGTTGGATAGATATATGTTAGCTGCACTAAAAATACTGAAAGAGTACTTAATCTGCGAGAGAAGTACTTTGTATCGCTGGAATATTTAAGCAGTCGGATGCGCTTGCAATTACATGATGCTCAAGTATTTCCGCGGTTACTTATTCAGCTACGTGGGAAACTAGTCTTTGGTAATTAATGGCTATAAAATACTTTAATACAACGAATTGATGGAAATTACTCCCCAGTCCCTATTATCACAATGTTCAAACAAATTTCGGCATATTATACGGAGTGTCCCCAAAAAGGTGACTCTTTGAAATCAAACTTTTTTTATTCTAACACCTTGGTGAAGATGTCAATCTCACGATTGCGTGATTGACAACTCCCACACGTGTACAAGTGCAGTTGCCTACAGTTGTATCTCTAGCGCGATTAAAATGCATTTTAACTAACAAGGGAGCATGCAATATTCATGTTTTAAATTGATTAATGATTCACTTTATATTCTGTCGAATTACAGCCGCTATATCTTTATGAATATAAACTAAAAGGACAGTTTTTCTTCATTATTCCGTATTATAAACTATTCCCGAAAGAGTGGCGCCAAATGGTCATGACCATGAAAGTGAACTAGGAACATTGATGTGAATTCAGAAAACTAGCTTAGTTGACTGATATGCGGAATCATGTTGTTGTTTCTACAGAGAAAACTGTTCTGTAAGACGTACAGTGCTAAGCTTTATACCCGAAAGAAAGAAAAAAGGCTCTGTTGCAGGATACCAAGATTTATCACTTGTAAGGGCCGTCTTCCCCTCTTCCCAATAATGGTCGACGTCTACCCTGATACACTTTACGGTGCGTCAAAAAGATTAACTAACATGCATGTACAATCACACGCAACGTACGTTATTCCTGCATGGGTACCAAAATGCAGAAAAAGAAAATACCTTGGACGAGCCGCTTCTTTTCATATCCGTTATGGCTAGCTGGTCCCGTTTCAGTCATCCTTGTCCTCTTCGTAGAGTTTTGAGGTTCAGAATTTTTTGTTCGTGATATGCATAATCTGTGGAGTAAAAGAACGGCAAGTGATATATTTGAAGAAGCTGCCACGCATGCAGTGCCCCCTGGTGAGCTCGGTATAGTCAACTAGTATATGCATAACTTGGGGTGCTTTCTATTAGGTGCCGGCCAAAACTGAGAGTCAGACTAGAGCTATTTGGAATTTGAAAAGGAATATTTCGTTTAGGATAACATCATAGCAATAAAGTTCGCTATTCCCGGCAGTAATTAAGCACGTGTAGAATTGCGGTATATTCAACGTTAACGTGATATTTATTATGATGTAAAAGGACTGATCTGATCATTTTTCATATCATAAGTGCGTGAAGGAAAACGCACGTAGTCATTTAGGAAGTTACCAATCGTACTCACTGTGATCGTACTTCGTCCTGTTATTTAGAAACGCGTCGTTGAACTTCACTGGTCAGAGACCGCGTTCTAAATCAGGTTAACATCCAACACACGGTGACTCATGCGGTCATCAGGTGGGAATGAAATTGTCAGTTTATACGAGCTGAAATTGAAGAAAAAACACGCATTAGTTGTGTAAGCAAATTATGGGAGAGGTGAAAGAGAAAATGTAGTGATGATCTGTAAGATCTATAGAAGTCAACCAGGCAGTGCTTGCTGAAGCGTGTCTCAATTAATGGTCGGTAGATTAACGTTCTTGCCGAATTTACTGAGCTAAAATTGAAGATAAACCGTAAACGAAACATAAGCTACCCAAATCAAACCTTTATAGTTATTCTACCAATAGTTATGGAGCAAGACTAAGAGCATGTATAAATGTACGAAATCTGAGACCATATATATTGTTGGTATCGATAGGCTTAGCTATTGATATAGCACATATTCATTTCACTTAATATATCTATTGAAAACTGTACTTGAAAGCAACATCGAAATTGCAATCATATGACCAAATGGCCTAGCAAGAATTAGGTTTTGAACTTGCCTCCCAAATTAGCAGCCCAATATTGATAAATTTATTCCTATTGACTTCTGGGTACAGCACTTAAAACCCTGAGATTCATCTTAGAATTATGATCCTTGCACACTCGATCACTCTTGTGTTTGTATTTTACAAACTTTAGACTACTGGCAAATTTGACAATAAAAATGTAGGCCTTAACTTTCCTAAGAGAAGGAGAAGCACGTGGATTTTACTTTTCATGATACATACCAATTTCATCAGTGCTCGGCCTTTGTATTGGTAGCCTGAATATGTGCCAATAAATTGAGCGTGTATAGTGTAAACGGGGCTTCTGTTTAAACATTTCTAAGAGCGTGGTCTGGTTGAATTTCGGACATGCAAAAGTTACGCAGGGACTATTCCTGGGGTGCGGAATTGCAGACACGTGAATCACTGGGTCCAATTCTCAGCTCCTATGTAATGCCTCACCCTAAACAGTATTCTTCTAGAAAGGTTTCTTAGTTTACACAGGTATATATTATATATAGAATGCGTCTTATAGCGCTGTAGCTTTCAATGTAGTTTCTGGAAAAATAGAAGCGATAATTTGGGAGTTTCACGCCTAAATCAAACTGCGTAAAGCGTCAAAGGAAATCTAGAATACACGGTCTTAAGAAATCGTGGAGGCGTACCAAGCGGGGGAACCATCGTCAGTAAAGTCATACGGAATTCAGTTGGGTTTTTTTTGAACTATTAGGGTTATCGGAATATTGGCACGCGGGTTAAATTCTAAAATTCATTTATCATGATTTCTAGTCAAAAAACGACAAGCATTTTTCTTCTTCGATGATTGCATTATTCTACCATTCCATGGGTTAATAGATTCTGAAACACACCCCCACAATGGGAAAAACCTCGGGGGTAATTTATCCCACTGAGCTGTGATGGTAACAAGAAAACCATGTCTTGGCGTGTACTTGTTGCGCTGCATGTGTGAGACTGTATTTTTTAATAGAACAGAAATAATTGCAATTGGTATTCTACAGATCTAGTTTTGCCACAATCTAAGATACTAAAGAATTGCCCACAAAGGCCACTTCATCGGTCTTTGCCTTTGGAAATTATTCTACCAGTTGATCGATCAATTGAACATTGCAGCGTGAAAACAACACCACCGTCCACCAACAACGAGTTTAAAAAGACTCGCCTTAATTCAAAAGAAATATGCAAATATTTCGTTGCCGAACCGTTTCTCGGCAAATGGAAATCCAGCTCAAGTCATTCGTCATATAATTACCGTGTAACTTCCAACTGTCAATATATATTTGCCAACATAATTGCATATATGATAAATTAATACGTATATATTTAACAATAACCTACATATGTAACATTTCTCGAAACTATATACAGTGAAATAATATAAAAGCGCATTTCATCAAAGCAAAGATGTTTATTCATAACACTATAATGTCGTTTTCAGTTTATTATCTTTCAGCAGGTTATTCATTTCATTTAATTTTTGTCGTATCACCCGTCCAAGACGATCATTGTTGCCTTCGATAAATATCGCAAGTTCTTTTTCACGATCATTTCTTAACACAGACAAAATACAGAGAATAATTAGGCGGCTTTCACGGGGTTTCTGTACTGAAAAATAGTATGTTTATGCTTCTTCTTTGTTTTTCTTGCCTTCTTCTTTAAGATTTGCAAGTTTTCAAAACCTTTGGTGACGTCAAATCAGGTTTTATTAGTTCTAACACAATGTTATAAACTAATGCTTAGTTCTAATATACAGAAACAACGTTTATACAAATAAGTTAAAATTTATGCTCCGAACGACGCCTATTTTCACGGGCAAGTCAACAATTAATGCATGTTTATACGTTGTACCCTGAATATTTAAACATTTGGTTACGTGCATGATGACACAAAATGTCAATTCTATATTTACTATTTACCAACCTTGATATTAGTCCCCCTGACGATACAGGGTTGTTATTCGAAGGTAATTTTCCACTCCGTGGAAATGTTTCATCGCTATAATTAATATATAAACCAATACAAATTAAGAAATCAAACATTGTAGCATTTCGTAAACGAAACTAAACTTGCTAATCTTCATTTCAGCATATCAGAGACAGATAAAGATTATACTTTGTATTCCTACGTGACTTCTGATTGGACAAGCACTAAAGATAAAAGAATATATGCAATAAAAATGTTCAATACAAAACGAACCTCTGTTCTTCTTGTTGGAGGGTTTTATTTTTAACAGGTGGAAACATAGCAAAGACCATCTCGGGTGTGAGAACGGCAGGATTTGCAGGAGTATCTGTGATCTCTTCTTCATCTTGTCTAATAAAAAAGTAAAATATTACGCTTTAAGATAATCAAGACAAACACTGAATAGTCCTTTAAGACCGAAATACAAAAATATCGGTATCTGCGACTGCATGAATGTATAAGAACATTGAAAAAACAAATGCTACAAGGGCGTACTTCAGGAAGGTTGAAAAAATTTCTACCCGCAAAATATAGCCGCCTGGATATTTGCCCGGAAAAAGGGCATATGAATGGAGCTAGGAGGCAGGATGTTACTAGGGTTACTGCGTGTGACTTACGATTCTATATCACTCATAACATCATCGTCTGGTAATTCATGAAGTAGTTCTGGTGTTTCTTGTGGTAGGAGATCATCAATAAAAGGACTCGTCCTAAATGAAGGCGTCGCACGTTGTTAAAATATCATATGATCACACATGCAGGAAGCCCAAGCAAACTGTTGTTGTACTCATGAGCTGCCTTGTAAGTTGTGCGACTTTGCTATTATTGACAACGTCAGCAACAAAATACACGCAGTAGAAATCCATTGACTGATCAATTATTTCCTATAGTATCGCACTAAGTTCTAAATTACTTACCAACGAGGTACCCAGACATCAGTAATATTAGGAACATTGTTGCTACTGACCAAACTTTGACAAGGAAACCTCTTCCAGGTCATTAAACCTGATATGACGTCCTGTAATACAACGAAACATTGGGGGGGGGGTGTATATTCATATATTCGTCCAAAAATGATTTCTTTTGTACGCTATTGTTGTTACGGTGTATAAACATGAATATATATACACACCCCCCCAATTAAGCGGTCTAGCTACGGCACTGCTTGAAACAGAAACTGTGATATTTAAATGGTACTGCAACTTCTATAGGTTTGCATTATGCACCTTTCACAGATTGTGTTTCAATATGAACTTGTTTACATTTGTACAACAGTGTGTTGGATGCAAACTATGACCATGAGAGGAACGTATTTATGCAGCTCTAAGTCTTTGAATACATATGTCCACAGGTACTTGAAAAACTTACTGGTCTTTCAATAAACGCTTTGTCTGGCCTATTCGTTCCACTTTTATTGGTTAACTTGTATCGAGGTAAAGGACAAAGATGGTAGTCTTCATCAACTTTTGAGTACGAAACTTGAGGTTGTATGGCATGAAGTCCAGGTAATGGATTCTGGAAAAGCAACACATTAGACATGACACAATTTAGGAATCAATAAAATTCATTAAAGCTGACTTACAAAGATCTGCAATGGATGATATTTAGGTTTCCTGAAAAATGAGCTTGGTATGACCAATCTCGTCTTTCCACCAGCTGTTGTTTCATCTTCTCTCTGGCTTTCTATGCCTTTAAATAGGATCTCGTTTGTCGCATTTACACCTAAACCAGGGCTAACATCTTCCTCGTCATCATTTTCCAGCACCTTTAGTATATCCACATCTGTATCGTTCGTATGCGGGAGTGATGAAACTACATTGATGACTTCATCCTGAAATCATTGTAGGCTAATCAACGTCAAGTGACGACAATAGTGGGTTTAAGCAAGTGACGTTTTTGACAACACAAACGACATGAGTAACGTCAAAAGACTGGGTCAAGGACTATGATTGGTTAAAAGCAAGAACTTTGCTTCCAGTCAACGTACGTGTTGTCAAAAACGCCACTTGCTTAAGTTCACTAATACCAGCAGCAACATGCGCAGCCATCACAAACTAAGCAACAGTATCATCACGCAGTTCAGAACTAATGAAACAGCGATGAAGACATATGGGAAAACTTTACATACAGCGAGAAAAGCAACAACGACAGTAGCAAAAACAACAAACGGTCAATCTCACCTCGGCACCAGTTCTAAGAGGTCTACCAACAATACTTGGCGTGTAATCCACAGCAGACAATTGACTAACATGAGGTTGGTAACCTAGTAACGTATATTGCTGTGGTACCTATAGAAATTTAAACGATCATTTCTGCAACTTATTCCATGAATAACTACTACTGGCGTAAAGTTAAGGCTAAAAATGCACCTCCTAGTATTTGAGTAACGATTCCGTATTGATATTAAAACCTGTACACATTTCTTTTATAGTTTACTTGCAACTGCAGCACAAATCTTTAGTATTTTTGTCATAAAAAATTATATGTAAAAGTAAAAATATAAAGTAGCTATATGTGAAATAGATTTCATCTGTGGGCTTAAAATCAGTATTGAACGTTTAACCATCACCCCTGGTGCTCGTGTCTATGTTGTTAGTTTCTGATCGTCGTTCTTTTCTCAAATACTGGCGGTGCACACAAGTCTTATATTACTTCAATACTCACTTTTAGTTTAAAATACGGAATGCGGGACTCGATATGAACGCATGTTGGCTCAGTGGAAAGTTGTCCAATCGTATTCTAAAGAAACATGAATGCGCAAATAAAAAAGGGGTGAACTACAAGGTTTCTCGTACCCCGGCCTATGAGAACAGGAGACTTGCGAACAGGTTCATTATTACTAACAATGCAAAAGGTTAAGCCTCTTTCCCAACAACCGTGAAAACTTAGACACGTGCTCCCTGCGGGTGCTTCACCTGCGCCAAGCACTTGCAGTACGCATGTTGGCGCTGGTCTTTATTTGACGAGGTGTTACCAAACGCTTTTGCAGCAAATCCTTGTCTTCAACAGATTGATACGGCATGCATGACGACAGAAATTTGAACTTACGCGACCGTTATCCTTTCCATCCACCTCTGTTAACATCGGGAATGAAAAAGGTGCTACCATTTGAGGTTTTAGATAAAATGTTGCTGAGATCGTTTCATCTGCTGTACTGGTAGGATATGAACCTAAAAAACGCAATAAAAATCCTGAAAATCTCCTAGGGGGACAAAGATCATACGAGTTGAGCACTGAACGTTAACGTGTAGTTCAATAATGCTAAAAAGGATGCACAACAGGCAGAGTTGTTTTCCTAAACTTCAAATTATTGCATAGGGCCTCAATTTAAACAGAAGAGCGTCTTAGACACATAAACGAGAAAGAAATTGCAGTCAAACTTGTTTTTGTTGTCCCAGGTGTACAGATCGAGAATTGCCCTAACGAAGAGTTACTATAGGATATATTACATTCATAAGGTTACATAACGTGTGAAAAGAAATGAAAGAGCATACATACGTGCGCTGCCTTGGAATAATGATCCCTCCCTTAAACTATCTGTTAAATTTTGATTCAGCGACTCAAGATATCGAGAAACCCGACGTCGTACAATCACCTGAGAAGATATATAAGAAATATCAGTTCTGCAGCTATTTGAAAAACATGTCAGGCGGATTGCTCACGACCAACGTCGTACATCACCTCAATAATGGGTGATAAGGACTATCAACGAAAAAAATAAATTTGCTAACGTGCGTAGTATAGATAGGAAACTTCAGGGGGCTCTTCCTTTTTGAAAACTTACCTTCCTTCCTGCTTGAATGAACCGTCTTAATACCCGATGTCTTCTCGTCCAATCATCGTTTACAAAGAAGTCGAACCTCGCTGTATATTCCGAACTCTAAAACGTGTGAAGATTCCTCGTGTAACCAAAATATTAACCTTTCATTGCTTGCATGAGAAGGAAATATTATCACAGTGAAAATTGGTGCGTCTTTCACAACAGCTCAATGTCCCAAAAAATCAGCATTGCTGATTCACACAAATGCAAATTTATAGCTATACCTTATAAAGAATTGCAAAAAAAATAAGAATTCAAACAATCTATATATATTAACAAAAATTTCATTATTTTATGATTCATCTTTGTACTAACCGTGTTCGCTTGTCGATGTATTCTTTTCTGAGTACAGTTCGTGCATGAACGATCATATTCAACTTTATCGTCCGGATCACCCTTTTTTACCTGAACAAATATTAACATTCAGAATATTTCTAAAACATTTGCAACTTTTTGTGACAACGACGAAATGTAGAAACATTTACAAAATACAGGACAGGGTGTTGTTACTAGACTATCCTACCTTGTACTCTCGTTCGCCTTGTGTACGATCTTCTAAAATTCGATTTCTTTCAAGCTGTGAGATCTCATCTTCTCCCAATTTCACGCACCTTTTATGTGAAACATATCTCTTACACAAAGTATGTAACACAAATCTATCTCTAACAAGCTGTATTGGTGAGAATAAAACCGGGTCCCGGGTTATCACTCCACAAACTAGTGGCAACTGCAGTACTGGGGCAGGTTGTTCAAAAGATGGATAAAGTTAATATAGTGGATAGTGATTATTTCAAACGTTAACATTTCACCCTTAGACATGACCAATATTGGAATTCAAAATTTTAAAGTTGAAATAGTTTTTAATCATTATAAGTTTGATGAGGGAAGTCCACTGATTTAAAAATGCTTCATCTAGACGACCTAATGGCCAGTATATTGCGGTCTTACAGTCAACAGGTAAATTATACATGCATGACACTGTGCCAGATACTATACTATACTCCATACAATGATTAACATACCATCGTAACTGATTTTGTCTCTCTTCTGTTATATTTTGTTGTACTTTGTACTCAAACACAGTTTCCTGGAAGAAACAAAAGTAAGTCCATCGTTAGGAAACAATATCTGATAATCGTCAACGGTGTCATCACTCCTTGCTTCGGTGTATCTATTCTATAATTATAGTGGAATGTAAAAATAAACGTACTTTAAGTTGTTTGGTGCTAAGAGGAATGTCCTTCTTTTCTTTTACGGCTAAAAACACAAACATATGAGTATACGTAATTACGTAAACTAACATTTCTAGTAGAGTCAAAAAGTGACTTTACAGTATAAAATTCATCTATAATTATCAGCCAAGGTCCTTGATCCTGTTAGCAACGTTGGCTTATGCAAGCTTCATTCTGTAGCGTGCGTGATGCACTGCTCACTCCAGTATATACCTTGTCGAATATCTTTAGCTTTAAGTTTCCCAGGCTGTTGTTGTAAAACATACGACACAGCACTTGGTGTAACTAAGTTCTTCGGAAATCTTATACCATTGCGAATTATCTCCTAAACGGTATTAATAAAATATGTAATAATGAAATATTGGATGAGGTCGCAGGTGTTAATGGATGTCGGGAAGATGATGTAAAAGACGCAGCCCAAATTTGTTTTTGTGCATGGCCTCCATAGCGATTACCGTGACCATGCGAGCATTGCTTACTATTGGTAGTATATGGGATAATTTCCATTGGGAGAAACAAAATTTGGAAAATATCTATATTTGTGCACCTTCCAGGCGATTACCGTGGCTGGAGAAAACGATGCGAGCATTGCTAACTGTTGATAGTATATAGGATAATTTTCATTGGAAGGGAGATGCGTATCATGGGCAACTCGGTGCATGCTGTATGTATATAAGATAGTATGACGTAACGGCAATGACCGGGCTGCCTATGAGCATATTAGTAATTATCATGCTTGCAGTCAATTCAGCGTTTTAGCCCTCGAGAGCAGGCTCTCGTTTGAAGCCGTTCTTTTACCTCCCCCCTCGCAGCGAGAGTTTGCCCTTGCGCTTGTTTTAAATGCGCTCGTTGTTTTAATACCCCATTCTTTTCAGTTGCAGCAAGCGTTTGTTGAGTTTTTGCCTGTTTCTTTAGTCTTGATCTGTACAATGGGTCAATGGTGGTAGGATCAAGTGACGTGGTTCTTTGCAATGATCCAGGCTCTTTTTCAATCCCTCCATTTGCCTCTTCTAATCTCCTGTAGACATTGCACAAGATTTAAATATTCAAGAATGTATTTAATCTATAGTGTGAACAACCACATGCGCAACTTGTTATAATAGGCCAATCATACTTTAGTTTCATTCCAGGAACAGAACATCCTGTTATATGGCAGCTTCGTGGTGACGCATTAAATTGTGATATCAACAGCTAAAAATGTACCAAAGTGTTGATAAACATAGTGGTGATGGCTGAGGATAAGAAAAGATACCAGTTTTTCACAGCAAAGCTGCCCAGGTACCAATTAGTCTTTCTCAACATAACCAATATTTAGCAATTTCTAGGCCTGAGAACATGAAAAACTCTAACAGCAAGAATTTATAATTATTATGGTATCCTGCTAATGATATCCTGTTGGTCTATTCCGAAAATTTTTCCACATGGTTACAACTGCTAAAATCAAAATCGAATTGTCATATAATTGTGAGAAAGGCTATAGATGCATGTTCATCTTCAAATCAAGCAAAAACGAATTACCTGTAATTTGCTGTGAACTGTACAGAATTCAGTTGGATTAAAAGTCACTTTGATGTCTATTGTACTATTTCCAGGTATAACACCTACATAAATTCATGCATGGAATAATTATATTAGTTTACAAACATCAGGTATAACTGAGAGGAAGACCCTAAACACTTCTTTCATCCATATATATAATTTGTGTATTATGGATTGTTTTGCCAGTGATCGACTATAATTACAAGCATGCAAGAATGTTTGTAGGAGATCGTGCTATTTGGCATGACTATAAAGAGCCCAGAATATGGCTATGAATTCAGCTACCTTGTCTTGGTTCCACTTGAATGGCTGGGATAGCTTGCAGAAGGCTTATTTTATACTCAAATTCAACAGGAATGTCTGATTTCAAAGAAATATTTCTCATTGCACTAAAACAAGTCAAAGTTAATGATGTTAAATAAAGCTTGCAAGCTTTTTGAGAAAGAATATAAACTGAACAATATATATATGGCATTAAAATTCATATACTAGTACCTCTCGCCAACAGCGACAGTACCAAAGTTGAGTGATTTGGGAAAGTCTGAGAGGTTCAATGCAGGATAACCATGAAGTGGAACAATCAAGTTTTCATTAGACTGTATATAGAAGAAAATATCACATAGTTCTAAGAGTAGGAAGAAACATATCCAGAAGTATATAAAGTATACCTGGCAATGAATTCGGATACAGTCGTAATAATACTGCCACTCTAATGGAGTAAATTCAACTTCAATCTCCATGGAGAATCCAGGAACAAGTCTATCCTATTTCAAAAACATGAAATACTTTGAGAGCATAGCACATATAGTGTGTAAATCAACTAATGCATATAACACTGCATTCAGAGCATTGTGATTGGCCATGCTACTTGTTACCATACTAAGAAGGTTCTGCATCACAGCACTGGTAACTGTGATCAGTGATCACAAGCTGTGCCCATTTCCTACCTTTTTAACATATTTTATCTTGAAGTAAGATGTAGTTGGAGGGATGATATGCATTCTTTGGCATTGTGAAGAAATATTAGTCAATTTCTAAAAATGAGGACATAAATTATCATGGGTAATAACTGCTGTTACTGAAACTACTATATGCAGTAATTCAGTTTTCTATCTATATTATATTCCTATTGCTGCAAATTTTTTAGCCCCTTTAAACTCTCATTCCAATGTTGTACAGTTGTACTAGTAGTCTAGTACTTTTAATTGTAAAGACTGTCTTGTCATTTATAACTACGTACTAAAGAAGATAAACCTTTCAGCAAACATTCAAAAACAACATAGCAAGAAGCTTACCAAGTTTTGTTTCGAGGTCTTTTTCAGTTCAAACCCACTAAAATGAACACTTGAAGGTCTGGCTTGAAAAACGTCATTTTCAGCTACTTTGCTGAATATTTCTAAAATACGAAGTAAAAATGTAACTAACTAGCGTCAAATGATGTACTACCATTTAAAACAAAATGTAAACTCATACTTGTGTCAAGCAGATGATTTGGCACTTGTTGCTTGTGCTTGTTAGGCGCGATAAAACTTTGTCCAAAAGTCATCTGGTTTACCTCGACGGTCGCCATTTTGTAAATTATTGTGACTTGCTGTTGCCATGGTAACAAAGCCAGAAAACACTGGGCTATATATGTTATCTGTGACTATTCCTCGACGGCTGCAGTCGCTGCACTCTCAGAGGGTCTCGCAAGTTTCTACAGTGGAGGAAAAAAAGTACGAATACCTAGATTTCAAAAAAATACTAGTAAATGTATAGGAGACATCAAATTGCGCGCCCAATATCTAGGTTGCGCGATACAAACTTTCCACACTGGGTGGTAACCAGTGGTGGTAACCCAATGGGTAAACCAAGTTCTGAAAACGTCGGGTTAAATTTGATACCATAACTTTAATCACCCAAACGTTTTGGGATGATTTTCCAGGACAGGGGCCAGTCGCTTTGATCTAATCGCTTCTAATCCATTTAAGAAAAGCAATAATATAGTTTCAAAATTCCCAACCAAATAAAATCAAAATCGTGCCAATCCAGTCAATTTTGGCACTGGAAGCAATGGACCATCATTATAGAGAAAATAAGACTGACATCTTTATGACTGTCTTTAATAGGTACCTATTTAACAATTATACCATGAATTAGAATATATTCAAAGTAATAATTATATACTATGAAAAATTACACAAATATAATGAATTTTGTATATACCATACTAGAAAAGGCTATATTAAAGCCCCATAGGAAATCATTGTCCGGGGAATAGCACTACCTACTTAGTAAGAATGACATTAATATACCAATTACATCATTGTATTGTATGTTTCAAAATAAAATTATATATCCATAACTTTAAAATTGAATCAATGTTCCATCATAGGTATAAAAGCCCCCTGTATGTGTCACATTTAATGATGATATAAATTTAATAATATGTGAGGCTGTAAATGAATATGGTAGTGGCCCTTCCGACTCATTTGGAATATTTCTTGGGTGCAAACTGATAACAGTAATACCATTATCTTTTAAGTCCCTGCTAAGGCATCTTGTTGCCATGTTCAGTGCTGTTTTACTTGCTCGGTATGGATACATTCCTCCTTCTTTATTTAGTGTAATTGAACCTGAAATAAAATTGACATGTAAGATGAAACTTAATTTGCATACATATCCCATCCTCATATTCTTTTAGCCTAGCTAATAGTGTCAATTCTCCATATATACATAGAGATAGCAGGTAGACGGGGTCTATTTTCTGTTAACCAATGCAAGCCATTGTAAAAAAAATGGCTAATATAACAGGCACACCCTCTCATCTGTTCACATGTGGAAAAGTGTTTATCTATCCAGCTGATAGATAACATTTTGCCAATTGAGATATATGGCAGGTTCTAACAGTGATTCTTCCCTACTTTTACGTTTTATCTTTATACAATAGTGCACCTGTTGTTGAAATTCGTTACACACCTAATACAGAGTTTATGTTGACAATAGCTGCACAGCATTTTATAGACATTGCTTCATTTGAACCCAGTAATACAAAAGAACTGAGAATTGACCGAAACGCTCTGGCAATTATAATTGGTGAGATTGTATTTGTTTCAAATGTTCTCCTCATATCATCCCATGATACTGTTTCTAGATCTTTTCTTATGTGAGTTTCTGCATTATTAATTAAGACACTTAATCCAACACCATCCAACTCTTGCTCAATGAAAGTGACAACATTTGCAATTTCACGATCATCATTTACTTCAAGTTTTAAAACTTTAACTTTTGTTTTTCTTGGGTTCCACAGTAGATTGTATGCATGCAGTGCTGAACATGTATCTTGATCATGACATGTAGCAAATAAATATTTCGGCGGTTTTTTAAGACCAAGTAAGAATCGAACCAATTCAAGACCAAGTCCTCGATTGCACCCTAAAATTAGGACAGAATATAATACTCCATCCGTATCAATGTCGTTTTTCTCCATTGCTATGTTTGTTAGCAAAGCTAGTCAGCAATGAAAGAAAACAGAAAAAAAATATCGTACTATTTTGTCCATTTAAACTGTGACCTACCCGGCAAGTGACAGGCCTGACCCCTGAGCCGGGAAGCTGCGAGAACAAGACCGTGGTACTGGGTACGAGAAAAGAGGAAAAGGTCCAAAAAATCCATGAAAAAAAGTCCTGCTAATGCTGCTATTAGAACCCCACGAAAGACCCTGGGTACGAGGTTGCTATTAGAATAGTCTTCTCAGCTATACATTGAGAACGTACTATATTGACTGCTGTCATGATTCATAGATCAACGAGTTCCAACGCAGGAAATTGCGCATGCGTAGGTTTAACCAACCACCGCAATAACTAAATCTTGTTAGTTAATCCGGTTTTTTGGTATCACTGTATTTGTCAGTATTCCCCTTTTTTTACCAAGAGAGGGAATTAGAGGGGACCTTGCCCAAGTCCTCCCCCGATCCCGTTGCCCTTGTACCTGAATCAATGGCGAAAGTGTGTAAAGCGAAGTAAAGCATCTAAAACAAATTAGATGATATAGAAATATATAATTTCTTACATGAGTCATTGATAGTTGATGCTTTCTAAATAGTATACAAATTGAACTAGATAATATACACAGCTATATTTATTATACAATTATTGTCTATTAGTAAATTGAAAACGCATTTTTCAGTCGACCAGTAAAATATTAGATTCCTATATCATGAGAACGAGTTAACTTGTATCACGACGTGATTATAGTGTTTGTGTATCTAATCAATTAATTAACCTGATATGTACGCGAATGGTTATTGGTAGATAAAGTGTTATATTATAGGGTGCTTCAAGATTTTTAATGATTCAAAACAGTTTAGGGTTAGTTTATCGGGATTAGTTCTATACAATACTCTGATCGCGTTCTTCTATACACAATACTCTGATCGCGGAGAACTTACTACGTTATTGATCGCAAATTATATATTAGGGCTAGGTCTGTGAATTAATCATTGGATTTACAAACTTAATATTTACCTCTAGCTTAGTAGTTTCTATCATGCTAACCAATATCAGGTTGAATTTTACTACCTATGCCTAGAAGCACTGTTTCATAGAGTTATCTCATCTATATAAAAACACCTCTTTTGCATTTATTTTATTTTAGTACTTCTTCTAGAAGAATAGTATTTCTCCCTTCGTTCACGCATTTCCTAATATGAACAACAAACACCGCACGCCATAAAATACCGTCTAAAATTATCCTATTCGCACACTACGAGTTGTATTTCTACAAAAATTCTAACGTTTATTATCCCACGGCAACCATAAAACGAAAAAAATTATTGCATTTTGTGTTTGCCATTTGTGACGCCATTTTGAATTGCGCCATTTTTGTCGCCAGAGTCAGATTCCTCGGTTTCACTACGGGCGTCATTCTCAACCTGCAAAGCGAAATAACTAATAAATACACACATTGCTAGGACACATTGTCTATTTCTAAAAATATAATAATCCGCGGTTAATCTGCTTTACGATACCCAGCATTCCAGGTGGGCCTTGGAACGGAGGTAAAAAGACCCCGGGGCTGGGTACGAGGTTGCATTCCAGGAAATTTCTGTATTCATGCCCATAGAGATTATAAATAACACTGTTATTTATAATCTTTATGTTCAGGCCAACGTAAAGAAAACTAAACTATCATCAGTAATGTTTCTTGACTTTCTGACCTCGCGTGCAACAGTGATACAGATCATCACATAATGGCATTATATAAGACTGTATCACTGTTGCACGCGCGGTCAGTAACTGGAAGAAAGTCAAGAGACATTGCCGCACAATGGAACACAATTTCCCAATCTTAGGCCGGCTTTCCATGCATGTTTATATAAGCATATTGTACGGTCAGGCGTCAGGCGCAGTAAAACACCGTATGACCTTCAAAAATAAAATCATAATTATATTCTTAAAACTTTCCTACCTTGCCTTTAATCAGGAAAGAATATGCCATACGAGCAATTAGATAAAACCAAAATATGTGCATTGCCTAAAAATTACACCGGATATGTTAGTGGAATTCACGTAATCAATTAGCATCCACTCCCTGGAGATGCAGACATCAAAATGCAACTTTAACAGTGTTTTATTATTTGATTTATTTCTCCCCCCCCCCCCTTGGCCCTTCACGCTCCGGGGGCGAGGCCTCGAGGCTGTTTTCCGTATACACAAACCTGCAAGGTAAGAAGCAAGCCCATAAAACAATAATACATCGGCATAGTTCCTCCAAAGGATATCGGAGCTTCCAGATACACAGATCTGAGGACCCTAAATGAAAGCATAATAGGATTATGAATATTTTCTTTGGGAAAATTACGGAGTTGCATGTCAATTATGTTTCCTGAGCCAAGGAATAATTAAGGTTTTTCTTAAAAAATTACTTACCACCAAGGAAATATAATAAGTCTACTTATGAAAAACACAACAGCAAACACGCCAAATATAACATCGCAAAATTTTTGAATATCCAGGACACCACAAAGATATTTACATACTTTACCACACTACATAAGAAAAAACAATACGTTTTGCTGTCGATCATGCATGGCATTTTAAATTTGATTTCCCCTGCTTTTCCCCTGTGTTGAAACAGACAGTGCTGCAGATGCATTTTAATTCTACAACTCAGTTAATAGGATCACAAGGTCAGAAACAATTCTCATAATTTCATGAAGAATCTTACCTCAAGTATAACGTCCGAGACGTCATGAACTAACAATATTACAGCCCCAACCCGTACAAAATTACAAGAGTAAGAAAATAGCATCAACGATATAGTAACAACATGATGAATTGTTTGAATCCAGAAATCCTAAAAAGAAGCTACCATGAGATGTTTGTTACACATACTATACCAATTACCAAACAGGATGTTTCAAATAACCCCCAATATTATTATGTATTGCAGCAACTAGTACTAAAGAGACCAGTTCAGATTGCAAAGAAAAATGTTAGACTCAAATTAGGCCAATTGCTGCAAGTCTCCTTATATGAGATACTGTCTGTTGGTTTGATAATGTATATTGTACAGTAAACTATACCTTTCTTTTCACATCTGCAAATTGCGATAGCAGTAAAGAAGTATAAAATGACAGTTGAATTATGTAGTAATAATAAATTCCATTGGAAAGGTCCTAGAAAACGAAAGTGGTGTAAGAAAAATTCCATCTCGTAAAATAAGCAATAACCACTCATGACTGCAAATGTCATGTCCATCTCATATTGATATGTGCAATTTTTATCTCTGATTGCACTTGAAGAAAAATTCTATGATATAAGTGCAGTGTATGTCAATTGATCATTACATACATGGTTGGGGTAAGCAATCCAAAAATGTCGTGTGTCATATAAATATTTCTCCTGCAAGGAAGCAAATAAATAAAAATATTACATTGATTGTACAATTTCATGTACCAAACAAGAGTACTCTTGGTTGTCCCATTAAGATTAGATTGAATTGTCCTTTGGTTAAAACAATTTTGAGGGGCCGTTTCATTTTGAGACCAAAATGCATGAGTCTGGTAGCCAACAAATGCAAACATAATCAGTATTTTGTTAAAAACATTAAATATATAATCTTTCAATGTTCTTTTTATCAATGTGGACTTTTCATAAACCAAATTGAACAGTTCGTAACAACCAATAGTTCTGTTGCTTGCTTGTACTTGCTTACAACTACCAGATGTTGTCATGTTGTTACATTGTTGAATAAGTTATACAAACCTTCCAAAGTACATGAAATCCCCATGTGCATATTGAAGTATAAAAGAAAAAACGCCAACTAAAACAAATAAAACATTAGGTACATAATAGTGGGGAAACAAATTTAAAACACAGGCCATCACTAGTAAATATATAAAGGAAAGGGGCATACTGACTATATTCCATGAATCATAGTCGTATCAAGTTATGGCCGAGAATTCATTATTGCATGCCAACCACTGTCAGGTGGTTGCAGGTAAACTTACCTGCATTCCTTTGCCTTTGTTAATTTTGATGGTTTGCTGTTATTCTGTTTATACCTAAACCATTGTTCCACTCTCTTAACGGTCCATCCTAATTTTGAAGCAAGTGTTTTGACCTGCTGTTCTTCCAGTTTTCCAGCTAGGTCCTGATAAACCTTCTCTAAAATAGCATTTGGTTCTGCTTTATGGCCATTTCTTTCTTTAAGACCACAATGTTTCAGAAATGGCAGAGCAATAAACCTGTAAATGTAAGGACTCATGAACCACTAGAGTGCAGCAATAATTAATGGGTCGGTTAGAAAGTGGTTAACTATATGCAGACCCTCCCAACAAAATACTCTAAATATTCTAATCAACAATTATCATTTTTTAAAACTATTAATTGATACACTAGTTGCTTTTTTAAACACCTGCTCCTACAGACAAGACGCCCAGATAACAAGTTCACACAGCGCCCTGTATCTGTATTTGAATATTGCTAACACGCTAATATTAAATACCAGAACATGTTTTTAAAATACTTAGTATATATATCATGTCGACTCGTGATCTATCAAATTAGAAATATCTAGTAATATTCTTTCCATATTAACTCTGTTCCGTCGCATACTTTAACAATATACATATACACGGCTTATTTCTATTCCCTTGGGACAGATACCTAACTAAAAGCTGTTAAAAAGTTGAAAATATAAATAAAGTGACAACCTGTGAACCCAATTAGAAAAACTCGTACTATGATTGTCATTCAGATGTTTACAATACGCATCGTTCGAATCACTGGGTGTGTAAAATGGTAAGAATTTCTTTCATAGTACATATTATTCGGTATTGAAATACCGAATATATAACTTGTGTATAAACCTGCTTAATACTGCCTAACAATTATACAAATTTAGTTCGGGAGCTTACCTTTCAAAGAACATCCTTATTAAGACAATCAACACGGTCAAAGGTAAGATAACATACAAATCGCGTGTTTGAGGAATACGTATATTGTATTTGTTAGAAGTGAGGTCTTCCCATGTTGTCTTTGGAGGAAGCCAAAAGGATTTACTCCAAAACCAATCGTTAAACTGCTGCGTCATTCTAACTCTATTCTAACTCTTCTAAATGTTGGGTAAACAATTTGTTAGTAAAAATCAACAGTTTCCTAGCTGCTTCGTTCGCTGGTTCAAGAAAGCACGCTAACACGCTCAATAGATCACAAGGAATTTGCTGACTTCGTAATGACTAATGATTACCATTAATGATTTTCAGGCTCATTTCTCCGGGGTGCATCCTTACTATATGCTGGCCTATGCTTCCAAGAACACGTATATTTATAGTTCGACAATAAGTCGAAATGATTCCTTGTCTTCCAATAAAGTAATTTAAAAATCTTGTGAATCTAAAAATTTGTAGAATAAAGTTATTGAAAAATGAGGCCCACTAAATAAAAAATATTAATAAAGCTCTCAAAACGACAAGTGGACAATAGATATTCTTGCCTCGGTGGGTAACATCCCCGGCCTAATAAATTTATGAATATATAGCCTTCGAATTTTGAATGCAGTGAGACTTTAACGAAAAAAAAACGGTATTGATAATTGATGATTAATCATTGGTTTGTAGCACGCATTATTAACAATAGTTGAATTGAAGTATTTTTACTTGAATGTAGTTGAATGCTTCTTGGCAATATAAAGAAACTTTATATCCTCTATTGCCATGTGATATTGTGTTGATATCCATGACTAAACACTTGCTCGAACAGGTTTCGTTTTCTCCAAGAGAGAAACGCGCTTTAATCTGATTAGCAAATTACAAGGTAAATTCCGAAGCCGAAACACAAAATATGTAAAAATACGTTGGTTTTCTGTTTCAAAAAACTAATAATATTAAGACCTGTTACGCCCTCATAAGGTAAAAAAATTATAAAGGTGTTTGTGTGTGTTACACGAAGACGAGGCAGGTTTTGCTTTCACAATGCAATCTTTCCAATCTTTCAAATCAATATCATGTAACGTTTCCTAGAAATGCTCTTCCTGTTTTAAATTTCTCATGAATTTTTTGTCGCCTGCCTTAGGCAATTTGTCAATAATTAGATTCCATATCTAAAGTCAAACGAGAATGAGAGTTGATGCACGTTGTTGTCGTTGAGCTCTATTCGAACTCTCTATTCACTGGTCGCGATTGTTTTTCCGCGCTTGTCGAGAATTAACGAAAAATGGACCTTATAGCTATGCGCTATTGACTAATTCTTGACTTGGGCAACAAGAAGGAAATAAATTACCACAGCTAGAAAAAGCATACTAAAATTTATATAATTACAAAGTTAGTCGTGAAATTGTGAAACGTATAGTTGTGAAATTTTGGAAAATGCGGAATGAAACAAAATTATACAAAATTTGCCTACTTCGCATGCCTATATTTTCCGTGCCTCACATCATTTGGCAGCCAAACATGGCAATTTTACTAATTTTAAAATCCTCATTCTGGAAATTTCCTTTTTATCGCGAAGAGAAAAAATTAATGAAAAGCGCGAACTTGCAACTGTCATCAACCCGCTTAGGTCTGATTGAAACGCTGTGTTTCTGCTGAACGCATTCAATAACAATAACTGTGCAACAACAGATAAGGCATCTCAACTGATTATCTATTGTTTTCAATGCGTTCAGTAAATCACCTGACTTGTCCCCAGTCGCTTAGCTAAGGCGTCATTAATGATGGGGCACGCTGAATGATGGGGTATTCCCATGATCCTTTGCCTCATCGATTTTCATCGCTTTGTTAGGGACTGTGGAAGAGTCAGGTAAATCACTACAAACATAAATCGAAGACATACCGCAGAAAGTTTACACGATGAATGATCGACGGATCGTTTAAATTTTTGCCACTCATCACCGGCAATATGAAAAAAACATGATAAGAAACATTTATTTTGTCTCAGGAAGGATACTAAACTGAAATCTAATTATGCTATAATCAATATCCCTACCAGTTTTCATCAAAAAATTTCTGTATCATATTGTTAAAACTATATGTAATAAATTAAACTTTAAAACCAATCTGTAATTATAAAACAATCTTTATATATATTTATATATATATATTATAAAGAGATGAAATACTGAATTAACTACAGTTAAAATCCGCACAAAAACCACTAGCAGAGATTAGGTTTAAAATTAACATCTAGAATGAAGAAAAACTGGAAGGTGATAGCCTTGTTTCAGGCGCTATATCGTCCATTTGTAGTTTGACCGAATGTGAAAGAAACTTACAGCAAAGTATCGTTAGAAACACAATTCAAGACACAAACCGAGTAAAACCCTGATTTTGGAGAAAATATTAGAAGTTATTGTGATCGAGAAGGCTCAACAATACAGTTGACAACAAGTTAGCAGTGGTTTTCTGACGCAGCTTTTTACTGTACATACAGTGAAAACTGCTTACAACTTTTTCTTGCCATTCTGGATAATCGCTTCATCGGATTTATTTTCTTTCCCGTCCGAATCCTCATCATCTGATTCCTCGCTGTCACTGCGAGAATCTCGGTCAACCTGTGGCAGAAATGCAAAATTATATATACTTAGATTATGCAAAATAAATGCAAAATTATATACTTAGATTATGCAAAATAAATGCAAAATTATATACTTAGATTATGCAAAATGAAATGTAAAATTGTATACTCATGTTTCACATGATAACAGCCCTTAAACTTGTACTTTTACTTTATCACTTTCTGTGTCATATTATTTCATTCTCTCATGCACTCACTCATGCACTCAGTGTCAGACTGTCAGTGAACTCAATATACATTTTGTCAATGGCATGTTTATTTGACAATTCGGCAATGCTTTTAGCTTAGAATCTTCATGGTGGATGAGAAAATTAATATTCCAAGCATTTAATTTAAAGGTGGAAATAGAAAAGGTTGCTGGCAGATACTGCATGCACTCTAACCAAAAAAGCTAATTGGAAAATAATTCTTTTTATACCTTTCCCTCGACAAGTGAAGAATATACAACTCGACCAACAAAGAAAGCCCAAAACAAATGAAGAACCTGAGAACGGATTGTAGCAAAAAAAACTATCAATTTACAGTCTCGTGCAAAAGTAATCCAACATAATGCACAGCGTAATGGTGCAGTAGGACAAAACCAAATAGCACCTGTCTTTCGAGAGCCAAAAAAGAGGCGAGAGGGACCTATGATCCAGGCCAGTTCCGTGTGACATGGCCCGGCACAGTAATAACCTGGGAGACATATTTATGGAGGGGGCACACTTGCTTAGCGCCCCGCTGTGATTAGCTGTGTAATTTGAAGTTTTAGTCTTGAGAAACGCCTTTTTTGCTTAATTATGCCAATGATCTCTTCATGTAATTTCTTCAGTCCAGGATACTCCTTGGATTTCGAGTTAATCACCCTGCCTATCTCGTCGCTACTGAGTAAGACGTACTTTAGCTATAATGTACGTGGGCCTTACCTGAAGCAAGGAAAGCAAGGCCATAAATGGATACCAAGAATTAAAATGTCCACATATCTCCCTCGCTTCAAATGCGACTGTATTTAAAATCCTACAAATGGGCATGAAAGTACCATTAAATGAGCAGTGTTATGAATGAGTACTGTTTGACAAGAACTTACCATCCAGGATAAATTACCAAACGACTAACATAAAAGATGACAGCGAAGCAAGCAAAAGTAACATCGCAAATTCTCTGCAATCGACCATAGTTAAATACTTTTGCTGCCTAGAAGGTTGAAAATAACTTATATGATGAAATTCCCATTCACAGCATGTCTGGTGCATTAGTTTGATTCATTCACTCTAGTATGGCCTGATTAAGCTATTATGCCTCTCAAAGGTTGAGGTTTACGGCGAACTGAAATTCGTATTCGTCGTTTAACAATTAGCTGTCACGTTATTGGGAAATCTTGACCATGAAAAATGAAAATTAAAGCACGAGCTAAGATGTTGAAAACCTGTACAGTTTATTTGCCATTAACATCAATCTTAAGGTCTCTACTTATCAGGGGTCTTGCATTATAAATTAGATAAATACAGCTATTTAAAAGTTATTGTTGATGCTGCATTATCATTGTGAAAATGAGAAGCCCTATTCTACATATTTTGATAGCAGTTACTATGAAGCTTCTTACCTCTAACAAATAATCAGCTGAATCATGAACTAGAATAATGAGGCAACCGATACGAACATGATTTGTAACGTAAGACATCACTATTAATACCACTGTAGCATTATGGTGAATAAACATTGGCCAAAAATCCTAAACATAGAATAAACATCTGCATCAGAAAACGTATCCACAGTTTTGTGGGGTTTGTTTGTTAATTAAAGAAAATATCTGCATAAGTATACACCTATTTCGACTATTCTAGTTCAGAATATAAGTTGAGAGTTTTGTTTACATGCTTCTTAAAATATGATATATTACACTGCCTGCATATTTAAAACAAAATTGGTCAGCTGAAACATTGAATGAATATGAGCAAAAGTTGGTCCGCAAATGTTAAAAAATGGGAGATTTGAGCAATTTTAAAAACCAGTGGCCTAGCTTAAGACCACAGTTGAGAGTAGTGTCATTATGCACAGAAGGCAAGGGTTGTTCCAGATGAAGCAGGTTTATGCACTGTTAATTGCTGCACTTCACAAAATGGTTGTCAAAAGCATGGGGGAACTACCTGAACCTGCAACAGCAAACTGAAGGTAGAAAGAAATGAATTTAATTGAAATTAGAGTGTCAATTAACCCACCTTTCTTCGAACATCCATAAACTGTGAACAGATGAGCGATGTGTAAAATGAAGCTTCAACCATGTAGTAATAATATATGGGTTTTGTGATATGCTACAATTACAACAAAAAGGATTTGTAAAAAAATCTTGAAATATCTTGAAAACAAAGCGTTTCATAAATGGAACCCACAATACATGAACATAACTTGCACATGTGAACATTACTTGCACATGCCTTTACTACACCTTTGCTGGGCTTTTCCATATTAGTTCAGAAATCCCAACAAACAAATGGTCAAAAAAATACAAAACATAGATACAATTTTTTAACATACATAGTATGGGTAGTTGTACCAAGAGTGTCTTGTGTCAAAAAAATGTTTTTCCTGCAAGAATTCAAACAAAAATATTGTTATGCATTCAGTACATATTGAACATACGTAGGCTCCATACAACATTTTAACATATGACATTTTAATATGACAACTGTTTGGTTACTGGTACATGCAGATCAATTTATATACCTCATATGTATTACCTTATGTAGCAAGTAAAGCCCAGTGTAGAATGATGTACAGTAGAAAAGGAATCTCCAGCTACATAAAAAGTATACCATGAAGTCAAATAGGGTTAGCAGAATTACTTTAACCTCGTACTGAAGATTTGGGTGGTTTACCTAATTGGTAGTTGCTGGTTGGAAAGACTTTATTAATAATGTATATATACGGTGTATCATAAAAAAACTTACACATGTAGTACATGCAAAGTTGCTGTTGCCACACAATGCATTGTCAATTACATTGTATTACAGTAATACATTACACACATAAAATTTCAATTTGGTATAAGAGACTTTTTATTAAGATTGCAAGCATTACTATTTCTTACCAACATTCAGTTGACTTTTTCATAATTGTGGGCCTGTTAGCACTTCTCTTCAAGTAAAACCATTGTCGTACTTGTTTCTCAGTCCACTGTAGCTCTTTGGCTAAGCCTTGAATACGTTCGGCATCTGGTGACTTGCTAATTGTTGTGAACACTCTCTCAAGTATTTTGTTTGGCTCAGCAGGCTTTCTTTTCACATCAGGGACACCAATAAATTTTGAAAATGGGTATGCAACAAACCTAAGCAATAAAATAGAACATTCTTGTTAGTATTGATAGTATACAGACAAGTAAATGTCATTGTAATCTATGCTAAACTCCTTAGGGATGGGGAGATGCAAACAAAGATTAACTTTTTTTGCAAATATTAGGAATAGCAACCAGAATTTGTGCAAATTGCATAATAAAAATTTCATCTTGGTAACACAACTTGAATACTAATATATTAAAAGGAGACATATATTAAACATATCACTATCATAGATGAACATATCAGTAATGGCAGATATGTTGTGCAGAAGATCAGACAACATTTGTTTGGAATGTTATGTGGACAGGTGCAGATAAACAATGCTGAATGATGATCATTAACATTTCGAACAAAGAGCAAATTTTGCATTGAAAAGAAACCTTTTTAATTGGATTTTCCAAAAATCAATTCACGACAATTTCCAGGTGCAACAAAGGCTATATGGCATTCATTTTGCGAATGTTGTTGAAAGATTTTTGCGACACATTCAAAATATACATGACAACATGGGAACCTTTATTCTATTTGTGTATATAGAAATTGTCATTTCCCTCCAGAAACTTTGTTATCAAGGGTATCAGACCTTTCTTTTTAGATTTGTTATGTGATCTACAATTGAATTCAGTCTAGTAAAGCTTCACTTTGTTTATAGCAGTTTGATGTTTTATTCAGGCATGGGATTCTTTGATTTTAAAAAACAAGTAGGTGGGGTTAAAATTGATTGTCGCCATATGGAGATTGAGAATTACTGCAAAGCAGCAGATTTATCTATACCTTAAGGAATATATTATTCAAAACAAACTACATATATGATGTGGTAGAGAGTGATAAATTGTTTTACTGAAAGGTTTTACAAATAGGCATTAAAAAATTCTTCCACAAACTGTCAATCAATCAAAATACTAAGATATCCAACATTAAATAGCTAATATGGAAAAACCATTACTGTGTCCTCTCAAATTTTCTCGCATCATTATAATTTAGGTAAATATCCTGAATTTGAGGCCAAATGGAATCTATGAACTGGGACAATTGGTTATCTTGCTCATTCAGTATAAATATTTGCATACACTATGTTCGGATTTTTTCCTCACTATTTCAGAAATTCCTTCCAAAACAAATTATAAACCAGGACGAATGATTTAATACAAACAAAACATTGCGCGTGTCCATAGAATATAAACGGTCTTTTCTGTAATAAAAACAGTCATTTATATTAACAGGAACCATGCTTTACAATAGTTGTCTATAAAACCAGACACTTAATACTCGAAGCTTCCGGGTCGATGTTAAATAGATAAAAAAATATTATATTCCACCAAAACACTATAGACGAATGGGCGCGTTTTTCATTAACTTTAAATGCTATTTCTTACGTGCAAGCCTGTGAATCTGTAACTGCACTTTGATTTACATAATACAACAACTGCTCACGAGAATTTCGTCTTGGATTGAAAACGCCCGAAATTTGATTAACTCACTAAAACATAAGTACGAAGATCTATCCTTTTCTTGAGAATTTTTACACTGCATGTGCATTAAAGCATATTGGTTGAAGCAAATTTCAATATTTTATCAATGTTTAAAACAATGTATGAAAAACGATCCTCTGTTTCAAGCCGCGACTTGTATATTGATTCAAGGATTCATAATCAGACCTTCTTGCGAAATCAAAAAAAATATTTTACCTTTCAAACAGAATCCTGGTAAGAATGAGAACAATCGTTAAAGGAAGAATTATCTTCAAATCATCTGGCTGGGGCATAGTCATATCTTTTGTAGATTTGAAATGCTGCCATGTGACATTAGCCGGTAACCAGAAGCTCTCGCTCCAATACCAGTTTAATATGGAATCCCACATCGATTCAACTTTATGATTGTTGAATATACAAGCTCAAAAATCAACTATTTGTTTCTCAAACAATATGTATAAATCACACAAGATACAGCAAATACGCCAGTTGGCCCAGTTGCTTCACTCACTCTAGAAAAAGTGACACATGACAATAGCGGAGCGGCCGCATGTCAGGTCTCTCAGGCGTACCACCTGCCAACGCCAACTACAATTGAACGTCATTTCCTTTTTAGCAACATCTGATACACCCATTGTGTAAGTGTTTCAATCTATTTTATTAATAATGAACATATTTCGTCGTATCAGCATAAATACATTCAAATCGTTGAATAAGAGGCCCGCAAATATGTATATCCAATTCATAAATCCTTCGTCCTCGCAAAATATTTGTGCATGAAGTACGATAGAGGTGCGCAATCTGTGGCGGGTACAAGCAACCAGGCTCGTTATGTCAAAAAAATTATACAGAAAATTGTAAAGGATAGTCGTTAACTGCGGACCTTTAATAATCAGTCAGGATCTGAAAAAGGTGTTATGGTTATATATGCGCATGCGACGCTTGAGATATCTCAGGCACGCTGGAAAAGGGGGGTGCGGTGCGCGGGGCTTTGGCCCTTATTCGCCTTCACTCTATCAGTGCCCCTTAAGTCTCTTTTAACGTGATCCTTCCGGTTCCGGAGTCCCTGCCTGCTGCATTTTCATCACTGAATCAAAACGACAAACAAGCCAACAACTGGACTATATATGTTGTTATTCCATGAGCCTAGAAACTGGATTGTATTTTAGCTGTACAACTACTGAGCTATATATAATACACCTGATAATTTTAGTGATGAGATTGTGTATTGCACAATGATTTCGGAAGAAGAAGGAGTATGGACACTAAATTCGGAAGAAGAAGAAGCATATAAAATGATTTTGGAAGAGGAAGCAGACATAATGATTTCGGAAGAAAAAGAAAAAGAAGCATGTAAAATGATTCCGGAAAAACGTCGTCCATGCAGGATAATTTCTGAAAAAAAAGAAGAATTGATGGAGGTGGATGAATATCCACCAGAATTGATAAGAAAACCATGGATACAAAACGTCTTGTTGTCTGAAAAACAAGTTCCGATTAAAGCAAAAGCACGCATCGCACAACTTGATCCAGAAATATATAAAGATGGCACTCTTTCAGGCGAAGTTACTGATTATGTGCATAGTGTTAATGTTGTATTTAGCAAAGAAGCAGTGGAAGAATGTCTCCAAGACCAGGCACATGGAAATATTTTCAGCAATATTACTGCGCTAACAGGAGGGGGCATTGTCCTTACTGATTATAAAGTTGTGCCTCGATTTAGTGATTGGGTTAGTATGTAAACTAAATTTAATGACTTATCTCTGAAAATGGATTATTTAAGTTATAAACTCAACCAATTAATATGATTGCAGGAATTTGTTTTATTGGTCAACCATTTCAAAGTCCTACCAGGATTTATTGGTTCACTTGCATATGAAGAGTCAATCCCAAAGAATATAACGAAGAGTAAACATTTGAATGAGGTGAAAGAGAAACTACAATTTCTATGGGAAGAACAGTATGGTGAGTGCTTTAGAAGCTTTAGCAACAATTCTTATCATTATGGCAGACAATATTGATCTTTATTTTATAGGTGGCTCAAGCAGTAGAATCTCTCATACACCATCAGATATGGCAAAGGATTGTTCCCAACCACCTGCCATGGCAGAAGACCTGTCACTTGTAGACAAACAATGCATAATCGATGCATCAATTGAAAATGTCCAATGTGAGATGAACAGTCAGGTACAAAATGATTTAACAAAGCATGAAGGTGATTTAACTAGTGTGTATATGTTTATGTTCATAGCACATGTTTATAGCTCTCTGCATCCAAGTCATGAAACCTTTATATACACAAATATAATGCAAATATTAAATGCATGTAACCTAGTCAACATGTGACATGTCTTGGGAAACAACTAACTATAGATTTCAGGGTGGGTAAGGGTACCTGTTTTAAAGTAAATGATGCTTGTATTCAAGTATAAATTTACACTGCTTGCTCTAGCTGATCAATTTGTGAAATAAATTTTTTAAAGTGTGATTGATATCTGAGCAGATTGTACTGTACAATAGTACTATCCATTGCATTGCATCCTCAAACTGACAATAATTCACCTATGCTGTGGAAAAGCCCCTCCATACTTGCTACTTAATTTACTGTTTTCATAGAATGAATGTGGCGGCAATCTATCACTTATTGTCGATATTGCTGATCAGGTTTCCACGGAACAGAAGGCAAAAGATGATATGATTGAGTTATGTAAGCAATATGAGCCACTAGAAAACACTGACAATCTGAATGTCCAAGATGTGTTGGATCAAATTCACCTTGCTCACACACAGTATGCACCTATTGGTCTTCATTGGGAAACTTGTCAAAGAAATGATATTCCAAGTTTGAAGCTTAACCATGCACAACCAACAAGGCCAAGTCTTTCTCAGGGGAGTGAAAGTGGATCTTTGGATCTAAAACTTGTACAAACGACAAAGGCTTATTTGGTCAAATTATGTCAGAAATATAAACCTCTTGACAATGCAGACGTTTTAGAAATACCTGATCTATTAGAAATATTACACCAAGCACATATCAGATATGCACCAATTCCTTATTCCCAGACAACCTTGAACGTTCGCCATGGGGATGTCGCCGACTCACAAAGGGCGAGCTTATCAAACAAAATATCCCCACATGGGTTAATAGATGACATTCTACGATTTAACCCGCCCACACTGAATGCTGCTAGTCAAAGTTGTTCAGAAGATTCTTCACAACTTTCTCGTGGTAAACGACTAGGTGTGGCATCTTTGAAACCTGTAACATCATCAACCACTTCCAGTGTTACCCGTTTAAAGGATATTACAGTAATGCGGCATACTTTAAGTGACAAGAAGAGTTGTCAAGGTTTGCCATGTCCATCAAAAAATCTTATTGACAGAATTTTGAATACAACAGTTTCGACAAAAAGCGCAAATGTTGTAAGACCCACAATAGCGCAATCGTCACAAACCGGCAAAAAACCAGAAACGACAGAAACGCGCGAGAAAGAACGACAGAAACGTACCAGGAACTTATGTGACTTTTTAGACACGTACTGGATATATAGGAAGAAGAATAAGAATCGTGCAAATAAACAACTGTAAAGCGAATGGTTTTACAAACAATTACTACAGTATACTACATCAACTTTAGTACAAAAGAGTAGGCGCAAAATATTCAAAATATAGCCCACGCAGTACTGGCGTTACGAACGTAGGGTTATCTTTCTTGCAACTCGCAATGCCATTCTACTTTTAAGAGATGCGCATTAGTGAATAGTCTTTAAAATATATAAGTGGAAACGTCTGTAGAGTGTAATAAACATAAAGGTTTTGTAGTTGCCAAATTTACATCTCTAAAAGTAGCGTCGTATTGCAAGTTAGCTAAAAAACCGCGCTGTGTAACAGGACTTTAATCCCCCCCTCCCCAGTCGTTCGGGGCGCCAGTACCCTCGTTGGTATAGTCTACGCCTGGATAGATAAAGAAACAACGCGATTGAATGAGTGAAAAAGCATGCTTACGGACAAAAGGCGCCCAACCATCGCTGCTGCCATATTGTATTTTCTGGAAAAAGGCAGCAATATTTATTGTCTGGACCGAACCATTTGACAAACCAATCGACCAAACCTAGACGAACATCTGTCGCTCTACGATACCTAAAGCATCTCAGTATTCGGCTTCTAGTCCCAACTGGAGCTCTCTGTAAAAATGTAATGCCCAAGGAACGAAAATACGGTTTTGTTAGACACGTTAAAATTATTTTTATTATTGATATTATTACTTACTAAATTACATCAGTAATAAGGTATAAAACGAGTTATACTATAGAAACCACTTAGTTATCTTCAATGACAGATTGTGGTAAACTGAATGTTTAAAACGATCCGTCTTAGAAAAGAAACGGGTTATGATGTCTGGTTAATGGTTATAACGTTATTACTTGTTATTCATATGAAGTAAAAATATATTTTGTTTTGGACTAACCAGTTGACTACATTTTGTAAGTTACTATCTATTACCAAAACGTTATATTGTCTGTGCTACTGTGCAATCTTCAACGAATTTCCAACGTCGGCCTGATGTGCCGTCACAAGGAAAAGCATTGGTCCCAGTACTCTTTCCTGACAGTCAGTCATTTACGTCACAAGAATGCAAGGCGCGGCTAAGGGGCTGTTTACATGAGCCCGGTTACCCGAGATTCAACGAAGCGTGAGAGGACTTTGAGGTATTGAAACGAGCAGATAACACGATCCTGGCAGTCGTATAATCACCACAACAATAGCATGTGCTTGTTTGCTGTCTTAAATACTTATTTCAATACCTCAAAGTCCTCTCACGCTTCGTTGAATCTCGGGTAACCGGGCTCATGTAAACAGCCCCTAAAGAGGACTAGGGACTAGTCTGGTCAGTCATTCGGATTTCGGAGACGCATCACGCATCATTTAATAAAAAACACACTGTTTTCGCTCTGTATAGAAACTTCTCCGCAGTATATTTCGTTCAAAAATGAAATAAGGAAGGAAAAACCGCGCAAAATCAAGTTAACAGCTCACTTGCATGCATTTCACATTTTCAATCAAAATATACAAGATATAGTAATGAAAATCGGAAAGAATATGCTTCCAGTTGCTAATGCCTCTGGCTATTCAATTTCAAATCAACACGACCATGAATTAATAGTTGCAAAGCCAAAACCAAGCCATTCTTAAACCAATCATGACCGGTACCATGTACCTGAGCAAGATTCTTCCAACTTTTCCTAAACTTCTTCGAGTGATCATTCCTTCTTCGAGAGTATAAAGTCTGAGTGAGAACATTCCAACGGACAATGCACTTTATGCATCGATGCGGACACTTTACAGTAAAAGGCCTGTTAAAACGTGGTGCTTCTTATATGCCGAGCGCATTAACAATACATCAATTGATTAACTATTGTTTCAAATGCATGAGAAGCAAACGACTGTTTGAAAAAAACAACAACTTGTTGTTGTTTTGCATATTTCTATAGTCCGTTGCAAGTGATTAATAAATGGTGAGAGGTGTGACACGAATAATAAAGCTGCGTTGCTAGAGAACTGAAAATCCATCCATTTGGCCACTGCTTTTATGTAATAAGCATCACTGCTTCGTTCTGACGATACATTCGTTGGAATATTTAACGCGATTGCATGGTCACCTGCATATAGGCAGTCCCGTGTAATGTTGTCATCTTAAGATATATTTCTTTTCATTAACATCCTATAAGTATTCCATACTATCATTGAAATGAATGTTAATATAAATTAATTACTTTAAAGATTATTTCTCCAAGACGATGTTTATAAAATATTGTCCCTATATTTAAATACGAATTAATATTTGTGATTGTGTGAAGTCATCAACCTAGTTGATGGAAAATAAACATGGTTTTCTTTGAACAGCTGAAACATGGTTGACGGCATGCAGTTATGACCACAGAAAAGGACTAGACAATAGTCATTCATATTAAAAGACTGATTGAAAAATGTTTGTGAGAACATCTCGACGGCCGATACATAGACAAGTGAACGTTTTATGTATATTGAAACTAGCGCCAAAGAATATGTGTTAAGCACAGTTGAGGGCACTTTGCCCGCCACCAGCTAAAATCTATCAAGTTATCAAGGTTCGGGTTTGGATCAAAACACAAACTTGCGCCGTTCAATTTCTCATACGGACGTCTAAACGGAGCAAAAGACGCGCTACGTTTCGCGAGGTCATGCATGTATTCATCCCTCGTCGTGACCTCCTCTCGCAAAACGATGAATTAAAAACTTGTGCATACTTTTCAACCATGTTTATTTTTCACCAACTATTATTTAATAAAATTTAAAAATTTGTAGAATTTACTGGAAGAGGCGGGGGAGGAGGGGGTGGAGGAGGGCCAGAATTGTTTGCATGAATGGGAGGAGGAGGGGGAAAATGAATTTCAGGCTTTCCCTTCCTAGGGTCACCAGGGGAGATTTCGTCATTCGGACTTGGTAACATGGGAGGTGGTGGAAGAGGAAAGTCATCATTAAATGACGGACTATCCGGTCGTTGTAAGGGAGGTGGTGGCGGGGGAGGCGTTAATCCACGAGGAGGATTTTGCGGCGGTTCAAGACCATTTCTTGACGGCGATGGTATCTCTTCCTCATTCGTATCGGCGGGTTCGATTCGTAGAACATTCGGCAGCGAGGGCGGCAGCGAGGGCGGCAGCGGGGGCGAGGGTGGTCGGGGGACAGAGTTATTTCCTTGGTTACTGAAGGATCGTCGTGCGGGTGGAGCAGGATCAAGAACAAGCGGTTTATTAGAATGATTAGTATCACCTTCTTCTCGGATGTTATCTAAGTTCCGCAACTTTTCATTTCCAACAAAGAACGATTTCGGTCCAGAATGAGGAGTTTGGGCAGTTCTTGGGGAGAATGGTGTAGGTGGTGAGGTAGGAGATAGTGCCTAAGAAATAGAATGTTATACACGTGGAGTACAGCAATCAGTCGGGGTTAGATAAATAAAATAGTAGCCTTCTAGGTAGATGCAGCAAACCTTCCACAGACTTGGGTAATCGTTATCACGACAGTGGGGGTTACTAAAGGGCAAAGTTTAGTTGTCGTATAAGATTGAAACAAACTTTTGAGATTTACCTTTTCAGCTTCAGCACCTTTCTTCCAAGCCTGTTGGAACAATTTTGCCAGAGTTGTTGAACCTTGAATGGGAACTTCCTTCTTGCGGATAGTGCCTTTTCTGTGAGCTAAAGCGAATACGGAACTCAATTTAAAAAACGGTGGCACCATAATCTTCCCTCCTCGCACACAAATTCAGCGCGGTTTTGTAGTGAGTTGCAGGCCGGACGCCCGTCATTTGGTGGGGCTGTACCAGCTGTAAGCGATGTTAGAATGTGTGTTTGTTAGCAAAATTATCAAAATGATAATATGCTTAGACTCCAAAATATTTACAATTGGGTACTGGCCAGTCTAATTTTCCTACACAATACACTTCCAATTTTTGAACAGAAAGTATAGAACAGAAAATAGAGGAAATAAGTAAAAATACAATTGTTCACCAAAATTCTACTCACGGTGATCAGTAACATCAGAGCGAGCTCGGCCTCTTGATCCATTCTCCTGGAAATGTAATTTGAAAATTCATATTGCAACTCTGTTATAATTATAATAACTTGTAGGTACACCACGTAAGTATTAAATACTGCAAAGCTTTCGGTCCGTTAACCCGGACCTTCATCAGTGCAATTACTTGAATACACGTTTGCGCGTCACTTAAATATCATGTTAGTCGTGATTAGTAACATGATATTTAAGTGACGCGCAAACGTGTATTCAAGTAATTGCACTGATGAAGGTCCGGGTTAACGGACCGAAAGCTTTGCAGTATTTAATACTTACGTGGTGTACCTACAAGTTATTATAATTACTAAAGTCGCCATGCAATCATACAAGAAAATTATTAACTCTGTTATAGTTCCGCTCAACCAAATAGATAATTTTCCTAAGTCTCATTGCACTTGTGTACGAAAAATATTAACAAGCTTTTAAACTGGAAATTCAATCTGCGTGTACGGCCAACCAGGAAAGATTATAAAACTTGGTAAGGAAATACTAATTATATGCATGCTCGTCTGCATGTGTGGGATTTCTATGTGAATGAAATAATACATAAATTTTATTACAGCAAGAAGGACCATTTTCATTGTTATAGTGTTGATTCTACTTTTTTTTGTAAAGTAAACATTTCCACTCCTCGTTACCTGTAAAGATCCGAGCTCTGAGCTTGAACTGGAACCTGAAGATAATGACCGTTGTCTCTTTATCGTTCCAACAGTGAGATCTTCCACCTCTTGATGAACATTGTTCTTATTTTCTAACATCTGATAACCAAACTAAAAAAATTTTTGAATGTAAATAGACTATATTCTTCTATATGATATACCAGCACCGTTATTATTATTCACACTATTATATTACTCACACTTAAACACGAAGCGCTCACCTTTCCCACCCGTATACAGGTAACCCATCGTTGCATCGTTTTGGCATCACTTGCACACAGGCACTTCACTTGTCTTGATTCAAGATCTTTGGAAATACAAGGCTATAGGGCCAGAAAAAAGCGAACATAAAATATTTACAAAGGGACGTTTTAAAAAACTATGTTAGAGGCCTTCAGAACTGGTTATTTATAACCCTGGGATACATGGCCTCATATAACGCGGATGAAACTAGAATAACGGACATAGAGTGTTGCAGTGGATGAATACGTCGCTAGGAACAGGAAGGGGTGTAGGAGGAACTGTTCTATCGATGTACAGTTGAAAGCAGTTCTAAACCCCTCGAAACACCTCAACGAAAAACACAGTCTTCATTTGATTCAATGATTGGAGGTTGAATTACCTACCTTGACAACAAAGCAATGGTCCGTGGGGGCTTTTTGATTTTTTCTGAATTCTGTTGTTGTGTAAACGTATGTATTCTCAAACGATACAAGACAAGACAAGTTTCGTTGATTCTAAAACACACGTGTATGAGACATACTGTTAGCCATGCAACAAGTATGAAGTCAACAAGCTCGCCACTTATTATTGCGGCATCCAACGGTGTAAACTTGCCCAGCATTTTTCATTGATTAAATATCGCGCGGTACTGTTCTGATCGTTTTATCCAATCAAATTGCTCGTTAGAAGTTTCAAATTTGAGAATTAATACGCTAATGCCTTATATATAATAACAGAGGAATCAGACCTTTGTTTTTCCTTTTGGTGTGTAGTAAATCCCCGAAGCTCTCAAGAGAAAGTAATGTTTCTTCCAGGTTTTTCTTCCTTCTTTCAAATACAATATTCCATCAAGGTTGGGAAGACGCATTGCATCGGGTTTGAAGAACTCCTGAATACACACACAAGAGCCATTGAAGAAAATACCAGCTAGCGATGTTCGAAGAAAAGGAAACATTATGATAACTTACGCTTATTAGAGTATCTTTACTCTGTTCTGCTAATCGTGCTGAACCTTCATGTGTGTCACTCGATAGCAAATAATTCTGAACAAAACATTGATATTTTCAACAATTACAAAAAGAGATTAACGTCAGAAAGAAGATCCATAATCCATTCACGGCGTGATTCACTCTACCTGTGGATTTTTAAATAAAACATATTTATCTCTTCTCATAGTGAATACCAACTGATTATCCGTTTCCCGCGGCCATTGCGAAACAACGTCAACTACACATTCGTGATCTTCTAAAACACGATCTGCAAGACAGAACAGTCCAGTCAGCCACATCGGCGTTACGCTCAGATGCATGTTCTAAAGTGGTATCATCAATTTTTCTCAGTCGACAACGACAAGTATCGGTGTATTTGTGTAATTTTTGCATCGAAGTGGTGAAAAAGGCATTAGTATTGCTATAGTGATAGATCGCGAATTTCGCATCGGTATGAAAGGTTTTGCATAACAAATTTTTGCAACTTAACACATTCATGCTGTGCGTGAAAAGTAAAATACGTTCTGGGAAATACGTTTCTGAGAAAATACGTTTCTAGGAAAATGCGTTAAATATGTTTTAAAGAATTTTATGGTGAGTACGTATGTATACTGCAGCACAATGTTATTACTCATTATACTCATTAGCGTCATGATGGAGGAACGCCATGTTCATATTGAGGCAAGAATGGCCCGGGATTTGGAGGTAGAAACTCTGACACGCCTGTCTCGTTAGCCAACCGACAACAGTGTTAATATAATGTCGTATAGTTTTCTTAGGAGCTTCGGCATTTCTAAGCACTTCGCTGTCAGAACATCCGGCCTTATTAGTGCGCTTCTACGATGTTGCGTTATATATATATATATTTGCGCTATATGACTTCACTGCATGCATGGCTGTGCATATGTGCCTAATCCTGTTTAATCCGTTGGTGATATTTGATGTACAATTATATACATACGTAATTGGTTTCCAGGTTGTCTTTCCTCCAACACCCAATTAGTACTTGCTTCTCTGTCGTATTTCACGATCATTTTTTTACACACCATCCACGAAGTCCAAGACTGATCAACAATGATTGTCTTGGATGTCGGATCTTCATCGTTAAATACTTTGATTACCAGCTAAACAGAACAAAACAAATATATCAATAAAGTGAAAACTCGAAAAATAAGAATCTGTTGAAACCATAAAAACATATGACATTTATCTAAACCACATACGCCTTGAATTAGTAATTACCTTCTTGATTCTGGCCTCTCGTAATTTTTCCATCGCAATACGGATCTTTTCTTCTTTAAATTTCGCTTGTTGTTCTTCCTGAGAGAGCATAGAGAGACTGATTAGAAATGACATCACTCAGACAAGAAATACCACTTAGTGAATACCACTTAGTGAAAGACCGATCCGACTTTATGCAACCCTGGGTACAAGCCCAGACACGGGCTAACCTAACTTGACCTTTTTTTGTTATTATAATAAGGAAATTACTGGTTGACCTAACAACTAATATGGTATTAATATGAGATTAAATCTATAGTTCTCGGGTATATATTGCCCCAGTTATACATATCGTTGATTTTTTGATGTGTTCATTTTACAATAAAATAATGTGCAGACGGCCATTCTGAATAAAGGAGTCCTGAGAAAATGACGCAAAATATTCATATTACACCAGAGAGCGTAATAAATCACGCAGGTTAATAACATGAAGGTGAGAGAAGGTCGTAAATCACGGGAACGGGCGACTACTCAGAATTGGAAAAGTAAAATTATTTACAGTAGCTTTTTTAGTATAAAAGATATGATATAATACTCGAAACGCAAGATTCTTGATCAGCGTCACAATTGCTAGCCAGGTTAAAAAGACTGTTTGAGGGAAATGCAGCACCGTGATTAGCAGCTAATTTCAATTTTCGAGCTTTGATATTTTTCCAGAGACCTTTTGCCAGTGAGGACAGCATTCCTGCAGAGTTCCTACTACAACCTGTTTCGAAGGGTAGGACAGTATCATCATCGGAATACAGCCGATTCAGGTTGAGCGTTTAACGGAAGTGTGAATCACGTTCGTTGTGGGCGTTGCAATAAAATACAAAGTATTTCATCTGAAATTGAAACCACTACTGAGGACAAATTTAGTTCCTTTGCAACATCAATATATCGTCAGGAAAAATTGCCCGTTCTTGTATTTCCGCCCCTTTCTATTGTAGTTTATCTGCAATACTTGACCTCAGGTCTAATGATAGTGCTTTTCCTGCCTGATAGGAGCGTCCTTTTTTGCTTACACTCTACATTTGCACCTAAATGAACAAGGGCGGCTCAGCCCGCTTAGAAACGTCAATTTACTTCTATAGAAACGTCACAATGCAACGCCCACAACGAACGTGATTAACACTTCCGTTAAATCGGCTGTAGGATTTATAGTTCTGAAATGGTTAAACCAACACACAGGAACCTCTATTGATATTAAGTGGGAAAAATTTCCGTTTCGCACCAGGGGCAACTGACCGTTGGAAAGATTTAGTGACACTTTTTTCTACTCATAAAATACAGTCGTGTTGGGATATAGTCTATGTAGGAGTGAGTTTAAGGAAGTGAGTCTGTGACAGTTCCTCTAAAAATTTGCATAATTTAATATCTTACAAGAGTTAGTTCCTCTCGACTTTCTAGTTCCTCTCCTAATGCTTCTAACTGCATCTTCACATCTGCTGTGACCTAAAAAGTAAGTCAGAATTAGGTAAGGAACTTACAGACATTTGAAGTCCAAAAATTCTGTTTTGATATTCTTTATCAGTACTACAAATTCTGCAGCATTTTCATCTGCAGCTGATCTTAATTCATTCATATTATTTTATTACAGGTAAATAGCAGTAATTAACCTGGGCTGTTGTTATTTTTGAGGCAATAGTGTTTCAACCTTTTTGCACTTTAAAAACTTTCTTACCTTGACAGGAGATGACAATCTGCTATTGGCAAGCTTGGATGGTGATGGGGATCTTGCTTCAGCTGGTTCAGATACCTTAACATCTATTTGCAGATCTTTCTCCATAATGCAGAGATCTTCTAATAGTGCATCTAAATCTACATCTCCACTTTCCTCAATAGCATTCATTGAAAACGATATTTCATCCTGAAGAACAGTTTAAATTTTTTGTTGAATTTTAAGAGTACACTAAGTATGGCTATTTGCATATTTAGTTTGCATATTCAGAGATGAACTGTACCAATGGTTCATTGTTTTCTGGTGGCTCTTCCTCAACTTGTTGACCATCAGGTTGGATCAGTTCCTACAGCAAAAATAAATTAAAGCCAAGTTCTTCTCCAACATATTGTTGCTATAAAAAATTTACTTGGTACTAGATTACATGATTTGGAAGAAATGTATTTTCTTGCTGTTCATTTTTTAATGCCTTTAATGCTATACAAATTTATACAATTGTTTTTTATAGCATGGATATATGAATACATGACAAAGTTCAGGAGAATCTTAGTGGTAGATGATGGTAGGTAGTTATGATTATACTAGTGCATGGAAGATATCTTACCACTTGAAAACCCTCAAGGTCCATTAACATCTTATCAATATCAGCCTCATGATCATCTAGTTCATGTTCAGATTCACTTTCATCACTTTGTTCTTCAAAACTACTGGACGTCCTCCCAGAGTTTGCATTGTCATAATATGAAGCTAAGCTTGTTGCATCTTCTGAACCAATAGAAGTGCTCATCTCATAACCATTAGTATCCATTGTATTTGTACATATACCTTGTAGTTTAAAATTAAAACTAAAATTAAAATTTTATCTTTGTAAGTCAGATAATGCTTTTAATGTCTTTTGCATTTAAACAACAAGTTTAAACAAACATAACCATGTCCAGGTGACATTTGAATTAAACTGGTATCAATCCATAACATCACACTACAGATGTTACAGTATGTCCTTGCCTTTTTAGGTATAAAATAGCATGCCTTTACACATCCAGTTCAATGTATGCTTTTTCACATTCTTGAAGTACATAGTATTTGTTTAATATGTTTACTCAAGAATTATCAGTTGGACTACTGCACTAGTATATCACATCGATTTCTAGATTAAAAAAGGCCACACTTAAAAGCAGTAGAGTAATTTGCAGTTTCGAAATAACCACCTTCACAATGCAATAAAATGTCACAATTATAAAATTAGGAATGCCTCAAACACAACATCACGTGTTCAATAATTGTAGTCATAACAATGGTTAAAATAAAGTTTGTATATAAATATCACGACAATAATTATTCCCGAAGACCAAGTTCCTTGTTAATTCATTGTAATAGTCGGGCTAAAATAACCGAGTGACTAACCCTAAACGAGGTTAATTGATAGTATATATATTACGATTCCGGTTTAATACATTACGAGTATACAAAGCTTTAAATTCACAATGGCTGTTGATATCTCATATCTCGTAATTTATAAGAAAAGTTAATGAAAATTAATAAAATTCATATTCCTAGTTTATTATAAAACAGCCAAGTCAATAATTACCACACTCAATATCAGTGTAAAATGTACGATTTTCTACATGTATAATTGTAAATATTACCTTGCACACGAAGTCACATCCGATTATAACTTTACGTTTATGTATGTATGTCTCGATCAAGGACTGACTATTGACAAAAGAAAGTTTGAATTTTAAAATTCTTCACCGGTGGACGCTTAAAAATCGGCGTGTTTTACAAGAAGCTATATCGTTTTCCCACAAATAATTTATGCCTTGTATATTGGCCTTCTTTCAAATTCTTAACATCGCAAACCTGAAACCTCAGACACGGTATTTTGGGCCATTGGGATGGGCCAATGAGTATCCAATCTTCTAACCAAGGAGACATAAAAACAAAATATTTAGAAACTTCACATTTACCTTTAATAGTGAATGTCCACGCTCTCTTTTAAGGATTTAAATTGTCATTTACATGACCGACCCTCGGAATTTATTTTTAATTTCATGTACACTTGTTGACTTTGTTGGTGGTCCATTACCCGTTCGGGCTTTTAACACCGGGTTTCCGGTACGTGACGTCTGTCACTATGATCGTTACTAATCAATTACTAATCAACATTCCTGATTCATCGGCGAGATACGAGATAGTGATCAGTCAGGTAGAAATAATTTATTGAGTGGTTCGCCGACTGAAAAGTGTCTATAGAATATATAAACACTGAAACCTGACCTTAATGGTTAATAGATTTCCCATTCTAATTAAAGCTTAAAGCTCTTTATCAAGTTTCCCTTTTTTTCTTGATCTTTGTTTAGAGGGTTCCGCATTTTCCGTCCCTTAAAGGTTCCGGGGTTTTCGTGTCCCTTGTTCCTTTCTTAGTAGTTTCTGGTGTTGGTGCTAGTTCCTTACACTTCTTTAACAATTCCCTGTTCCTGGTTTGTTGAACACTCAATGCCAAGTGAAGTGACTCCCTAGTTCAGTTGCTAGGGTTTCATTTTTTTTTACTAGTACTATTAACTACTTTATCACTCACGTTTTTTTTTACCAGTACTAGAAACTGTTGATATGGTACTAAAATTCCCAAATTATGAATTAACTAAGTACATATTTGAGTGATATTTGCCATTTCGAAACAAATGAGTTTCGAACTATAAACGTTTTCACTCGGCTGACTTTAACAACAAGCTCCTTAGAGTTTACTGTTTTGACGTACAAAATACCAAGTATCATAAAAACTATCTTATTAAGTCCCCAGGTCCAGCAATTGAATTGACCGGCTTATTTGTAAACTACCCGTGAAATTTTGATTTGTTTTCTATGGTCGACCATTGATTGAAAACATTGACTGAACCTGTAGAAATAATATTATATAATATGGCATGGACATGCAACACTCTTGCACTTTGCCTTTTTTAAATCAACAGGGTTTCGTTTCCTTTCCGGTCAGGTGATAATTATTGATGGTCAACTGATTCCTTGATTTTGGGATTTCTAAACTACTCTGAATAACTGAATAGTTAGTGTATCAACACAAAAGCCAAGGAAGAAAGAATGAGGCTATCAACAATTATATTTTACGCCATTATTCCACTTTTCGTGGTGCATTTGGAGTTGGCATTGTGCAGATCATTCACGATTGACTACGAACGCGATTGTTTTCTTAAAGATGGAAAAGAATTTCGTTATATTTCCGGCGGTTTTCATTATTTTAGAGCGCCAAGATTCTACTGGAAGGATAGACTATTGAAGATCAAAGCCTCAGGTCTCAATGCTGTGCAGAGGTGAGGCTAGTGAGCTTGGTTATTTCTGAACCATTAAATAGTGAATTGCGACTTAACGCTCGATGGATCGTCCATTTGTACTGTTCTAGACACGAGTAAGATGATAAAAAGGCATTGGACACTATTTATAATTGCGTACATGTCATACACTGATTCACAGAAACACAGTGGCTGGCTCCCTTATAGTCCCATACAACACAGGGAACACTGATTTGATTTAACCAGGTTAATCTCCAAGTTCATTTTCATTTACAGGGGGGGGCAACTTCTGGTTGTTTCATTGACTGTACCAACAGCAATTTTTTGGGGGGGTAAATTGAAAAGCCCTTCTAATCACTAAATTTATTTTTTAATTTCCAGTGCATCATGCAACCCAATTATCCCTACAACCCATGACATTAATATTGGCGAATAAGGCAATCTGGCCTAGTCACTGTTTATATTGATTCGAGGAATTTTAGGGGACACCAACACTTTAATAAGAATGGTACATGATTTAGCAATACCACACACTATACCCAGGCTAGCTAGTCCTGATTCAATCTATATGTGACAGTTCAACTTCACACCTATATAAATCATCTGTTGGACAATCCCATGGCATTTTGCAGTGTTACAATTGCCAATTTTTTAAAGTGCACACAATTTTTTAAAGTGTGTACCTTATAGTTTTCTTCCATTATCTATCTGATCATGGAAAAATCAAATATTTTAGTGCATCAGGGCTTTTTATAGCTTTTTGACTGAGGTGCCCCTGAGTGAAATTAAACTCCTCATAAGTTAATTTCATAAGTGCATTTAATCTGTGTTCAGTAACACTTCCTGACTGACGCGTGGTGACTGATGATTATATGCTGTCAGGTTTCTCCTAAGTCGTAATGACCTTGGTCACAAGTGCCGGTAACATGGATAACACGGAGTCGAAGTTCCGGAGCCGGAGTTTCGGAGCCGGAGTCCCGGAGTAAAAATTACGGAGTCTGGCGTAATAATATTGGAAAACACGGAGTCAAAAATTATGGAAAACACGTAGTCTGCCAAAAACATGGAAAACATGGAGTATAAATGTTTGGAAAACACGGAGACTGACGGAGTCAACGTAAATTATACATATATTCATAAATGAAGGATCGCTCATAAGTCTATACTAATTTTTTATACCACAGTAATAGTATAAAAGAAAGAATACACAATAACAAAAGATTATAGCTATAATGCCTCTTGCTCAAAGTCATAAAATTATTGTTGTAGCTAACTACATTACGTGTCCTTATATCACCTTAAATCACACCAAAACTGCCACATCCAATTTCCTTTTTGTCTACAATATCCTCCCATTTAAATTGAGGAATATTATTCAGAACGGACTTTACATCATCTTTAAGGATAAGTTTTTCGGTCGTTTTTTTACCATTTGCAGAATAGCAAAAACTTTACGCGAATTTGACGCCATGTTGTTTAAAAGACGCTATCAAATTTGCATAATTCACGTTGAGTCATTGACCACTGAGCTTGGCAGACTTCCAAACATTTATACTCACCCACCGGTTGTGATTCGGAACGCATTAAAAAACGAGACCGGGATTATATGTAATTCAATACTCGTTTACAAGACTCTGAGGTCAGTGCAAGTGGAAGCCTGGCTCTCAAGTCTCTTGTGAGCAAGAGATCCCCTTTCAGGCGCGTTGCGCGAATGCAACTAAGATAATGAAGATTGAGATTATGTACTCCGTGGGTTGAGCATCACAAGACGGTCTTACCAGTGAAGAGAGGATTGCACCCTCCCACTCAATGACTCAAACTATTTTAAAACTGTTATTGCAATTTGCAAAGAATTCTAAATCTGTGTGCCAAATTTTAGGAAGCGAATAATAAATATCATTCTGGCATTTGTCTTTGATGGGACAGCTGGTGTTATGCCCTTATAGTTCAGTGTCATTGAATTTTCATCTTCTATTTAATTATCTTTTATTTCATTATAATATTTTCATCTTTTACCTTATCTTATCTAAACGGATTAAAAAAGTATAAAAATAAAAACAATTTTTCTTTAGTTATGTTCCTTGGAATATTCATGAACCCACCCCAGGACATTATAATTTTGATGGCGATGCAGATCTTCTTGCTTTTATCCAATTGATCAAGGAAACCGGTCTACTGATGGTCTTAAGACCAGGTATTAAGGTTCAAGGCTTACTTTAGGCGTCGCATTTTAACCAAAACACTAGACAAAAAGACAATATGAGATGATGAATCTTTCTCTACTCTTCGTTATCCCATGTCTTAACTCGACGCGATGAAATGCGACGTCTTCAGTTAGTTCAGTAACAATTCAATGAACTGAGTTGGCAAATCTTGTCAAATTCGCGAAAAATCAGTTATAAAGTTCCTAATTACTTTGTCATTAATCATTATAATCATAATTTATCAGCAGACTTGCAGTCGCGCAAGTCTTATGTTACTAAACTCAGTCTAAAGATTATTTTTGAACCGCATCATCCGCATGAAAACAGACGCCCGGAAGTTACCCTTTGGAGAGTTTTGCCATTCCTTGACATCATATCAGGTCAATTAACTTTATCTCCATGTCTTTGTAGGACCATATATCTGTTCTGAATGGGATTTTGTAAGTGATCCACCATTCCGAAATATCATTTTGTTGAAGGATTTGAGCCATATATCAAGAGTGAAATTATATTTTTTATTTAGGGAGGTCTTCCAGCATGGCTCCTGAAGAATCAATCCATTGTCATACGTTCATCTCACGATAAAAGTATGTCCAGTTGTATCCTTGCATAATTGCCAAACCTGCATGTTGTTTATCTTATTGCTTTCAATAGAGTCCCTAGACTGAAAACGATCAGTTTCAGGAAAGCGCTGTTTTCAGAACAAAGATAAGGAAAGTTTCATGTTTGTTTTGTTTTATTTCTATAGCATATATGGACGCTGTTACATCTTGGATGACGGTACTTCTTGGTAAAATAAAGCCATTTCTGTATGTAAATGGTGGTCCTATCATTTCTGTTCAGGTATTACATATATAAACATCGTACGCATCATTGGCACATTGCCATCAATCACTAGCTTTACAAACTCGTATCCAAGGTTGATCCAACCTTTATTGTCAAAATTCTTTTCGGGAAAATTCTCTATGCTTACATGAAAAGATTTCATGACAGCTTGATCAATATATCAATATTTAAATATCCAGGTTGTATTGACCCATAACAAACATCTAAAAATAATGTTCAATTTTAGGTTGAAAATGAATATGGTATATACCCAATCTGTGATCATGATTATATGAAATATTTACAAGGTTTATTTGAAGATGTTTTGGGAAAAGACGTTATCTTATTCACCACAAATCCCGCAGTTACACGTGTAATGGAATGTGGGACAATTCCGACTTTATTTAACACCGTTGACTTTGGACCAGGTATATTAACTTGCGGTTTGACGTATAGGCATAGTTATCCAGTGTGTTTTCCCTTGAAACACTTGACCACACTTGGCTTGATCTCATCAGACATCGTCAGAAGGGCCGAGGACCATTGTCACGGTAGAGATGAAGGCATGCAGCAGAAAAAATAGCTAATTTTTCTGCTTCAAATTTTTTTGTATATTTTGAAATGTAGTCCGCGGTAGGCTGGTGATGAAATCATTCATAAACTTAACGAACCAATATCCTTCGACCACGAGCCTTCCACTTTATGACTTCATCTAAAATTTATGCCATTTCTTTTGGTAATATACCCTGCATGCATGTTCTTGCATGTCATGCTCAAGGTTTCTTTATAAGTTCTAAATAAATGCAGAAATGACTATTTCTCTGTCTTGTGAAGGTGATAATGTAACAGCGGCGTTTGAAGTGATGAGAAAATATCAACCCCATGGTCCTTTGGTAAACAGCGAGTTCTACACAGGCTGGTTAGATAATTGGGGTAAACCTCACCAGACCAGATCTTCTGAAGTCGTTGCCGGCATGTTGGATGATATTTTAAAGAGAAATGCGTCAGTCAACATGTATATGTTTTTTGGAGGGACTAACTTTGGATTTATGAATGGTAGAGTGTATTTTCAACACGTCTTTTTAGCCCAATTTTTAACTTAGTATATGGTATTGTGACGAAAGGAATAATTGGAAATTCCCCTGAATTCTGCACCAGTAGTTTTGCACGTTCAGCTTTGATATTAATATTGCTTTTAGATTTTAAATATATTTTGGGTTTTTTCCCTAAATTTTAAGGGGCGAACTACAACTATCATCCAGATAGATATCAAGCTCAACCAACAAGCTATGATTACGATGCACCACTATCAGAGGCTGGGGACATAACGGATAAATATCATGCCGTGAGAAACGTTATAGGAAAGTACCTACCTATCCCTCCAGGTCCTATACCACCCTCTGGTCCCAAACAAGCCTACGGAAAAGTTACTATGGAACAGGTGTGTAGTAAATTCACTTATGGGTAATAAAACTCAAAGATCCCTCTAAACATTCTCAATAAATATTTTCACCGACTTCAAGGCCAAGTTTAGATTTGCTGTCTCGATTTGCGAATACGAGTACCCGTATGTCATTTTCATAACACATATCCAAATACGTTTTTTTAGGTTATTTCGCTTCAAGAAATTCTTAATGACTTCACAATCTTCTCCTGGACAAAATCAAAGTATCCGATCTCCATGGAACAACTCGGATATTACTACGGTTTTGTCGTTTACAAGACAGTGATTTCCTTACAAAATGTTGCTACATTAAACGTTCCAGGAATTCGTGATAGAGGCGTTGTCTATTGTGATAGGGTAAGATTAGTCTATCCACTATAATATACGGTACCGATATCTGATTTTTTCTTCTAATATTTGCATGGTATTTCATGCAGAAACGTCTTGGTATTATTGACCGAAACGGACACACAGAGTTGAAGATTGAAGATGACAGTTGTAAAAATCTCATGATCCTTGTTGAGAACGAAGGACGAATCAACGCTGGTAGTAAAATGATTGACCCCAAAGGCATAATAAAAAATGTTACCCTAAATAAACAGACTTTACTCAACTGGGAGGTAGCGCCATTTTTACCCATGACACACGCCGAAAGCAGAAAAATAGAATCTTTTGACGAGAAGGATCCATCTGGCGTGTATGCTGGTAGTATTGTTCAACCAATAAAAGCCCCAAAAGACTCGTATCTTATGTTAAAAGGATGGAATAAGGTATATACTAGATCTACTGCGTCGGGTTAAATCCTCATACACGTGGAGATAACAGGATTCTCTTTAGAAACTCTTTAAAAAGTGTTGAAATTACTGCATTTCTACTTATGTTGCTCTATCTATCCAAGTGTTTTTTATATCTATCCAAGTGTTTTTGATATCTATTCAAGTCGTTTAAAATACTACATTTTAATTATTTTACAACTCTCTTTTCTTTTGGTGTAACACTGAACAGTAATTCTAAATTCAACTTCATTCATACACTGAATTGTTTACTGTCTTGTTTTAGGGTCAAGTATATATCAATGGCTTCAATCTTGGACGTTATTGGCCAGTTGAAGGACCTCAAATAACTTTATATGTTCCAGCTAATGTGCTTCGTGCCGATTCTCACAATAATATTGTTGTCTTAGAGATGGATAAAGCCCCGTGTTTGACACAATCGTCATGTTTTGTTGAGTTCGTTACTACACCAATACTAAATGGAACAGTGCCAAGTGTTTATCACTGAACCAGTTCAGGTTTAAAATCTTCCTACGGGGAAGATAATTCTTACGGGACTATTATTTTAAAATATAATAATTAGCAACAAAAATTATAAGCATAATGTTGTAACATGTATAGGTTGTGAAAGAATTGGTAAATCAGAATCGGGATATTTTGTTGTTAACTATAACTTAACTACGTAAAATGTAGTTAAGAGTTTTTTGTACAACTGACCCTTGGTTTAATGCGAAATAGTTGATATTCGTGGGCATCGTGGCTTGAAGAAAAAAAAATTTCGATATCAAATGGTCGTGTTCAATCTGACAATCTTATGATAATGGTATTTTAAAAATATATCTTTTGCAAATTTTCAACCCACATGATGCGGATATATGCAGTTCGATTCATTCTTATATCAGCAGAGTTCGACAGAAGCCCTTAGTTTAGTGAAGGAACTCTTTCAAATAACAACAGTAGAATCGGTTTTTTAAAAATGAAAAAAGAAAAAGTCTTCTTAACGATTTATATGTAGTTGGAGAACCGTGACGCTACTTTGAAAAACCTGGCCCACATTTTTACTGATGATTTTTGAATTTTTGGTGAAATTACTCTCATTCCGTAGGTCTAAGTTCCAAATAGTAATTACCTAGACAGTAGCTAAGTATCCTTAAACAGTCCAGGAAACCAATATAAACGTTCATTAGGATCTTGATCATCAATCCAAATCATACCCTCTTGAATCATGTGGTCCTAACGAATTTTGAGAGGAAGAAAAATTTTTTTTTTCAATTGGAGACATCAATAGATACAAACGATGGGCTGAATAGGGTTTGCCACATGCTGAACATTTTGGATTTGCAGGCAAATGATTCTATACCAACTTTTCAGAGCTATTTTTATGAAAACTAGAGAACACATAAGCGGAATCTGATAATATTCTCCCTTCTTGGGATACTATATTTGTACCTACCACAACATGAACTGCTCGTTTCTCTTCCCATCCTAACTGAGACTTCACAGCAGATAATGAAATGTATGAGGTTGCCTAAATTTATGTCAAATTAATCAGGATACAATATGGCAATATTACTGACTTACTACAACCAACCTGTCAGAGTATATTTAATGAGGTCCATATTAAAATATGATTAACTACATTATATGTACAGTACCTGTGCCAGCTGTAGAACTGTAGTGTGGTCCATATTCAATTCACCAGGGACAGATTGAACTATTCTACTTTTTCCAACAGGAATAATTTGAAAGCCACTTCCTAATGTATGAAGTTTCTTGATAGCACGAGCTAGGTCATCCCTAGGATATTAATTTTAAAAAAGCTGGTCAGGGGAATCTTGATTTTAGAGCTGCCCTCCATTTTTTTTCAGTTATGTAGTACTTTTTATGAGTTTGATTATATAGTTGTTGATATAGTTGTTATTGATGATTTATATATAGTTGTTATTGATGATTTATATATAGTTGTTATTGTTGAATTAGAAAGACCTAGCTGACAATAAGATAGCAAGATTTGTAACTGGAAAGGCAGGACCACACACTATATATGTAAGAAGTAAACTTGTAATGACTACATCTACAAGACTCACTCAGTGACATCTTGTCTGGATTTTCCGCCTCCTTTCAACAATAAACGATGGAGTTCATCAAGAGCTAGAAGTCCTATTAATGAATATTATCATTTGAAATTATCTAATGTTGGTAAAGCATTTGCCAGATGAAAAGCAAAACTTGAATTAAATGTTAGTTATTTACAGACCTACTGTAGAAAATGGGCTAAGATCTCTAATCAGCATACATACATTATATAATTTACTGTGAGATCTATATGTCATATGTGTCAATCATAATACGAAATGATCTTTAGGCTTTTACCTCCATTTCTTGTTCTTGTTGCCATACAAATTTCAATTGCCTGAACACCAAGCTGTAAATAAGTAATGTTGATAGCTGCATTATGTAACAAACTGCACCTTATGGTCATGACACCATATATGCTAACAATGTTTAATTTATGTCAATTAATATTGATTACCATAACAGCAACCTAATTATAATCACAATACTTCTGTTAACTATGCTTGACCATGTTTGATGGTGCTAAACAAATTTATCATTTCGCTCACCTCATAATAAAAATCACCTACTCCTAACATTTCAGCCCAGAATCCTTTGCTTGCTAGAATTGAAAAAATGATTTGATCTTGTAATAAATCTCTATGACAAATTAATTAATTCCCATACCACCAATTCAAAACTAAATTCAAGAAAATACTGAAGACATACATGCCAGAGGGTCAACTCCAATTCGTGCACACATTTGCTGAAAATGACCTCGAAATTCAGGATTTTTCTTGATATCAGACTTGTGTTTGGTAGCAAATTCTTCAAGATATGTTTTAAATGATTCTAGTTGCTTTGACATCTAAAATGCCAGGATAATAGTTTAATAGTTTATCAACTGCAGACAGACAAATAATCATCAAATTATTACCACATTTTTATTTTGGTAAAATATTAATATCCTGGTTTTCACGTTATATATTTTTGTAAACTGATTTTAATTAAACCTGAGTTATCTGTGCATCAGCAATAGCAGTCCCTTTTTGCTCATATTTAGCCTGAAAAACATTAATATACATACACCGTTTTCATTTATAACACCTTGACCATAACTTTGACAATTGTAATAAAGCTATAAACTAGTATAAAGTAGTATAAACTACCTTTGCTAATCTTTGCTTATTAATAGCACCAATACCGCCCGGTCCACGTCTCATTGTTTTGCCGGATGTCTACTGAGATAACCTTCTTGTAATGAACATACAGTTAGTTTTTACTTTTTACGTTTATTTTTTGATGTAGTTTGTTTCCATATTCTAAATTTTTGGTGGACCTTCTAATTTTAGGGATAAAATAGGATGATAACGGGTAAAACAGGATCGACTGAAGAACCGAGAAAAACATTGAAACACAAATCAACAATTTTCGGTTTCTTGATGGAATTCATGATTAATTTAATATTGTAATAAATAGAAATAAGTAAGAAACATCCTTCTTGACTCCTTTATCCTATCTACTATCGTTATTTTTGTTATTTTGTGATATTTTTTTTGCTTGGAGCCATTGCCCATTGTTACCCTAAATTATCCCTGTAAATCCCCTGCATCGTCCTTTCAAAATGGCTGAAGATTTAACACACGTGAAAGGAAAGGATCTTAAAGATTTAAAGGTAATGTATGAAAAACAATCATCACCAGCATTTTTGGATGCATATAAAAAGAGTAGAACCTACTGGGACGTCTGGGAGCAGTAATAACATACCACATGTTGAAACACAATGATCAAAGACCATTAGCTAGCATGTTCCCGCGTTGTTCGTAAATGATTGTATACATCCTTTCTTTGCATTTCATGCATCATTTAATCCCAAGTTCATGTAAATTGTTTTTTGATCAATATTCAAGAGTTTCCTTCTTTAAATTTTTTAACCTAAATCAAATACATAGATATTAGGTTATTATATTCCGTAAAATTTACCTTGAAATGTCAAATGTGACGGAATGTCTTTAATTAACAAACCATACGACTTTGTGAAAACCTACCCTCACTATCGTTTACAAACCTTATAAGGCCACAAATTTCCCATTTACTAAAGCATCAAAGACAAGGGATAGTAAGCTAAGAATTTGATTTCTGAAACAAGTTGTACGTCAAAATTCAAGAGCTGACTAACTGATGAACATAGGTTATACATAGGTTGAAATATACAAGAGAAAGTGTCTTGTGTTTTAGTTATTTTTTGGGATTATCTGCTAGGACAATCCTTGAGGATTGCTGTCACACTGCCACTTGATTATCTTGGATTATGTGTAATGTCAATATTAGAATATGATTGATTTTTTATGTTTTGTACAATCTATTTATCCCAGGTAGTGGAATTAAAAAAAGAGCTGCATGAGAGAGGCTTGAGCATAACTGGAAACAAAAGTGACCTAATTGCTCGACTTGAAGAGTATCTATTGAAACAAGGTACCAGTATCAGATCAGAGTGGTTTATGATTATTTATGTAATACTAAAATCTGGACAAGTTTAGGAAACCTCTATTTGACTAATATTAATTTTTATCAAATACTATAGTTATGTATTTGAGAATTGCTGTGCCCTTTAAATATGTTGTTTTTCAGTGCAATCATTTCCTTGTTTTAAATCAAATAGTAAATTTTTTATTCATATATGTAATGGTTCTATTTTGAGTATTTTATTTGTTGTTAGGAGATGACCAGGAAGAGATTGAGGTTGAAGTAGGTGTGTTTGACAGTGAGATTGAAAATATTGGAGGTGATCTGGAACAAGAAATAAGTGAAGACACATTTGATGAACAAGATAGTGGAGCAGAATCTAAGAATGAGCAGTCAGATGAAAAGGTTTGTGTGCATGTGAGTGCCTCATACTGATAACCTACTAATAACATTACCGGTATATCATTCCAAGTGCTAACAATCATGATTTATTTTATATATACCTTTAGACTGACATACCAACTGAGAATATCCCACCATCAACTGATGATCTAGTCAAAGTAGAAGAAAATTTGTAAGTTATAAAGGACATTGTTAACAGTAACAAATCTGGATGAAATCCATTCAGAATATTCATAAACTATATGATCTTACCAGAAATATTATTTCATATTTTGAACACTTCTTGACAATTGCTCATTTTACAAATATATACTTTGACATTTTGGCATCACTTTCTTGCAGGAATTTTATCAAAACTGTTGAGAAGCCGAAAACGATTTCATTAGACTTGCCAAAAACTGACAAAGAGGTATGATTCTTGCAAACTTGTGAATGATAAAATAAAAAGTTACTTGCTCTACTATTCAAGAATCAAGCACTAGTCCAATCTTAGTAAACAACACTTGTGTATGTATTTGAAGGCATTGTGTCTTATTTATTTCAGAGGAAGATAGACAGACAACAGAGGTTTGGTGTTCCATTAAATGAAAAACAAAAGAAACTAGCAAGGGCAGAGAGGTATATTAACAAATAATTTAAATGCAGTATAAAATAGCAGTAAAGCAAACAATTCATACAGTTTGTTATGTTTTAATTACTGATAAAGATTTGGTGGTGGTGGTGGAAGTAATGAAAGTCAGAAAAATGACGTTTTTACAAAAGTATGTGTTGGGCAACATTTGTGTAATTGTATTTTTTGAGTATGAGTAAATGTTTAGTATATCATATTTTAATGAATCCAAACATTTTAGGATTCACCAGATATAGAAAAGTTATCAAAGCGAGCTGAACGATTTGGAGCTGTTTCTCCCATTGTGACCAAGGTAGCCATAATGCTCTCAATATTGCCCTGAAACTTACATACTCTATTAGTTTACATAATATGCTTACTATCTTACACTTAGACTGTTGAAGAAGATAAAATAAAGAAGAGAAAAGAAAGATTTGGTGTTTCAACATCGGGCTTGTCTTCTGATGTCGAGGTGCATATCTTATAGAAACCTGAGGGTCAAAATCGCCTTTTTTATAAATGTGTATACAATTTATTCCCTCTTTTTTCTTTTAGGCAAGGAAAAAGATGCGGGCAGATAGGTTCAAACAAGCTTAATTCGAAATCAACTGGGTAAAGCTACATGCAACTACTGTCCGCACCCTGTATTTATTCTATGTGCAAGAGTACAAAGTTTCATCCGCATTATTTTATATTAATTTAACGCAAACACTTCGAACTATTTCAGTGGTCAATATGCGTTTCATAAGTTATATCACTTACTGTAATGACTGCATCTATAGCAAAATATAGTTTCAGGATACAGTAACCAGCCTGTCAATTTAGTCTTGCTACAATTATTCATTTTTTGAAAATTGTTTGCTTTAAAACCTAATACTAAAAAATATTGGAATAGCAGGAATTGATTGTCAAGCTTACTGTAGTACCTATAAATTGTTATTATATTACTACATGTTTAGGAATGAACAATGGTTTCAGTATCTGTTTAATATAACACTCATACACTGTTTGTAATGTTCTACACCAAATAAATAGTTAAATACAGTACATATAGGAAGAGTGAAAATTTACAAGGTTCCTATTATTTCTATGATTTGACTCTTTTTGGAAATCTTGTACAGAAAAATAGATCAGTGATATTATATTCCTCTTTAATTATTATATTTACCCAAAACATAACTTTCACAAAAAGATTGGAATGAGTTGTCCTTGTTCACCATAAGGCCTATTTAGACTATGCAAGTATGCAATTCTGATGAATGCAAAAGAGGGCCTATGCCACAATCCTCATTCAATTTTGTTCAGGGTGGAATTTAAAGTGTCACGTTTGTACGTGTGTTCATACGTTCACATACGCCAGGGTAAGAATTGTATACGAGAAATCGCATAGTGTAAATGGGCCTTTACATATGAGGGTGGTACAGTACGCTAGACCACACATTATTATGACCACGGTGCTAAAATGAATTTAAGCCTGATTTTCACTTTTTCTTCATTTACAGCCATGTCAAAAGTCTGGACTTGTATGTAAAATAAAACAATCCCTTTCGGTTCGGTTTTTCAACACCCCTAACTTAGCCACGCATTACGCATATCGCACTATTATCAATAAGAAACTTTAATATATATCTCAGAGTCTAATACAATACATACCTAGTTGTGTGCACATAAAATCATTGCTGCGTGGATCGCTATGCTGGAAATTTCATAAAAGCGAACATGGCGGTTGAACTCATATGAAAACTGGGCTTTCATATTATCATATACATTGACATGTATTTGAGCTCTGTTTTGAAATTAGTGCCCATCGAGGTGCCCATGATCTATGCATAACCATTTGCATGTATTTGGGCTCTATTTTGAAATTAGTGCCCATGATCTTGGCGTTAGGATTTCCATCAATGAGTCCTACAGATATAACGAATGAATACTTCAATCGGGGTGTGTGTGGGAGAAGGGTTATACCCAACTAAAATTTGCAACCCAAATTTGAATTCAATTTCTTTAATCAATTTCGTAAGAATGCCCCATACTCAAATCTACGATGAAGTGTGCTGAAAGAGGTATAAAAAGGTCGTTTCTGATGTTCGAAATACCATAAAATGGAAAGCTATAGAATAACTACAGATATAAATTAGCTCTTATAAAGGTAGTTATTATATACATTAGCAATTCCGCACGACAGATTATAATTTGCGTCGCTAATATTGTATTTTGCTTACGTTGTTTTTTGGGTTGTCCTGTACAGCATACCATTCTAAGCAGTAAAGTACCATCAGTAAACCACTACCAATGATAATGGTCACCCACATAAACACATTCCATGCAGGGGAGACATTGCTTCCTTTCTTCGGTTTCAGAAATACAAATGAAACTGCAAATAATATGAAATGGTATGTAGGTAAAACAAAATTTTCAGATATTAATTTTTACCAACAAAATTATCAGGTTACCGTAATCAAAAGTTGAAAATACAAAAGTATATACAATGAAATATGAAAAGCTGATAGTTACCTCCAATACCGAAGAACATGATGAAAAGGATGGGAAAGAAGAAGTTGAATGTAACAATTAGGATGTATTCATGAACAATGGCGGAAAGGAAGAATGTCGCAATCATAGCGACGCTACGATTTCCATAGAAGAGCTAGAAAATAAAAGCATTGATTACATAATAATATATATCCATGGTCGTTGCTATAATTGTTTATTAATCTCACAATAGTTGTCTATTTTATCTGGAGGGAGAGAAATTGGGGGGAACTGTCCATGACTGCGAATGACTTGTATTCACCAAGTATATACTTGCAGTCTACTGACCCAAATATAATTTATACGTAATTTAGTATGCGTTGTATATATAAAAAAGTTGTTTCAAGTTCGGGGAGTATATATACAGTATGTGTAATATAGAAAAGTGTTTTACCCAGTAAAAGTCTCTGTAAAAATAAGCATACAACCAATCATGAACAACAACATTCCAAGTCCGGTAATAATCAGCATACGACGATGCATTCCACCAATCCTAAGAAAAATAATAAATATCATTTATACCCACCATTACTTAATACTGAAGGTTATAAGTAGCTAAAACATAAGAACTCTATTTTTTATTCAATATCACAATCAGCACAAAATGAAAGCTGTTTTCTAGAAAATAGTTACTCTTTCATCGCAGCCGAACCAAATACAGGTAATTCAAATAACGTAAATCAATACCCTGTAAAACATTCTATCAGCAAATTTCATCATCTCAGCAAAAGCATTCAACCATGAATGTAGGATACAAAAGAATCCTAAGACCAAAACCAGAGTTCCCGGTAGCATAGCATTAAAAACAGAGAGTACAAAACTCCTACAAAAGACAAATACAACACCTGTGTATTGCAAGTCCATAACACGTGAAAAAAATGCAAAAAAAAAATGAACACAGATCAAACAAAAAGCAAAAATACCAGTAAGATATTCCTGTAATACTGGAATATCATGTGTACTCACTTTAAATTCGGAGGATTCTTTCCTGTGTCTCTAAAAACAGGTACACAGAAACGAGCAAAAATGTAGTAAGTGTAAAAAACGCATCCAACAACTTGCGCAAAGTTGGAGACGACATATTTCCAGCGGACCTTAGGCGTTCTAAAAAAACAAAGGCAAAACAAGATTATTAAACATCGACATAATCGTGTGGAATTCGAGCTTGCACCCAAGGAAATTCAAATGAGAAAAGATTCATCAATTGGCATTCCAAACGAGAAAAGATTCATCGGATAAAACGTTTACTTACTGTGGGTATGAATCTCTGTAAACTAGAGTTGGAGCAAACAGAAAGTAGAGAAACTGACTAAAGCCAGGAATGTTGTTATTAGCTTTCATCCTGACGTCATCATCATATCCTTCATCATCATCCGTTTTTTCATCATCACTGTTCTTTTTATCATTAACTAAAACTCAAAAACAGTTGCTTCATTGAAAACGATACCATCTTATATCCAGTATTTCTACTTAATCCCGCTGTGTTCATTATAAAGTTAACAATGATTATATGTATACGTGAGTCTTTCAAATTTTACTTCTACTAATGCCTTAAACCTATACTCACCTCTGTTATCTGCAGCAATAATACGTGGAGCAACTTCCCTGACAAAAGCGTGCATTTTCAGGTAAAAACGAATCTCAATAAAGAAAAAAAAACAATTTCTCACTACGCATAGTCAAATCACCTCCGGTCTCTGGAGAATGCAGGTCTCACGGTGTGAAAACCCTGTCTCACGGTGCAATTTTTCTTGCAACTTGAAATGCAATCCTCTTTTAACAGTTGTAAATAAGTGCAGAGTATTCAGAATGTAAGTATAAAAAATGTACATGGAGTGTAATGAACATAGAAAATTCGTAGTTGCCAAATTTATATCCCTCAAAAGTAGAACTGTAAGAAAAATTGCACTGTGTAACAGGGCCTTAAGACTCGCCATAATATCTTATTTGTAATTAAGCTAGTGAACCTACCTGTTCCATAACGAGGATGACCCTGGACACAGGCGGTAGTTGATTATTGCTGATCGCATTGAGAGGAAATAGAAACAAAACGACAAGATAAAGAAAAAAAATTCCCAACCAAATGAAGTCAACGATTCTTGTTGTAGTTGAGCGAGTGGAAACCCAACCAATAAACAATGGATACGCCAGGAGTGTTTGGATCTGCATTAGTAACCACGTGACAACAACTACAGATACGTTACCAAAAGCCCAGAATATAATTGAGAAATCTACAACCAACCTAGAGTGCATGGACAGAGAATGTACATTGACCGTTCTGCTTAGCGTTTTCATTCACATTCCATTTTTAAAAAACCAGGAGAAACTAGGCAGTTTATATACATGCAGCTCTAATTCATTTTTGCCTGCTCTAATTATATGGATCTAAATATATCTACATAAAATATATAGAGTATGATTAAGACTCCCCAAACCCTAAACCAGACCTACACTTCCCGCTTAATCAAGGAAAATGTTAAGTCTATTTTCGAAATGAATCAAATGATCCCTTCTTACCTGCCGTGTTCAATGTAATCATACGCTAGTGTGTTTAAGCTGAAGACGATAAGTATTGCAACAAATATGTTGTAAATAGTTCGAATATGAGAAACTTCAAGTAGTTCTCTAAAGAAGAAAATTTCACATTTCAGATAAATTTTAAAAAGGTAAGCAAGTTCAGCTTGGAGCTGTGACGAGATTTATCAACACTTCAGCATGAATTCTTTCAAATTGTGATGGTGAAGTGAAATTTGTGTGCATGCAACTTACGTGAGCAACGACTGCCTCTCTTTGAAAACTTTTCTTGCATCCATATGGCTATGTGAATTAAAGAGATGAAAACAATTAGTGCTCCTTCCACTGTCGCGCGAAAAAACACACCATCCCAAAAATAACACACCAAATCATCAAAAGAATCCAAGCCTATGCATCTATTCAATCGTTAATTTCATAAGTATCATCATGGATAGTTAAAAGACTGATTTTATTATCCATGGCATCATTTAAATCTTTTACGTGCGTATACCTACGTACAAAAAAACCGACATTGGCCTCAGTATATTACAAATATGTACCAATGATGGACGTCATGCACTTGCACACAACACAAGTTTGTGCATTACAGCTTTCTTGAATGAGATGTTGATAATTATGTATCAGGCGACTGAGCTGATATTTACTTAGATTTAGATATATGAAACAAGGTAAATTTGACCTTTCGACATGACCCAACATGGCCCTGCACTAACCTAAAATATTACAAGTAGTGCAATCTTGGAAAGCAAGAAACTTTTAAAGATATAGCCAGGCATTATACGTGAGCCTGGTCCTGTATATTTGATCTCAGTTAAAAGGTGTAGGTTCATATCACTGAGTTTTTTCACAAAATATAAAACAATGGACACTCCGAAAAGGATTAATATTTTTATTTCGACGTTTCGCATAACCACTCGATTCAGAACATCGTTTGTAAAAGATGCTGAATATTAAATCTTTATCATGTATGATTAAATGAATCAGACAAAATCATATATGATCCCAACGTTTACTGACGAAAAAGGAATTGCATACCAGGCAATTATACTAGGCATGCAGAATGAGAAAAGTGAGAAAACAGCAATATTACTCAAGTCATGAGAAACTTTACTGGGAAAACAAAGCAAAACAAAGAACTGATCTGGTTTTAAAAGAACGCTTCTGTACCGTTGTAAAAAAACTCACTCGACAAAAAAGACTTAAATCAGCTGTTCCCTTCCGTTGACGTAATACAATATATAACGTCGACTGAAAGAGGCTAACAGGGCGGAAGTTGACTCAGCTTAACCAGTATTAAAACAACAAAAAATGTAAAAATAAATTGCACAGGTTACTGATTATAGTTGTTTAGTAAATGTCTTTACTGAATGTCTCTAACCGCGTTTCAATATAAACGCGGCGGGATAGTTACTCATTTCGCAAGATTGTTAAAGTCTGTACCTCGTCTATGTATAATTTTAATTAGGTAAAGTATGATAGTTTGTGGGATACTCATAGCGTTATATTTTAGTGAAATGTAAAACTAGTATTCAATAATGCAATACCAAAATAATTTGAATCCATGAAAATAATTAAATAAAACCTTCTGTAACGCATTCATTTCATATCCGCACTTTAATGTTGTTTCAAACAATCAACCAAATTTTAAAAGCCTGAGAAGTGGCAGATGTTAACACAATTGAAATAAACCCATATATAGTAATAAAATTAAATAACATCAAGATATACAATCTACACACAGATAATGAATTAGGATTAGAAAGAGGATGAAGATTGTTTGAGAGCTGTCTAAATTTTACCGGATGGCAAAATCATGCAAAATTTTTAAAAAAGGTTTCTATATCAAACTGGATGTTTAGAACATAATTCATAGAAATATTTCCTTTACTTTAGCTGGCCGATTTGGTAAACCTTTTATTTTTAAATTGTCGGCTTTTACATGCAGCAATGGGGATTGACCTGATGATCCTGTGATCCCTTACATAGACAAACTTTGTTTCCAAAAAATCAATAAAAAGGATTTTATAGTTAATCTTAAGCATTCTATTAAATCACATTACTTTATTATATTTGCTTAAGAATATTGGTTACCAGTATTCAATCTTAAAGCTTCACAGCTTCACGAAGTAAAAATGGCATACCACCTGCCTGTTCAAAATAGCGCAGGATTGTTACTGAATATTTAACATTTTTAATTATCAAATATTGCACAACTTGCTATTTTTTTTCAATCCTTAAAGATCTTTTCAATCTTTGGTCATATTTCAGGCATATTTTAAAATGGTACTGGTATAGCCAGTATTAATTATGGAAAGAGTATTGGACAGGATTCATATATTATGTCCACCAGGAATGCTGGAGCAGGGAAGGCAGGAAAGGCAGCTGCCCCTCTTGCTTTTAGACGTGAGACCCTTTTATTTTAATGTATTACATTCTATATCAAGAATGTCAATAAGAGTAGCACAAAGGTCTAGTCCAAGACACTGATATTATCTTGGAAAGAGGTCCTGGACCCAAGGCTTAATTTTTAGGCCTAAACCATCTATGGCCCAACCCCCTTATCTAAAACATCACAAAAATAGCATAGTTCATGTATTTTGCGCCACTCAAATGCGATCATCAAATTATGCTTGTAAATGCTATAAAGACAGTGGCATTGTCAGGGTTCTATTTTTGTGGCTAAAACATTTCGCAGGGGGCACCAGCTTCTTGAAAAGCTGTTATTTCATTGTTATCTAGAATGTGATGTGATCAATAATAGGGAACCTTACTTTTTGCAAACACTTTATCTTTCTTGATAAATATACTCTTACAAAGCCAAATTTCTAAGTTTGGGGTTCAAATCAAAACAACACCTCATTCCTTGACCTGTCACCAGATTTGAAAAGCCAAATTAATAAGGATTAAATCCTGTATATTGCATGCCCAGGGCACACTAACAACAAGCCCAGTTCATTCAGGCCATCTATCCTACAACATAACCTTAAAAGCTTTACTTTGTCACTCCAATTCACTGTCTCAGCATTATTGACTTACTTTCTAGACGAGATCTGCTCACCGACTCCTCCATTCCTTGCTCCGTTACTGTTATCCGCTAGAATATCATCGAACAAATTGTTTAAACTTGAATTAAAATTGTCTTCTATTTGACCAATAAGTTTTTCTTTCAGATTCTAGAATAAAATTATTAAATGTAACTATAAAATGAAAACGGGATCGGTTTTTATAATAATATCTATATTCCAAATTACTCGGTATCTCGGTAACAACCCACAAACCTCAGCCTTGGCTCTAAGTTGTTCTCGCCGCATTTCGGTTGTATTCTCTCTTGTATTGACTAATTAGATGAAATCATTTTTATCAATCGGGCAGATTTTAGTTTACAAAGTATACTGATTCTTCAAACAGTCCAAAATACTTACACTGGGGAAACTGGTTACCTAAATGCTTAGTGTTCGCCATGATCGTCGCGGTATTAATAAACAGATATACGAAGAAAGACACCTTTTATTTGAAATAGATGAATAAATACAATTAAATTTTCTGGGACACTTACCTCACCTCAGCATCCCCGAGCCTTCATTACCATCAGTAAACATGTGAGTTCAGCTTGTTTACTCACCAAGAAACAAGATAGAACAACTAGAAAAGCAAAAGTGAACAATCCAATCGATCCAATACGAATGTGTTATATTCAATATATTAGACATCACAACCCGCATAGGGGGATTAGCTCAAATGGTAGAGCGCGCGCTTAGCATGCGCGAGGTAGCGGGATCGATGCCCGCATCCTCCAAAACGCTTCCTTTTTCCGGAAAATACTTCCGTTTCTTTTAATTTCCTCTTTATTAACAAGACGCCTTCTCCCTCCGTTAATGATAAAGTCCATAAAGAAAATAAATTATGTTTTTTAAAAAGATTTTACATTTTCAAGAAAGACCTGGGTACGAGGGTATGGGTAGGAGAATTGGAACAAGGATGAGGTAGAGGTGGAAAATGATCAGTAGACCCTGTTGCATTGGGCGCATCATATATCTAAATCTTACCCGGCGTTATTTCTTTCAGTAAAGCGAACAGAAATACACAATATAAACACATAACAATGAGGATATATATACTTTAATTTATTTCGTGCTTTATCATCAAATTTCAATGTGCAAGTTATACATTTATATGTGCTCAGCAACAATATGTAAAAATAAATACTTTGCAAGAATCATTACATTGCTGAAAATGGGGGCCAAAATTTCATGTTAATGGTTCATGGGCTTATTCATGTTAATAACTGTATACGTTACTTTATTATATTGTGTGCAAACTTTTTCGAAAATGATTATATTTTGGGTATAGGGACAGCGAAACACAACACAACATGGCAATACAACAACAATAATTAATATCTCCGCGACAAACAACACCGGCAAAACTGCATTGCAACGGAACACACATATATACCACAAAAGAACATCTAAACAAAACACAAAAATACATAAGACAAAAAAACTATGGACTCCTATATATAGCAAATACTAGGACGCAAGACTTAATTAGCACAACAATTATAACATAACACGGTTCACGCATTACCTGAAAAACATTAGGGGGCAGTTGGATAGCGCTGTCCACCGGATAGTGTTCTTTTTTAAATGTTAGTTCCAAATCTGCAATTTTTTTGCATTATTACAACTGTTGAAAAGAACACTGTCCGACGGAGTGGAGGCACTTGCCGTGGGTACTATACCTGCTCCCGAGTAATATAAAACACTACTTCCTTATATGTCCTCAGTAATGTACTGAGTCACTACGTCTACCATAAGGGGTATATGCACACATGCATATATGAACTGAGTGCAATTATAGAATACGAAATGCAATTGATAACGCTTTCATAACTCCATGACCATTAAGGCCAACGCCCATAAGCCAACACAACAACTAAACGTGCATTTTTGTTATATAGAATAGTCTCCGAGTAGGGAACATCTCGTACCATATCTGCATCAACATTTCTTCATTATTCTACAAGAACATAAGATTGCGAAGAGTTAATTTGGCTTTCCAAGTTCACTAAACTTTAAATTTAATGATTTTTACTCAGTATATTGTTTGAAAGCTTATATACTGAACGTATGATAAGATAAATCCCCCAAAACATGTAAATTGCAAAACAAAAATGCCCGTAAAACATAATGTATCAGCTTTTAGAATCGAAACCTAGACTTTTGTCTTTAAGCCATAAAAGAATATATGTGTTGTCTAACTAACCTTATTTCCCAGATGAATGGTTGTGAATTTGCATTCGTTCTTCTGGAGTTAAACTTAGAGAAATTTGAAGATGTTGTGCTTTTCTAGTCTTTGGTAAAGTCTTAGTTTGCCTAATGTCATAGGTAGGTTTATTTGCAACCGCAGGCCTCGGTTCTGAAAGATGTCTTGGCTTCTTTGCGACGATTGGCTTAACGCCTTCATTTTTATTACCAGCTGTAGAATCTTTATACTGAACGCCATTTCGGCTGAGTTGAGTGGACGTCGTATTTGATGTGGAAAGAGGTGGAACAATGGTTTTTTGATATCGTAATCCTCCCAGCAATGGCTCCTCGAAACTCGATTTGCGTGCAGTGTTCAACGAGTTTCTTTTTTCAGCTGCTAATCGTGCCGCCTGCTCTGCTACGGAGGTCACATTTTGGGGTTTACTAACTGTGTGTTCCTGGTTCGATGGATCATGACTTTTTGCGGAGACCTCTCGGTTGTATTCCTTATGTGTATTAACAGGAGGATTTGTTGGGGAAAGAGGGTTACTAGTACTCGAAGAAAGGTTGCGTGGCTTAGGTGAGACTACAGGAGGTTTTGCCGGTCGAGGATTGTGACTTACCACAATTGCCTCCGGCTTAGAAATTTCAGGCTTGGCCGAAAAATTTAGGTTATTATTAATAGGGACGAATTTTCTTTCATAATCCCGACTAGGAAGAGAAACCCCACCTGTCATACTGGACATCTGAATTGGAGGTGCTTGTTCCGGTTTCTCGTCAGCTTTTATACTCACGTTCACCACCGTTTTATTATCCATCAAAATATTCTCAACTGGACCATTTGGCGACGAGATTGCATTTGATTTGTCGTTCGGACTACGAGGTTTGGTTACGCTTTCAATAGGAGTACTGGGCGAAATTTTGGGGCTGTCCGTTTCAATTACCAAATGCTGAGATGCTTTTTCAATTGGGAAGTTAGGTTTAGAAAGTCCATCTGGTTGATTTTTTGCGGAATCTTCATTAACAACCATTGTTAGAGGTTTGCTTACTGTAACGGGGCTACTCTCAGGAACTGTGCTTGCAACCTTAACATCATTTTGAATTAGGCTGTCAACGTTTTTCTTTCCGATAGCACTGTCAACATAAGATGACTTTCGCCCAATTTCACCAATAATAATTGGAGTTCTTTTCTCTTCCTCGGGTTTTGACTGAGGGATATTTTTCTCAGCACTCGAAACATATGATGTTGGAACTTTGGTAATTTTACCTGTAGGAGAAACTGGAGATTTTGGAGTGGTTTCAGACTCATAGCTTGTTTGCTTGGCTAATTTTGGAGGAACCCCTTGAATTTTCCCTTGTGATACTTGAGCGAGCATTTTCTTGAATAAAGGACGGTTAACTAACTCTTCTTCTTTCACAGGAGGAGGGGTTTTTGGCTCAGTCTGAGTACCTGATTCAGAGCCTGGCTCCTTCGTTGAACCGTCTGTTGAATTGATTGTGGACTCAACTTCGTCTGTTGGTTTTGGCTCATTTGGTGGAATGGCTTGAGCCGGTAATGGTTGAACAGGCGATTGTGGATGTTGAAGAGGTGGTTGTGGTTGTGGCCACATAGGTGCTTGGTAATTGTGGCCATTCATTTGAGCTTGTGCCGCAGGTATAGTTGCAACTGGTGGTATCATTCCACCAGGCTGCATAGGATGCAATGGTGATATGTTAGGCATCACTCCGCCCATCATAGGCAGTATGTTAGGCTGACGCTGTTGTGCCATTTGTTGTTGAAGCATTTGTTGTAGAAGAATGTTAGATAACATTTGCTGATTTTGTTGCATGGCAAACAGCTGCTGATTCTGAAGGTTCAATGGCTCTTGTGGATTTTGTGTTTTTAATAACAAAGCTTGTAACTGTTCCGGAGTCATATCACGAATTTCCTGGTTTTGTGGTATTTTATTATCGTTAATGTCTTCTGGCTTGTTTACTTCTATTGAGTTAGAAATATTCAATTCATTTTTCTTTAATGGTAAATCCCCGTCAACAGTGTCTTTTCCTTCAGCTACCATCGCGTTAAATTCAGTTGTCCCCACCTCTGGTAGTCCATTCTGATTATCAATTTGCGAAACAGTTTTGTTTTCCGTTTTACTACTTTCCGTTGTACCGCTATCAGTGTCGTTTAACTCCACTTCCACTTTAACCTCAACATCCTTAATAGCCTCGTTTTCAATCTTCTCTGAAGACTTGGAGTCAAGTGACATAGTATCCTCAATTATACCATTGATCTCCACTGGAATCTCCACTGAACCGTCATCTAAAGTAAAAACCGCCATTATATTTGTCTTTTAGAACTAATGGATGTCATTAATTTATTCTTTGAATAGACATGCGTAGTATGTATACTTTTGGTAAAGATACACGTGATTCTGAAATGATGACATTTTTTAGCTTACCCTGTTCTGAATCAATTGGTCCCACAGGAGTTTCGCATTCATCTATAGGCGGTGGGGTACTCTCGGGTGGCGGTGGAGCAATGAACACAGGAAAGAGTGGTTTATGTTCACTGGCTTGAGATATTTGGTTTACTTCATGTTCTGTCTCTGAGAGTGACACACTTACTTCAGTATTTATAGATCTTGGAGACGGTGGTGTGGTTTCTTTTAAGTCATTTTGGCTTGGGGACATACCATCGTTTGTTGGTATTTCTGGAATGGCTGCGTTCGGTGGTGATGGTGCCCGACGTTTCTTAGTCATTTTCTTTCCACCGATTGTGGGGTAACCGTTAACTACAGGCGTAGTTTGTCCATATTTCGGTATCACTAATTTTGGTGGTTGAGGTGCTTTTCTCTTAACATTTCGTTGGGGCAGAGTATTTGAAGCTGTTTTCACGACCGAAGTATCGCTTTTTGTCGCTCTGGCTAGTGTGTGTGATGATTGACGGTCTAAAATTTTTTAAATATAGTCATATATATTACTTTTAACGAGGCGAATATTTCTATACGTTTCTATAAAACTACATTAACCCAATTAATTCAAAGTATAATTTAGTTTATTCTCAATTTAGGCAATTGTATACCATAGCTACTACACGTCTATAATTAGAGACCTCAAGTTCTACAAGTTACATGAAGGAGTCAATGATAGCCACGTGTATACAAATACAGGCATACTTTTTTATATAAGCGCAAACGGGCTTTTAGACATAGGATATGAAAGTTCTTAGGCCTGAATTTGAAATCTAAATTCCAAACTATAAACCCATTCATTTTTGGTTACTCGAGTTCATACCATAGATAAAGACGACAGGTTCTCTTATCTACACCATTTGTTTGAAGAAAAATTACTACTTTCGGATCGAGTTCGTAGATCGTAAGGGTTCTTTTGCAATGCAAAACGTACTGCCAATTGCCACAAGATTTTTAAGGCGGTTTCATCTATATAGTAATTTTCTTATATATAATTTTTTAAGTATCCTTATAATGCGTTAATATAAATGGTTTCAGGCTATATACAATTCACCTTATATATAAAGCCAGTATTTTAAATCATACCTGCTACAGCCGAGTCGTTACAATCACTTCCTTGAAATTCATCCGTGATCTAAACGTTAAAATGACACACTATAATAATTGCTCGAATAGTCCCTGGTTATATCATTTGAAACCACACAAATACGATTTCAAACCATAAGACATGACATTTGAACTGGGTTACTGCAATTTTGTTTACAAACAAAATTGGTTCACTTCGTTGGTTGGAAAATATTTCAAGATGCAATAAGCGAATTGTCTCAATTCCAACGAGAGGCATATCGACTCTACCGTCGGAATATTTCTTCAGTCAAGCTTGAAATCGTACCTGGTCACCTGCCTGTCGCTCAACCATAAAAACATTATCAGTATATTGGATGACTGAAGGAGCGGAACTATATTGAGGTGATTCCTTTCTTTTCCTCGAAAACCTTCTACGAAACAGTGAAAAGAATCCACCATTCTTCTTTCTGGTACCTGACATGCTCACCTTGTCTATGGTGTCCGATGAACTTGCTTGCCTTTCTACAGGGAGTACAAGTACGCATGTTTTGGATGATTACAAAATAAATGTATCGGTAGTAAAAATTTGATTTATAACTCGATTATCCGGACCGTGGTCCGTGTATTCCGTATCCGGACCAGTATCTCGGATGTCTCGTGCAGTTCAGATTATTGGCCTTGCTTGTTCGGTCTGTATACTGTGAAATATCCATATACTAAAAAGCCTCGGTCTGATATTTCACAGTACAGACCACCTCACGTTCGGTAAATAATCAGTTAAAATTCGTCTAATGCTGATTTCTTTTGAAAGTGATTGTTCATACATTATGTGAACATTAATATCTATACATCTCCTGGGATTAATAATGCATCTGGTATGTTTGTAAAATACAATCCGCAGGAATATAACAAATGATATCTTAAGAACCAACCTTTTCTGGATACTATTCGTATCTTGTCTGTTCTTAAATCTCCAACTCTAAGCGCCATATCAAGACTATCATCTGTTCGTTGCATATGATGAAAGTAATGATCACTTATGCGGAGTTTTTCTCTCGTGCAAACCATCTTTAGAGCACCTTTTAGTGTGTCAGTCTTATAAAACCTGTATGACCGGGTCTCAGAATTTGGAAGACAGATCTCAAGAACTACCATCTGCAAAAAGAACATTGCTTTTGAGTTCGTTATCATGCACTTATCAGGTAATGATAGTGAAGAAAAATATGAAAGAAACAACGACAGACATTCTGCATTTAAGATGCTGTATTTTAATGATATTTAAATCTTTATCCCTTTACTCCGACTTTATATTGTCTCAAGATTTTCGAAGCTATCCGCGAACTCTGTACATAAGTATTTGTTATCAAACTACAGTTAACTACCTAATATGCACTGAAAGCTAATGATTATATCAATTATCGAGTTGGTTTCCCGGAATGGAGTCAGTTCTCCGTTCTATATAACATACTAGTTTTATAAAGCAAAATTACCTGGTCCGAATTTTTAAATTCCAGCTCTTCTCCTTTTCTCAACGTTGAAGCCATTCTTGATATAGTATCATAAAACTTTAAAGGAAGAAAATAAATTTCTTGCAATTTGATCGAAGCTCATACGAGGTTAGGTCGAATTATTATTATTTTTTTATTACCACTCATAGGAGAAAATATATATGAACAAAACAGTTGTTAGAACTGAGATAAAATTTCAAAATTTAAAGTCCAAGGGGGTCTTGTAAAAGTTGATGAACGCCGAAATACCAGGTGTGACTTGAATTATTAAACTTTGGATGCTTTTTACTGCATGCATGGTCGGCAAATAGAGAACCTATTTCATATATGTATATGAAGTTAATTGTCAATTCAGTGCAGTTTGTCAACACTTGCAGATGGCACATTCATATCAACAGCGTTGCTAGAAGTAATTAACCTAAAGCTTTTTTTGGCCTTGAACTAGACGAGAATCAGTTAATTCTTATACGCGTCCAATACGTGTCTAATACGAAATCAATACGATGCCTGTGTATATCAGTTTTTTCATTAGGTTGTTTTGAAGATAAATGCCGGTGCATGCCTGCATGGGAATCAAGACAAGAGATGATATACAAATTACAACAGAAATTTTAACACCAAATAACAACAATATCTCAAATGTTATACCTGAAATGCGTGCGATTTGCTGGAAAATTTTGCTCCAAATGTCTCTTTATCTTGCCAACACACAGCGACTTCTTTTATGCTTGTTTTCGTTCTACAGTTTACAATGAAATCGACAACCTATAGAATTACAGCATTTGATCAAAAAACGCAGTTAGCACTTTGTCTTTGTATTTTGCATCAACATGCCACTTTCATGAGCACTTAGACCAACAGCATACACGTCCATTTGGCCGTGCAGGTTCCATGCATGAGCCCGTGCAAAATGAAGAAGATATTTAAATATATATCATGTAGTCCGCGGGTAGTAATGTACGAGAGATATTGGTTTTTGTCCTAGCCCAAAACTTCTGAGGCCGAGTCTGAGGCCCAGGACATTGTTTCATCGTTTGTTACCGATGCATAAAGTGCTTTGTCCGCAGAAAAAAATTTATTTCATTGTTCATCGATCGACAATGGATCGCTGAGCACCGCCGACTGCCCGAGAGTGATGAAAACCTGGCTTAATTAACGTGTTTGATTAAGCCTAGACCTAATTCAAACGTGGCACTTCCCAAGCATGCATGCGCAAAAGCCTTAAAAGGGCTTGACCTAGCCTAACTGTTGTAAACGTCGTGTCTCTCATGAACCGAACGCAAATATAACAACAGATTATAAGGCTTCCCTGCATGTCGTCTGATAAAGAACTAAATTATAACACAGTCAAATTATAAAACACAGTCAGTAATTTTCTCACCCTGACATGATTTTCACTTTCGTTGTCAATTACCAAGATTCTGAAAGGATATTTAACATCCTTGACTGAAACTCTCACGAAATATATGGGAAGATATTCTGATTTCAAAATATGCCACTCGGTTCCTTCTATTATAAACACAAGACCATAAAATGTCGCTAAAATATGCTCGGTGGAACGCAGGAATGCTTCTCTATGTTCTTCGGAGTTAGGCGCCTTCCGAGCTGAAGGAAATGTACGCGTCGAAAAATCTTTGTGGATAACTGGAGTTGAATTCCACTTCTTGAGCCCAGTTCTTGCAGGTAAGGTGGACAAGGGGAGTTCTGAAATAGGAGGAGGAGGTGCTTGATATTCCTTACCACTATAAATGGACAAAAAGCAAATTTAACACAACGTAAACTTTTTCTGCTCTAACTGCATGCACAGTGTACTCGAAGTTGACCCACAGGCAAGGGTGCAAATATGTTTTGAAAGGGGAGATAAACTTGACACGGACCAAGTTGCCTGTCTTGATTTGCGCTCTTGCATGCTAACCGGGTTAGTGAGCCGAACGGAATCCTAAGCCAGGAATGTGTCACATAAGAATTTTTAAAGATCATCATTGCATGCTTTGCAAGATTTTTTAGTTTAAATTATAATTCTTGTTATTTCATAGAGATTTCTCTCATTTCCAGTATTGTTTGGTTCGGTTAATAAAGCAGATAATGCACATCTGTATATATACGAGATATTCGTAGAGCACTTCATCGTTTCTTGCGGAACAAGAGCATAAGGGCAGTTTGATTTGCAACCCATTTCAATGCATTTAATTTCATAAAATTACTAACACAGCTGAGAGATTTCGTTGGTCGCGGCAAGCGGCGACGTTTATCGTTTATGATATCCTACCTACTCAAATAATTCTGCAGTAAATATAAAAATAGTCACATCCACATTTAGGAAGAAGAAAAAAGGGATATAATATATAGAAAACTTTTTTTGGAGATAAAAAATATCGTTATTGAGCTTTTCTCACAATGACGAATATCTGACACTTTTAGGGGGCAATTACCACAATATATGAAGAGTTCAGAATCAGCAAGCATTTCCTTATAGCAGATTTACCCTAAGAAAATTATGTAGCCCCTATTATGTTGCCCTCACGTAAGTCACGAAAGAGTGTGGTTGTATACGTTTAAAGGCAAGTTGTTGGCAATGGTTATAGCCTCATTTTCGAGAACGATTTTCGGTTTCCTGATGAAGGACTTTATCATGTACATGTTGTAGTGTTAATTATGGATTTTTAATGGCAGCAGACGCCAACAAATTATCTATGCAACGTCCAATGATTATGCATCAGTTCAGACGAGGGTTCAGACATGAGGCAAAAAAAAATTGGAATACAAGCCAATCAATATAAAACGAAGAAAACAAAGGAAAACGAAAACCTGGAACGATCTTGCGCTGCGCTAAAGCTCTTTTTAACCGACATTCTACCGTTTCAACGAAGCCTGCATGAAAGCCGGTTGATTAAGTCACGACTTGAAACAAAGTTTATTGCTTTATTGAGACGAGTATTTTCAATGATAGATAGTATCAACTTGATTATCAATAACTCTCATTCAAATAAAATTTTATGATTCAGTCAGCATTCTGAGTTTTGCCTTTGGCAAAACTCAGAATGCTGACTGAATCATAAAAATTATTAATAAAATTTTAACGAATGTAGCTACCCTTAATAATGACAAGTAGTTCACTCTAAGACTAAGTTACCGCTGCATGATTTCCATTTAAAATATATATCAGTACTGAATCAGCCGGCAGCTTTAAAATTTATAGAGATATAAACTGAGATGTACGTTGCGATTAAATTGATTCAATTTATAAGTAAATTGCGCCCTGGCCTAGTAGAAAGCTTTCATCCGGAATATTCAAGAATGTACGACTCCCCCACAGAGTTTAAATATTCAAAAACATTAAGTTGGTTACGACACACATGCAAGGAAATACCAATATATTGCCTCCATCGAAATATACTTAACTAATATGTAAAAGATATTTGTTCCTATTACAACGGATAGAAATTAGCAATCAATTTAACCATATGTGCTCGATATCAATTGAACTGACTAAAGAAAAGTCGAAGATCCCAATTCGAAATTTCACACAGTTCATATTCTCTTTTACAAATACAAATACTGGAGAAGTAAAACCGATAGTAACTGAAGTTTTTGATGAAAAATACACTTTATATAGAACGATTGATGTGAAAAATTCCAACGGAAAGTATTTATTGACTTCAATTTTCACGCAAGTTTGCACTTCAAACAATTTTTCCAGAACGACATTTGAAAGAGATCACACCGACACCGTTATAATTACATACAAATCCTATCTACAACGTGTACGTGTCTTAAATATCACAGAACTTAAAGTTGTGGTAGTTATAAACAATGATTGTAATACTAGAAAATCGTATATATATAAATTATCTGATATATGTATATGGTCGTCGATGTCTCGTCGAAGTGATTAGTGTTACTAATTCGTGCCTTAATTTGCATTTGAACACAAAACATATCTTTCATGAACTTTCGTGACATTTTCCCATCCTAAATGTTAAATTTTGTGTTTTTCTCACAGTGATCGAATCTTATCAAATAGTTAGGAAAAAATGTTCTAACATTTAGACTACTTCTAGCGCTAAGCATTACAAGCTAACATAAAATGAACAGCTGAAACAAGTGACGGCCAATGATCATTCAAGATTGCAGTCATCTTCAATTAAAATGTCTTGAAGAAATTTCGGTAATTTGTGACTATGCCAAGACCAAAGTATAGCATGTGGAACAAATTACACGTACCTACCTTCGGTCCTTTCAGAAACTAATAGTTAAAAGACTGTTATTAGGCAATATTAGTACAGTTAAACAAATGACCGTCGGTATGGAGTAATGCAGTCTTCTCAAGCCGAAGAGTATTAACTAATCTAGTTCAATGCAAGTACGTACACGTATAGACGTGGTGCTTCTCTCGTTAAGGTAAAGTAGATACAAGGTCCTCAAGAAAGAAATGAAAAAGGAAAGCAAACCTTGAAACTTGATGCTCTAAATATACTCCCGTCTTCGCCTTGCAATCGCCATTCGTTGACTGGCAAATTTCCATTGCCAGCAGGACTGAACAGTCGGGGGTCGAGAACTTCGCAATCGAGATAATACAACTACGATTTCACAAATATGCGAAAAATTCACACCGAAAAAGCGCAGTTCACCGTGAAATGACTTACATGACTCCGAGCAATAAATCAGTGAAACATTTACTCTGCATTAAAAACGTGAAGTATAGAATATATCCTCGTCGTCTTTGTCTTTGTATTTCGTCATTTCCAGTAGCACTTAAAACTCGAAAACGGGAAGCAACAACTAACGCTAGTTTTGCAGTAGAATATCACAAGCTGGATATAAACAAGTTATAATTTAACATAATTTGGCTATCATTTAGTTTTAAATGACCTAAATAATTTACATCAGCAATGGCGGAAAAGGGAGGCTTTATTCATATTGTTGACGAAGTTTACGTTAAAATGTTTGCTCAGAGTTAAGAGATTATGCAATGCTATTATGCATGATGCATCAGTAATGTGTTGAAGTGTGATCAGGAAAAATATTAATCCTGATTCTTACTTGTATACGTTTGGAATTCCCCACAAGGTATTATTAGTACAATGCATGTAATCTACTCGGGAACACTGCTATAGCGTTGGATCAGTAACTTATATCGTACATCTCTGATCTTATATTGTTTAGACATAACGTTACGCATGATAGGTGAAGACAAGATGTCACATTAATCATTCACTAATCTTACCTTATTGCTTTATTCACCGTGGATTAATAAAACACTGAACCTCCATCATTCAACTGTGTTTCAATGAATTACATGTCCGAATATATTGTACTCTCACGGGTTGTATAGCCGACCCAGACACTAGTCTAGCAATAGTGTGAAATTTATTTTAATGCGGTAGCTATATCCTAAGGAAACCTTGGCAACGAAACGTTTATGCAAACTTTCACACAAAAGTTAAATGTGATATAATATATAGTTTTCATTTCATCAATAAACTAAATGAAACTGATAATACCGCATATAAATAAAAGTATTTGGTTTTAGGCGGTCTTTTTTGGGGTAATTTTAAGGTTAATTCTTTAGATCTTTGACGGAGCATTTCCTATTAGTAATAATGACCGTGATCAAACTGGCACAATTGCCTCACGAAGAAAATAGACTTTTAACCTTTAGGGCACTGTTAGACTATGCACCTTTTCTTGCAACTTGCAATGCAATTATAATTTTGGGGAATGTTTATATGCAAAGTGTTTAAAATGCTCTAAAAACGTTGGTCGTAAGAAATGTTCGTATTTGTCAACTTCAGATACATCAGGAGTAGAATTTCAGTGAACAGCGCCTTTAAGGTTAGGGGTTTATGGCATTGGCTCTTCGTCTCAGCGAAATATTTTGCCGGTTAATTTTATATGTGAGCAGTCAGCTAGAGTAATTTATTCGAGTGGTCTCTATTAAAAAAAATTCAAACGGAATATTTCGCACTTCGCCCAGACAGAAAGCGCGCATGGAGGCGTAAGGATCCGATCATCATTGGTCAATTTCAAGGGCATGTCAGTTTCACGCGTAGGGCTTCGCACTTCGCACGACAGAAAAAAGATTGATTTCGTTTTTATGCTGATTTTGGAAGTTTTCATGATTTACACGTACTTAGCCTTAGGATAGGAAAGCATCTTACCACAATTCTTGAAAGAGCGGTCATACTATTCTGGCCGCGAATAAAGAAAACATTAAATAGCCACAACCATGAATATGGACTATGGTTTTTAAACGACCTAGTTTCACAGTTGGAATAACAATCCCACGTTTAATTGAATTTGCTGGAGCTACGTATTATAACGTACATAGGAGGAAACAAAATCAAACAGAATTAGTAAAATTATCCTAAAATTTGTTATCATTTTCTAATGAGAATTTACGTTGCCAAATTCATGGGTGATCATGAAAACGTGATCATAAGATCCAAAAGCGGATTTTTAAAATATTTTAATCAAGTCAAAAACAACATGGTGCCTCAAGGTAAAAACAAAGATCAAAGGTCTCAATGAGACCACTCATGGATGCAGGAATAGCTTATAGCTGATTAATTGTTGGCTAGTAGACTAACCAGATAAACAAGTTTTCATTACTATTAAGCGTGCAAAGCAGGTTGGTCGAGTTAATGGCACTAAAGAATGCGAGACCATTAGTAGCGACCCTCTGCCGTGAGCCAAAAAGGACAATATATAGTTGTTAAAGAAAAATTCTTTCTCAAATTATATTGAAAGACCTGAAAAGTTACACAACAGGTAGAAAAAAGGGATTTTAAAAAATCACAGAAAAACCAGTTTCTATATATTGTTGCTTGTTACAAGTCTGTTGTTTACAAATCATCTGAGTTTAATTTTGGGTATTAAATTTAATCATATACACAAGAATGAACATAGTAGTTTTTATCTCACCAATGTTATTTCTTTGGTTTTGTAGTCTTTCTTTTTTTGCTATTTTTTGAACTATACTTTTCTTCCAATCCAGCTAAAAAATCATTCATTTCAGTTTCTCGTTTTTTCTGTTTAACTGCAATCATGGCAGCTAAATCCCCACTACTACCCATTCCAATTTCCATTCTGGCTTTCTCTGCTTCTGCAGCTTCTTTCTTTGCCTAAAGATGATCAAAATTTCATGTGTTGATTATATTAAGCTATGCTGATAAACTGCAAAGGAAGGGATTTGAAGGGTTGTTGGGGACCTTTAAAGGCAAGGTTTTGTATTGTTTCAAAGATGAAATCAGACAACCATCTATACCTTTTCCTTTCTTGCCTTCTTCTTCTTCTTATCCTCTTTTGTAAAGTTATCAAATTTTGGTAACTCTTCATTATCAATGGCATTTTGTAAAATTTTTTTAAACCGTGTCTCATCATCTTCAGTTGAACACATAACATGTTCACATATGCCTTCCATATCACCTTCACATCTAATATAAGCTGACTTGAGATCATTTAACTCTTCATCAGAACCTTTATACTGTTTTTCAAACTTCTTAATATCTTCTTCAGTAATTTTCGGGAACAGAACTCTCCAGTAATACATCCAATCTCGCTCTTGTTGAACCATTTCCTCACCAACCTCACCTGTCTCGTCATAAACTGCACGAAGTTCTTTATTCGCCAATATAGAGTAAACTTTACTTATTGCTTGAAATTTCTTGGTAGCTAATTCTTTTTGATCACTGTCCACTCTATCTGGATGAACTTTTAGTGATAAACGCCTGTACGCCTTCTTTATTTCTGCCTCAGATGAATCTTTTTCAACGCCGAGAATCTCGTATAAGCCCTGGGCGCCAAACAGAGAATTTAATTCTTCCAAAAAGCTCATTTTCAGGTGAGAATAGAAAGATCGAGTTCCAATTTCAAACGAGATTTCAAAGACTTACAAGAACACAGACGAGATACAAGTTTCCCGCCTCTTTGCGCCTGCTTTTTCTGTGTCAGTGGTATAACGGAAACGACGAGAATAATTCATGTAAATCATGTATCATTAGACCGATGGTATAGTGGTATGGTTGATGAACTTCTAGATACGTTAAATGAAAAGTGGTCAATAAAAGTTTTTTTGGAATGTCGGAAAGACGGGAGTTCGACAATCCATTTAATGAGGAAATTGGTGAACAGGTATTAACTGATGATGCAGGCAAGGTAGGTACCTCAGTGGGTAGCATTCTTTATGATGGTTAATGATGGTACAATTTTTATGGTCAGCCCGACTCAGCCGACTATTATAGTGGCCATGCCCATGCATGTCGTCTTTCCGTCATGGATATTGGGATTGATCATTCTGTGACCATGTTGTGTATATAAAAGTAATATTATGTAGGCAATTGTTGTTTCAGTTTTGTGTGACATATTTGTGTAGGTTTCTGAACCATGGCATGGTTTATTAAAGGCAAATATTGAAAAATACTTACAGCAGTTAGAAAATGGGTTAAAACACACTGATCCCAATGATTATTCTGTCTATACTGGATCATCAGGTACCATAAGTTGATTAATAAAGCAGGCACAATGGGCAGGCAGTTTTAACCTGCTCATTAACACCACACTATAGATAGGCCAGAATGGTATAGGTCCTCTATAGGTATATCAGGTCCTCTACAGTATGCACTTTTGCTATACTTTCTATTGTATGCAACATCAAGTGAATATAATAGATGCAACTTACATAACAAGCAGTAATGATAATTTGACTTTGTTTAGGTATTGCTCTTCTCTACTACAAACTTTCATCAACAGCATTTTGTCAAAGTACCAATAACCAACAGCAGTTGCTCTCTCAAGCATCACACATTTTGGAAAGCAGTTTGCCAATGTTAAAAGGAAGACGTCATACCTTTCTTTGTGGTGATGCAGGTATGGAGTACTAGCTAGTGCATAGAAATTGCATATTTTGCACAACAATTCTTTATTCAAACTGGTAGGAATACATTACACAAAATACTCATTCCATAGGTATCTAATAAATAAATAGAGTGTGTATTGTGTAATTTTATTGTGTAATTTAATTTTTCAACAAATAGCAAAACTTTCATCTTTTCCTCATGCAGGTGTTTATGCCTTATCAGCTGTATTGTATTCAAAACTTGGAAAGACAAACAAATGTGAAACATACATCGAAAAACTGTGTGCAATGTGTGAAGTTGTTGTATCCGATCGAACATTACCTGATGAGATGTTGTATGGCAGGGCTGGATACCTGTACTCTTTGTTGTTTGTACAAACTCATTTGGGAAAAGAAGTAATTTCCAGTGCAATAGTTGAACAGGTGATACTACAGGCTCTGTAGAATATGGCAGTTTTATCAAATTACAAAGGTCCCCTCTAATAATACATCTTGTATGTATATGTTGCCTGTATATTAACAAGCTTATGCTCTGGTACATTTGAAATTCTTATCATTTGAGATTCTTAATTATCATATTTTATGTCATAATTATAGGTTGTTTCAGCTATATTAAAATCTGGTCTGGCCCTCTCACGTAAGGAAAAAAGTCGCAGTCCACTAAAGTATGCATGGCATGGTAAACATTACGTGGGAGCTGCTCATGGTATGGTTGGAATATTGTACATGTTGCTGCAAGTAAGTGGTCCAAAATTTATTTAGCAGTTGCAAATGTTTTATACTGTAATTAGTACAAAAGAAGACAACGGCTAGCTGATGAAATATAGAATTGAATTACTTTGTAATTCCAAGTGAGCTTAATTTATTTCAGGTGTACCCAAGTAGTCCTGTGGTGCAGCAACATACTACAGAAATCAAGAACACTATTGAGTATCTTCTTTCGAAACAATTCTCATCAGGAAATTTCCCATCATCTTTGGAAAATGACTCAGACAGGCTTATCCACTGGTGTCATGGTGCCCCTGGGGCTGTGTATTTGATGTTAAAAGCTTATCAGGTGATTAAAATGACAATAATCTGATTTACATGTATATCTGGCAAACTTTATAAGATTGTGGCAAGCGTCGAAACGTGTGGGAAACTGCATATATGCATGTGGAAGCTTTGCCTAAGACCAGAGTTAGTTACATCTTTATTATCTGTGGAGAATCCATATACTCTGGGCTGTCGCTAGAAGCTTAATTTGGAGAGGGGGTGTGTATTCATATATTCATGTTCGTACGACCGGTACGTGAAACAATAGCTAACAAAAGAAATCAATCGGGCATAAATGAATATGCACCCCCCCCCCAATTAGGCTTCTAGCGACGGCCCTGTCCATATTACATTTCAGCTCTTTTTATTTATGCAGTTGCCGGAGATACGAAGATACGAATGAATATCAGTCAGTATTTGTCTGTTGCGTCTTCCTTTTATAGCTATTTAAGGATAAGAGGTATCTTGATACTGCTATCTTGTGTGGTGATGTTGTTTGGAAAAGAGGTTTATTAAGAAAGGGTTATGGTATATGTCATGGTGTCTCGGGAAATGCCTACACTTTTTTAGCGCTGTATAAACAAACTGGTGATCAACTTTATCTTCATCGAGCACTCAAGGTAATTGAACATAGCTTACTGGTTTAGTTGAAAAATTTAACAAAATATCCGAACCGCCTTGAATACGTGATCGCAAAATGCTTTTAGAACTACATTAACACGTTTAAATATACCACGACGTATCATATTAGACAAAGATTACTAGATTGGTCCAATTTTATGTTCTTATTGTTGGTTGAATAAAAATTAGCAACATTAAATAAGTGCCTTTATGTAGTTTGCTGAATGGACGTTTTCTTATGGTGAACACAACTGTAGAACTCCAGACACTCCCTACTCCCTATTTGAAGGTAAAGCTCTTACGTTCACGCTCTCAGGAGTCAAATTATGTATAGCCTCGAAATTAGAGTGTATTTATATACCTGCAGGCTGTAGGCTATGTGTGTAGGCTTACTTGCGGTTTAGGTTACTGTAGGAAATTTTAAACAGTCTTTGTGTCATAATTTACATTTAAATTTCTCACGTGTAGGACTTGCTGGAACCCTTTACTTCTGGTTAGATCTTTTCGAGCCTCAGAAATCTCTCTTTCCAGCATTTGAACTTTAAAGATTTAATTGTAAGTTGAATTATCACCACTTAATTAAAGATATTGAACTATCACTAGTGCAATCCTATAGTATTTGAATGGCTAATAACGCTCTTCCAGTGATGACGTACAGCGGCCAAAGCCGAACCTCCCGAGGTTGCTAACCTCCGGACTCCGGCCGCCATTGCTAGTTTTTTGTTTTCCCCAGTATTGGATTTTTTATAAATTCCACATAACAATATTCAGAGTTGAAACATGGAGCTTCGTCAATCTCAAATAAAATAATTTTGTTGATGAAGTCAGGATTTCCATTCAATGCACTGGAAGGGACGTATAACGTTTGTTGAGGTCCTTTGGCTGGCCAGTATCTTCCAAGGTTGAATGTGTTGACAAATGCTTGACCCTTTAAATTAAAAGTAGAGTTTGAAAAAAAATTCTGGATAAAATTTGGTGCAAATATTAACTTATAGTATAGTTTTCAGTTAGACTCCAGCTCCAACTGTCAGAGCTTTCAAAGTGAGCTTATTAAGCAAGTGACGTTTTTCACAAAACGAAGGTTGACGGAAGTAAAGTTCTTTTTTTAACCAATCACAATTCTTGACCCAGTCTTTTGACGTTACTCATGCCGTTCGTGTTGTCGTCACTTGCTTAAAAAACGTAACTTGCTTAAGCTCGCTAATAGAAAAATGGTCGCGATTAATGAACTGACCTTGGACCAATTCTTTAACCCTTTCCTGCATAAATTTTGATTTTTTAAGGAAAAAAATATCTGATGGCAAATTATACATATTTGGGCAGGCTCTTTGTCATCTGAATAATAAAAAAAAAAATTGGGGGGTTTTCGAGGGTATTTTGGAATTGTTGCTCTGGAGCAACATTGTGCAGAAATGGTAAAATAATATGGTAGTGTAAAAGAAACTAGAGACAGAGCTATATGTTCTGAAGTATCTTATTTACCTAGAGTAATCATGCTAATGACAATTATATACAATTATTTACAATGGAAGTCTTCAAAGACTTCTAAAACAGTTCTTCCCTATCACCAAGCATAGGTGGACTTAGCACTTTGAGATAGTGCTATATTGTTCTGAAGTCTCTTATTTTCCTGGAGTAATTATGCTATGGACTATGATTTACAATTATTTACAATACTATTTACAATTACTTACAATGAAAGTCTTTAAACAGTTCTTCCCTCTCACCAAACATAGGTGGACTTGGCACTTTGTACATTGAATAAATGAATATCCTTTTGGACAATGGCGACAGCGCTGTTTTTTCTCACTAAAATCAGGCATATGTCCAACCCCATCATATCTCACATCAGCTATGGGAGTAGGGATTACATGACACTTGGTTTTCTTCTTTGGAGGGGGTGTCAAGGACGGTCGGCCGCGCTGTGGTTTTCTGACCTTGTCCACCATAAGTAGGGCAGTTGCAACTTGTGTCTGAAATTTTAGGAGATCCATTTGGGCTTTTCCTGGTACATTTTTCTGGGATGCATGTCTTCGATAGAGCAGCCAACCATTGACAATTGAAAGGTTGAGGCAATAGTATAGGATGTGCATGTAGAATTTTGTGGAGCGTAACTTGATTCGATACAAGGCCATCAGCATATCACATAAGTCGACACCACCCATGTGCTCATTATATTCCTCAACTATCTGGGGTCTTGGTATTTCAACATGCTTTTTCTCTTTCGTTGACCATCGCTTAGCTGGTGTTCCCATGGAATTTCCTACATGGTTGGAGATCAACTGAACCAAGCCATTATCCATCCATCTCACTATAGTAATATTTGTATCAGCATCAACACACCAGTCAGAAGAACCCCGTCCTTTCTTGCTCAACTCTTTTTTGTTGTTTAGCAATTTTTCCGCCCCTTTCAATCGATCAGCTCTAATCGTACCAACAGCCCAGATTCTTGCTTGTTCTAGATGCCGTAGTAGATGGACTGAGGAAAAATAATTGTCAAAATACACTTTGTGCCCAACATTCTTTGGAAGGGAACTACACAAATGCCTGACAACATTGCCACCTACTCCTAGGAGGGGATCATCGTCCTCTGATCCAGAGCCACTTCCAGTGTATATTTGAAAATCATACACCATGCCACTAACTCCACATCTTGCCCACACCTTTATACCCCATTTGTGTGGCTTCTTTGGGAGATATTGTCGTAGACCAGTTCTACACTTTGTAGGAATGATTTGTTCATCAATCGAGTGCTTTTCTTCCTGGGGGAGTAGCTTGCATTTCTCCAAGACGGAATCAATCACTGGTCTCACTTTGAATAATTTGTCGTGGTTGGGATTATCTCTTGGGAGCATTTCTGTATTGTCATTGCAATGCAGGTACTGCTTCAGCTTGTCGAACCGGCCCACACTCATTGTGTCAGCAATCGATGGAATACGAGTGCCATTGCTCCAATACATTCTATACTGAGGTTGCTTGATTACACCCATCATCAACAGTATTCCAAAATACTGCTCTAGTTCATGTTTGGTCATCTGAACTGATTTTCCACTTTTTTGCACCGAATACAGGTTACTTTGATCAACAATATGATCAAGAAGTTCATTGCCAAAAAATTGTTTGAAATATTCAATGGTGTCAGTTCATTTTCAGGTGGATCAGGAAAGGGGGCTCCAGTAAACATAGTATCAACATCAGCTGGCAATTTTCTCTGCCATCGGTAAGATGTTTCTTTACTTTTATTCTTTGAGCTCTTTTCACCTGATGGTTGTGGTGCATCATTATTTTGCTCTTCATCCTCTGAATCATAATCACTTGATTCATCAACATCATTGTCGGGAATAAAAGTTTCATCATTTGACAAACCCAGATTTTCTAAGGCCTGTTCTGAATTGTCCTCCTCTGAACTGCTATCATCACCAGGGACAATTACATTTGTGATCCTTGTTTCAGTGTGTATGCCGCTATCTGTCAACCGAATTCTTTGATTACGACTCTTCCCATAAAAACTTGCTGTTGAAATACTATTTGCCATTTGCCTAAAAAACACAAAAATTCAAATTATATCATGTGAAGCCAGCAAGTATTGTTGATACCCCACTGTATCTGTATTCTAGCATTCAAAATATGAAAAATATAATCATTTCGTTTGAATAGCACCATATTTTTGCCTATATTTCATTGAATTCAATACATAAACGCTTTACACGCTTTTTTAAGTGTATATAAGGTCATATTTTGTAGTAAAAGCCGTCGAAAACCATGTGGTTCTTTACTAATTTGTATACATATTTGTATCCCGTACAGCCGTACTGCATGATGTTGCTTCACAGCAACGATTAATAATGCATTATTTTCGTCAAAATAAATCGCAAAATCTGTCCAAAGAGTATTCAAGATACATCAATATACTATTAAATATAATATTTCAATATAAAACTCAAGTAAAACACAGCTTACCTTAGTGTTTAATTACATTGAAGTTTGAGCGTCGTGACAGTCCGCCATTTTACAGCGTGGTCGAAGAAAATTTATTCAGAATACTTTGTATAAGCAAAATATAGCTATCCCTGCATGCATAATAAATTGTTAGATGCTTCTCTTGAACCTACAGGGGACCCACGATGATAACAGCTAATTGCCGAATTTTAATTAAATTATGAAAGATTGTTGCTCAGGAGCAACACTGTGCAGGAAAGGGTTAAATAGAGAAAAGTATCAAGTGGTGCTTTGCCATCAGGCATTGCAGGTATATCGCCGACATAAAACGATGCTGGCTCGGAAGGTCCCGAAGGCGAGCCGACTTGATCAGATTTGTTAAGTATAATTGCTACGTCATCGGGATCGAGACTTAATGGGAAAATTGTCCAATTGGTTAGAACAGCGTCGTGCAATGTTACATTTTGTATTACTCCTTTAGGATCATTTAGTAACATGAAGTTGATGTGGCCTTGATTTTCCACTAAAATGTCAAGAATGTCATTTTCTTTAAACTCGATACCAATACTCCCGAGACCATTTCTGTCAAGAACACCTTGCTTTTCCTGTAGATATCAAATAATATAGCAATATAAAGTAATAGCGATAATGCAAATACAGTTGAGTATTGTAATTTATATACTCGAGTTGTATATAAAGTTTCAAAATTGTTTTGTCATTAAACTCAATTGACTTCGACTGTATCTCTTTCGGTCTGACCTGGTTTAAGAAAATGGTCGCTCTGTCTCGTACTCCTGGTATGTTCAATAATGATGAGCCTGATTTTTGTCTCAACTGTGTTCTGTAAATTGTGAATCCATGAACTTGGCTGATTTGTTCCGCAGTCACAGGATATTCGGATATAATAGGTTTACATGAAGGGAGGACTTTTAGAACATCCCACACTGATAATAGCTGTAAAGAGTTTCGAAAAGTCTCTATATTAAACATTTTTAGACGATTGCTTGTCTGTCAGTCGATGTTTGGGAAATATAAATTGAAAAATATGTACACATCAATTATTCTATCACCTTTTTCATTAATCTCAGTAAACGGATCTGAGAGACACATCTATCTTGTACTGACTTTATGCATCAACTAATATCAATTTAAATATAGTAACCTTCTTTAGGTAGACTTTTCCATATCCGTGCTTAGGCAGTGCAGGAGGTACTGGGCCGGGGGGTTGAGGTGAATACTTGGAGATCACATTTCGTAGTGAAAAATATTTTTCGGTGGGATCACCAGCTTCAGACAGTGGAGCATCATAATCATAGCTTGTAAGAACTGGCAGGTAAAGCAATGCCCACGTTGCTCCTAAAATATAATATTTTTAAAAATATATAAAAATACTTCGTATCATGCAAAAGACAGTGAGCATGCAGATGTAACGTATTTTTTAGAAATTATACACTTCTCTTCTTTACTGTCTCATAGTTAATATTTTAAGACTGTTTTTACCATCGCCATTGGATATATAGACATTCCTACCATTATTAAATCCAAAATTACTGCCTCCTTCAAACATATAAATATTAACTGAAGCATTCATTGAGAGTAATTTATCAAGAGCTGTTGAAATAATCGTGGCATTCTTTCTTTGGAACGGCAGACCCCAATTATCAATCCAACCAACGTAAAATTCCGTGTTGACCATTGGACCATTTGGTTGATATTTCCGCAGTGTCTTTAGCGCAACCTCAGGATCTGTTTCTGCATGTAAAAAGATAACTGAGTTGAGTAATTTTATCAAATATAGGAGCTTTTTGAAATGATTGCACACATTTTAGTAAAGCGGCCGCTAAACGGGCAATTTTTTGGGCGATTTTCTCTTTCTAGCGCACGTTATTGAGTGAATTATGGACACAGTTTTATAAGCTTGACGAAGCAAATAAGCTAGTCTGTTAATAAAATGTATACTCAATAGCATACACCAGGAGGAGAAAGTCGCTGTCTAGCTGCTGAGGCTTAGGTGATTTTTTTCAGTTATTTCTGGATTGTAAACAATTTGATGAATTACTTTGGCCGATGTATGTAGCGCTTATATAAAGAATAAAATAAAGCCAAACTGTTGGCTTAGCGCTATACCCTTTATCTATATTTTGCCCGTTTTGTGAACTTGCGCTTTTACCTGGTCCAAAATCAATTGTTGTAAAGAGCGATGAAAGTGTTCCACAATTGATGTCAGATTTTAGACCAATAGGATCCACGGTAAATAATATGACGTCATCACTAAGATGTTTTTGAAACAAATCTTGCAAATACCTCATGTAATTATGGTCACACGTGTAATAACTTCCATACTCATTTTCAACCTGAAACCAAAGCATTATCTGAAATTTCACGCCCTGAAGACTCGCCTGAGCCATAGTAAATTTAGTAAACTGACAACATTGCAATTTTTCATGGTGTCCATCAACAAAATAGGAAATCGCGGCATCTTATCACTATTTTTATTACTCTTCAGAGTAACTATCTTATAGTAACAGAGTTATATAACTAAATCTTACCCGAAATGTGTCTTACGAACTTGTAAAATTCGTTAATTAATAAACATTTACCTGAACAGCAATAATTGGACCTCCATTCGCATACAAGTACGGTTTTAATTTAGGGAGAAGAACATTCATCCATGATGTAACGGCAGATAAATAAGCTAAAGAGAAAGAAAAATGCACGATCTCACATGAGTAGGCAAATACTATTGTATAGTGGAATGACTGGTACTCTTTCAATGCTTGACAAAATCTCAATGTTCTTCAATATATGAATAAACCAAATATGGATATAGATGCAATTAGAATATTTTTCTTTTTCTACCGTGATCAGAGGAACGTAAAACCATAGAGCTGTTTCGTAGTAGCCACGATGGTAACCCTCCCTAAGGTCAAGAATAGATACACAATTGTTTTATAATTTTGTTCGTTTATTCCTTCGTTTTGACCGGTGGGTAGTAAGTGTTGATGTTCCTGGCCATAAATTGATGAATATGTTTCTAGCCCTTCTCGGTTTTCCTTCTTTAGGTTAGGACTAAATGATTTATGAGTCCGCTAAAAATAAGCTTACGAACACCGACTCTTACCAAATCCCATTCTGCACAAATGTAAGGACCTACAGATAAAAGTCAAGATAATTAAAATTCGGAAGAAGCTTCTCACTTTTCGTGGTTTATCAGTGCTAGAAGCTAGAGCTTACTATGTCACAGACAGTGTGTGGGATAAGATACCATTGTTGGCATTGTATTCACATCTAATGAAAAAAGTATACCGCTTGTAGACACTTCTTGTGTCTTTGGAATAATAGCTTGGTCATGCACGTCATATGTCCGCCAAATTGGGGCAAATTTGAGAAAAGTTTCAATAAAAACAGTTTGATTGTGTAAAGTTCCATATGCTCAGTCCATAAGTATGCGAGTACAAACCGGTCTCATGGTGGAACGGCAAAGAAAGTTGTTCCTGGTGAGGCTTATAGGGCCAATACAGATATTTGAACAACAATATTTACCTGGTCTTAAGATCAACAATAGTTCTAAACTATTAACAAGCTTGACAAAGAATTCAATATCAGAATCGTTATTAAAATTGTATTGACCCTGTCTTGGCTCGTGAAAATTCCATGCCACATACCTATAAAGCATTGAAGAAAAAAATGGTGTAATGATATCAAAGATAAATCAGTAAATGAAACATGGACCGAAAGCTCATGATCGAGTCTTATTCCCCCTGCATGTGGCTATAGGTGCAATAATCTTGGGTCACTGATGACTGATTAGTCTATAGTATCAAATCAGCGTTCGCTGAAATGTATGAAAGCCATATTTACTGTCAGTATATTTCGTAAGAGCGTTTATGACCATGAAGTTGGTAAAGCTAAAGCATGCTCCAGCAAATTCAATTATTTGTAGTTTTCCTCACGTTTGTACAGTGTTCAAACCAGCTGCTTTCATTTTCATTAAGCGATCTTTCCAATACACCCGAGGTATTCTGAAGTAATGAATTCCTCCGGAAATGTATTGAAACGGCTTGCCATCCTTGAGAAACACATTATTCTCGTAGTCGATGGTGAATGAACGTTGATTAAAAAAAGCACCGCTACTACAAGCAAAAACATTGAGGGAAATAATGACAAAGTTAAACCGAAGCATTTTGAATTTATTTTGCGACGCCAGTGGCTAGGCTGTTCATAAACATGGACATATAGTGATTATAGTCTTGCGAAATATTGTCAGTGTAACTCCAACTTGTCATAAGATTGCAAAAACAGTATCGTATTACAAGTTCAACCAAGTGAACTAACGTTGTATGTCAATTTGTTGAGTCAGTTCGGGTGCATGTATTCATATTGTGGTAAAAACCTTAAAAATTTTACGATTAAAAAAACGATTAAAACTTTTCCCTGATTATATAATAAAGTACCAAAATTTGTCAAAATATAATTCAGCCTTCTTCAGAAGAAGCTATTTCTCATTTGATCAGTTAACCTCATAGTGAGGTGAAGACTCTAATAATAAAATGGTGTATAACAAATCCAGGTTTTCTTGATCGGATCAACATTTGTTTCGTGTACCTGGCTGGTACCATACATTAATTCCTATAGTAACTTAGGAAGGTAATTCAAAAATTTAAAGGTTGACGTAACTAGTTACGCACTTTTTATTTATGTTTTCCGTATTTACTTGGCTTATGCGTCATATTATCTTCCAGGAAGGCGCTTCAACAGTCACACTATTTGGCACTTACGTATGCACTCAAAGTCTTTGTCATTTTTCTGATCCGGTTGTTTTAACTCATCTTATAAATATCATGCACTGACAATTTGAACATTCAGTAATATAAGTAGTTGAGTTGGAATAAGAACTATAAACAAGTTAAATTAGTTACAAATTTTTAAAATCTGAGAGACTGTATTAGCGTATATTCTCCAAAATGTCAAAAGCAAATAAAGTTTTTATTTTCTTTCTGACATTTCTCTGCATATCAAGGTTTAGTCTTCAGTGTTTACCACCATTTGGTTGGACTCCTCCATCGATCGAAGAACGAACTCGGCGAGCTCCCTTGGTCGTTCGCGCAAGTTTGTTTAAAAAGATTCCCAGTAGTGGTGCCTTGTTGATAGCAAAATCGTTGCCGTTGGGCCCCAGTGATTCATACACTGCATGTTTGAATGTAACACAAGTGTACAAAGGGGAGCTGCCTGTTGGTGATATTTGTGCAACTGGGTTTGGTGAACCGGTGTTTTGTAAAACAGATTTGGCATCTGGAGTCTCTTATGTTGTATTTCTGAATACTGACCCACTTAGTGCGCGTTATGAGTTTATTGCTCCAGCTGCGGTACCCTATAGCGAAAATGTCTTTGCACAAGTTGATAGAGGTGTTTGCTGCTCGAAAGAAATTATAGGCAAGTAAATAAATATATAGCTTGTTGCGTGCATGGTTGTTAAGCGTTTAGCTTAGCAGTAGGGTGTAACAATACACTTTCACAAAAATCTCCCTTCATTCTTTATACTATAGACATGGCTTGTACCCGATCACTCGTTTGCCGCAATTCGCCCAGCAAGGCATGCGAATGCAAGAACTTAAACTAAAGAGCTTCCCGATATAAGAGAATTTGGTAAGCAAAATAACTGAAGGTTTGCTAGATCATTTTTGTCCACAAGGACTTAACATATGATTCATCTCTGGCTGAATAGAGGGCAAAGAGAATTATACCCTACCTTGTTTAAAATATATTCCATTATTCTTTTTAGGTGATCATGCATAATCTGTGAAACTTGTGAGGAAGCTGAGAGTGCTGACATTTATTAACTCAATATTAGCTTGAATTTTTTAGAAGTAGAATGAACTATTCAATTGTTGTTGAATTAAAAATTAAAAATTGTTGTTGAATGAAACTTTTGAACTATACAATGTGACTCACGAAATGTACTATAAGTTATTTAAGTATATGTACGTTTAGCAAGAATGTATTGCAGAGGACATGAATAAACTAAGAGGTAAAAACCGGAAAAACTTTGAATTCACCTTTATCGTGAGGTTCGATTTAAAGACAGCAAATGAAATAGCCCTTTGTTTTTTGTTTCTAAGAGAGATAAATCTCTTCTTTTGCAATTTCCGTCGGCACTACTCTATATATTTGCATGCACTTCCGCCATTATTCTCGGTCATAGTTTATGAACCTGTTTATGATGAAGTAGAAAATCGCATATTAATATTAGATTATTATTTTTCTACATGATTTATTTTCTATTCGTGAAACACGTTAAATTTCGACTTTTAGCTATAGCCTGGTTATAGTAAAACACGTTAGGTGAACTTTTAACAAAAGTTAGTTGTTTAACTTTTTTAACTTATGTCACTTTTAAGTCTTAACTTAATGCCTTAATGCCAACGGGGAATGTGATCCCCCAAATGGACTACGCAGTCCTGACATTATAGTCACATTATAGTCGCATTGGTTGGTCGCAAAAATTGAAAGTCATCAGTGAAATTACTTTATCTCATTGATATTATCCAGTTTTACAAAGTTTCATATAGGACAATTCTTTTTTGGACTGGATGCGCAAACCCGACTGGTCGGACCACGTTCAGACCATGCGCAAACCCGGCTGGTCAGACTGGATGCGCAATATTACACATATTGTATAATTAACAATCATTCGCCCAGCCTCGTATCCAGGGTCTTGATATTCCACCACATTTTTCTTCCCTTCTTAATAATGACGTAATGGCGGAAGTTCTGAAGTTTCTATAAACAACAAAATCGAAATATGATAAAAATCGATATTAGAATTAATATTTACTTGACTAGAAGTCAGTAAAACAATATATATTAATATGGCTACAGCTGAGGAAGAACATAAAGCTACAGATGTTTTAATAAAATCTCATTATGATCAAGCTACGAGGTTCGTAAAAATTGTAAAAATTTTAATATAAAGTTTACTGCAGAAGAATAATTAAACAACCCTTAATCTGTAAAAAATGTATAGCTATAAAGTATGTACAATAACACAACTGTTAATTATTCGTGTTGTTTATGATATGTTTATTGCTCCTGTAAATATTTAGATATTGTTCTAAATGTAAATTTATTTTTTTATATATTCTTTTATCATAGATAGAGTTAAGAGTTTGCACTTAGTAATAATTAAACCATTATAAATATAAACATATATATTTATCTATTTAACTACACCAAGCTATATTCTTAGCAATGAAATCATGATAGAATCAGAGTTAGTAGGACAAACTCAAATGAAGGTTTTTCTACCTCTTCATCCATAATCCATATAGGTATTATGTTTTTACATTAAAGATTATACTATCTTCACCCTCTTACCATTTTCTTAGTAGCATTAAATATGTTGTGGATTTTTTTATCAATTTTAATTGTTGTAGGGTAAAATCATTGAGTTGAATAAACCATTATTTATCTCAATGGGTAAAACCAATTTAATTATGTATACATTTTGGTAGACACATAGGTAAAGGAATAACATGTGATGAAAACAATGACAAGGAACAAGCAAACACTTATTATAATAAAGGTAAAACATACAATCTTGAAATTCTTGATGCCATGCAAGTATAACATTTTCACCTGCTATTGATTATTTGCCAAAAGATAAACATGAACCTGCAGATCGAGAGACAGACCATATTAATATATATTTCAGCCTTAAGGAGTATCGATGTTGGATTAGCTATGAAGATTTCTAACTCTTCTCCCAATGCTGAGAGGTCAAGGCAACTTCATGAAAAACTCCAGAAGTATGAAAACATCTTTTAGAATCGTCTGATTTCAACCTTGTACACAGGTTAAATTTAAGAAATATGGATTTTTTTAATGCAGGTTAAAGGTTCAAGTTAAGAAAAGGCTTGAAGCTTTAAACACAGATGTAAAAGAACGAGGAAAACCTCCTGCAAGACCACCTCCGCCAATTCATGTGAACTCACAAAAGAAAATTCCCCACAGTTACATTCCAACTGTGACCAACAATGAACAAGGCAGTGTCCAGAGTTGGGAAGATGCAAGAGAATTATTTTCTGTTGGAAATAGTATGTAATGCAAGCCAATGAAGGAATTTAGCAAATTAGTTTCATATCAGATGTACAACCTTACTTGACCCCACATTTCCACTATTTGCCATATATTTTCATTAAAATATTGTAATTGTTATTACATTTTTAAATGCCCACAATTATATTTTTATTTAGGTGTAAATATGTTTTTTGTGTCAAAAGAAGGAAATGTAACAACTTTACATCAGCCTCAAACCCTTCGTGCCTTGCAACTAGTAAATGAATCCTCAGGTTTGTTCAGACAATCTAACAATTTTTAGCCCCTTTCATGTGGTATCATTAAGTTTGAAATGAAATTGTATAATCCAAACTTGTATATTTTACAGTGTTTTAGAAAAGATTGTAGTTGATTATACGTATATCCCACTATTCATTATGGCTCATAATATGTATTCTAACTCAATGTTTCTTGACTTAAGACTCGTCTAGCCCAACAGTCTTTCTACAATGTGGATCGTGGGTATTTCCTTTGGTTCCTGGACGATCTCCTGTGTTAAAAACTGAAGATAGAACTTTCATGATTCCAGACATAAATCTGGATGGTGAAGAGACATCGAAAGGACAATTGACCGAAGGAAAGTTCCCAACAGTCGGACTAGTGTTCTCTTCAGACGTGAGCGAAGGCCAGGTTAAGAGATTTGAGAGAATTTTAAAGTGCTATTCAGATTACAGACATTATACCCCAGAATGTAGTAGTCAAGAAAATGATAGAGCAGAAAGAATTGTTCCAACAGCACCACCTGCAGAACAACCTGAGACAATGACACCAGAGAGCGAAGACACAAGAACAGCACTAGTTCCAGTCGGCGATGAGAGTCTCACGCCCTCTAGTGACGAACAGGTTTGTTTTACCTCTTTATACGCTAAAAAGAGGTTTCTCTCTTTAATAAAAATTTGTTAAATCTAGCACTCACGCTCATGAAAAACTAGGACGTTTTCGTTCCTAATGACCAAATATATTTATCTCTTTCCAGCACTCAACCTGGGGAGCAAAGGTTTCAAGGGTAAATATTTCTTTCAGTTTTGTTGATAAAAAAAGTAAAATAGACGTTAAAAAAGAATTTCGTTTCCACAGGGCATTGAAGTTGGGGCTGTTCTCATCTCGTGGGGTTTGAGCAAAGGTGCTACAATTGGTGGAAATCTAATTAATCAAGTAAAAAACTGTTACTTTCTCCCATCTTATAGTAATTATTATGGTCAGCTCAAATTTTCCCTGTAGCAATTTGAGTATACTTTACGATAGGGATCGGAGAAGCTTCGTGGAAAAATAAAACCAAACGAAGAGTCAGCGAAGATTGATCCGAAAATTGAAGATAATGTACGGCAAATTAAAACAGCTACAGGTGATTACTGCAGGCTAGCTAATCACGTTATTATGACACAGAAGTATTATTCTTAATTAGGGCCAAGTTAAAAGGTACAATTGTTAAACGAGATGAAGTCTGGTTCTCACATATGACCTATTGTCTCAGCACCTACAGTAAGGTGACGCAAAATGACCTTGAAAGGTCTTTTGCCATTTGCCATATAGGTTTTATGGAGTTAAAAAAATATTAAATCTGAAAAAGTCTAATAACATTTGTTGAACTGATTATTTAAGATGCCCAACTTCGTTTCCTCCCATTCACTGTTTGTCTTGCATTCAAATTAGTCAGTTGGTATAAATATAATGTTTTATAATAAATTTTCTCAGGTGTTGCCTGTCAGGTATCGTCAGCAATCGTATCTGCAGTTTCAGCCTTAACCTATCAACTTGGAAAACAACTTGCCCCCATCATTGTCGAGCAAGGTTCTAAGGTAGGAGTTTCTTAAAGAGTTTTTTGCAGGCACGTTCCACTAGCTGATAAAGTTCACCTAAAATTACCTATGTCAAGATTTTCGATGAATAAATTTGTCGTCACACTGTCTAACAAGTTTTACTCAAAAAAGTTCCCGACATAACTTTTTTGCAAAGTATCAATATTAAATCTACAGGAATGTAAATGTAGATTTATCGGCTTTTTGTTTAGCTACTTCCACAATCTGCAAAACAAAACAGTAGCGATGGAAAAGGTCACATTCAAGAAGTAATGAAAGTGGCAGTCGGTGGTGTTCAAGGTATATTGAATAGGGGATAGTCTATTTGGCGCGGGTCGCGGGTCTATCCCATTGAATAGTTGTGGTGTGCTTTACTAAAGCCTAAAGTGGTCAACCTCTCCACCTCATTCCCATGGTATCCGCTCTGCCCCCATTTGAACGAGGTTGTTAATACATACGAGTCATCAATAATTGTTAGAGACAACAATTTTATCCCGATACCAAAGATAGCAAATTATCATTTAAACTGCTGATCAGTTAAATTGTTTTAGGCATCGCTGTTGTTCATGAGGGATTAACGAATGCGTGGAAAATCTTGTACTCTAGTCTCTCTCAAGCGACGGTTACAACAGTTGATCATAAGTACGGGTTTGCGCACAATGAACTGGCTGCATGGCACTTTCATTTACCGTATAGGAATATTTATCCCTGTGTTTCAATCTTTTTGCTTCGCCTTCAGGTATGGAGAGCAAGCTGGGAGAATTACTGGCGATGCCATGGGAGCTGTTGCTAATGCAGTTGAAGTGAGGAGCTGTTTTTGATGGCCTTTGATTCCACTTGATTGTGATGTATTTTGCCTCTTAAAAAATACATTTTCTAATGTATGTTATTTGTATTTCCATAGGCTTATCATAATGTCAATAATCTTGGATACAAGTAAGTGCTGTCTGAACTTCGTATAACTCTGGGCTGGACTGGATATAGAGGTTTTATTAAATCGCTCAAAAATTGCCCGATGTTTGCAATAACTGTTATTTGCTTCATATCTGTATTTTTATTGCTTTTTAAACCTTTTCACAAATTTTCACAAGTATGCTAAATTGTAAACCATAAAATATACTAATTGTTAATACCATATACCACACACAATCTTCAGTTACACACCAAATCTCAGCCGCCACCACTGGCTTGAAGATCTCACTGCGCCTGCACATATACCTGTGTATGAGCGATATAAATTTTCTAGGTCTATTGATCTCTTGCAAGTGACGTCGTCGCTCTTACAATCCTTCCGCGTCATTATAGCCGCGTTGAATTTTTTAGTGCCATGCACTAGTATGGCACTACTAGTCAGAAATTATATTTGAAAATTTCATTAAAATATTTCTCTAGAGCCATAGCGAAGAAAGCAGTGAAAGACACTGGAAAAGAATGCTTGTATGATGCGAATAAAAAGATATCATGATGATATACGCAACACAATTTACATTGCGCTTCCTTTTTTCAACTTGAGCGCACTACTGGATGTAATTTAATTTTATTTATATATTTTCAATAACGGAGGAGACTAAGAAGAGGTTTATGAAAAGAGGTAATCCACGATTACGGAGATGATGTGTAGGCTGTAAAATTTTCCAGAATGCGTGACTAGAAGAAACAACGAGAAGAATTTTAAATGCATGAAATTTTAACCCGAAAGGGTTAAATTAAGCATCTTTTTCATGTCCGCCCTTCAAATTGGTCAGCTCGCTTTTATAGACAATTTCGCACTGCATGATTCCTGGAAAATGTACATCCGCTATCTCTTCTGTAATCTAAGATTGTAAAACACGGTATCGCTCGACTTATACTTACTGGGTGAGTAAAGCTGAAGAAACAACTGAGAGCTTCCAAGAGAAGCAAAAAGGGGAACGAGGAGAACAAAATTTATGTTTTATGTACATTATTTAATGATTCATAACTTAGGTTAAATGGCAATAGCTTTTTGGCAAATTTGCATATAAATATAGTTTTTTACTCACCCTGTAAAGGTTTGCCATATTACTGGTTAAGGGAGATTATTTAAAGCGACTGGAAAAATTGCAATGACATTGTGAACGTAGATAAAGTCATCCAAACCACAAGAATATATATCCACAATATTTTATACAAAAGTACTTGCTGTAACAGCATATTTGAAGTATTAGACATAGTTTACCTGTTTTTATACTTATACTTTTACTTTTAGTGCTTCTTTAATGCGAATACAAGTTTAAGTGAAATTCATGCATAAACGTGCGAGACTTTTTTAAAATACTTGATTATCCACCTTAAATCTTACTGCTAAATGTGATAGGCACTTACTGATATTGCTGGATCTTTCACAGACACAGATATCGTGTTAGAAATCTATTCTAATTTACTGTTAACCCTGAGAAAACGTTTACTTCTAAAAGCTATTCATTTCATCTCCATGGAAACAACGTAATTCCTGTCTGAACTCAAAGAGGTACTTCCAGTATCAGAGTTGATCACACGAGACTTGTTAGCGGCGATCTCGTTAAATCTGGAGTGTGTTCCAAGATCATGATGACCAGTTGATGTACATGTCCCTTCTTTTCGCGAACACAATGACATCCATTTTTTTCTTATATCTTTGGAAAGGATGCAGTGGAAGAAAAAAACTAACAGACCTTGAAATGCGTTGAAAATACAAAACAGATACTGAACCCCCAATCTAGCTTCTTTGATGGCAAGAACACCAAATACCCAGGTTAGTCCCAGTACCACAAGGATAGAAATAGCACGCCTCGCTTGTGTGATACCGCTGATCGTGCGGTCTGCGGTCACATTCTTTCCGGAGGTAAGAAGAGAACGTAAGATCAGGACAAATGCAATAAAGTTGGTGAGAAGTATGAGTAAAACTGGGGCGAGAAAAGCCACTTGAAATGGGAAACCTTGAAGGCGGCAACTAAATAAAATTATAGGAAAGTTGATATGGTAGTTAATATAAGTTAAGTTAATCTGCACGGTTGACTTTTTCAAGTTCTTATTGTCAAATTCTAGCTGTTGTTCAGATCTGTTATTATGAAGTTATTAGATGACTTACTAATTTTCATCGCCATACTCTTCAATTTTCAAAACTGCTGTCACGATAACAATAATCGCGGGTATTCCTAATAAAGAAGAAAAACTATAATTAAATACTTTTGGCCTTAACTTCAAGCAGGACTATGCACCTCCAAGGAATATATATGTACCTCCCGAGGAATATATATGAAATTTTTTTAAGGGAATATAGCTACGAAGCAACCTTTCACTTGCTATACAAACCATTTGAACTAGACATAAGACATAAACCTACCCCATCCAACAATAAAGCACTTGATCATAAAACTCGAATCGTCTGGGGCTAGCAGAATTTTAACAAAACAACGGTACATATTGTATGCTTCTATAGCCATCCACATGAACACAGCTAAGACAAAGTAATGTAGAGCTATCGCTGCAACACGGCACCAAATAACAGATGACGTCTTTGATCTTTCAGCAGCCACAATGAATACAATTAACGTGAGTGTTAGAGCTATGCAGAAGTTGAGTAAAATCTTGATTGGAGTTCGCGTTCGTAAATCTCTGGATTTAAAAATATAGGTATAATTACACATATTCAGTCGTGAAAAGTATAATATCGTTAGAATAAAGAATATAACCGGCATCCATGCATTTAGGTCCAACACTAGGAAAAACAGCTGTGTTCAATAACTTCAATTTCACGTCAAGAGGTTGTTTTTGTAAAAAAGAAGAGAGATAAAGTCGTGTTCAGTTTTGTGGGAATTTCCCTAGTAAACATTCAGTGTTTTCAGGCAATAGTCATTCGTTGTCCAGATTATTAAATAATCATGTACATGAAATATCGATTTCACTGTTTGTTTCTCAGTGCTCTCAGGAAGAAACGACATGGAGAAATGTTGAAAATGATGGAGACACCAAACAAAAAAACTTACTTAAACAGCAAATTCGTGATTATGGTTAGAAACAATCCTCCCAATGATATTGCGCATCCAATATAACTTATTATACTCAAAGCTTTTTGATGATCTTCATCGATACGATCGTTGATGTTCACATCCTAAATTAAATTAGATATCGAATCTTTGATAAAATTATTTGAAAATCTGTATGGTACCACAATGCTATTGATACGGTAAATCTACGGTACCACAATTGATACCTTTTTGATAACTAAGGACGCATGCAGTTCCCTCCCAGGCGACGCTACTAAATAAAGTCGAACCTTCATGCTTCACTTACTATTAAAATTGCAAAGTTTGTAAGATGAGAACAATTACAAGTAACTATTCCATATTTAGTTCCTTGGTAGGCACAACCAGCCTGTGACCAGTCCCCGATACGATCCTTTAACGAGAAATCCCAAAATACACAAGCAGTATTCTCGCGTATTCCACCTTCTAACGGTTTGTAAGTTGTCACGATAGGGTCTTCCAAGTTATCTAATTTTCGCCCTTTGATTGATCCAGATATTACCCAACTATTAAGTTTATTAACCGTTTTTTCACCAACTGTTTCTTTAGCTTGAGATTGAAATAAAGACGCCTTTCGGTAGACAACAAAAGATATACGTTGGCTTTGTTTTCCGCTGTTAATGTTCAACGTTTCAAATATTGATTTAGGCATTGTCAATGAAATTTTAGAGCTGCTTGGTCTAACGCTAAAATCGTTGCTGTAAACGCTAAAATAATTGTTTTCTGACTCAGCTGCCGCACCCTGAAATTCACTTTGGTTAACTTCTCGAGTAGAAACAGCGATGTTTTGTTCATTTTGTTCTATTTCTTCGTCAGCATTTATGTCAACATTTTCAAGATAGTGTTCCACCACTGATAAAACTCTAAAAAATAACCAGTAAAATGATCGAACCCTAAATTTGAAACGTTTAGCTACATATTAGAACATATTTTGCTAAATAATTGCTGGATAGAGTAAAATAATTGCTAAATAGAGTAAAATAACAAAATTCAGTTTTCGGTATCGCTTGTTGTATCATTGAGTACTGAGAATTTCATTCTTCTTAAAAGGAATATATTGATGTTGTATAATGATGTAGCCGGCGCTTTTAATATATATAGCCCCTGCAGATCTTCTATAGCTGTTGGTAATGTGTCTAAAATATACCTGGCTGAGGAATTATCAGATCTCTGACTCTGGAAAACGATAACAGGATCAGCATTTAAGAAGTTGTCAACTGATTTAATGATATTTTTACCAGTCTGAAATACAGATGAAGAATGAGTTATAGTATAGATTGATTGATTGCGTTTACTGTAGGTTCATAAGCACTTATATGTTAAAAATTAGGAATCATATATGCTGAAAAGTTTGGTATAGGGCTCCAAAATATTTTTTTTTATTATTTTTAAATCTGCTATTGCTGCTAACTGACTTTAACGCACCTTATTTAAAAGATTTGTTTCTTCGACAATGTTTTCAAGAATTGACACAGTCAGGGAGACGTCATCTTGTTCAAAATTCCGAGAATTATCTGTTAAATTCACGAGACGGATACTTGCATCAACCGTCGATATAGTACCATTTTGTATATCCTGAAACAACGTATAAATAAGATTTTTTTCTAACGGCCACTCCAGTCACTACCCCCCTGTACCCAATAACATGTTACCCCTTTGTTACATTAGAACTAAAGTCCGTGTAAAAAAACCGACACACCTGGTAGAGAGTTGACAAATCCTCTGTAACGTCTGATTCATTTTTGACGCGATATTTACATTGAGACGTGTCTGGTTCCAGCCAGTTCGGACTTTGGCAGAGATCATCGTTGCATTGACAGGATCGCGACGCTTTATGGGCAGTTTCTAAATTATGTTGCAAACTTCTGTCATCTTCTGTGGGAAGGGAACGATTGTTCGCCCCATAAGGACACTCAACGAAAGTTCCGTTGCCACCCGCGGTTGCTCTCCAGAGAAATATTCCCTGCGCTGCACTTTCACCAGTTGTTTCTTCCTGACATGCGCCTATATATTTCATATAGATTTCCAGTAAGCGACTGATAAAGTGAACGGCGAATACAGGGCCGTCGAAAGCGGGTGGTGGAAAGCGCGGGTGCTGCCCCTAATTTTCATGCATGTCGTTGATTTTTAACTGTGCTAGTTTGTCCAACTGCAATAGAAATTGTTCAACTTGTTGCAGTGAGAATTATATTTTTCAATGTAAGGCATAAAGGTAAAACTAAATTCAATGGGTTGGTTCTTGGAGAAGGAATGTGCTGCGTGTTGTGACGTAAAATCGTAACAGACCTACCTGCAATAATTCCGATAAGTGGTAACGACTAACGTGGCCAAACAATGCGGTACAATGTTATGAAATGAAAACATGTAAATTTTTACCTTTGCATATCATTTGATTTCTTTTTGGTAGATATGCAACACCATATTGACAAACACACTGGTACGACCCCAGATTGTTTACGCATATTGAGAAAGATTCATTACAAGGTGAAATATTGCATTCGTCGATGTCTACGAAAAAAACAATGACGAATATTTGCATGTACACAGGTCACAGGACCGTCGCTAGAAGCCTAATTGGAGGGGGGTTGTCATATTAATGTATTCGTCTTATGCCCGACTGATTTCTTTTGTTAACTGTTGTTTATATGGTTGTACTACATGAGTATGTGATTAACACCCCTCCCCCCAATTTAGCCTCTAGCAACGGCCCAAAAGCTTATCAATCAAGGGTTTGATTATTATACAGGGTGTCCCAAAAAAAACGAAAACTATTGAAATCACCCATAACAATGCCATTGTTAGAGTTTGAATGCCTAAGCACTCTGTTGGGCCCACAAGTGTATAAATCGGGGTTGCCATAAGCATTTTTATGCATGCATATGCTGCAGTCAAATTTGCTTGTTCGCAAAAATGATATTTATCAACAATATTTACAATTTACAAATATGGATAACAATATTTAAATGTGCATCTCAAGGACCATGACCTTCGACATGTCCCCTTTCTCTAGCAACACAAAGCATTTAGCATTTTATAAGTTGTATTAAATCCTCACGGGCTGAAATTCGTGAACACGGCATTCAAATTTTAACAATGAGTGATTTCAATAGTTTTCGTTTTTTTTGGGACACCCTGTACAACTCATTAGAGTGAGATCAATGAAACAAATAGTACCAATGTCCTAAATATCCTAAATATAGCAAAACCTTCATGCGGTAGTTACTAAACAAAGAGCAGAAAGCGAATGTCGTACCATCACAATTCAGACCATTTCCAGTGTATCCCTTAAGACAATTACAATGATAGGATCCCTCGGTGTTCGTACAAGAAGAATATTTGGAACATGAGTTTTTTACCGTACATTCATTAATATCTGCATCAAGGTAAACAAAAGTTTATTAATTTGCATGAAAATGTTGAATGTTCTGACGAACTGTTAGCCATCACAAACCCTGCATTGACTCTGTATATCAACTATTTGATTTAATTCAGTAAACCTTTCTATCAAACTATGACTGTCATGGCAAACACAAGACCATTACTGAAGAATTCACGTATCACAATTTAGCAGATAGTTTGGAGAAACTCAGGACCAACTCAGAACAATTAGTTTGCATAAAAATGCAATACGATATCATTTGAATTACATATATAGCTTTATACGATATCTCTCTGTAACAAAGCTTGAAATGCAGTCGTACAAGTCTAGAAGTGAAAAACACTTCAATTTCAACCAAAATAATTAAGAATTTTAGTCCTACCTACACAACTTTTTAAACCATCTCCTGTATAGCCAGGCCAACAGACACATGGTGTATTAAGGTTTCCCTCACGAGTACAATTGGCTTTAGAATGACATTTGTCACATGCTGACAATAAATGAAAGAAAGAATGATTGGGAAGAATGTAGCCCCAGAATGCACGTTTTTCATTGCTTAAAAATCTTAAATTATAGGTAAAATTTCCATGGTTAACAAAAAAAGCTGGCACTTCGATTGCATATTGTAGCGCAATATATTCTGTTTTCAGTATCTTATAAAGTGCCTGATTTTTCAAGGCTGCATGTCATTTATCAAAATCTTACGTTCACATTTAAATCCATTTCCAATGTAACCAACGTTACAGAGACATGTAAATGAACCAGGTGTGTTTGAACAACTTGCGTTTCGATCACACGGACTTTGTAAACACTCGTTGATATCTGAAAAATTTGGTTAAATTATTCTCAAAACTGCATGATATTATATATATTTATACAGTTTACTTAAAAACCTGTCAATTTAAACGCTTAAAAACCATGAAACACAACCGCGTACATGATGCATGCATGGGAAAATCTTCAAGGAAGAATAAATTAACAGTCCGCCGGAAAATGGCGAATTCCACCATGGTCAAGTCCCCCGAAAAACGGCTAACTCTACCATGGTCGAGTCCGGCGGAAAATGGCGTATTCAACCATGGTCGAGTCCGGCGGAAAATGGCGTTTTCAACTATGGTCGAGTCCGGCAGAAAATGGCGAATTCGACCATGGTCGAGTTCGCCGGAAAATGTTGAATTCGACCATGATTGAGTTCGCCGGAAAATAGCGAATTCGACCATGGTCGAGTCCGCCGGAAAATGGCGAATACGACCATGGTTGAGTCCGCCGGAAAATGGCAAATACGACCATGGTCATATTCGCCGGAAAATGGCAAATACGACCATGGTCATATTCGCCGGAAAATGGCAAATACGACCATGGTCATATTCGCCGGAAAATGGCAAATACGTGACCATGGTCATATTCGCCGGAAAATGGCAAATACGACCATGGTCATATTCGCCGGAAAATGGCAAATGCGACCATGGCCATATTCGCCTGAAAATTGCAAATACGCGACCATGGTCATATTCGCCGTAAAATGGCAAATACGACCATGGTCGAGTTCGCCGGAAAATGGTGTATTCGACCATGGTCGAGCTCACCGGAATATGGCGTATTCGACCATGGTTGAGTTCACCGGAATATGGCGTGTTCGACCATGGTCGAGTCCGCCGGAAAATGGCGGATTCAACATTGGTCGAGTCCGCCGGAAAATGGCGTATTCGACCATTATTCAGTCCTACCATACCTACCTTGACAAGTCTTTACACCATCTCCTGTATATCCATCTGAACAGATGCATGATGTAAGATTACAAATGGCTTTAGAATGACAATTTTCACATAATGACACTATATAAATGAAGAAATTTATTTATACAAATATACGGTACACAGGTGTCGACGCGTCTTTGACCGCACGATTTTACCATCGTCGCAACAACTTTATCACTGAGTTTCTCATATCTCGACGCTTTAAGTCTATAGAATTTTCTGCGGGAAACTTAGTATATATGAGTTTTACTTACCTTCATCATCTATGATAGTCACGGTCGCTTCGCCAACAGTTATTTGAACATTGGAATTGTTATGTAACATCAAAGCAACTGTAAAAGTTTCGTTTCCTTCATATTTGTTATCTTGGATTATATGAATTTGAGGGCACCATGATGCAAGGGAATATTCTATTGAAAAATGTTTCTCCTCATTTGAATAATCTTCTCCACTTGTTGCAGTGCCATTTCTGAATGTTAATCTTGAAATATTGTAAAAAATTAACACATTAAACAGTTAAAAACAAAATTAAGTGTCTTTATATATTGTACGATTTCAGTTATATGCATGAACGCGGTCACCATAACTCTTATTTTTATTTGCATACCTTGCGTATACCTTGCATGCGTGTGAAAATCAGTTGGGGAAAAAAGCTATTCACAGTTTGAAATTAGGAAAATGAAGAAAGAATTTCATATTGTTCGCGTTGTCTGTCTCTCTGCTGCAAAGTATAGATTTAATCCGTTTACGCACGCGGATGTCTTCATAAATGCATGTAGGTTTGGAACTGCTAGTCTATGTTATGTTCGTTAGTGACAACTGTGCTAATCACAGGAAAACATATATCTTAATCATTTATCTCAAGTATCATAGGAAATTAAGTTAACTAGATTTACGCATGGGTAAGGCATGGGTAAGGCATGCAGTTGGACCAGAAACTTGGCAGTATAGTTGAGGTATTCTGGCAGTAAGGAGCTAAAGGTTCGCAAGCAAAGAGCAAAATCTACAAGCTAAAGTAAAGTTCTGAGTTACTGGGAAAACATCTGTAAGTCGTTTTTATTTGTATTTAGTTATTGTAAGGGTTTGTTTTAGAGTTACACTATATTAATTTAGGTTTATGTATTTGTTCTATTTAGTCGAACCACGTTCACGTTCACGTTTCACGATTTGCATATCGTCAATTTCGGGTTAAAATTATATTCAGATTGTATACGAGTTTATGATCTATTATTGTCGTTGCCATTGGCAAAAGTGTATCTACCCATTCTGCGTGCGTTTTGGACTGTTTTCCCCGCCTCAATTGTGCTCACACGTAAGCTTATACCATATTGGGATTACTGTTTTGCGTTCGATGGTGTTAGAGCTTACAATGCATATAAAACTGAAACGTAATAATAAAATTTACTTACGTCCCAGCAATATTTAAGGGATCCGTATTAAAAGGATCCTTTTTGGTAACAACAAGACAAACAAACACGAAACCATCTGCTTCACCAACAGTGTATGTGGAACTTCGGAATCCAAGTGAAGCTGCATCAATTGAGGTGTAATTTAAAATTTTCAAATTAGGAACGGAGGTGAAATCACGGTATAAAAACGTGTGGTTGGTCACGTCATATGCAACTTTATCGTTTACGATTTAGAACTCTCTGTATAGAATCAAGTGTATTTCTTTTATTTTAAACAATAAATGTGGAAACATGATATAAAACGAAAACGAAACTCCGGCACAAGACATACATGCATAAGACAGCACTGAAGACTCGTTTCCGTGTCAGGATTTATTTTCACATTTCAGTATTATAGTTTAAATAAAAAATCTTGCATGTGTTGAAGAAGGATGTTTGCATCGTAAATAGTTTGGACCAAGGGTGCCTGAGAACGTAAAAAAGGCGAAATACATTCAAATTAAAACGTATCCGGAAAGGTCTTCACCATCGATTATAATTTGTCAATGCTGAATTAAAGAAAAGACGTGAATGGACGACTCTATATAGTGTACTTTGTTTCCTATTTCTTGAGAATATTGTTTAGTTCTTACTTTGTCTTTGTCCTTGCGAAGACGGGAATGCCAGAATACATACAAAAAGATGCAAGAATATGGAGTGCCACAACATCTTACTGAAATTATTTAACTGAAAAATTCAAGATGAAGCGATTAGTTGAGTTGACTAAAAATAGCAGGAGTGAAAGGACGTCTGTCTACTCAGGCTACTAAAATAGCTTAATTCTTAATTTGGCTTTTTGAAAATCTTGTGCAATGCCAACAGGATCCGAAGGTGAGTGCAGTGTTCAGGTAACGCCGAAGCACGTACATAAGGAATATAAATAAATATAGAATAACTCGAATTGCCGAATAATAATCAGTAATTGTCTGATGGATTTTTGGTGCATCGCGGATATATCTTTTCCTTTGTATTATATACGGTTAATCTTTCCTTGTGCAGATCTGCATGATTGTCTGCCAAATCGGTAAAAGTGGCATTGTATCATTGTGTTCTAAAAACTAGATAATACCGAAATCATTAATATTCTTTAGCTAAAGATTTGGTACATTTATTTAAGTAGCTATAATAAATTAGTAGAAGCAGTCACCAATTATACCAACTTGCCACACTTAAATTAAGTTAATTTTACAAACAAGTAACTTTTTTAAAACAACCACTTACCGGATAAACAGTCCCATGCAGGCGCGTCGTTGCCCTGTAAACACTTTGACAGGTTAAGTTACGATATTATGTAAGTCGAGATATTATATAAGTCGAGATGATATCATCAAAATTCATTGAAGCAAGACTAAAACTGAATATGCTGAAAAATAAATATATGCATAAGCTTAGCTTATATATGCCTTATAGCCAGTAATACTAAGGAAAAAGTGAATAAACTAATAAACTCAGAATAAGTGGATCTGGAAACAGATGAAGATATCACGATATCGCAAAACTACCGATCAAATAGAAGAGTTTTAGTTAGATTCCACTGATTCAAGACTAATTTCAAATGAAATTATACGTGAGAGGGTATCGTGCTGATTGGAAGAAAGCTGACTGCATGGTTTATTTCAAGTATGACAAATATTTCTTTATGATTCTTAACTCTGTTACTATGCTGTTCAAAAACATGGTTTTTTCGGCCCGCAGTGAAACGTTTGAATTTCGAATCTTTTCCTAGAATTTTCTAATTTTACTGCAAGAGGTTATATAATAGCAACCACGTTTTTTGGCTACGTTACGCATACTAGAAACCAAACTTGAGTAGCTTCCACTACATTCGGAGATCAGTGAACTTCAGTACAACTCCTTATTTTTGTAAAAAACATTCAACCCTATAGACTAAACAATATTGTGCTGCAGCTTATGAATATGGTTATTGAACCCTACAATCAGCATGGAAATTAATTCGTATTGAATTCGTATCGACCTCTCTATTACATAATAAAATACTTTCTTCCAGTCTCCTCCTTTAGCAATGCTGGTAGGTGAGTGATGTTACATTGAGAGGTTTTTCAACATTTTTCAATCATAATACATTGTTTGTGTGGGGGAAGGGGGGGGACAGTTATTTGCCGTTAAATCAACATACAATCACTGTGGTTATGTAACGTGTCCAACGAAGAGTCTACCTATTGTCATTTTTCATGATTGTAGCTAGTTACTCTGGGGGCCTTCCTCCCCCTTCCGAATAGTTTTCCTGCAAGTTGAAATTTTTCTCTAGGGATCAAATTGTGGCAAATTACAACCGGTACTACCTGATGGCTCAAACATTTTGCTATTTGGGTTTCCGCACCCCTACCAAAACTTATAACGAGATTTTTGAGCGTTTTTATCTGCTTTTGGAACAAAATTCACTTTGTGTATGTGTTTTTAAAACAAAATTGTCAGTATTCCGTTAGATTAACCCGGCCTTTTTAGCGGTTACCATTTATTTTGGTCTATCCAGATTCGACGTCTATATATAGAGCTCATTGACGAGGCTCGGTAACTTAGTAAGCTGTGCAAAGATAGTCTAGGGTGGTTATTATTTGTATGAACATAATTCTTCAATCTTTAAGAATCTGAACGATTTTTGCACCAACTTTGGTCTAAAATGAACACACCACAAGCTATTGCATTCGATGAATTTGGTAGACCCTTCATTATCCTTAAAGAGCAGGAGAAAAAACGACGTTTGACTGGCCTTGATGCCCAAAAGGTAGCTATCATACTTGTCAATCCATAAAATTTTTACGGCAAATGTTGTTCTTGTTCGAAATTGGGTTTTAAACGTTTTTATGATTATTTTAGTCCCATATTCTTGCGGCCAAGACGGTTGCTAACATATTAAGAACTTCTCTTGGTCCTAATGGTGAGTACAAAAAATATATGGACTAAGTTTACTCCACATTGTCACTCCCTTGGCCATGTGAAGGCGAAGATATTGCATGCAGTATAATTTACAGAGATTTGGTAAGGTTGGCTTGACCAAGATGAATTGTAGTTGTTTAATTCGCAATAAAGTATTTTATTTAAGTTTTGCTGTAAAATGCTAGCTAGGGAAGTATAAACTGGAATTATTGTAGTGGACAAGCTATTAAACAGTATGTATATTTTATTAATGTTCTTGTATAGTTTTGCATGAAGATAAAAAACAACAATATAAATATTTATAGTTAGAAATTGGTTACACTGATGAAGACATAAAACTAATATTTATAGTAGGTATATATTTATGAAACTATTATTTATAGTATCAAATGTGGTATAACAACTGCCTAAATGCTTAATAGACAAAAACACTTCTCGACGTTTCGACCTGAGGGTCTTCGTCAGGAGAGTTAGTATTTTAGTTTTTTAAAGAAAAGCAGTTAAATGTCAGTGGTCTGCTGTTTACGTATAACATTGTGAAGTTTAATGCCACATGCACAATGTTTTTTTAGATTTGATAAGTATATATTTAGCCCAATCAAATACGCAACATTGTGTTTTTGTTTCCACCTTGATATGGTTGAGAACTGCAATGTACAAATTTAGGTATGGACAAAATGTTGGTTAGTCCAGATGGTGATGTTACCATAACAAATGATGGTGCAACAATCTTAAGCCAGATGGAAGTGGAACATCAAATTGCAAAATTGATGGTTCAGTTATCTAAATCTCAAGATGATGAGATTGGAGATGGTACCACTGGAGTTGTTGGTAAGAGTCAATGCTGTTACTTGTACATTGGGTGTTCCCTAAATATTCTGATAAATAATTTCTTCTATGGCTATATTGATTTACTATACAAAATAGGCCACAAAACTAGTATATTAAAGTTGTGACATGGGAGGTTTCTTCTTAGTTCGTTTGTCTTAGGACTTCAATTCATTCAAGACTACAGGTTAAAGGCTATATTTTTTATTTGCAACAACCAGTTTTAGCAGGAGCATTACTAGAACAAGCTGAACAACTACTAGATCGTGGAGTTCATCCAATCCGTATTGCTGATGGTTATGAACTTGCTGCGCAAATTGCATTGGAAGAACTGGATAGGATCAGTGAAAGTTTTCCAATCAATAAAGATGTGAAAGGACTGTTAGTTGAAACTGCAAAAACAACATTAGGTTCCAAAATGTAATTATACTTTTCCTTTTATATATGAATAATATTGTATCACAAACATTATAATGGGGGCAAAGGTATTGAATATTACTAACTATGATTGCCTATACAAGTACATTGTATACCATTTGTATTGTGTTTGCAGGGCTTACATAGGTTACTTTACAGTACATGATAAACTAGGGTTATGTAGACTGTTATCTACCACTTCACATGTACAAAACTCAGGTACAAATATCACTGCAGTGAGATTTTGTCTTTGAAAAACCAACAAACATGCATGGCTGAATTCCTTCATAACAATTTAATTGTTTTGCAAGGCCAGACACCATGCTATAGTAATGCCATTTAATTTACTGTTATCTTGCACTGTACAACCTGTACTGGTGTGTTATAACAGGCATGTATTAATGATGATTTATAAATGTATTTTATAAATTATTATTATTTGTATTTTTATGAAGTAGTACAAATGCAGAATTACATGGCAACAGTATAGAATATGTAAACATTTGCCTATATGCCACTGCTATGATGCCAGTTGATTTTACATAACAGAGATCTGCTAGTCATTATGGCAGCTAGTAACACTCATGTCAGTGCCTCAGTGTCTCTTGTTAATTGTTATCTTTGCATCAACCCCCCCCCCCTTATCTCTTGTACAAATTGAAGGACTATAACATCCTGACACTGATAAGTGATATTCCACATTAGTCCCATTGACATACAGAAAACTTTAAATCTCTTTATTATTGCATATAAACTAAGAAGTGCATAAATTTATAACAGGTTTTTTTTATTCTTCCAGATATTAAATCTTAGTGTAATTTAATAAACGTATAATTAACATTCAACAAAACATGATAAACAGTGACACAATTTTGCATTATGATCTATAATGTGCTTCTGTTATAATGGTTTAGAGTGAGTCGTTGCCAACAACAGATAGCTGAAATAGCGGTAGAAGCTGTACTGTCAGTGGCTGACCTAGAGAGAAAAGATGTAGATTTTGAATTGATTAAAGTGACTGGCAAAGTTGGTGGAAAACTGGATGATACAATGTTAGTTAAAGGAGTGCTTGTTGATAAAGATATGAGCCACCCACAAATGCCAAAGGTATTTACTGTTAGATAGTTTGAGAATTCATTTTACACTGTGCTTCTGCAGTACAGTGTTATTTCATTGCTCAGTGCTCAGTAGTCAAACACGTTTTTAAAGGAAACAAGGTCAGAAAAATGCTATCCACCTCATTTCAGCTTGGAAGTTTTAACCTTGTATAATGAATTAGTTGTTCCTTGTTTAGGTTGTAAAGGATGCTAAAATAGCTATACTCACTTGTCCATTCGAACCCCCAAAACCCAAGACAAAACATAAACTTGATGTTACATCGGTTGAGGATTACCACAAATTACGAGAATACGAGAAAAAAACGTTTATCGAAATGATCAAACAAGTTAAAGATACAGGAGCTAACCTTGCTCTTTGTCAGTGGGGCTTTGATGATGAGGCAAATCATCTTTTACTACAAAATGAATTACCTGCTGTTAGATGGGTTGGTGGACCAGAAATAGAGGTATAGACTGAAAAAATCACTGGATTGACCCGTTTGAAACTTGTTCTTTAAACATGACGACATGCTTACTCTGTAGGATATGTCATTTGAACATTACTGTAGTGTACATACGTTTTGACTTTGTGGAATTGTGTAACTCCTTGTGGTATATTTACCACTATTTATGATGAATTTACGCTGCAGTGATTCTTCTATATTTTTGTAGTTGATAGCTATTGCAACTGGTGGTCGTATAGTACCGCGATTCTCAGAATTAACTTCGGAGAAATTGGGCCATGCAGGCATTGTAAGAGAACTATCGTTTGGTACAACCAAAGATCGTATGTTGGTTATAGAAGAATGTAAGAATACTCGCGCTGTGACGATATTTATAAGAGGCGGAAACAAAATGGTTAGTACCTAGATGTACCTCAGTACCACATCTTTTGTTACTCCGTACTGTAGTTTCAGACGGAGATAATACGGCAAAATTGATGCCCATTATCGCAGGTATAAAAATTTTGTTCTGTTGTTTTTTTTTAGATAATAGAAGAGGCCAAACGTAGTATACATGATGCTTTATGTGTTGTTCGAAATCTTGTCCGCGATAATCGTGTTGTATATGGGGGTGGTGCTGTTGAATTGGCTTGTTCTTTGAAAGTTGGTGAGCGTGCTGATAAGGTACTGTATCTATTGACTTTCATTATTTATTCCAATGGCCTGGCGATATGTTTAGGTATCTATGGACTTTCATTATTTATGTCACTCATTGTTCAAGTGTATTCCTCAATGGTCCTGGTGCCGGATATGATAGGGAATCATGGAACTTTCGTTCACCCCCCACTTTTTCCATCGCTTTGAAAGTTGAAGTTCTACTCCCTTGTAACTGATGCCACAATATTCTAGCAGTTTTGAAAGTTTCATAATAGCAAGTTTTAGGACTATCAGGTTTGTGTATGGGATTATTGATGTTAACTTCAGTTGCTTGTTTTAGATTTCTACGCTTGAACAATACGCGATGAGATCATTTGCAGAAGCATTAGAAGCCATTCCGCTATCATTAGCGGAGAATTCTGGCTATAATCCTATCCAAACTGTAGCAGATATAAAATCTCGTCAAGTCGCGGAGAAAAATCCGCGTCTTGGGATAGATTGTATGAGCAAAGGATCTAACGGTAAGCCTGCATAAACGATAAACTTAGTTACTGTATGGCTTTATTAGATCTCGACCTTTATTTTTTACATCGAAAATTCCCATGGCATATTAAATATTTAATTTTGAGCGTAATATCTTCGGCAAATGGAGAATAACAAGATAAACAAGTTAAACACACAATAAAACTATTTGATCGATTGACTATATGTTTGTTAATATTATATGCACCCCCCTTTTGGGGGAAAAAACTTTGATTCTGTATTCGACAGTGATTGTTGTTTTCGAGTGGCCTTTTTGGCAAGCTCCTCGTCGATCTTATAACAACGTTTTACATTTATTTTTATGGAAAACATTGAAAGCAGAACACAACAGCCTTAGTTTTGAACATTTAGGAGCACCTACTTAAGGAATAATACAAAGCTTCGTGTTGGGGAACAAAAACAACTGAACACAATGACTAGATGACATTTTTGTCATACTACGCTTTACGTTATAATTGAACTAAAATGTATTCCTTGTTTCCAGATATGCGAGAGCAACATGTTATTGAGACGCTCATTGGCAAGAAACAACAGATCAGTCTGGCAACGCAACTGGTAAAAATGATCTTAAAGATAGACGATGTTAGAGCTCATGAAGCATAAGTTGATGTAATATATTTCCACTAAGAATAAAGTACAGATTTGATTATATTTTAACACTTGTTTTTTCCACATTCACTAGTTGAACATGCATTTGAACAGGTTTTAAAAACATCCATTTTTAACATCAATCGCCTACTCGCTATGGTATACTGTACGAAAATTTTAATGCAACACGGATTCATGCATCAACTAGATCTTTCAGTTTATTCCTGATCAGTCTTCTTGGAATCGGTTTTCGGTTTTTCGGTTTCAATCCTGCTTTTGCAGCTACCGATTTCATTTTTATGCATTGTTTGACTCCACGAGAAATTTTCTTACACGTAAGACCACATGAACATGTTTTTTGTCCCCTGCCGCCGCATCTCATATTATATGAACACGAAGTTGACTTCGCACTCTTCGCACGGGTCGAACCCTAAAATATTAAACAATAACATTATTAACATACATGCAGTGTTGCGAGTGAAATAAATACAGAATGTTCCGAATAGATGAAGCCCAGAAAACATTTTTTTGTTTTGAAATTTACAAGTACCGTTAAATGCACAACCAACGGTATTCACGGGCAATGTATGCGCATGGCAAGTATTAATTTCTAGACACAAAATACACTTGGTTTATAATAGACTCAAAATAGCCGCAAATGTTTCGGTTCCCTTATGCACATTATGCAATGAATATATATGCGTGTGAACCAAATGTTATTTAAAAGCAGAGGATTAACGCGATAATCCTCTAATTTAAATAGGAATTTTTTTGGAAATTATCCAAGTTATTGCACCTATTCTATCAAAACGTTGCCGCGGTTTCGAGCTGTGTATAATAAAGTTTGCGGTTCACTAAAGTTTACGGAGTCTAAATATATAAAGTTGAAGAAAGTAAGTTGTGATAGTCATAATACACGATTTTGTTTCATTGGCAACTTTTGGACTCGTGCTGCTGCGATATGCGATATTCTCTATTCTTCAGCCAGCTTCGCATCCCACACTCCGATTTTATTGGTGCATGGGCACCATGAAATTGGTAGCTATACCTCTACTCATTTTTCACAGTGCTCAGGTCGAGCCAATACAAAGGTCGAGCCTGGCCTTTTTAGCCATTTTAGCCACACTATATGGAATATCAATAAATTAAGTGTAAGCTAAGCACTTAGATAAGATCCATCATGTATACTTGACTTTATAGAATGCTTGGGTAATGTCCTTTTTTAAACATTTCAAAAACATCTAATATAATTTATGCATGCAAAACTGTTACTTTTGTAAAATTTAACTAATAAGCCGTTGTCTTTAAAATATAAGAACCAAAGAAAAACGAAAGAATGAAATAAATCATGAAACTGACAAGAATCATATCATTCCCTGACAATTCATGTTTGCGCGGATACAGTTGAAGCTAGAATACACCTCTTTATCATCATTAACTATAGCAGCCAGGCAGCCTATGAGCTAACGCTCACCATCAATGCATGCAAGTGTTCCGAGAAGATCCAGCATGAACATTTTAGGCCGAACTAAGATCGCGTTGCCGTTAGCTTTCTTTTCTCAATTCAGTAACAATTGAACTACAGTATATAATTATGTACTTATTTTGGATCCTTCGAATCACGAACCTACCAGTTTCAACCAAGCCTCCATCATTTCAAAATGACACGCCATTATTAGACAAAAAATGCACAAAGTCTTGAGTAAATTCATTGTCTCTTCCAATTTCTCGACTCTTCAAAGGTGTTAGGTGCAATTATGGTGCAGATTCAGGAGTTCAACGTATATTTAATATTATATATGGCCTGTTTAAACAGCGGTATAATTAGACTAATTGATTACCACTAAGATTTTGACACGGACGTACCTATAAGCTAATTTGATAGAACCCAGTTGTTGCTTTTCATTGGTTCATGTTCCCTATACACAGGCTGAATATCAAATATGACAAAAAAACTAAATCCGAAAAACAAGATATCTCGAGAGTCAATATATGTCATTCATTCAAACAAAGCACAGTTTGAGACACGGTCCGTCGCTAGATAAGATATGTTCGTCTTATGCCCGTCTGATTTCTTTTAAAAGCTATTGTTCCTGCTGTAAGTAAATACGACGTATATATAAATTTGTACTTCCCCCAAATAAGCGGTCTAGCTATACGGCTCTATTTCGTATTTATTTCCGTCATCTTTATACAGAAGATTATTCAGAAGGCATTCTGACTGAACATTGATGGTGACTGTGAATGTCGTGTTTTAATCATATATTAATGACTCTCAAGATGTCTTGTCTTTTTTGGTTCTTTACTTTACTTTATAATTGTCGGCTGTTAATCGTTTTCTGGTGTAATTTAAAAAAACTTTAATTCAATGTTTCATACTAGTCAGCCTGTAGTCTTACTATCAAGGTCCCTTTGCATATCAGCACTAGTGTAGATACTAAGGTGCAACGTTACTAAGGGACTTGCATGCATGAGATATAATAGGGTTAATAAAAATTAGAGCAAAAAAACTTGCTATAGAGTGAGCAACAATCAAGTCGGTCGGTTTAATTCAAAGTAATAGGATTAAAGTAAAACTTGCTAATATTTCTATCTGACGAAACAGAAACTGACTGGCCTATAACTGGCTAATATCTATGGGGCAGGGTATGTATACCATAAAGGGAGATTAGCCTACGACTTAGGTAAACATGTAGTTTGTAAAAGCAGCTTATATCGTAGAAGCTTGCTCAGTACATATATTAGGCAACGTTTTTAGCATTGCTCATGATAATGATATGCATTCATCGTGTGTGACAGACGAATTCATTTTGAACATTGATATTGTTCATTAAATTAGTTTGAAAAATTTAATGAAGAAATGCTTGTTTACCTTGCAACAATGTTCATGTTTCTTTGTTCTTTTTCTCTAAATACTACTTATAGCTATAGATAAATTAATGGTTTGTCCTTCTTCCTCATAAACTATGAAATAAAAAAGATTCAATAATTTCTAAATATGCATGTATAGATATTAATAATGCAACGATATGATAAAGTCTGCCAGGAAACATCTGCCTAAATATAAGACTAAACGATTAAATATGCATTTGTATTTGTGTTTCTGATGCACTATTGGGCAAATCCCATTTATCAAGTTGTGCTTGAAATGAATTATGGATCAGTTAAGTCGGTGCTTGGAAACATATTTTGTCTGATTCAAGCAAAACTATACAATTAAAATATTCGTTCAATATGGCGTCTATAAATAGTTGAGAGAATAACATATAAATCTACAATGTTTTACACGAAAGAAGAGTTCTTGGGAATCCTGAGTAAGAGAGGTTTTAAGTTGCATCTCATTGTGCTTCTCTGACGCTACTAAGAACTTCACCTGCATTAAAACAATAGGTAAGTGAGTTTAACTTTTTGCAGACATTTCCTTTTGACAAGCATGCATGCATGCTTCATATAGATGACTTAAAAAAGCACGTAGGTGTACATTTGTTATTATTGCATAATATATGATTTGCTTATTACATATAACCAATAATGTATGTACAAACACAAAATTTATGTTAAGGCTATGTAGGTTAAAGAAATTTGACATTATATTATATATGGTTGCTATATATAGCCTTTGACCCACAAGGCGATATTCGCATTTATTCCCTTTGAAGTTTTTCAGCTGTTTTCTTATATAACAATCTTTATTATCTTCATTTAATCACTGCCGTAACAATATAAAGATAAGCCTTGTAGCTATGTAAAAGCGTATATGGTCTACGTCTATTTTATTCGTTTTACAAGAATTTGAACCGATGCATGTTGTGGTTAAGATGTATATTTGATGACCTAACCTATTTTACTTAAGTGTTCAAAATTAGGGAGTTTCAGTGATTACGATATTTACTTCGTGATAATTTTCTTCATGTACTATTGCACGGAGAACTAAAATACTAGTTTTGAATCATATTATTACGGAATTAGTTAATATTTCATTATTAATGGTAGTTGAAATCTCTGCATGTGATTTACTCTACATGTATATAACCGTTTTTCTCGTTAGATCTTATCTTAATTCTGAAACCACTAGAAGTAGTAAGTTCCTATAAATCGATAGCCTAATGTCTTAACGCTAAAGGAACCCGCCTTTCAGGGGATTATATATATGCATGAATACCATTTATCCAATATAGTAGTAGCACAAATCCAAATTATTTCTTGTGAATAGTTTTATGCATTTATGCATAACATTCTCTTAATCCTTTATCTTTGAATTAAAATGTTTTGACTCATTATGTCTTATATATATGCGTGTAGCTTATTACAAAAAATATTTTTCCGAGAGGTGTGACAGTCTCAATATAAAATAATCCTAACTTTTAATGTAATGTCTAATCTTCTTCCAATTTTACATGCTAGTTCTTACTATATAAGCCAAATTTGATGATCGTTTCAGTAATTATGCATGGGGAGGCGTTGAAAATAGAGCCACTTCAATTTATAATAGAAATCGGAAGTATTAGTTCATTATTATTTGCGAGAATATGGCTGCATGCTGCAAGCAGTCAGTCGTAAACTGTACATGTAAAGTTTACGGTGTATTAAAACTTAAAAAAAATGTTTCTCTATTAATTTTACTGTTCTCTCGTAACCCTCGAATTATGAAGTACTTAAATACTCTGTTAGAATATATTTTAATTTCTTATTTTAATGAGCTATGGTCAAATTTTCTTCTATAGATTTATATAATTGTTTTTGCCAGCCCAAACAAGTTTGCTTGTTTCAACAAATATCTAGGCAACTGACCGATAAAGATTGGAATTAAAACATACGTGGATATTCTGCACACGCATAAACCAAATTACAACAGCGTTGTTGTTACCAACCAATAATACATCGCGAAAATAATTGAGATTTTTTCGTAATGACGTAAAAAACAATTGCGTGTAATCGGATTATGCAGGGTTTTTGAATTAAATAACGGCCGGGGGCGACTTTTCATTTAATCTCAAGTTAATGTTTTATGTCTGCCCACCTTCATTAATTTCTTTTCTTAGTATTCTGGCCACAATGTTTCGTATTTTGAGACTTACGTTTCCAAGTAACATTCGTTTTCTGATGCGAAAATCAAGTATTAGGTTATGAGATTAACGTTTAGGGGAAACCACGAACACGTAAAAGGACCAGTCGTTTCTGGAGAGCCAAGTAACTGAGTCATTGTTCAAGGTTGATGTACAACAGCTTGCTCCAGATTATATTTCATGCTCTGCCGTAAATGTCAATCTTAATCTCTCTCGCCATAGTTACTCGAACAGTACGTAAAAGCATTTTAATGTAACATCTTTAATCTTCTCGGAGACACAACGTTGGGAATCAAGTTTTACTGCGCTTCCAAGTCAATCGCTTAAAGGAATACAAAATTTCATCTGGGTAAGAATGGATGTATATGCGATGTAACAATTCCCCGCGAGTTCTCTATTCAGTTCATGGAACAGCAATAAAACAAAAAACCCGTTTTCTATCCATATTTTTCCAACGTGCGGTGGAAATTTATTTTTAGTGCTTAGCATACATTGCCGCGTGCATTCAAATTTTGGGGCCTGGGTAAGAATCAATTTCGGGGACTTTTCCCTGGGCACTCTTTCTTCCCCTAATTTCTCGATCAAATTGGGGCCTATATCGTAAATTCTCCCTTCTGCCTCGGCCCCTCTTCAATGCGTGACCGAATCGTTTTCCGAAGAAATGCCCCAGCAAGCCAATAAAATGGCATCCAACAGTGTCAGACAGTGGTTAGTTTAGAGCCAAAGTGGTTTCGCTCGGGAATGAATGGTGCGACGTATATTATAACCATCGGTAATATAGGATTTTATTCTCTTTCGATTACTCATACTGACTACCTCCATCAGATTCAAAGTGAAGGAACAGGATTTTGAGTTTATAGCTTATTTTTGTACAGCCAATTACCTGTAATTGCAAAAGATTTCTGTCGGCTTCATTTGATGCTTAATAATTAATGCAATGCACAGTTCAACATACATGCATGTATATATACGTAGCAGTCGCTAGAGCGTTTGGGAAGTGCTGTCGTCTCGAGGAGAGACGAGTATGCATGGTTTCCATGCAGGCTATCAAAGGTTAAACGCGACGAAGCTGCTGATCGATGTAGTATAAGTGTAGACGTGTAACACAAGGAAAGAACGAAGATTCTTCCACTGGTAAGATGCAGTTTGATATGTTACGAACAATTGTTAAAACCTTGTACATAACATTAAGATTGAAATACATCAGTCACAATAGAACGTCATTCCAACCACTTTCTTGTTTGCATACAGATGCAACTTTCAGTTAAATTCCAATTAAATAAACCTAGTCCGTTTGCCAAACATTTTTTTTTCATTAAAAAAAAACGCGAAAACATCTTGTGAATAAGTCGTAGACCCTGGGAAACGGTTGAAATATTAATCAAAATATGAAGTGTAAATTCAAAAAACCCATTCACGAAACTCAGTGTATATATAAGTGTTATATGACGCGCACGGTCATTAAGAAACCATGCATGCAGTCATCTTGTGTTTCTTTTATAAATCTCGTGAGCTGTATAATTGCTATTTTAAGTTATATACTATATATATAATTAATAATCTTCACACTCAGTTACTCAGTATATAACATGTTTTCTATCATTCTGTTTTCTGGTTCTTCTTTCGTGCACCCCGAGTTTTTCATCAAATCTATCACGTCATTTTAGCCATCTATATATATATAATAGATGTGTCTTTGAACACTGCATGCTAATGGACGATGCATGTGTGTATGCAGTCTGGGAGTTTTGTTCCCAAGGAATGTCTCTACTGTATTATAAGATATTCTAAATATATCTCGCTTGAAATCAACTGAATATCCATGAGGAAAAAGCAATTACTTTGAATTTAGATTTTAAGATCGATTTCTCTAGAAGAGTGAAATATTTGTTTTTTGATAACTTGTGCCTTGTGGTCGAAGCACCTGCTGCCAAATGTTTACTTTGTTGATAACTAAAAGAATTCTGTCACAAATTTCGACTAATTACTTTTTCTTCGACCTATAATCACACAACAACAGACCCGCTAATCACAATTCGCCTTAATATGACCAAATAGGAAAGTTTCCACACTATAAACATGCCGAAAAAAACAAACCGCACAGCACAAGCCTCACGTACAAATGTAACACAACTTTTTACGTGGATATATCTTATCATGACATCAATCTCATCTGGATAATAACATAATTTCGCCTAGAATGCTACAAAAATATCGACATAAATTTATATAGATATATATCATGCTCTCTCTTTGAACTTTAATTGAAATCCTCTGCAAATTCTAAATACGTACAGGAATTAATATACTTTTGTTTGTTGATGGTTTGTGGTGAAAACACCTGTATACATTTTGACGCGCATCAGTAACAACTTGATTCCCAAAGTAGAACTTTCTCGTTTGATTTAAAATTAGAGATCCGTCTATATATTGTTTGCATAATTTTGCCAGTGGCCAAGTCACAGATATATAGAACGATCGATGTTGATATAAGAAGAAAGCATATGCGTGGTGCATTAAATTGATGATCATCGCGTTAAACTAACTTTCAACATTTAACATTTTCGCATTGCCATTGATTAAAGAACACTTCATTTTTATTCAGGTGTTAGAGAAGTTGAATCTTCTTTTCGAAAAAATATTTTTGTAAGATAATTGAATGCAAATTTCCACGATGTTGGGATGTAATTCATTTCGCTGCCGAGAAGTAATCAAGATTATAGTCATATTCTACATTGCCTTGGATGTAACTGAACTCACGAAAGCGAGGTAAAGTACAAAATATTTTATATACTAGGTCTGTATAGTCGAGAGTATAAAAATAAATGCTACACAAATAATTCGATTAAGTTTGCCCTTAATCATCAATTACACGTACCGGCAAAGTTCATGGTTTAAGGCTTTGGAGGGACAAACCTTAGAATCAACTGAATACATATGTTCAAAATTCAAGACACTCGGATTGATTTATAAATATTTTCCCAAATTTTTCTGTAAAGAATATATCGTCATATTTAGAGAGATGAATGAAGTGGGAGGTCACGATCAACAAATACACCAGCAAGTTAAGAACAACAGTTCAAACGAAGACCCCCGATCCAAAAGTGAAAATACTACTCGGGCTCTTCTTCGTCGGGTTAAAAGAGGGTCGTCAAATAATGGAGATGTAACAGCGTTACTGGATGAAATGTTACATGAAGACAATTACGACAGAAGACGGAGACCTGATAATAAAGGTGCGTCTTGATTGTACAGAAAATTATTTTCATTTTGTTTATCACTGACTCCGAGTCAGTGATCTTTAACAAATGTAATATGTTTATATTCATGCAGGTAAACCAGTAATAGTAAAAGTTGGCATATGGGTGATAGCTTTGGATTCTATAAATGTTATAGATATGGTACGTCCTATAATAAACTAGCTATATACATATATAATGTTAGCCATATCTATGATAGAATATATGTCATATAACAGCTTTATATATATATATATATATATATATATAATTATATATATATATATATATATATATATATATAGATATATATATGCGCATGCGCCCCCTCAATCTTATTATACTAATTATTCATGCATAATCCAGTAATAATTCTTCATATATAACATGATTTCAAGGAAGAGACATTGAAAGTCACCCCATTTAAATCTGTATACATCCGTCTTTATACAGGATTGTATTTTAACGTAGCTATATACGCTATCGGCAATTATTAAGCTGTGCAAAGACTAGTTTAACACATAAATCTTACTCCCCATGCAATCACTCCTTATTTTGCTATGAATTATTCTTTTTAAGGACTTTAAAATGGATTTCTTTCTGCGTCAACTATGGATAGATCCAAGACTGGCTCATATGCAAGGCAAAACGTTTACCATAAGTAACAGAATATTGAACAGAATATGGTTACCTGATACATATTTCGTCAACTCTAAAGAATCAAAATTTCATAAAGTTACGCTTGAAAATAAACTTCTTGAAATAGCGACTGATGGACTTGTCCACTTTAATTCAAGGTAAATATAAGTGTAATGCAACTAAGTTCCGTTTGACCAAAGTGGGAGTGAAGACCTGCCTTTTCACATTGCTATACCCTATATTAAAGTTAACTCATTCCGAAAAGTTGAAAAATCTCTGGTCCTTTATATATAATGGCAGTTTCAAATTTTCTTGGGTTCTTAGAAGCAGGCAAAAATAAGTAAAAAAAGGGCTTATAGATTAATTATTGTGGATTTTCTTCATATCATGCATGCATGCGTGCAAAATCAGGCGTGCGGTCCAAAATCAAACTGTTTTTTCACCAACATAGGGTGACAGTAAAGCCATCGTGCCATATGGATTTGAGAATGTTCCCAAATGATGTGCAGAAATGTAACTTGGATATAGAAAGTTGTAAGTCTTCATGTAATTCCAATCGATGTCTTTACACCGGCTTTACACCGGATAATTGTGCCCGCGTTTGCTATTTTAGATAGCTACAATGAAAAAGACGTAATATTACAATGGGAGGACAGAAGTGATGGAGGTTTTGGAATACCATTGCGCGATTTACCGCAACACAATATATCTCAAACACTCACGATGGAGCTGCGAACTCAGTATATGTCAGGTGAGTCAGTATTAATAATAAATATCGCACAATGAAAGTCATTATATCTTCTTGTAAGAGTATAATGGCATAGTCAACAGAAGTCCCTAGGCCTGATGTGACTTTAAATTGCTTCATTTAAAGATGCATGCCATGCAAGTGGCCGAAAGAATATATCGTCATGCATTGAAAATAGTGTGAATTTGTTGTTTTTTCTTTTTAAATTTTGTTTTATACCCCGTCTCCGGCCTCACGACGAATGGTTACTCATTCGATTGTTTTTCCACGCCTGGTATGGTGATCATATTATACCCAAGTTCACTGATTGTTCCTTAGAATACGGCAAGAAAAGTGTTATTCTATTTACTCTATAGGGAACTGGAGTGGTATACGGGCTGAGATAACTATAAAAAGGAAAATGGGTTATTTTTTGGTTCATGTTTATTCACCATCAGCACTGATTGTTGTTTTATCGTGGATCTCATTTTGTATTCCACTGGAGTCAACAGCAGCCAGAGTTACGTTGGGTATTACGTCAGTTTTGACCACAACCACCATTCTCAACATTCTAAATAACTCTATGCCCAAGGTAAAATGCTATATAGATAGATATGTAGGCTATATTGGGATATTTTAGATGTTCCTCTTGGATTGGAGGTCACCCACTCAGTTGCATGAAAATATTCACCATCAACATTAAGCAGTAAAGGAGTATGGATTAATGGATGATATTTACAATGTATTATGTATAATTATTTATAGCTGGTATTTCATGCACGATTTTCTTCAATTATTGATTGTCTATATATACCAGTAATACCATAATTTCACGGCATATAACGATTCAATGCATGTATATACCATAATAGCGCATGTGTTAATGAATTTCCTTTTATAGGTTTCTTACGTAAAGGCGATAGATTGGTATCTTATTTGTTGTTTTATGTTTGTATTTGGTGTTCTTGTGGAGTATACGATTGTTTTATATCTGGATAATTTGGGTCAACGAAAGAGAAAACGAGAGGAAATACGGAAAAAATTAGAGAGAGAAGAAAAAGCCAAAGTAAGCATCTTGAACATGCATGCATGAACTGAACAAGATGGGTTATATATATCATCGTCAAATTAAATAAAGCTATGCAGTTGTGAATTTCCATTTTGTTTTTAGGAAGAGGCAAAACGGCCATTTAAAAACGAGCCGAAAAAGAAACACATTTATGCACAGATTCGTAAAGAAGGTGAGGTAGCCACGTATGTACATGGAGACCCTAAACCTAAAAAGAAGAGGCTACATATTAGAATTAAAGAATATTTGCTTCGTTTGACAGTCCGAGATATAGATGAACTCGCTAGAATTTTCTTCCCATTAACATTCATGTTATTTAACGCTGTATATTGGCTCGTATTTTTATCATAAAACATATTTTTAAATACGTTAAAAATAGCATATTTTTTAATCGACAAGTATAATAAAGCCGGTCCGACAGATAGACCTGACAATAATTTGTGCTGGGCATATTGACTTTGCAATGAATCTAAAATAACCCACAACACCATAGAACACTTTTTATTATGTGGCTTTTTAAAATCCTCTTGGTTGACGAGCGGTCCGTAAAACCTATATCCGGACCGTGGTCTGTATTATTCCTTATCTGGACTAGTATCCCGGAAGTCTCATGCAGTAAAGCCTGGCCCTGGGTCTGATATTTCACAGTACAGACCTTACGCTCCGTCAATAATTAGTTACTATTAGTATTACCCTAAAGGCGAGAGCGGTCGCATAAGGTCTTCGCATTTCAAGCTAGTGAGGGCCTTCTGAAATATACAAAATCGTAGCTTGTTTCGACAGCTTTTATACCTGGAAAAACTGAACAATAAATTGGTCTACAATCAGAGATCCGTAACAATGTTATATATGAACTAATTACATAATATATTTCACCTAAAATGTAAACGACATTCTACTAACATTGACATGACGAGCTTCTTGTTTTGTATAAAATCATGCATGTGTTTCACAAGTTTTCATTTAGTGAAATCTTCATAGACATGGTACAAGTGTACTTTATCAAATACAAGCAATTAAAGCAAACACTAAAAATGAGATAATCTAGGTTTCTAGAAAATCTAGAAATCTTTAGAGACGAAATTTATAAACAATCACTTGTCCTAGAAAAGGGTTGTGTCGTTGCTTGTCACAGTACTTGCAATTGCTCTAATATTTTCCTAATTTAATGATATTCTCAATCTGTTCAATTGTCTACAGTACTAACATACATATCGTATTATTGAATATATTTTCATAAGATTTTAACTACTGCAGTTTTGCCAGTATGACTTGATTGGTTCAATATTACTGTCTTGGATAGCCTCCAGGAGGTCCTTGATAGGGATAACCCGCTGGATACTGATATTGTTGCTGCTGTGGATATCCTTGACCTTGGTAATGCCATGTTGGAGGAAGTGTCCCTGCAGGGTACCCCGGATATCCGGGTGCTATAGAGGCAATACCCCCCGGAGGGGCATAGTTGGCATAAGGTTGATAACCGGTTGGCATGGGTTGGTATCCACCAGGGGGGCTGGGGTATGGTGCTGATGGTGCAGGGTGACCACCAGGAGATGGAGCATAACCATGAGCTGGGGGCATGTTTGCAGCTTGTTGGGGAACAAAAGGTTGTTGGGATACTTGGGGTTGTTGAGGTACAGCAGGTGTTGGATCTGTTTTACGTGGAGGTCGTGACGGCCGTGCTGGTGGTTTGGGACGCTCTGGAGCTAAACAATTTAAACAAACAAAATAATACGGAAGCTGGTCTCAAAAAATTGATGTGATATAATTGTTAAAAAATTGCAAATTCTTAAATTCGCAACATCTAATGATTGTAGTCGTGTGTCTTACCATCATGATGTTTAGGTGTATTTGGCACAGTACTTGCTGGGGCATTTGCCAGGGCCTGCTGGAGTTCTCTGTTACAGATAGAAGATTCAATCATGGTCAAATTTATGGTAGTGATAACGCAGTGATATTTTACAGAAATTTTGTGACCATTGAAATGTCTGCGCGCAAAGGACGTGCATGAACCAGCAGGATGACGCATTCATGTGAACCAACATGACAACTGGTCATACAATTAATACAAAGCAAGAATATTCATTTATTTTGGCCAAGAAAATTAGTACCAGAAACAACTTTTAAGTACTTTATCACCGTTTAATACCTTGAAAGGTCTTCTTTCTCTGTTTTACGTGCAAACACAAGATCAGATATCTTTGATTGGTACTTCAATAAAATTTCCGTTAGATCATTGTAAAACTAAACAATAATAAAATAAATAAGAATTGAATGACAAAGGATAAAACATCTGGTGATTTAGCATGACTCAATATTTCACAATTCTACCATTATCTGCATGTTTAGGACATAAAAGCACTTGTCGTGCTTCTTTTATAAACTCTACCTTGGTTCCTTCCATCAAATTAGATGTCAATTCGGTATACACATCATAAGCAGCAGCTAAATCTTTCAATATCTTTTCTCTTTCACAAGCAGCTTGACCTGACGTCTTCTCTCTAACAAATTTATCGTTTGTTTCCTGAAAAGAAAATAATCACCCATCCAACAATGATTAAAACCATATCAATTTAACAGCATGACTGTCTGCATGTGTACATCTATTGGATTGTTCTGTCGCAGAACTGTTGTTCGGGATGAAATTCGATGAAAATACACGTGATACACGTTAGAATGTGGGCTCGATCAATATCTAACTATCTTTTTCTTTACCTTTACTTTTTCCACCAATTTTTCTTGACGTTTTAGTGACTCTTCAACTTGTTCTCTCAATGGACCATATTTTTCGTCTATGCCACCTGATGTAATCCCTTCAAGATCTGTTATTGTGCCGTCTGCAGCCAGGGCTCCCAGAAATTTCGCCGCTAAAGATGATAAAATCATAGATTTTATACCAAAAACACTGTCAGCAACAATTTGTCATCAGGGAGCTTGGAGATCATAATGCTGGCTGATGATTGGGTTTGGAAATCCTAGGAATCGTCGTGTTTAAATTGCAAGATCGTTATCAGTATATATCTTTACAACATTAATAGAAAAAATCATTAGATGACAGACAGTTTACATGAATTCTTACCCATATCTTGAGATGGTGATGTGAATTCACTTTCGATGGCTTCACGTTCTGCCTGAATGGTTTCAACTTCTTCCATAAGCTGACGTAACTCTACGACAACAGGACTTGCTGTCTGACCTGACGATTTAACTGTTGGAAGACTGTTCGCAATTTCCTCCTGAATATTTGAAATACGAAACAATGCTAAGTGTTAACGCGTAGGTTATACAAAGCATTTGCCCCTGTTGAAGATCTATAACTTTGGTAAAAACAAGACCTGTCTATCTTGTCAACATTCGAGCAAACGCAAACAACCTATATAAGTTAATATGCTTTTTCACGTACATCAGTTTTGGACAGCAAAATAATCGACTGTCGGTGCTCATTATATTTTTCTTTAACAATCTTATCAGCATTTGTGGCATTTTCCACGATAGCCCTGTATTTAGCGCATTCTTCACGTAAGTTAGCGGTTAATTCAGCTGATGGTTTGGGTGTCCATTTTTCATGAAAATGATCTCTCATTTGGGTGTCCTGTCGTTCCTCTTCGTCCAACAAGCGAACGGCCTGAGAGAAAAAGGGTGATAGAGACGTATCACTTTTAGCACAGCTCTTGGTCTTCAACATGGCTCAGTGAGAACGACTTCACTTTGAAAAACAACTTGGGAGAATATGCAACTTATGATAATGATTCACAATAAAAATAAACTAATGCTAAAGAGAAATCGTTTCCACCCAGCCCAATTCCAATGACTATAGGTTTACTTATAGTCTTTACTTATAATCACACATGCGGCAACTAACCTCGTCCAAAATCTCTCGGTTTCGATTCAAAAGCTCAGGCAAAGCTTGCAGCTGATGGTCAATTGTTCCCAGTCCTCCTTTCTCTCGCACTGACGCAGCTTTTTCAAGTACAGACTTGGGAACCTGATCTCCAGATAAATCTTCAATAGCAGCGGGCAGGTTCAATGATGCTAAAATACTAAACAGAGAAAACTCGCAATTATTAAATTGGAAATGGGAAAGGGCTTATAAAGACATTTGATTTATTGTAGAAAGTGTGAAAGAAGAAAGAAAGAAAGCGTTTGGAGTTAGAGGAATCATTTATATGAATAAATAATCTATTATTATCAGCATAATTATATACCATACGTTACCTTTTCAATTCCTGAGTGGCAGCTCTTGAGCGGCCAACTTCAATATTTGTAATTTCCGCTTGTCTCGATTCAAAAGCTTGTAAAGCGTTATGCACAGCGGTTGGAACCAACTTTTCAAAAATATCCTTAAAATTGCTCGTTATTGGAGTGGGTCCCAGGGGTATAGATTTCGCCAGTGCAGCACGGCCGAGTGCTTGTAGGGCGTCAGGTCGAGGCTCTTGATCGTGATAGATAAAATCATTGTCTTTCTTTGCCTCATTATAAGCACGGTTGATTTTTTCTGACCAAGTCTGCGAACAAAAATTTACACGTGAATTTTCAATAGATCTTCTAAAATGATAATGAAATCAAAATGGGACAGGTTTAATGTAGTGATACTACAGTAGGATAGGTAGGTAGTATTCGATCTACTTCCTACATAATGTGCATTTAAACATTTATCAGCTATGGTTGAAAAATATCATAGTTACAATGGCTTCAATATACACCTAAAATAGAGTAACGTTATACCTGAACATTCACTGTCCCTTGGCTTACTCGGACACACTCTGAAATGTTATTAATTGCAACCTAAAAGCAGGAAAAACAGAAATATCATCATGAGATATTTTGATAAGAGCAATTGTCTCGATGCCAAACTAAAAAGTTTCAGGATATCTTATTTCGTCCATTGTTATTTCTGTCCTAGTAGAAACATATAGTGTACCTTGAGTCTGGAAACCTGTTCACCATAGGCACCCTTGTCCTTCGCAACTGCGGCTTGATGATATTCTGCCAGTGCTGTGAAGTAACATTTTTTTCCAGATAACATCGGAATCCATTCCTGTATCGCATTATAATCTATTAGTCGTAACTACACGGCGTCTTATCATAATTTTTGCATTTTAAGAAATGTTTGCATTTTCACCTTATCAAACAGCTGCCGGGCTACAGTCACATTAGCGGCTTGAACTGCCGCGTTGTAGAAATCAGAGGTTTGAGCTGCGACTTTAGCAATTATAGAGTCTTTCATTTTGTCTAGAAAGGTTTATACATAACACAATATTTTACTACGTGCATTTATGTTTAGGAAACAACACGACTAATCAGGCGCGGAGCTAGGGGGGGGGGAGGGCTTAGGGGGTGTCACCCCCGAGAAAGTTGATTCTGAGGCTCAGTCGGTAAAATTGCTATTTTAGTCGGCAGACAAAAATATTTTTTAAACTATAGACCGATCCAATATAAACTTGACAAAGTTTCATCCAGAGTGTAGTCGGTACAAGTCCGTCGATCAGTCGGTTTAGATTACTGCCTTCCCCCTCCCTTCCCCCGTAAAATAACCTGAGGACGGCCCTGTGAGTAATATAAACCTCGCCATGCACGATTATCAATCATACCCTGAATAGCTTTCAAGCAAAAAGCTTCCTGAGCTTGTGCCAACATGATCGCAACCAGTGCAGCCAAGCACTCCAGTGAGAGATCAGAGGTAGGAATTTGATGTAAAACACTGAAAATACTTTCTTTGATCATTTCAAATGTTCCACTTGATGCCTGTATAAAGAAATAATATTTAGCAATATATAGCTAGAGAGTAGCAGTGTTTTTTATGGCTGACGGACATACAAGCAGGAATAAAGTTCTTCTAAAGGAGGCAGGACTTACCAGGACTATATAATCCACAACTGGCTGGCGAAGTAAGGGATGATGGTGTTTACAAGAAAGAAATTTTTACCTGAAAATATTTTGCAGCAGTTTTTAGGCCATCATCCGATGTTAGGTTTTGAGAAGCGGCAATTTGGCTTTGCAATGCACCAATATTGAATAAGAGACACATTTTCTCATAAGAAGCACTGGCGAGACCTACAGAGGTTAGAAAACTTAGAATAGATGAACGTCACTGGCTTAGGTTTCACACAACAGACCCTTAGCATTTCGTATCTAAAATTGCCTGACACGACACGAACCTGCTTTGCCACTAGATAGCCAGGAGCCCTTATCAAAAGCATTATACCATGAAAACGTGATTCGGATCTGTAATAAAAAAACGTTGTGAATATTATATTTTTATTAATATTTTCAGTTTCAATCTTCGCGCCTTTTTTTAATAACTCGAATAATGATCGCGCACTATGATTTTTTTGAGGGACGGAGATTGTCAGTATGCGTTGCGTGTTTTTGGTCCCATATAGGGAGGGGGGGGGTAGGGTTAACTACCATTGTCCACTTCAGTTTTTTCTCAGAGAGGCCTCAATTGCTGGTCAAAGGCTCTTCATTTTTGCATTAAGATATTAGATTGATTAATACCTGGTTTTCTGATATGGGAAGCTTACTTTCCATTGAGACAAGTTGGTCATAATATCTAGAGATGAGATTTTTGAACATAAATCATTGACATGGTGGATGGAAATTAAATTATAGTCTGGAATGTGCATTTTGTAGAGAAAATCCCTATGACAGATCGGATTAACGGTCTTTAAAACGTATTTGTGAGTTTTTGATAACATTCAATGGTGAATGTATTAGATATGGAGCATCATGCTGAATGCCAATCCTTGAGATTTTCAAACGGGAAAATGATTGCCAACCAATGAAAATGGCTGCCTATCATAAGACATATTTTTACATTCTTCAAATTTTGATAATATTAGAGAACTCTCTGAAATATGTATATATCGCCCCAAAAAAGAGACCAGAATGTTGACAAACTGGAACCAAAATGATTAAATGAATAGAAAGTCGCGAGACAGACATGCAGTTAGACTTGGGCCCGCCTGGCGCTATATAACTTCGATTAAATCTTAGTATTCCTAAATCGAGGATCCTCTTTAATAATTGCTATTTCCAAAGCTGAAATTTCACTGCGGCGTTTCAAGCATTTTTACAACGGTTGAAAAAAACACTAGCCGGTGGATATTAGCGCTATCCGGCTTTCATACAACCGGCCCCTGACGTTTAGTAAGCTGAGTAAAGTCTATTTCAGATACATACATGTAGTAGCAAGTAACAATAAAAATAGAGCACGTAAATGCCAGTTAAATACACATAACACTTTTTGTGGCTGTTTATTCCACAAGAAATCGGTAGCGAAGTGGTTTTGACACGGTGTTGATATATATACTGTGTATCACTTTAATAACATGATGGTTCAAATCCTACAATGACCCTCTTTTTATTTTGTTCTATTTTTTTTTTCTATAAGTTTGGAACATAACATTATAATGCAATTTAGTTAGTTCTAGGCTTTTGGGATTTTTTTATGCGTATGTAATAGTCCAAAACAGCCATGCTCACATTTTAAACCCAATGTATTAAGTTTTGCAAAGCTGTACATACACTTCAACATACAGCAGTTTTGCTGCACAAAATGGTTATATGCAGGCACAGTTGGAATTTTGCACAGGTAATTCTTATGTTTTAAAGAACTTGCTGGAAATCTATAAAGAACTTTTTGATGATTTAAACAAAATTTAAGAAAATTGTAAATGTTTAAAAGTGAAAGCACCCACAAAGTGGCAGTCCTTCCTGTGGCTTGTTTCAAATTCTTTAAGACATACAATTATTGACCAAATGCCAAAATTTCAAATGCTACCACAAAAACTTTGGCAGGATGTTTTTACAGGGTGGATTATGGACAAAGTGAGGAAAAAAGGGTTAAATACAACAGAAATATGAATTTGACTTGATTTGAATAGTGTGGAATAGTTGATTATCCAAGTGTACTATTTTTTCTCTGTAGCAGAGAGAGCAGATCATTGCACTTGAATTGGAGAGGCATAGGTTCAATTCTAGTGAGGATCCAAGTCGTATATTTTTGAAACAATGGTCAGGTCTAAACAACCACCTACGTAGGTACAATTAAGTAAATGCATTATACGCAAGGTGTTAATGCTTTATAACATTATATTGTTAATAATCTATTTATTTTCCGGCCTCATTTCACAGAGTAAGGTGTTTTTATTTGTATCAGATATTTTGATTCATCTTTGATGAAGTCCATAGCCTTCAAAATGGCATGGTGAGTCAGCACATCTGTCCTTCATATATCTTCGACATATCTTGTTCATGCAGCTTTGTTTTAATCTGTGTTTACACATACATGCATATTGGGCAGTAGGAATGGTAGTGTTAAAACATTTGGTAGTTGTAGATGCATGCAGTTATAAACAACAGTATATTAACTATTTACACACAGTATATTTATTATATATTTTAACATTCTAGTTAGAAATTAGAATATTGTATTGTACACAAACTTAGCTTCATCCATGAGATGTATCAATGTTTTTCATGTAAAAAAGATTGCCTTAACCCTATTTTGAGATGTTTAATTAAAAGAATAGCCTAGGCTAGTTAATATTATGTTTCTTGATCTATCCACTTCCTGAGATAAATTTTTATAATTTTGTTTAAACGAGGGTGTAACATCTTCGTGGGTTAGAACACATTTATAGTCATATAGTGATATTACAAGCAAATAAAAAGTTAAAAAATAAATAGAAAACTTTAAGCAAGTTTCAAAATTATGTAATATTATACCTTAATAAAGTATCAAGAGAGGACTGGTGTCTCTCTGGAGCTCGATTAACAGCGTTACTTCGTAATTTGTTTAGCTCGGTTATACTGCCTTTGAGCTCATCGTAAATCTCCGCTGAAAACGTCGCTTTTATAAATTTTTCCAAAGGTTTTTTGAAATCAACCTCACTACTACTAGAACGTTTTAAGGGAACGCAAAGCCAGTTTACCGCCGCCATAGTTCTGCAGGATTATTTTTGTAATATTACGTAAAAGTTCAGAAATAAACAAAACGAATGAGTTGCACTGCGAAGTCACGAAAATTCCACGCAACTCCCACGCACCCGCTATATTTTTCACCACCTCCGGAATAACATAGAGTTCATCGAAATGCTTTCCAGTATCTAATGCATTTCTACATTTTTATTTTATATATTCATCTTTTTTCTTGGCTCTCTCTGCTTTGCTACTTTTTAAAATCATTAGTTATTGAATGAAAATCCAATTATTTTGCTTATCATTATGCATACAGCCAAATCAAGAAAAATATTCTACAGTTTCAGGGGGGTAAAGTTGACATACAATATTTTAGTTCCACAAGGTCTGGTACCCAGCCTTTTGATCGTTGTTTTGTATTTTTGCACGTTGTTTTGTACTCAAAAGATGGCGGTTAGAAAGAAAGACGGTGGACCAGATTGGAAACTTTACGAGTCTACTTCTGTTTGTGAACAGTTTGAACAAGTTAAGCAGTACTTGTTGAAAAACTGTAAAAAGGTAGTGCATGAATTTTGGGTTTATGCAGTAAACTATAGATTGTTACTTTGCTATATGTCACGGTCATCTTTGTATGGCTTATGTTATTCTGAGATATGGAAAAGAGGAACAAGTTGTTCAGATCATTTGAATTAAAAAAATCACATATCACTCACTTCAGCATGACCCACGCGCGTATACTGTACCATTCTTCCTAAAGCGTAATTCTCACTGAGAGGGCATTGAAGATCAAACATCCTGATTACAACATAGTAAAATCAAAAACCTGTTCATTTGCACTTATGCTTATGGTCTATCAAAACGTTAGCTTGCATTGTAGTTAGGGCTAGGCTTAACTTCTTTTTTTAAAATCATCCCTTTTTTTCCATAACTCACAATTTGAAACGTGTGGTGACTTGGATTCAATCAGATCCAGGCTTTGTAGCAAACATGTTATGCAAAACTATTGTATCGACTAATTACATATTTTGTTTTATTTCAGTATGTCCAAGCTGAACCTCCAACAAATAAAGGTCTAGCTTATCTCACTGGCCAATTGCTACAGTTTCAAGAGGTTAATGGATTGATGACTTATACCAGTGCATGCATGTAATCACAAAATAGTACCGTAATAGTACCAAGAGAATGTCATTATACAACTTGAGGAGCATTCATTTATAAAATGTATCTTGTTATTAGGATAACTTTGGGATTAATGGGAACAAGCGGCTACTTTGCAAGCTACCTGTGAGTTTTTGCAATTTCTTGACCTATTTAAATATTGACTTGATCTATTTTCCATAAATCATATATACCCTTTGTTGTTTAGGTCAAGCTATTTCTGGATTACAGTTTTGGTGGTTCATTATGCCACATTCTTGCAACCGTTTTTAAGACCAAAACAGAGCAAGGATGGTAAGTGTCTGGTATTTCTTTTTGAAGATTTGGTTCTTGGTTAAGAGAACACTGTTTAAAATAATAGTTTTGTATTTGTCCTTTTCTCCTGTAGTTAATGTATTGTCAATACTTTGTTTTTCAGGAGAAGATTTGATTTTCAATCACCATCAAGACTGGACAGAAATGTTGAACTTTTCTTGAATATTGAGAAATCATTGAAAGAGGTATATAGCTACACACTGCTGGATTTGAAATGTATCATCAATTAAACTAAAAAAGAGACCTCCCGAAATTGCATCTAGAACCAACAATGAAATTATTTATTTGTTCAGGGCAAATTTTTATCTGTTCCAAATGTTTATCTTATGCCTGATATTGAGCCTAAAGTGATGACAAAACTTAAAGATGTATTGAAAAAACATAATGTAAGTGTGTAAATAAAGAATGCTTTTCATCTTCAATGGAAGGCGTACATACTTAAGTTTTCCTTGTGTCCATACACTGTTATCAACCAGCAAGTTGCTGGTAGTGAATATGTTTTTATTCTATTTTATCCAATTAGGGATCAATTGCTGAAGACAAAGAATCAGCAACCCATATTGTTCATCCTTTACCACCTCCATCTCAAGATGGTAAGAATAGTTATGTTCTTCTTTGGGAATGTACAGTGGCCTCAGTTCTGGTGATTGGTAGTTCAATTGCTATTAGTGGTTGTTAATCTTTGTTTCTGCTTCGCAGATGACTGGTTACGTCCAATTGAGAAGAGAGATGGAAAGGTGTTAGTTCATTGGTGGTATTTCCCAGACAGGTAAACTACTTTCTACATGAATAAACCATTAAAAAGCTAAATTTTTCAATATCACCTTTATCAGTAGAGATCTTACAGTAATGTATTGTGAGTTGTTACTAACATCTCAGCTTCTTTTTTCATAGTTATGATACTTGGGTGTCAAATGAGGAAGTTACTGATGAACCTGAACCTCAACCACAACATCAAGGACAGTGGGAGGTTTGAATATATTTTTGGACATATTTAATTAATACAGTTTCCTACATCTATTAGGGTGGTTTGAAGTTTCTGTAATGAACATGTCCATATTAGTAATGCCTGTATTAGAGAGATGCCCCCATTAGGGAGATCTCCATATTAGAGAGATGACATACAGGAGCAAAGGCCTTGCTTAAGAAACATCACACTACTGTATATGTACTGTAATAAGTTTGTACAACCTTATAAGTTGGAATTAAATTCCCTTTGATGATATTTTAATATACTGCAACATTTTGTCTCATATATATGCAATATTTGTCAGGTAAATGGCAGGTGGTTAAGTGATCTTGATATTTATAACGAATGGATGAACGAAGAGGATTATGAAATCACGGACGCATCTTTAACGGTAATTTCGTAAAGAACAATGGTGCAATTTTATTGATGATTTACTAATGTTGTTATGTCATGATCACAGGTTGATGGAAAAGTCAAGGATGGCGCACCTTCTGAAGGTATTTAAAAGTATAACCAATGTTTCCGTACACAATTTATTCACAGTCTGACAAATCCTGCTGTTTGGATCCCTGATTATTATCAACGAAGCCTCCGAGCGATTTAGATGACACGCCCAATGTTGTACAGGTCGAATTTAACTACAGGGTGTCTCAAAAAACCGCAACCACTTAAATATCCAAGACATTAATACAGCTCTAAAGCGCAATAGATAAGCACCTATGGGAATTGAAAATGGCTCTTAATTTTTCATTTAAAATGCTAAAAGTAATTTTAGCTGAACTATGGTGCAAATCCGAACAATATAAATATTCCTGCATATTCAAGTGCTTGCGTTTTTTTTGAGACACCCTGTATGTTTCTTCAGCTCAGTTTTCTACTTTTCTGTGTGTATACATTTCTGTATAAGGTCTCTCTATGTGAAAATGTTGTGGCTAGTTGCATGCAGCAAATTACACCAGGTATTTTACTGTATTTTGTTTCTGTGATTAGTGCGCAAAAGACGAAAAAGTCTCCGAAGCGGAGGCAAGCAGGACGATGAGGTAAGTCATTTGCATCATTTTAACTGTGGATCGACTTAATTCGAACTCTGTAATTCAATCCTGGCTGTAATCCACTGCACACAGGGAAATCAACCATATCATATTGGAAAATTTTAAAGAGGTTCAAAGGGTCTTAATTTCGAGTGGAATTATACACACTTGAAATTCAAGCCAGGAACAGTTCATGGAAAAATTAGTCAACTATCAGAGCTACAGAGGTAGCTGAAGAAGCATTGAACCGGCATCGAAATAGCGTAGGTTCGAATCCTGCCGATAGTTCACTCATTTTTTCATCAACTGTTCCTGGCTTGAATTTGAAGTGTGTATAATTCCACTCGAAATTGAGACCCTTTGAACCTCTAGAATTTACCTGCATCGAGTGAAGTGCCAAAAATCATAATTGATTTACCCATACTATATTTGATACATATATATTTGCAAGGATAATGTATCTTATTTTTGTATGTTTTTACAGGGACCGTCAAGCCCCGAAGGAGGTACAGTTATGTTTTAATCATTCGTCATTTAATAAACACTCGGTTCTTACAATGTCGTTTTTACAATTTTTCTACAGATAGGAAAAAACGTAAAAGATCACCATCTCCAGAAAAGAAAAAGAAACTAAACACCAAGAAAAGGTTTGTCAGTTCGTGTAATTGCTTCTTATGCCACATATAATTTCGACGTTTATATAGTATTTGAATTTTTTTTAGCAATGTTCCAGAAAAGGTGAAAAACAAACCTGAGATTCGAGAGAAACAAGAAGAAATGTGAGTAAATCTAAGCAGGTGTTATGTCTAATCTCATGTGACGGAACCTCACCGTTTGAATCCTCAGGGATTTTTGTCTTGAGTGAAATAACCAATGTTAAAGCCAAGTGTTTCATTCTAGTGAGAAAGAAGAAGATAGTACTCAAGATTTGCCAGATCCTTCGCCTGTGCCTGTCGTAAGTAATAAAATCTTATTAGGGGGAAATCACAAAGAGTCGTCAGAGAATGAAAAATAGGAAATATTGTATTGATTCCAAATGCTGTTTTTTGGGGGCGATACACGCATTTGCTTCTCAAGCCTCACTCGATAATCCAGTGTGAAATAATGAAAACAATGCATGAGAAAGAGAATAATTCATATGATTGCTTTTTAGATCGAGGAGATAAATTTGCCAACCTCAGAAGGTAACTGATTATAAATGATTATTAAATAGAAAATTGAGCAGATTGTAGTTTGACTTTAAAGTATTTAAAACGAAAAAGTATCTGTTCTTTTAACCCTCGTCATTGAGCTATAAACTGCGTAGTTCAGCAAAAAAGGTGAACAAACTTTGAAGTGCGTGATAGATATATTTGTTGTATGATAGCTAGCTACATCAAGCATTTCAATTTAGCGGCAAAAAGCAAAGATCCGGACTCTGGGCCAATCAAAGGCGGAGTTATGATGGATATTTCAGGTATTGCAACGTTTTTTTAGTCTCTTTAGTTCGACTCTGTGAAAACGATAATGCACCATGTCAACAGCAGCATCGTAACGTAATCTAGCTTCCAATAACACGTTTCTGCTTTGCAAAACAAAATGATGTCGCCTTTGCAAGGGAACAATTTGGGCTTCCTTTACTTAAAACAGTTGCTTAAGTAAACTATGAATTTTTAGCCCCTCCCAAGACTCAAGAAGAAGAGGACAATGAGACAAACGTGAGTTTATAGATGCATTCGAATAATTCGTTATGTACAGTACATGTACAATCTAATTTTGTTCAGCTTTCGATATGAAACTTCACACAGTGTCAAGCTATTTTGCATAACCTTCGTATATATGGGCATAATTTTAGAAGAGCCAGGCTATTTTCGCTGACCATGATTTCCAAGCCTTATTATGTATAGTGAGAGGTGTGAGTGAGTGGTATGATTTGAACAGTTGGGAAATGTACCCATATAGGCTTCTGAAGACGTGAGCTCTGTCCCAGGCTCCCCAGGATCATCTCAAGATCCCAAAGATGGCGGGAAATCTGCAGAGATGTTTGACGATCCGACCACATATGACGAGAATTTGACTGAACAAAGTCACCATGTCATAGTGCCCAGTTACTCATCGTGGTTTGATTACAATAGGTAAGATGAATACTGTAGTTGCCAGCAACGCCTACACTGTGTGTCTTTATACTGATGAATAGTAAGAACTATTTTCTAATAACTGTTTATTCCACTATTTACATTTTTAATTTTTTTTTTCTCTAGTATTCACGCAATTGAAAGAAGAGCTCTTCCGGAGTTTTTTAATGGAAAAAACAAATCAAAAACACCAGAAATGTAAGTTTGAAATCATTCCATCCTCTTTAGTTTGCAGTACATCTTGTGTATTTTCTTGTCAGCCGACGGAACACTTGTACACTGTATATGTACCTAATATCCCTTGCTAGATATGTGGCGTACAGAAATTTTATGATTGATTCATATCGATTAAACCCAACGGAATATCTCACCGCGACAGCATGTCGAAGAAACTTGGCTGGCGACGTGTGTTCCATATTGCGGTAATCACTTCTCGTCGTATGCATGGTTTGTCTTGCAGAGTTCTTGCATTGTCATCGGTTGACCATAACTTCGATGAATTATATTTTTCAGTGTTCACGCTTTCCTTGAGCAGTGGGGGATGATAAACTATCAAGTAGATGCGGATAGTCGCCCTACTCCCATGGGCCCACCCTCAACTTCCCATTTTCACATCTTGGCCGATACTCCTGCTGGGGTCCAACCTTTGCAACCTCCGCGGTCTCAAGTGAGTGCAAGCGACAATTAGGCAAAAAAATCAGATTTGCTGAGACAAAGATAATAGACGAAAGTGGTACTAAAAAGTCAATTTGTTTTAGAATCCTCCCAGTGACAGAATGTTTCAGTTCAAAGAGGAAAGTTCAGTCAAACAACCTGTCAAAACAGAACTGAATAACTTTGGGTATGGAGTCTGGACTAAATTGCGATTGCTTAGAAAGATGGAACGTTGTTACATCCAGTTTTGTTTATATTTTTAGTCTGAGAACTGATCAATACCTCTCCAAGAAAAGTCAAAAGGTTAACGATTGTTCAATAGAGAAAGATTTCTAATACTAATTGATATGAAAGTGATTCTGTATTTAATAAGTCAATTTTTCACCAGGCCGCCACAGCGACAAAAGAATGGACCGATCAAGAGACCTTACGCTTATTAGAGGTTCTAACCGTTGATTGTATTGAATACATATTCTCTATTTTGAACTGCTGTTTTAAACATAGAGTTTTTCATATATCCTAGGGTCTGGAGATGTACAAAGATGACTGGAATAAAGTTGCTGAACACGTCAGTTCACGAACACAAGATGAATGTATTCTTCATTTTCTACGGTTGCCGATAGAAGATCCATATTTAGAAGACTCCACGGGATCGCTAGGTACAATTTCCACCAGACGTTGGTTTAGGCGCTAATGTTCAGTTTAAATTAGGTTCAGTGATTCGCAGTTCATTGCTATCTACAAGCACACAGTGTGCATTCCTGCTGTATAAGATTATTTTAACATATAGTCGGTAAATGATTGTGTGTTATCCGTCAGGTCCATTGGCCTGTCAACCTGTGCCATTCAGTCAACAAGGAAACCCAGTGATGTCGACCGTGGCTTTCCTTGCGTCAGTTGTTGATCCCAGAGTTGCGAGTGCAGCTGCCAAAGCTGCTCTTGGTAAGTTATTGAATAAGATGTGGTAAAAAGTTGCAGGAGACTTTCATTAGTTTTGTTGTACACAGTATCTAGTCCAGGTATATTTGCTGATTGATTTATTGCTTATTCTGAATTTGCGTAGTAACGTCAAAACAGTACTTTACTACATTACCTTTATTGTGCTACCAACCGGCAACGTTGTTGGAAGTCAATGTCTTGTCTCATTAGAAGTTACGTTTCGTGCCCAAGTCATGAAGAAAATATATTTCTTGTAATCTAAATATTTCAGTGGTAATAGACTAATAGTCCATATTTTGATTATGTTTAAGATGAATTTGGTAAAATGAAAGAGGAAATCCCTATGGCGGTGCTTGAAGCACGGGTTAAGAAAGCGACTGAAGAAATGGACACAGAATCGAAAGTGGAAGGAAAAGAAGGTGTGCCATAGAATAATATTATTATAGCTGTCTAATCTCGTTAATCTCAGTGATTGGAATTCCTGAAACATAAACCAATTGTTTTCTTTTCTTTCAATAGCTGAACCAATGCAACTTGATAATGGCGTGGATGGTCAGCCCTCAGGTGCAGATCAGGTTAGTACAACTACAAAAATGTTATGCTTATGTTTAACGACCTCCAGTTTTCAGCGTTTTATTACATTGCAGGAGAACACGTCGGAATCGAAAACGAAACCGAATTCTGCTTCTGATAGTCAAGAAATCAACAAAGAAAACATGGCGACGGCAGCTGCTTCTGCTTTAGCTGCTGCTGCTGTTAAATCAAAGGTTTGTGGATATATTTCGTTGACTTCCAATCAACCCAAACCAAACCAAACCAAACCAAACCAAACCAAGCTCTTTGCGAAGAGATGCGTGATGTGTAAATTACATATGTACATTCCCATCAGCACTCAAATATCCATTTTCTCACTTTTGAATATACTGCATCGTGTTTTGTGTTTTGTTGGTTTATCAATAACTACCCAAGTGTCTATTAGGTAACCGTGGCTGAAATGTATCTTACATGCTTAGATTAGTTTTCTCACGTGTAATATTATATTTATGTGGCAGCATTTACCCTGTTGTTAGTGATGTTTGATGTTCATCATTATGTACCCTGATGACTCCTGAACCCAGCTTGCTCATTCTTTGATTAACTACAGTACCTATACCTGTTGAATTTATTTTATTATTGTTGTCGTCTTATTTATCAGCATTTAGCCCAGGTTGAAGAACGTAAGATCAAATCATTGGTTGCTTTACTTGTTGAAACTCAGATGAAAAAATTGGAAATCAAGCTTCGACATTTTGAAGAACTTGAAACAATAATGGACAGGGAAAGAGAAGCAGTAATGAACTTACCTTTTTTCGTGCCATGCATCGCTTGTGCTCTACGAATTACCATAATGCACGTTTTCTAAATAGGATTTTCAACATTTCATGTAATGCAATCAATATTCGCTGTATTCTATAATATTCTAGTTGGAATATCAACGTCAACAGCTTCTAGTGGAAAAGCAACAGTTTCATCAAGAACAACTAAAACTAGCTGAAATGAGAGCACGTGCTAGTCATGTGAGTACTACATCGCCTGCAGGTTCAGATCCAGTTTCAACTCAACCCCAGGCTCTGCAAGTATCCACAGCTAGCAACTCTCCTCAAGCTATACAGCCGATGTCAAATCAACCCGCAAGAGTTCCTACACCAGGTACATAGTACAAGTCTTGAGGGAATGAGTAGGGGCGGGTATAACTGGGGGGATGCCATAGTGAAGGTTTAACCTCGAAACCAAAAAAAAAGATTGATAACATTTTGATCGATAACAGAGCGGATGTTTGCATCCTCCATTCGATCGGTAAAAGTACTGGTAAAAATTCTGGGAGGTTTAACTTCTGAGTTATCATCACAAGGGACGAGGTGGATTACTGGTAGGGATGACATAAACGTTTTACCGCCGCCACAGGAATGCGGTATTTTTACATTAATTTACCAAAGTGTGCAAAATAAACACGGTTAGCACTGAAACCTTTATTTTACATTGGTTTGTTTTTGTTATTTTAGTTGAAAGCACAAGTCATACACCTGGTTCCAATCCACCATCTGTTGGTCCTTCACCTTCATCTGTTGGTTCTCAAGAGAGAACCACACCCAACACGGCCTTGGTATCGTCACCATCAGCTGTTACACAGCAAGGGAAGCAGCCTGGAGAACAGCAAGTTGAATCATCAATACAACCATCTGCAAGCCATCAGCAGTTGCAACCACCACCTCGACAACAACAAACACCACCACCACCAACATCGCAGCAACCTTCGCAGGCTATCCAAGGGCAACAGCCACAACCTCAACAACCCATCCAGCAGCAGCAGGCACAGCAGCCCATCCAACAGCAGCAATCACAACAGCCTATACAGCAACAACCTATACAGCAACAACCTATACAGCAACAACCTATACAGCAACAGCCTCCGCAAGCTCCACAGCAAGCAATGCAACAGCTTCAACAATTGCCACCACAACTACAGCAAATGCAAATGCAGCAGCAACAACAACATATGCTGCAAAAGTATCAGCAGATGCAGCAACGTCAGTCTATATTTCACCAACAACCAATCTTACCAAAACAACAACAACAACAACCTTCCAACCAACTTCAGTCAAAACTTTCCAATCAAACTCAAATGGCTGCACAACGCATGCAAACCTCCCGAGGTCAGACCTCCCTCGGTAGGAGCAGTTCTCCGGGTACCAATGTCCGTATGGCTACCTCACCACGTGACCAATCACCTGGAATAGCAACATCACATCCGGGCTCATTACCAACCTCGACACCATCTTCACTGCCTATGTATATGTCGTCACCAAACTATCCTGGCGGTGTGGTCAGCAGCAATGTCAACAGACCACTGATGCCTTCACCTGGTATGTATTCAACATCAGGTTTACCACCCGGACAAGTGCCATCATCAACTGGCTATCTAATGAATCAGCCATCGTTACCACCTGGAATGTCTGGAATGCAATATACTGGTCAACGTTCTGGTATGCCACCCATTAGTTCCATGTCCAATCGTCCTCCTATCCCCAATTATCCTCAGTCATTTGCAGGTCCACCCGGCCAACCACCAGCATTATTGCTGATTCAATATCAGGATTCATGGCATCCCCTGGCAGCCAACATCCACCCTCGAGTAACTGACATTTTGTTAAAAAGTAATTCTCAGTGCTCAAGGTATTTACGCTTTGAATGCTTTAACATCCTTACTTGTGTGTACTGTACTGTACAAAATTCAAGACGCAAATATTACATCTGCTTGTATGACTGTCACAGTCTTCTACTAACTTACCTTTCGTTTACAGATCTTGTTAATTCTAGTGGAAATGTAGTAATATTTTATTTTAGATTATCTCCTGGATTGGCCCAATTTTGCACAAATTTACTTCCTGTAGTAGACACAATCGTATACCTTACAAGTATTACAACACTTGTTTTTAATTGGTTCTGTCTTGTTTATATATTGTTGTATTGACGCCAAGTAAAAGTGAAGGTCGGCCCCATACATGCATATCTATCTTACTGTCAGTTCTTTTATACTGTTAGAGTATTAAACGATTACAATATTAATTTTGGCATTAATTGGATAATGGAATATCTCGTCATGAGCACAAGTATCCTTTTTTATCAATGTTTATTCAAAATCTTTCCATAATTGATAATTTTGATAATTTATCGGTAGTTCTTTGCACCAGTACAGGGTTTATATGAATTATTTACAAGTTAAGAAAGTGTGGTTAAGAAAACAAAATAGTTGTAGTAACGTTACACAACCGTACAATTCATTACATTTTTGGCTGTTACTGTTCCAGGTTGCCAAACTTTCTATTTCCTAATATAATCAAAGATATGGTCAAATAGGACATGGTATGTTAAAGTGGAACATGAGTTTCGTCGGCGAAAAATCTCTTGGTGGGAGGGTGATTTAGATTTATGAGTGCAATGGCAGAAGCTCATTTTGAATTCGATTTGACGTTTGCGGTAAGTCACCAAACTGAAACGCCACAATCTCAGGCCGGGATTGCACTACACCTGGTTGCAAAACGCACGCCTGTTCGCGCGTGTTTGTACTACGAAACGTATTACTGCTATTCATTTCACCTCCAAAACGAGGTAATTTTGGCTCAACGCAAAAAAAGCTGAACGGTGTTGTGTAATCCAAAATGAGTGATTGGATTCATGCAGGGCTTCAAGGTCTCTGTTATTGTGTTTTTGATTTTGACCGTAAAATCCGTTTGTTGAAGCAGTTCAAAAACTTTTAATGCTATATTTCATTGGTCAAAATGCAACGACGAAACCACATCCTACTTAACTCTTAAGATATATACGTGCCAAAATATAGTGCATTAAATAGAGCGAAACTAACAGGAAAAGCAATTCTCGCATATTCGTCGATTTTTACCAAAAAGTCTTCGGTAAATATTGTCTCTGCTATGAATTTTCTCCAGTCCTTCTTATTCACAGCCTCCATACTGTTGTAGTATTGTTTTGTTGTTGCTTTTTCGGCGTAGTCACTGAGGGGTCTATACGTTGGCATCTCTGCATCATCCGTGTCTGATTCAGCGGCATGTTTTTTTGCTTTCTGAGAAACAAAAATTTTCGTGATGAGATCAAGTATAATAGGATGAGGTCATGCAGAGGATCTGTGGGTTGAAATGAATCAGCATCTATACTACACAAGATTATTAAACTTTTTTTACAAGCGGACAGCCTTTCTCCTAAAACTGTTTCCATTAGTACTAGCTGGAAAACCAGAGAAAGATATATTCTCGTGCAACCTTTTCCTGTTTGTACCTCTTCTTCCCGAAGCCTCCGTTTTCTTATCTTTCCAGTTATTGTGAGAATGATTGAATACTCCGCCAGAACAGAAAAGACAAACATAAAGCAACCGATTAAATATTTATCCAGAGCTTTGATATAGTTCACCTACAACAAAAGTGATTGGTAAGTTAAATTGATTTGTTGAATTAAAATTCTTGATGAATGCAAATGATGATACTTTTTGCATTGTTCCTATATACATCGTAAAGTCAATCTCGCGCATTGTTAAACTCGAATTCCTTACCTTGGGCATGCTATTGTTCGACATATTTAAAACAGTGACTGTAGTGAGCAGGGCCGTGATACCTAGGGATATCCGTGCAGGTGTGTGATTTCTTGGTATAAGGAAGGATAACCAAGACATCATAACAATCAAAGCACAAGGTCCATAAACATGAATCAAAAAGTAGCTGTACATCCTGTCGAACTTGAACGAGATGGACAGGCACGTGTAGTTCCCTTAATAAAGAAAAATATATATAGAGATCGTATATATAGAGATCAGACTACCACTGAAACTTCTGAGTATAGTTGTATAAATCTACGCACTACATTTCAAGTGGTTAAATCGTCATTTGAGGCATGCAATGCCAATAAACGTTTTTTTATACTTTCAGAGTTTTCTTAGGAAAATTTATGTTTGCGTTGGAAATCTGGTCGAAAAATTTATTTTAAAACAAAAACGTCCAAAGAAATTTTGAGACTACTCCCTTCGTTTTTCTAATTTTCCGTCTCTTGATGAAGTTTCGCGGCCTTCCTCCTTCTGAGCCGGATTTTTCGTGCTACTAACTCAAGAAGTTTTTAAAGACCATATGTAATTGTTCTGCAACCTACCTGCGTAATAACGATTTATCTTCGAAGAAAGATTGACTGCTTTTAGTGTAAATTGAGGAAGTTTGGTCATTTCTGTATCGATAAACGAATTTCCATTATCCGTTGCCCATCTGTAAGCGACTTTCTTATTGTGATAACCATCTATACGTGTAGAGTTTTTCACAATTATATGCATTTTGATTTGGGAATGATCTTGTTTCGTAATTTAAAAGCCTTTGACCGACACTGCATGTCATTGCTTATTTTCTAAAATTTTTTGTGGATTTGAAAATTCACAATTTTCCTGTGGAGAGTCCCCGCGTATAATTAATAAATTTAATTAAGTAAATTAGCTTACGTTAATTAGGTAAATTGTATCTATAGTACACCACGCAAGTGGTATTTAATTTACTGCAAAGCTTTCGGTCCGTCAACCCGGGCCTTCATCAGTGCAATATTACAAGAAATTTAATTATACTGTTACTGAACTGCACCAAATTTTATTTAATTTAATTCATGCATTTAATTCATGCATTCATGAAAAAAACTTACAGCTTTCGAGAAATAATGGGCATATCTGTTTGTCCATAGGAAACAATCGCAAATCCATCTGGCAGGCAGCTTTAAGACTTATCCTATGAAGAGAGATAATGGTTCGTCCAGGAAGATTGCATAAATATATCCATCTATGAATCATTTACCAAATTTAAGGTAGGATTATTCATTGGTCGTTTTTTATTCAAATTATTAGCTATATGACAGCCTCGCATTTGGACTGAGCCTTCCGAAATATTCAGCAACTAACTTGGAATAAAAATTTGCTCTTTAACTTAATTGATGGCAAATATTTTCTGATTTGCGAATTATTGATATCCTTGATTCCTGATAAGCCTGTGTAAAGACTAAAATTCATTGATTTTTCGCTGGGTTCTTAAACGGCAACGCTAATCTGGTACAAGACATCTTACATCCTTATTCCAGTGTGAAGGACTTTTTATTAAAATGCGCGTCACCTGATTCTGTAGCTGACGAGTCCATTAGGACCGATCTGTAGTAACTTGTTTTCGTTTGTGACATAGTGGAATGAGCTGTCTTTAGCGTTCACAAAATATGTATCTGGCAGCCAGATCTTATCCAAATCTTTGTAGTTTACGGTAATTGTACTTTCTGTACCATGATCCAACCTCTCGTCTACCCACTGTTGAGTAAGAAACACATCCAAGGAGAAATCCTGCGTATAGAAAAAGACCCGGAAAAAATTGTTGAAACTGAAAAGTTTGCATTATCCACGTCCCTCACCATGCTGCATTTTCTATATTATAGCATCAAACGTTTATAAGGGTAAAACGTAAACGTTTATATATTTATAGGGGGGTTAATAACAGAATTAACAGGAGACTACACGTGTGAGAATGATTAATGTGTATATGTTGATATCAATTGCTAGTAAATCGTACCATATTCACTGTATCAATGGAATCGATTGATAACATTTTCATCCTTACGTTTACTTCAACTGGTGCCCCTGTAAATAAATACATGCATCAAATTAAATAAATTCATGGAAGATTTCCATTCCATTATATAGTCTGTTCTCCTTCCTTATACAGTCTGTCCCGAGTTATAGGCTAGCATGCAGCGATGGCTTTAATACACTTTTGGTATTTTGACGTGAAATGTTTCGTGGTAATTTAATTATGATAGAATTCAAGCAATATTTTGAAGGGCAAACATTGCATTTCCCATAGTGAATGCTTATCTCTCAGTGGTCACGCACCGACCGTAATAATGCATGAGGTCTATATTTGCTGTAATATTTTTTTATTTTACTGCATGTCACCTGAAAAATGCAAATTACGTATGTTCATTTCATAGTCCGCCATCTTGGCTGGCAGGAATGTTGTCTTTGAAGGGTTGTTATTATTTAGGCTTAAGTCGGACCATTGCGGCTCTTTGAGATCCGATGATATTGTTTCTTTGCTTTTGAATATCCATATTTTTCAGCTCAATTTACTAATCAAAATGGTGGTATAAAGGCTACAAACATGACGTCACTCGTGCGTAATACCTGAAGCATGCAAAGTACAATAACAACTTTACATCATTGAAAACATTCACATACCTGTCATATTTGGTCTTAGGCGTACGTCGTAATTTGTCGTGTTTAAAAGGGAGTCGAGTATAGTAGTAAGATGGATACCACTGCAAAAGATAGTATATCATTTATTTATGACTGCACAAAAACGATAAATTATATAACATTAAAATGATACGATAAAATTGAAAACATTGCAGTAATCATTCTTAGGTTTATTATATGCAGAAATAATGTATAAAAACATAGAGTATATAGCAGATGCATGTGGGCTATCAACAAAACATAAGACAAGTTTTTTATACATGCTATATATACGAATTTAATATTGTATTTGTTCATTTCTTGTTGATTATACCATTATACTTAAGTCTATAATTTTATACTGATTTATTTCTTGTTTTGATGTATTTTGAACTTTGAGCGATATTCTGCTTTATATTTTTGTCTCATGTTTTTGCATGCTTGCAGGTGGGTGAAATTCATTAAAAACAATCATCAAAACAACGAAAATTTTCCATTTAAAAAATGCCATGATTTTTCGAAAACTGGAATAGTGGTTGCGTTGATATTATAGTGGCTAAAATATTAATAATAACATACAAGACGGCAGGGAAAATAATTAATTACAGACGGTTTCACATGCACGTATTTAATTTTAGGAGCTCATAAACATAACACGCGGTAAAGCATAACAGCGTGCATCGCAGGATAAACATTATATATAAAATACACGAACCGTATACGTAGGTACTATTATATATATAGCATATATACTGACTGATTTTCAATTCAACTATACGTCTGTTGCAAACAATATTAAAAACAAAAAATCAAACTTCAAAAAAATGAAAAGTTCTCCAAAATAAACCAATATCTACATGAAATTGTGTTTTTAGGTAAATTTGAACTGGAAATTTGAAACGTACCCGTGCATCCGAGAAAGTATATTATTGCTGTATCGATTCATGCATAGAATTATGGTGGGATTCATGCAGCTTGTAATATATCTATTTTATTTTTCACATTCATTTATACGTTACATTATTAAGTTATACTCATGTTGCATACACGTCGTGTGTTTGCATATTGAATAAAACGTATAGCATCAATCATCATATAAAACTCACTACCCTAGCTGATACAATCATTTCATGGATGTACAGTGAAGTTCTGAGGCCTATAACGAAGACTTCCTGTCTTTTTTATCAACAGCTCGGTTCGGTTATCCGGTATCGGGTTATCATGCCTTTATATTTTGCGTTGTATAGCCACAGTCATATGAGTAAAAACACTTTGTATTAATGTGGAAACGATCAGTGCGACATTCTAGATACTAAAATGTGCATGAATCAGATAAATATATTTTACATTTTTTTAGAAAATGCCATCCATTTACACTGTGTAATTATTTAATATCGAATATACAAAATCCAAAATGTTTGGTTTATTTATATATTAAGGGTTTAGGTTTTGCATACCTTGTTTTGACTGTGTATCCATAAGATAATATTATGGAAAAAATAATTCTCCAATGCTTCAACATGTTCAACCAGAGTGTAAAAGAAATGACTATAAGTGAAATATTTCGTGCAACCACACTTCAGAAATAGGTTGACCACAAGAACGGTGAAGTTGAAAGAATCTCTAATTACATCCGTACATCAGACAAAGCGAAAGCGTCAAACTAGTCTTGGATAATCAAAACATGATTATTGTTCAGGAAAGTTATATTAATGCGTTCAAACAATGATTACGTCACATTTTATCTCACTTAATTCGGTTGGATTTTTAAGAATGTTTACCGTGTTTTTCTGTATGCTGTTTTTTATAACACAATTTCTATATCTTTTTATTTCATTTCCAGTATCTATATACTACAGTACATGCCACAGAAATGTATTGTATAGCCTAGCTCGTTTATGCAAAACAGTTGTAAGTGTGCATATTTTTTAGGTGATGCACTATACAAGCTGTCATTTTATATATATATCATCATATGTAATACAAGTTGACATCTATTTCACTGCGAGAATAAATATTGGTTTATTGTTTGTTATATTCCTGAATGATTTAGCAATTGCCAAATAACTGTGTTATACTTTAATCAATATATACTTGAGTATTTCTACTATATTACAATGCAGCGTTATCTATATAAGAAAAATAACAATTGAAAATGAACGCCTTTTTTAGGCAACTGTGGCTATTTGGGGTAGCTATTAGCTATATACATGCATGCATATAATCCTGAGATTTTTATACCCTAGCTCTATCCATCTTGGCTTTTGGGATAATGGAACTGCATGAGAGTGGAATTTAGCGATATCTTTCCCCCTGAAAATGTGGGCAATATTAATAAATATATGGAGGAAATATTTTGAAGGCAGAATATTGACATCTCGTGGTAACCCTCCCTACAGACTTTAATTATGGAGTCAGCAAGACATCGTGTTAAGCTAGCGTAAAAAACAAGGATAATTATCTGGCTGCCGACTGCCGTCAATATAAGGTTTTTTAATCAATAATAATCGAGAAATGTTAAAATATTAATTAAAATTTCCCATGTTATGAAAGGGTTTTTTAAGCGATATAAAAATATCGTTTACATTAAAGACAAGCACAGTGATATTATACCCCTATATATCAAGACTTGATGTCAAATGTCACTCTTTCATGATATTCTTTGCTATTATTTTAAATCTTTACTATAATCATGAACATGCGTTCTCCTTTGATATCGCCAACGGGATGGCTCCATAGTTCCATAATATATGTAAATGATAACAGCTGCGTGCGTGCGTGCATTTTATCCCCTATGGTGTAACAATTTGTATTTATACTGTTACTTTCATGAATTGTAATTCATATTTTCGTGCATATCTTGATATGTTGAGATATCGATTATAAACAAAATGTCTTAAGTTCTGAAATGCATGAAAATATTGTTTAAACAAACGCACATTGACAATCATATATAGCTATGAATCGAAAGCAAAGAAATTATTAATCGCATGCATTTATCTGGCGACGGTCAACCATGCAGGGCTGAAATACCATTCCGCGAGCTAATAATTAATCCCTCTGAACCGTAAACTGGTTCCAATTTTTGCTGCGATTTTCTCCTTTTGATAGATGCGAATGAGTGAATAAGCGACGGATGTACAAATAAGGACACTTTTATTCGAGCATTCAAAACTTTTTGCTCTTTGCCATCTGTCAAAAGAAGAAAATCGCACCGTAGGCGCACCAGAAATTGCAAGTGTAAACGCGGGCCTTTATTCAGTTTTATCTCGATCCTGATCTGTAATTAAAAATATTTTCGGACTCAAAAGACATGCATCAAAGTACCGACTCATGGATTCGTCTCCTGTACTGTGTTATCTGTATTCTGAAAATATAGATAATATTTCCGAAAAATTGAAGTCGTAGCTCAGTGGGGCATGCAGTTATATAAAGTCATCATCTCAGCCATCTAAACACAAGAATTTATATGCTTGCAGTAATTCAAAGCTACGTCAAAATTTCGAAATCGTTCATGATATTCTTCTGCATGTATGCCAAGACTATATTATACCTAAATAATACTCCAAAAAATAGGAGAATACAAATTTAGGTCGTACCTCAGTGAGCACTGTTGCAAGACAAACATTTATGGCTCTATATATATTTCTAAGAATGCGGCAGCTCGTATTAATTTGGGAAAGGGTGAAAAAAATATCGAAAGATTTATAGATTGAGGACGCGACGGTCAAAGACTGTGTGGAAATGGCGAATCACAAGGAAAATTAACACCTTTCTCCGATATCGATTTCGAAATCTGCGTTACGATCTACTAAAGAGATTACATGCAGCGACAAGCGAGGGAACTAACGCGAAAACCGATGTTTTCTCGCCAAGCCGGACTGGTATATATGCTTGCAGCTATGAGACGTCGAGAACTTGCAGGAACAAAGGTTTGCAACCCAAATGAACAACGTTACACCCCCCATCGAATCACACATGCACCTCACCAGCACCTCACTCATTCACCCCCTTCCCATTTGGGTTATATCGTTATGTTACGGATTTTGTGATTTGCGGTTAGGAAAGGATGGTGGTTAGGAACTGGGTTCAAAGAGAAAATATTTCGTGCGCGTAACATGAGTCCAGTACACCCATTTGCGCCCCGACTTGTGATGATGCGCGATGTAAAAGAGGCGACGTCGTGTGAATTGACTATCCAACGCAACTTCAGTCACTAGTTTTATAGTAAAATTCAATAGCTGTAATCCAAAGTTGTGTGCATGGAGATGGCAAAGTATAAGATCTGGCTCGTATATATGAATCAGTATATATAGAGATATTCCATGCATCGCAAGCGGTGATTATGCATGGGATGTTACCTAGTTAGGCTCTGGAAATCGCTTAAATTGTCTGTGACCGGCAATAATAATAGGTTTTCAGTTGTGACTCTTCATATAGTCCTAGGTATCATCGAAAGCAAAATTCTCAAGTCCACAAGTCTAAATAACTGCAATTAATCAAGATTTATTGTAATGTTAGCAATATTCGAGCGAGAGCCATGCAACTAATCATTAATGTTAGTATGTATCGTTGAAAAAACAAAACAATGCTAGGTTGGGTGCAGGGATAGAGGAAAATGAACACCTCAAAATTGTAGGTAATCAAATTAATCTACATGCATCTCTTCCACACATTGAATATTTTTTTTTGTATATTTACATTTTTGATCATTATAATATTATATATTTATGTACAAAATCATATATATCGTATCGGCTTCAAACATGGAAATGGAGATTCCTCGATCTTATCGTAAATATTTGACGTTAATATATTTGTTCAACTGGTACTATATTTTTGTTATTCTATGTTTAGACTCTTATATACATGCAGCGATAAAAATCATGCTTCAGGAAATTCTTCACTGACGTAGCTATCAAAGTTTATCTGTAATGACTAATAGTTCACTTTTCAGAAAGGCTTCGTAATTTTAAATCAGTTTGTGTTATGCATTGTTAGTTGTTTAATGCCAGAACATATGGTTAAATTTTCGCAAAATTAAGACTTGAATGTGAAAGTTATTTATCTTCTATATTCAGGACATTTATAACGTGGAATTATAAATGGTCAACGTTTAGGCGATCTCTTTACACGATCTTCCATTCTGTGATTTTCGACGATTATTCAGTCATTGATGGCAAGTCACTGTTAGAACTTGTAGCGACATTTGAAGTTTGAAGTTCAGATTTCTCAGGTGACTCGTCGATATTTTGTTCCTCTTGACGCCATTTCATTCTTCGGTTCTGGAACCAAACTTTGACTTGATTATCGGACAGACCCAACATGGAAGCCAGCTGATGACGGTCGCCTTTCGTGAGATATTTCTGGACTTGAAAACGTTTTTCAAGACCCTTACGTTGAAGGTTTGAGAAAACAGCTCGTGTCCAGGGTCTCCGCGGTTTACGTTGTTTGACTTGGGTGTAAAGGGCAGTTTGTGGGTCTACATAAGCGACACCTTCTGGGAAAAAGGATTTAGTTTATTCTTGTGCACGTCAGCGCGTGGCATTCTGAGATTCAATCAAGAATAATTTTGATTCATTTCATTTTGTGACTCCAAGAACTACAGTAAACTAAATTTTATATATAGCTATATAAAATCAATCAATGTTAATGTCCTTGGGCAATCTTTGTTGGCGATTTCCTTCTGTGAACAGTTAGCTTACTTTGCTACGCCATGCAACTGAGCTTATGCAAGCTTATGCAGGATCAGGGGTGGTCACAGGTCACTGATCAAATTATCAGACAAATCTATCAATGAAAATTCACACTGAGTGAGGATCCTTGAACGCACCTTTCAAAGTGTGTCTCCATGCTGCTTGTTGGCGATAAAAGGTGTAAAGATAAGGGTGATAAAATGGTGTTGTAACGGCAGCAGTCTTCATGTAAGATGGATACACACTGCTGGGACATGCGTCGCTGCAACAGCCTAAAAGTAAAATTAACAGTATATGTTAGTGACGGATGTACTACAGTAAACTAAACCATGCATATACTGTTTTATCAATTCATTGAAAGCTTAGTTGTTCTTGAGAACGAAAACATGCAAGCAACGTCACTCATTTCCTAAATTGAAAACGAATTGGTCGTGAATACCAAAGCTCACAGGATATGGCAGTAAACTTATTTTTGCTAGCAATTGCACTCAGCCAGTCTTCGCCAAACTTGGGAAAAGTGTAATTAAAACTATATTATATTTCGGATATTATGCCGCAAAAATAACAAAGTTCCATGCCTCATACTTCATCACTTATCTTCGCATTTGTTGATGTCTATCATCTGGTATCATCTCGTCATCACGCCCAGGCATTTCAAAACATTAACTATTTCAACACCCAAATAATTTCTTTCGGAGGGTTTCTGGTTTGTAAATTTTTATCACCCAGTCATGGGGATGGTGCATGACTGCATGCACATCATGAGAGGGCACTATATTCCGTCTGGGTTTATTTACCTGGATTATCGGGTCCAAATATACATGCTTGTATAGAAATATAAAGAAACAATGATAGTGTGAAATATTTTAACACTATACGAAAATAGCAATTGTGTGCTGAAAAATGAGAAACTCAAATTATATATAAAGTCATCTTTATACGATTAATTCTACCGGAATTTGGCTTGAATTATATATTTTGTGAAACGAGTCATCTGCAGGTATAGCAAAAGGAATTCCTTAATATATACAACGTGCATGGGCTACAAAGTTTATAAGTTTCAGGTGTCCATGACTTATGATATAACGAAGTGGTCGTATATAAAATCTGACCTCCATATATGGTCGCGCAAACTAGGGGTGCATGCTGTTAATGCCGCAAAGGTAGGGTCAATTAATCTCTGCAACATAGGCTACGGCATGCTTAGCTACCACCATTCATGGAAACCACGCTCAACACCACACACGAACCAAGTTTATACATATTGTCCGAAGTTTTCAGATCTGGTTTCAATCTCGATCATATTCGCTGCAGTTAACCCTATATACATGCAGCCTACATTAATTAATTCGGTGCAGTTATCGCTGCGTTAGTTACCATAGCCAAAATATTTCTAATAAATTCCTCGAAAAGTAGGGGGTTATCCAAACTATACTTTTGCCAATTCGAACTGCTTCGGCAGCATTGATAATGTGTTTGAATATAATAGTTAACTTGCGCGATATTTTCATAGCTTTGTCCTCGAGCTTTGCCGACAAACAATCAACGACATGAGTTCAGCAACGTCCAAGCAGTGGCCTAGTTATTTGGATACCATGACAAATGTAGGTTATCACGCAGATTATATCTATATCACATTGATTTTATATATGGGCACATTGCATGTGTAAGATTTATTGCCAATATAAAGATTAATATATGGAGCTATGCTTATGGGAATCCATATATCACAAATCTTCCGCGATTTTGAAGAGAAAAATGTTGAATTGGGTTGGTTTAATAGGCACCGTTTTGTCTTGACTGTTACGCTGACGATTACGCGGTCTCATGCAGATATACAACAGTGTTAAACTGACGATACGGATGACGAAAGACTGGGAGTTTTTTATCTAGGTCCACGAAGCCGGAGAAAGTCCAGCTTTTCGCTAATGCGTTTTAATGAGTGTAATATACAGATAATGAGTCAAACGACTTTGTATTGTGTATTTTAAACTCATATATTTGTACGAACTGGAACGGGCATAGCATATAAAACGTGACAGATATATGAGGTTGGCTATAAAGTTTTAACAATAAACGAACAAATCTGAAAAGCACATACACATGACTTTATTTAATATTGCGCTACATTTAGGTAATAAAAATGTAAACAAACTGTCTCAACATTCAATCTCTGCGTTTTTTAATTGAAAAAGCCTACTGTGAGTTACTGAAGATAAATCCAGAATTCATAAGAAATACGTGTAACCGTCTGATAGCTTATTTCGAGAAAACCTTTTCTTTTTTGAAATGATGAAATGCTTTTAAGTAGAACTATCTGTCAAACGGCGATTCTATTTTAGATTAATGTAGAATATTTTTGCTACGGAAACTCTATACTTGTAGCCAGTAGGCTTGTAGCTATATCCCTCACCTGTGCTATATGGGTCTACTGGGCGTTCTTCATTACCTGCCAGAATGTTTTGAACAGTGTGAGACGTTGTTACTGTGTGATTTGCCGGTTCACTCGGTGTTGATGGAGGTGAAAACTCGACTTCTACCGCGGTGGTAGTAGGGCTCCTATGCTCTAAAATGTCTTTGATGAAAAATGAACGAATTCGTCTTGGACTTGGTTGTGGTGTTATTTCATTCATCGTTAAAACACTAAAGCACGCTATGGCACGCACGAGAATCAAATGACAGCACCGTTCAAATGTTGGCGAAAAACATATGATTGAAGGAAAACTTTTTTTGTATATAAGAGGAAATTATAGTTTACACAAGTGTCTTTGATTGACATGGTATTACGACCATATAGAATACTTATCTTGTCTGCAGTTTGATTTCCTTTTATGATAAAACAAACTAGCCCTAACCAAACAAGCAAATGGCTTTCAAATGGTTGCCATGCTTATTCAACTGCAAAAATGAAATTATTCAAAACTGGTCGGTCAGTCGAAACAAGAACATGTTGTAACATAAGACGAGGCTATACTCTCACGCTGTTCCTAATCTGAAACCTTTACATCCATTTTCTGTGATAAAACTTTGTGTTGCAACTGTTTGCCTGCTTCTATGTACGTATTCCTAATGAAATATACGAGCATGCGCAGTACATATGGCAAGCACTATGCTATTATTATATCATCAAGTTGTCAACGGCAAAGCCATTACCCAACCATTAAAACCCTTCTATTATTACAGTTTGTCGCGGTAACAAACAAACGGGATAACATCCCAATTGTCAGCTTTGTTCCTTCTCCCGTTCTATTTATTCAGCTAATTACTATTATGGACACAAAGACCATTAATGCGCTTTAGATTAAGACAAATTCATTGTGATTTTTGTAGCCTCACGCAAAATCTGAATGTGAAAATCATTCCCTGTTCTTTTGTTATATCCTAACGTTAAGTTGTATGTCGCTATATATCTTTTTTTCTTTAGCTGGCGATAAATAATGTTAATTCAGCTGATCTGAAAGTTTACATATACCGCAGACAATATAGATATTTCCCCCTAAATATATGCAATTTTCGGTTCTTTTTTCTATAAATTGATATAATGTGTGATCAATTGTCACCAATATACACTTCATAAAAACGTTTCTTTCATCATAAAATCTTCCCTTTATACAAAAGGTCATTGAAGGTTAACTTTTTGAGAGTTCTCAATGACAAATCTTTACAAGATTATTCAGAGAAGGCAAGATACTTGCAGTCAGTCCTCCTTTTGCATTAATCTGAATGTAGCATGGATCGAGTTGCTATGACCTGGCGCAGGTGTAAATTATTAAATATAGACATGAAATCAAAGTAATGTGTTCATAGTTTAGAAAGAAGATAAGATGTCAATCAATAAAATACAATATGGGAGGTCTTCTTCATTGAAGCAGTTTTGTATAAACTGATCGATGCATATAAACCCCGCTATTTTATAAAACAACCTTGAACCGAAACATCTATATAGGTAAATAGCTATTCGTACACTAAATGCAACGAAATACTTTATTGGGTTCTCGGTTGCCCGGTTCATGAGCATGCAAATCTTTTTCATATAATGCAATATAAATACAAAAGTTGACATGTTGTCTAATATTTTTATTCGAACATGTATAAAGTTATCAAAATAATCAGGATAAATTCTCAATTAAAAGCTCTAAGGCATTTGACAATATATCAATATACAACTAGACCCATCCGCATGAATGCCACATTGATTTTTCAATTAAGTCGTGAACTTATAATTTAATACATCGCGCTCCGGCAAGATGGATGAAAAATGCCTTATAGACTTTATAGTACATGCGTGCATGTTGGTCTCAACTTTCGTTTAGTACTGTTATAGCTACTGAGATTAATTGCCCTAACTAACCCCTAACCCCTTTCGTCTTTTGCTTTGCGTCAATTTTCAGTAATCATGTAAAAAAACGTTTCAAAACGTTAAAAAATGTTTAATTATGAAGGTGGTTGTGATAAAACAACACTTATACTCACAAACCAAGTCAAATTCAGCGAGACGCGCACTTATGGATAGGCTTATAGCCGCCTGAATACGCGGTACTATGCACTCTACACTCAAATGTCGCGCTTCTAATGTCCTGAACTCGTGCAATGAAGACAATAAAGAGTAAACCAAAAAATAGTGTTTTCAATGCGTTCGGTGCAAATGTACGAGGATTGATCTGTATAGGTCTTTAATAGTTGAGATTAAAACTGAAGAGAAAAAAAATGATTTTAGCGAGTGGCGCCTCGTGTATTTAGCGTCGATCAGTTTCTCAGTTTCTCTCAAATCATATGGTATATTGTAGTATTATATAACACCAAAACACCGATAATTTATTAATCCATTTTCTTTTCCTTGGCCGGCCCCATTTGCTCTGCGGAACTAAATGAAGTAAATTTAAATGTTCTGTGGTAACAACCGGTTCTGTATGTGTCTATAGCTGGGTTGTTCTAAGAATCCGTGATTCTTTTTTACTGCGGTCATTGGGGTTAAAAGCGTGTTTGTCGAAAGACAACGGGTCCGCCATAAGCAGTGTGAATCAGGCTTTTTATGATGCAAAGAATAATTTCCCTCTCATCATGTCACGAACAAGGCTGGGACAAAGAAATGGTCCATATTGAGTCTTAACTGGCATATATGAAAAAAATACGAATAACACAGTCACTGGCTGTACCTGCATGATCACAAATCACGACACTGCATGCAAGGTAAGATTTCATTAGTAAATTAACTGGGTAAAGTCGGGGCGATAATATGCGCAGGAACAAACAACACGATCTGTCGCTAATAATAGATATAAAACAACACAAAATGAACTATTTGGATAATTTGATATGACTAGTTCTACTGGCTTTGCACTGAGATTAGTAACGCTTTGTGACAAGTAAAATCTGTAATTTGTTCGGATTGATCTATACAACCTTGATTTTGCGATCGGATTGTTACAACCTATAAAGGTTAAGTTGCATGCATTTATTAACGATTTTCAATAATTTGGTTTAATATTCCATGAATGTTTCGCCTTTTGTTTTCTTGCACGTTTTTGCTTAGGGCTATAATGTCATTTAGAGATAATTATATTTGATAAAATAAGGTAAAAAATCTTTTGCACGAAATGTAGGATATTTAGTAATTTACTTTTTCAAATTGTTTTGGTTGAGTAATTTTGATATAAGTGTAGCTATATATGTTCTCTGAATTCGACAATCAATGAATGGCATGGGTATCATTTATGCTGCGAGATTTGATCCGATAAGAGAGCTCAGACAGGAGTATTGAGACGTACGCACTTGTGTCAATCTTGGGATTGTGAAGAATACGCCTACTGAAAAATATACACAAAAAATCACTTTTGAACTGGAATAATGATTGCCATTGAGGCATTGATTGAACAAAGTAAAATTAAGACATCTATAGCTATATCACATTCTCATTTGTGTAAATTTGATGTATATTAATATTGCGTATCATATATCTTCATGCCACGATCGTATGGCATTTATTGGGTGATAATGAAGCAAATGGTTAAGAGGGTATAGTCAGGGCATGACCTCAACAACCAGACAAAAGCAATGAGTTATCGACTTGAATGTTTAAAATTTAAAGTATTTATTATAGTATTTGTGCATATACGAGTAACAAGATGACAAACCATCCTCACAACAAACGGGAAGCATTCATACCGAGGAACATATGTATATACTCATATTTACTTCACGATGTTTTTGCCCACTTCGTCAGTCGTGAGAGTTTGTATGACCGGCATAACACTCTCATATACTAATACTGAGGTCGAATCATCGAGAAGTTTTTTTATATTTTGACAGTTGCTGAACCCTATTGATGACAAGTTATTTGGAGGAGCTGCCACGCAGCTCCTTTGTGAATTTTAGATTAAAAATTAGCTATCTACTCCTGTATAAAGTTACCTGAATAAAGAACTATTTAGTTTATCGCCACTTCACCCTTTCCTCGAGAATTTGTTTTTATAGAGGATGTATGGAATGTAGGAAAATAAATAAAATAAGACGACTATTAATGGACGTACTTATACATGTTGTATTAACAAAGACATTGTGAATTCAACAAAAACATAGGAAATTCTATCAACCTACTATATTTCATGCACTAACCTGTAATTCACCTGAAATAACACAGCAAAACATGATTATGATTTAAGGCAAGAAATAATTTTCCTAAATTCTATCATCTTTGCAAGGTATTCAAATTTAAAACCACAAGAAGCATGGTAAAGTTGGTACAAGAACATATCAATTTCCTATCGTTTGACAGTTTGAGTAGGCGGCGGAGCAAACAAACGGAAATTTAACAATTATAAGCCAGTTTCAGTGTGGAACAGCAGGCTGAACTGTGAAACATGTGTAATTCCATCGTGATTTCTACAATATACATCAATGCCATGTATTATTACTGTACAAAAAAAAGGTGATCAATGGACTGGACTCGCATTGGAAAAAACAAGGTTCTGTGTGTTTGTTGGCTTTTGTGTTAAGGGAAAGATGGGGGACCATTTTAATTTCGGGTGACATTCAGCCCTAATATGCTTCAGAGATCCACATGAATGATTGTATCACTGTTAGTGAACTTCAGTCTTAAATGGGTAAAACGAAATTACATGACAAATTCGGAGACACATTTTACCCCACTACCACATACATGGATTAGTTCAACCAGGCCAGCCCCACTACCCAGTCGACGGATTCCATTATAAATCAATGGCAAAGGCATAGCCTGCTATCACAAAAACTACAATTTGAAGTATAAGACTGACTGAGAAAAGACCCTATTATCATGCAGTCCGCCGGGCCACGTTGGCGAAAACTGGTTAATTGTTATTTGTTACATTTCGAAAGTCCAGCCCACGTACTCCATATGGCTATACCAATTTATCTTTGCACTAAATCAGCATATCCATGTCCAATCAGCAAACAAGATTGGTAAAAACAATACAATTTCATCTTTCGTACAATATTTAACGTCCTTTTTTAAAGGCTAGTCATACATGAATGTTTTTATGTCTCCTTCCGTTGGCAATGTTATTTTAACCATACAAATGTGACTTCACGGGTTCACAAGTGCTGATGTATGGAATGTTTTTGAATAAACACCACACTTCTTATATTTCTTAAGATATGCATTAATGTGGTGAATAACAAAAACAACTATAATGTTTATACGACGGCCCAATTCTTTTCTACTGTCTTAATTTGGGCTGTCGTATGATTTTAATATATTTTTGGAATAATTGTGTGATGTACATTAACTCTCGACTCCTATACCTTCGTGGGCATTAAAATTTGCCATGATACTTTACGCAAATTATTGTATAGCACCTGAGTATAAGATATAGCCATAGATATCACACTATAAATCCACGAGTTTCTGAGTTTGGAGTTTATCTCAAAGATCGCCTAAGTTCGTTATGTACTCTTTGGATCACCATGCATATATAGGATATTGAATGCGGCCATGCGGGGACGGCAGGGTGTACTAAGTACTAGCTGTAAAGGGATTTTCGTTCGTGACAGGAGGGAATACTCGAATGAATTACAACTTCAAATGTTTAGTGTATTTACTTGAGATTTTCGGTGTGAGTTTTGTTTTCTCTGCTGGCATTTGTTGTGACAAAAATTCGTTTCATCAAGAATTACATTCTTACATTTCACATTCTACGATTGAGCTGCGAAGCCTAGCTTAACTACAGTCTCTCTAGTCCGGCTTCGGCGCACTCAGCATTGCTACACTGACATGACAACAATTATTCTAAGAAAATCACCACGAAATGAATTATTAAAAATATCAACAATAGATTGCAAACTCCTTTCATCAAGGTCATGCCAACAATAAATTCCTGTAACTAAACAATTAGAAAACACTTTTTCAATTTCTGAGATAAATATTGGATAAAATATAGACCATTATAGGTCAATTGAATTTTCAAAACTATTTAAACCATGACATATTACCTATACTGTGCACAAAGATTCTTGATAATTGCAAATTGAAGATATGTGAAAAAGGCGAATTAAATGGTATTCTGAGAATTTTCATCTTCCGTATGGGCAAAATCTTGCAGATGGAAGGGGTAACCATTGAATTCGACAAGCATTGAAATTTTGCACATATCTTGAATTGCTAGTTCTTCTATATATAGTGCGTATATATACAAATAATAAATATTCTCAGTCCAAAATTGTTGCGTAAAAAAATTCATCACGTATAATATAAATACAATAACCCCCATTTTACTTCAAATTTTGTTGTTTCTTCAATTCTATAAATGTATATGTTTTTGCTATAACCAGCTAATAAATATTATTAACTATATCAATGCATGAAACTCCCTTCCTTTCAGTGATTTTCGTCATCTTGTTCGTTATCTAACTGCAGAAGGTAACAAAACATAAAACAATGAATTTTTCTTCTGCAAGACTCTTCACTAATTTACATTTCTTAGAAGTAGAATTGCATTGCAAGTTGCAAAAAAAATTGCACCGTGTAACAGGGCCTTAAGTTTTGGGCTCCTGGGCTTTATTGCATATTGAGGCTGTTTTTAGCTTTACTTTTGAAACTCAGTTATACTTATTGTTTAAGAAGCTCTGCCCTAAAGATTTTCCTACTTTTCCTAAGCGAGACATTTACCTGTTCCATCTCGTGTAAAGTAAAAACGTATCTTCCAAGTAAGACTCTGAAGGGGATCATCAACATGATGAATATTGGGAAGATAAATGAGATCGATTCGATTGATTTTATCACCATTAGTAGAGCAATCATAATAATCTGTATAGCTGTGAAGAGGTGAACTTTCAATAATGGAACCTATAGGGGATAGAAAGTACTAGGGGTGAGTATACTCACTGAGTAGCTACCTCAGCTAGCGCCATAGCGAAATGACAGCGCGTTGTGATAGGTGTAGGTGTTCAAACAGTCATTCAAGCGAAATGATCTGAAATACTATTAAAGGAATGAGGAATCCATATTTTTTTAACTTAGCGCGCAACAAAAATCTTCATTCATTACCAATCAATAGGATAACGTCACAGACAATAGCCCAGTTTACACTACACTTAATTTATTGGCACGGCACGGCTGAAAAGGTACCCGTGCCCGGCTTTTGTTTAAGTAGCCTGAGCACTAATAAAATTGGACACGGGTACCCATGCATTTTAGTCGTACCGTGCCAAGTGTAAACGGGGTTTATTATGGTATACTTACGTTGTCCAAATATTCAATATATGGGTGTTGACTTGGTGCCATAAACAGCAATTCGAGGCGTTTAAAGAACTGCACACCGAAAGTGGCCACCACGCCCATGTATAATGTAAGTCCAGACAACAGAGCTATAGGGATATCTCCAAATGTGACGGGATGGTACAAAAATAAACCTGAATAATTACAAAGTTGTGTGATGACATTCAGCAAGGTATAAGGCCTATATAACTGTCACTTGCTTTGCAATACTGTAGTTACAACAACTATACAACAAAACGTTCCGCAAGTCAACTCGTTTTCTTCAAATAATGCTAATATGTCACAGGCCAAAATCGTAAAATTCTAAACCTTACCTGTAGTCAAACCAATGAACAACAAGGTAATTCTTTGCTGTCGTATTTTCTCCACATGACTTTTTATCCCAGGGATATTATACGAGGTCCACACTCGTAGACTGTCTAAATGATTATTTGTTTCCACTGCAGCGAGACACATCCAGGGTAAACCAAGTATCGAACAAATGAATATAGAAATAGCAACTACCAAAAGATTTGTGTGAAATCCAGTTCCTTTTCTTGATATAGTCTCCTAAGATACATCGACAACGTGGACTTGTTATAGAAATAGGGCCGGTTGTACATTCTACTATATTTTGCATAGCAAAAATGTAGTTAACGACAGACTCATAGTTGAAGATGAACTACCTCTTTACATTTAAATATTAAACAAACCAGAGAAATGGTATTACATAAACTTACTTTATAACACATTAATATTGTTATTTCAGTCTCGATGAAAATAACAATGACGACGAAGAAAGCAGGAAAAACTGCCAGTACCGCCATTCCCCAACCAAGCTTTCCTTTCCCGCTCAAACTTGGATTAATAAGCCACGTACGATTCTGCGAAGTTAGGGATATTCCAGGTTTTAGTTCCACCGTATTTAAGTATACATTCAGGAAGTTGCAAACAATTAACATTATTGTCACTGCTACTGGAATACTGAAGAAATTCAATAGTCTTCTCACCTGGGAAACAAAAATCAAAAATATTTGTCAAGAGTACTGTATATATTGTGTGCCGTTTGCCAGTCTCGAGCTCTATAACGCTGTAATTTTGCTACCATAACCGGCAGTAAAGCCAAGACCATATTCACCATGCATCAGCTTTTAATGTACATATTTGTTTCAATTTTGAGGAAATAGTACATACTGGTGGGGAGAAATATCTTGTTTCTTGAAACAAGCGAAGTCCAACTGCAATTCCAAATGTGGAAAACAATATAATTGTATGCAGTAGTGCTGTATTGGGACGTCCAGTTAATGTGGGTGCTGTTTTGTTTTGATCATCTTTGGATACCATATTGTAACTGTCATGGATGGGATTTTCTCGAAATACCTACAAAAAATAAAACTAGTAAAAAAAACGCAAGAATATGGTTTCTTTGAAAGAATAAGCTGAAATCTACCACCGTTATTATAGTCAACGAATAATTTTACTTATGAAACGTCTGATATGCTACAGTACCTAGATTTTAGATATGCTAAAAATATGTCCTCGAGAATGAACAAAACCACCCCAGGTTAAGACTCAACGTCGACTCGAAACTGCAGGAAACACCAACCTTATAAATATCTTTAAACGCCTCCATAATAAACAATATTGCAATCAGTGAATGTAAAATCTCCTCTGTGAATCTTGTACAATATGTAATCCAGTAAGTTTTCTCCCAGGCTAAGATGAGTACCAAAATAATGCCTATCCATAGACCAATCCACAGTCGCCATGGTAAGTATTCTATATCGAAATAGCCGGATGCCTGTACGAAAAAAAATGATCATCAAACCGTAAAATAAACAATTAAAGTGCATACAAAGCCAGTGAGTTTACCACGGTTCCCAGAAAAATTGGTGACCATAGGTCCACCGACTCTCGCAATCAACAAAGGCATCGCCAGCTCAGAATTGTACTTGCGAGGTAATTTGCCCGACTGCCTCCCCTTCTCGCCGTAACTGGGGGAATAAAGAAGGGGCTGCTTCCGATCGGTAGATGTAATCATTATACAGGGACATCACCAAGGCATACCTTATTCCCTCCGCGGATTCAAGATAAGCTCAAAAGAAGATTCCCCCTTTTGTTTTGGATATCAACAGTGTAAAAACACTCACCTTATAGATTACAGTCTCAATTATAACCATTGCAGCAGTACCGCTAAGAACCGTGTGAGGTTCAGTACCCACGATTGCCATCAAAATACAAGAAAAACTAGTCGCTAGCAACATTTCAGAATCACCCATATAACCATCCGTGTATTTTAGCAACAGTTTACCGAATGTAACTGCAAGTGCGATAACACCAAATGTAACGAAGAAGAAGGAAGCAAGACATTGAATGTGAAATGCATCTTTAATATCACTCCAGTACTTCGGATAACGCAATCTCATTTCACGACGCATGCCTCCAAACCATCGACCATCTGGTTCTAATGGGTGTGTACTAAGCAACGGAGAATACACAATAGATGGAGTTCTACTGCCTCCTTGTCCTATGAAATAAGGAAAATGTATAAAATTAGAACGTTCAAAGGAAAAAAAATGTTAAGTGTACGACTGGCCTCGATTACCAAACTACTATTAACCAAAATAAGAGTTATTTCTAACTGGAATAACGTATTTTTCTTTCTATGCTTTATGCCCTAAAATCGTAATGGCGAAACTAACCATTTAAGAAAGATGCAATGTCATCTGCAGAAATCACGGTATCTCGGCGTAAAGGCAAGGCACTGGAAGGTTTCCTAGACTGATGATTCTCAATTTCGGAAATTAATGGTTGCTGTATGGCATAACTTTTCTTTCGTTTCCTTGGTGGAGTTTTCACAGTTTGTGTACGAAGAACATGACGTTTTGCAGATAAGTGAGTTATTTCTTCAGTTGCAGGCTTAAGGTAATCCAAATCCCATTGACCCGGTGGAAACAAGACGCTGTCTTGAACATACTTATCAATAGCGGTGATAACATCCTGTTTTTTATGAGCTGTTAACATGTCATGTTGGAACACCTAAACAAGAGAAAATTGAAGGTCGTTAAACCTGCCTCGAACCTGAGCGGCAACACACTACCGTTAATAAAGAGATCAGTGGATGACTAAAGAAATTCGCGGCTGTACTGCATTGGGAGGTTGTCGTCACCACGGCATCCGAAACGGCACCTGGAAACTAGTCCATCAGCCATTCCCTAAGACCTGGTGCCCAAAAAAGCAATCAATCTTTTTCAATGAAAAGATGCTTACTTTGTCTGTCATGAGAGAGCCAAATGCACGACAAACTTGCAGATCTTTATGGCCATCTCCTTTAGACGATCCACACAGAAGAAAAACAAATTTACAATCAATCGGAACCTCGAGAAAGTCGGAAAGTTCGACACTGTTCGTCATTCGAACCAGTACAACGAATGACTCATATTCATTCAAGAAATCGCAGGGAGCATATTTGATTGCAACACCCTCACAATCAGGTGACAGGGCTTTCAAAAGATGTTCTTGGTTTCCAGATAAAGGATATCTGTCAGAGTTTGCTTCGGAAAATTCCGATATAGAAACACTGCGTCGATCATCAGGAACCCTAATTACGACTTTCCTATCTCCATTAAGATCCAATAATTTTTGGTTATGGATTCCTCCCACAGATATCTACAAAACAATGACACATTTCTGAATAATGTGTTCATCACCTCACAACATGATTCTCAAAACGTTTCATTTCAAACCCTCACCAACGATAATTGGAGGGGGGGGGGATGTTTATTCATATATTCAGTTCTGACCGACAGATTTCTATTGTAAACTATTGCACTTACAAAAGAAATCCGTCGGGCAGAACTGAATATATGAATAAACACCCCCCCCCCCGCCGCCAATTATCGTTCTAGCTACCCCACCATCCTCAATTCAGCCCCAATTCAACGAGTATAATACTGCAATCACACTAAAACCTATTTGGCTCACGTTCATAATGGCTTCATCAGCATCATCAGAGTCGTCATCATAAGACGCAGCTGAGAATTTTGAAAACAAGGATGCTTTGTGAGAAAGATTCACCCAGAGGTTCCTGACTCTATCACTTGATAATTCAAAGGCCTTTTTCATGGACTCTGCACGCTGTTCGGCCTCAATTTTTTCTACATAGAGTCTGTAACATTTCTTTGTATGCAATCTTCTTGCTGTATCGCCCTGATGATTGACAGGAAGATACAATAGCTGTTGAATTTTCAGTCTGTATCTTCGCTGAATACGGTTACACATTGTAAGAGTTGTGGCCAGAGTATGCGTAAAATCAAGTAAACCTTGGGACGAAAATTCCAGAAATACCAGTCCTAAAATGTGAAATAATGATTAAATGAGGTTGAAATTGATTAAAAGTTGTTCCATTGTACTTATCGACAATTGTTAACGGGCATCTTGCTGGCATTCTATTCCCAGACATGTTAAGATACCAGGACAGGGGGCACAAATATATCTTTCATGATAGTCCATAAATTTCCACAAATAATGCTCCCCTAAGTTTTGAGGGCTAAAACCTTGTTTGTTTTGTACGTGTTGTATGTTTTTCATGAAGGTTGAATGATACCAGATCAATCATTATCCTAAAACTCGTATTCAAAGTTGTCAGTTAACATTGTTTTCATCTATACCTTCATGCAGATAATTTTTTAAAGCTATAAATCCTTCATATTCAACAAAAGGGACTTGAGGTCTACTCCAGTTTCCACTAGGCAAAACATGTTCCTCGTACTTCATCCATCTGGTTGTTTCCAGCCAAGTACGGTCTCCATAGTTTAATTCATCCAACTCAATAAAGATCTGAAATGTGTAATATTTTTTGTGGCAACAGATAGCGTAATGAACGTTAACTGATGACAGTAATTTTTTAATAGAGAGAGCGGGGCGATTTATACTTAATTATTCTGGAAAACAGCTGAACTAAGTTTTTCGGTTTTATACCTGTAGTATCAACTCGGGAGGTTATCTCTAGAGATTTAATTACATGCTTTAATATCTTGACTTGGGCTTAATATTTCCCAAAGATCGTGTTCACGATGATGATGATAATAATCTTTAATCAGGAAAACTTTGTCACTATAAAGTGATTTTACAAAGGTCCTACATTATGTAGATCACTATACAGAATATATAAAACTATGTACTAGATAAAAAGTCCCTAAATGAGTCTCTTTAATATTTCTTACAGATATAGATAAGTCTAAAGTTATTAAGTTAAAAGTTTTAGGAAGCATTTCGTATATCACTGTGTATGTCATTGCAGTCCTTAACAGCTTGGTAATTCGTACGTTGTTTCCCCCCAATTACAATTGTTTTCACTATAGCTGCCGACTGTTGTAAGACGGATGATTGTATGACGTAGTCACTTGACCACTCGAATGACGTTTTGCTACATGTAGTTCATTAGTTACGCTAAAGTGCCCACAGTACACAATTACCTTAATTTTTTTATCATTTTGTCCTCTGATATCATCATGCGAGGCGGCTGTTGCAGGTGCTGAAAATGATTCACGCCTCAATTCTTTTGGTTGATGATTGGCTCCAACAGAAAAACGCAGAGGTCGATTTTTAGTCGAAGAACGTCCTAAATTAAGGTTAAAATTTGCTAAAGTGTCAGTGGGACTGGTTTAGGGCAATGGCTCATTTACAATTAGAAAGTAGTAAGAAATGATAGATAGGTATAATAATAAACATCGTTTGTTCTGTTACAATTTTAGTGGGGCAATGGTACATTACATTTCTGGTATTTGCGGCCTTATTGCTAAAACGATTGGGTCAGTTCCCTGTCTAGCTTTAGATGGTAATATCAAGTTCACATACAGTAAATAAGAGAGGAACAAAGCTATGTCAATAGCTGTCATTCCCCTACTCAATATAAACTTTAACTTGCGACGACCTAAATTCCAGAGGTTCTAATTTTGGTCGTGCCTTGTGAGGGTACATCCGCCCGCATAGGTGCTTCTTAGATATAACGCCCGACAATAGCCTCTTGGGCTTGATTTCATTTTACGGTCAAAATACAGAATTGCCGGGATTGTTGTTGCATAGTCTCGAAAGCGAATCCAATTTTTAATATCATAGTCGAACTTCTGATATCAAGGATTCGGGGTGGAGTGATTATATTACCGATCCCTTTTATTAAAAAATCCCCGACTACTAAGGATCTAAATCCGAGTTGGTTACGCGTGTCTTAATGTAATAAGATCCCCCCGGACCCCCCCCCCCTTCCAGCTTGCAGATTTTAAGATTCTATTGTTTAATAATCGTTTTTACATAACGTAAGCGCAACAAATTGAAATGCAGGCTCAGCTTTTGCCGCAGAAACGGTGTCGCAGACGCAGTTATCGAAAGCTCTGATCAAAAGAGATCGAAAGTGAGATGTGGTGAGACCACTGGGTGGGTAAATAAAAATCAATGCAGATGGAGGGCGATAGCAGCCAAATACATAATATTTCGAGAAACGACGATGTATTTATAAAAGCGGAAGGACAGGTCAGTATTTCATCTCCTTTAAATAAAAAATGTGGTGATTCTCCTAGTAGGAGGAATGTCTGTTTTATATACTGCGCTTTTATTCTTTATTAAAGATAGGAGAGGTTTCAAAACACCCAGCCTTCTTTTGTGAAATTTCAGAACTATGCTTTTGCACATCGTTGTTTTTGAGTCTCTAGAAAATAATGTGGGATTCCATTTTTGTCACAAAAACATTTTCATGCGTAGTATATAACTGAATATACCCCCCCCCCCATAGCCCCCCCATATTAAGGAGGAATGGTGAAATGTAAGGCAATTTGAACTTAAGAGTCAAACTTTTAGGCCTTTATGCCTATGCTAATAAAATTGTTGAAAAGCTAAGCAGGCCTGGTGTGGGAATGGTGTAGGATATCAGGGGACACTCATAAGGTGCCACCCTGGTTGTAGCTCAGTAAGACATTTTTTCATAATCAGAGCATCGAGACAGCTACAATCAGCCCTTATAGAGTCTTATCTAATATATCTACCTTTTCTAGTAAGTTGTTCATTGTAACTAATGTATTTTCTGTTTTCTTATGTGCACTATAATTTGTAAACACTATAGGAAAACAAACACTATAAAACAGTATCTTAAAAATTATTCCTGATGTTAAACTCATGTATACTTGTTAAACTGTCTGCTGTTACACATTTTTCGAGAAATCATTGCATTGTGATTCTGATTACGGTATATCTAATATGTCCAATCTATTTATACCCAAACTGAACTTCATATGGTCATGTGAGAAACCAAAATTTTTAGTCAAAGGGAAGCTGAAAATGCTGGAGGACCAGAAAAATATTTTAATTTTAATTGTTTCCAACTGGGGCCTATAAGGAATACAATGTAACTCATATATCCATCCCTGGTACATTTATCTAAGTAGTATTTGCACTGAGAATTATATATATGGTGGGAAATGCTGAAAATAAATGCTTCGATTGTTGATATATAAATATGAGTCATTGCCAAAAATTGTGAATGAAGTACTCATAATTGAGAACCAGTGTGGATTTTGATGATGAGCGAATTTTGTCTGAACCAGTGTATGGTATTAAGAATTTTATGCCATCATTTTGTATACTTCATTTTACTGGACTTTGTACTAAATATGTATGGACTTACTATGTATGGATGCCTTACTCTTTGATCAGCATTTCGCGCTAGATTTTAAAATACAGTCTCATTAAATGATCTATTTTTTCTTTTTAGCATCTTGGCTCTCCTGCTCTGGGCTGCTCATTAACAATTATTCATTTGTCTATTAATAGGACATGCAACTGTATTGCTAACGTGTTCTAGGAAAATATCTAAGAATCGATTAATTTCGTGACAATATTATTTCCTTTAGTCTTTACGATATACTGTACCTGAAAAACTTTGTCTTTGCCTAGTTCGTCTGGCTTGTGGAGGAGAAAGGCGTTCAGCATTCAATTTATCTGTAGTGCTTAATTCCACATTTCCCTGTCTAACGTCCGGTTTAACACAAAACTCGACATGAGATTTCTTTCTTAAACTAAATTTTCGTTTTGCCGGTTTAGGTAATGCTTTGCTGTCGGCAGCTGTCGTTGTAACCTTCGAATCAGTCTTGCGGTCATAATTATCTTTGTTTTCCAACTGTCGGTTTTCAGATTTCCCGTCGCAGATTACTTCGTTGTTCTCTCCGGCATTTTGTACGAGAGTTTCATCTTCAATATTATCTGTCGGATCCTCTATGCATTCCTCAATCACCCTTAATTCGATGGAAGTGGTTCTGGCGTTAAAATCAGCGCTAGCCATATGTCGGCATAAACGAAAATTTATTCATGGATTACACGATGGAACTTGAGAACTGCTATCCAAATATATCTTTCTCTATTAAAATATCTGAAGTTAATATTTCAACACTTATATTTTAGAGATGCTAGGATATCAGATAACATCTGCTGCGGAAATGTTCTCTAATTATTTCACTGCACACGAACGTACATAATATTGAGGCGCTTGGAAATATGTTGGAACTATTATAGTTGCAATTAACAATCGTAATTTATTATCATAGATATGTTTGTCACGAATGCATGTAATGGATATTTCAATATTTAACTACGATTGACGAGTAATAATTATAACACACCTCACAGTGACACAAACTCATGTTGGCCATATAGTTTGCCGATCATGTTCTTGTAATTCTTCGATAAAAAACATTTGATGTCATTCGCGGAGATTTATTTGGACAGCAAAGTATTAACCTTTGTACTATCATCCTCGTTCCCAGGGCTTTATTGATAATAACAGCGATCTGCGTTATTGCATGGGTCACTAAATTTTAGAAAAGCCTGGCTTATTAAATTGCGAGGTTCCTAAATTCGCGTTCAACTGAACTGTACTGCACGTGATCTGAAAAAGTTCAGATTATCTAATTTCAGTAAGTTATTCACGATATATATTTGCTATTCAAGGTCTCGTATTTGGAATACTTGTAGGTCATATAAAAGGTTAATATTATTTTTTTAGGAAAGCGCATCCAGGCAAACCGCTACACAAAAGCCGTCGGATTATTTTTTGATTCTGATCTTTTTGCAAATTTTTTTACGGCTTAATTCTGCCGACGTTAGTTATCACGTAATATTACGTAATCTTAATTCGTAAGCGTCGTAATCATGCGTGTGTTTCGTTGTGATTGTTAGATATAAGCCTGTAGCTTCTTGACCTATTCTGTATCAACTATATTTTGTACCCCCCCCCCCCGCCGGTCATACTATCACAGGCCATATTCCTGGCATATTCCTGGTCGCCTCTTTCACTTTTATGGCGATGACTCGCGAGTCCACTGCTGAGGAATAATCGGGAGCGCTATTACAAAGCGAAGTAATTTGAAACGTGTGCGTGTGATACTGATCTGCAGGTGATAAGAAATAGATTAAATTTGAACGGCGCTCCTAATGATTAATGCAGGATTGACCTCATGTTTCGTTGTTAAAAATATATTGCGTAGTACTGAATCCCTTATATCACTCGGAAAAGATAACAAGAATAAAAGATTAACTTCCCACTTAAGCATTTCTTGAATAAAAGCAGTCGTACATGTAAGAAATGCCAATTTTTATTGACAGTGTACATACACATCACAATGATTATTACAATATATCAATAATTAACCGCCTACATAACATAGACTGGTTCTTCTTTCATTAAATCAGGGCCAGCGGAACGTGTTAGACAGTTGGGGGGGGGTTGTGAGGGCAGTATATCATAGATATACAGACACCCTTGAAAATTTTTTCGATTTCTATATAAGGCTCTTCGATTTTTCGATTTCTATAGCTCTGAAATGCCGCCTCTCGAGAAAAACGTATTAAGATGATAGACAGCGACCAATAGTGATTTTTAATATGAAAACACAACTATAGTGCATAATAAAACATAATTTAACACACGGGGCTTTTCAATAATGTCTGTCAGGAAAATGCAGTTACTGACCCTGTAGTACTTTACCTCTTAAATGGTAGTCGAAAAAGTGTGGGGCTATAGCCCGCTATAGCCCACTCAGCCCTTCCCTCCCCCCACCTCCAAACACCCTGTAAAAACGTGCTACATATGTGTATTTTCATTAATTTCTGCTTTACTGATGGCAATGACTTCACTCATAACCACGGAACGCCTTTTCGCCTCTTCGTAATTTACCATCTCATGCAATGTTTCAATAGTTGGTCTTCCATTCGTTTCGGGCAAAAACGTTGCCACAATTGCAGCTTCAAGGCAAATAATTCCCATAATTCCAAACGGTAGGATGGAATGAATGCGAATCTAATGACAAAATTGAATTTTTTTGATCTGAGAAAAATGGATTTTGTCCATGTTTAGAATATTTAGAAGTTAGAACAAAAAATATTAAAAGAAATGAAATGTAATTCCAACGTTTTTTGTCAAAGTAATTTGGAACTCGTATCTTATTCCCCCTTCTTCCTCACTATGAATGATTGTGGAAAAAAAGCCAAGCTTACCAACCAAACAATGTAGCTTGCTGAAAAGGATCCTATCCTGGCAGCAGACGATGATGTACTTACCCCCATACCTCTTTAAAAAAGAAACGTAAATTTTAGAAATGATGTATTACTAGAAATGCCAAACATTTAAACTTGTATAAAGGGAGTTGAGTATATTTTGTGGTATATTCAAGATACCTTATAAATGTGGGAAATAATTCTGTGCTCCAGATAAAAATTCCTGAAAATGCCATATTAATGAAGAACTTTGCCAAAACAGCTAAAAAGATTCTGCCACCAGTATATCCTATATGGAATGAAAAACTGCAACAAAACGAGATTAAAAGAAGTGTTCCTAGCCCACGTAGTCGCGCCATGATTTCCGGCTGAGTCAACTTTTAAACTAGATAAATTATACTGTTGAAAAGTTTGATTTGTAGATTTGTATTAACCCAGCTGCTAGCGTTTGCCTTTAACCGTCTTTTCAACAATAGGCCCCCTTAAGTTAACTGAAAAATATAGCTACCGTCATTAGACTGGTCGTCAGGTATCGCGACAGAAATAAGGGCGGCAATGCAAGCAACAATCAAACCAACAATGACCGTTTTTTTCCTACCATATCTGAAGATAAAATAACAATTAAATGATGTATTGATGGCTAAGAAGATATGCCGGGGACATTCATTTAGGTTACATAGCAACTTATTAGAAAGTGGGAACCATGAGTCTGTGACGTGTGGAAATTCTTTCTCTATGGAAGCTCCTGCATGCGACGAGTTCATTAAAAGACAAAGTTACCTGTTAGCAACGAAGATGCATAAAATATTGGACGGGAGTTCAACAATGCTTGTTAAAGCGAAGTTTACGTATCGATTTCCACCAAGATCAACTGAGCCGTACGAAACACCGTAATAAACTAAAGAGTTTGCAATCCTATACAATGTTAAAAACAAATATACTAGCCAACAACACCATCACGGGTTAGTTTGCACAGGGAAGGGAGGTCTTTTGGGGAGATTGCGTTCGGATAATCAGATACGGTCTATTGCCTCGAAAATAGGCTGTATTAAATTGAGCAGGATGTCAGTCGTTGAGTGGACCTTCCATGCAGGCATATTGGCTGTCATCAATTTTGCCTTCCATATATTTAAAATATACATAAACTAACCACAAATTCCAATTAATCAACGTGATTTTCGCCACTTTCCAGTTGAAAAAAAGATGTTTGAAACTTCCAGTTTCACCACTCGATTCAATATTCTGTAAGCTTTCATTTGGCATTTCTCTTCCGTTAATGGCAGCGACCTTCTCCAATTGTTCTTTCGCCTCTGTTTTTCTCCCGCGAAGTAACAACCAACGTACACTCTCTGGAATAAACCTAGATGCAACGACATAATAATTTTACTGTGAGTATAATGTTCTTTTGATCATGCAGTGCATGCACACATGGACTTGACATGCATCTATGGAAATCAATCCCCAGGTAACTATAAAGTACATGGTAGATGTCTTTATACCAGTTGACTGAAGTGTAAGAATGAAACAAGACTCACCACCATGTGAATAAGCACGGTATTGCAAAGCAAGCAGTTACGAGTAAAAAATATCTCCATTCGGTAACAAAATAGCCTATCAACGGCAAAAACATCAAACCAGCCACCCAGAAATAGAAGGAACCAACACCTATTTTTGCACGGTGTTTTTCTGTTGTGAATTCTGTGAGCATAACGAAGTTGATCACGCTGTGAAAACCTTAAATTAGAATCAAATATATAATTAAGATGATGACTGAAAACGCGTGATGACTGCAATTGTGATGTATTTACCTGAGCCAAGACCAATAAAGACTCGACATACGATAAAAACAATAAAAGATTCTGGGAAGATCATTATCCATGTCGCAATAATAATGGTAGCTGAACCAATGTAGAAAATAATTTTTCTACCAAATTTATCTGCCAAGTATCCACCAGCGATCAAACCAAGCAACATTCCAACCCAGTAGCATGACTGTGCAACTGACTGTAACAGTGACTTCTCACATACTAGATCGTACTGAAAAATTAGAGGAACAGGCAGTCATATGCATGGTATTACCGTTAGCTTATTTAAGAAGTACTGTAGTATATTGTTCGGTTAGCCAATGGAATGCACGTACAGTAGCTATACATCAAGGCAGTCAGCGTCGCTCTACCCGCACAGGCGAAGCGAGCTTTGTTTTTGAAGTCTGTCACATATCTTTATGCCTATATGCTTTATGCCTTTATGTTTCACTCGTGTCACTAAATAATACATCACCGTCCGTGTCACGATATGTCGCAGCTCTTCGATCCACAACTCACTCATTCTAACCCACTATAAAACACTATTTAGTTTTGTTTTCTGACTTGCTTTTTTACGCAGTGCGTGTCATCACCTACTTCCACTAATTATACTTTCACTAATTCCCCGAATAACTTCCACTTAGGGCTGCTCTCCACTCTCGCGTGTTTGGCATGTATTTGCACGCACGCACATAAAAGTTTAAATGCTTTTAAATATTAAAAGTTGTTGGGGCTGGGGGCGAAAATCAAGGTAAAAGGTCCTGGGAACGAGGTTGACTTTAAGGAGGTCTGGGATGTCTTCTGTATTTTGATTTCCCACGTTTTTGGACCACGCCAAGATCAAGTATAAACTGATCGAGATTTGTTCAGTGGACTTGGGAGAATATCATTACTATATTACATAATTATTGTGCTAATATTTACATTCAAAGAGGGCCTTCACTGCCCCCCAGGCATATTTATTAAAACTGCCCTGGAAAACAGCTTTCATCAACTGAAAACTCACCTCGGTAACTGTTGAGGTAAATCCATCAACGTATCTCCAGGCGTCCCTCGGCATATCACATCTTGCCTCATAATCATCGCTGGTTAACCCAATTGGTTTCGTAAAATTACAAACCGAAGTGTTGTATCCTTTTACGCATTCCCATTCTGGTTCGGCCGTAATAAATGTCACAATCATAATAGGGAATGCATCGAGAGCGAAGACGGCGTAGCCAAAAATGCCTAGCAATAGCCATTGGAATTTGTAGAATTCCCCGATCTTTTCTAGCATCTGGTCAACTGTGAGCGCCATTTTTAATCTTTTTTTCTATAATTGAAACAAAAATAAACGGTTTCTATGTTATTAATTGGTGCAATTTTAATGCTATACTTTGACGATGGAATTTGGAAATCAGACATGTGTAGAATGTAGATTTCTGCATGAGCATTGAGTTTGTGAAGTGTGAACGACTCTCGCGGAAATAGCTGTGATTTTTTCCAGTCCAAGGCAGTCCCCCTCTTTTGAAATTGGCCCTGGGAACGAGGTTGGGCAAAACACTCCCATGTTTCCAGACACGTGTGTGAATGTGACATACAATCATGGGCCAAATTCTAGAAAAAAGTCATTCATCGTTTTGTCCGACCAGCATGAGATTGATGAGAAAATGATTAAAACGGATTGTTTAATTAATCCGTTAGCAAACAAAAAAAATATATCAGAAATATACCAGAAATACGAATGCGAAGTTCTCCCCCCCCCCATGCATTTGTTTCTGGAGTATAGCCTAGCCCCTTATTTCCCCGCTCCCACGAACTGCGTTACAGCATTGGCGTAATTTGATAGGCAAAGTACTAGTGCATGTGAAGGCAGACTCAAGGTCAATGGTAGGCTGTTATTGATTTGCTGTGCCCATATAAACGCCCATTGATGACACCAAGGACGCATACGGTATACCTGTTATGACAGACGTAAATAAAGAAATACGTCTACACAAGTGGTCTGCGCTCTCAGGCTAATATGTACATAATGCAAAGCCTGTGCGTTGTTGCGTCCATTTTTCCTAGTTTCCATTCAGTCGTTAGCTGTCGTCACATGTCTTTCCGTGTCTTTGGAATAATCGTGAAAGACTGATAACGACTACGAGAAACAGAAAACGACAGTGCCGCTCGGATAGAACAAATCCTATCTCAACGACATAAAAAGACAGCAAACGACATGATTCTTCCCATAATTCGTTATCGGTCTTTCACGATATTCTAAAGACACGGAAAGACATGTAACGACAGCTAACGACTGAATGGAAACTAGGCATTTGCGCAGTTGTTAAGTGACTAATATCGCCATTTCCATCCTCCACCGAGCATAAAAAATGATACTGAAAACCAAATCCCCGGAGGCGAGAGATGTATTAGGTATACTTGATACTAGATACTAACTATACCAACGCAATGTGTACCTTATGTATATACCAAAAAAATAAACTTATTGACTGCGCGCATGGTCTGAATTTGTCTGTGGTGAACTTTCAGTAATGGCAAGCTTTATACTAATTACTGATAATATCTCCACATAGTGTTTTAGAGAGATCACTTACGTCTTATGCTATAACAGGCGAATCGAGGACGCAACCGCTCACGCAAAATCTACCGGCGATAAAGGACTGCTTTCCACTGTCGCGTTTACACGCACGTAAAAGTTTAAGTTCATAAATCAACGATTTCATGGAACCATAGGTTGGATTCTGTTGATGACATAGTCTTTTTTTCTAGCATAAAATCAATTATGCATCAACTTAAAAGATTTTAAGCTTGCTTTTACGTGCGTGTACGTATATACGGGCAAAAAGCGCGACAGTGGAAGACAGCCTAAATAATCCTATTTAAAGCGGCTTGAGGTGCTGAGGATTGTGGTGTATTTCCCGTGTACCTTGACTACATATATTTCCAATCAAGCGAGAGCCTGAAGTCGGAACGTAGTAAAAGAAATTTCAACTTGAAATAATGTTATCACTTATCCGGAGTCCGGACATTGTGGAGTCCGCACGGATATCATCATCAGGTATAAAAACATGATAAGACATATTTAATAGTTCTTACCTTTCCGTTTCAGTCACAAGACAATTTTACTTGAACTTACGATCCAGCTTGAAAGCTGAAGCGAAATGCTTGCAATACAAAGTTCCACACAACAGTGGTAACTAATAACACTTCAGTCAATATTCAACCATACAATCGTATTGATTGAATAGGGGGGTGGTAAGACCAGGAGTACTAAAAACTGGAATATTTAAAACTGGAATATTTAAAATCTGAAATCGCTGCGTCGGACCGGATGGAAAACGCAGCGCAACGCGGCGTTGCCAGACACCATTAATTTTGCGTACCCCTGGCTTAGCCAGTGCGCTCAAGAGAGGCCTTCTCCCCCCGGGAAAGCATGCATATGGCGGCGGCTTGAACACATGTATGGAATATAAACAGCCGAGACAGAACTATCTGGAGAAATCGTATTTTTGACAAAAACGTTGCTCAATTTTTTTCTCAAAACCAGATTTTGTTAGTTCTTATCCTTTAGAAGAGTATAGAAGTGGGAGCGATCTGTTTATTTATATAGCGATGGCTATTTATAATGTTCGGGGGGGGATAGGGCCTCTCTTTAGCGCACTGGCTAACAACATCAAACCTCTGTATGCTCTGTGCCTAAAGCATGTAGGACGGGAGCACGACGACGGCAGCTATCAATAAAATGAAAAGAAATGAATTATTAAGTACCTACGGACGTTTTAGACGTGATCTGCGTTACAACGGCAAAACGTCGTTTATTATCTTATAGGCGCCCTGGTCCTATGTAGAACGTCTGCATTTCAGGACCCAGGGAGCGCTACCACGAATTAGGACTCTATAGAATTGTCCCTAAACGTAAACACGATGTTTTCAACGTCTTATATCACATTAAATTGGTACAGTTGATAATATACAACAACACTTTACCATAACATTTATTTAAAGGAGTATTCCAACCATGTCCTCGTCGTGTTGCCGTCCTCCATGCTTAAGGTCCCTACCTCGTTAATGTTTTCCTACATTCTAGACATAAAATTTTTGATGGCACAGCACTGTAGTAGGGACGTTTACAGGATTTCCAAACAGCTGATGCCGTAGTGCTTAATTCCACATTTCCCTGTCTAACGTCTGGTTTAACACAAAACTCGACTCGAGATTTCCTTCTTAAACTAAATTTTCGTTTTGCCGGTTTAGGTAATGCTTTGCTTTCGGCAGCTGTCGTTGTAACCTTCGAAGCAGTCTTGATAATAATCTTTGCTTTCCAACTGCCGGTTTTCAGATTTCCCATTCACAGATTACTTCGTTGTTCTCTCCGGCATTTTGTACGACAGTTTCCTCTTGAATATTATCTGTCGGATCCTCCGAGCATTCCTCAATCACCCTTAATTCGATGGAAGTGGTTCTGGCGTTAAAATCAGCGCTAGCCAAAATATCTGAAGTTAATATTTCAACACTTATATTTTAGAGATGCTAGGATATCAGATAACATCTGCTGCGGAAATGTTCTCTAATTATTTCACTGCACACGAACGTACATAATATTGATGCGCTTGGAAATATGTTGCAACTATTATAGTTGCAATTAATCGTAATTTATTATCATAGATATGTTTGTCACGAATGCATATAATGGATATTTCAATATCTAACTACGATTGACGAGTAATAATTGTAACACACCTCACAGGGACACAAACTCATGTTGGCCATACAGTTTGCCGATCATGTTCTTGTAATTCTTCGAAAAAAAACATTTGATGTCATTCGAAGAGATTTATTTGGACAGGAAAGTATTAACCTTTGTACTATCATCCTCGTTCCCAGGGCTTTTATTAATAATAACGGCGATCTGCGTGATTGCGTGGGTCACTAAATTTTAGAAAAGCCTGGCTTGTGAGGCTCCTAAATTCGCGTTCAACTGTACTGCACGTGATCTGAAAAAGTTCAAAATCCGTATGGTACACAACACGAAAAAACACCAAAGGCTCGCGAGATTATATTCACGATATATATTTGCTATTTAAGTTCTCGTATTTGGAATACTTGTAGGTCATATAAAAGGTTAATATTATTTTTTTAGGAAAGCGCATCCAGGCAAACCGCTACACAAAAGCCGTTGGATTATTTTTTAATTCTGATTTTATTTTGCAAAATTTATTTTTTTAACGGCCATGCACGTGGACCTAATTCTGCCGACATTACTTATCATTCTATATTAATCTTAATTCGTAAGCGTCGTAATCCTGCGTGTGTTTCGTTTTGATTTTTAGATATGTGCCAGTAGCTTCTTGACCTATCCTTTATGAACCAGGTCATATTCCTGGTCGCCTCTTTCACTTTTTCTCTCTCCCTAACCCTCGCCCGCGTTTCTAATTTTAGCAGCAGCGGTCATCTTTAAAAATCTAGCGCATTTGTATTCGAAGCCTCTGCGGAGGTCAGAGCGAGTCCCCTGCTGAGGAATAATCGGAAGCGTTATTCAAAGCGAAGTAATTGGAAACGTGTCCGAGTGATACTGATCTGCAGGTGATAAGAAATAGATTAAATTTGAACGGCGCTCCTAATGATTAATGCAGAATTGACCTCATGTTTCGTTAATGTTAAAAATATATTGCGTAGTACTGAATCCCTTTTATCACTCGGAAATGATAGCAAGAATAAAAGATGCACTTCCTACTTAAGCATTTCTTGAATGAACCAGTCATACATAGCTATAAGAAATGCCAATTTTTATTGACCGTGTACATACACATCACAATGATTATTACAATATATCAATAATTAACCGCCTACATAACAGACCGGTTCTTCATTCATTAAATCAGGGCCAGCGGGACGTGTTAGAGAGTTGGGGGGGGGGGGTTGGGGGTTTGGTGGTGTGTCGATTTCTATATAGCTCTGAAAGGCTGTTCGATTTTCGATTTAAAATGATAGACAGAGACGAATAGTGATTTTTTATATGAAAACACAACTAGTGCATAATTAAACATAATTCAACACCCAGGGCTATCTCAATAATGCCTGTCAGGAAAATGTCTTCCATGCAGCCCTTCCCTCCCCCCACCTCTGAAGTCCCTGTAAAAACTTATTAAATTGCTACATATGTGTATTTTCATTAATTTCTGCTTTACTGTTGGCAATGACCTCACTCATGACCACGGAACGCCTTTTCTCCTCTTCGTAATTGACCATCTCCTGCAATGTTTCAATAGTTGGTCTTCCATTCGTTTCGGGCAAAAACGTTGCCACAATTGCGGCTTCAAGGCAAATAATTCCCATAATTCCAAAGGGTAGGATGGAATGAATGCGAATCTAATGGTAAAATTTTTTTTATCTGAGAAAAATGGATTTTGTCTACGTTTAGGATATTTAGAAGTTAGAACAAAAAAAATATTAACAGAAATAGAATGTAATTCCAACGTTTTTTGTCAATGCAATTTGGAACTCGTATCTTATCTTCTTCCTCAATGAATGATTGTGAAAAAAAAAAGCCAAGCTTACCAACCAAACAATGTAGCTTGCTGAAAAGGATCCTATCCTGGCAGCAGACGATGATGTACTTACCCCCATACCTCTTTAAAAATGAAACGTAAATTTTAGAAATGATGTATTACTAGAAATTAAACTTGTACAAAGGGACTTGAGTATAGTTTTGTGGTATATTCAAGATACCTTATAAATGTGGGAAATAATTCTGTGCTCCAGATATAAATTCCTGAAAATGCCATATTAATGAAGAACTTCGCCAAAACAGCTAAAAAGATTCTGCCACCGGTATATCCTATAAGGAATGAAAAACTGCAACAAAACGAGATTCAAAGAAGCCGGTGTTCCCAGCCCACGAAGTTGCGCCATGATTTCCGGCTGAATCGATTTTAAACTAGATAAATTATACTGTTGAAAAGTTTGATTTGTAGATTTGTATTAACCCAGCTGCTAGCGTTTGCCTTTAACTGTCTTTTCAACAATAGGCCCCCTTAAGTTAAAAAATATAGCTACCGTCATTAGACTGGTCGTCAGGTATCGCGACAGAAATAAGGGCCGCAATGCAAGCGACAATCAAACCAACAATGACAGTTTTTTTCCTACCATATCTGAAAATAAAATCACAATTAAATGGTGTATTGATGGCTAACAGGATATGCTGGCGACATTCACTTAGGTTATATAGCAACTTATTAGAAAGTGGGAACAAAACAAAACAATTCCAATAAAAATACACCATGAGTCTGTGAAGTCTGTGTTTCTCTATGGAAGCTTCTGCATGGGACGAGTTCATTATAAGACAAAGTTACCTGTTAGCAACGAAGATGCATAAAATATTGGACGGGAGTTCAACAATGCTTGTTAAAGCAAAGTTTACGTATCGATTTCCGCCAAGGTCAACGGAGCCGTACGAAACACCGTAATAAACTAAAGAGTTTGCAAACCTATACAATGTTAAAAAGAAATATACTAGCCAAAAACACCATTGCACCAGTTAGTTTGCACAGGGAAGGGAGGTCTTTGGGGGAGGTTTCGTCCGGATAATCTAATAAATTGAGCAGGATATCAGTCGTTGAGTGGAGCTTCCATACAGGCATATTGGCTGTCATCAATTTTGCCTATATACAGCTTTAAAATATACATAAACCAACCACAAATTCCAACTAATCAACGTGATTTTCGCCACTTTCCAGTTGAAAAAAAGATGTTTGAAACTTCCAGTTTCACCACTCGATTCAATATTCTGTAAGCTTTCATTTGGCATTTCCCTTCCGTTAATGGCAGCGACCTTCTCCAATTGTTCTTTCGCCTCTGTTTTTCTCCCGCGAAGTAACAACCAACGTACACTCTCTGGAATAAACCTAGATGCAACGACATAATAATTTTACTGTGAGTATAATGTTCTTTTGATCATGCAGTGCATGCATATACATGGACTTGACATGCATCTATAGAAATCAATCCCCAGGTAACTATAAACTACATGGTAGGTGTCTTTATACCAATTGACTGAAATGTAAGAATGAAACAAGACTCACCACCACGTGAATAAACACGGTATTGCAAAGCAAGCAGTTCCGAGTAAAAAATATCTCCATTCGGTAACAAAATAGCCTATCAACGGCAAAAGCATCAAACCAGCCACCCAGAAATAGAAAGAGCCAACACCTATTTTTGCACGGTGTTTTTCTGTTGTGAATTCTGTGAGCATAACGAAGCTGGTTGCGTTACGAAAACCTTAAATTAGAATCAAATATATAATTAAGATGATGACTGAAAACGCGTGATGACTGCAATCATCTTTTGTATTTACCTGAGCCAAGACCAATAAAGACTCGACATACGATAAAAACAATAAAAGATTCTGGGAAGATCATTATCCATGTCGCAATAATAACGCTAGCGGAACCAATGTAGAAAATAATTTTTCTACCAAATTTATCTGCCAAGTATCCACCAGCGATCAAACCAAGCAACATTCCAACCCAGTAGCATGACTGTGCAACTGACTGTAACAGTGACTTCTCACATACTAGATCGTACTGAAAAAATAGGGGAACAGGCAGTCATATGCATGGTAGTACCTTTACTTTAGCTTATATTTAAGAAGTCCTGTATATATTGTTCGGTTATCCAATGGAATGCACGTATAGTAGCATTCCGCGTGTCTTTCACATATCTAAATTTATGCCTATGTGCTTTATGCCTATATGTTTCACCCGCGTCACTAAATAATACATCACCGTTCGTGTCACGATATGTCGCAGCTCCTCGATCCACAACTCACTCGTTCTAACCCACTGTAAAACACTAATTAGTTTTGTTTTCTGACTTGCTTTTTTACGCAGTGCGTGTCATCACCTACTTCCACTAATTACTTTTACTAATTCCCCGAGTAATTTCCACTTAGGGCTGCTCTCCACTCTTGCGTTTCAGTTAGCATGTACTAGCACGCACGTAAAATATTACAAGTTGTTGGGGCTGGGGGCGAAAATCAAGGTAAAAGGTCCGGGGAACGAGGTTGCCTTTAAGAAGGTCTGGGATGTCTTCTGTATTTTGATTTCCCACGTTTTTGGACCACGCCGAGATCAAGATTTGTTGGAAGTAAACTGATCGAGATTTGTTCAGTGAACTTGGGAGAATATCATTACTATATTACATAATTATTGTGCTAATATTTACATTCTAAGAGGCAGTGGCGTAGCCAGGGTAGAAAATTTGGGGGGGGCGACCAGTGAGTGGGGAAGCCACAAACTATCTAGGGGTGTCCGGGGGCATTCTCCCCTGGGAAAATTTTGGATTTCTAAGGCTTGGAAACGCCATTTCCCGCATTCTGATGGGAGCTTTTAAAAGTAATCGTAAGGTAACAAATTACAAAATTCTGTCATTATTACATTAGAACAACGAACAATACACGTGAAAATCTCTTTAGATTTACTGATTACTCGTTGCTTACCTAACTTGATCCCCCCTCCTCATATTCCGCTGGATTTAAACATTTCATGAGAACGGTTTTAAAGACCATTGGGGGGGGCGACCGCCCCCCCCCCCCCTTGCCCCCCATTGGCTACGCCGCTGCTAAGAGGCCCTTCACTGCCCCAGGCATATTTATTAAAACTGCCCTGAAAAACAGCTGTCATCAACTGAAAACTCACCTCGGTAACTGTTGAGGTAAATCCATCAACGTATCTCCAGGCGTCCCTCGGCATATCACATCTTGCTTCATAATCATCGCTGGTTAACCCAATTGGTTTCGTAAAATTACAAACCGAAGTGTTGTATCCTCCTACGCATTCCCATTGTGGTTCGGCCGTAATAAATGTCACAATCATAATAGGGAGTGCATCGAGAGCGAAGACGGCGTAGCCAAAAATTCCTAGCAATAGCCATTGGAATTTGTAGAATTCCCCGATCTTTTCTAGCATCTGGTCAACTGTGAGCGCCATTTTTAAACTTTTTTTCTATAATTTAAACAAAAAAAAACGATTTCTATGTTATTAATTGGTGCAATTTTAATAGCCCTTCACGAATACGAAGACCTCATACTTGGACGATGGAATTTGGAAATCAGATATGTGCAGAATGTAGATTTCTGCATGAGCACGACTCTTGCAGACATAGCTGTGATTTTTTTCCAGTCCAAGGCAAAACACTCGCATATTTCGAGATACGTGTGTGAATGTGACGTACAATCATGGGCCAAATTCTAGAAAAAAGTCATTCGTCGTTTTGTCCGACCAGCAAGAGATTGATGAGAAAATGATTAAAACGGATTGTTTAATCCGTTAGCAAACCAAAAAAAATATATCAGAAATATACCAGAAATATGAAAGCGAAGTTCTCCCTCCCCCTTTGTTTCTGGAGTATAGCCTAGCCCCTTATTTCCCCGCTTCCACAAACTGCGTTGCAGCATTGGCGTAAATTGATACGCAAAGTACTAGTGTGAACGCAGACTCAAGGTCAATGGTAGGCTGTTATTGATTTGCTGTGCCCCTATAAACGCCCATTGATGACACCAAGGGCAAGGACGCATACGGTATACCTGTTATGACTATCTATTTATGTCGTCTGTGATCTATCTGTGATCCGGCCGCGTATGCAAATTAGGATTTTATGTTGTGAAACGGTGAAGAATCGGCCGCGTACCCATCGCAAAACATAAAGGATCTTCTTCAGCAAATACAGAGATCAATCTCAAACACTCAGACTCGGCCGGTTACCATCAAAGGGCGTTATACTTTGCGTTATACTTTCAACTAAACTGCGAAATATTACACGGCTCTGTAGCTTCATCACAGCTTGATTTTAATAGCAAAAAAATGCATTGACCAGAAAAATATCGGCGGGGTCTGTTAGTTCTGTTTGTTTTGCAATGGTCTGTAGCCTGTGTATACAGACGTAAATAAAGAAATACGTCTACACCAGTGGTCTGCACTCTCAGGCTAACATGTACATACTCAACTTATGACTCAAGCATTGTTAAATTGATTGGGCATGTAATAATGCAAAGCCTGTGCGTTGCCGTTGTTCCGTCCATTTGCGCAGTTGTTAAGTGACCATATCGCCAATTCCACCTAGCATAAAAAATGATACTGAAAACCAAATTTCCATAGGCGAGAGATGTATTATTAGGTATATTTGATATTTGATATCAACTATACCAACGCAATGTGTACCTTATGTATATACCAAAAAAATAAACTTATTGGCGCATGGTCTGAATTTTTCTGTGGTGAACTTTCAGTAATGGCAAGCTATATACTAATCATTGATAATATCTCCACATAGTGTTTTAGAGAGATCACTTACGTCTTACGCTATAACAGGCGAATCGAGGACGCAACCGCTCACGCAAAATCTACCGATAAAGGACTGCTTTCCACTGTCGCGTTTACACGCACGTAAAAGTTTAAGTTCATAAATCAACGATTGCATGGAACCATAGGGTTGGATTCTGTTGATGACATAGTCTTTTTTTCTAGCATAAAATCAATTATGCATCAACTTAAAAGATTTTAAGCTAGCTTTTATGTGCGTGTACGTACGGGCAAAAAGCGCGACAGTGGAAGACAGCCTAAATAATCCTATTTGAAGCGGCCTGAGGTGCTGAGGATTGTAGTGTATTTCCCGTGTACCTTGACTATATATATTTCCATTCAAGCGAGAGCCTCAAGTCGGAACATAGTAAAAGAAATTTCAACTTGAAAATAATAATGTTATCCTGACCAGTCCGGGCATTGTGGAGTCCGCACGGATATCATCATCAGGTATAAAAACATGATAACACATATTTAATAGTTCTTACCTTTCCGTTTCAGTCACAAGACAATTTTACTTGAACTTACGATCCAGCTTGAAAGCTGAAGCGAAATGCTTGCAATACAAAGTCCCGCACAACAATGGTAACTAATAACACTTCAGTCAATATTCAACCATACAATTGATTGAATAGGGGGATGGTAAGACCAGAAGTACAAAAACTGAAATATTTGAAACTGGAATATTTAAAATCTGAAATCGCTGCATCGGACCGGTTCGAAAACGGAGCGCAACGCGGCGTTGTGTATACACTATAGTCTATACCTCGTTAATGTTTTGCTACATTCTAGGTATAAGATTTTTGATGGCACAGCACTGTAAGGACGTTAACAGGATGTCCAAACAGCTGCTGTCGCTGCATGCGTCGATAGTTGGTAATTTTAATATATTTCTAATATATTAAAATATATGAGAAACTTGATTTACCATCACCTATTCACGGAGTTACCAGCATATGCACATTAACCACGCTTGCTCTTTTCAGCTACCTCTGTAGCTCAGTGGCAAGAGCATTGGACCCAATTGCACCGGCATCGCAAAAGCGTAGGTTCGATTCCTGCCGGAGAACCGATAGTTGACTCATTTTTCCATCAACAACTGTTGCTGGCTTGAATTTGAAGTGTGTATAATTCCACTCGAAGTTAAGACCCTTCGAACATCTAGAATTTTGATTGGTCGAGTTACGTGCTATGTCATGACATGAAGTGACTGAGTGACGTCTTCTCATACAGCAATAGAAACAAGTCAATAGTCAAACAGGCGGAAAACTCATTCTAGTTATTAAAAAAATATTAGTTGGCCTGGTAATATGTTGCAATTAGTGGATCCTTCTATTGCAGCCCATTGTTCACAATATTTTTTATGTAACTAATCGCTACCGCTGAGACCAGGCACTACTGCAGGCTCATACGACATTGCTTATAAAGTCGACACAACTGATGCGGGCGTTCATCAACCTTCATGGTTGTTGCTGATGGGAAGGCCTTCCCTTAATGGAGAAGCTCTTCGATCCACAGACACGATATTGTAATACCCTCGCCAGCTATTTTTCATCTATATACAACGATTATGTATATAATTGACCTTCGTAGCGATATTTTGGCTCAACTTTGTGTTGGAGTAATATTTTATACACGCAGTCGATCTTCCCCGATCGAAGCGGTCGGCGCTAGTGTTCCATGTACGGGTAGCAGGTAAGAAAGCTACAAGTAAATATCCGCTCAGATTCCTGTCAAGATGGAATATTACCGTGGAGCATGTTTTGCTTTGACAACTGATGTATATTTTTTATGACTTCGAAAGCTATTTGACCTACATTGATCCAAAGGCAAGTATAAATTCGCATTTTACGGTTCAACTTGTAGTGTAACGAAAACAAAGCTTATGGTAAACAAAGGTATCACGTGACCAGAAATTCTCTATTTTTGTGAAGTCGGTTTTGTCGTGTAAATTCTAAGACGTTGTCGGAAATTCGTTTGAATAAGTCTCAGAGGAATTTAGAAGTTTTAAACGATGGCAATGAAGTAAAAAGGTTTAAAACTTGCGGTTTTGTTGATGTTTTGGTTTGGCTAAATTTGCAGCCCTTCTCCGAAGGGAACGTCGTAGCTGTTGGACATGCGCAAAACTGTCCAATTCAAACATCATGGCGCTTGTTCACAGTGAAGGTCAGGATCGTTGGTATTTTTCAAAAGAAGAGTTGCAAAGAACGCCCTCTGTGCTTTCTGGAATCGATGTTGCGAAAGAGCTAAGTTATAGGCAGCAGTCTGCTAACCTAATTCAAGACATGGGGCAGCGATTACTAGTGTATCCTTCGTATAAAATTACCCATATTTTCATGACATAAACCGGTATTTTGAATGAAATACCACTAAATTTTATCGGTTTTAATCAAACTGTTATAAATATTTGTATTGATATTTTGTTCCTATCATAGATTTGTTTTTTTCTTGACTTTAAATTCAAACATACAGCTCACAGCTCACAATCAATACAGCAATCGTCTATATGCATAGGTTTTACATGTTTCACTCGTTTCATGACATGAATCGCAATGTAAGTTCTGATTAGACCTAATTTAATAGATAATTCAAGTGACATGTAAGTGTATATCAATGGTGATGACAATTAAAAATTTTCAATTTCAGGTTCCTCTAGTTGAAAACATAAAAATATACCAAAATGATAGAAATCATAGAGTGGCTACTGGGTTTTATATGTACTAACAATTATCAAAATATGTGCCATTAGGTTCATGTTTTAGTGCTTGCAAAGTTGCACAAAATTGTGTCTAAGTCAAGGTCTTGGTGATATATCATTATAATTGGTATTAAAGGTTCATTATTGTACTCTTTGAAATGTTTAAGATGGAAAATGTGTGCAGGGAAACCTCCATTATCTTCTCATTCACATTTTAAGGTTGCTTTCATTTGTACGTACTTTTGAATATATTTGAAAATGGATAAATGCTTGAATATTTATATATTCATTTTTACGAAAGTCTGCATCCACATGTCATTTTTCAGTCCTTTTTGGCATCCACAATAAAAGCAAAAAATATATGAAATTGGTGACATTGCTTACAGAGGCTCAGAAGAACAGGACTTGAATTTGTGCTAATTGTTTTATATATTTGTTTAGTCCATTGCTCCATGCTGTCTGTTTCTGTCTGCAAAGCTAGAAGAACAGCCAAGAAAACTGGAACATGTTATAAAAGTGGCAAATATTTGTCTTCAAAAGAATGAACACCTTGATCCAAAGAGTGAGGTAGGCATTGTAAGGTATTCTGGATAATTATTGCAAAATTATAACTAATTTGATTATTTGTAACTTTTGTAATAGGCATACCTTCAACAGGCTCAAGACCTTGTCATCAATGAAAGCATATTACTTCAAACATTAGGTATAAAGGAAATCTTCTTCATATAACAATTTCTCAGGTGTTTCTCATATAATGTTAATTTCACATATAAATAATGTGCAATTATATATATTTTAAAATCATGTTGGTATTACTATTACCTGACATTTCAAGCACAAGTCACCTTGATCAATGCACACTTCACAACACTAGTAAACATTTTGAGATTGAATTTATAACTTGTATACAAAATAGGGTTTGAATTGACTGTTGATCATCCTCATACACATGTGGTCAGAATAACACAGTTAGTAAGAGGTGAGGAAGGATCTTAGTGTATGGTTTATATGCTAACTTCGATGTCATTAACTGGTAATTCTATAATTTAACAGCAAGCAAAGATCTTGCCCAAACATCGTATTTCATGGCTACAAACAGGTAGGAGCAAAGGAATACACTACATAGCCACTTTTTCATACTATATTAATTTTTTGACAGGGTGATGTATCCACTATGTCTGATTTCATTTTAGACGTGGATAAGTTCATAAAAAGCCCACAAACATTCCGTTTTTAAATGCCACACAATTTCTTAGCAAAGATTTTAAATTTTTTTAAGTCTTCATCTCACACCTTTTTGTATTGAGCACAAACCTTCTGTCGTCGCATGTGTTTGCATTCATCTGGCTTGTAAATGGTCCAACTGGGAAGTAAGGAAGTATTCTCATATTTTAGTTACATACATTTAACTAATGATAATACATGGTAGTGAATGGTATTTATTATTTTGTTTTACAGTAAAATCCATGTAAAAAAATTTCATACGCATGTTCTCACAGCTCTTCAAAGTCCTGAGATTACATTCAAGTTATATGTATTAAAACACCTAGAATGTCCCACAAATGTAGCCTAATAGAGAAAGATTGCACTCATTGTTTTTTTTTTCAAACAATAATTTGAGGAAACTCTTACATTTGGATATTAATCTTAAACATCCTGAAAACTCTCCTTATTCACATATGTATGATAAGTCTGCATGTATAATGCTAGCATTTAATATTCACTCATAAAAATTTACTGGCTAACACACAGTATATTATTTATTTTTAGTTTCCTCGGTCTAGTGATAATAAGGATTGGTGGGAATATGTGGATCCTACAGTAACTAAACAATCTTTGGACAGTAAGTTTCTAGTGCATTCTCTTATGGTGCCTAGATCTGAGGTTGTCCAATGTATAAACTTGACACAATTATTGTGTCTAGTACACAGTTTGATCTGTAGCCTAGATGTCAAAATATGTCAGGTGCGTTAAATAGAGGGAACATACCGTTTAGTGTTCTTGAAATATATCAATGATACAATTGGTTACATTGTTTATATCAACGTACACTCATTTGCTTTTCCAGCAATCTGTCAAGAGTTTTTGACTATAATCGAGAACTGCCCTAACAGGTTGAAGAGAAGAATTAGCACTGTTACCATTTACAAGGTTAGTCCTATTCAGGAAAACAAGGATTAGTGCAGCATCCAGGGTTTCCACAACTTATTTGCATATGGTTGTCCTCATAGGGGAATAGCATGACAAAAAAGAGAAACAAGGAACTTTTTGAAAAGAATGCATAATATATCTTATTAACACAGTTCCCTCCCTCCCTTTTGGTTGTCAATTGTAAGGAATTGTCCTTGCATCGTGGAAACCCTGGCAGCATCAATACTGTATTTTCGCTTCCTTAATCCTAATAAAAGAGTCGTTGTGGAGGCCCGTTTTTGAAAAATCTACCTTTGTGTAGGGGGGTCATCGCCCCAAGACCGCCGGGGAGAAGTCCGGTAAAAATGTTGCTCCAACAAATGGTAACGCATCAACTTCTAAAGAGGAATCCTCCTCGAAGAGTGAAAATTCATCCAAAGGGGAACCATCGAACAGCGAATCGTTGAAAAGAGATCATTCGACGAATAATGATTCATCAAGTGCCATTGATACATCTACGAAGCAATTAAACGAACAAATTTGTAAAAAGAAAAACAGCAATGCAACGCTAACGATCACTAGCAGTGCTGCTGTAGTGGAAACACCAACGTCCACAGTCGTGTTGCCTTCATTGCCACCTCTAACTACAAGATATGCGAACGTATCCAACTCGTCAAGTTCGATGACTCATGAAAACCAAGTTAAGATCGCCAGTAATAATACTAAGAGCTCAGGTGGTAATAAGGATGATAAAGTAATTTCAGGAACCAAACACAAACAACGAGAGCATGATGAATCGCTTACCCCTGCTAAGAAACTAAAAACAGTCCACTCCGGCTCGTCACATAGCTCTCAGTCAAAACATCCGTCCTCTTCAAATCGACCGCCATCTCAGTCTAAGCACAACAGCTCACACTTGCCATCCAAACCAGGCTTTCATTCCACCCCTGGTTCACATCACAAATTACCAACAAAGAGTGGCAGCACCAACACGGGCCAGCCTCATCGTAGTTCTTCACCCAAACCAACAATGAAAAGCAGTTCGGCTAACAGTTCTCATGCACATCGTACCTCCAGCAGTTCAGCTCATGGAAATAGTTCCACTCACTCGCATCACAGCTCAAACAAACGTCACGGGCACTCAGCAAGCAGTCATACAAATTCTCACCCCAGTGGTAGTAAATTACCAACATTACATAGACATAGTGGCTCACCTTTAGATGCTAAGAAATCTAGCGGCGATCGTCACAGACGTCCGTCATCCTCCTTCATGAAACCGAGGCCTGATATGCCAGCGTCGGCGGTACCATCAAATGACCGTTCTAGTGATACAGATAAAACAAAGAAAAATGTATCCGAGGATTTTGCATCTCCGCCTGGGCCGCAGAGAGTTCAGAAATTTCCACCGCAACGACCAATAAACATCACTGATAAAACTACGCATCACGCGGGGCCACCCTTACCTTCAAGTGCACAAGCTACTCCACCACCGCCACCTTTACCAACAAATCTGCCCCCGCCTCCACCACCACCACCAACGTGATGTTTAAAAACAGCGTTGAATTTGAATCCAGGTTTGCGGTGTTTTTTGCTACGCGTGTGTTATTACACTTTTTAGTGATATACAGGAGCCCTGTCTCTTTCGTTGCAACACATTTCTTTAAATGAAAAATTCGTATAGAGCTGTGGCCACTGTAGGGCGTCCTTATATCAGTATTCATATTTATCCGACCAAATATTGGAAAGGTGATATATTTTAAACACAGGTTGCACAAAATAACTCATTGCATTAATACCATCGATGTTCTGGTTATTGTAACGATCGTCGACTGTATTCGTCCACACAGCCAATGTTCGTCGATGATGGATACCGGTCCGGTGATGGGTTCCTTCATCTCGCAAAATTGTGAAATTATGAAATTATTTTGTAGCGCTATTCAGCATGATTTAGTCGCTTTCATTCCCTTGCATATAACGTCGCGCGAAGCTTCCTAACCGTTAAACGTTATTGGAGAGTTTATAGGGCAAGATCATTATATAGGAGCAGGCTCACTATATTTCAATCTTGGAAAAGAATTAATGTCTGAAATTAAAACAACTGTTTGCAGTAATCAAAAGCGTGATTCGTTTTGTATTAGAATCAGATCATTTCTGGAAATGAACTGTAATGTGATGAAACTCGCGTAGACATGTAGTGAGTGCATAATGTGGTGTGGACATTTGAACACTTGTAGTAACTCAGTGAATAGAATCCTGTTGGGTTTTGGTTAAAGAAAGAATACACTGCCACTGTATGTAAAAGGTTATTTACGAATAATGAGCTACATATTTTCCATAGTTTTTTGTATGGTGAGGCTTTAATATCAATTGCCTAAAATTTCATGATTTTGGAGTGACCCGTTCCAATTCGTACCCCAGCTGACCCAAAATCATCGTCTCCTTTTGGTAGGTACGAAGGAGTGTGTAAGTTATGGTAAACAACCCCATTCGTTCTTTCATTTATTCATTACACATATTTGTTGATGTTATGGAAAAATTCACAGAAAACAAGAATCGTCCTGACGGTTCTGTGAACTGACTACACCCGCGCATACCTCGGCGCTTGCAAAACCTGCCTTGACATATAGCTCCAAATGCAATCGTTTGCAATTATAGTAATAGCGCTAATAAGATGTCTCAAAAACGCCCTGCCCCAAAATCAAGATCGCTGCTCTTTGAGGGAGTCTTGACCGGTCCACAACTCGTATCTTGAGTTTATAAGATATAGTTTTTCAAATCATGTTTCTTCCTCTATAGACTATACGCTATATACAGGGTCAAAAGTATGATTGGGACGGCTGTGGGTACAGTAAATCAGTAACCTATGGGTACAGTACACTTGGTGGTACAGTAGCGATAAAACTGTCTAAGAGGAGGACCCTCTGATTTCACTGGTCTCCTACGACTATCAACCCTATTTTTGTTGTCATAATATACACAAAATATATCGTATCCAGTATGAGACATTCATATATGAGGCAATGGTTTATATGCCCTTGTGTGGGCCGTGGTGATGTAATCGTTGCGAAGCTTGGTACCTAACAAAATATTTTCAAGGCTACAAATTAACTAACTTGATACAAAGTTCACAGCCTGTTTTGAAAACAAAATAACGCAAGCAAGGAAACCAAAACAAACAAGAACTTTATAAAATCTTCAAATTTACTAATATGGTGAAATTTGAAGATCGATTCTGGGTAAGAAATTACATATACCATATTATAGCTCATATTATAGCTCTGTTGATTTCAGGCTGCATTTTCAGAATCATAATCTCTAAAACCATTGTTGAATCAATTTGCTAATAGGCGAGCATAATAATAGATCTTCGAAAGAATGAAAACCTTCCATTTCTGTGTAAATAGGATGTAAAAAGTTTTGACGAACTGCGAAAGTATTGCAGGCAGAGCAATGAATTCTGTAAGGATGTTTGTAGTATACTGCATTCCAGGTAAGTGATTATCGTTCAATACATCTGTTCCATAAATCAACATTGTTTTGACTGACATACTGTAAATTGATTTTAAATAACCATCGCGTTATCGACAGATCGTTTATCAAGATTAATAATATGCCGTTTTGTTGAATAAACTATTATAGCTGTCATTGTGAATCAATACAATTGTATACTGTACAGTAGCTTTTAAGTATAAATACTTTGATCATTTTTAAATCAAAAGTTTAATTACTTTCACAATTAAACAAAATTTGATAACTATGACAATAAACAACTTTGAACATTCCTTTGACTAGTAAACCATAGTATTTGTTATTTGGATATTTGCTTTTTCTGTTACACTCAATTGGAGAATCAATTGAGGAATGTATTTGATATTCTATTTAAGATACCGAGAAAGAATTAAGGTATATTCGGATGAGAAAAAAAGCCCCAAAGGCTACCTAATAGCTGGCTGTTATTTCATGCTTAGACATTTCAACTGATGAAATAAAATAGATAATATATGAAATACCCAATGGCATTCGCACAGTTTTAACATTTTAATACTGCAAAAGATATACTGTGTACCGGTACCAAATTATTTATTAACAGGAAATTGCTACCAATTTAGCTGGGTAAATGTATAGCAGTATATAATATATTAGGCTATTACAATTAATATCATATTGCAAAATATTTGAGGGGCCAAGTGTGTTATTCATTGGCAATGGTTTGTTGCTGTATGTTATTAAGGCAACTTTGTGATTTGGCAGGAAATCTAATTTGATTAGGAAATCTAGACATAATCATACATAGTACCTAATGATTATTGATGTGTAAGAGTTCATTACAGTTGCAGCAATATAACCTTGCAGAAGTAACCTTCTAGCAGCTTAGAATTCTATCTGGGAGGCAGCCTACAATACAATACCAAATTCAATAAAAATTGAGCAATTCACTTAGTCACCATTTACTATTTGATTTACTGAGTTCATAATTTCCCTTATTTCCTTGCCCTATGACTGTAACATCGACAATATGTAAGTCTGGGTTCCATGACTTAGAAAAAGAGAGACAAAAAGAACTTGAAAAAACTGCATAATATCTCCTATTACCTGCCCTCCCTTGTTCTGGTTGATTGATAGAAATTTCCTTCAATTGTGGAAACCTTGGTCACAGTGTGGATGGGTTGATAAGTAATAGAACAATGCCCTAAAATGTGACTTGATTGAGTTTGTTTCATGCGCAAAACTGCATTCTATAACAGTATTTGTGTAATGTGAAGTTACAACTAAACAATCATTACCTGATATATCACAATACCAACTCCACTACAGCTTGCATGCAAGAAATAGCTACAACTCTGCCTTAATAGCTAATGTCATTCAATTCTTCGAAGTTATTCTGTTTCATTATTTTCTTACATTATGTGACAGCTGTTGATGAAAGTTGTTAAAATTGTTAAACTCTTAGTTTTAAGGCAATCATTAATGCCATTGGCTTTGCATTTGAGTTTCTTTTATAAATTTCCATGTGATGTTGACTTTATGAAAAAAATCCGTTTCCTAATTCTCGTGATATTTTAACAGGTTTTTGAAAACATCCTAGAATACGAGATCCGTTGTTTTCAATCGGTGGTAAATTATTATATGGATTTATGAGGCTGTAGTAGCTTAGAAAATATTTCGTGTAGGAATCAATAAGTATTGGACCACATTGTGCTATGCTTATAATATCGTGTTATGTAAAATAACGAAAGCTCTGACATCAATATCCAAATAAGGTCGCAGTTGCACCGTGGCTGCAAGAACTGCCTAAAATAGATAAAAACACTACCGATTAAATACTGATTTAGCAACCGCGCGGAGATTAAAAGTAGTCGACGACTAAAACAAAAGCTTTCACACGCTATGCTTTTAACAACTTTGCAAGAAAAAAAGTTGATTTCATACATGACCATCTTTTCCTGTCATATAGTCCTGACGATAAATATACTCGTCTCATCAACTTAAAATGCTTCAGATGAACGTTATATTCTGACATGTATTTTGACATTATTTTAGGTCAAAACTTGAGCAGACCTATGCTGAAAATTTGACACAATTGGCTCTTAAAGCATCAAAATGTGGAAAGGATCTTGTAGGGTGAGTTGAAATAAATATATTGATAATTCTTGTTTGATCGAAGCAAATTGTACATTTTTTAAAAATATTGTTAGAACACTCAAGACAGCCTGGGCAAAAGTGGCCTCGGAAATTGAAAGCGAAGCGGAATTGCACAAGTAGGAAGGCAATCCTTATTTATATAAATGTGAAAGAGAAAGGTTATATTGCATGTGTTGCATTCTTTCTTTTTCACAATTTTTTGTCGCATTTACTATTTCGTGAAGATATATTTAACATATTGTGAACACATGATTAGAATTGCCTTTCATATTTTATCTATACATATACAATTGCAAATTAATTGTTTTAATCAATAAATGCAATTACGTTTAGGAACTTAGCTGGTAGGCTGAATGATGACGCTGTGAAAGAACTAAAAATTTTTATTGACAATCAAACGAAGACAAGAAAACCGGTAGAACATTAACAAGTGTGCTTTAATTATCTTGTGGGCTTTTGCTTTGAAAGATTGTCCTAATCTAAATTTCCCAGTAAAGATGGTTTTTTATAACCTTGAAGTTTTTATTTTCTCAATATTACGGTTAGGGTATAGTATTTATTATATATAAATCTCTTCCCTCTTTATGTTAGGTTGAGCAGCAAGTTGAGAAATCGATTAAGTTGTACAGTGACAAGAGAACCGAGGAACAAAAAGTAGGTCATAAAAAACGTGGATTTCATTCCTTCCCAGCCCACAGCCTCTTCTTAACCTTCGTTGCAGCTGGATCAATCTCTAATCAAAGATAGGGTTGAATTGAATTAGAAAAAAGATCCTGGGAATTACTAGATGCTTCACTATATATATTCATTTATATGTTCAATAGGGAAACGGGTGTAAATACCTGAGGGGAAAATGCCCATTTCCCCTCCTCCCATCAAATAAACTTTTTAACGCCATTGAAATGGTTCCGAACCGAAATCTTGTCCCTGGACCTATGCACTATGCTCTCGATAACGTGTATCTGTGCCTGTATCTAACTGCATGTATTCATCCACCCTTAAATTCTACTTCCTATTCAGGCCAAGAAAAATTCTCATTTAAAAGCTCGTGATTACGAAAGCTCAGTTGAACAATACGAAGAGGCGAAAAGTGGTAAAAAGAAAGCAATTTCCGAAAAGGAGTTATTGAAAGTAAGTTTCATTGATCACATCCATTCACTTTACATCTCAACTTTTTCCTTATTGACACTCACGTTGTTCTTTCCGTTCCAACAACATGTGAATTCCTTGTTTGTTTTCGTACGGATGAATATCGATGTAACTGAATGTTGTTAAACTTATGCCTAGTTTATACGTCGCATTTTGGTTGCGTCAAATCAAACAATAGATCATATGAAATGGTTATCAGGCTATATGAAGTTTTTATCTCATCTATTACGTGAATTAGCCATTTTCTAATTGAGCAGGGTACTGGGTCTGGTCGCGAACCGCAAAGCATCCATGGACTGTTTGGAGGGATAAATTATTTCAGACTTATATTTCCTCTCCCTCCAAAAAGGCAATAAATACTTTGCGGTTCTCGACTAGACCCAGTACCCTGCTCGATTGGGAAAAAGCTAATTGCATTCGACGCGACGAAAATGCGTCATTAAATTAGGCCTTGAATTAATTTCTTCTCTCTGAACTGTATAGCTCGAAGCAAAATGCAAGAAAGCAGCAAGTGGTATTGAGAAAGCTGGTAGGTTAACAAAATGTATTACATGAGATGTTTCAGCGCAATGAGTTTTCGTTATCCATTTGCTGTGACCTCTTTACATTTAGATCGTGAGTATAAAGACTTCAATTTAAAAGCAGAAAGAGGACGAATTGAGCTAGCATCTGCTATTCGAAGATTTTCTCAGGTATACTGGTAGTCTATATATATATATATCCGATATTTTATGGCAACTGCTTTAATAAAGAAACTGTTTACTATATTAATATATAACCTCATATTACCTCAATTTATGGATTTATTCGTAAAGACTTGTGAAACAACTGAATGCGAAAGAATACAGCATATAAAAGAACTATTTATCAAGTACAGTGAGATGTTGGAAGGAGTTATTCCTCAAATGCAACAGGTAAATTTACGTATGAAGAAGGGAATTGCCTTGCGTGTTTTGACGAGGCACCGTTTTTACTTTACGTTCCCAGGATTTCAATTTACGTGCTTTCACAAACTCACAGTCACAAACTCAACCAACGTTGATGGATTGAAGACTGCACATTCATGAATTCTGAAATCTGACAGTTTTAGAATAGTATTTTTAAAAAAAAATCATTAATATGTATAGAGTTACCAAAATGTCCAGGATGACTCATCAAGGATTGAACCAAATGAAGATATTTACTCAGTCGCAGAGCAAAGAGGGACAGATCGCGAATCCGCTGAGCAATTATTGACCGATTATTTCGTAAGTGCAACTGTCCGTAGTCGTGTTTCGATCCTTAGTACGCTGGTGGAATACATGTTATTAAATGTTAATAGTTAACTCACACTTCTGCTGTATAAGAAGAGCCAGCAAGCAGGCTAAACATTGACGTGCCAATTCACCTCAATTTTATGCTACTTCGTGTGCCTAGCATGAAATCTTGTTCACAAGTCCAGGCCTGCTTCGTGCATGACACTCATGTTTTTACACAATGCCAGGAAGAAGATTTTCAAAACACAATTGCCACTGACAGGAGGAAGCAACGGCTGGAAGCAAAAATTCAAGATCTTACCGCTGATCTTAAAAGAGAAATTAAAGCTAGAGAGGGTGTGTAGGTACATAGTTGTTTGAAGATAGAAAATTCCGGTAATGCCTCGACTTCTTAATTTCAAAGTCTTTATCAATCATCACTCACCTTTTTGTTTTACAAAAAAGCTGCATGCGCATGACAACATCTTTGTTTGGCTTTTTAAAATCTTTATTTCTTACTTCATTTTGGTCATTTCAGGCACCCACAGACAACATGCAAATAATATTACATTTATATACGATATATCGTGTTTTAATTTACCGTTTTATTAATCAAGGAATTGAACATCTCTTCAATGTTTATGAATCATCTCCAAGTTATACAAATGAAGAAGGACAAATGAACGTTGCTGACCAACTTGCTGCGGTTAGTATATTATGTAATGTAATGATATATTATTTCCTACCTATATATGAACTGTAAAACAACGTCCCAAATGAACCAAAGATTTTTTATTAATTTGAAATTTTCATTATCATGTTTTAGTATTTTTGCACAAGTGACTATAACAAATCCTATATTCTGATTGGTCAAATTTGACGTATTATGCTGTAATATTCACCTTCAAGTTTGCCGTTTTGTGGACGTTTCTTGCAAGGAGATAAGCGAAAAAATGCAGTTCTTGTGTCAATTCACTTGTGCAAAAATACTAAAACAATTTTCGTCTCGGTGAATATTCCCCGAAAATCACCTCGCCCTCGGCGAATAATTGTTAAAAAATAATGTTTTCTTTCAAGGCTAATGAAGTAATAAACAGCTTAGACGGGAGTCTTTACAAATTACAACACGCGTTGGCTCAAGTCAATCGGCAAGAAGCACCCGGTCACAGATTATCGTCGTATATTGAAACCGGGAAAGACAAGCAGGTAGGTTTGTTTGAAGAAAACATCCAACTATTACCCTTTGACAGGGTTGCTGTCCAATGATGATGCATGCATGAAGAAAAACCCTGGGTACTAGGTCGGCATGATGGCTGCATGTCTATTAGCGAACGTCAATAATTTTTTCAAAAATAGTATATTTATATATCAGAAAAAGGTATTCAGAAATATTTTCAAGGTGTATTGCATTGAAGGCTAAAATCGTTACCTCTAATACGTTTTTTTAGGGGCTAGCACTAAGTATTTTGAGGATTCCAGTCGGTGAAATAACAAGAGCGGCAACGATGAGCTATGGCAGTGATAATGTAGATCATGGTTATCCAAGTGGTACGTTATTTATATCTTTTATTCTTATCAAACTTGCTCCATAAAAATATTTTTTTGGGTTCACCTATTCGCTTGCTACAGTGGCAAACAAAGTCATGACTATGTATGACGCACCCCATATACTATATAGCTATGTATTATATACACAAAAATTCTGCTTCATTTATTGTTAAAATGTTCGTATTCCCTCTACTATATTGGGCAAATATTTAAAGTTTAAGCACATCAGTTGTGTGCAATCATCAAATTTGCATCAATCTTCTATCATCAAATTTGCATCATTTTTTCTGCGCCATTTTTAAAGCAACAGACACCAAAGATGTTAGCCATATGATTGCTGAAATGCCAAACTCAGTTATCAAACTCTAGCTCATTACTATAGCTCAGAACTCAGGGTAATGGTTTACGCTGTTTGTTTTTATAGATGACGAATTCGACGAAGATAATAGAGCATCAGGTACGGTTTTTTTTAAGCATGCAAACTTATTATATGCCCATAAAACAACCCAGGCATGTCACGTTGTAGAACTTTGTCTTTGTAATCTTGAATTGACTTCAGCCCGCCACATCAGTGCCAGGGTGGGCCTTAAAGTTTGAGTTCTTTATGCTGTTTATCTTCAGGCTTCATAGGTCAATGTATAGCACAATATGATTACGACGCAGTTCAAAACGATGAACTCACAATTAGAGCTGGAGATGCTATTAACATAACTGAAAAGCAAGACATGGATTGGTGGATGGGTGAACTGAACGGCAGAACTGGAATTTTTCCTGCAAGCTACGTGCAGGAAATGTGATAGACTAAATTTAAGAAAGACAAATTTTAGATTAGATTATATATAATATATAATGTTCGCGTCAAGCACCGAAACACTATATTTGACCGCATGCATTATGCATAGATGTATATATTCATGCCTGCATGATTAGGAATTTTAAAGAATTGAAGTGGCTTCCTAGGATAATTCTTAGGGACCCCTTAGGTTCCGAATGGGACAAAGTGACGTATTCGAATGTTCTTGGATGTCAAATCAATCACTGTAAGATACGTTGAAAATCATCTTAGGAAGACTGATTTAGCAACAACAAACTATTTTTCAATGTATATGTAAATACAAAATCCTCAAAAAGGAGTTAAAAGCGGTCCTTACAGGCTATAAAGTGTTGGTTCAAACATTAAATATCAGGTCCTGCACTTTCAGATAAATAAATTCTAAGATTTTCACGTGTCGTGCAACCTCTGTACGCATCCGGTACACACAAGAATCATCTAATTCCTTCCAATGGACTGTAATTCTAGAGGAATATAAATAAATTAGATTCTTTGCAATTTTCCATTTTTTTGCTCATTCTTATCTTTGTGTATTGCTGTTTCGATTACATTGTAAAGAGGACACTCTCATAAATATTATTTATTGCCCTACAGCCCCAGTGTCTTGATGAACATTGAAATGGTATAAGATGAAGTACACAACGCTCCCGTGATGTGCACGTGAGCAATCCACAAAATAAATGTTCTTTAAATGATCGATTTAAGATTTGTGTATTTATTATTTTAAGCAATATTTATGCGTTTAACAACATTTTAGAAAGGACGCATTTAACGGTGCAGTCAATAGACAATGGCTGATGCAGGTTTCAGAGTCTTATGGTATCCCTGTTATACTGATAAATTTGTCACACTTGGTCATGGACAGGATGTTAAGTTGTATAAAGTTTCCAATGTTTCACAGGTATGTTAAAAATAGGATACCATGTATCAATAGTAGGTCGTGGCAACTCTGCATGTGCAACTGCCAGCTTCGCCTTCCAACAAGGGGTGTCAGTGTGTCAAATGATAGAGTCATGGAGTACTCTCAACCTTTAGAGGCTCCCAAAGGAAAGTGAAATCAACATAAAACAACTATTGAATTGGGTTTACACATGATATGAAGAATTTAATATCAAGCCTCAGTTTCTCATTATCAACCTCAGCTTCGGTTAATAACATATTCATCATGTTCAACCTCATTCAATAATTGTTAAACATTTTATCTTATTTTTAGTAGAGCAAATTAATTTTTAAACTTTGCATGTTTTATTTTATAGAATTCAATTCAAACATCAAGTACCATTGGAAGTAGTGGTACATAAACTTCATATATAGTTACTTTACTTTGCAGTTTTGAATTTAATTTCAATATTTGAATGTGGGCCAGCAGTATATATTGAAAAACCTAAAACTATAGGTGCATGCACAAGGTCGAAAAAATTAGATACTAGTCCGCCCAACTTGAAGACCCGCCTTTTTCTGACAATACCAGTACGAAATTACAATAAATGTTATTGCACATCTGAGAATCATGCTAATTGTTGCAAACAGCTTGGTAATATTACTACCATTAAGAGAGACCTGTTTTATTAGAAATGATGTATAAAAATTAATCCTTATGCTAACTAATTTATATACTGGTACAGTATCTGTGATAAAAATTGTAATAAATGTTTCATTTGATATATGTTTCAGATATTAAAATTTCTGACAAGACCAATGCTGTTCTTATGTCAAGAATTTCTCATATACCATACAGAGTAATTGTGAACTTGTTTTTAAAAAATTATAGGAATATAATTTTGTTATTTACTGTGTTGATTCTTGTACTACATGTTTTATTGTTATAGATGTAGCAATACTGTATTAATTGCATGGCTACTTTATTCTCTGGAAACTTTAGTGTGCAGCTTTATATCCCAAAGCTGATTTGGAAAACAAGGCTTTAATTGCATTGGGTCAGCTGAATGGAACTGTTACAGTCAGAACGTAAGGGCATGGTTCATTAGCAGGAAATTATTTATCATTCGATCTTGTTGTTCTTTGCCAAACCTTTTGGAAATAAAATAAAATTCCATTTACGATAGGGTCTGATTGCAACTGTCTTTCGCATTGTCCTTTTCCATTCCATTGTCACCATTGTGTACCATTGTTTACCATTGTTTACCATTTCATCTTCTTGTTTTGTCCTCCTGTTTTACACTTCCTATTTTGCCTTCTTTGTCTTTTTTCTGTTTCCAGGAATGCTTTAATTATTGTTGTCAAAACTGAAGAATTTTTTACTTGTTCTGCTGTTTTCTAGGTTTGATCAAACAAATGTTGGACTTTTAGAGTCTGAAAGAGAATTTGGTAACTATACATTGAGCCATAGACCACTAAAATATCTTCATAGAGTGCTCAAAAACAGCCTGGAGTGCTCACAAAGGCATGCAGAGCTTGCTCGCAAGGGCCACCCTGGCTATAACACACTTGTTATTCTTGTTATTCAGCCTGGCTCTCGCCAGCCTTTTTTTTACATTTTTATGTCTGCTAATATTCACTTAAAATGCATTCTGTTTTTAGTCCCTCATCACCAAAGACCATGCAACACCTTGGCTTGGAATCCTATCAGTTCGAATTGGGTATAAAAAGTGTTTATGTTTTAACTTTATTAGGTTATTAATCTTGTATTTTTGAATGCTTGAACAAAAATATATATGATTATTAGTTTGTAGGTACACCACGTCTACTTATTACTGCATTAATAAAAAAATGTAGTAATTAATAACTAATAATTATATATGCAATATATTTTTATTCAGTTGGCAGCAGGGTTAGAAAAAGCTAGAAGTGGAGTCTCATTATGTGTGTGGGATATAACATCAAACACAAGTAAATGTACCATATTTTTACCATAATCCAGATGAATTTTGATGACTCAATCCTGCTTTAGCTGTAAATTGTGATTCCATAAATTTTTAAAAATTGCTTTGGAATATATAGACATTGGCAAATCTTCTGGATCAAATGATAGACAAAGGTAGACTAAATGTACCAACGGTTAGTAGTTTCCTTTTAGAAATAGCCCGAAAAATTGGTCCGTTTTATTTTAATGTATTAAACACCATAGATCCTCAACAAACCTTAGTGGTAGAAGTGGATATTCCAATTTTTCCTCCGAAAGTCGTGTTATTGAGGCAGGTAGGCTATTACAAAGTATGCTTATACCCTGAAACTGGATCTGCAGCCCAGGGGGTGAGCTAGTCCATCCAAGCCAGGATTAGCATTACTATGTACTGAGTTTCTCCTGAGGAATTCACCCCAACTCGAAAATCCTTAAAAAAAGCCGCTGCAATGAATTTCAATACTTTGAATATATATGTCGCTAATATCTTTCCTTTACCTCGAAATCTCGCTACAAATAAACTCGGTCCGTTCTTGTGTTTAAGGTCCGACGTATGAAACTACTTCGGTCACTTGGTTTCCCACTGACCCGATGACATTAATTGCTGGTCAAGGAGGCAAATTTTTGAAAATATTCGATGTTAGAGATAATCCGGGTAAGACATTATTGTTACGTGAAATGATGATATTCCATTAGTCACTAAGTCAAATATTTATTGGTGGTGTAATTGTTGCAGAAATGTATTTCAAAGCAAAATCATTTACCAATACAAAAGCCGTCTATGGGGTTTGCGTTGATCCAAGTTTGGAATATCGAGTGGCGTCCTTTGTTGAGGTGCATATACGTTCGTACTGCATGTGCTCTTGCGATAAGACATTTTACAATAGCTTTGGTGGCATGTGTCGTTTGTTTTACCGCTTGCTGCGGCATTAAAACTATCGTTTTAAATTTCAGGGCGACCAAGGAGCTGTTCTTGTTTGGGACATACGTCATTTTGAAAAACCTGTATCCCTTTCGATTATAGTGGGAGAAAAAAGCTAAATTAGGTTGTTTATCGCAGCAGTTAAATCGATAAACTTGTGTTCATCTTTCTTGACTATCTCCAGATTTTAGCTCTTCCTGGTGAAAATGTCGTCCAAATTGAATGGAATCGAACAAGGTCAGTTTAAATGTGACGCAAACATGACAGCTTTTCAGTTCATTTTATCTACAACTTAATTTTTATAATCTCTTTAGGTCGGGATTACTGGCCTCCTTACAGAAAAATACGAATGTCGTTCACCTTCATGACATACAATATGGTTCAGCTGGTCAGTTTTCTTGTTTTCTATATATTTCTATGTAACTATTAGGGAGTTTGGTTCTCACTTTCAATTTTTATAGCTTATGGAAACACAAGTCATGAAGCTGAACCAACATCTTTAGAAAGAAATACAGTTGGTAAGACGACCGTTTTACACAAATATCTTACTATTTACCTCAGGGTTACTTTAGTACAGTTATATAGGTCAAAATGTTAAAGTCAATTTGTCGACTATAGGATTCACGGATCGTTCATGAAATTACCTACAAACCGCTTCCGCACTTTTCGAGGTTAATTTACTGATATGTAGCTTTTACTGCATGCTAGATAAGTCAGAATAATCTAAAATACTTTTGAGCACAAGCACATACACGGGAAGGTATTCTCATGCATGAGCGTATATAACAGCGCAAAAATACAGCTTTTCTTTAAAAATCTATTTCTTTTGAGTTTTTAAAGTGAGTTTTTCTGAAGTATGAATATGTACTGTGTAATATACCAATTGTATACCTTTTAAATTTTTAGAGGTAGACTATAATATTTCTGGATTCAGTTGGCATCCTTCGGAGGAAAATAGAATGCTTATCATATCTCCTAAAGGTGAATTGCCAAAAATTTGAGTAAGTTCTTATGCGTGGAGGTTTTGTTAATCGTCTTCCATAATCTTGTTTATTTAGGGGGTGTTCGGGACCTAACGATATTTGAGAGAATTTGTCTGGTATGTGCATATACGTACCTTTAATCGTTCCACTTACTTTCGTATATTAAATTATCTAACGTTTAGTTCATCAAGCTCAAAATTCTGAAGTGTTTAGCAAACACTGAATAAGTGAAAATGCATATACAAATATGGGTGTAAACTGTGAAGCACACCAACATTCTGGGGTTTTTTACTTTTGTACTAATTGGGTGTGGAAATCCACTATATGTGCATGGTGTATTTACTGCATATAAATATACATGTATACCTTCTTGGCGTGAGTACAGGGGCAAGGGAATGTATACCGACTCTCTGGTGCATGCATGTGCATGTATTTACATCTTCTTACTGTAAATACAGAGGCACTTATACATGTTATACATGTTATACACTTATAAATATACATGTACACCTTCTTGGCGTGAGTACAGGGGCAAGGGAATGTATACCGACTCTCTGGTGCATGCATGTGTATTTACATCTTCTTACTGTAAATACAGAGGCACTTAAGGAAATGGATACATGCAAAGGATACATGAAAATTTATACAACACTTGCGAAGGTGTGTATTTGCACTTCTTCGCGAGTGTTTTCATAGCCATAGGCAGGAATTTACACATTTTTGTGTTTAAACAAAAGACGAATAATCGTATACAAGAATTCCGCATGAATAAAATGGTGTTCAGGTTTTTGTCTTTGTGATTTAGAGCTGGTCTCCCAAATTTTCTCTGTCGTGGGGCTGTGGTCGTCGTCTTATTCAATGTTGTACAAAGGTGCGGGTGAAGTTGTATAAATATAGACGTATTGATGTTGTTCCTAGTTTTTCTTTCCCTCATGATATGCATGCATGGTTATGTTATCTTATATTTCTCGAACTTCATCCACGGACCGCGGTAGATTATATTAGTACACTATATTATAGTGGATCCATTGTTTTCACTTAGTCCGAAATTGATGAAGATATATCAATAAAAATGTACAAGAGGGCTTGTGAGTCATACGGTATAGACTTGACCAAGACTAGAACTGTTGGAGATCAACGAGTGGCTAATTTATGGACGTGGTTTGGCCGTATCCTTTCTTACAATTCTCTTGTCATTCTGTTTACCTCAAAAAATGCAGCTGTACATTAACCTCATTCGGTTGAACATGAGGTTGAACATGATATAAAGCCGAAATTTGACGTTACGCATTTCTATAAACTGAGGCTTTAAATTCTTCATATCATGTCGAAATGAACATTACAACTTTGTTCGCTCAAATTTGTGTTGTTTGAGTTTGTTTTGTTTTCCTCTCCTTCGAACGTTGATGTCTTCGTCATTGGTTGACGTCATAACGTGGGATACGTTAATTTATCAACACGTTACGGCATATTATAGCGTGCCAAAAGTCGTATCCCGCGTTCTGACGTCACTCGTTGGTCGCGGTTCTACAGTTCTTTTAAGCGATTTTCTAATTGTTATATTTCAAGCCTTAATAGTGTTTGCAGGTGTTAGTCAAATACAGAAAACAATAGGTAAGTCGATGTCTATTAGGGTGTGTACGTTTTAAAACTTGCAGTCATAAATTTATATATTAGCACATTATGAACAAAATTCAAAAACAACAAACTATTGTTATTAAAAGATTGATCGATTATAAGAAGATACAATGTTTTTTCTGCATGATCATAAAATTGAAGGCAAATAATTTGACTGCAGTGGCCGAGTGCTGCTTCTATAGTGTTTGAAACATTCTTATACCGCTATATTTTAGATAATAAATATAAGATGATCAAATATCCTGGAGTGAAGTCGGTAATTTGTGGTGAAGCAAGTCAACAAAGTGAGTTAGGGAACAAATGACGATGAGTAGGGATCAGGATAATATTGGCATGAATGATGCAGCTGTAGCTATTCTTTCAATGATGTGAAATGTCCACATTATCACTTGTGATCATATCTTCTTCCCTGTCGTCCCTAATTGTTCCTTATAGTATAAGTATCTAAATTGTCACTAGTGTATGCTGTCATAATTTTGATATGCATACACGGTTTTTACGTTGAGGAAGTTGCTTTCGCTGGAACAAACTTTCTAAAAGAATATTGATATTGTATTCATGCATGCGCTAGTGCAATCATTTATACTTACACTTTATGATTGCAATCGCAGATACCTTAATTTGTAACTAAAATTACTACAATTATATATAATTGTATTTTCATTGTCAGGTGTTTGCCAAAAGTCGAAGATATGCAAAGATACCAGATTGCTGGCGACGGTCTATTACAGTGATGAAAGGTTTCATGATTGAAAATACTTCCCTTATAATGACTTTTCATTTATTTACTATGAGTTCGCTAATTATTTCGGAAAAGCGGTATACCATCCATATTCTAGTTTAGTTTTACATTCTGCCGAATGTTTCGTACTCAGTGCATATTAATACCAATTTTAATTTTTAGGCAAATTGCTCTTCAACTCTGCAACTGGAATTTCAATATTGATCCTGCTATCAATTTGAAGAGGTTTCTAAATGGGTACGTTCCTTATTGTCTTGATTGTTTATCTCCCAATTCTTCATTTGATGGCTTAAAGTCAAAGATTACGATGGTTACGTATATGAAACGTATATAGATCAGTAAAGGGATTGTAGATAATCGTTGACAGGCTCCCATGCAATATATATATGTTATTTTCATGTCCCTAGCTGTTTTCACGTGTCATGAATAGGCCTACATTATTTTTTCAAATTAGTTTGAAATCACAGGGAATGTATGAAAGAGCTGCCGCTGTAGCTGTTTTCAATAATGATATTCCAACTGCTATAAACATTTTGAGTGAAGGTGCAACTGCAAGAATCGATAGAAATTTGCCAAAAGGTAGGCTACTATCCACTATACAGTGTACGTGTCCCAAAAACTGGAATATCGGGACGCAATCTGCAGGCGTTTCAAACTCCAGTAGAGAAATGTTAAGCCCCATAAGGCATAAGGTACCATTTTCGCTACACTGCAGATTATATAGCATGTATAGCTATGTCTTCCTTTGGCATGTTAGAAGGAGGCATAAGTTATTGAAATAACCGTTTTCGTTGCACCGAACATATCACGACGATCGAGAAATCTAATCTAATTGCTAACAAATGAAAAAAAATACAACTTGTATGTCGTCTAAATTTATTCATCAATTTTACTCCATTCGCTCAGGTTTTGTATTCATGCAATCCTAGATTCATTTCTCGGCATGGTAGCGATGGCTTTATCTGGGTATACAGTGGAAAAGAAATCGCTATGGAGAGATCATTGTTTACAATTATGTAAGAAGGTAATGTGTTTATAATCCCCTTTTCATTCCAACAAAATTGTTCATCCATAGCGGAATGAACTAACTTTTATAAAGTGTATTATATGAGGCCTAGGTTAAAAGTCGCATTTTGGTCGCATCGAATGCAATTCAAACAATAGATAATTAGATAATGAGATGTTAATGAAGCTTAATAGGGTTTATCATCTCATTATCTATTGTTTGAATTGCATTCGACACGACTAAAATGCGACGTATAACCTAGGTCTCAGAACTAGGCTTAATAATTTGAAAAATTTCCTTTGTCATCGCCGACTGTGGGCGAGATATGTTCATGCATATCTATAGTCTTTTGTTTTAAAGTCATCAGTTTATAGCCAGAGTCCAAAATACGGATCTTCTTCGTTAAAGTACAGGTCATGTTCGCATAAAATCTGTAACGCTATTTGTCGCCTTATAATATATTACGTTACGCCAATTTATATTTTTTAATAATCATTCTTTTTCCTTTATACATTTCTATTTTAAATACGACAAATGTCAACTTAAAGTCAAATAAGTTCGTTGCACTATAACAGCTGTACAACTCGTAACATTCAACGTTTACGACTCATTATGGGTCAATTCCAAAACACTCTTCATTCAGCTTATCTGCTGCTTGTGTATTTCGTCACGGCTTTAGTGCCTTCACTGACAGCATGCTTGGCGAGTTCACCTGGCAAAAGAAGTCTGACGGCCGTTTGTATTTCACGCGATGATATTGTGGACTTTTGATTGTAGTGTGCCAAACGTGTCGCCTCGGAAGCAATTCGTTCAAAGATATCATTGACGAATGAGTTCATGATATTCATTGCTTTACTTGATACACCAGTGTCCGGGTGAACTTGTTTGAGGACTTTGTAAATGTATACAGCGTAACTTTCCTTCCGTTTTGTTCTCTTTCTTGGTTTTCCATCACTCAGAGGCTTGATAACTGTTGTTGTTGGCTTCTCTACCTTCTTGTTTCCTGAGGTTTTTGGAGGCATTTCAGTTTGCTAATTCAATTAATTTTGTCTTAATACTCGTTTGTCTCAAATAAGAGCAATTTAAAACTGGTAGCCTTTATATCTCCGATAACTGGATCAATTATGTATATCATTATCTATTATTGGCTAAAGATTGTAGGTCATTGTCTGTCATTGGCTAAAAATTGTATATCATTGTTTTTCATTGCTCGACGTCTGCGAAGACATACGTGGTATTATAACTAAGACAAATTATTGAAATTAAAACATTTTCACTATGACTTTTATACATGACTGTTAACAGTAAATCTTATTGGGAACTCCCGAGGTTACGTTTTTAGACATATTCTCCACGTACATTGTTATAATTTGAATACCTGTCTTCAGGTGCATCCACTTCTGCTTCAGGAATTTGAAATAACTCGTATTATTGTGCCAAATAATCGTTGCTCTTTGTAGTAATTAAACCACTATACTGTTAGGCCATATAATGGGAGATATTAGAGACCATTTAAAAATTCTATGTGGCCAACTGGAGGTAGCGTTCGCTGCGTCTTAAGGTAAACCGTTGTACACAAGGCGTAAAAACTCGGGATTTATCGTTGTACACAGAGCGAGCGTTGACGGTATATTCATTTATTGACACACTTTATTGATAACCGCCGCCGTCGTCGTGTTCCCGTCCTACTTGCTTAAAACCCGATGTTTTCAACGTGTTACACGCCCTAGTACATGCTTAAAGTTCCTATCATCTACTTGCATGTAACCTGGTTTTTTATTACGATAGCACTGTTGTAAATGTCATTCTTCATCAAATATGCGTTTAACACGTCAAAACATAATTATATTATAATCTGGGCGCAGATTACTGTCTTTTATAACGTCAAAAGTCCCTCTCATATTCAAAATGAATTTTTTCTAGCTTTCTGATCCGTATCTTCGTGCGTTGTTTACATTTTTGACCTCAGATGATGGTGGCTACGAAGAAATGTTGGTAAGTTGAATTCTATTTTAATGAAAATTCTTTGCACTGAGATTGAAGCGAAATTTACTAAATTTGGCCAACCCAATAGCAACAAAAACTACACGCTGTTCAAGCTGTATAATTATGTTCTAATGCTTAACCTTGGCATGCATTGATCCATCTTCTCCTCCCCCCCCCCCACGCAATAATTATTTGCAAGTTACGTCATAGTCGCCATGTTGGATGGCGTTTATAAATAGATCCTCCCTAAATCACGAATCATATGGATCCAAGTGGATAAACTAAAAATGGCTTGGTATAGTTAGTGAACTATACATTCCAGTCATTCCATACCATGTAATGAAGATGGATTAAGGTATCATTTCGGAGAACATGCAATTACCCAGAACGGTTGAAATTGCTAGGCTTATTATCTATATCACAGTTTTAATAATAATATAGAAACTGCAGTTATATCACCGGTATACATATGGAATATGGACAAAATAATATGGCGCAGTAGTTGAAGGACAGCATCCTGCTACATGCATTTGTTAACATACTACAGCAAGCTGAAAATGTGTTGTTTTTGTTTAGAAAGACTGTGGCCTTGAGATTGAAGATCAAGTTGCTTTTGCGTGTAAATATTTGCCAGATAGCAAGGTAAAATTTATTATTTTGCTCCCAGTATAGTGTGTTACCATACAATATGTTACACAGAACCGAAAATTTTGGGAAATTTTATAAATTTTTTCCTAAAGATTGAACCATTATTTTAATTTTAGATAAAGTTCTTATATAATTTGTTTAAATAACTTTATTTTAGTTGGGGCCCTTCGTTAATGATTTGTGCAAGAATATGATAAGGACTGGAAATCTTGAAGGCATGTTGGTAACAGGTAAACGTGCATCTGTTAACTTTCAACCTCTTGTGTGTGTTATACATAATTTTAGAGACAGCGTTTTTCACTACGTTGAACATTGTTTCTTTTGTCAATACAAAACTTTAGGGTTATTTTTTCTATATTAAGGAATGACAGAAGACGGGATTAACCTGCTTCAAAGTTATATAAATATGGTACGTTAATTTTCTTTAGTTTTTCCATTCAATTCAGGTCCGTTTTTTAGTTTTGGGCCGCAAAAAACTGGTTAATGGCTATATTTTACATAGACTGGAGATATTCAAACTGTTTGCTTGTTAGCTGTTAACTCCCTGTCAAACAAACTTTTTAAAGAATCTGCAAAGGTCGATATTTGGATCCAAACGTAAGTCATTCTGTACTTCACTTTAGGCTATACCTTTTTCTTTTTGTTTTCATTTTTCTGTTCTATATTATTTTTTCGTGAAGCATTAATTGTAAAATAGTCGGATTTTGGTAACATCATAGCTAATTATACACCTTAATTAATTTACATTTTAGTTACCGTGATCTGTTGGATAGATGGGGACTTTGGCATCAAAGGTAAGGTATAAGGGAAATATATGTATACATGTATACATTGCTTCACTTAGTCATCTACATCAGTCTGTTTAGTCTATAAATTAAAGATTCGACAAAAGTGCGCTGACAAAATGTCCCCCTGGCAAACGATTGATAAGTGCATGTGTCGCCCTATATGCAAAGGAAACTACTGCGCTGTTGGATTTCGGATTCCAGCTCGTGGATTCCGGATTTCAGGGCGTAGATTCCGGATCTCAGCTCGTGGATTCCGGATCCCAGTTTGTGTATTCCGGATCCCCGTTCGCGGATATCGGATCTCAGCACGTGAATTCCGGATTCTGATTACATTTACCTTTGTAAGGCTCTCTTCTGTCGCTTGCCCATGCCGAAACACAAAGCTTGAGCTGATTCATTAATAGATTGAAATCGAAAACGCATTCTTATACATGCGAATTGTGTATGGTCGATGTAGCCATATTTTTCTAGCATGTAGTTATGAATCGATCAAGTGCATGTCCTTGGTTCGGCCTCCGTCATGATTCATAATTTCTCTTTTTAAATATTTGTAGAGCTGAATTTGATATTTATCACAGTACCAAGGCTGGTGGTGCTCAAATGAAGTCACAGCAAGTTCTAGTTAGCTGTACTTTTTGTAGTGATTCCATTTTAGCAAAGAACCCAGTTTCTCAAACTGTGAGGAGATTGCGATATCAATCTCCGAGAGAGATTCCCACTAACAAAATGAAGGTGAGAGAAAAACTGAGATATTCATTTTTCGCTGCGTTATTTCGCTAACCAATCACTTTGACGCGTCTATGTTTTCGCTTTTTTTTTCGCAGAGTTTTAGTTGTAATCAATGTGGTAAACCTTTACCAAGATGTTCTCAATGTTTAATGCACATGGGAACAACATCGACACACTCTGAGGATGCTAAGAAAACATCAAATGGCTCGGGTAAGGAGAAAACAACTGAATAAGGCATGCAATATGGTACAGTAATTCAACAAAACCTTGTATATATACATGCAAACAGATTAGGCTAATAAAGACTGAAATTGCCAGCCATTGTTGGACTGCAATGCTTGTAAATGCGTGCAAATTTTGGGTTTTCTCGTCTTTTCCAGAGGGCGAAGATGCTGTGGATGAACGAAAGCTGAATGCCAGTCACATGTGGTTCACGTGGTGTCAGTCGTGTCGTCATGGTGGTCATGCCAAGCATATCTTAGAATGGTTTGAAGAACACGCTGAATGTCCAGTTAATAATTGCGACTGTAATTGTATGAGTTTAGATAGTATCATTACCGTGAAATAGCAAACGAAAATCAGAGGCAATAGGTATGACCAAATATTCATGTCACCATGATGAAATATGTCACTTGTAATTTATCACTATTTTTTCTAATTTAAAATTTTTAATATTTAAAATAAAGAAAAATCGTGTACGATCATACGGTAATCGCTAGATTAGAAATCGGCTGGAAGAGAATATAGGAATGTATCAATGTAAGACAATAAACAGTGGTTTATTACGATTATCGTTTTTCGCCTCATGATCATGAGTTAGTCACTACTCTTAAGCATCATGATTCCATTAGAATCAATGATTTTAGTATGCGCTTTCTGGGAATATACTTTCTTTCCCAATTAAGACAACAAGCAATGCAAATTGTTCATTGTTGAGGCCATATTTTACCTCCACACACGCCATTTCCTGGTGTTTTGCGTCGAATTTATGTTTTCGTTTATCTTAGCGATTTAAAGTGAACTATACGTATGTTTAAACCTGACTCGTAGAAATTACGGGACAAAAGTAACCCATTTGTTGGAAAGAAAAGTGCCCTACTTCGAACTGCCGGAATAGAATTGGAGGCAACAAAACTAAAACTTTAAATATTTTTTATTATGTATTCCTAAAAGCAGTTTTATTATTAAATTATGTTTACTTTTTTTCTAACTTTCAGAAGAAACAAATTGAGAAAATGTATATATAAAAATGTATATATAAAATGTATATATAAAAAGTATATATGTACAGTATATATAAAAAGTCACGCATGCGCAGGCGTTTGTTGTGACACCAACGACTAAGTATAAACGTAACAAACATTGATACAAAGAATTACAAACGGTCGAAACGGAAACTGCAGATTAGAGAGAACAAGGAAATAGAAAAATCGTTTAGTCCATATATTTCCAGTTTGACTAGCTCGATTATGAGGTAAGGCCGGTACAAATTGTTATAATTTAAAATTGATTACTCGCCTTTGGTATCATCACAGACACACTGACACAGTGTCGTTGAGGTTGTATAGTGACTAATTGACTATAGTCTCCTGTAAACTACCATAATGTACTCTTTCCCACTTTTGAAATCAGAGCTGTAAAAGCTTGCTAAATGGTGCAAGATAATTCACACCTTTCGTGTGTTTCATCAACTGATGCGTCTACCTCTTCGATCTGGCCTGTGTGTCAGTGTGTGTGAAACAAACTATGATGATCATTATGATGATCTTGATCATAATATAAACAATTTCAATATTGTTTAAATCCTCCAAATTACAGAGACGAACTTAAATCGCAACCTTGATGGCATTGACATTGAGCACAACCATTTTCATACGGCTGCAGGTATGATATACTGTCAACTTGTCAGTCTTAAGTGTAGACTTTGATGGCTAATTATTTACTACTACTAACCAAGTTTGAACACAGTTCTATAGGCCAAATTGTGTTTGTTTATTTTACAATATTGTGTTAGATCATCAGATTACTATGAGCTGTTTGTCCAAATGAATGATCTGTATGAATAATAAGGCTGTAATAATTCTCATTTGAATCATGCACAGTTAAAAGTAAAGAGTAAAGATAGACTGACTGTTTAAATGGCACTTATGGCAGATGCTTAAAAGCTTCCAGCTGATCTGGGTACAAAAATCAACCAATCAGAAGCCAGATCTTCGACGAAACTGAATCATTATTTCCTTCATTGCATATGACTTTGACACTTGAAAATATCAAGTAATTTTATTATATTTATGCAAAAACACGTTTATTTTTTCCCAACTGCAAATTAGAATTTAAATTTTTCACCTTTATACTATTAGTTGGAAGAATAAGGACAAATAACACCAGGCACATGATAACTCAGTTTTGTTGAGACGCTTTATGACGTCATGATCTCAGATCAGCTGGTTGCCCTGGTCTGTCAGAATGATTCGATAAACAAGGGTTTCAATTTCTGAAATATATTTGAATAAGAAATATTATGCAGAAAAAATAATCAAATTAACCCAAAAGAAGAATCTGCTTTGAACTTGGTGCAAGATCACCTGGCACTTTGTTATTAGAGAGTTATAAGTGGGGTAGTGTCGCAGCTCCCCGCAAGAATGATTTTCATTGGCTGAACTTTACAATTCATTTCTGTCTCAACCAATAGCATAGCTTCGTTTTTTAGAAAGCATAGAAAAGCATTATCCAATTGGACAAAAGCTTCCGAGAGCTGCGACATGTCCCTGGGTATAAGTGTGTTTAGCAAAATGAATACAATGCAGTTTATACATATGTTGTAAAAATACAGAATACAGTTTATTGTTGTCTGCTTCAGGTCTCTTCTCCAGTTAGTAGCATTTTACATTTATGGAGAAAGTATGATTAACTAACTTTTTATCTTGTCTAATTTGTCATAGGTTCTTTTGTAGTGAGTCATGACACATCCACTACATCCTTTTCATACCGGTAGAGTTGAAACAGATGCTGTTGTCGTTGGAGCGGCTGCGGTGACAAGTAATTTGTGCAGCTATTGTGGAGCTGAAACGATAAAGAATTCGCGCACAGCATTTCAGTGTCATCCATGTGATTTTAAGTTATGCTCTACTTGCGCCCAAACAGAAGGCTATGCTCATCCTGCTCATGTCTCGCACTATTTATGTTGGGTGAATATTGTAGACGAAATATGGAAGTGCAATGGATGTAACAATTCATCTCGAGAGTTAAAGGATACCAGTTGCTATTTCTGTAGCTCCTGCAAGTTTTACCTTTGCCGAAAGTGCTTTGAACCAAAACGATATCCACTCCATCAGCACGAATTGATGAAAACTGACGTAAGGTGTGTTTATCATCGAAGTAGCGGTGCCTGGGTTTGCGACTGTTGTGGTGGAAGTAATGGCAGGGGCCACTAGTAAGTGAACTACAATTTTCTTTAACCTTCTGCCTTATGTACCTAATATAATTTACACGGACATACTCATAAATACCACAATCTGTTTGGCGTTTGTTTGTAGAATATAGCTAAATGCTTTTCGGGTGCTCGCTGAATGACTGCCCCGTTTTTCTTATTCAGCTAGTTGGCTAAATTATTTATGCAATGAAATGCATTAATTTCTCTTCCGCAGCCTGCCAAGACATTGTAATCTTTGCAAATATGATTTGTGTGAAAAGTGCAGCCAGCCCCATCGCAGTACTCTACATCTGCACGATCTTTACAAAGCAGATACGGAGTTGATTTATCACAAATTCGCAGGTGGATGGCGGTGTGACAGCTGTGAAAGTCTTTTTCGTCCTTCCGGAAATAAATACCCGTACCATTGCGAGATATGTGAATTTGATTTGTGTGACAATTGCATGATGATTAGCGATTCAAAAGGTAATGTCTCTTCTGTATTACTTACAGAACACATTAGTTATGGGCTGTTTTAGGGGCCAATTTTGGAGCGTGCTCTCTGTTTACGTTTCCAAAACTCTCCTGTGGCACTGTTAGTCCCACTATCACTATATATATAGTCATTCTACTGTAGCTTCGGCATGTGAAAATGTACCCTTCTTGATTCCTATACGTGTTTCTTATAAATTCATTAGTTCCTCGACGTTCAACTAACATGAATCAAAGAGGAATGGGAACAACTGCAGCAGGATTTCCCCTAGCGTCACCTGAAGAGGAATTGAATAAAGTGAGGGGTCCAGCCCCCGCTCCGCTCTCAGAGGACACTTCATGTATCATATGTATGACTGAACCGAAAAACGCCACAATAATTCATGGCGCGACAGGCCACGTTTGTTGTTGCCTTGGCTGCGCTAAGAAACTGGAAAGAAGAGGAGATCCATGCCCCATATGTAGGGAGCCAATTCAGTTGGTCATAAAACAATTTCTTGTCTAAACTACCTTCAGAAATATTTTGATCATTCATTATATGGGTATGATCGAGGAAACATGTAATTTTTCTAAGAAATGCAACAATACAACTGCTTCACTTAGATACAACTTCACATTTCACAAAAATTCAAGTGCTTTACTAAGAAACCATATTGGTAAGACCGTATGGAAAGAGTCCATAACAAAATATATGATGATGTAATATTTAGTATCACTATATAGTATCTAAAGATATAAGTGTACGATTTTGTATAGACTGGTTTAGTTCGTATTAATAAAAAAATATAGGATAATTTTTCATTTTTTATTTTATTGTTCTTCCTCTCTCTCTTTTTCGCGATTGAGGGGTTGGTGTGTCTTTTACCATCAGCGGCATGGTGCTGCAGCAATTGCCAGATATTTTCAAGAACTTGGCCCATCCTGCTGCGTCGTTTACTGTTGGATCGCGCTTAAGCGTTAAAAAGAAATCTGAAATTGACCGGTTTTTACGTGTTTACACGCTCTTATAATCTTAAATTTTGTTGTGTATGAAATTCTACGTTTGGTTAAGAAACTCAATGTTTGGAACAAACCATGACGTCTGGTTTTCACCTAAGACATAAGCATAGACATAAGGAAGCTAGGACAAAAGGAAAAACAATGTGATTTCACAAGCGAAAGCACAAGACCTCAAGCATAAACCAAGAAAAGACAAAAGATGGTGTCAAATTTCCTGTTTTACATAAATTTAAGTCGATCTCTTACGCTTATGTTATGCTATGTCTGTGTTTTTGTCTATTTAAAGCCTAGCCCTAGTTTATACCTGTGGTTATACGTCGCAGTTTGGTCGCATTTCGAACAATAGATAATGGCATGGTAACGAATCTTAATAAGGTCGATCATCTCATCTATTGTTTGAATTGCATTCGACACGACCAAAATGCGACGTATAAGGCCTAGGTTATACGTCGCATTTTGGTCGCGTCGAATGCAATTCAAACTATAGATAATGAGATGATATTGAAGCTTAATCAGGTTTATTATCTCATTATCTATTGTTTGAATTGCATTCGACGCGACCAAAATGCGACGTATAACCTAGGCCTTACCTAGGCCTTAGGCAATTGTTATACCACATTTGAAGCGAAGTTGTTTGTAGACGCTGCCCCCTGGCCCTGGTTATATTGGAACGTTATATAGCTACGTGGCGAAAACTAGGTGAATTTATTTGCGCGAACTGATAAAAAGTGCATGGGAAGCAAACTAATCAGTTTCCGGTTTCATAAATCGCCCAAATGAATTCGCCCAGGTTATGATTATAGGATGATAATGAGGTTTATAATGAGGTGATATCTATTGTTTGAATTGCATTCGACGCAACCAAAATGTATTAGGAGAAGAATTAATCATATTATTTAAAATAACAAGATTATCCAATCAGAAGCATTCTTGAGCTGTCACACCGGGTATGTTTAGCCAATAGCATGGCTTTACTTTCCAACACGAGGAGCGGGTGAAATGAAATATCCAACTCTGATTCATATTCGTTTATACGGGCACTGGTCTTTGACGCATAAAGACACGTCGCTCTTACTTGAGAAGAATTGAAATAAATCATGAATTGTGGTTTTAATAATGATCTCGTGTTCTTACTGAAGAGAAGTTTTAGCATCTCTATATTGCCCTTTCGTTAGTGTGTGAACAGGTAATATGCTTTACAATTATCTGCTTGCTTTATCGAGATATTTAGGTGAATGTTTCGGCTACCTGCACTGTCCAATTTCGCCTCGTGTTATGCCCCTTAAACACACGTTGTGTTCGCCTTGCATGTGCTCGCTACAACACTAACGTTTTTTATTCATTTCATGCAGAGTTCTGACGAATTGAAGCTGAGCAATACGATGAAATTTGCGACAAGTGATTTAGACCGATCAATTGCGGTGAAATTGTTCAACTGCGATAACTCGCCTTGAAGAGAGAGCACGACTAGCTTCTTCTCGGAACTTATTGGTGGAATAAAAAAGGTAATATACATAAAATAACTCTTAAATTTAGGAGAGTTAGGATTTCCCTCTATCTAGCCACATAACAGCTAACCTCTATCCTAATTTCAAACCAAAATTGAATTGAGTTGGATTAAAATCTTTTATTACAGAGAGGACTAACGCTGCCTATTTAATCTTTTCAGGTAGAGTTTAAGAGTTGAATATAAACTAAAAGAAATGTATAATGGGCAAGAAATTACCAGACAACGTGCAATTTGCTACAGCTGGAAATGCCATGGTGCATGACTCGCCTTTGAAGGAACAGCAAGTCCAAAGCTGCTCCTTCTCGACTTGTTGCTGAATTGAACAGGTAAATTGTTTTGTCTAAATACAACTTTCCGGCTTCAAGATTATCTCTCTGAGATGAACTTCTTGTAGTCACCGTCTATAACAAGCTTATCTTTGATTTATTCCAGGTAGACATTTAGCGAGTGAAGCCATTTGATACGACGATGAACCTGTTCATAATAAGATGTAAGTATACTCGAGAGTATACTAATAAGCAATCATGAACAATTCAAATAAAGCAAACAATACGGAGTTTTTAAGATTTAGGACAGGAGCGACGACGGCTGATATTGAGTACAATAAAACAAAGAACTGATTATAATAAACATTGCATGAAATGAAAAAACGTAAAAATATTGTTGGCTTATATTTCTATGATAAATCCTATTTCAGGTTGAAGAAATATTATAAAATCACGGCAACCTTGAGCCTATAACCGACAAGCCAAAGCGACGCCAATACGACGCCACGACGGGTAGATACGTACGGCACCGAACAGTCAACGGCAGCGTAACAAAGATCTCCCGACATCGTTACAGGTTAGAGTAGCCTGGTGGTCAAAAAATGTGCATGCAGGTTAGGATACATGTGTTTTCAACCATAATGCTCTACAGTTAACTAAGTTCTGGCCACCAGGAACATAGCTAATGCATGATGCATGTGTAATAAATTTGCATGTGAGTAAACACGTTTTATAACAATTCGGTCATGGTATCCGGCTTTGCGATTAGGGCCGCGCGTTTGCGCCTAGGGCTTGCTAAGGCTTAGGTTGATAAAATATAATATGTCACAACTGTTATATAAACATAAATTTAATATATATAAGAAATGGCAAAAAGCCATGAACACTAACATGAATCGCAGCCTCAAATGGCAGACATAATCCCATGGTTCTTTCTTGGTTCCATCTCTCGGAACTCTATATGCTTGGTTTACTGCGGTAAACATGAAAGTGGGCTCGTAGGCTCATCATTACATAGGCACTCCTTGTTTCTTTCTCTCTCTCTCTCTCTTTCTCTCTAACTTGATTCAAATTATCTTATCCGGTCTTTTGCGACTTTTGGAATATATCGGATGGGCTGACGGCAGGCATAATTCCCATAGGTGATAAGTGACTTGGTCCGGTAACTCCGGTTGTAAAAGTATTGTAAAAAAATAATTGTGAAGTTTCTAAGGAAACGTTGATGTAAATATACAATTATCTCGTCTTACTATATTGTAATATTGTATGTATTAAAATGCACGCTTTGTAACACACGAATGTAAATAGCAAACATTGCTATATATTCAGGATATATTACGATATTTACAATGTCATCTATATGTTACTGGTATAGTTCATGCAAATTAAGAGACAAACACGAATAATACATTTCTATGCAAACTATATTATATCATATTTATAAGCTAGAAAGAATTAAATTCTGTCTTACTATAATTCTAGAATACAGTAATCTATCAATCCAAGCAACACACACTCGATAGCTACCATATATCACAACTGCATGTATGTTGAACAGTAATTTGAATATTTATAATATAAGAAATGGCAAAAACTCATGAACACTAACATGAATCACACAGCCTCAAACGGCAAACATAATCCCGTAAGTTCTTTCTTGGTTCCATATCTCGGAACTCTATTGACTATTCTTAAGCTACTTGAGACAAACATGGACGTGCATACATAAATTAACCATATAGCCTCATATGGCACACATAAATGACATGATAATCCAGTTGTAAGACTATTCAAAAATAATTGTGAAGTTTCTTTAAGAAAGCGTTGATATATACATGTAAATATACAATTATCTCGTCTTACTATGTACAATATTTTTGTAATAGCTAAATAGAAAAATATGTTGTATGTATACATATACACGCTTTGTAACACACGCATGTAAATACCAGACATTACTATATATTACGATATATTTCCATATTTACAATGTTAACAATTTAACATCACCAATTCATGCAAATTAAGAGACAAACATGAGTACACTTATACAAACCATAGTCTTCAATTTTACTGTCTTGATATAATTCTGAAATACACTAATATATCAATCTCAGCAACACACACTATAATCATGTACAAGAAAGTAAAACTTGTGAGTGTCGTGTCATCCCTTGGCGATATATACGCCATTCGTACTATAGTTAGAAATCAAACAAGAGACAAACATTGGCAGTGGCATTGTAACTTTATTATTTTTCCACGGTCTCTGTGAGACTTCCAATCATTTTGCATCATCGAGCAGTGCTTATGAAAAGAAAGGCGCCACTTTTCGTCTGTACTGTTTGACCTTGCTGAGTGGTTCGAAGTGTTAGCAGGTATCTTGGGATATCTAATAACGTTGCAGTGTTATTTTCATTGCTGTTCCTATAAGGACAGCTTGCTTTGGCTACATGCCTTGGCTCTAAAAATGTTTAGTAAATTTTTCAAAGAAAAATATTTCATACTGTTATCGCTGTTTCTATAAGGGCAGCTTGCATTGGCTATATGCCTTGGCTCTAAAATGTGCAACCTTCGTACCCAGGGTAATTTCGCTTTGCAAAAAGATTTGTACTTAGCTCTATATCTATAAAAACAGGTTGCCTTAGTTCTTAAAACGTACAAGTTTTTTTTCGGGAAAAATATTTGTACTTCGTTTCGACCGCTTATATAGCTAATTGCTTTGGCTATATGCCTCTGCTCTAAAAATTTCTCATTTTTTTTTCAAAATTGTTTCTATTAAAACAGTTTGCTCTGGCTTTATGCCGTGACTCAAAAAATGTGCAGTAAAAGGAAAATTAATTTACTTTATGCTGTTTCTATAAGGGCAGTTTACTTCATTCAGCTATAGGCCGAACTTATAAAAATGTTTATGCCAAATCTCTTCCTTGAAATATTGCTGCACAGTTTATAACAATTAAAAAAAAAACTCTTAGAAACACTGCCTATGATTTGTCAGAAGAATAATTTCAGTTTTAAGAGAACAGAGCTTGCATGCATAAAATTTCTTCAGCTCTGCAATCTGTGTGCATGTGATGGGTCCTATCCTTCAGTACACTATATACCATCCAAGACGGAACGTTATAGGTACATAGTTTTTTAGATAGAATAAGATAACTACACATACACACATACACATAGCTATATACACACATGCATGCTTTATTGGTGTCTTTTACTACGAAACAACATACTACAATTTTAATATAGTCAATATAGTGGTTGTCATGCATCAAGGGGGGAGGCTGATAAGTTAAATAAACATGCACATATATTCAATAAGTTTGTCACGAGCATTAAGAAACAAAAAAGCACACTGTAAAGACTTGCACACTTAATAAAACATGCCAAACGTAATCTGCACTGTTCTTCTGTAAAATAAAATTTGTGTGTAAATAAGAATGACTTCTTTATCAGTAATCAGTTATATCAGTTTTATCAGTTAAGTATCAGTAATACTCGCGGCAATTAATAAAATATTGCCGTATTACCATACTACTCCTGTAATTTAAGAGAACATACGCTTTGTAACACATGCACAATGAAGTATTAATAAAAGTAGGACAAAAATGATTTGTTTCCATGCCTCTTGATTTCCATAGCTAATTAACGTAGCCTAAAAACACACACGCTTTGTAACACATGAAAAAGACACACACGCTTTGTAATACATGAAATTTTGTGTTAATAAAATCCCGAACTTTTTGTGTACTTTGTATTTGATTCCGGCTTTCGGTGAGGGTTTTCCTCCAGGAACTCTGGTTTCCCTCGTAAAACAGTGTCCGTGTGTTCGGAACCGCGTTTATGGTTGGTTTTCCATTCAAAACTTTTCACGTACGAACTTCATATATCATGGTAGCCATTTATATCCATATCTTTAAGTCCCGTTTCACATAGCAGCATCTACTCGATAAAAAGTTGATTGTTTCTCAACCCAGCATTCATTTTCTTGTGGCGTAATCTCCCTTAGAATATAAATAAGTTAATAATTAATGGATCTGACTGTAAACACGGTTACTGGGTTCAATTCCCGATACACTGTTCTCTTTCGAGGCAAACCGTTCTCTATCGGCAACAAAGCGAAGATATTCGTCTAATTCCACTTGACAAAAATGAATATTTTGTCCTTTCCTGAATCTAAACTTAGAGTATCCTGTTTTTCGACGCGATGTTAGTTCAACAACACAGTATTGTTAGTCCTGTATTCTACTTAATTTTTATCAAGTATTAATAGCCCATGCAGTAGTCCAATTCCTGATATTGAAAAATGTGGTTCAGCCATTGAAAGAACAATACATGCAGACCTTCCGCATTCTTGTTCCTAAAAGGACGACCACCATTGCTGGGATTGCTCCACGATCCGAAAAAAAAACTGACTTAATTGTATGACCCATGCATGCGTGATGATACGTGATCCTTCATTATCTTCAGGATGTTTTGAGGAGAATAGTTAATCACATGCAGCACCATTCGTGGCCAGTGACTGATTAACAGACCGTGAAACAAAAATTTCAAAACAAACTAATGCTGAACGTGAATAATTATATTTCCTTTCCCCCCGCGACCACTTCATGTTCGTTGCATTTTGGATATTCCTAAAGACGAAGATGGGAGACGCTCACAATTCGGTTCAAAACATCTCGAAATGGTTCAAAAGTAACTAGAATTACATTTCTTCATTAAAACAAACGTTTCAATACATAAAATAATATTTTGATAAACTTCAGGACTTTAAGAAAAAAGGTAACGGGACGACCAAAAGAACCATTTGTTTATTCAATTTTTCGAAATTCCACTATTCCAAACTAAGTAGAATTGCATTTTTTCATAAAAACAATTCCCTTGAATACCAAAAATCATACTATGATGATATTCAAAATTTCAGGAAAACTGATAATAGTCGTTTTCGTCATTTAAAATTAACCTCGAAATACATCGAAATGGCTCAAAGCTAAACTGAATTAAATTCTTTTAAGTATGATTTTGTGGTAAGAGGTACCCTTATCATTTTGGCCAAAATTGACGACGAATTTATAATGTTCCAAAAACAAACCAGATTAGTCTTAGTAATATTTTAAGCCATTTTCCAAAAGGCCAAAGGGCACTGACAGATTGTGCTAGTAAATCGTGAAAACGTTGCTGAAAAAGATGCCGGCCAAAAAGTTGCTCTAAAAGGCTGAAAAGTTGCTAAAAAATTTGCTCAAAATAAAAAAAGGATCTGGTAAAATGGGAAAACAATCTGTTTATAAAACTCGGTGCTTTCCGCATAGAAATTGATGCTCCGTTTCATATTTTCGTTTTAGCAAATCCACGGTCGGCAACATAACTGATCACTCTTTCAAACTCAAGTGTTTAAAGATTAGTGTTAAACGTTGCATAAACAATTTAGCTTCTTAACTATTATGAAGTCTTTTTATAGAGTAAACAGAAAAAACAATTAGCACAATAATTATGAGTTGGGAAAATGATTTACTCACAACGAAACTTGTAGTCTTATGGAAATTCTTTAAGAGTGATTAAAGAGCTTCGTAGGTGCCAAAATCTAGCAATTTTAGAAAAGTTGCTCAAAGTTTCTTTTTTTCTAAAAAAGTTGCTCAACGTCCAAAAAATTGCCAAAGCGTTTCTGAGCACAATCTGCATGTAGCTATGTGCCTATTGGTCCCCTGTTATCGATTTTTGCCGATAATCAAAGTATAATTTTAACGCATTTATTGTAGTGAAAGAATGTGATTCTATTTAGTTTTGAACCATTTCGAGGTATTTTGAGCCGAATTTTTTCTTTGGTTCCTGTTTGTGATTTTAACACCATCCGGAAGTATTGAAATTTGTGAAAGTATGATTTTATGAGTTCAAATGGATTGTTTTCATGAAGGAATGTAATTCTACTCAGTTTTAAACCTTTTCGAGGTATTTTGAACAGAATTTTGAAATTTTGAAAAACTGACGAAAATTACGATTTTTCTTTTGCTCCCCCGTTACCGATTTGTCTGAAATTTCGAAATTTGCGAAAGTATGATTTTTATGTGTTCAAATGGATTGTTTTTGAAGTATGTGTTCTTTCTCATATCGGTAACGGGGGAGAAAAAGAAAAATCGTAATTTTCGTCAGTTTTTCGAAATTTCAAAATTCTGTTCAAAATACCTCAAAATGGTTCAAAACCGAGTAGAATTACATTCCTTCATGAAAACAATCCATTTGAACTCATAAAATCATACTTTTGCAAATTTCGAAAATTCAGACAAATCGATAACGGGGGAGAAAGGAAAAATCGTAATTTTCGTCAGTTTTTGGAAATTTCAAAATTCAGTTCAAAATACCACGAAATGGTTCAAAACTGAGTAGAATTAAATTCCCAAATTTGAAATTTTGAAAAACTGACGAAAATTGCGATTTTTCCTTTGCTCCCCCCGTTTACCGATTTGTTTGAAATTTTGAAATTTGGGAATGTATGATTTTATGTGTTCAAATGGATTGTTTTCATGAAGGAATGTAATTCTACCCAGTTTTAAACCTTTTCGAGGTATTTTGAACAGAATTTTGAAATTTTGAAAAACTGACGAAAATTACGATTTTTCCTTTGCTCCCCCGTTACCGATTTGTCTGAAATTTTGAAATTTGTGAAAGTATGATTTTATGTGTTCAAATGGATTGTTTTCATGAAGGAATGTGTAATTCTACTCAGTTTTAAACCTTTTCGAGGTATTTTGAACAGAATTTTGAAATTTTGAAAAACTGACGAAAATTACGATTTTTCCTTTGCTCCCCCGTTACCGATTTGTCTGCAATTTTGAAATTTGTGAAAGTATGATTTTATGAGTTCAAATGGATTGTTTTCACGAAGGAATGTGTAATTCTACTCAGTTTTAAACCTTTTCGAGGTATTTTGAACAGAATTTTGAAATTTTGAAAAACTGACGAAAATTACGATTTGCTTTTGCTCTCCCCCGTTACCGATTTGTCTGAAATTTTGAAATTTGTGAAAGTATGATTTTATGTGTTCAAATGGATTTTTTTCATGACGGAGTGTAATTCTACTAAGTTTTGAACCATTTTGAGGTATTTGGAACAGAATTTTGAAATTTTGAAAAACTGAGGAAAATTACGATTTTCTTTTGCTCTCCCGTTACCGATTTGTCTGAAATTTTGAAATTTGCGAAAGTATGATTTTATGTGTTCAAATGGATTTTTTTCATGACGGAGTGTAATTCTACTAAGTTTTGAACCATTTCGAGGTATTTGGAACAGAATTTTGAAATTTTGAAAAACTGACGAAAATTACGATTTTCTTTTGCTCCCCCGTTACCGATTTGTCTGAAGTTTTGAAATTTGTGAAAGTATGATTTTATGTGTTCAAATGGATTTTTTTTCATGAAAGAATGTAATTCTACTCAGTTTTGAACCATTTTGAGGTATTTTGAACAAAATTTTGATATTTCGAAAAACTGACCGAGATTTTTCTTTTGGTCCCCGTTACCGATCTTCATAAAATTTTGAACATTATCAATGTATCATGGACCTTTTGCATAATAGACCAACTTTTGATCTAGGCAACAAAAAGGAAATTTCCGAAAAGTGCGTCCTAAATTTAATAAAATCGGTAAGTTTGGCTGCAAAATATTGTAAAGTACAGAAAATATAGCTATGCGAAGTTGGAAATTTTGTATACTTTTTTACTACGGCCATTAGTACGCTTCCGTTTTTATATAATATATGTTAGATTGGGATCAACGCCCAATCCGGTGGCCCAGTGGTAAGGCTACGGCCCACCAGGTTGTAAGCGTAGGTTCGAATCCTGCATGGGATAGGTTCAATTTTTCCCACCGAAATTACTATTTAATTTAAAATTCTTCTAAAAGAATTAGGTCGAATAAAGAACAATAGCTTTCGACAAATGATGCAGTGGTCTAGTGGTTAAGACGTTCGTCTCTCACTCCGAGGACAAACGTTTCAACTCCTGGCAATGCAATAAATTTAGCCTGAAAAATTTCGGTGTGATTTGGAATGTTTAAAACAGTTAAAAGGACTTCTCGGCCTTTGCGAAAGACTGTAAATTGAAAAAAATTTGAAATAAAAAAACCCCCAAGAAATTATTAAAACACGTGTCTTCTAAAAAGACTGAAAATGAAGAAAGTCAAACGGAAAAAAAATTAACAATTTCCCGCTTTTAAAACACTAATGTTTACTTACCTTAATTTTTTTTCACGAAAATTTGACAGGGTGATTTTCTCGAGACTGAAAAAATTTAATTTTTTTCACTTTTTTAAAGGTCTCTTAGATTTTTTTTTTGACGCGAAAGTATTTTGTCTTGGGCTACCTGTGTCTGTCTTGGGCTACCTGTGTCTGGCTTGACATAGGTAGCCCAAGACAAAATACTTTCGCGTCAAAAAAAAAATCTAAGAGAATTTCAAAAAAGTGAAAAAAATTAAATTTTTTCAGTCTCGAGAAAATCACCCTGTCAAATTTTCGTGAAAAAAAAATTAAGGTAAGTAAACATGAGTTTTTTAAAAGCGGGAAATTGTTAATTTTTTTTCCGTCTGACTTTCTTCATTTTCAGGCTTTTTAGAAGACATGTGTTTTTAAAACTTATTTTACTTGTGCGTTTCTTTCAAATTTTCAGGTACTTTTGAACGCAATAATTTTCTTTGTGTTTTTTTATTTCAATTTTTTTTCAATGTACACTCCCTTTCAGATAGGCCGAGAAGTCTTTTAACAGTTTTCAACATTCCAAATCACACTGAAATTTTTCAGGCTAATTTTGTTTCATTGCCAGGAGTTGAAACGTTTGTCCTCGGATTGAGAGACGAACGTCTTAACCACTAGACCACCGCGTCATTTGTCGAAAGCTATTGTTCTCTATTTGACCTAATCCTTTTCGATGAATTTTAAATTAAATAGTAATTTCGGTGGGAAAAATCGAACCTTTCCCATGTAGGATTCGAACCTTCCCTTACAACCTGGTAGGCCGTAGCCTTAACCACTGGGCCGTAGGATTGGTTGTTGATAGCAGCCTTAATATATATGTTATTGAGGTAGCCCAGTGGTTAAGGCTTCGGCCTACCAGGTTGTAAGGGTAGGTTCGAATCCTACATGGGAAAGGTTCGATTTTTCCCACCGAAATTACTATTTAATTTAAAATTCATCGAAAAGAATTAGGTCGATTAGAGAACAATAGCTTTCGACAAATGACGCGGTGGTCTAGTGGTTAAGACGTTCGTCTCTCAATCCGAGGACAAACGTTTCAACTCCTGGCAATGCAACAAAATTAGCCTGAAAATTTTCGGTGTGATTTGGAATGTGTAAAACAGTTAAAGGATTTCCCGGCCTTTGCGAAAGACTGTAAATTTAAAAAAAATTGAAATAAAAAAACCAAAAGAAAAATTATTGCGTTCAAAGGTACTTGAAAATTGAAAAATAAGCACAAGTAAAAAAGTTTTAACAACACGTGTCTTCTAAAAAGCCTGAAAATGAAGAAAGTCAGACGGGAAAAAATCAAACAATTTCCCGCTTTTAAAAAACTCGTGTTTACTTACCTTAATTTTTTTTCACGAAAATTTGACAGGGTGATTTTCTCGAGACTGAAAAAATTTAATTTTTTTCACTTTTTTAAAGGTCTCTTAGATTTTTTTTTTTGACGCGAAAGTATTTTGTCTTGGGCTACTGTGTCTGTCTTGGGCTACCTGTGTCTGGCTTGACACAGGGTAGCCCAAGACAAAATACTTTTTCGTCAAAAAAAAAATCTAAGAGAATTTCAAAAAAGTGAAAAAAATTAAATTTTTTCAGTCTCGAGAAAATCACCCTGTCAAATTTTCGTGAAAAAAAATTAAGGTAAGTAAACATGAGTTTTTTAAAAGCGGGAAATTATTAATTTTTTTTCCGTTTGGCTTTCTTCATTTTCAGGCTTTTTAGAAGACATGTGTTTTTAAAACTTATTTTACTTGTGCGTTTCTTTCAATTTTCAGGTACCTTTGAACGCAATAATTTTTTTGGTGTTTTTTTTTAATTTCAAATTTTTTTCAATTTACAGTCTTTCGGAAAGGCCGAGAAGTTTTTTAATTGTTTTAAACATTCCAAATCACACCGAAATTTTCCAGGCTAATTTTGTTTCATTGCCAGGTGTTGAAACGTTTGTCTTCGGAGTGCGAGACGAACGTCTTAACCACTAGACCACCGCGTCATTTGTCGAAAGCTATTGTTCTTTATTTGACCTAATCCTTTTAGAAGAATTTTAAATTAAATAGTAATTTCGGTGGGAAAAATCGAACTTATCCCATGCAGGATTCGAACCCACGCTTACAACCTGGTAGGCCGAAAACTTACCACTGGGCCACCGGATAGTGCGTTGATCCCAACCTGACATATATATTATATAAAAACTAGCAGCGCCCCATTTAAGGTTGCAAGAAGTACAGCCGGAGAGACAAGTTAAAAAACTTACAGACTTTCAGGAGAGACGTTCGAAAAGTACTTAAAGATTGAAAAAAATCGCAATTCAAAAACAATTAAAAAACATGTGCCTTCTGAAAAGACTGAAATTGAAAAAAGTGAAAAATTTCCGCTTTCAAAAAACTTTACAGGGTGATTTTCACGAGAATTTACATTTTAGAAAAGTTTATATTTTTTAACTTTTTGAAATTCTCTTAAATTTTTCTGCTGAGATAAATGAAATTTATTTGCCTGGGTTACTTGTGTCGCGACACAAGGCAACGTAAGATAAATAAAATTTTATTCATCTCCGCCAAAAAAATGAGAGAATTCCAAAAAAGTGAAAAAATGTAATCGTAAAATCAACCTGTCAAATTTTCGTGTAAAAATTGAAAAAAAATCAATGTAAAGGCCCTGTTACACGGTGCAATTTTTCTTGCAACTTGCAATGCAATTCTACTTTTAAGAGATGTAATTTAGTGAAGCTTCAAAATGTAAGTGTAAGAAAAGCTATGGATTATAATCAAAGACGCAAAAGTTCGGTAGTTGCCAAATTTACATCTCTTTAAAGTAGAATTGCATTGCAAGTTGCAAGGAAAATTGCACCGTGTAACAGGGCCTTAAGTGAATTAGTGAAAGTGGGTTTAGTATATATTACATTGTTCAATGTGGTGATTGTGGGACCCTTATCATTTTCGCCAAAATTGACGACTTTTTCAATATTTCAAAAACAAAATTTTTCAAAGCTGTAAATCTGTAAAAATCCCGATATTCCCTGTCCATAGTCATTCTCCCAAAAATAATTTTATGAAAAAAAAGAAAAGTGTATTTTTTTTCAGTCTCGAGAAAATCCATCCTGTCAAATTTTCGTGTAACAATTTAAAATAAATTAAGGTATTTGGTGATTGTGGGACCCTTACCATTTTAGCGAAAATGAACGACTTTTTTGATGTTCCGAAAACCAATCAAATATGCTAAAAAACTAAAGAGATTAGCGTTAGAAAACATTTAAAGCTATTTTTTAGAGAATTTTCAAAAGTTGTCAATTTTTGGTTAATTAATTTTAAAATTTGTTGGCGCAGGACCAAAAGAAAAATCGTAACTTCCAAAATTCGCTTCAAAATACCTCAAAATGGTTCAAAACTCAGTAAAATTACATTATTTTGTGAAAACAATACATTTAAACATATAAAATTATTCTTTGAAAAATTTCAAAATTTTATTAAAATCGGCAACGGGGGACCAAACTACTGAGAAAAATTAATTATTGTCGATTTTTCAAAATTTCAAAATTGGGTTCAAAATGGATGGAAATAGTTTAAAACTAAGTGGAATTATATTCTTCCGCAGAAATACATTTAAATACATACCTTGATTAACTTCATAATTTCAGGAAAATCTGTAACAGGGGACCAAAGGACTGAATCGTATTTTCCATCAATTTTTCGAAATTTCAAGATTCGCTTCAAAATGTTAAACTATGCTCTATCATATTCTTGATGATCGATATGAATGTAAATATCTTTAATTCTATAAATTCCATAGATATATATGTAAGCAAAGTTAACTCAACGAAAGACCAAATATGGCTATATAAATGTAAAGTGAAATGTTATACGTCCTAAACATATTACCATGTAACCTCTTATATATTGATGTAATCCTGTCCTGTAATATCAGAGTGAATAAACTGTCATACACTAAAGTTGTCGTGTAAAGTTGTACTTGGTTGAAGCAGTGGCAAATGGCTACGCCTCAAAACCTAACACAAAATACCTCGAAATTGTTTAAAACGAGCAAGATTACATTCTCTGAAGACAACAATATATTTGAACACATAAAATTATACTTTCATGAATTTCAAAACTGGTATAAAAATCGGTACCGGGGAAACAAAAGGAAGAAAAAACGTTTTGGTCAATTTTTCGAAATTTCTAAATTGGGTTCAAAATACCTCGAAATGGTTCAAAACTAAGTGGAATTATATTCTTTCGCGAAAAAAATGCATCTTAACACATAAAATCACACTTTGATGAAGTTAAAATTTCAGGAAGATCGGTAACGAGGGATCACGAACAAGGGAAAAGTGTCTTATTTTTCGTCAATTTTTAAAAATTTCAAGATTCGCTTCAAAATATCTTTAAAAATGGTTCAAGTCTCGGTGGGATTACATTTTTTTTACGGAAACAATGCATTTGAACACATAAAATCAAACTTTTATTTTTTTTAAATTTCAGGTAAATTGGTAACGGGGGACGAAAAGAAAAATTATAATTTCGTCATTTTTCGAAATTTCGGGGTCTTTTTCGTTCAAAGAACTATTTCCTTGAGAACTAAGTAGAATTGCATTCTTTCATGAAAAAATACATCTGAACTCTGAAGACATAAAATCATGATTTGATGAATCTCAAAATTTCAGCCAAGAAAACCGTCCTACCTTTCAGACTCTCTGGCGGTTGAGGCTCTTAACTCCGGTTGTCGTGTTATATCCGCGCCAAAAGTGCACACGAATATTGCTTCCCCGCGCAATTTGCAAGTCATATACATACAACAATATCGATTCGGTACGGAGAACTCAAACCAGTAAATGAGTTGAATGACTGTCTTTACAGTCTGTTAACATGAATGCATATATGAATATGGGCATATGTAATATTATATTACATATATACATATTACTCCACTGCCATACGTTGTTATATTGTTTTCAAAAATGAACAGACTAATAATGTTATCATAATTGTTATGTCACCGTATATAGGCAGGATGCCGCCAACATGAGCAAAAAATGATGAAAGGCAAAGATGCTCCATAATCCATTCATTGGATAATCTTTATACAATTTGCATGAAATCAAAGCCCTTTCACTCGAAGAGGAATAGATGAATTTGGAATGGCGAACATCGGTCACGTTCCTAATCGAGAAAGCCGCGTCACGGAACATGGGTGAATTGAAGAACAGCATATAGAGAGAATTTCTGTCACGATGTAGGTTTGTCTTTTTAGTTGTGTTCATACTATTTTTTTCCTGTTTTAGTTTCCCCCCTTGTGTGGGTTGTGAATGGCTTTCCTGTTATTCCGTTTGAGATGCCACTAGCCTTGCGTCTGCTATAGCTCAAACACACACTCGAAACGCAGGATGTATCGCCTTGCCGACCAAGAAAAGAATATGCCGGACATTAAGCGAACATTGACAATCTCAAATTTCCGTAAACTTAGTTTTCATATACAACCAACGGTCTGCGATGTATTGTATTGTGTATCAATATATCTTTTTGTTCAAAAGAATAAAGCACTTCGAGTAATCACGTTCGCCGGGTAACAAATGAGACCCAAGCTTTTGAGTATTGGGGGCACCAAACACAGTAGCCCACCAGTCACACTGGCCCACCGACCACAGAAGCCCCACCGACCACACGGAAGCCTACCAACCACAACAACCACTGACCACAGAAGCCCAGCAACCACAGTGGCCCACCGATTGATTAGCTGATCGTGGGTCTTAACCTCTTCACGTCTATAATATATACCATGCAATTTGTGCCAGGAATGATTTGACGCCGAATCCAATATCAAAAGTCTACTTTTTCCTCAAACCACTTTTTTTTCAAACCATATGGATTTTGTTGGGCGTGATTCATTCTCTTATAATATTTGGGTTTCCGTGCATGTCACGCCATCGACCTAAAACGTGGTCGTATCAACTTATTTAGGTCCATTAATGTCAACATCTCGCTCAAAGAAGACGTGAAATCTGTTCTCTACCCTGGAAAAGGTTTGTAATCTTATACCAAACTGTCAATTGTCATATGTTAATATACCATTCCAAAGCTAAGTATTTTACGAGAGAGACAGGGCAGTTTTACGCATATTCCAAATGAGCTAAATTCTCAGTGATAGGTCATCGAATTTAAACCACTTGATACCTTATAGTTCATGATTTTATGGTTGTCAGATTATTTGACACACTTAACAGAGTATCGCTTTATCACGAGTTCCGCGTGTTAAAGGACAGATTTTCATCTTATTGTAGTATAGAGCTTTTGCATTATAGACTATATTTTTTTTCATCTATGCAAGAAATTGCAATCAAATTACCACAGATGAAAAGAGCGTACTAAAATAAGTAATGAAAAGTTTTCGTTGCAAAATGTTGTAAAATATAGCCGTGGCCAGAAATCACGGACATATAATGGCCAGAAATCACGGACAAATAATTTGCATATTTGTTTAAATATCTTTTAATTGCTGCCCCAGTTGTATAAAAGATTAGTTAACTTTTAACTGTAGTTTAGGACAGAATTGGCCAATCAGAGTTGTGTATTTCTGAGTTAACTAGGATTTAACGTTGCAAAGTGTAAAGTAAAAGAGTTTTTATATTGGAGTATTAACTTGTTCTGCACTAGCAATCTAGGAAAATCATAACCAACCTACTTATAGTTTTTTTTGCGATTAAGTACTTGCACTACTTTTAGTATTGCACAGTTAATTACTATAAACTCGCGAGTTTATAATTACTATAAACTCACTATAAACCAAATATTGTTACCTTGCCTGAACGTGGTAACAATTTCCGTTTGTAGTAAAAAAGTATACAAAATTTTCCAACTTTGTAAGGCTATAGACTTCCTGCATTTCACAATATTTCGCAACCAAACATTACATTTCTAGTAATTCCCCGTACGCTCTTTTTTCTCATTTTCTTGCATAGAAAAGGCTATTGACGTGATCAACAGTCTGTCTTAATTTTACCGATTATAGAAATAGTCCGGTTACAAATTTGTCTCTACTCTTATCTTATAAGCATGACAGCATTCGCAGGCATCGCTGTGCATTTTTAACAAAGCTGGAGCATAGTAAACAGAGTACATAGGGTGTTCGCCTGCGAAAAGCCCACCACCTGCACTTAGCCAAATGTCTTCACTATTATCATTTTCAGGATCGAAAATGGAAACAACATTATTACAACATCCAGCATCACGTACGATTGTTGCATTAATTGGCATTACAGGAATTCTTTGTAATGGACTTGTTCTTTTGGTCTACTTCCGGCGAAGAAAGTCTTCCCAAAGAACTTCATTTGATATATTCATCATCAATTTAGCCGTTGCAGATTTCCTTGCCGGAATATTCATTTTCTCCAGCAGGTTTTTTTTCCAACCTCAGATTCCAGAAAACTACACAAGCGCAATGACTTATTGTTATTTATTATGGGGGGCATATCTCCTACACGGTTTGATGTATGTGTCCATTTACGCCTGTTTGGCCTTGACAATTGAACGTTGGCTGGCAATAATGAGGCCTCATTTCTACTGGAGAGTGAAACCTAAACACGCCATGGTTGCTATGATTTTTGTTTGGGTCTGGGCATTTCTTATTAACGCTACTATGTTCTTCAGCATCGATGCGAACTTCGATAAAAGATCTTGTTATTGGGTGGAGCCCAAAATAGAGAGAGCTTTTGTGGCATTTATTGATATCAGCATGCTTGGTTTCCTGCCTTTCATAATCATTATTCTTCTCTACTGCCAAGTTTACAACAGAATTCGCCAAGTGAGGAATTTTAGGGGACCTAAAGAATATTTAAGAAAAAGAAGAACAATCATTGCTTTGATTGCTTCGGTGTTCCTAACTGTTGCGTGGCTGCCCACTATAATCTATTTCAATGCAGCGAAAGAGAAACATCTTGATGGAAATCTTCATTCGGTCTTGAACATTTTATCGCTAAGCACTATCATTGTTAATCCAATACTCTATGGAATTTACAGCTCTAAGTTTAGGAATGAGTATAAACAAGTGTTTACTGATGTATTCCGTAAACTCTTGGAATGTGTGGGTGCATGTAAAGAGCAGGTTGATGCTGCATAAGCAGCGAACTACAGACATTTTGATCATTTAAAATGGTATTAAGTAAATAGTATAACTAGAAATAACAAAACATTACAAGACTTTAGCCTTTGTCGAATATATCCGCAATACTTAAGATACTTTAATGTTTTAGAAGACGTTAATTAGCTGAGGCGGACCGAAGGGAAAGGGGAACTTCTATCAAAGTTTGAATTGCTCAAATTGTTCAAAATACACAAGAATGATTTACAACTAAGTGAAATATCTTACCGCGCTTCATCATAACAGCACTTTTCAACTGATAAAATCATCTCCAAATAATCCAAAAGAGTTTCTAGAAGTTCTGCAAGTCCTCCAAAAACAACGCAAGAAATGTTCTATAAGTACGTGTAATAGAAGAAAATATGATTTTACATAACCCTGCATTAACTATGTATATTTATTTATTCAAGAGCCCGCAACCGGGCCGGGTAGAAGTATTTTGGCGCATTCATTTGCCCCCTTTCTATTTTGAGAACATCAAAATGTGTTTAGAACTATTACGCTGTCAATAATTGACGTGCATGATTACCACACGAGAAAGTGTCTTTTTCCATCAGTGTCCTTCTCTATTTATAAATATAGTTCCTCGCCCCTTAGATTCAAGGTATATTTACATCATTACATTTGTATCACTGTATGGGTTGCTTTCCACTGTCACGTTTTTTTACGGGCGGAGAAATATAAATGCTTTAACGGTGATTAATGGTCAACAAATGCATACTAAAATATGCGGAAAACTAAGTTCTTTCGATTTATTCTCCTAGCTTTCTCAAATATGACGTATATAAGGATTTTGACTTTTACGCGCGTGTACTTGCGTATGAAAACTGCAACAGTAGAAAGCAGCCCTGGGTAAGAATTCCCGTATATACAAATACAAGCTGTACAGCTATTTCTGCATTAAGTTAAGTTACTGCGTTAAGTGTCACTTGTCAATGACAATAGTAAAATGTTCAATGTGAGCACTAAAAGAATGATAGAATTCTAGAAATATTGAGTTTGACAGTTTATCCCATCAGTAACCTCGAGTGGAAATGCTTCTGTCATGATGCTAATGAAAGCCCGCCGAATTGCGTGCTTTTCCGCGAGGCAACTGATATGCTTATTATGACCTGTCAAAAATACATTTAAGCGACGGAATATCATGCTTTTATACGTATTGAAATTGGTAAGAATGCTATATAAAGAGGACAAAAGGAAAGTTCGTTTGAACTATTCCTGCCAGCCAATGTCCCTAATACAAGATTCACACTAGGGTTTCAATAAGTTCAAAAAGTTTTAATAAAACTTGCACAAGTACGATTCAGTGTTGGTCTAAGTGTCGCTAGTCTCTTCCGTAATCCCTTCCTCTTCATTTTTGCATTTTGGCAACATGCACAGAATATCATTGAGCACTCCTTTGTACTCATCTCTAAACTTTGAGCTGTACAGTCCATAGAGAACTGGGTTAATAAAACTATTACTCAGCGAGAGCATTATAAAGACCAAATGAGCAGCTCCTCCAAGATGTTTTCCACCAACGCTTGTATACCGCAACATGAAACTGATTTTGGTTGGCAACCATCCAACAATTAGAGCGATTGACGCAGCCAACGCGATGATCGTGAGTCTTCTTTTGAAATCTTCGTTGTTTTTTCTTAAATTTTTCATTCTACGAACTTTGTAGTAAATGTGGAGGTAGAGGAAGATGATAATTGCGAAAGGCAAGACGCTGGACATGCTGATTTCAACAAATGCGAAGAAAGCCCTTCCGGCTTTTGGGTCTAACCAGTAACATGCTCTTCGATCAAAGTCAGCCTTTACACTGAAGAACACTGTGGCGTTAATAAGAAAAGCCCAGGCCCAGACAAAAGTGATAGTAACCATGGCATGTTTGGCTTTAATTCTTCGATAGAAATGAGGCTTCACTATCGCCAACCAACGCTCGATCGTCAAAACCAAGCATGTGTATATGGACACATACCCACAACCGAATAAGAGAAAACCTCCCCATAATAGATAACAATACGTCATTGCGTTTGAGTAATTTTCTGGGATCGGAGGCTGAAAAACGAAGCGACCGAAGAGAATGAATATTCCAGCGAGGAAGTCTGAGACAGCCAAGTTGATGATGAATATATCGAAGGCCGTTTTTACTGATTTTTTTCGTCGTCGGAAGAAAACCCAGAGAACGAGTCCATTACCAAATATTGCTGCGATACCAATCAAGGCAATTATTGTACGTGAAGCCGGGTGTTGCGTAGGTGAAGCCATTTTTTGTTTTCTGAAAGTAGCAAAGGTGCATGTATTTTCAATACTTGAAGATCTAAACTTACAAAATTAATTTAGGCGAATAATTTATGTGCATAATGCAACACACCAACCCTTTAGGTTCTATGCATCATTGATTTGATTTGTGGCTTTATGTAACGTAAGATTAGAAAATAATGTACAGGTTAAATTCAAGGCTTTTTTCTATTAGCCACCAGAAAATTTTCCCTGTGTGCAAACTGATTCCGCGTAGTAAAACAGCCCTCAGTCATGAAGAACAAAGGCTATACCCATTGGACCCACTCTACGGTAAAAAGAACCTTTTGAATCACCGTATTTTTGGCAAGTCTATCTATCTGTATGGGGGTAAACAAATTTTTGATTTATAGTTTTAATATTATATCGGGGAAGACATAAAATTAAAAAAAAACTGCCTGACGAGATCTCGCCCGCGTTAGCCGCATTTCAATATTTATTCCTGGTTCCATTTAGGCGTCGTTAACTTGTCAAAATGGCTGAAGTGATATGGATATTTCTATGTGTGCAGTTAACACTGATGGCCGATTTGAATACAGAAATACAGACAAATTTCATCCGGACTATTTCTCATCGATGAAAATGACTGGTTCGCAACAGTTAAGACTAATGCCGAACATGCAGTGTTAATTTTGTATAGGGCAGTCAGGGATTTCAAAAACAAATTTTCGATTAGTGGCATTCAGAGGTAATTGATTTTGGTGAATAAAAACATTAATTTTGAAGACATTAATTATTAAAATGAATTAGCACGCCGGGTGTCGGCTGCATGTGAAATAATAAGTAATAGCATGCAAAGCTATAAATGATTCTTCAAATAATCAATCATCATTGATGAGTTCACGTCATGAACGTCGACAGTTGTCTTTATGAACCCTATACGCCTTAATTTTCTGGCACATGCATGCTAACAGAGAATCACCATTTTTTCAGGTTTATTTAAATTGTTAAAACTGATAGAGAAAAACCGTCAATCTTTTGCAAAAAGAAAGTTAACAGCTAAAGAGGTCTGGCATGCATGCATGGGTTCGGGATATATACCCGTGTTCATACATGCACGAGAGATGGCGAGACGTGATGAGCTCATTGCAAAACAAACTGCAATACTTCTAGTCTAGAGTATCTTTAGCTTTGCGAGAAATGTTGAAAACATCCTATACTTTTAATGCTTTTTAACTTTGTCGAGAGACTGATGACGCACGCAACTCTATAGACTATAGTCAATATACATTTCCGCTGTAACCGAACAATATTGACAAACTATTCGGAGTCAAACTTTGCCAAAATGAACTGAATGGGTATCCGTTTATATTTGAAATTATATATAGGTATATATATATATTAAAATCACTTACAATCGAAATTAGAACAATAGCATTATGTTATCTTAATGACGGGAGACTGCCCCCCCCCCCCCTCAAATTCCATGCAAGCACAGACAAATTTATTGAAATTGTTGAGCAAAACAGATTCTGATTGGCACGAAAATACCTAAAATCTCCTATATACGTGTTGCCGCAGTGCCTGCCAATATAACAGTAGTTTTATATAATAACAGTTGAAAGCTCTTGATCTCTTATTAAACCAACACCTTGCCCTTAAAATCACCATAGTATTTAATTATTACCTCGTCCTTGATGAACCTATGATAAATATACTCATAAATATATAAAATAAAAAAATTGGATGACTGATAATTGATCTCTCTCCAAATTCATTATAGTCAACCAAGTTATTTTGCCTATATGCACGCTGCATGCATGCGGATAGGTATATACTGATATAGATGAACTAACGTTTTCGATATACCTCAGGAATATGCGATGCATATATTTGCCTCCAGATGAGTAGTTCAGCAACAAATATTTTTGATGCATGTATATAATTAGCCATAATATATATGTATAATATATTTATTTTCGCTACATATGTTTAATATATATACGACTGCACTCACCGCTTATTAATTACACGTCTTTCTAGGGCTAGATCGCAACATTAATCAGGCAAACATAAGTTCCTATATGTATATACCTCTTGAAACCTTCATCGAGTGAAAAACAATATAATAAAGGTTGGGTTGTTTAAAGGGGTCTACTCGGATGTCGGGTTCAAACTTTACAAACAATATACTGACGCCTAATTTGGAAAATGTTATACATCTAAAGTAGCCAATATAACTTGCAACCGGTAGTAATCACAAGACTGACTTAACATGTTATCGAAAAATCTTTGTATAATAATATTATATAACAAACTTTGTTATTATGACTATAGTATATATCATTGATTAATTGGATTCAAAAAAGGGTTATCCTATACCAAAATGGAATATCAATAAAGCTGATACTCGCTAATAATATACACTCAAGTAACTCAACATTCAGTAACTAAGGTTATCGAAGGACAACGTGTGAGCCGTATTTTATTTTATAGAAAAAAAATTCGCCCGCCTTCAACAACAACAGGCTGTAGCAATATTGCATGTGTACATCCTGAATCAGGTGTGTATATATAAACAATGCTAATCATGCATGAGTGCTATACGCCGAGTAAACAGTTCTGGACAATATATATGTGACACAATATATAGGTGTAGCACAATATTGTTGCAGCTGTGCTGCGGCCGACTCGACGTTTTTCCATTTTATACGAAATTAAAATAATGTTATTATTCAGCAACAAGAAGCGAGAAAAGGACACTCTTCAACCTTCCTGAGGGTTTTGCGTGAAAAGTTTCGCACTACTTCACTCATTTCCGGCATTTTTTAATATGTATCTTAATCAAGTTATTTAAAATATTATATAATTTCAGTTTTGTGCGTGTAAACATTTCGTGCGTGTTTTGAAATTCTTACTGTCTTGGTTTACTTTTATTCTATTAACGCTCTAGGCTGGCCCTATTAAGCACTCTAGTCGTTTAAATCTGCTACAAATCACTATATATATATACTACTAATTATTTTACGGTCTTCGTAATAATCACTAGTCGACCGAGGTGTATATAGGAGGCTTGATTTTATGTGTTTTTCCTAAAGGCTACAATTAAAATATGTGCCATACATTTTACACACGTGCATGCATGGCATGTTAATGCATGCATCTTATATGCTACAATTATGACTATATATATACTGTGACAACTAAAAGCCCCTAGACTGTTTTAAATAAGCCTCTGTATGTATAAATGTATATGCAAGAGGGCAGAAGAAAAGAGGAAATACATTTATTGTATGATATTTACATAAACAATTTTTTATCCTGTAGCAACAAGTTTAGAACTGCCCATTTTAAGTTTTAGAACTGCCCATTTTCCAATTATAGAACTACCCATTTTGGAAGATAGGAGGCATTAGGATGATGCATGACCCCTGGTGTCTCTATATGGACTTGTATATGCATTCCATCATCATAATACCTTCCACAATAAAAAAACGGCAAAAATGTATATATATCGCGGTTACGTTTCGCTAAAACCTAAAAGTATAATATAGTACAGTCATGGCCAAGTCCGTACACATGCATATACAAATTTTATCATATTCTAATCCAAATTATTTGATCACGCAATTTTCCTTTTTTTCCTTCAAGAAATACACGACTTATATCAAACACTTCCGCAATTCTTGGCCGCATTCCGGGCCCGACAACCGCACGGCGGGCGCGACGTTTAAGAAGCCTATATATAAATTTACAGTGCCGTTAAGGAAATTACTTCTCATCTTTAAAGCCGATTTTGGATTGCGTAACGATGAATATGAAAAAAACAATTTAGCCTACATTAGGAATGAAGGCACAGCGACTTGATAGCAATCATTGATAGTGCGGTAATGACAATGCAAGTCGCGTTTCCCAGCGGATGTTTAATTGACTTTTGACTGAACACTCTAGCCCCATGTATAACGCATCATGCATGTATATAGATGCGTGAAAGTTCACTCAAGGAGTTATATGGATAATTAATATAATAAATACTATACCTTTGACGATAAAATAAAGCTGAAAACCTGTCTTAAAAAGTAAAATAAACACCGATGATCAGTTTTATACTGACGATTGATGATTGTAAAGTCTAAAAAAGTGATGGCATATATTAATGATATATGAATATAGGACTTCCTATTTTAAGTTCGTGTGTTTTTAAAATTTTATAAAGCTTTAGGGATCGATAAAACTGAACAATGTTCATACATGATATATATATATATATAGAGAGAGACTATAAATTGATGACTTATACGGTGTAGCTATATATAAAAGTATATATAATATATATGTTATAAGAATAACCTGGTATAACTTTTGATTTTTCATTAATCTTCAATTCATACATGATCAAAGTGAACATATAAGCGCGTTACCCACACAGAAATCGCATGGCCCTCCCGTTTCATAATTCCCTATAATTATAATCACTACAATGCCGATGGTTGAAGATTGCTTTTGTAATAGTTGTTTATTCAGCTTAAATTGCCTATAGCAAGGCTTGATTCTAATGAAAGAAACATATCAATACTGTAGTCAGATTTCCATTATATTTTTAAAACTGATAGATTACATTTAATAATAATCGATTAGAGAATCTATAACCACACACGTATATTACAAATTAGATGAATTAAATACCTGGCAAGATGGGTCCCTATATATAAGGCATGAAAATACGCACTGCCGTCATCAACACAAAACTTGTTTCTGACGCAAACTTAGCACAATATATTTACCCCGTTATCATGGCCGACAGCTGCACGCGAATACATAATAAATGACAGGTGATAAAATCGTTTTTAGCAAAGCCATAATGATTGTTTAGGATTGAAATTTTGAGAAAACACTTAAGAAAAGGCTGATTGTGAAATGATCTGGTTTTAAATGTCTTTCCATGTGTTGCTATATATTCCATAAAATGTAAAATGTACGTTATAGGTGACCCATTTTGTATTTTGCCAAAAAATTGGCTTAGTTAATGACCACGAGTTTGGAATCACCTTAAATAGAATATATTCCAAGTTTTAGTCTCACGACTTTGCGCAAACATCCTGTTTTGACGCGTGCACGAGAATTCTTTTCATGAGAGTAATTTTTTTTGTCTTATGTGCACGTGTGTTGTAAGACGTTTTAAAAATTTTTACTTGTTAATAGCCAAAACAGTGTCGATGTGACTTAATTGTATACGAAAGGTCTTTTCCATTGTTTTACGTGACGTGGATGCATCATATTAGTTACCAAACATATATTGGTATTGCGAAAATGCAATATCGCGAACATGGTCTATTGTCTGAGGTAACAATTATGCCAGCATAAGTTGACGCTAAGCTCTGCTTTATAGGATGTTAAAAACACTATCTCGGTAGTTAAGGTACGTATTATTAGAGTTACTATATGAATTTAAAACATTTTAGAAATTCTGGGGTCGCCTCTTAAATACATACACCTCCTGTTGCCGCAAACGAGGGCTTTTGGGTGAGGTCAATTTACCATGTAGAGGCAAAAAGCTATATAACTATTAAGAAATTATTCAGCCTAACAATTTGAGAGAAGGGTGTATATTTTTTGGACATTGAATATACCTATAGTCTGCACTGTTTGTGCGATAAAAGTAAAGTGAAGACTCTGCGTTAATCTGCATCTCTTAAATAAGTAGAACTACAATGCAAGTTGCAAGAAAAAATGCACCGTGTAACAAGGCCTTACTATTAAAACGTGACACCATAAAAATGATTGCTATAATTAGAATGCAGCCAGCTGCAAGTGCATGCATACGCTTTTTTAGAAAAATTTCCATAAATGAGAACGAAAACAGAAAAAAATGATTTACGAGTCTCCTGTCATTCATTCTTTAGCTCCTATTATCAGTTTCATTTTGTGATATAGGCAAGCTTGCAAGCCAGTGATCATCATAGAATTACGGACGATGTATTCGGTATGAATTTAAAAAGAGTTTCTTCCCACATTACAAGTTAAAAAATTTCATCCCACAATACCATCTCTATGAACGGAGGGGTCAGTAGATGCACAGAAAAGGTGTATACAGACAGGGTGAAAAGAAAACTGCAAAAAAACTGCGAACACGATAATTTGTATGCACGAGATCGTATATTACAAGTTGAATGGCTGCATGCGCAACTAATTACGTTTCCACGTGCAGTTCTATCAAAATAAGCACACAACAAAATGCTCAGAATAAGTCCGATTACGAATGGCTGAGTTAACACGCAACAGATTTACCAACGATTTTAGACGGAGGTTGAAGGCGCTGGAATAACGTTTGGAACACTCTTCATGACAAAACCCTGAACATACATAATTAGTCGCAACAGCCATCGAAACTCTAATGTATGATCTCGTGCATATATATATTTGCAGTTTTTCATACATCCTGTGTATATGGATAATATTATTCATTCATTTTAAAAGTTCTTTGTCTCTCTTTAAATCCCATGGATATACATGTAAACACAATGCCGAATACAATACCTTTTTGCAATGGGAATACAATGCACTTCAACCGGCAGTGAAGCCGCACGGTCTTTTTTTCTTGATCCGTTGTACTTTCCGAAATAATAAATATGTCTGTATTTGCAAACTTTCTTATTTAACAAAATCCTAATGACTTGAGTCTTGAAGTTCTTCTTCTTTCTTTAAAAGCTTCAGTGAACTTATACAATTGATGTAACCAGTCAATTTAATAATGTGTTCAAATTGTCTAAATATTTATATTGATATCTTCCGGACATTGTTTTGCTTGGAAGACGAGCGGCATTACAGCAAATTTAAAACTGAACAAATTAAAGAGACGTAAGACGACATTGAAGTCAAAAACAAGTCACGAACATGTCAGTGGCTATACGTATATATCTCACGTCAAATTGCTGTGTCACAGTTATTACAGTAGTCTTATATCACTAACAGGAACGTATAATCATGCCAGCCTCACATGAACTTTAAAGTAAATTGGAAATTCATATACTGTACAAAATGTACGATTGTCATTTAAAATCGATATCGACATGAGAAACGTATTTTAATTTTTCTAATCCTCTTATTTATTTAACATTATTTCGCCTCGCTGGCTTGTTTGATGTTGAAAATTAATAAACACAAAAGATAATTACTTTTTCTATGCATGAAAATAGAACGTAGCTATAGATTAAGAAATGGCAAAAGTGTGGTTTGTTTGAATTACCATGCACACTTTATATTGATGTATAAAAAGTTATATAGTTTGTCGATGTCTAACATCGTTCTATTAAGAATTTTATTTATGACAAAAATGTGGTTTGTTTAAGTTTCTAAGCACACTTTATAAAAGATTATTGATATAAGAAGTTGTATAGTTTGTTGATATTTTACATAATCTATTTCACTCTTTCTTTAAATGAGTATAGAACATGGTGTATTATTTTAGGGACGCAGACTAAGGATACTTTGGATATTGATTATGTTCATGCAAAGACAAAGGGCCTCCGCTTTTTCCATATAAAACTAGAAGAATTAACGAATGAAAACTCGTGCAGCTAAGCATCGGACTGATGATACAAAGACTGGGGTTATTTCTCTAATGCTATATCTGATCCACGCGAAACACCGCAAAATATTAATCGTGAGACTGTGAGAATTATTGTGAGATTAATAAGTGACAAATGTTAATTATGAGTTATTCAGTTATACAAGAGATAATTAATGCTTCTCAGTTCCAAGGTTGCCATAAAAAGCAAATATTAATTAAGTTTTGCGCTGAATTTGAAAAATTGCTATTCAAAACTTTTCGTGACCATTTTTAGTAATTTTTCAAGAATTTTTAGCGAGTGACTATAGTGACTATTGCAAAGATGCCTGATCGAACGGCATTTGAAGATTAACACGAGACTAAAAGAATAACTTTTACGTTAGATATACTCATATATACAGACGTTTTCTAACACCGGAAGGATGCGCAGGCGAAGGGGGCAGATTTTATTGAAGGGACACTTCAGCCTGTAGCAGCGCATAACAAAGAATGTTTGCAAAATGTTTGAACAAAATGTTGATTGAACTTTTCGTCATGTTTTCCCGATAATTTCGGTGTCTGGGAGATTTTCACCCGACGATTGTGCTATTCTTAAAGCTCAATGCATGGTTGTACTTCTACTCAAGATATAGAATGTCTAATCCTAATGTAATGAAAAGACATCCGTTCGCCCTCCTTGCCCTTGCTACAAGGCTAAGGGGCAGCTCCGGCGTCTTTGGTTTTCTATTACACTACATATTGTCATGATATATATAGGGATATGGACCCATGCAGTGCACTTTTGTAGGGGCATACAGTCAGCCGATGACCACAAGGTGAAGTTCAGAAATATGCAAGCACCAGGGATGTAAGGGATGTTAAAATATATGTTTGTGGTTAGAGTTATTTTTAGATTCCTCGAAGAAAAACCTCATGCACCTGTCGCATGCAGTGCATGGGGGATGCTATGCAGTGCATGGGGGATGCTATAGTAAAAATAATTACCGTAGCAGACTACCGTATTGTTAGATTACCTTAGATATAGAAGGACCTTGATATCCACGCTGTTGGCACACTGTTGCATCCACAGTGTTGCTTCCGATTCAAAAGGCGAATATTTTCGAATTAAAATCTATCGATTTCAAAATGTTTATAACCAAATGTGAACTGTTACTATTTATTTGGACTAACGCTAAATCCACCCCACTGCATGGCTCGCCTAAGAGCTTGGCAAAGTTTGGCCCCAAAATTTGGCCTCAATATCTCAAAATCAACTTCTGCTTCGTTAATCTCGGCTGAGCGGGATCAAATAAACAGCGCCGCTTATGCCGCTTATGTGCACATGGTAACGTTTACGAGCGTTTTCACATTCGTTTTCATACCAAAACTGTTTCAAACATCGTCAATTTAAAATAGAAGTATAGTAGCTGATTTAATTAACATATTAAGCATATTTTTCCTTGGATCGTGTGGACAGGGCGTCTAAACAATAAAATAGACAAAAAATAATGATTTTGAAAACGCTAGAAAACTGACGACACTCGTGTGCATGCACATATAGCCTTAAACTGAGGCTGCGTTCACACGGGACCGGATTCGTCCGGTCTCCTTTAGCATGCAGTTCGAAATTCATCCGGATTGGCGGATCCGTGTGCCACAGCCTGAATATTTCTCAAAATGCATGAACAACGCGACTTTGAAAGAGTGCATTTCAGGAGCCAGTTGTTCGAAAGGCGTTTTGCTTAAACGGTGGTAAGTTAAAAATGGAAAACCAAATTATCTATTTATTGAACAACTGAGCTGAAATATTTCGATGTAATTGTCAATGGAAGTACATTTGAAAGTATGTGTATTTTAAAAAATTGTGCCATCGTGCATGTTAATTTACCTTAACATTATAAGATCATGCAGTCAATGATCACTTTATTACACGCGGAAGCCAAACAATAAGGCTATATATACATATATATATATATATATATATATATATATATATATATATATATATATATATATATATATATAATACCAATTAATACAGACTCGTCGGAGAGGATTTGCCGGGAACCCGACGCGATTTTTCCGAATTTGTTTTCGAATATACTTGATTGCTCAACGACAGTAAACTTCGACTTGTCTCGTGTATGTGCCCAGGCCCCAGCTTGGGCAAAAATTTCTTGGGCAAAGATCGAACGTGTTGCCGACTGATCGCGCTCGGCCGGATTGCTTGGACCTTGAAAATGTTAACTGTCGGTCAAACTCGAAGTGTGGATGAACCCCCCAATCATGTGGGATGAAGTCGATACACATATATGAACAAATAAGTTTAGTCGCTTCCCATGCATGCACTCAGTTGATATTAAACACTATAAGCATTCTAAACCAATTCGACAAATTAAAAAATATATATATTACCTTTATAGAAAGCGTCCTTATTTACTGCAGATGTTTATGTGTGTTTTAAGACCACCAATGCGTCAAATATTGAAGAATAACAGGGAATATAACTAAGAATGATCAATGACTAATTTTTTTTCAATAAAACCCGTTTGCTTATTGGCGCATCTTGTATTTTTGCGAATTGTGGCGTATTTAAATCAACATTTTTTAACAAATATTTGAATTATTTAATTTGAATATTTCATGATCTAAAACGTATATTAGACTTTGTAATTAGACGTACATAGACATCTGAGCCATCAGCATGATACGTGACTGTGCATCAATTTATCACAGTGTGATTTTATCAATTCTAACATGATTTCTTAAATGTATTTATTCTTTTGGAGATATTCAATCTCTTTTGTTGTAACTTGTACTAAGTACTCTAATATATATACTCCCCCCCCCCGGCTACCTGGAAGCTTCTCAGGAAGCTTTAGCTAGAAATTCTGGCCATGATTTCATTAATCGCGAAATCTTTGCTTGTCGTCAAGAAACAACGCGATTTTAGTATTAGCATGCAATTACTTATTGGTTTGACAAATTTGGTATATTTAATATTTAGGTCTCTGCATGACATTCAGAATCTTCAGCTTTAAATATCTTATATGCGCATAATCGGCGCCCGTTAATCCTAATATCTGTAGATAACGTCTACTACATGCTTTGCACTAACTGATTGCATGGAGACAGCTTGATACAGCTTGTATACCAAAGGAAAAGATAGAATTAACACCTTTCTAGACAGTTCGTCTGGAATGGATGGATGCATCATGCATGCATATCACTGGTATCAGCAGTTTCCTAATATTCAGACGAATAATGTAGCTACTTTAAAGTTCGTCCAAAAGTCAAAAGGAAATATAACATTTTTAAAGCACCTCATAAATATATTGAAACAAGTGAAGTATATATACAGTGTACCTTTTGTGACGGACAAAATTTTGGGATTTTCAGGATTTTCAGACTGATTCAGGAATTAGCAGGAAATTTTTTTTATATCCGTAATATTTCTTGCTTTTAAAAGTAGTCCATTCATCCAAGCCGGTATATTATATATTTCCCACAAAACTCCAACTGACAGCCAGTGACGGAGGAAAGATTGCAAGGTATAAGTCAGAATTAGAGTTGTGATATTGAAATTCAACGAGAATTGAAATTGATATTGAAATTTTAACGTCGAAAGTATATAGTTATATAATCAACCATGTCACTTCGCGGACACCCGCTATTATGGACTTCCCGTTTATAACCACCGGCCAAACCCACGGGGAGCCCATTTCTAATCCTTAATTTTAGTTCAGGCTCCTGTGGTTTCCCTCATGCAAAGCTTGAGCTACGCGGGGTTTTGAATAATATTTAATCTAATGAAAGAAACTGAAACAGAATAGGTTTACCTGAACTTCCTGGGCTGGAAGAAACATTATATGGCAAGCGTCACTTCCGGTGAAATGGAGCTCAGTGACTGGCTGAGAAAAATTTTGAGCGGTTCATCACTTTCCCGTAATGGCCGGTACTTTCCCGCAATGGACCGGCGTTAGCGGCGATCCATTACGAGATGAAAAACAAAGAAATTCGGAATGAAAAGGCACAAATGAATGCTCAAGAGAAAATTTAATTGCTTTTGAAATTAATAAGACGTCTCCAAAGAGTTTAGATCAAGTAAATAATTCAATATTTGGTTTTTGCTCTTGTCAAATGCGTGACAGGCAACTAAGCGAATTCATGCATTTCTTGTTTTTTTTCAAGTGCAAATAGATGCCTTATGCCATATAATAAACTTTTTATTAACCTCGCTTGCTCGGTCTTTACAGAGAAATATCGGACCTCGATATCAGCTTCGTTTCAGTACGCAACATTCGTGGCTTGGCACAGACCGCGCGGCTATGAAAGTGGCACCCGGCCCTGCATGCGTATTTCAAATTCTAAGCACGGATAAAATAGGTATACGGGTACCCATTTCAGTCATATATATAGAAGGAACTAATTATTGCATCACATGGCTAGTGTTAGTGTTGGAAGTAATGATTAGTCCATGCATGCAGTATAGCAGAGATGAGAATTACCCCTGCATGCATGTTGTTCAAATATACCACTCTTGCTGTCAATTTGTCACGTTAAGAAGAAAGATGAAGTCTTCGCTTGGATATGGTGGAAACATATGGGTGGAAAGAAGAGCCTTGGAGAATGAAGAGTTTATATGATAGGGCATCGTACGAATGTGGCCGTAATCCGAGACATAAGGAGAATTAAGGGAGAGAAATCATGACGCAGCTGAGTCGGAAATGAAGTCCGCTGGCCATTAATTGGCAACTGATCGGTTGATGGAAAAAGTCGATGATCCGAAGTTCGCGGTTACCATGCAGCATCGATCGTTATTTTTTTTATACAAAGGAGAACATTATAATTTAACAATTACGTAGTATTTTGTTGTTCGTATTTCTTATAATTATAGATTAGATATAATCATCTATCGATCTTAAAGTGAAGGGGTGGAAATCTTTTCTATTTTATTATTGACATTTGACAAAATATTCGCCGAAGAGGAGGTGATAATTCCCAAATAATCACCGAGCCTAAGGCGAATAATTGTTTTAGTATTTTTGCAGAAGTGGATTGACAGAGGAACAGCATTTGTTCGCTTATCTCTTTGAAACGTCTACAAAACGGCTATAGTCGCCATTTTTAAATTTCGGTTTTACTATATTCTCCTGAAGTTAAGCGCGGCATGATATTAAATTTCACCAAAAATACTAAAATAAAATACAGGAGTTGAATATTTATCTTAGGTAGTTCACTTGCTTCTGGGTAAAAACTATGTTAACAACTATTCAATGTTCATAATCAGTTGTGTTTCAAGCTATCGATGTGGCGAGTGAGGGATATATAGGGCGAGGAATTGGAAAGCAATTGAATGAATGTTATAAACTCGCGTCAGTTCCTTCAATAGTCTCACACGTTCTTATAAAGGCTGTACTTTATTCCGCAGGTGATACATTCTTTATATTTCCTCGTCCAGAATAGCGAATTACCCAACGAAAAACTGCTATAAATTCTGCACGACATCTTGAGCTAAAAACCCCATACAAAACTGGATTTACAACAGAATTGACTAAAGTCATCATGATAAAAATACAATATAATGTCGATTCCCGATGCAAATCATTTATCAAACCAATCAAGTCCAGCGAGTAACTGATTTGGGTCGGAAGCCAACCGACGATGAGGAATAATGATGCTACAAGAGAAATCACTGTGAGCCTTTTCTTCAATCCAGTTCCAGCTGCTCCTCTCAAAAATAATGGCATTCGATTGATTTTGTGAAAAATATGCGTATACAACGAAGTTATGACGATAGATGGTATAAGACATGTAAGGAGAATTTGGAGAAATGGCAAAACTTTTCCCCCAATTCTCAACCCTACAAATTTGCACTTTTTATTTTTAACATCTGCGTCCGTTGTCAGAAATGCGGGTGCATCTAAGAAGAAGCCCCAAATCCATATAAATATAACAGCAATCAAGATTTGCCTTTTTTTGAAAAGGCGATACGCTTGAGGCCTTACGACGGCCATCCACCGTTCAATGGTTAGCAAAAGACAAGTGTAGACTGAAATATATCCCAACGCGAATAATATGTATCCTCCCCACAGGAGAGTGCAATACAAGTAAGCGTCTGTGTAATCTCGAGGCATCGTGGGCAAATAAAGAAATCGACTGAAGACGAGAAAGACCGCGGAGAGAGCATCAGCCACCGCCAAATTGAGGATCAAAATATCGAACGGTCTTTTGAGATAAACCTTTCTGTTCTTGACTATAACCCAAATTACAAGAGAATTCCAAAGGAGCGCTGCTGCAGAAATCGTTGAAAATAAAAAACGAGCTATCCAACTTTCAATGAAAGAAGCCATTTTGTCATCGACATTAATACGGTGCACTTGTGATTGAAATATTTTTTTTACGAAATTAGTCCGCCTTTTCGCCTATAATTGTGTAAACAATAATGTTTATTGTAGGAAGCGTGAGATTTTGAGATATATTGCTTTTTACATATATTTGCATCTGCGCTTCCCTTTTTGATGATATTATACAGCTAGAATATTACTTATATATCATACTAATAATATCGGATTATATAAATAAGTTATATGTATGCGCTTAGAAAAAGCTCTATATATGCATGCAGACCCAGTATTATTAATTTTTAAGAGCTTTTCGTGACCAATTTTAATCAATTTTATTGCCGTAAGTCATTGCAAATACTGTTCCAGTAAACTATTTTGACAGGTACACACCGGTTTGCAATTAAAATTAATAGCGTATAAATATTGCTTTTTATTACACGTATAGTTAAATTCTTGTTTTAAAGCTGCGGCAATATATACCACATTCTCACTGGATGCATGGCCACTCAATCTTTCCCATTATTAGTTGATCATGAGCAATTCTTATATTGGGAAATAAAAAGGAGTTGACTATTTTATAGACCAATCAAATTTTGAATTTGTTCCATTTGTTTCAATTGAGTCATCGACCTGATTGGTGAATTAGGAGCAAGTCCGTAAATCAACAGACATGCAGATGTAAGCAAATTATTTTTCGAAACATGCGTTTCTATATTGCTGCGACTGCATGTAAATTCAATTTAAATCAGGTTATTCTGGAAATTGCATATCGGGTCAGCTCTGGCTCTCTTTTGCTGGCCCGCTTGATGTTTTCATATACGAGCCGTTAAAGGCGAGATCTCGCTTCGTTCAGGTGGGATCTCGCCAGAACCGGGCTGGCCCGGTTCATATGAAGAGTGAAATATAATAATATGTGAGGAGAGATCCCGGGACATGTCGCAGTGCTCGGAAGCTTTCGTCCAATTGGATAATGCTTTTCAATGCTTTCTAAAGAACGAAGCTATGCTATTGGTTGAAACAGAAATGTATTGTAATGTTCAGCCAATGAAAATCATTCTTGCGAGCAGCTGCGACCCTACCCGAGATCCCGGCACTGACGAGTTAGCCCGCCCTGTCTCATGCATATATGAACGCCTTACTCCAGTTTTGCACCGCTGTGGACTGACAGAACTACTTCATGGCTATTCTGAAAAATTCTATCGTTTAGCTATGCAGCATAGTATAGTGACATATTTTTGTATCATAACATAAAATAGTCTGCTTACTCTTATTCTGTATTCATATTGAATAACTTAATGTATTCATATTAAATAACATAATGTATTCATATTGAATAACATAATGTATTCATATTAAATAACATAATGTATTCATATTGAATAACTTATAATTTGATCCTTGATTTTACAACAGCGCATTTATGCAAATCATATAGCCACACAAGTATCGCGATGTGAATATATATAGCTATATATTGACTGAAGAAGATTTCAAGTTTGAAAATTAGGTTTATAATTGAAATAATGAATATCATGCCCACAATGAGAAATTCTGAATTTGACATACTACTTTCAAACATATACTTGCAGATTCGTTTACGGAGGTAAAAAGTTGTCAGCGATTAAGTGTGAATTAGTTTCCTTAGACTCAGTGACAGTGCAAAAAATTAAATGGTATGATACATGCATGTTATTATATACGTTTTTCGGTTTGTGTCTCGTTTTCATTTAATGGTAATTCTTCGACATTCTTCGACCCCATTTCAAGGACAGCTTCCATACTTTCACGAGTAGGTTTGCTAATAGTCTCCGGCAAAAATTTGAAGCATGTAAACCCAGCGGTAACGCAAAGGGCAACGACAATAGCGTAAGGTAACAAATGGTGGATACGAATCTGGAAAAATGTTATAAATCATAAATGCTATTATTTCACTTCAAGGAAAAAAGAGCGGTATATATGCTACATGCTTGCGTGTAATAATATGCATAGAAACATGCAAATTACATTGACACAGCGCATGCAGAGTTGAACTGACCGCATTGAACCGACCTGTTATGCTGATGCATGGTATTTTCGTGTCTACATTTTCGAGACAGGGCCGGCTGATCAAACATTTTCGCTGACTGGTGCGATATTTTGAACTATATATTGTAGCACCTTTAGGGGTCCACATTCCGGTGTATATTCGCCCATACAAAGGCGAATATTATATACCTTATTCCGGTATATTCGACCTTTATACCAAAGTCGAACTATCGAATATACCAAATTACAGTACATTCGACTTTACCAAGATCAAAATTCCAGTACATTCGACCTTATATCAAGATCGAAGATACCATGCATATTCCGGTACATCAGACCTTACAAAGATCAAAGATACCATATTCCTGCACATTCGGCCTTTATATACGAACGTCGAATATACCAAATTTCAGTACATGTTGAAATAAATTTGATGAAGTTATTTGAAGACGCGCTGCAACGCTGTTTTCGATCTTTTGAAGTGATACATGCACTTACCAGCCAAACAACATACAGTGCTAAAAATGAACCGATCCTTGCGCAAGCTGACGACGTTCCCAAGCCAATGGAGCTGTATGGATAGCAATAGAATACAGAATTACGAATATGAAATATATGAATAAGGAATAAATTTAGAAATTAAAAGTCTCTCTTACCGCACAGAAGTGGGAAATAGCTCCGAACTAATAATATAAGCGGTGTTGAAAGAGACGTCATTGGCATATTTGCACACCATGGCCATTATTATGCGTCCCGCTGTATAGCCTGAGAAAAAAAGGAAGAAAGAAATGGACAGAGATTTTTCAAACCCAGACACTGACTTTATTGAAGCAAAACGTCACACATGTGTTGTAAGGATACAACAAGGCTGCTTGAAGACAAGCAAAATATCACAATACAAAAACCTTAGGTTTTTAAAGATTTTAAACCTGCTATTTTCTTCACGATTCAAAACGAACAGAATTAGAAATATAAAAATATTGCTGAACTGAAATACTATATGAAAGACTGTTTAAATTTACCTTTATGTTGGCGGTTGCTTGGTATTGAGACAGCAATAACTGATGCGACAGCTGAGATTACCATTCCTCCAACAATAGCCTTTCGACGACCAAATCTTATAAATTCATTGATGCAACAATTATTTACGCATGGTGATATATTGATATACAGTGGATTATTTTTTGCTAATAAATATTTCTAAACTATGGTTTTCAGCAGGGGCGTAGGAACCGGGGGTGGGTACAGTGGGCACCTGGCTCCCCAAAATTTTTCAAGGGACCAAAAGTGCTTTTTTTTATGAAAAATGCCTTTCTGGAGAAGATAATCTAGGTGTAAATACTATTTTAAAATCTAAGGTGCTCTTTGTGTTTTACTCACACGTGCCAAATGTTTTGTAGAACATAAATATAGGCCCCACTAGTGGTGTCCTTGCAGCTTTGGTAATCAAACCATCCCTATATATAGTATACATATTTTAGCTGCCCTTTTTAATAACCAAAACGGTGCCCCTAAAAGCTGGTGCCCCCAATCTCTGGATGCTTCCTACGCCCTGGTTTTCAGTTTTGTTTGTTGTTAATATCGTTGTTTATGTCTTCAATGGTCAACAATACGACAGGGTGTGTATATAGGAAACAATTACACACTGTTCTTACTTACTTGTTCATGCATACGATGGATGTAAATGTTGAGGGAACAGTAGCCAAGCTAACCAGGAAGAAATTTAGGTATATATTTCCTCCGAGATAAATGGCCCCATAGCTTACAACATAGTAAACTAGAGCACAGACAAACCTGACATAAGAAGAGAAAGTAGTTTGATAAACGAAGCAAGTCTTACAACGGGATAAAATTTCATCTGGTTTGAAAGGATGAAATTAGTAGAAATTTAGACTGCACCTTAAAAAAATCATATTGTGATTTAAAAATTAAAAATTAAAGTTATGATTTGCCATACCAAGTAATCCAGCTAGCAATAGTAACTTTCGCAACATTTTTGTCGTAAAACAAATCTCTGACATCCGTTTTTTCATGTACAACTCGCTTTGGTTCTTCCAGTTCAACTTTTGGCATCGGTTTGCCGTTCCAGCGTCCTACTTTTTCTAACTGTTTCACCGCTTCGTCGTGACGATTGTTCACCAACAGATAACGACATGATTCAGGAAGAAACCTGAAAGAAATTGCTGACTATAACCACAGCAATGAAAAGGCTGCACTATAACAGAATTAAAACCGGGTTGGGTCGGTGGATTTCGTGTATTTACATGCAGTAATGCACTGGCGGTCAAAAAGAACTGCTCAAATGTTGCTATTATCGTATATAACAGGAATCGTAACAATCAATCTTTTATTGTACACTAGCGGTCAAAAAGAACTGTTCAGATACAAATTCATAAAAAAGAAGCGAATATAGGAGAGAGCTTCATAGGCATTTTGGATAATTCTCTTATTCCAAGCAATATTTCAATAATGTAATGCAACCTGCCACACTTCCAAGATATAGTCAAACAATGGTTTCAGGAAGAGGGAGTGACAGAAATGGATTGGACTGCACAGTCAAAAGGCCTTAACCCTATTGAACTGACATCTGTGGGACAATGTGAAAGATATAGTGCAAGAAAGGAATTAATTCATAAAGCGTCCATGATTTATACGTTGCTGTAAAGACTGTCCATAGGATGAATTTCTTTTGACCATTAAGATTACCACCTTATCAGAAAGTATGCCACGCCGGTGTAAGGCCGTCATCAATTATAAGGCCAAAGAAGGGTCAGCAAAATATTAATATTTCATATAGCTTAGCATGTAATCTAATCTATATTTACTCGTATATATTGTTAGAGGGACATGCAGTTACGTTCATTTGAGAGCATTTTAACTTGTTTGGAGCAGTTCTTTTTGACCGCTAGTGTATAATAAAGCCTTAAAGAACATGCGCGCAGTGAGATCTCATTCAGTTAGTTAGATTTCAAATAAGCTCTCATACTATATAGAGATTTTTTTACGTTTCTCCACTATATATGACTGAAATAAAACAGAAATTATTTCTGCAGAATAAATGTTTGGAAACCAAATGAACGGTAACGTGACTTAATTAAGTACGTACCACGTCGACATTAAGACTAGGACAGATACACACGCACCATATAACATCAAGTATCTCCACTCTCGTATCAAATACGCCAACAATGACAGAAACATGAAACATACTGAACCAAAATACCAGATGTTCGTTCCTGCCCATGACCGATGTTTTACACCACTGTATTCAACAAGGAGAACAAAACTTGTCATCGATGCCCCAGCTATATAAAAACGATAACATTTTATTACAAAAGGACTAAGCCGTGCACATTTCAAATTTCCTGTGCTTGATTCTTACAAAACTGGCCGCGCCTATATAGTCGTAGATGATCGAAATCAGCGCGCAAAGTAAAAACAAAATTCATATAGTTTCAAAACAATTTATATTGTATATAGTGCCTCAATCTATATTGCATTTATGATGATCCTAACTTTTTGGTACAAAAGACTTCTAAAAGTTCTTTATAGGAAAATACTTGATGGATTTAAGTACTACAATCAAGGCTCAGGGACCGCGGAGCATTTCTCGTATTGCTGGGGCTCGGAACCGCGCCTGCTAGGAAGGTCCGGGAAAATTTTGAAATATACATAGGCCTCTGAAATGGCCGCAAATGCCTCTCAATTTAAGGATTGTTGGGAAATAGTAGATACTTTGTAAAATTTCCAGCACGTTTGGCGTTCATATACAAACATTAAACAATATAACCATGCTTTGGTTATGTTGTCACATATTTTGATATGGATAACCACGCCGTTTTAATGCGGGTCAAATGTTTGTCCTATGTAAAGTTGCAAGCATGCTTCGTGCTCATGTACAAACATTAAACAATATAACATGCATGCTTTGGTTATGATGTAAAATATTTTGATATGGGTAACTGCACGCTGCTTTAATGGTCAAATGCTTGTTCTATGTAACTTGAATTTCCAGCATGTTTCGCGCTCATACACAAACATTAAACAATACAAACAGCCAAAGCGGCTCCTCTTGCAAGTTGTAGTTGTTGGCTTCTCGCTGTATAGTTGTTGGCTTCTCGCATGGCTTACGCGGAAGGATTAAATTATGAGAGGAACCACGCTGTTTTAATGGTCAAATGCTTGTCCTTTGTAAAGTTTTCAGCGTGTTTGGCGCTCATATACAAACATTAAACAATATAACCATGCCTTGGTCATGATGTCAAATATTTTGATGTGGATAAACACGCAGATTAAATGGTCTAATTCTGGTGGTATGTAAAGTTTCAAGCATGTTTGGTGCTCATATACAAACATCTATATAAAGTTGCAACTTGAAAGCATCGAATATGGCCAGAAAACGGTATACTCCACCGTGGTGGAATGTACCATTCGACCATAGTCGAATACACCCTCGTCCCCAGGGCCTACAGCTCTCCAGAGCAACGGCACTAGGCCCTGGGGACGAGGATGGATCGAATATGGCCGGAAAACGGTACATTCGACCGTGGTCGAATATATCGGAAAATATAACCATGCTTTAGTTATGATATCAAATATTTTGGCATGGATAACCACGTCTCTCTTTTTTTTTGGCCAAACATGTTCTGAACATAACTAATTTCAATCCATTTATAAACATGGCCGATTTATTACGACAGATATCGTTGGAATTTATAGAATACTCATTTTTTTGAATTGGTTATTAAAATATACGCTGAAGAAGTAAAAGTTACGATAGTATTCAAGATAGAATACACTGTATATACTTGAATATTGCTTGTAAATTTGAGCAAACTAAAAAATACTCGAAATTAAAGACTATTATTACGGAAAAATTATTGGTGGGGCTAATTGGCTAAAGCCCAGCGAGCCACCCTGCTCCGCGGTCCCTGGCTCTACTTAATTTTGTCAGGATTTATTAAATCTGGGTTGACATTGGCGAACGTTCTACTTACTGTTGGATTAATTTTAGACCTACATATGATAGCATTCAACGATCCAATTTGAAATCTCTGTCAAATTGTGCTCCATGCAATGAATGCTTTAGCAGATATAGAGGCCGGTTTTATATGTCTACTCTCAGTATTTTTAATATGTAATTATAATGATTTATCATTCTTACAGACTGAAATTTTAACACACTTCGATGTTAAATTACTCTTTTTGCTTACCACAGCTAACCCCGGTGAGAATGCGACAAATAATGTATACGGAAAGATATCTGGGCCAAACTATCACCCAGGAGACAACTGAGGTGGCGAATACACCAAGTAAAATTGCTTTTCTTCTTCCTATTTTATCAGCGATATGACCAAATACCAAATTGCCGATCAACCATCCAAGCCAGAAGAGAGAAGATGAGACGTTCTGCAGAATACTTTTGTCGCACACCAATTCAAACTGCAATATATATGACAGAAAACGATAAATATTGCACCGGTATTGAGATACAAGATTTCAAGTATATTATAACTAATATAAGTGCCACTTCAAACGTGGACCGCGGAGCGTAGGTAGAAAAGCCTGGCTTGCGAGGTTGTTGATAAACTAGGCACTTAACTGAATCAAGTTCACTGTCGCCAATTCTATGAAAATATATTACCCATGCAAATAAGCCCCGTTTACACTACAGTCAATTTATTGGCACGGCAGGTAATAAAAACGGCACGACACTAAAATTGGCACCCCTTACCCAGATTAATTAGTGTTTAGGCTACCATGAGTCATGGTAAAGGCCGAGCGCTGATTAAATTAGTTCGGGTCCACAGCATATTTCAGCAGCCTTATAGCCTTCGACGGTTCCGACCACGTACCGCTGAACAAGGGTACAGGTGAAAATCTCGAGTACATTTACATTTTCTCAACTATCGCACACAGCAGCAACTCTCGACAGTCGTATACGTTTCTCGACTGACAATAACGATTCTCGACAGTCGTTTACACTTTCCTCGACGATAGTATACATTTCTCATATATTGCATGCAGTTCTCGTTTATCGCGTACACATCTCGACCTACTTTTGTCCAGTGGCGTAGCCAGCCTGACGATTTAGTCATGCTATGCAAATTTTATGTTCTTACATTATTCATTTCTTTAGAAATTCATTGTTTTCACAGTCAATGATCACCGAAATATTAGCATTGCATGACTAAATTGTCGGGCTGGCTACGCCTTTTTGTACAGTTTGGCAATTGGCATAATACTTTATTATGCCATAATATTTCGTATTCCGCCATCTTGGTTTTAAATTTTTCGCAGAGCTAGCGTTCCAGTCTTATTTCAGTTCATTGTATATAAGTCACCTATAATTTTTACTCATGAAGTTAATTGAAATTAATTTAAAGTTAATTCAACTTAAAAGAGCTAGTAAAAAATTTATTTTTTTAAATTTATTATGATTTGTTTCATATTAGTAAATAAATGAAGTCCTTATGCACTAAATATACAGAATGGTGCTGCATGAACGACGAACTTTATACAAACCTCGGTAACAGTAGAGGTGAAGGTATCAGAGAATTTCCATTCTGATCTGGGCATATCGCATCTTGCATTGTAATCATCACTGGTGGTATCGACGATTCCGGTTATATTACACACAGTGCTATTTGAAACACATTCCCAAGTTGGTTCTCCAGCGATAAATGTAATGATCATAACATTGAAAGAAGATAAACCAAAGTCAATGAAACCAACCAACATCAACATGAGGATTTGATACTTGCCATATCCTCCTATTTGACTTAAAACTTCGTCCACGGACACTGTCATAGCAAGCGTTTCTTGATCAATTTATTGCTTTCCTATAACAATTAACAATACCCACCCAAAGTACTTTTACATAAACACTTTGAAAATTTGCATATGATTTATGATCTTCTCTTTCTTCTGACGGAATCTTGACAATAATTGGGGGGAGGGGGTACACATTTATATATTCATGTTTTGCAAGATTGATTTCTTTTCAAATCCATTGTCTTTACAGATCTGTTAACATGAATATGTGAATATGTGCCCCTACCAATTATCGTCTCCCGCACGCCACAGGTGGCCGAGTCATCATTGAAGAAGAATCTATGCATTCACCGACAACGGTTGTGCCAGTGGGCTCACTCACTTGCTGGACGACGCTATTGCAAACAAAGAAATACTTCGCGCGAGGCAAAAGCTACCAGCACAAATTGAACTTCAGCTATACCACTGACCTACACTAGAAAAATAGGTCAGTGCCTATCACGGCTTCTTTGACGATATCAGCGAAATTTAGCAAACACGACGTGACGCATAGTAAGAAGCCCTGAACACGGTGTGGCGCGTAATCACAATCATAGATGGACATTCATGCCATATCGATATCCATTTCGCGACGTCTTAGGTGTCGCGTGTTTGCTAAATTTCTCTATAAAAGCTGCATGCTACAACATGGGAGTTGTTTTCGCGCAGGAACAGGGAAATCGACAAGAGTTTCTTAGGACAACTGAAACATTTGTGTGCATGTTGTTAAAACATGCTTTTATTGCATGTATGATACTTGTTAAAACACATATAATTATATATTATTCATCAGGGTTGGTAGATAGCTGCATATTTGAGACCAAACAACATCACACTAGTTCTTTGTTTCCTTTGTCTTTGCCTTTTGTTTTCTTTGTTTTCTTGATAGCACTAATGACAATTTGGCGTCAAATATTTGCATATCTACCAACTCTGTTATTCATGCTTATACAGGGTGAGTCAGAAAAAAGTCCCCTATATTGAAATCAAGCCTTTGAATCTGATTGCCTTAATATTATGATAAACCCAATTGAAAGCAAGACGCTTTATTTGAATGCCTCAACCTAATAACTATGCTATTTACACACTACTGCGTTGATCATGCATTCAAATCAACAAAGGCTTCATTTCAATAGGGGGGACTTTTTTTTGACTCACCCTGTAGAGAAAGCTGGTGGTAAAAATGCATATATCAGATGAACACTGGAAAAAGCAAACTTTAACTTCAACCGCCTTACGTTAAGTTACTCTATACTGCGTTCTTTTTCGTCTCTAATGATATTTCCTGTTTGGCAGCTTCCACCGGTTTCATCTCAAGGACAGCTTCCATGCTTTCAGGTGTTGGTTTGTTTAGAGTTTCTGGCAAAAACCTGAAGCATATCAATCCAATGATAACACACAATACAACAACGATTGTGTAAGGCAACAAAGCATGGATGCGAATCTGTAAACATAAAAAGCAATTGCAGATTAATTTGCTTCGTGAAACGTAATTCTCGTGAACATATCAAGTTAATTGTATAATGTCTTAATGATGCAAAGGATAGTGCTACGTTAGTGTAGTCAATGAAAGACAATTTAAATACAAGAAATAAAGGCAAATTTCCACCAGCATTATTTCACATCGGTAAAAATTACTTCTTCACAACAGTTATGACTAAATGCCACAGACCACCGCATGTCTTAAACGTTGGTTTACAATTACAACAGCTCTTTGCTTATTGCGCTGCATGGACGAACCAACGCCTTTCAAATTATGCGTATCCAATATTTAGTTACAGTAACATTCTGGGGCCAGTTGTATAAAAGATTAGTTAACTTATAACTGTAATCGAGGACCATGAATTGGTCGAGAATTGGCTAATCCTGCAGAGTCGTGTATTCAACTATGCAAAATGTAGTTAAAGAATTTTTTTATACCACCAGCCCCTGATCAAAATATCACCAGAAAACATACCAGCCAAACAACATAAAGTGCTAAAAATGAACCAATCCTAGCACAAGCTGACGATGTTCCCAATCCAATCGAGCTGACAAAAAAAAATGGAAAACTCAATGAAAGTGACCATACAGGGGGATTTACACTCAATTTATCGCCGTTCCATGTCAATATATATTAGCCGTTCCATGTCAATATATTAGGTGTAGTTAAGTGTAGTGTAAACAAGGCTTAACTCTCATACTACTCTCATAGACCGCGCTAATCAAATGGGAATTTGGTAAAAGGTTAAAAAACTAAGTTTTACCGCACTGAAGTTGGAAATAACTCAGAACTGAGGATATAAACAGTGTTGAATGAAACAAGAAATGCATATTTGCATGCCATTGCCATTATTATCCGCCCAACTGTATAACCTAGAAAAAGAGAGTCATATATTGGTCAATATAAACTTACAGTTGAGAGGAAAAAGTAAATTCAAGCTGCATTGCATACCTGTATTAGATCGGTCAATTGGTATTGACACAGAAATAATGGATGCCACAGCTGAGATAAACATTCCGGCAACGAGAGATTTTCGTGAACCAAATGCATAATATAGATATCAGTTTGATAGAGTCGGTTTGTTTCGCATTTCTTGGATTGCAGTGTTTTTAACAGTTGTTCAGTGCCGGTATACCACGAAAAACGTGACTGCAAACATAGTCTACAAACCTCGGTAACAGTAGAGGTGAAGGTATCAGAGAATTTCCATTCTGATCTTGGCATATCACATCTTGCATTGTAATCATCACTGGTGGTATCGACCTTTCCGGTTATATTACACACAGTGCTATTTGAAACACATTCCCAAGTTGGTTCTCCAGCGATAAATGTAATGATCATAACATTGAAAGAAGATAAACCAAACTCAATGAAACCAACCAACTGCAACATGAGGATTTGGTACTTGCCATATCCTCCTATTTGACTTAAAATTTCGTCCACAGTCACCGCCGCCATGACACAAAAAAAGTAGAAGCATATGTCGGTACTTGTGTTATTAATTGAATAAAACCCGACACCATATCAACCACATCCAGTAATTCCAGTTTGAAATTACAAACACATGCAACACACTCTGACGACGGGTGGGTACAAGATGGCTGAAAACACTGGATCATTGTTTGATATTCATTAAAATAATATTTAAAAAACAATGGCAAGAGCCGTAAAGAGCGACACGAATTACACTGGTGCCCTAGCCCTATACGAGATGTACTGAGCTTATTGTCGCAAAAACCTATACTGAATCTTCTACCATTTGTGTCGATACATTTTTAAATTATTAGATAAGCCAATTACTAAACTCCCTTTTTCTTCTGGAAGAATTAAATACAAATTCAATGGACGACTTGCGCTTTGGACTAATTTTTGATCGAAGTTACTAAAAGAAAATAAATCATCACAGCTAGAAAAATCTGCGTCTTCAAACAACTTAGCATCAAGTGTGGTATAACAACTGCCTAAAATAGACAAAACACTTCTCGACGTTTCGACCTGAGGGCCTTCGTCAGGAGAGTTAGTTAATCAACACAAATATCAACATATGCCTTTTAACTCTCCTGACGAAGGCCCTCAAGGTCGAGAAGTGTTTTGTCTATTTTAGGCAGTTGTTATACCACATTTGATGCTAACTTACTTAAATTAGTGCAAATGCGAAGTTTTGCTGCGATATTTTGTAAGATACGGAAAATATAGCCATGCGAAGTTGGCAAATTTTTAATTTTGTATACTTTTGTATTACGTGCGGAAATGTGTAACTAAATTAACTACAAACTTCCGGCCGTACTACAAAAGTATACAAAATCAGTCGTTAACTTCGCATCGCTGTATTTTCCCTAATTTACAACAATTCGCAGCCAAACTTGGCAGTTGACTAAATTTAGTAAGTTCTTTCAGAAAATGTACTTTTTATCGCCGAGGTAAGAAATTAGTCAAAGTGCAAGTCGTCCATTAAATTTTGTATTAAGATAAGCCAATTATTTGAAAAAAATTATTTCAAGAGTTACTTGAAAAACTATCCCCTAACTTCCCTTTTTTGATACACTCTGCATGTCCTTTTACAAATCTTTCAAAAGTCAGGATTTTCCATGTCCCACGTTCCATTTTCCTTGTTTAGTCACCGTTGGGCGCGGGATTAGGCTACTTTGCGCATTAAATAGCGACGGAGTTACACTGATTGAACTTGCTAAACTTTTTGTCGACAGCACTGACCTGTTCCTAAGCATAATTTCGCCGTTTCTACTGATGGTATCATCGTGATAATTTGGGTCAAGCAAATGGCCGGGGTGGCCTGGAGCCCAGACAGCAGCCACACAAAACATGAGGAAGAATAACTGAACAGAATTGGAAATCATTCCAGAATTGGAAATCATTCCAGTCTCAACTAGTCCAAACATTTTCCGTAGTTGCGGTAATATGAAAGTGCCAAGGATTCCAGTCAAGGCACCAGCGCCTGTTAAGATACCTAATGCCAAAGCACTCACATGCTGTGAATACGCATAAGCTGTGGTAATACTATCGAAGCCCAATACGGTGCACTTGTGATTGAAATATTTTTTTTACGAAATTAGTCAGCCTTTTCGCCTATAATTGTGTAAACAACAATGTTTATTGTAGGAAGCGTGAGATTTTGAGATATATTGCTTTTTATATATATTTGCATCGAGTGCGCTTTCCTTTTTGATGATATTATAGCTAGAATATTACTTATATATCATACTAATAATATCGGATTATATAAATAAGATGTATGTATGCGCTTAGAAAAGAACTCTATATATGCATGCAGATCCAGTATTATTAATTTTTAAGAGCTTTTCGTGACCAATTTTAATCAATTTAGTCATTACAAATACTTCCAGTAAACTATTTTGACAGGTACACACCGGTTTGCAATTAGAATTAATAGCGTATAAATATTGCTTCTTATTACACGTATAGTTAAATTCTTGTTTTAAAGCTACGACAATATATACCACATTCTCACTGCATGCATGGCCACTTAATCTTTCCCATTATTAGTTGACCATAAGCAATTCTTATATTGGGAAATAAAAAGGAGTTGACTATTTTATAGACCAATCAAATTTTGAATTTGTTCCATTTGTTTCAATTGAGTCATCGACCTGATTGGTGAATAAGAAGCAAGTCCGTAAATCAACAGACAAATGTAAGCAAATTATTTTTCAGTCGGAACATGCGTTTCTATATTGCTGCGACTGTATAAATTCAGTTTTAAATCAGGTTATTCGGGAAATTGCATATCGGGTCAGCTCTGGCTCGCTTTTGCTGGTCTGCTTGATGTTTTCATGTGTCGTTATTAAAGGCGAGATCTCGCTATGTTCAGGCGGGATCTCGCCAGAACCGGGCTGGCCCGGCTCATGTGAAGAGTGAAATAATATGTGAGGCGAGATCCCGGCACTGACGAGTTAGCCCGCCCTGTCTCATGCATGCATATATGAACGCCTTACTCCAGTTTTGCACTGTGGACTGATGGACTTGCTTCATGGCTATCCTGAAAAATTCGATCGTTTAGCTATGCAGCATAGTATGGTAGTGACATATTTTTGTATCATAACATAAAATAGTCTGCTTATTCTCATTCTGTATTCGTATTAAATAACATAATGTACTCATATTGAATAACTTATAATTTGATCCTTGATTTTACAACAGTGCATGCATGCATGCAAATCATATAGCCACACAACAACTATCGCGATGGGAATATATATAGCTATACATTGACTGAAGAAGATTTCAAGTTTGAAAATTAAGTTTATAATTGAAATAATGAATATCATGCCCACAATGAAAAATTCTGAATTTGACATATTACTTTCAAACATACTTGCAGATTCGTTTACGGTGGTAGAAGGTTGTCAGCGATTATGTGTGAATTAGTTTCCTCAGACTCAGTGCAAAAATAATATGATGCATGCATGTTATTATATACGTTGTTCGGTTTGTGTCTCGTTTTCATTTAATGGTAATTCTTCGACATTCTTCGTCCCCATTTCAAGGACAGCTTCCATACTTTCACGAGTAGGTTTGCTAACAGTCTCCGGCAAAAATTTGAAGCATATAAACCCAGTGACAACGCAAAGGACAACGATAATAGCGTAAGGTAACAAATGGTGGATACGAATCTGGAAAAATTTTATAAATCATAAATGCTATTATTTCACTTCAAGGAAAAAAAAAGCGGTATATATGCTACATGCTTGCGTGTAAAATATGCATATATAGAAACATGCAAATTACATTGACAGAGCGCATGCAAAGTTGAATTTTGTGCACCGCATTGAACCGACCTGCTGCTGATGCATGGTATTTTTGTGTCTGCATTTTCGAGACAGGGCCGGCTGATCAAACATTTTCGCTGACTGGTGCGATATTGTGAACTATATATTTTAGCACCTTTAGGGGTCCACATTCCGGTAGCGATATTCGACCATACAAAGGTCGAATATTATACCTTGTTCCGGGTATATTCGACCTTTATACTAAAGTCGAACTGTCGAATATACCAAATTCCAGTACATTCGACTTTACCAAGATCAAAATTCTAGTACATTCGACCTTATACCAAGATCGAAGATATCATGCATGTTCCGGTACATCAGACCTTACAAAAATCAAAGATACCATATTCCTGCACATTCGGCCGAAAGTCGAATACTGCACCAAATTCCAGTACATGTTGAAATAAAAGTGGAATGCAAAAATACGAGAGAAAGAAAATGAATACGTAGGGTCGAACTCGTGCAATATTTCAATAGCAAAGCCTCATATAAACCTTTATCAGGAGAGTATGTCATATATAGATACTCTCCCTGCAATTAACGCAAAACGTTTAGACGTTTTTTGTCCATTATACGCATGCAGTTAAATGTCATACCGCGTTTGATGAAGTGATTTGAAGACGCTGCAATGCTGTTTTAGATCTGACCCTGGTTATTTTTGATATACGAAGTATACATGCATGCACTTACCAGCCAAACAACATACAGTGCTAAAAATGAGCCGATTCTTGCGCAAGCTGACGACGTTCCCAAGCCAATGGAGCTGTATGGGTAGCAATAAAATATAGAATTACGAATATGAAATATATGAATAAGGAATAAAATTAGGCCCCTCTTACCGCACAGAAGTGGGAAATAGCTCCGAACTAATAATATAAACGGCGTTGAAAGAGACGAGAATGGCATATTTGCACACCATGGCCATTATTATGCGTCCCGCTGTATAGCCTGAGAAAAAAAGGAAAAAAGAAATGCACAATGATTTTTCAAACCCAGACACTGACTTTATCGAAGCAAAACGTCACACATGTGTTGTAAGGATACAACAAGGCGGCCTAGCTGAAGACAAGCAAAATATTACAATACAAAAACCTTAGGTTTTTAAAGATTTTACTGAACCTGCTATTTTCTTCACGATTCAAAACGTACAGAAGTATAAAAATATTACTAAACTGAAATACTATATGAAAGACTGTTTAAATTTACCTTTATGTTGGCGGTTGCTTGGTATTGAGACAGCAATAACTGATGCGACAGCTGAGATTACCATTCCTCCGGCAATAGCCTTTCGACGACCAAATCTTATAAATTCATTGATGCAACAATTATTTACGCATGGTGATATATTGATGTACAGTGGATTATTTTTTGCTAATAAATATTTCTAAACTATGGTTTTCAGCAGGAACGTGGGAACCGGGGGTGGGTACAGTGGGGTACCTGGCTCCCCAAAATTTTTCAAGGGACCAAAAGTGCTTTTTTTGCGATGAAAAATGCCTTTTTGGAGAAGGTAGACTAGCTGTAAGTACTATTCTAAAATCTAAGGTGCTATTTGTGTTTTACTCACACGTGCCCAAATGCTTTTGTAGAGCATAAATATAAACCCTACTAGTGGTGTGCTTGCAGCTTTGGCAATCAAACCATCCCTATACTAAGTATACATATTTTAGCTGCCCTTTTTATTAACAAAAAGTGCCCCCCCTCAATCTCTGGATATTTCCTACGCCCTGGTTTTTAGTTGTGTTTGTTGTTAATATCGTTGTTTATGTTTTCATGATCAATGGTCAACAACACGACAGGGTGTGTATATATGAAACAATTACACACTGTTCTTACTTACTTGTTCATGCATACGATGGATGTAAATGTTGAGGGAACAGTAGCCAAGCTAACAAGGAAGAAATTTAGGTATATATTTCCTCCGAGATAAATGGCCCCATAGCTTATAACATAGTAAACTAGAGCACAGCAAAACCTGACAAAAGAAGAGAAAGTAGTTTGTTAAACGAAGCAAGTCTTACAACGGGATAAAATTTCATTTGGTTTGAAAGGATGAATTTAGTAGAAATTTCGAGTGCACCTTTAAAAAAATCAGCTCAGACGTACTACGTCAAATTATTGTGATTTAAAAATTAAAAATCAAAGTTATGATTTGCCATACCAAGTAATCCAGCTAGCAATAGTAACTTTTGCAACATTTTTGTCGTAAAACAAATCTCTGACATCCGTTTTTTCATGTACAACTTGCTTTGGTTTTTCTAGTTCAACTTTTGGCATCGGTTTGCCGTTCCGGCGTGCTACTTTTTCTAACTGTTTCACCGCTTCGTCGTGACGATTGTTCACCAACAGATAACGACATGATTCAGGAAGAAACCTGGGAGAAATTGCTGACTATAAACACAACAATGAAAAGGCTGTACTATAACAGAATTTAAAACCACGTGACTTATGTATACCTACCACGTCGACATTACCACAGGGACAGATACACACGCACCATATAACATCAAGTATCTCCACTCTCGTATCAAATACGCCAACAATGACAGAAACATGAAACATGCTGAACCAAAATACCAGATGTTCGTTCCTGCCCATGACCGATGTTTTACACCGCTGTATTCAACAAGGAGAACAAAACTTATCATCGATGCCCCAGCTATAAAACGATAACATTTAACAAAATTCATATAGTTTCAAAACAATCTATATTGTATATAATGCCTCAATCTATATTGCATTTATGATGGTCCTAACTTTTAGGTACGAAAGACTTCTAAAAGTTCTTTATCATTTTTCTTCATCAAATCAAGGCTCTACTCAAAGTTTTTAGGATTTATTAAATCTGGGTTGACATTGACGAACGTTCAACTCACTGTTGGATTAATTTTAGGCCTAGATATGATAGCATTCAACGATCCAATTTGAAATCTCTGTCAAATTGTGCCCCATGCAATGAATGCTTAAACAGATATAGAGGCCGGTTTTATATGTCTACTCTCAGTATTTTTAATATGTAATTATAATGATTTATCATTTTTACAGACTGAAATTTTAACATACTTCGATGTTAAATTACTCAATTTTGCTTACCACAGCTAACCCCGGTGAGAATGCGACAAATAATGTATACGGAAAGATATCTGGGCCAAACTATCACCCAAGAGACAACTGAGGTGGCGAATACACCAAGTAAAATTGCTTTTCTTCTTCCTATTTTATCAGCGATATGACCGAATACCAAATTGCCGATCAACCATCCAAGCCAGAAGAGAGAAGATGAGACGTTCTGCAGAATACTTTTGCTGCATACCAATTCAAACTGCAATATATATGACAGAAAACGATAAATATTGCACAGGTATTGGGGTACAAGATTACAAGTATAATATTATAAGTATTATAAGTGCCACAAAAGTGGAACGCGGAGCATAGGTGGAAACGCCTGGCTTGCAAGGTTGTTAATAAACTAGGCACTTAAATGAATCACGTTCACTGTCGCCAATTCTATGAAAATATGTTACTCATGCAAGGAAGCCCCGTTTACACTACAGTCAATTTATTTGCACGGCAGGCATGCACTAAAATTGGTACCCGTGCCCAGATTAATTAGTGTTTAGGCTACCATGAGTCATAGTAAAGGCCGAGCGCTGATTAAATTAGTTCGGGTCCAGAGCATATTTCAGCAGCCTTAGCCTTCGACGGTTCCGACCACGTACCGCTGACCAAAGGTACAGATGAAAATCTCGAGTACATTTACATTTTCTCAACTATCGCATGCACATGTACAGCAGCAACTCCCGACAATCGTATACGTTTCACGACTGACAATAACGATTCTCGACAGTCGTTTACACTTTCCTCGTCTATAGCATACATTCCTCATATATTGCATGCAGTTCTGGTTTATCGCGTACACATCTCGACCTACTTTTGTCCAGTTTGGCTTGCCATAATAAAGGCTTCGTATTCCGCCATCTTGGTTTTAAATTATTCGCAGAGCTAGCGTTCCAGCCTTATTTCAGTTCATTGTATATAAGTCACTTATAATTTTTACTCATGCATGAAGTTAATTGTAATTAATTTAAAGTTAATTCAACTTAAAAGAGCTAGTGAAGAATTTAAATTTTTAAATTTATTATGATTTGTTTCATATTAGTAAATAAATGAAGTCCTTATGCACTAAATATGCAAAATGGCGCTGCATGAACGACGAACTTTATACAAACCTCGGTAACAGTAGAGGTGAAGGTATCAGAGAATTTCCATTCTGATCTTGGCATATCACATCTTGCATTGTAATCATCACTGGTGGTATCGACCATTCCGGTTATATTACACACAGTGCTATTTGAAACACATTCCCAAGTTGGTTCTCCAGCGATAAATGTAATGATCATAACATTGAAAGAAGATATACCAAACTCAATGAAACCAACCAATTGCAACATGAGGATTTGATACTTGCCATATCCTCCTATTTCGCTTAAAACTTCGTCCACGGACACTGTCATAGCAAACGTTTCTGGATCAATTTATTGCCTTCTTAAAACAATACCCACTCAAAGCACTTCTACATAAACACTTTGATTATTTGCATATCATTTATGATCTTCTCTGTCTTCCGACGGAAGACAATAGTTGGAGGGAGGGGGTACATATTCATATATTCAGGTTGTGTAAGATTGATTTCTTCTCAAATCCATTGTCTTTACAGATCTGTTAACATGAATATATGAATATGTGCCCCCACCAATTATCGTCTCCCGTACGCCACTGATGGCCGAGTCATCATTGAAGAAGAATCTATGCATTCACCAACAACGGTTGTACCAGCGGGCTCACTCACTTGCTGGACGACGCTATTGCAAACAAAGAAATGTTTCGCACGAGGCAAAAGCTACCAGCACAAATTGAGCTTCAGCTATACCACTGACCTATACTAGAAAAATAGATGAGTGGCTATCACGGCTTCTTTGACGATATCAGCGAAATTTAGCAAACACGACGTGACGCTAGTAAGAAGCCCTGAAAATGGTGTGGCGTAATCACAATCATAGATGGACATTCATGCCATATCGATATCCATTTCGCGACGTCTTAAGTGTCACGTGACTCACGTCGTGTTTGCTAAATTTTTCTATATAAAAGCTGCATGCTACAACATGGGAGTTGTTTTCGCGCAGGAACAGCGAAATCGGCCAGAGTACTAGTTTCTCAGGACAACTAAAACATTTGTGTGCATGATTGTTAAAACATGCTTGTATGCTACTTGCTAAAACATATATAATTATAAACATATATTATTCATGCTTATAGAGAAAGCTGGTGGTAAAAATACACATGTCAGACAAACACTGGGAAAAGCAAACTTTAACTTCAACCGCCTTACGTTAAGTTACTCTACTGCGTTCTTTTTCGTCTCTAATGATATTTCCTGTTCGGCAGCTTCCACCGGTTTCATCTCAAGGACAGCTTCCATGCTTTCAGGTGTTGGTTTGTTTAGAGTTTCTGGCAAAAATCTGAAGCATATCAATCCAGTGATAACACACAATACAACAACGATTGTGTAAGGCAACAAAGCATGGATACGAATCTGTAAACATAAAAAGCAATTGCGTATTAATTTGCTTCGTGAAACGCAATTCTCGTGAACATATCGAGTTGGTATCATGTCTTAATGATGCAAAGGATAGTGCTACGTTGGTGTAGTCAATGAAAGACAATTTAAATACAAGAAATAAAGGCAAATTTCCACCCGCATTATTTCACATCGGTAAAAATTACTTCTTCACAACAGTTATGACTAAATGCCACAGACCACCGCATGTCTTAATTAACGCCTTTCAAATTATGCGTATCCAATATTTAGTTACAGTTACATTCTGGGGCCAGTTGTATAAAAGATTAGTTAACTTATAACTGTAGTTCAGGAGCATGAATTGGTCGAAAATTGGCTAATCCTGCAGAGTCGTGTATTCAACTATGCAAAATGTAGTTAAAGAATTTTTTTATACCACCGGCCCCTGATCAAAATATCACCAGAAAACATACCAGCCAAACAACATAAAGTGCTAAAAATGAACCAATCCTAGCACAAGCTGACGATGTTCCCAATCCAATCGAGCTGACAAAAAAATGGAAAACTCAATGAAAGTGATCATACAGGGGGATTTCCACTCACTTTATCAGCAAGACGAATTAATGGTACCAATTTTAGCCGTTCCATGTCAATATATTAAGTGTGTGCACACTACTCTCATAGACCGCACTAATCAAATGGGAATTTGGTAAAAGGTTAAAAAACTAAGTTTTACCGCACTGAAGTTGGAAATAACTCAGAACTGAGGATATAAACAGTGTTGAATGAAACAAGAATTGCATATTTGCATGCCATTGCCATTATTATCCGCCCAACTGTATAACCTAGAAAAAGAGAGTCATATATTGGTCAATATAAACTTACAGTTGAGAGGAAAAAGTAAATTCAAGCTGCATTGCATACCTGTATTAGATCGGTCAATTGGTATTGACACAGAAATAATGGATGCCACAGCTGAGATAAACATTCCGGCAACAAGAGATTTTCGTCGCCCAAATCTGTTGTGAAACGTGACTTGCAATTATTACTGACAAGTTACAATATGCAGCTATAAGTAAGATTAAAATTTAAGGCGATGCTTGAAAACTCACTGATGAAAACTCACTTGTTCATGCAGATAATGGCAGTGAAAGTTGAAGGAACAGTCGCGAGGCTGACAAGGAAAAAGTTCAAATAGATATTCCCTCCCAGATATATTGCTCCATAACTTACAGCATAGTAAACCAGCGCACAGCAAAACCTGTAGATAAATGAAATTTTGCGGCATAAATGTATAAGAAGCACAATCAACCCTTAATCTCAAGGAAATAAGTCCTGCATGCATGCAGGGGCCTACCTGCAAAACCCCGAGAAGGACCAGCGACCAGTTTCGGCAATTTTTTTGCAAATTTCTCAAATACGTTTATGTGCAAAAACGTACGACATCCATTTTCATATCCTGCTTTAAGGCCGGTAGAAAGGTAAAACTACATTCTCCGCACACGCTTACACAGGCTTGTATCCTACTTCAACCGTATTGTAGCGAAACATAGCGAAACCATTGTTTTTTCGGTACTCAGAGAGTCAGAGTGATTGGCTAGGATAACGAACTAAAAACAAAGAGATTCGCTACGTTTCACTGCGATACCGAGGGAAAAGAGGGAAAACCGGCCATACAGTGTAGCTAGGGCAAGTTCGGATAATACAGTAATTTTGCAAAGGAAAGAACTTGTGAAGAATAAATTTTCTACGATCCTGGCATGAATGGTATAATCGTAAGAAAATATTCACCAGGAAATCCAACTAGCAATGGTAATCTTGGCAACATTCTTGTCGTAAAATAGATCTCTCACATCAGACTTTTCTGCGACGATTTCTTTTGGCACCTCCAATTCAACCTTTGGCATTGGTTTGCCGTTCCATTTTGCTACTTTTGTTAACTGATGGACTGCTTCGTCGTGGCGTTTATTAACGAGCAGATAGCGACATGATTCAGGAAGAAACCTAGAGGAAAAAAGCGTTGAGAAACATGACTACATGACTAACTCATAGTAACTCTCCTGACGAAGGCCCTCGATCGAAACGTCGAGAAGTGTTTTGTCTAATTTAGGCAGTTGTTATACCACATTTGATGGTAAGTTGTTTGAAGACGCTGCCACGCTGCTCCCTGGTTATATTGGAACTTTGCTAAATACATAGAACAATTTGCCATTTTGGGTTGGAATGTGCGTTAAAAGTCTAAAATTTCTTTGCTGACGTAACAGCCATTAGCTATTCGTAACATTATTATACGTAACGAGACTTACCACGTCGATATTACCACAGGGACAGATACACACGCACCATATAACATCAAGTATCTCCACTCTCGTATCAAATACGCCAACAATGACAGAAACATGAAACATGCTGAACCAAAATACCAGATGTTCGTTCCTGCCCATGACCGATGTTTTACACCACTGTATTCAACAAGGAGAACAAAACTTGTCATCGATGCCCCAGCTATAAAAAGTTGAAAGAATTAACTATTACTCTATGAAATGAAAGAAGCAATTACTACTTTGCATACTCATTAGCTGCTGACAACGCGGGTAGAAATATGCAAATTCACTGAACGGTATCAAATTTCATCCGCCATCAGCCGCTACCAATACACTGAAGACGGAGCACGGATGAAATATATGAAATTGGTTCGGGTACTCATTTCAGCCGTGCCAATAATTTGAAGTGTAGCACCTAAGCAAGTTTTTAGTTCTAAATCTTTATGGTTATGCCCGTTTCACTTCCATTCGTATCAGTTTTATGCCCGTTTCACTTCCATTCGTATAAATTTCTTGCATGCTGATCACGTACCCGACCAGGGAATAAACACAAGCGCTTACCACAGCTAACCCCGGTGAGAATGCGACAAATAATGTATACGGAAAGATATCTGGGCCAAACTATCACCCAGGAGATGACTGAGGTGGCGAATACACCAAGTAAAATTGCTTTTCTTCTTCCTATTTTGTCAGCGATATGACCGAATACTAAATTGCCGATCAACCATCCAAGCCAGAAGAGAGAAGATGAGACGTTCTGCAAAATACTTTTGTCGCACACCAACTCAAACTGCATAAAAAAAATCGTCGTTATTCCATCAACTACAAAAGTATTGATACATGCCTAATATTTCTATGTTCGTGAACGAAATGCATAATATAGATATTAGTTTAACTGATAGAGTCGGTTTTGTCTCGCATTTCTTGGAAAGGTTGCATTGCAGTGTTTTTAACTGTTGTTCAGTGCCGGTATACCACGGAAAACGTGACTGCAAACATAGTCTACAAACCTCGGTAACAGTAGAGGTGAAGGTATCAGAGAATTTCCATTCTGATCTTGGCATATCACATCTTGCATTGTAATCATCACTGGTGGTATCGACCATTCCGGTTATATTACACACAGTGCTATTTGAAACACATTCCCAAGTTGGTTCTCCAGCGATAAATGTAATGATCATAACATTAAAAGAAGATATACCAAACTCAATGAAACCAACCAACTGCAACATGAGGATTTGATACTTGCCATATCCTCCTATTTGACTTAAAATTTCGTCCACAGTCACCGCCGCCATGACACAAAAAAAAGTAGAAGCATATGTCGAAATTGTGTTATTAATTGAATAAAACCCGACACCATATCAACCACATCCAGTTTGAAATTACAAACACATGCAACACATTCTGACGACGGGTGGGTACAAGATGGCTGAAAACACTGGATCATTGTTTGATATTCAACCTTTATTTTCTCAAAATAATATTTAAAAAATAATGGCAAGAGCGACATGAATTACACTGGTGCCCTAGCCCTATATACGTGATGTACTGAGCTGATTGTCGCAAAAGCCTATACTGCATCTCAGTACCATTTGTGCTGATACATTTTTAAATAGATAAGCCAATTACTAAACTCCCTTTTTCTCCTGGAAGAATTAAATACAAATTCAATCAGGACGACTTGCGCTTTAGACTAATTTTTGATCGAAGTTACTAAAAGAAAATAAATCATCACAGCTAGAAAAATCTGCGTCTTCAAACAACTTAGCATCAAGTGTAGACAAAACACTTCTCGACGTTTCGACCTGAGGGCCTTCGTCAGGAGAGTTAGTTATTCAATCAACACAAATACCGACATATGCTCTATGCCTTTTAACTCTCCTGACGAAGGCCCTCAGGGTCGGAAGTGTTTTGTCTATTTTAGGCAGTTGTTATACCACATTTGATGCTAACTTACTTAAATTAGTGCAAATGCAAAGTCTCGCTGCGATATTTTGTAAAATATGGAAAATATGCACTGGCGGTCAAAAAGAATTGCTCAAATGTTGCTATTATCGTATGTAACAGGAATCGTGACAATCTATCTTTTATTGTACACTAGCGGTCAAAAAGAACTGTTTAGATACAAATTCATAAAAAAGAATGGAATATAGAAGAAAGCTTCATAGGCATTTTGTGTAATTCTCTTATTCCAAACAATATTTCAATAATGTAATGCAACCTGCCACACCTCCAAGATATTGTCAAACAATGGTTTCAGAAAGAGGGAGTGACAGAAATGGATTGTCCTGCACAGTCAAAAGACCTTAACCCTATTGAAAATCTGTGGGACAATGTCAAGGGGATAGTGCCAGAAAGGAATTCATTCATAAAGCGTCCATGATTTATGCGTTGCTGTAAATACTGTCCATAGGATGAATTTCTTCTGACCGTGAAGATTACCACCTTAACAAAAAGTATGCCATGCCGGTGTAAGGCCGTCATCAATTTTAAGGCCAAAGGAGGGTCAACAAAATATTAATATTTCATATAGCTAAGCATGTAATCTAGTCTATATTTGCTCGTATATATTGCTAGAGGGACAGTTACGTTCATTTGAGAGCATTTTAACTTGTTAGTTTGAGCAGTTCTTTTTGACCGCCAGTGTATATAGCCATGCGAAGTTGGCAAATTTTGTATACTTTTGTATTACGTGCGAAAATGTGCCGTAACTAAATTAGTTACAAACTTCGTGCCGTAATACAAAAGTATACAAAATTCGTGAACTTCGCATCGCTGTATTTTCCGTAATTTACAACAATTCGCAGCCAAACTTGGCAGTTGACTAATTTTAGCGGTAACCTCTTTCAGAAAATGTACTTTTTATCGCCGAGGTAAGCAATTAGTCTAAAGTGCAAGTCGACTCGTCCATTAAATTTTGTATTAAGATAAGCCAATTATTAAAAAAAAATTATTTCAAGAGTTACTTGAAAAACTATCCCCTAACTCCCCTTTTTTTATACACTCTGCATGTCCTTTTACAAATCTTTCAAAAGTAAGGATTTTCCATGTCCCATGAAGTCTCAGGATTCTAATGTGGAATAATTATCATTTGTAACAGTTAGAATACCGCTTGAAATGTCACTCTTTGAATTACTTCTGCTGTCGTCTGTTAACCGCCTTGACGTGCCTTCAATCGACTCATTACTGGCACTCCAGTGACTCAGTTTCTCCAAATGCTTTAGTCTCTTACGATGATTCCATGCAAAGCGGGAATAAAACGCCAACCCAAGAGACACCATTCCCACAGAAATTAGAATCAACGCACCAAAATCTTCCGGTTTAGGAGCCACAGTCACCATAACGAAATGAACAACATCCATGATACTATTAAAGGAATTCTGCACACCACTCACAATCCCGCGCTCCTGTTCTGCAACGTTTTCTTGAAACAATTGAGTAATCACCAAATCTGTCATCCATAGGCCTATTCTAGACATCACTATTCCGCCCATCAGCAAGCCAAGCGAAATGAAGTTTGAATCTTTGTGGTTATGAGATCGTTTTGTATCACCTTTGGTATCATTTCCAGTGTTCGTTGCATTGAAAGCAGCAGGTATTGAGGTGATTAGCGATAAAGGAATGGACGAAGAAGGATTTATACTCTTTGATGATATAAACACGGAGTAATTAGAGGAAAACGACGAGTTTTGATGTTTAGTCACCGTTGGGCGTAGGATTAGGCTACTTTGCGCATCAAATAGCGACGGAGTTACACTGATAGAACTTACTAAACTTTTTGTCGACAGCACTGACCTGTTCCTAAGTATAATTTCGCCGTTTCTACTGATGGTGTCATCGTGATAATTTGGGTCAAGCAAATGGCCGGGGTGGCCTGGAGCCCAGACAGCAGCCACACAAAACATGAGGAAGAATAACTGAACAGAATTGGAAATCATTCCAGTCTTAACTAGTCCAAACATTTTCCGTAGTTGCGGGAATATGAAAGTGCCAAGGATTCCAGTCAAGGCACCAGCGCCTGTTAAGATACCTAATGCCAAAGCACTCACATGCTGTGAATACGCATAAGCTGTGGTTATACTATCAAAGCCCAATACAGTCAAATATAAACAAGCTAGTCCGATCCCTGCAAACGCCACACGTTGTTGGAAAAATAGTTTTAAACCAAAACGGATAATTCGTGCTCGACGCTTCACTTTATCGACTAGAAGATTGCAGTGCATTTTAAATCCCAGCGACGTCTTTACCCTGGGCACCAAAATTGTTCCATCTTCATCGTTTTCAGATAAATCAACATTGACAAGATTTTCATCCGTTTCAAAGTCATTGTCTTCAAGTCGACTAACATCGACTGTTTTTTTCGCGAGGGCTGGACAGGAACGGTAAACTGACGATAACAAAGTGTACTCGACAAATAATGACACGATATTCCAACCGGCTATGAATAGAACTCCTATTGCCTTCGATCCATAATCAATGATTAAACCAGTGGAAACAGGAGCGAGGATGTTGCAGGTTAAATCGATGCGACGTAATATGGAATTTGTACCTACAGGAAAGAAAAAAGGGCAATTATGATTATATCAAACTCATACGAATAGACAATAGTATAGTGTAAAGTTTCGGGGTTTTACACTGAAGACAGTGAAGTAATCTTATTCACTTATTCTTAGATATTGTGCCGGAAAAGTAAAAATGTCACCGCGATCCCATTTAATGTATTATTCGAACACTATTTTACGAATAGGTTTTACTATATATGAAGACTTTAGTTGAGAAGTAAGAAGTTGCGTTTTTTCGCAACAAAATTGTCGAAAATTAACAAACCATCCAAAAACAACTTTCCGTCTGGGTTGAAAAAGAAGCCAATTGTTATTATCAAATATCAATATCTTCTTTTTCAACCCAATCATACCATACTACACTACGATGCCAACAAGTATTCAAGAAATGCTAAGTCTAACTCTAAGATTCTCGTAATCGTCTTCTCTAGAAATTATCACAAACTTTACCTGCGAGCAGGGACTCGTCCTCTTTGACAATTACTACAACCCAGTCTCTTTCAATGGCTATAGTAGTCCCAAGACTTGAAAGACGGGCTACAATAGCCAGCAAAACAAGGAAAACAGCCAGAATAAAAAAGATAGGGCTTGAAATACTTTGTTTAAACATGATTAAGATAACGACAGCGCAAGCTACCACTGCGGCATTTTGGATGATTAACGTGAGACGAGCAGCTAAAAACAAAATGTTAACTTTTTTAGTTTTTATTTTCGGCAGTTATTTGACCCAGCAAAACCTTTTCTTGATATTTTCCTTAATCAGAATGTATTAATTAAAGAAATATTAAAAGGAAATTGCACTATGGGAAGGAATAGCTGGATGGAGATGCAGTGGAATAATCACAGTTGAATCAATAGTTATTTGGCTCTGAAACACCAACTTTTGGACTAGTTAGGAAGACTTGATTTTCCCTTTCAGCTGTTAGGTTTTACATATTTATTTGTGAATCTTGCATTGCATGGACTGGTTATCCCACCTTTTAGTCGTGGAGTTACATCAATCCAGTCACCAACTAATGTTCCAAAAGCAACTACAGACAATGATACAGCCAACCCGTAAATAGCAGTAAAAAGAAATGATCCTGGAGTGAGAGCAATTAGGAATATAGATATAGCATACATCCACATTCTGTCACCCTATGAAGAATATTATAATTGGATATTTTATATGACTGATATTGACTGACAGGACTGATAGTAAGATAAGCTAGGTTTTCAAACACAAGACAGTAACTGCAATGGAGTTTTTGGATTTGACTTACCCAAGCAGACAAAGCATGGCTTACACATATCATAATAGTTGGTGAACATCCACACCTTTCAAATATACTCCCTTTTTTATTAGTATGGAATTCTGAAAAAAAGTTTATGGTTTCTATTAAAGGCCTCAAAGTCTGAATGCTTTGTTGGTTAGATTTAGAAAATTAAATTTAAAAAATGTGAACATTCAAAACACAGATTTTTGATGGCAAAATTAATTACACCCCCAAATATAATGTTGGGAAAATGTTAACCAGAAAAATTTGGGCACAATTGAAACACAATGTTGAAGATAATGTAATTTGTGGCAATTTCTACTCAATAACAAACTATGCAGACCACCGGGAGACTCCCGGTATTAAGCTAATCCTCCCGGTAAACATTCATACTCTCCCGGTAAATCGGTAATAAAGGCTCAGAAGCAATTTCGTTTTAATTTAGTCTTGTCATCTAACAAATTTAGTGAAAACGTTATATAAATTATAGATAACATTTGACAAGTTTTACGCACAGGCCGTTTAGCCTTGTGTGGCCGGGAAAATTTCGACTTCATGTAAATCACTGAGTACTGTGTCTGTAAATCTGTTCAATTTGATTGCAACTGGGGATATCGAGGGATATAACCAGACATGAAAACGTGAACCTCCAGGTTTTTTCTAAAAAATTCAGGTTTTGTGTGTTCCTAGAAATTAAATGTCAAGGTTTTTAGTCTGCTGGGGTTGAGAGGTCTGAACTATGTATCTGCTATTATTATCTGCCATATTGTGACAAGTACCTGGAGTTCTATTTTATATTATCTTTAAACAAAGCCTGACAATATGCAGAAAAATTGCTAGAATAATAAAATGCATTTACATGCAACTTGCTTAGAGATGTAGCCATGCAGATATTTTACTGATTTTAGGTAAAGTAATTGTATTAGCATCCTGTTCATCAGATTTATAAAGAACCATCATGCATTAAGAATGACTTAAAGTTTAAAATATATTAGGGAGGGTTTTACAGCCTTCTCAGAACCTTAAGCTATATTTCCCTGCTTATTCATTTTTACGCTGCTCTATATGGTTGCAAAATCACATGATTGCCTACAGCATAGGGTTACATGCAAGTTTGCATGCATGTTCGTCTCATATGATCAGGTCAACTTATTGATATTTATAATATATGGATTCGCAGAGGTAACAATAGAAGCTATATAGTGTTATTAGTGTACTAGTAGACTGCATTGGTAACGGTCATATTATATGCAATACCCTGTTCATGGTCCTCGTTGACCTCGTCTTCTGCTGTCTGTTCACGAGACTGACGAGAGTTGACATTCTGTGATTCGTCTTTTCCATGCGTGTTTAAGCTCTCACTTTCATTAAATGACTCATTTGAATCTTCTTCGTCCAATAATGGCGAATTCACTACATGTTTATCCATTTTATCTGCAACTCCTCATGAATCCGGAATAAAAGTAACAATTAACAAATATATTTCCCTTACACCAGACAAATGACACCATTGACTCAGGTAATTAGTAATTTATATCCGGAATATCGGAATTTGGAATCTCAAACCGGAAACGTACGTACAAGAGGTTAAGAGGATTCAGGAATTCCCCTGTTGTGCTGTGACAGTGAGTGACTTGCGAGTTCCGACACAAAGTCGAAAAAGTGAAAGTGTACTCGGTAGGGAGATTAGTGGACTCAGGATATCATTGTAAAATCAATCAAGTTTCCCTTTTGGTTTCGCCTGGGAAATTGTACAATAAAATTGTCACATTTATCTGTGCGTGTGTGACGGTGTGTCCAGTACACTGTAGGTCCATTTTGGATTTTTCTTTGGATCATAATTAGCTTCTGAGCAGGCTTTTTAGGTGTGCAACTTGGGGTTTATTGTTTTTGACTTTCTGTAGTAATGAAGGTAATAATTCTAGCAGCAGGGTACGGAACAAGATTAGAAAAAGATATAAAAAATGACCCAAAACAAAGATATAAACATTTGCTGGGTATTCCAAAACCCCTCTTCCCAGTTGGTGGGGAATGTCTAATATCAAGGTGGATAAGTATTTTGAAAGGCATACGTGAAGACTCTGATTGCAAAACGAATATTGATAAAATAATTTTGTTGGTGAGTACAAATTTTAGATTAATATGCAAGGCTGTTGTAACAGCTGAAGTATAATGTTAATTATATTAAGACAATGCATTGTTAAATTGAGGCGAGTATCTTGAAATATAATCAATGTATGCAATATATAGAAGAAAAGATTAATTATATATAGCTCACTCAGCCTAGTTTAGTTCTGGTGTCTTACTGTATGATTATGTCTGCTAGACTAATCACCATTTTGTTGGGGCATTTTCCACATGGGCAAAGCAATGGGCTGGTACTGTTGAAGTTCTGGATGATGGAACCACTACAAATGAGGTATAGCTTTTCTCTTCAAATGTGTGCCAGACTTCAACATCACTATGTGAGTACATGGCAAATTTTCTTGCTTGGACTTGTAAAGGTTTGAGCTGTGACTGGTCAGAGAGATTGGTAGACATTTGCTGCGTGGAGTTTCGAGAAAAAACAAGGTCTTTTATATAGTTAACGTAGTTGAGCATTCAAGCCTCTGAGATACCAAAGTTTGTAATATATATTTTCCTTTTAGACTAGAATGGGAGCGGTTGCAGACATTGAATTTTGCATTGAATATTTTAAAATAGATGATGACATATTGATAATAGGAGGGTGAGTGTGTACCAGTGGACTCTGGTGTCCTAAGAAGACTGTGCGCAAGTAACCACTGAGTCCCCACTTTAGACCTGTAAAGATTTTACCATTCATCCATTGGTAATATATTCATGTCTCCATACATGGCTTAAAATGATGGCTTTTATATCCGTAGAGATACGCTATTTTACAAGGACTTTGATTTGCAATGCTTCTTGAACGAATTTTATTCAAAAAATTTGAACTCTCTTGGTGGAGCATTAGTCACTTGTTATCACTGCAAAGATTCAGGTTAGAGATGTACTACATGTTGTGAATTGTTTACTAAAAAATCTGTACAAGAAGTAGTTCACGACTAACCTATATGAAAGCTTACACTACATTTCTACATCGTAAGTTCTTCGTTTAGATTAAAGAGTTTAGAGGTAAAGGGGTCTTTTTCACGATACGATTAGGGCCTTACACTTTGGTTGCATATACGTTTGTCATTCTGACGAAGTTTGAAATCCAGTGTCTGTACCACTTAGCATGCAGCAGATCGTGGTTTGCACATAAACGTATAAGACAAGTAGTACAAGTCGTATCGCGTAAATTGCTCTTTTCTACCACATTAACACTTTCGGAACGTTGCATGCATGCATGGCTTTCTGATGTTCATGCCTTACATATTTATATACATACATAGATACAAAAAGATCAGGGATTTTGGAATTAGATAAAGAAAATAAGGTCGTTGCATTTTTGGAAAAGCCTGATCCTGACAGTACCTCATCAAGATGGGCAGTAAGTATATAATCAAACGACCCCGTCATCGTGAAGATTGCAAATAACCTTTTTTTAGCATGACTTGAATTGTCTCCTTTTTTTCGCTAATATTAAGGTTATCGAGACTTCCCTACATATATTTTTTTATAAGTTCAATCTTGTTCACTGTAGTGCCCATGCTTTTACGTTTTCTCAAGAAAATCTTCGCAACTTATCGCTGAATTTCTCAGGGAAAAGATGGTAAACAACTTTACATGTTGTCCATGGGAGGTCTGGTGACATTGTGATTATTACACAATTACAATGCTCATTACATACAGGATCATTCAGTACAAAAATTTTAAATAATCTGAATAACTTAAATCATTTCTCCCATAACAGAACGCGCCGCTCGAAGAAAAGGATGCACCTGGGCATCTTATTAAATTTTTACAGGGAAAGTAAGCGATAGTTTGTTGTGTAAGTGTTGTGTGTAAATATTGAGTGGCCACTATGCATTATTTTGTGATTTTTTGCCTGTAATTTGTTTGCAGGGTTCCAATGTATGCAGTGCCTCTCAAGTCTGGTCGTTTTGATATTGGGCACTTGGAGACCTACATTGAATGTGATCAATATTTCTCAGGTATATGTTGGAGGAATAACATCAAGGCTTCAGCATTTGAGGGGGTATAATATCCCCTCACCCCTCCCCCCATATATTAAGGGTGTTTGATCAAACTGGCTATTAATACGAGTCACTACTCCCCCCATATATTAAGGGTGTTTGATCAAACTGGCTATTAATACGAGTCACTATATGTCAATACCATGAGTTATACATTCACAAACGTTTCTCTCGATTTTTAGATTCTTCATAAACTTTATGTTTCAGAGGTGTGGTGATGATGCTTACACGAAGACTCACAAAACGTCTATGAAACATGACAAACAGTTCAAGCTTTTCAGAAACCAGTTAGAACCAAATTGCACAAATGTCATAAAGCTAGATGAATTAGATAATTTAGCCACTCTGTAAAGGTCAAAAGCGATGTTTATACCGATTTTAATTTTAGCCCTGTTGCCAAAACGTTTTAGAATATTCTTCTGTATCATGAATATTCTTTTGCAAACGTTTTAGAATATTCTTCTGCATCAACGTCTACGACGTTCAAAATTAAGAAATATTTCCGCCATATAGACAATGTCAAAGGTCAAAAATTCAAAATTTAATAAAAAAAATGTTATGAAATTATACTTGCCTTACAAATTAGAATATGTAGCAGAACTTAACACGTGTTTTACATAATCTGTGTATATGTAATGACATATACCCTTAGTATGTTGAATTTAAATCGTAGATAATTCTTTCAATTTTAACAATCTTTTGCTGCCCCATTCACGATCGAACAAATGTCTTGCCGCTAGAATGGTACAAAGAATTAGTGAAATCAAAGTACTTGTTCGACAGATTTCTATACTTCCACTTCATATACTTCAGATTTCTATGGCTACTGGTCTTAATTATAACACTGTGATCATTTAACATATAACACAGGAACTGTATTGTATTTTCTTTTGTTCTTCAAAGGAAATAAAAAAAGGTACGAATGAATAAATAGGTTTGCATAAATGACAAAGTTAAATTTAAGACTTTATATTTTGGTCTAGTTTGAAACACCCCCGTTACAACAGGCGCCGAGGCTTGCATGTCAAATTGGTATCGGAATCCGGAAACTACAAAGTATTTTATCTTCCTCGTCTCCTGAAATGTCCAGGTCAGTCCTGGGCCATAGTTTATGCTACAATACGTCATATATAATAGATTACGTCATTATTAAAATGTTGCCGCAGATTGAACTTTATACCCTTGGCTTTGTGTTCACGCAACTGATTAGACTTCACTGAGTCTAGCCTGTCACTGTGTCTAGAAATGAACCGTCACGCTATTGCACGACAAAGTTACTTATATTACAGATATTCACACTCACGTTATTGTTTTCTTCTCGGTCGACTTTTGCTCTGGTCTTGCACGGTTCACGACTTTGATGAAATCACTTGTTTTTGCTCTCATTCTGGAGTGAAGGTATGCCTGAAGATCATTCAATAACATGTCATAATTTCAGGTGTTTTCACTAGTTACTGTATAAATGCTTTATGTACCACAACTCTAGTCAAGGCCAGAAAATCTGGTTAAGAATTTCACTATAAACAAAAATTTGCAGAACCCAAATACACTGAATACAGAATATGTACTGACACAAAAACGGAATAAAATACCTACGTACCTTGGAACACTTGATATGGTAATGCAAATAGTTTCTGAAAGTGTGGATTAAATTGATGGTCTTGTCTTTAGATTTTGAATTTGTGTGTCTGGCTCCCAGTACTGCGAAACAAGATGAACATTTTTTTTACTCAGTTGACCCTTCCTCCCCTATTCGATATCAGTAATTCCACTTATAAGTCAATAAACGTCGGTACATGTATTTCAAAGAAGTGGGTATTATCCACCTGCAACTTGCGCTAAATACATAAACGAAATGTATCGATTTAACGATTAAAAATTCAGCTACGTTTTGTACTTGCAGGTGTATAAAACGGTCGCTACGCAGGCTGACCACTTTCCCCATGAGGGAAAGTTTACAGTCATTTTTCTCTTACCGAACGTAATGTATCCGATATTATCACCAACCACAGCGTTAGTTCCTTTCAGTTCCAGAGGCGGTTCACGATGACTGAAGAGAACCTGAGGCGCCGTTTGACTGGCACGACGTCCTTCTTTCAGTTCCTAAAACAAAAAAAATGTTCACTCTTAATGCGTCCTTCCTTGGTGAAAACTTTAAAAATGAGAGTATCTCATCCTTGGCTGATGAAACTTGTAGTCTTGCAGATTGAGGTCACGCATTGCCACTACATTCCTTTTCGAAACTTAATCCATAATATTGATTTATTTTGATATATATTACTGATTGCACACAAGTATGTGGATTTAGTGTAGGACAAAACGTACCTGCATGAATACTTTTCCAATAATTACGTCGTCGTCATCTCGGAATACAGTGCTAAATATAACTGTGACGCGATCAGCTTTAGCACCAACATACCTAAACAAAAGATTGTAATTTGAAGCTGGATTATGGGCTGGTGGTAAGTTAAAGGGGACCATTAATGCAGAGCTAAATCTTCCCAAAACGTTAGCCCTTTTATGCGATCATGGAACATGTCAGGTTTTAACTGCACAGAAGCAAAAGGCTTTTGAATGGGATACATCTACTGAATGGTATCTCTTGTCTGATTGATAACAGTGATAATAATACAAATTTAAGTAAAAATACGAATGGTCACTAATATTAGAAAATCTTACATAGTTTCATCTTCTCTGTAGTTGATCACAGCATAATCTTCTTTCTCATTTCCAGCTTGCTGATATTCAAAATATTTCTCAAATACGGATGCAAAACAATTTCGTTTCAGTAATGCAACTTTCGTCACAAGTTCCTCTGGGAGAAAAACACAATATATCAAAAATTGTTAAAATTGATTTTAGAAATGGACATAAAATTTACAATTACACAGCACTGGTATAAAATACAAATTTAACAAACAATACCTTTCTCTTTATCACTTCCAGGCAGGTTCTCCAAATCAATGAGAAGAGAAATATCGTAACCTAGCGTAATATAGGTATAGTATTTCTTTATTAGATAGCACAGTTATGTATAAGAAGACATTGCTTCAATTAATTTAAATAATAGATTAAGAAAAATTAATAACAAAAATTAAAGTAGAAAATAAAGTAGAGAAAACCAATACACACCTGATTCTGCAGTAGTTAAAAGGGAACCATATACTTTTTGAATCAACTGCAAAATCAATAGTACTGTATAAGAATTGTATAAATAATTAAGTACTGTGTTGATCAAAAGCACAATCATGCTTGTTTTTTTAGCAATCAAGGAACAATTCCTGTAAATCTCACTTGCTATATAACTGCAGGTATATTCACACATTTATATAATGCAAGGTATTGGCCTTGTCTAATGGGGATCACCTTTACAGATTTTTCTAGGAAACACCAATTGACATAGCTAATTATAATTTTAGTAACAAAAGTCAAATTCGTACATAAAATTACTATTCTTACCTGATCTGCCCCATACTTTTGAAGGTCTGGATAAAATTTCATGTGAATGCTCACCTGTAGAATTTACATCAATTACTACATTGCATAACATATTGCAATTTGAAGTTATCCAAATTGACTTACCCTAATCTTGCTTTTTTCGCCATCAGGGTTTGAAACATGAAACGAAACACCATCAAAGTCTACAATTTTGTTAAAAGCAATTAATCACATTTACTAAGAAGATATTAACCAACTGTAACTTGGGTGGGGACTGAAACCCATCCTACAAGTGACAGTGCATGTGGAAAGTAAGGTTTGTGGATGAAATATTGGTCTCACTGCAGCAATAGGAATATTCTAGTGCATTTTATTATAAAATTGCAATTTGCAAGTCATATATAGACATTTTTTCAAATAAGGTATTAATTACTTATCCCTACTCAAAACAAAAGGAGATGCTACAATAAATAACATGTTTGAAGTGGCCTTATATATCCTTTGTCAGAAATAAACCATTATTTTTTTCTTTTTTTAATCTTTTTTAGACTATGTGATATCGAAAGTTGGGATCTCCTATAGCACACTTCCCTAGGTTTAGCAGATCCAGAAACTCGAAGTTAAATTAATTTAAAGGAGTAAGATGGGACAATACCATTTAAGGTGGGTTATGACCAGGCCTCTGGAGGCTCTGAGCAGTGGGCCCTTTATCCACACTTTTTCTCAATTTTTTTAAGTATTTTCCAGTTTCAATATGCAAGAGTGTGAGAGAACTATCCGAAGCATTGAGAAAACACACAGGTTTTAAATTGTAAATTTACAAAAATGGGCAATCTAAGGCCTCTGGTGTGACTGGTGACAGATACGTATTAACGTATACCAAACTGTTCACATAAATTCTTTCCCAAATTCAGTCCTTGTATTCATTCAGAGTTTATACCCGTTTTTCATATATGATTAACTCACCTGCAAATGTTACGTCGATTGCCTCAAACTTTTCGCTGTAAAGAACGAAAATATATCACTTTTTAATAACTCTTCCGAGGCATAAATCTAAATTGTGGACATAAATGCATTTGAATGGAATAAAACCATATACTTAAAGCTCGGTGCTTACCTTGAGAATTTGGCAGTTAAAATTTCCTCTAGTATACGGTTATTTAATTCAAGAAGAATCATATTCTCGTGTATTTCTTCTTCTTCCTTGTTGAAATATTAAATAATGATGGCGGAAGAGAAGGGCTTGGTGTATTTATTTAAATTATTTTCGGCTGAGTCGGAAACTTCCGTAAATGGTTCGTACCAAATATATAGTGATAAAAAAGGTACGCTAAGTGTACATACATGACATGATGAAATCCATTGAAATGTATTATCTATATCTTAATTGTTATAATACTTGTTGGCGGGATTAAATCACTAAAAACAGTGTTTTAGTGCGCCCTTGATGGGGGTTACCCCCACTCCGCAAAACTCCCCGATTATGGTTTAATCTAGCCTCCTCCACAGGCCTCTCTATCTTTCTTTGGGGGCAACCCCAAGGGAAGCCCCAAAGAAAGCTAGAGAGGCCTGTGGAGGAGGCTAGGTTTAATCATCATTGTTTTATCTACTTTTTGTTTATGTTTTCATAAAAAAAGGGAGCAAACATAACACCAACATTGGTGTTAAATAGATATTTATTGTACAAATCGTCCAATAGATATTTATTGTACAAATCGTCCACGCCTTTTACACAAACCAGAGAAGAGTATCCAAAATTTGACGTTTCTTAGCCGCAATTTCAACCATTTGGGATCCGTTCTCCTTGTGAGATTGAACACCATCGGCCGCCAGCTTTGACTTTTTCCCATTAGGTTTTAAAGCTGTTCTCCATTACGCGAATTTGTTTGTGCGAACGATTGTGACGTAAGAAGCGATCCTCCATTTTCGCAGCTAACGTTATAATTCATTGACCGATCATGCTGATGGACTCCGGTTTTCTAACTTGGTTTTCGATGGACTTTGTTTCGCACAAACAAACATGATGGACTTCGTTTCGCACAAACAAATTTGCTTAGTGGTTGAAATTATTTTCTAGTTTTTCCAAAGAGGCTGTCAAGCCCGAGACCCAGGAAAACAAAGAGCACCCCAAGCCACTGTCTGGAAACCAAAGCGTTGCCGTAAAATAAAACTGAGGCCAATATTGTAAAGAATTTTCTTGTTGTGGTCACTATTGAACACGTCAGTGGTCCAAATGTCGTAACAGTAATAAATATAAAGTTCTAGAAGATAAAAAATATCCACATTACGAATTATAGCACAGAAAAAAATCCGAACTGCATATCTAAAATTAAATCTAACATCGCACACGGTCTATACTGTCCATTTTCCGAAATATTCGAGATGAGATTATATACCATATTATATAAAATCAGTCGTTATGAGGAAGTCTCCATATGCCCCAATTTTTATCGCCGTTGGGGTAAAAAAATTGGGGTAAAAAAATAAGCCTGCGACAGCTTTTCAAAACGATGATAAAACACTAAACGATCTGATAAAGAAAAATTCATTTCAAAAATTTTTAGGTATAATTGCTTCAGTCATTTGCCTGGTATTAATATAAAAGTTGCTAAAAGGAACGCTAAACGGTCTCATAAAGAAAAGTTCATTTCCAAAATTTTCAGGTATAATTGCCTCAGTCATTTGCTGGTATTAATATAAAAGTTGCTGATAAAAGAGACTGACCTGTCCTAAAGCACTTGCAATACTAAATGATAGCATGTTTGGTAAAACTGATGGGTGGCGTTGACAGAATGCGATTGATTTCCAAATTTCCCCGGTCATAACAATACCTTTGTAAAGAGAAAGGAACACGATTACAGAATGCCAGGATGCGGGTACAAATGTTCGCGGTATTCGAGGAACGTTTAGTGTGAAATGGAGGACCCCATTGAATAGCGAAGGTAGATGGTAGGAAACATGTAAATTAGCTTCCAAATCATACCAGCCTCATCCATATAAAGGCTCTGTTACACGGTGCAATTTTTCTTGCAACTTACAATGCGATTCTACTTCTAAGAGATGTAAATTAGCGAAGAGTCTTGCAGAAGAAAAGTGCATGAAGTGTAATAAACACAAACTTTCGTTGTTCCCAAATATACATCTCTCAAAAGTAGAATTGCATTGCAAGTTGCAGTAAAAATTGCACCGTGTAACAGGGCCTTAAGCAAGCAAATTGGATATTTAGCAAGCATTTTTAGAGCGATTGAAAAAATAAATGTCCGGTGGATAGCGCTATCCGGCTTTCATATACAACCGGCCCCAGCATGTTAACCATAGGGTAAACGGTTAAAAAAACTTGCAGTATTACATGACTTACATGTATTTATCACCAAATTAATAAAACTAATAGCATGTAATTTTTATTGGAAAATATCATTCAACACAGGCAAATTTATAGTAGTTAGTAAGATCACTTACCAGTTCCAAGGATGAAAAATGAACAAATGTTAATTTTTTGCATCATGTAATGTGATCGTATGTTATATTCTACTCTCATTTTGTCCTGCGTCGCACCGGTCATTCCATCAAGGGTCAAAGATACTAACTATGGTAAAACAAGGTCTTAGTATAGATAAACACTAAATTTTCAGCAGTCCTGAAATCTTTTCACGTTTATAAGACACAAAATGTTCAGTTCGCAAACGCTCACCAGTAGAATCTCACCAATTCCGATGACAGGATCATGATGTTGATCCGTCTTCTGCTTTTTCTATAATTATAAATTTTGAAAACTATTAGCTACAGAATACTGAATATATATAGAATAGCCTCACTTCCACTGTTTGAAAATTAGTGCTTGAAATTTTTGTCCGAAATTTTGAGAAACGAAGAAGTCATTTTGACGCTATCCCTTTGTGTGAACTCTGCAATACTGGGGCCTGTTGTTCAAAAGCTGGTTAGTTTATCCATGGTTAAAGCAAATCTTTACATTAAATTTTTCTTACTTACATCTTTATACAAAAATAACGCTACTCCACATACAATCATGAGGACAAACAGATATTTTGCAAGAGGATATCTCTTCTTTGCAATAAGAACACCAAGAATCATTACTAAAAAGGAAAATGGCGGTACATGTTTAGTAAGAAAAATCAATGAAATACAAACAACCAAAAGGCAAAATATACAAAACAAACCTGGTATTGGTTTCACTGACTTTCCTAAAACCTTAAATAGAAAAAAGGAAATGATTATGGTATCCATCCATGTTCATATGGTGAAAAAAGGCATGAGGGTGTGCTTAAACTGAAGATTATAAGATTTCACAATTCAATTTGGCACAACAAAGTTCTTGGCGTTCCGACCTTATAGTCAGGAATGTGTGTATTCATATATTTGTTCTAGCTCCCTAGCGGATTTCTTTTATGCATTTTCAAAACAAATCCATCAGGTAGAACAGAATATATTAAAATTCACACAGACAAATTTAAGACTGGTTTGTTACACTAAAAGTTGTTGTAAAATACTCGTTGGTTGCAGGATGTGATACTAACATACCTGAGTTGGATAACTAACATACTGCAGGGCTGCATTACTTGCAAGCATTGCGCCAACATATGAAAATGCACACCAGATGTACAGTGATTTTGGTGTTCGATCAATGTCAGAAGAAGAATATGTCAATTTGATAACTAGACAAAATAATACAGTCATAATAATTTGTATGAAATATGTGCAGTAGTTACCCAGTTTTTTACTAGGTATAACTTTTAGCATTTTCTTCCTAACATGACTAAAAACTTTCAAATATTGAAAACCTTACCACAAAGAAGTGTAAATGGTTGAAAATCCTTTCTAAATTATATTTTTTTTAATATCGAGCCTACTCTTGTGTGGGTCTAATACTCGTGTTACCACAGTACATCAAATGGCCCTTGTAATTGGAATGGGCATAGAATTGTATATAAACTTATATAGATGCAAACTGCATGTTGAGTTGGCAAAAACACACTCAAGCACTCACCTACTGTTGCAAAGAGAGCATTTACTATACATTGTATAAAAACCAAAGTCATAGGATAGACAAACTTTTCTTTTTCTTCCCCATACGGAACTCTGGTTCTATAGAATTAAATTCATTCGAATTTTCTGTGATCATGAATCTTGCCTTGTATAGTTTAACTAGTGAGAAACCTAGCTTCTCATCTTATTTTAGCATGCAATTTTCACTTATAGGAGTTGGGGTTATGATAAAATAGGTAATAAAAATGGTCTGGGTGTTCATTTCATGATCCAGGTAATCAAGACAAGACCTTTTACCCAGGCATGAATTGAAACCAGTGCATGAATTGCTAATACAATGAGCTGTCACTAAAGTCAAATTCATGCTTTATTGCAGTAAATACTAAGAAGAGGAGTAGAGAGAAAAGGGTTACATTGCAAGCTAATTGGTTAAACAAAGGTTATTATGTGTTAATATAAACCCTCACACAGAAAATATTCTACCTGGCTATGACTCCTATGAGTGAAGTTTATGATTGAAGTTTATAACATTTATGTTGGAGTATAGTAAATGACGGTATAACTTGCTATTAATTGTGGACTAATTCTACTTTGATTCAAAATAACAAACTGGACAATAGTGACTAAAGTGGCAACATTTTTATCAGTTTGTCTATATTGTACTTACATTCTTTCTTGAATAATCCCATAGTAGAAATAACAGATAAATATTCCGGCACAACAGACGATTAGTTTCTTGCGACTTTGAGTCGGCAGACTTGACATGGTCTCACTAGCTTTTACCTCAGTTCGATCTAATTCAGTGTTAGACAAATCTATTTGAACGTCGTGATTATTTAGAGCCATTCAATTGAAAACATAAAATCCACACAGGGACATTTGGAACTGGTGATCAATGAACGCGTTATCCTTTCATTGGCTGAAAATACTACTTCCGGTTACACGTGTGTGGGTTTTTAAAAAAGATCAAGTAATCAACATACGCGAATTCGACGACATAAAATTTAAAAATATTTTCAAAATTTTAATTAAAATTACTATAATAAATAATCATTTCTACTGGTTTGCTCATTATTCCATAATGGTATATGAAAGATGGTAGGCATGGGATACTACCATCTTATACACAACGTCACTACCATCATAGGGTGGGGCACTAAAACTTCCCCTTTTCGGGCATGAAATCTGCTGTTAGCAAAAAATCCAAGGAAATCAATAACAGCATGATTAAATTTACCCTTAATTCCCTGATAGTTTGCGCAAACTTAGTTATCACTTCATATAATAACTCTATATAGTATATGTAGAACTAGTTAAAAATGCAAGTAGCTATCAATGAAAAGAATCTAAAAACACCATTGAATTAACATTTTTTTAACAGATATAAATGCTGTAATAAATGTCTCTTTTATTCTAAGCATCGAAGTTTAATATTCTGACAAGGCCAAGGCCAAGGAATTTGTCAGTATGGGCTGCCAGTGGAAATCAAACTTTTCTCTAAAAACGGCACAAAACTGGTCCAAATATACTTGAGGCTCGAGTATATTGTTCAATGAATGCAATTCCCAGTTCAGTGCCGCTGATCGGTGAAGAAAAGTTGAAAATCATTGCCATTAATAACACTGGCAAGTAACATATACGGCTAGTTGAAACATCATTTTTTCATCTTATAAGATTTGCTAGCACAACCATCAGTGGCCGAAGGCGAAGAATCGCTTGATCAAGTGGTATGAATGCATGTGCTATATAATTAGTCACTCAGTTGATACCAGTATACGACATTGAATACTACATATGCAGCTGGGTATACGAACTTCGTGATTTTATCAATCTTGGTAACAAGTTTTATGTCATTCTCTTTTTTCTCAGAATCTTCTTCCTCATATTCAATATTACGATTCAGTTCCGTTTTTGCCATCTCATACTTTCCGTTAGAGTATTGCTCCATCGGGGACTCAGCGTTATCAACGCTTCCCCTCGAAGTGGTTCGCCTGTTCAGAAGGCTGCCATGTTTTAAACAGAACGACTCTTTTTCCTAAAACAGAAAAGTCATAGTAAGCATGCATTGCTACATACAGAAGGCGCACTAAGTTCGGTTACACGGATGCATGGCCAGGGGGGGAGGAAGCATCTCAAATACGATGAACTATTTGATTGACGGCTTTGAGCGGTTCAGTTTGGCAGTTTGCCTGGTGTACTTCGGTGTTTCTATTACATAAAATTGATCTGTTACTAATTATCTTCTTGGGCCGGTTGTTCAAAAGCTGGTTAGCTTAATCCTGAGTTAAAGCAAATCTTTACATTAATTTAGCTAATCGCTTGTTCACAAACTGTTGAAAAACCTTTTTTCATTATTTTTTTCTGGACCGATAAAAGTCATATTTTCTAAACTTTTAATACGAACCAGAAGCACAAAAACTAAAAAAACTGGATTAAAATCCAACCCAGGGAGGCAGGGTTAGCGCTAACCTAGCTTTGAACAACTGGCCCCTGCTGTAATTGCACTTGCATGAATAATCAACTGTAACAATAATAACTAAATACAAGGACCCAGGTTTCCACGTTGGGTATGAGACAGTGAACAAATATGAGATCCTGGACTTACCTTTACCTTTATATTCTTCTTTGTATCACACATATTCAATTTCTTTTGCAGCGCATTCTTTAAGATGTTGTAATTAAGTACAACAATATATTCCAACAAGGTTAAAAGGACGAAGCCGAACGATGTTAGAAAGTATATATCCACAGCTTTTACATAGCTAACTGGCGGCATATTTGAGTTCGTAGCTGACCATATTGTGGCGATTGTTAGCAAGGTAGTCAAGCTCAATGCTACACGAGCTGGTGTGGCTCTGGCGTCCACCCAAAACGAAAGTCCAGCTAAGACCACCAGAAATATACATGGAATATAGACTTGGATTAGGTAATATCCCAATCGACGTTCAAACACAAATATGGCTTTTAGTATGGAGTATTCACCTGAAAATCATACCAAAAGTAGTTGTTTTTTGTTATTTTGAGACCAGAAAAATTCTCTTCTTTCATTAACCTCCTGGTAGCATATTGGTATATGTTACCCTAGTATTAGGATTCATAAGACGAGAGTGAAATTTTATTTTTAGGGTAAGGTTTCTAAAGAGTGGTATAGTTAGTAACATTCATGTAGCATATTAATTGTTAAACGTTACCCCAGAATTAGAATTCGTCAGACGAGTGTCAAATTTCATTTTTCCATGGGGTAAGGTTTGTCAGGAGTGGTATATATGACACAGCTAGTATTCTAGTAATAGAATAAAGTTTGATTAATTGAATTTTACCTGCCGCGTAAGACAATGTATAATTCTTTTTATTGTAAGATGTAACGTCAAACTGGCTCAATGTCTTGTCCATGACACTGACTGGGTTTTTTTCATTCCAAACGTATTTGATTAGGTCTGTTGTGTAGGCATCTAAGGAAAGTATTAACAGCATAATTTTATATGAAAATATCTGCGTTTGCCTTATTATAACAATTCAAAAATGCATCAACGTTAACTTGCGGCGTAAACTACCCATTGACATGCATATAGTCTGTAACTGTCATAGGAAGTACTTTGGAGTACAAATATTCTTCTATGCTCTCTATCTGGTTATATATAATAGACTATGAAATACCCTCCCTTCAATCTGAAAGCCAGTTGAAATACTCCTTTAATTTTAACTCAAAGTCATATTATTGAATTACATTACTATATTCTCTATTTTTCCTGAACTCTAGAAACCTGTATTCAGTGTGCCAACACAAAAACCTATACTATAGAGATAACGGATAGTCTTTCCTAGTTAGTCAGGTGCAGGCATCCTACTGCCTTGCACCGTAGGTGGTTTCGCAAAATCACAAAAGCCCCCTTCAAGAATCAAATAGTCGTCCCCTTACAACTGAGTAAGTCAACGAAGCACGTCTGTTTATCTCTTGGATACTTGACTAGATTCATTGGGCACATCGCCTTAACAGTGACTCTATAATAAGAAACAAGAATATCAACTGCGAGTGATTCGAGGGGAAGAATACGATATATGCTTTTCAACATGCACGAAGATTGTTCATCAGAGAACAGGGGTCATCCTAAGAAAAATTAGAACCGCCTATTTTATTCCTGCCTCAAAATTCAACATGTTTTGTTGGCACGAGAGCACGAACTCTCCTCTGATGTGTACGGAATTGAGCTCTTCCAAATGGGAATTTCGTCATTCTAAGAATAGTTTTATGGAAAAAATTTGGTGTACGGTTTCAAAAATATTTTAATAGTGCACTTTGTGAAATCAACTTTAATCTGGAATTAACTCGAGTCATTCAGCTCTTCATGAATGTTTCCTATCTCCTTTGGCTTTGTAGGAAACTATCTTGGAAACTCGACATTTGTAATGGAAAGCTTCTATACAACTGAACATTACACAGATGCAAATATTCACCGAATATATTCTTTAATTACTATAATGTTAAAATCAATACTAAATTGGAAGGGGTACTTGTGGCAGGAATCATGATAATAGAGAACTGGCAAAGTTACCCATAAAACGGCTTACCTGGTTGACCAAAATACATCTCCGTTTGGAGATATATCTATTTTGTGATTATTGGTGAGCACTTCATGTAAGTACGATGTCACAGCATTTTCGATCATGGTGTCAGGCACCCAGATAATTTCAGCAGGGTGTTTCATGCCCAATGTCATAGTCAAAGTGCAATTTAGGGAGTTTGCCAATCTTTTGTCTTGCCAGTTTGTCCTTAGGAAGAAGTCAACGGTGTATGTCTGCATAAAATGTTGTAATAATAATTAGAAGTTCTGGCAGGCAAAGAACAGTTCAAAAAATTTCTATTCAGTATATCTACAAGATGTTCCTATACTCTCTTTTGCAATTTGTAGACCAAACCATTTTTGTCTTACCATATCTACTTCTGACATATCTCTGAATACAAGCACAGTCAGTGCCAATTTAACTTCTAGTGGTCCACCTGTAAGCATAAATATTAAATATATTGAAATACAGTACTGTCCAGAGAATAACCTACAAAAACCGCGGTTAGCCTGGGTCAAACCTTGGTCTGATCGCGGTTGAACAGAGGTCAGACCGAGGTTGAACCGCGGTGAGACGGAGATTTAACCTCGGTCCAACTCGGTCTGACAGACATTTCTCAAATTAGATGTTTTCGATATGAATAGATGTTTATGATCTTTCCCTTGCGGTCCTTGCGGTCGTATTCATATAATGTATCCTGAATTGTATGCTTTGTTCCTTTACTTCCTTCTTCTTCATTCCGTTTATCATTTGCCGGAATGAATCAGTTTATTCACCTTTGATATTATCAGCCGTTCCGAACTGTAAACTAGTATCGGGCCGTGTTTTTAATATGAGCCAATAGACCTATAGCTTTTACCCAGATTTTTGTAGTAAGAACGCATTTCGGTGAAACCAATTGCTCAGGCCCCAGATAATCAGAGCGAGATCAAAAGTTTCATTACCGTCCCCAAAACTTGGAATAGTATGAACATTGTATTTTGAGTCGTTCATAATTTTTTGCATCACAACTGCAGCATCACTTGATGATGAACAATATTTCCTAGAATGAAAAAGTCACTTCGGTAAAGATGTTCACTTCATCAGCAACTGAATTAGCAGAGAGCGAACGTTCAGGCAGGCCCATTTAAGTGAATCAACGCTTTACTTTTATTTTTTCAGCCTCAGTTCATGCAGATATTATATTTATCTGCACAAAGTCTGCCAAAAAATAAAGGTTTTTGTAGTCAGTCTGAAACGTCAAAATTCTATTGTCAGCAATCACGAAACGCTTTCGTATATGAAAGATGCATGCAGATATTTCTGTCAAGTTCCACGGTGTTTTATTTCAAAGGTGTTTTTTAACTTTTAATGGATTTTTTATAAAGTCTTCTATCTATATATATTCTTTGATAATATAAAGATACTATTGCATGATGTATTATTTTTCGACAACAGAGTCAAAATGTTATTGCTAGCCACTGAAGTATTAGTACACAAAAGTGAAAGCTTCCATTAAAGATATGGGTCGCGTCCGGTGGCGTCTGCGCATCGGTTGTGTAATATTAACAATAACTATATAGGTTTATTCTACATAAGCTGGTCTATACTATTGATAAGCTGTTCAACTTTCGCATGTTTCCTGTTCCACTGTATGCAATGCTAACACTCACAGTACATGGCTAATGTTTTGTTATTTTTGTAATAGAATTCATGCAATATGTAAACAGAATGTTTGTTTGCATGGAACTGTCAACTGTACACCACCTTTGTCTTTGATTTCTCAGACTCAGGCTCGCGAAAATGAACCAAAGGCCAAGCCTAATTGTTAAGTCGCCGAAGATGCCGTTTTTCATGTGGAATTCAACGGTGCATGATTTTTAGATTTTCCTTCCACTGTCCGCGAAATTCGGTAGTTATATATGTTACAAGCAGTATCAAGATTTCAATGCCGACACGGAGAAATTAGCTTTCTTTTTTTTGTGTATAAACAAAATCATGCATTGACGTAACCTAAGCTGTTGCTTTTATGCAAGTCACGTTCTCGTTGTCATATATTTACAGTTAAAGGTCGTGCATGCGACAACATTTAGTTCTTATCTCGTCTGATTTGCGTAAGTAGATGTTGACTTGATTTTGTTGCTTTATCAGGAGTCTGGTCTGCAGTGGGCGTATCTTAGTCGGTTTAAGTCGGTTTGATGTCTTTGATTTGTGCCGTGATGATTCTTCATGGTCAAACAATATTACCAAGTTTCTTTAAAAACGGCCTTTTTCCTCCCGCTATTTACGTCAATACCGACAATGATAGCCTTATAAACGCGCGGTAACTTGTTCTTGTTGGTGAGGTCAAGTTTAAAAAAACATAAATTCCTATATTAAATCTGTAGCGCGACGTTTTGTTTACTTAGTGCAAGAATGTCAACAAAAGTTACCAAAAATTGCTGCCAGAATAATAACGTATAAAAAAGTACAATCTACAATTATCTGCATGTGGAAACGTGCCCTTGGACGCCGGTATACAGTCCCGCATATATATCTATCCATAAATAAGTAAAATAACTCAACAGGTTTATAACCGCGGCCATTTTAGGCATGTGCCAAACCAATCTGCATGGTGGTCGACCACCTTAATAATTGGTTGACTCAGCAGAAATGGCGACGTTATAGACAATTTACCTTGATAATATTGCATTTTAATTCCTACTTCGGAATTAAAAAGCTCACTTGACTTATTTTTCTTGTCTGTAATAACAGGTGATATAATAAGACTTGTTTAATCTTAATTGAAAGCGCAACTTCGCATCGTTATAATGAATATTGACAAGAATGAATAAAATGTTTTCTGTGACCACGATAAACTTAAATTGATTTAAATGAATATGCATGCTTGAGCTGGGATTCATGAATTTTGATTGTGAAATTTGTAAACACTTGCCTTAAAAAAAAGCCTGTTTTCGGCGCAAAAACGTCTTCATATAACTGCATATATTATATATAGGGCGTTACTATTATTCTAGCGGCAATTTAGTGTTGATTACGGAAAAAAATTACGGGCTCATCCAGCAATAAAAACTTTGATTAAAGATTAAAGACGGTAAAACACTTTTTCAGCTGCATATTACCTAATTGATCATTTAAGACGTTGCGTGAAAATTTATATGAAAATGAGACTTATATATGCAACTATATTTTTATTTGTATATATAGTCTAAAAACCCGTCGGAGAATCACATGCCTATAAGTCTCAGGTTATCGCGATCATCAGGCACCAATGACAGATGTGTAATTTACTCGATAATTTACTCGACTGATCAGACTGCATTGAAAAAACTCTGTCTCTTGCAGGTGTTTTTTTATTGAAATCTGGATTAAATATACTGAGCTCGGCCTCTTGAATCGATACGAATTTTATATTTACATCCGTATAGCTATGCCCTGGGTATATAGGTTCAAACGTTTTCTGTTTCATGGACATGTCATGGGAAATTGATCGATCCTGCCAAATTAAGGCACAGTCTACCAGACTGTGAGAAGTGTCAAGGCATGATATATCATTACTGTTGCTTGTTACAAGGAATTTTGCATGAGCTATATAGGGACACCTTTTCGAAGTCATAAAGTCTGATTATCAACTTGCAAGTGTGCTTTAACCTTTATAGGTTCGGTCGTCACATGAGTGTCAACCAAATGTCGTGTGAAATGACCCATTCCCGTGCACTTTTATAAAGACAACTGATTTCAACAAATTAAACGTCCATCCATATGCATCTTAAACCACGAGTAGTATGCAAGCGATATACGCAATATTGTATAAACACAATAATTGCTCCATTGCTGAAGTCGAGGTTGAAGTGAACTGAAAACGTCAGCGCCGTTCATGTAGACATAAATAGTCAGCTGATCGATCGTGGAAGTATTACTGGCAACTTGCCAATATAAATGGTAGCAAACAATAACGCAAATAATGTGAGAATTTTATCGAAACATTATCCCGAGTAAATAAGTATATATAGATGTGGGAACAGGCCGTATATAATAAACACACACAGGGCAGTTCATGTACATTTTTAACTGATTAATGAATAATGGCATAAATTTGTGCAGTCGATCCTTGTTAGACTGCTAGTCTCCAAAACGCAGTCATTGTTGGGCTTTAAAACAGAACTAAATCAACTAATATATATCAAGACCTTGACTATACTTACTTTTTCCTCGATGTCCGATTACCCCCAAAGTCCGTTTCCATTGATTGTCTTTTTTCGTCCGCGCCAGGCGAAGCCCCTGCAGCGGTAGGCTTAGATGAGATCAAAGCAGCATTTGCGAGGACAAATAAAACTGTTCCTTGAAACCATTTCATCGTTTCGTTCTGAAGTAGGAAATTGATGGTAATGAATCTTCCCGGCGCAGGGCAGAATCGTATACAATGGCCCGTTTATTTTCGCGTGCTTTTAACTCGCGATAAATAATATCATTTGATTCATGATCTATGCGTCGGTTTAGCATGACTGTCATTATTTATCCTATCAGTCAGTCAGCCAGTAATTGAGGCATTTGCCATCTTGGGGCCGATCTCAAGATCTTAATATGCGCAAACACTGATAACATGAGAAATCGCGGTGTCAAATATATCTAAAAAAACTTAAAAGTCTATTGGGATATTTATATATCATTATCAGGATAATAGCCATTCAACAACCATGTTTTAGAAAACGATTACGTTCCAGGTTTAAGCAAGAAATAAACCATGCGACATGTTAGTTGATTGCAAGTGTGAGCTGTCCACGAAATACGAACATGGACCATGAAGTTTTTGAGTTTCCATTTTTCAGCGATTGTCAGTATAGGAAAACGTTACACACGCAGCACAGTATATTTACAAGATAAAGTGAACGTTTATAATCAACGGTTGTTTACGAGCTTGACGTGTCTATCACAATGCACGGTTCTTATTTATTCGTTCCCAGTCTTTTTTCAGCCTCGCATAAACTTATTTGCATATGAAACAAAATCTCGAGAGGAAAGCAAGCTCGAAGCAATAAGTTTAAAATAATCAGTTATAGAATACAACATAAGAACTTTCTGTGAATCAATTGAAAGTTCCGATAACTATATATACCCTTAACAGTTACATGTTCTAGCTTATAGCTGAAAATCGTTTTGATCGAAATTAGTCTTCAATCATGCATTCAACAACGTTATTAATCGTTTCCTGAGCGTTTAACAGTATTTAGCTCAGTCACACCACACCTGTCACTTGTGGACACATTACTAATTCCATAACTGATTCCTTATGAATCGTACGCGACCAGTAGGCCTAGTATTTATATGTGTTATATGTTTCCTTACTACATAAATATATGTTATAAGGTAGTGAATCAGTAAAAATCTCATGAGCAATTATAATTGAGACCTTTTTTCAAGCAACTGGCAGTATTTTGTCACTTGCACATTCAGTGCAACTTGCTGTGAATGCACCAACCATGAATTATCATCAGCTCAAAATTTGAGCTAGCTATATAATTAATGGAGTCGTTGGAAAGCATATTCACAGCAAAGATTCTGCTAAATTATTCTATCTAACCCGCGGTTAACCACACAACAGATGTTTTGCACCCAATCTATTAGTGGCTACACAAGGTTACTTGATTGTATGACTTATTTCAAAATCCTAAAGAAACCTAAAATTCAATATTAATTTCCTATCATGCAGCAGAAACTGTAAGTATTCGCTTGGCTTGGCCTTGGGTTTTGTGATTTTGATGCACGCAAAGTCAACATCTTTCTCCCGGTTGTGCTTATTTAACGTTATAACAGATCTGCAGGAGAGAGTTTTTATCTTTCCTTCATAGCTTCTTAATAATTATATCGTGTCTTATAGAGTTATATATAAAAATTGAACCTGGAGAAAGATTTTTTATAAGATATATGTTTACATTAGTACTTACGACATATTTTAAGATGCTAAAAGCTATAAGATTCCTCCTGCTTTCAACCAGACATGCATGCTGCCGCGCCACTCACATTTATGATCTTCTATTAAATTTTCAAAACGCGGGTGGCAACGATATGCCGTCATTGTTTTATCGTTTGTGTGCATGTGAAGTATTACCGTGTGATAATTTTTTTTTATTATGCCCTTGAAATATAACAGTTGCTTCTGAATTATAAGTGAGATACATCTGGCTGTCCTCCATGCATGCATGGCCATGGACAAACGCATTCCTTTCCTTCTTTTTTTCTTCTGCCTGAGGACGTATATTGCATGTTATTAACATTAGCATGTATCAAATTAATATATTTTTCTATAATCTGCATGCAGCTTTCATAAATTTTCAAAAGACATACCAAAGCGCTTATCATCATGCTGTGTGGTTTCCACACGACCATGCATGCAAGTGGATCGACGGCGGTCTATACAGGGCAGCTCTTGAAACGTTTTTTTATATTAGGCTGAAAGGTGTCGTTTACATCTTTGATTTTGTTTTCCTGATTTACAGCCGTAGCCGCAAACGTCGCGTGCTAGGTAAACTCCGATTCCTTCAAAGGTGTATATAATATACCTGAAATATTCGTCATTAGCTATTGCTTCTTATGCGTTCGACGCAAAAGAAGTTCGACGCGGTTTAATTGATCCAGCCGCGTATAATTTCTAAAGTTAGTTTTCCACAGGCACAAGGCGGAATTTTTCGATCGAACGAAAATTCTCACCTCGTGTTCAAAAAATCGACTTAGCTAATTTGACACGAAGTATCGCAAACTCTAAACTTTGCAAAATATTACTTGATCTTTATATATATGATTCACTATAGCATCAAAAATTAGCATCCACACACAATTTTCAAACATGAACAAACTGAACTATAGGTAATTTTTATTATCCTGATTTCAAAACATTTATCAATTAATATATATATATATATATATATATATATATATATATATATATATATATACACTGCAAGAAGAACAGAATAATATTGACTTAAGGCCCTGTTACTTCCTGCAACTTGCAATGCAATTCTTTTTTTGAGAGATGTAAATTTGGCAACTACCAAACTTTTGTCTTTATTACACTCCATATATGGCGTTTCTTACACTTACATTTTGAAGACTCTTCACTAATTTACATCTCTTTAAAGTAGAATTGCATTGCAAGTTTCAAGAAAAATTGCACCGTGCAACATGGCCTATAGTAATCACTGTACTTGATAAAAATACCACCATCCCGTCCATCCGTATCCCAGCAAATAGGTTATATATATTGCCCGAGCAAAAAACTGCAGCAAAATACAGTAGGATCTGAACATCACATGCAGTGATTGTTTTATAGTGATTATAATTAACTAATATCACCGGTCCGCTCGTGGCAGAGCAATATAGTTTATACAGCATGACCTGTTGGACGCTGGACTGCCGGCAGTTCGGACGAAACGGCCAATGCCGGATTTATACTGATTCACTATAGACATCTATATTAATCGCAACTGAACGAAAATCACCATCAGTGTTTAATGATACGAATAACTCAATATTTGACCAATGAACGGCAATACAAACAAACCACTACAATTGCTTACCTTTTTTTTGACGTTATCGGTCTTATTGTATTGATGCTTATATATGTTATGTTAGCTATTGTGGCTATGTTGTTCTTTCGCGTATACGCCCCAAAAAACTGTCAATAATTCGCTTTAACTTTTTTTAATATATATATAGCTACCAATAATGGGAGTAAAAATAATTTAATTAAACTTGATATATGCATGATAACCACAAACAGTAGGAATATGTTCAAAACAAGACGTAATAAACAACAGAATATTGTTTAATTAAAAAGTTATGTGGTTTTTGTTTCGTTGTTCAGTTGAAATATTATTGCACATTTATAGCTACAAGTGCATGTGTAGTTAAAAAGTAGACAATTTTTCAATAGCCGTAAAGTTTAATAATTTGTATTGTTATAAGAGAACTTTGGTTCATAATTTATTACTTTGTCTTTGGCTTTTTAATTCGCTTAACTGAACTAAAATTTTAATCACATTAGATACTAGTAATCCAGGAGGATGATTACTGTAAACCGCTTTGAAGGCGGCTTGTGCACAAGACTGGGTGGTTGGGAATTGCACGTTTTCTCGCAGTAACAACAATTTTCATGTGTTTTTTACAAGCCGTATCAAAATTTCATTTCATTTGATGATTTTTGACATTGCCTATTCGCCGGTTAATAAAACGGGGCGAATTCAATCACATGCATGCATGCATGTGAAATGCAAATTGTGCAAACTACACTATTACACTAAATTTAATCAGGTTATGCCACAAATAGGCGAACTTGGTCCTACTGTTTGAGAGAGTAACGATGTTCAAATTTTATGAAACTTTGGCGGTTGATGAAGCAAACAATCAACTTTATAATCACTTTCTGCAATTGTCAATTTGATTAAAGTGCCACTCCCAAAGCGGCCCACATTAATCATCCCGGATGACCATGTCTAAGTACTATAATGTGATCAACATTTTAGTTTAAGTGAATTAGAAAATCCGAAGTTATAAAACACAAATTTCCTTCAAAACATTTTAGGGCTTTTCTAAAATTTCTACTTTTAATACATGCACCTGCATGTGTAGACCGTATAAACCAATGCAATGTTTATTTTAAATACCAGTGATGTTGACAGGATGGCATTGCCATTGATGCAGTATAATCATGCATGTGATGCGAATATAGCTACATAATTTATATAATTATTTGCGTATTGTTCAGTATTTCAAATTGTAAAGTTAAGTTATTGAAATTGAATGGAAACAATATTGTTCCTATAATATTAGTAATAGGGCTATATATATTTTGAATGTAACATTTATTTCCTTTCTGTTTAAAATATATGATGATTATTAATAACTGCAAAATTGTACATGCAGGTTTTTCAAGCACAACAGTATAAAAGCTTTTTAGCCTTTGTACCCGCGACAACTCTGCCTCTGGCGGGCGGTTTTGTATATGTCCTTGTCCTTGACGTTGCCTTTGGCTTTGTACCTCCATAACATGTCGATTGAAATTTATGTAAAAAGCAAATGAGCTTCAGATTGAGCTATGGCTATGGCTATGCATGATAACTGAGTTTCAGATTCTTCCTTGCCTATAGTTGCCGTTACATTGTTCATTAAAAAATGTAACTATATAGCTTTTTGAAATATCCATTTATGAGTAAAAGAAACAAAAACTAACAAATGCATTACCTATAATTGAACAAATCAGCTTCCTAATGGTCTTGCTGAATTTCATGAATATATAAATCCTGCAAATGTGTTGCGGCATGCATGACTTTATTATAAAATCTTTTCCATGCATTATGAGGCAATCATAAAATATGAACGATATAAATACATCAAATGCAATCCAATATTCAATTCACGTCTATACATGCATGCAGCTAATTTCGTAAAATTAATAATGATATATTTTATATATCTGCACTGAAAGGCATGAATTTCCCCTGGTGTATAACTGCGCGCAGGACGCCCGATTACTGACTACGAATTATAAGAAGTCTCATTCAAGAGGGTGATAACTTAAAGGTAAACATACAAGTTTGTCCATTGATTAGCTATTTGTTGACTGATGTCTCAAAGAATAGCAATATGTACCGTTATTGGCTGGTGCCGCTTTATTAGCTTGAGGCCTATATAATTTATATAACGTCTCCAGGCCTATATATATAACGTCTTCGGCGGACGCCACAAACATGCATGCATTAGTTTCACCGTCAACATGCAAACCGGCTAAATTTATAGCTATATTCATACTATTATTTACTTTAGTAGATGAGTTTAAACTGGATACTATTACATAGCTTTATATATTATATTAGCTCTTACTGATCCCACACCGCGGGGACACTGCAGACTTCACGGAGTATTAAACTCGCATGCAGCTTTAATTTATGGAAGGGACAAAATTGTGTCGGTATTTAATATAAACTTGTATATAGCAAAGACGATTTTCAATTAAGAAACCATAAATATTGTTTAGGCAGTTTAAGTGTAAAGTGTTCGATAAAAAACATTGTTAGGTTTGGGGAAACACTTCATCTATTCCGTCCAGACTATATACTATAGCTAATTTGTCATTTGATATTATTCTTTTTAACATGATAAATATTTTAGTGGATTTTTTTTACAAATACGTCCCATTCTTTGTTAACTGTTACTCAAGAGTTCGCTATCGCCCTTTAATGGCTATACGTGAAAAATGTGCGAAAACTAACAGGTATGGTGCATGGGAATGGCTATTCGCGCCTATAAATAAAATATTCATTGTGCATGAGCAGGATAGGATGGCGACATCATAGATGGATTCAATTTTAATTTCGATCGTTATTGTAGAAATAATTCTTGAACAACAATGATAATTTTTACGACCTGATAACTGAGAAGTAAAAAAATCATTTGCGGATGATTTTATGGACATACCTGAAGTTTACCTCGTTTATCTATTCCCTTTTCACTCAGTTTCAAATGCTGTGCAAATTACGCGAGCGAGCAGCTGACAGTGTCACTTCCATTAATCTCAGCGGGCAGGCAGGCCGGCGCTTAATTTGAATGTTCACAGTTTACTAATAAACACAAAAGTAATTTCACGGATATTTAATAAAGATCGCAACTCTTCATTTATTTCTTTTTATACGAAAATCAAGTGGGATACGCGCGGTAATGGTATAAGTTTATAAACATACACTGCATGTCTGAGCCAAGAAACGTCCCAGAACTGTGTGACAACTAACACAACGAAAACATCGACCACGAAAACACAAATTAATTAGTGTCAGCATAAAGATGAATTTTTTCTATATTTGCATATTCACATTAGTATTAAAAGTGATGTTGCAAGAAAAAAATTTAACATCAAAGATGATAAAGATAGCAATCGTTTTCAGTGACTGTACTCTAATTGCCAAATCTGTTTTCCATTCTTTTTAATGATTTTGCGACGTAGCATGCAAGCGTGCGTGTCATGAAAGATGTTTTGAGAAAGCAGTGTTCATGCAGTTTTCATATACACCCGGTTTATATTGCCTTATTGATTTTTTAAACAAATTAAGATTGTGATATTTTCGGCGTAAACATTTATTTACATATTCGATCTGATTGTCAAATCATGCCACGCGTCAGTTCTATAATCAGTAAATCTTGTTATCCCATGATATAAAGCGGACACCGCGACTTCCCCCGCGAATTACGCACGCGCGCTTGCATTTATGGGAATATCAATTTGGTCTATAGAAGAAGCGCATAATTTAAGCAGATAATTTCCTATGGCACTATTGAAGAAACAACGCTCCGTTTTCTCGCGCTTTTTCGTTTTTCTTGCATCAGATGAACCAATTTTTTTGCCCACATGCATGCGCTGAATTTGTCCTGACATGCAAGACACGACTTAACGTTGTATTGTGCAATGCCATGCAAAGTTTATATTTGTTTGTTCGTCTGCCTATACAGGCCAAGCAAACATGTCTGTAACAGTATGATTGTTTGTTACCTATATGCTCCTTTATTCATGCATTTTTCATTTCTTAACTTTTGCAGTTTAGAATACATTGCATGGTCATCACGTAGTAGCATATATGAAGCAGTTTAATGTTTAAACCCAACTTATTTATAGCAGTCTGTTACAATCCCTGTAAATATAGCTATGAGACCAAGTAGTACATATAATTATTGCTTAGCTATATTCGGTGTGGAGTGTTACCTCTGTAAGACTCTGTGCTTATAATATCAGATTATTTTATATAATAAATATATAGATATACTTGTTGTGTGCATGCCTATAAGCAGGAATTGAACCTTCATTTGATTACTCAAGTATCTACAGTAAGTGGTTATTTCAAAAAGTAAATAGTTTATCTGTAAATTATTTTGTAAAGTTGAGGTTTTACCATATTTACAAATATTCTAAATTACTGACAAAGTACATATATACATGGTTTTAAATACAGCACGAATATTGGATTATGGTTTAATTATGTTTTTGCGCTGGCAATATTAGGTGGCAGGATCCATTTAATATAACATTGTCTATATATTGTTCAACAAATTCGTAAAATAGTGTGGCCAATGGCCTATGTAGTACTTCATTCAATAATTTCTTTCACTAATTGGCAAAATGGTCCATCACGGGGACCTCAATTAAGTGCTGATAACTGATCTACAGTCCTCACAGGTTTACAAAACAACACACAATTGGGTAATCATATTTACCTCACATTTGAATGATATCCAACTCGATTAGAATCAACTCCGTAGTGAACAGATTCTTGGTTATGTTTCTAATGTTTCTTGTCAACTCCAAGGTTTTAGATCATTTCAGCTAGATCAAAAACAAATACGTCTCCTGATCAAACTGTGAAATGACAATCGGGAGAAACAAATACCCGCATAAAGAATTTCCGTCATAACCGCCTTCTTTGTTTAAAGACTGGGAAGTGTTTTAGTTCACTATAGTCTTTAATAATGCTTTCCAATAATATCGTGCAGACACGTATAATAAAATATGATTTATAGAAACATCCTATGGCGTCATTGAAACAGATAATCTTAAATACACAAACAGCACAATGCTTCAATAAACGGATAATTTGGCAAACCATTTAGAGGAAAAACAAAATTGCGGCATGTTGTCCGGTAATTTACTAATCCCGAGGTCCGGGGTTAATGGGAACTAGGGCTTATTTACTATGTTTAGATCAGCGCAAATATAAATAAGGAGCGTTTTTTATTGCTATATACGAAACTAAACGGGGTTGGTTAATTATATTTAAGAGTTTTGATAAACGGATAATTTGTCTGAACATTTCATGCAGAGAAAGACAAAAATGTGGTGCGAAAGTTCGGTAATTTACTACAGGAGCAAGGGTTCACTATGTTATAACGCAACTTAACATGATAACAGAAACTAGAGAGGTGGATATACGCTCAATATAGTGTATTGCTGCGATCTGATTCAAATTTCCTCGTTCAGTTCAACAATTCATGGTGACGCCTCGTTATAGTGCCACTCTCTATATATAGAGTGCTCTCTCTATGATGGTAACGCACATGCATTAAACAGACCTGCACCGAAATGTTGTCCGGCGGTCCTTATACTAAGCCTCTCCACGGTCTTCCTACGAAAGCTGTGCCTTTATATAAGACAAAGGAGGCACAAAATATTGCTATGTTTCACAATTCGTATGAAAGTCGAAACTACACACTATGTTGTTTATATCTATAGTTTAACTGACCTTCCCATGCAGCAGTGATATACGACCACCTCCGTTTGGGAAGATATTACCATAAAGCGATGAAAATGACTGGCATTGGAACAATATCATGATCTTAATAAGCCCAGATGTAAGGCCACAGTACAAGCTAACTTCCTGCCTTTCCTCCCTGACAGTTTTAACGATCCTAGCCGATTCTCTGGAGAAAGGAGTGCAAATTCTCTCATAAAACCTATAGCTTTACGGATTTTGTTGCGTCAAATTTGGTAATTATTCAAGACAACAAGTTTGCATATTCACATAGTCGTATACTGTATGTTGCAGGCTTGTAGCGACAAAAATTGAGAAAAAAATCGAGTAAATAAAATATTTCTGCTTTGTTAAAGACGTGAAGTGTCTGTTGCTACACACAGTGTACACGATTATTTTCAGTGCCTTAATAATTATCTCTGCAGGACGACAATAAACCTCCATAATGAATTATATTTGACTATTGAACAGTTGGAAAATTAAGAATGTACGCTGTGTTGAACAGTGCATGGTATGAGATTGTTGACCTGATTTGTAATTGGAGACGTTCAATCATTCATGATCTGGTTGTGGCAACTGGTAAAGAAAACAATTAGACACTGTAGACTGGGAGACTAGACATGCAGTAATCCATTATAAAGTATACGCAAAATAATTGCAAATAAATTATTAAATGTTGGAGCTCATGCAAGCAGACATAAAACTCACTATTCTAGTCTACTCCATAACTCCCATTTAAATTAATCTATGTATACGACCATCTTTCCATATAGTTGTAGCTAAATGATCAGTGATGAATACATCATCAACAGTACCTTTAATCATGGTTCATTGTCTTGATCATATTTGGTTGGCATATATATATAATTTCTAATTCCTCTCACCCCCAGTTGCTCAAGCCGACGCTCGAATTATTTCGCTCGCTCACGGCTCACCGGCTCTTTTATATACAGGAAAGATCGACGACGGAATTTTGTAAGCAGGGTCTCTACTAGAAACTGGAGGAATGAAAGGCTTCTGCCAGAACTATACGCTTTTGGTGAGACAGTCAATCTAGTATCCTGTTGTTATTGATATCGAGTTCATATTTCCTCACTTTGCAGCAAGTTTTGGTAGTTTTCAATTGGGTAATAATCAAATCGAAACCCCGTTTCCACTTCAGAATGCTTGTAAAGAGAGTTGAACTTTGCCTATAATCATGCTTTCTCATTGTCACATGATAGGGGCCGGTGTCTAGAATATGGCACTCCCAGACAACTGTGCCGTTTCCAGCACAGTGGGGTGATACAGAAGAAAATGAATTGCTGTCAAAGTAATATATTTTACACCTCTAGATCTTGCCTCTTTTAGTCCGGCAAAGTTGGGGAATTTCCAAAGGAATGGAAATTACTAGAAAAAAGGACTAAAAATAATTAGGTATAATTATAGGAATCTGTTTTTGGGAAAAAGTATATCTCCTGATAAACACAGGTGCAAGATGAGTGAGAAATCATATATAGTAAAAACGTCGAATAATTTTATGCACATGCAAATGTTTTAGGCACCTCAGTGTATTTATAATCCTTAACCATGCAGGGCGCATAATTTATGAGATATGATACACGAACATATAGACGCCCTTGCTAGCTTAAGCCTCAATATTTCCAACTGTTTTTATTTGGCATATATCAAAATTGTTTCTCCATAGGATGATGCATGGAGGTGACTGCAACAATCAATCAACTGAACAATCAAAGGGGAAAAAAGTATATTTAATGGACGTTCAATAAACGGGTTACATGCAAACATTGTTCATAAGTTGGGTAAATTCAAAGGTATATTATATAGACGTTGCTATATACATTTGAAGGAGTTAGGAGAGTCATATATTCGAGAAACTTCATGCAAGACCTTAATTATAATCAAAGTATATTAAGATAATATACAATGTAATAGCTAGCCTTTACTTTATTACGCTGTAACACGTAATGAACCATCCTTATGATGGTGGGCGAAATTGAACTCACCAATCAGCTATCCAGGCAAAATTCATGGATTCATCTCCCCGAATTCGAAAGGAAATTATGCATAAGCTTATTTCTTGTTATGCATGCATGACATGATGAGTAATTGACATACAACAATTTAATTTGAGGAAATAAAAGACAAAGTTAAGAATCTGTACTTTTTTCAAGGAAGCCTCAAGGAAAACAATACAATTCCACTTCTAAAACAGCTTAGTATCTATCTCTTCATAATAGTGCATTCAGTCAGTTAAAAAGCTTTGAAGAGATCTAAGAGTCTAAAATTAACGTCAATTGTATTATAAGTAAATGTAGCTACGTCATATTGCAACATCATTTTATTCATATTTATGTCTCCCACAATCGGGAAAAGAGGCTGCCATTATATACCGTCAACTGCAAAGCGAAGCAATCCTCGAAAATCTGGTCACCAGGCGTGACAGTTAATTTAATGCAAAACACACTTCTACCGTGGAGAGTATCGAACGCAATTGAAAGTTGTTTAAAGTTTGCTCGCGTGGGGACGGTGCATGGGGTGAAACCAATGTGAGGGAAAGAAAAAACAAAAACAACCTACACACTTGTATACATGGGAGGTATATAGACATTAATTTACAATCCAAACTCATCCCAGGCTCTAAAGACTGTATAATATTATTGGATTAGTTATCGTTCGCTACAATCGATTCGCACCCACCCCTTGTGGAAAGTATAGCAGCGGTTGACGGGGTTCAATGGGGAGACAAATGCAAAAGTCTCGAGTTGAAATAGGATATGCAAGTTGTTATAATATCTGTGACTGTGGTTATATATTAAGCAAATTAGGTTACACATTCCACCCACCATCGTTCATATCTATACACTTGATTCGGATACTTTTTAATACGATCGGGAGTTTTTGATGCGATTTTCTTGTTTTGATTAATGTGTGTGGTATTAGGTCATACGGACGATTGTTGTCATTGTGCACCTTATACAGTTATAACGCCATGCAAAGTTTTTCAAAGAAAAAAAATACTAATTTGATTCATCAATCACTATATCATATTACACGGTCAACATGGAAATTTTGATTGCCTATATTCCTAATTTCCTCACTTAGACCATACATTACGCATTGAAAAAACCTCGATGTGTATATAAGCTGGTACAAAATACCAGGAATATATATTAGACTGCAGTTATCCGCACTGAACTGGATATATGCATGATACGTTTGTATGATAAGGATTGTGATGTGCACAACTATAGTCTGGGGACTGCATGTTTTCGAGCATTTTCTTGAAGCGAAACGCGATGAATATATAAGGGTAAGTATAATATATTTTCCGTGTAGCTATGTATAAACAAAGACACTAAAACAATAAATGGTAGAAAACAATTTTAGCGCTCGAAAACGACGCCTGTTCATGTGCGGCATACTTGAACTTAATTTCTTTACAATATTATATCAATATTAATATAATAATATTATCAATGATTTTCTATATGATATTACGTCGTTCGAGCCCTTTTGTGATACTAAACTTCGCATAAAAAAGGAGTTTAATCAGTATATATATATATATATATATTGGTAAAAAATAGTACGATTTTCAAGAATATAATTCATACTATAAAATTAATATAATAATATAATAATAATAATATAACCTAGTACAAAATAGCTGGACATAATTTTATGTTAAGGTTATATAATAAGATTAATATCAATATTACGACTGCATGCATGCATGTATTCCCTGAACCAGATTCGCTTGACACGACATGATTACATGCAGATTGTGAATACCCGAAATATTTGATATAATGAATGATCAAATTAAACGAAAGCTGCCAGTATCCCATGAGGCTTACCTCTCTGAACAAACAGGATGTACTGATTTAGTGATGAAGTTGTTCAAAATTAAATAATGAATTATGCCCGGCCCTTGCTATAGACGTAGCGCCTAAAATCGCTAGCTCCGGCATTGAAAATGCATGCCATCATAATTATACGCAGAATGAAGATCTTGAAAATTTACGCACTCTATATATAGGTGTTCTAAATAAAATATAATATCTAAAACAACATCCCTCGATCAATAAGTATACCTACACTTTTGATTTTCTTCAACGCAGCCAGTTATAGCCTCTTGATAAAAGAGTATTCCTCTCAAGTCACTGACTCCTATCATGCATACACTGATCGTGAAGGTTCAGCTGTACAGTTTGTAGGCGTTAACAGTATGAACTTCCTGGGGTGTTTGAACAACGACGATGCGGCTGAGAAGGATCTATTATTTTCGAGGCCAAAATATATTTACGGATATACCCTTGTTTAATTTTAGTTGAGTTATACAGATATATTTATATGCATGCCTACCTTTTTTCGCGCTTTTGAAGCGTGCTTGATTAGTCAGTATATCCCAAATATAACACCAACCGCATACTTGTAAAGCTAGCTCGAAGTTTGAACAATTTTTTAAACCAACACTTTAGAGCCTTGTTTTCCGGTGGCGTGATTGTTTGGGGACGTCTATGCAGACTATGCATTCATAGCATTGTCAATGATCATTCATTGATGGTAAAATATGTTTTGTTTGCAGGAAACAAATTATTCTTGATTTAGAACATCACGAAAAAGTAAAGTTAACGTGGTAAATTTAGTGCATACATCTAATCATAAACATATCAGAGAGATGAAGCATATATACATGCAAGCAGTATAGCAGGCACTCCCTTTGTCTTTTGACAAAATAAAGTTATAAAGTCGATGCATGCAGTTGCGCGACCAGGGGCCGGTTGTTTGGGTTGTATCAATCCCGTTTAGCTCCAACGATGGAAAAGTTCAAAATAGAAAGCACGTCTGCCGTTTTATTCAAGAAACGAACTGAATGTTTTTGACTTTAATACAAAGATACGGTTTACAACTACATATTCAGTGCATAATATTCAAGTAGACTCATTCAAGAGAGTTGTAAGGGTGTTATTTAATTTTGACTTATTCGCCGTTTAAGCTGAACGGGCTTGATACAACCGGCCCCAGAACGATATTTGAAGGGGGGGAAGGAACATATGAATATTCATGTTATTCACATTTATCTAAGAAAACAATTGTTCGTATAAATATGTCTGCCCTCAATTATCGTCCGTCAGCGCCATCGAGTTGAAGGACAATGGTGTACCGACACATTAAGTCTTTTAGTCGCGTTAATGGTGAAAGTTTTATTATCAGTAGAAATGTATACCGTAAACGGAATTTTTTTACATTTCTACGACTCGTCCCAAAAAACATACCTTGTATGGTTCATCCATATATCGATACTAGCTACAATATAGCCGGGCATAGTTATCGACATACACTATAGCTCCATTGTAAGTGATTAAACTTCATACATGAGTAAAACGTTTTGTGTTCTGTAAAAATTGAATGATTGCAAATATTTTCAAAAAATCTGTTAAACAAATGAGAATTTGCTTCTAGCCATTATGGCAGGCAAACAAATATGTTGTGACCTGGGAACCGAAATTATGTAATAACTGCTGCTAACTAAGTCACCAAGACCTGAGATAACTTTCTCGAATGGTCACCGACGACTGTGAATCGTCGACATACAGGTCTTGGATACGTATACGTGCTCAATCATAGTCCATTTTGCCTGTGCAGATATTTGGTGTTATAGACAAAATATAAGATATTTCTGCTGGTTATGTGTTATCTTGATAAATCCGCTTTTTTCTGCATGCGAACAGAATCGCGCAATTTTGAATTGACTAACGGACGTATCAGCGTTGTACACTATGCTTACTGTAACACCAATAAGCGAGAACTTCCCTACATGCAGTTAGAGGTCTGACGCTTTGTTTCTACTTTGTTACTTTGCACGATTAATTGTTCGTTATTTGAACATACAAAAGATCAATATATTAAATCTCGAAATGTCATGAGTCAGCCATTATCCTTGACTCATGAATCCTGGCAGGTAGGTTAATTATATCGTTATTTCTTATCATAAAACTCACCCGAATAACTGCAGTCACAAAAATTGACGTTCACTTGGCTTTATTTTTAGACGCTTCCCTTTTAGCGCACATCTACATCATAATTATGCTCGACACTTGGCCCATTCCAACTGAAATGATCACGAAAAATTCTTGTAATTTGTAAACGTTTAGGAGAAAATGCGATAAATAAATAACAGCTGGGATATTGCTCATTGTTTTACAACAATCGTCCAGTTAAGATATAATCTAAAGTAACAAGCATATAATTTAGGCGTTAACAGATCAGATGAACTTCAAATGTTGTCCTCATTTTCCAATGTTAAAAAAACTACGCGTATTTACAATAAACAGGGAAATGGAATTAACATAATCACAGAACGTTGATGATTTATTAATAATTACTGCCACTTCTGGTGAAATGATTATTGCCGGATTAACAGGCAAGTGCGCATATTAAACACTTCTTGAGTTTGCTTGAATGCACCCAAAATGCAAAGAAGCAGCTTTGAAAAACGGCGGGTGATTCAATCTATTGTGAAGCACGAAGATTTTATTCGCCTACGGTAAATTTCGGAAGAAATCCATTAGGGAGTTGTTTAATTTCTACGGCTTGTTAACTCCAGCTGTTGCAGTAAAGGGTGAAGAAGTAATTTATTTATACAGCCGTGCATGCTACATCTGCCCATTCTATTTAGTCAAAGCGGTATTCCCTAAAACATTTTTTCTTTTCGAATTAGTTAGAGGTTTCCAATTATCCGTTGGCGTTTAAAAAACATCGTTGTCTCCAGGCTAAGAATGAACAATTGAAAACAGATGATTTTGCGTTCTCAAAAAGATGTATAAAACAGGGCCATCTCTGAATTCTTTAAGGTCAACTTCGAATTCGATTCGTTCAAAAAATGGTAAAAATATTCGTAGTTTCTAATGTTGTAATATTTACATGTACACGTACGGCGTATGGAAAAAGAAAAGTAAAACTAAACAACCGGCAAAATATTGAATAATAATAACTTCTGTTAATTAAAAAATCGGCGCCAAAAGCAGGGGCGGCGCAGCTGACTCCAACGGAAAAAGTTCAACGTAAGGTCTCCACCGACTATATTCTGCATGCCTGATCTACCTGCTCCACATGCCCTTTTTGCAGGCAAATTTCCTGCGCGCGAGCCTGAACTCAATTATGGGAAAACTGCATGCACCAGGGCCTGGCTGCACTTTGACCACGAGGAGAGAGCGGAGGAACTTCCCTTGAAGAGTTCATAAGATACGACGTGGTCGGTTCGATTGGTTTGAAAACAAGCAGTTGCAAAACAAACCGGCGAAATAACTTCCCTTGTCGCTAGCTTCCCCTTTTCGGAGTGACGTGCTTAGTCGATGTTATCATTTCTGCTTAGTCGATGTTATCATTTCATTAAATGGCTCTCACGTTGCAGCTCCTTTTAGTTATAGCGTCGAAAGTACGAGTTTACCTTGACGTAGATCGTGAACTTCATTGAAGGCTAGGAGATATGTCCGCCCTGACTGAAAGTCCATAACTCAACAAACGTATATATTTTTATTATCATTATGAAGACTTGTATAATGTGCATGTAGGCGTGCAGGGAATATTTGCGGCTTGCGCGCATGCATGCATAATGAATTTGGTCACAGCAGGTGTCAATGCACGTGACAATGCAATGCACGTGGCAATGACAGCGTGCAATGCAAAATATGTCAACATCAGACAAGCATTTGGTTTAAAGTGTTCTTCACTTTGACTCTGGCGCGACTTTGTTTTTAAAACAATGTTTTACAGCCCCGATTACAGTCATTACACTGTACTATCAGATTCGCTGTTCACGACAACTTCTTTGCTGTCAAGAAGCATTACTAGTGAGCATGTCTGTTGGTTTAGCATACTAGAGTTTGTATATATCTATTTGGATATCTCATTTGAACACTTCACATCTTTTTATCTTCCATCTTCAATACAATGGAGCGTAATCGGATCCTTGGAAACATTGTAGACTAGATAAAGAATGCTCATTGTGCCGTCCACTTCTTCCCTAGCCACGATGCTTATATGTTTTCCAATACAGTGCTAGAAACAGACAGTAGCTTAATACATACACAACTCGGCTAATTTTATCAAGCCACAGAATGCTCTTAAATTCTTGCTTCTGCTTGTAGTAGTACAGCGTTTCTGGATCCAATGTGTCTTCCTTTTTTGCTTTTACACTCTCCTTACTTTTACTTTTTTCCGTCGGCACAATAAAAATAGAATGGTAACGTTGCATACGTTGTTTAGCTTGCTCTTGATCTTGTTCAACTTTTACAGTGGAAGATGGGTTTACACCTTTATTTACCTTACTCTTTTTCTAAACAGCAAATAAGGAGTTATATACGATCACAAACAAACATTATTTTTTCAGTGAAAAACAGTTCTTGGTTGTATATAAAGACGGTATGTACAAATTTTACTTACGATACTAAAAACGTCGTTTCCTGGCGAAACCTTTCGCAATTTCCTCAAGTGCGTCTGATGTTTCAACGTTAACAATAGTATATACTGCATGAGGGTCGAAAAAACAAAACCAAAAGACACCAGGAAGAAAATGTCGATAGCTTTCACATAACTAACTTTGGGCATTCTTGAATTAACCGACGACCATATTGTTGCCGTGGTTAGTAGTGTGGTTAAGCTGAGTGCAACCCGAGCTGGTGTGGCTCTAGGATCCACCCAGAAAGAAAATCCTGCTAACATGACTAGAAATGCACATGGTGTATAAACTTGCATCACGAAATATCCCAGCCTCCTTTCGAATGTGAAGTATGTGTGAAGGATGGAGTATTTTCCTAAAACAAATAATCAAGTGGGTGAGAGTGGTGGTCATTATACTGACACAATGGCATTGCAGCAACAGTTACTATTGCAGCAACAGTTTTACATTTACTATAGTAAGCCAACAGCTATTACCTACTGGGTATGCCGCCTCGGTACTGTCGGATTTCATATTAGTTACCAAAAATTGCGACAGTTCATTATCAAAAACCGTTACAGCTGAACTTCCTTTCCACGAATATTTTACGTGGTTGACTGGATAATTGTCTACAATAGAAAATGATTATTATTAAACGAAACGGCATTTTGTTTCGAAAAATAGGATAACCGAGTTAGTTAGGTCATTCACTACAAAAAGGGTCTACAGCAAAGTTGACTTGTCTCGACTTACAACTGACTAGTGTTAAAGGACAGACTTGCACATCGAACGGGTATGACGAGAGTTCCATAGCGCAGAAGGATTTTGCCGTAGCCCTGCATGTAAAATGAATATCAATTAAAGGTTTTGAGTGAAATATACGACAACATCACACACTGGCAAGCATATACATGCATTGGCCACAGAAGCAGACGGGTTCATTTATACACTCTAAAAAAGGTGCATGTGCTGTACGAACATTACCAGTTTTTTCCTCAAAACAACACACCTTAAGGCGTGCAAATAGAATTTTACCTGCCTTCTGTAATCAATCATAATGAAAGTAATCATTTATCATACCTTACACCCCAGAGGACTCTACCATCAGGATAAATATCAACTCTGTTATTACCAACCAGTACATCATGCACGTATGAAGTTACAGAGTTCTCAAAAGTTGCATCAGGCACCCAAATGAAATCAACAGGCTTCTTTGCTCCTGTTATGAACGTCAACGAGCAGTTTAGAGAATGCTGAAGACGATTATCTCTCCATTCTTGACGAAAATACATATCAGTCACGAACGTCTTAAAAACGTTAGAAAAGAGATTCATTGAAGTGCAATTCAAAATATCTATACATGAAAATTATTTTTCTTGATAAGACCCAGTATATATACGTATACTCTCGATAAACTAGACGATAATGCAGATTATTATATGGTTTTTCAAAATCCTCTATTCTGATTGATTGAAAATCCCATATCCAGTCTCTATCTCGCTCCTTCGTCGCTCGGTCCATACTAAAAAGCCTCGATTTGATATTTCACAGTACACGGACCTCACCTCACGCTCGGTCAATAATCAGTTAATATACTATTTTCTCACCATATCAACCTCCTGAATATCTCTGAAACCCAATACACTGTATGAGACATTAACTCTCACGGGATCTCCTGTAAAATAAATAAACCAACTTGATATAGAAAGGAAACAATTAATCATAAAGTATAACATAATTTCTACTCACTTACCACCATAATGTGGCCGTATTCTTGGATCATATCCATTAGAAGTCAGATTTGACAGAACACTACTGACTCTCGTTGTTGAACAGCTGATACAAAAAAAATAGTACCATGCATGAATACAATACAAATTGAGAATTTGGGTCAACTAGTATGATATTATATGATAGGCTATACTATTTTATGTATCTACGTGTTTGTATTAAGTGTATGCACGATAGCTAAAGCTTAGCTCTAGAGATCGACATTACGTTACAAACTTTGAATTGCTAAAATTATGAAGTAGAACACTGAATTCCCATGAATGCCTCTCTTTGTACTTGGTAACATAAGTACAATTTCGCATTATTTGCAAACACTTGTGCAGTATATTGAAGCTTCGAAATATCTCAGGTTCACTCAAACCACTGAAGTTTAATTAATGGAAGTATGGAACCCACCAATATAATGGTCAATATCGTTGCTATAGCGAACAAAAATACCGGACCGCAGTAAAGCCGAAAGTTAATTATGAGGAAAAACCTGGTTTTTAATTTTGTTTAACTTCATACACCAACTATTAAAAAGTTGGGCAAGCGCGCTTTGTCGGCCTCATTCATCGAACCGTCACTGTTACCCGGCATGATAATGAGAATTACGACGCCTTTTTCAACATTTCTACCGGCCCAGAATATTGCTCAAAATGTTGAACTTTGTCCAATGGGGAGGACGAACACAAATAGATCACCTTTTTTCTGTGTTTATTTTTTTTTAACTTATTTTAGGATGTCAGAGGCAGATTATATTCACTTGATTATATTCACTATATATTTTTGAACGAATGTACTTGAGTATTGCTTCGTAATCATGCATACGCTCAACTATAACCACAGTAACTGTGCTATAACTTTACCGTAAACACAATGCATGCTTAATTTGTGCATGCATGGGTCTTTGACACGAAAACGAGGCCATTGGGTAAAATGTGAATGAACGGTAAAAATATAACGGTCTATTGCTTCTCAGATATCAAAACAGATATAATTTTGGTGGTATAATTTTGATGTGTTTATGACTAAAATTGTAGCTAACCACCTTGATGGATATACCGATACGATACAGAAACAAAACATTTCAAAATGTCACAAGTTTTCCAGAATCACTGTAGTGCGGAAATCATTGTTGTATGAAAGGCCGGGCAGGAGAGAACTTATACACTAAGTTGCTATCGTTAAGACCAGGTGCAGCGCAATGATTACTACATGCGAAACACTAACGGTGTGGAAAAAGAAGAAATGAATACTGAATTTTTATACCTTTCATCTTCTTCAGTCGAAATCTTTGATGTGTTCTTCTGAAGTGCGGTTGTACACGCTAAAAAAATCATACAGCACACAAGAAACACTGCAAATAATCGCCCAATGACACTTTTTAATCCAGAATACATATTGAAAGTGATTTGCAACTGCAACTATACGAAACTAACAGGCAGCCCAATCAACTTAAATTGTTCGATGGATGCAACATAGATTGTTATCTGCCCATTCTTTGAAAGAATGTTGCCGGCTAGGCTTGTAATCATATGTATCATGGGAGAGCAGGTTACCGCTACGGCGCGATTTACAAAGAATAGATATAACTTATTAATTCATTGTGCCACCTGACAGATAGCCATAATATAGGTTTCTTGAAACACAGGCGTGAAAGGCCTCAATTTGCCGGTTACATGCAAATGAGAGCTACATGAATGCACGTCTGAAGCAACAAATCCAAATTATTCGTGGCGTTTTTTTAGTCCCTATATTAAATTTTCAATACGATTTATTTATTTATTTTTAATAACTGCATGTCAACTTTATACAATAATGCCAATGTCATTGATCTTTACTGCATGTGGGCGTCTATTAACAAAACAATCGTAATACAGCCTAGATATGCACGCAAAACTGCAAAGGACTGTCGCACATTGTAACGAGTTGTATGGTAAGTTACACGGTGTTATACAGTGACAGTGGAGAAGTTCGTACACTCGTAAATCCTTTTTCAAATCTTATGAAACATATATCCATGCCCAAGAGCTGCAAAATGTAGGCTATACATTCATTATACAAGTTGAAACTACTCTTATTGTCAAGATCTTAATCAGGCCATGCATATTAAAGCTAATTTCAAACCTCTTTTTATACGATAGCGGAAGAACCCAACAGAAAATTTTATAATACCGTGTAATTTATTTTACTTGTAGGCGGTTTTTGATATGCTTGTTGTCATAATAAATTTTTTTAAACATTTGAAATAAACTAAATGTTTTATAGCATACATGTTTCGACATCTTTAGTGCGGGCTTATTCGGCTAAGTCGAAACATGTTTGCTATAAAACATTTTGTCGTTTATTTCAGATGCAGATGATATAAAAACTTTTTCATTCAACCTGTATAAAGTTACTTGCGGGCCTTGCGGCTTATATAAAAATATACCAGGATTTCTATCCGTTAGATTTCTTGGAAGAATAATATATGCAAGGGAAAGGAAGGCATGGTTATATTCATTTTATAGCTACATGCATTCAAGCATTTTATGTTAAGCAAGAGAAGCATGATTGTTATATCAATATGTTGTGAGAGACCCAAAGTATCACATCCATGTTTTTCCAATGATGGTGTCGTGAATAACAAAATTATTTATCAAATAGGACTAAAAATAAGGCATATATTTACATAACAAAATATAAACCAAAAAACCAAAAGTGATCATTCTGAAGACCTAGGTTAGAAAGAGTTAACTGATATAGAATGTAAAATGACTATATAAAGGCTAGTTCAGAATTAGGGAGAAATAATCGTAAGTACCTAACTTTTTGTCAGCACTAACAATAATTCTAAAACGTAACGCTTAATCAGCCTACCACCCTGAATATTTTTTTCTTACTTCCTATTCTTCGATACCTGCAGGATTTGCCTAGGCTTATTACTCTAGGGATTTTTCGTCAGAATGGATAAACTTAACGGGGGGGGGGGGGATAGAGAAATGATAACAAATAGACAGACACCAGGATATGAAGCCAAATAAACCCTAAGATATTACCCCAAATATACAGTTTAACCCCCTCCCTCCCCTTTTATTTGAATGCCTAAGGTAGTCTTGCAGTTTATGCAGTTTTTTGAAGAAACATTTGCAAATTAAGGTTTCAGGAGAATTCCTTTATTACCAATTTTCAGCCCATGGGAGCAGTATGTGTAGATAATGGTTGTTTATTGAATTCATCAATCATAGTCAACCATAGTTTTTTTATCTCTTGGAACATGCATTTAAAACAACACTATATCCTCTTTCTATAAATACATCATGTTTCAGGCAAAGAAGTTTGCCTCAATTCCAGAGGTTGTGCTCAGCATCTACAATGGCAACGCTCCCTGGTCAAATGATGTAATTATAGAAAGAGTGTTAAGTTGCACTTTGCATGTGTTCATTGTTGAATAATTCCAGCAGTTATATTGTTATTTTCACGTTTCCTTAAACTTTGTATGTTTAGGTCCACGCTTATGTTTACCAGCTTCAGCCATCTGAAATTAAAGAAATGATCTCATGACTCAAAATGATTTCACATGTGAGTAGCCAATATAATGTATGTAGTCAAATGCTGATGCTCCAATGTCACTTGAATGAAATTGACACCTCAGAGTACTTGTAGATGTAGATTTACTGTGATGTGGTTCAAGAATCAAGAAAAAGAGCTACCCTGGTAAAAAACACATGCAATACCAAAAATCTGAACATACATATCCAGGAAAATCGTAGTCAATTCCGAGTTCTTTTAACTTAGCTCTCTTCTTCCCCTCTCTTGACACAAGGTTACTGACTTGCTTTGTGTGTTGCTTGATATTACGAGGCTAGAAAATTGAACATAAACACAAAATCATACTTCATAGTTCACATAATATATACACTACAGACTACAGTTTTAGCAAATTATGGAACCTTACCCCCATTATGAAGATTACTATTTTAGAAAGATAAAGAAACCTAATTTTTACCCTATTGTGGTTGTCTGTGTTTGTCCGACCATATGGCTTAGTTCTAAATCTTCTGTTTGATCCGATCCACAGACGAGGGTGAATTTTTTCTTTAGGAACAACATTACCTATCAGAGGTTTTTACTTTAGCTTTTACATAATGCTGATAACTTAAATAATATTCACCTATTATTTAAATTATTATAATTATTATCGTTATTAATTGTTATAGTATTAATGTTTTCTGAAATTAAATATCTAAATGCATAAAAAGGTGATTGCATACACTTCAACAGTCTTCCAAACATCATATAATTGTTCATTGTTTCTGCTACAATTTTGGCCACATCATCACATGCAAATTCCACAAATGCATAACCTTTCGAGCCACCAGTCTAAAATATTGAAGAATATAAATTTTTGCTAAATGTGTGTACTGCACATGATATATATTTGGGTATAGTTTGTACCACAGGTACAGAACTATTTCACCTTTCTACCTATTTAGTCGGTGGCAGTTTTCATCCAATGTCAAGTTAAATACATTCAACATTGGACAGTATTAAAGAAAGCAAATCTACACATACCTTTTTACTTCTCGACAAACGAAGCCTGTTAACAGTTCCAAATTGTGAAAAAAACCCTTTCATTTCATGCTCATAAAATCCATGTGGAATGTGTCCAACATAGAGTACTCCTGGGGTCATCTCATCTTCACCCTAAAGTAAAAATTTTAGTAGTTTAGAAATACCTTGACTGATTATCTTTTTGGAATCATTGGAATGGCCAAAATGCACTCACAAATCATATATCAAAATTCAGTCTATTACCAGCAGTTATTTTTCAGGCCCACATGGCATGAAATAATTATTATGAACCAACACTTCAGTATATTAACACTGATCCAAAGATTATCAGGATACACGTGATACAGAAATATTGAAAATGTATTTAAAGGGTATCAATGTCTACAAAATGTTCAGCTCTAATACGTCTTCTGCTTACCTTATTCCTAATTTTCTTAATCTTCTCTTCAAATTCTTTTTGTTTATCAGTATCTAAAGCTAAACTTCCCTTATTTAGCGCCGCTGTTGTTGCGTTGTCGGCCGCCATTTTGATTTTCACGTGGTCAGTGGATGTGATTGAGGGCGCAAACGTTTGTCACATTTTTGTTTCCATGGTAATAATAACGTAAACAAATTTTCCAAAAGAAGCAAAAAAATTGAAGTAAAGATGGCCAAGTATGTTATCGCTGGTAAAGCTGATTGCCCGTTCTTTGCAAAGACAGAAATGCTCGCAGATGAATTACAAAAGGTTTTGGTTAATTTTCGTGTACATAAGATAGCGGTCAACCCGGAAGATTGGACAGAATGGTTAACAAAAACGTGCAATGAGCATCAATGGCAACACAACACTTCTCCGCTGATTTGGCGTGAACTAGTTGATAGAGGAGGCAAAGGATTGTATCTCGGTGGTTGTGATGACTTTATGGAGATGGCCGAGGCTTACTATGGAATACGTTCTACGAAAATGAGCGAAGAATTAGGCGCGATATCGAAAGAAAATCTTGCTATGAAGCGTGTTCTAGACGAAGAAAAAGCCGAAGCCCAGAAGGCAATCAATCCTTTAAGAATCACGATCACCGCTGCTGCTTCCCCAGTGAATTATATGGTACTAAATTCTCTATTTAGCGGCGAAATCTTTGGTTTTAGTCAAGACTTAGCTCTGACATTACTAGACACGCCTGAGAACGAGGAAGTCTTGTCAGGAGTGGCGATGGAAGTCATTGACTGTGCCTGGGATTTGCTCAAAGATATTTCTCAAACGTCGGACTGCACGAAGGCATTTAAAAACGCCGATCTTGTCTTGATACTGGATGCAGATTGCAGCACCGAAGACGTGGATATTATGGTACAGAACGTTACTGTATACAAACAGTACGCTGAAATTATTGAAGCTGATGCAAAGAAGGATACCAGAATCCTTGTGTGCGGAAAAACTGCTAATTTTATTGCCACTATAATTGCTACATTTGCACCATCGATCCCAAGAAGTAATATTTGTGCTTTGTCAAGGCTACAGGAAAACCGTGCCAAGGCAGTCTTAGCTAGGAAATTAAAAGTCAACTCATGCGGAATCACTGATCTTATTGTCTGGGGTTGCCCTGGTAATGATGGCTTGTTTGACATCAGCATGTCACAGGTGAAAGGCTATGATGGAGCAATTTGGGCACCACATATTGAAACATTCTCAAGGTCTGTTGTTGAAATGATTTTTGATCAAAAGTGGGTTGCCACAGAGTTTCTACAGGAAGTGAATAAACATGAAGAATCTCTTAAAGTTTTGCACAAGCCTGCTCCAAGCATGTCAACAGGTGTGGCTATACTGGACTTTCTCCAGGAGTGGTGGAATGGATCGACAAATCAGATGACCTCATTAGGGATGGTGTCTAAGGGATGGTATGGTGTTCCAGAAGGCATTGTATTTTCATTTCCAGTAAAATTTGAAAATGGTCAATGGCAAGTGCTCGATGGTTTAGACATCAATGATGATGTGTCATATAGAGTAAAACAAATTGGAGAGAACCTAAAAAACAAAGTTGATCTGGTGCTGCAAAGCCTTGAAAATAATAGATAATTAAAGTTGCCAATGTACAATATTGTAGTAATTATTCTGTAACATACACGCACGGTTGCAGGCAGCACAAATGACATTGTGTTCAAGATTTACTATTTTACAAAATGCATGATTTAGAGCTAAAGAATACTAATGAAAACTACATTCTTTCTATCTCTGGATGTTTTATTCTTTCAGCTTCACCTTAGCGATTAGTTTGGTTCACACTTCCGAAGCATTTTCGGTCTAGAATAAACTTATTGTCGAATGAACAAGCCTGATTTAGTCGTCATGCCTCGCCCGCCGTGGTAATTTCACTGCTCTATAGCTAGAGCTATGTGCCATGGTAGTTTAGGTATTTAAAAATAGCATGTTGTGATTACGTACATAAAAAAAGAGAACTTCTACGTTCTGAGAAGAAGTCTGTAGTCTAGAAATGAAATTTGACGATATTGAAGTTTTTCAACTGTTTTAAATGTGCTGGAAAAGCAATAAAATTACATCTTTAGAGTTAACGATTATTAATTAATATATAGCCGAAAAACGGGCAATTTTGAAGGCGATTAAAAAACAATATTCGATGGCGATGCAACGGCCCCCAACGATTACGCAGGCATTGAAGAACCTGCTTTTTATTGTCCTAGCAAGATTATCCCGCTTCATTGAATGCGCACCACCTAAAATTTATTCAGTGTTTTCTTCGACGTCGTCAGAAGAATGATGTTAAATTCGAGACACGTTTATCTTTGGGATTTTTAATTACAATAAATCATAAAAAGCTATTACAGGGAATATTGAGTTAACCTTAATTAGAACTGGAAGACTTCAAGATAAGAAAACCCCGCCAGTTTATCAATAAATTTAGATCAATAAGTGTATATTCATATTAAGGCAAGTCAAAATATGTTCGAAGGGAGGACGAGGATCGATGTTTATCAGCCGGTTTAGCAAAGAAAATGAATAACAGTATCATCTTCTCAGAAGATATAGAGACGTGTTCTGTTGGTGCCAACAGTGCCTATTTCGTTGTTGTTAAATTTCCATCCAAGAAGCACCACATCATCAACTACATTTTTTTTGCGCCATTTTCTGTGTGTTGATAATTCCAACAGTACTATTGAACGGAATTTCCGTGCTGACTATCTTAAGGAACGTTCATTTAAAAGCAAAACCGTGCTACTTCGTTGTTGTTATTCAGTCGACTATTGATTTGCTCGTGGGAATCATATCCCTACCATTGTATGTGTTTATCGCAACAAAAGAACTTTTGAATACTGCGAAATGCGTTGATATCATCATTGTAGATACTATAGCATTCATGCCAATGGCTGTATCCTTTTCAAATTTATTTTTACTGACTTTGGAAAGATACATGAGCATTCTACATCCTGTTGCTCATCGCTCACACATTACAAAAAGAAATATGTTAAAACTTCTTGGTTGTGTAATTTCGATGGTCATTGTTGTGGGTCCTATTTTGAAAGTGACATCCGAAAAGGTTCAGTCCACAACGATGGTTGCCATAGTAACTTTTCTTCTTACATTCAATACATTTGCCTATATAAAAATCTTCTTTACGGTGAGAAATATGCAGTTTCCTAACGATGCTATCGGTGTTTGGTCAGAAGAAGAAAACGTATCGACTGTTGGAAGAAAACAAAGAAGATCGTTGCGTGAGAAAAAGCTTGCGAAATCTTGTGCACTTGTGGTTGCTACCAGCTATCTCTGTTATATGCCTTTTGCATTTTGTTTTATCTATTTCAGAGATGATCGCACGAATTTCAGAGTAGCGATAGGTTGGTGTGTTGTCGTTGCTAGCCTCAACTCTAGCCTTAACTCTGTTGTATTCTTCTGGAAAAGACCATTATTGAGGGCGGAAGCATTGAAATTTTTGAGAAATGTCGCTCATTTCATTTCAAAACATCATCATGATTTACACTAAATAAAACAAACTGAATGGAAAATAACTCCATACATGCACACTGGTATAAGTGAGTTTTAATAGAAAAGTATAATGAACTTCATGCATGCGTTTTTCATTCAGTGAAAATATATATAAAATAATAAATATACTCGTAGTAATACCAATAGATATAAAAATGTATATATGTTGTATAAGCATTTTAGAGGGTTTTCCGAACTCTTTTATCCAACCTAAACTATTTTGTGCATTCCTGTAGTCTAGCTGGCCTAAAGCTTATGCAGTATTATTGAAGTTAAGAAATAGAAAACATTTTCCGTGTAACAGTGTTTCTATACAGTTATAGGAACACTTGTGAGAGTTTGGGAGAACGGGAAATAATCAGTGGGAAAACGAGCCCGTAGGGCGAGTTCTTCCACGTAATTTCGAGTTCTCCCAAACTCCCACTAGTGTTTCTATAACTGTATAGAAACACAGGAAAAAATGTTTCTACTTCTTTTATAAATAACTCAATAAAAAGGTTTTGTACAAATATTATAATTCGAACCAATTTCATATTCTCATTACATTACTTCGCTTGTCAGGTTCCGCGGAAAAGTCCAGTGTTTCTATATAGTGATAGAAACACGCTTCTCGACCAATCAGCACGCGCGTACTATAAATGTTATATTATAATCGTAATAGAAAAACTGATGTGAGAATCGAGATATATTGTGGAACTTTCGAGTCGGAACTTTTAATTACGACTGATAAATCATAAAAAGCTATCGATTGGAGTATTAAGTTAACCTTAATTACCAGACCTTATTATAATTACATCTGAAAAATTTCAATAACAAAAATCTGCCTGTGTGTTAATAATAAAGTTTAGATTATTGACATCAAAGTCAACTGTCTCTTTACTATATAAATTCTGATTTGGAAAGAAAATGAATAACAGCATGTTGTTAATTCATCCGATTACATTTATTCTTTCAGTTTCATCTAAATTAGCGTTTAGTTTGGTTCAAACTTCCGAAGCATTTTCGGTCTAGAGTAAACTTATTGTTGAATGAGCAAGTCTGGTTTACAAAAAATCACATCGTCACTCCTCGCCCGTGGAAATTTCATTGCTCTATAGAGCTATATGCGCCAGGTATTTAAAAATAATATGTTGTGATTACGTGGCATAAAGAAGAGAATTCTACGTTCTGAGCAGAAGTCTCCAGTCTAGAAATGAAATTTAACGAGAACTGGAAAATTTTGAACAGAAGTTATGCATGAGCACTGAGTAGACTCGGCTGTGCGAAGGTTGTCAGATAGCACTATCCGCCGGATATTGAATTTTGCAATCTGTTTTAAATGTTCTGGAAAAGCAATAAAATTCAGTACATCTTTAAAGCTAACGATTATTAATTAATATATAGAATTTTTAATTAAACATTTCTTAGGTTAATACCGAAAAACGGGCAATTTTGAAGGCGAGTAAAAACACTATTCGATGGCGATGCAACGGCCCCCGAACGATTACGCAGGCATTGAAGAGCCTTGCTTTTTATTGTCCTAGCAAGATTATCCCGCTTCACTATATGCGCACCACCTAAAATTTATTGAGTATTTTCCGGCTTCGACGTCGTCAGAAAAATTATGTTGAATTCGAGACACGTTTATCTTTGGGATTTTTAATTACAATAAATCATAAAAAGCTATTACAGGGAATATTGAGTTAACCTTAATTACAACTGGAAGGCTTCAAGATAAGAAAACCCCGCCAGTTTATCAATAAATTTAGATCACTAAGTGTGTATTTATATCAAGCCAAAATAAAATTATGTTCGAAGGGAGAATCGATGTTTATTAGACGGTTTAGCAAAGAAAATGAATAACAGCACTATTTTCTCAGATATAGAGATGTGCTCTGTTGGTGACAGCAGTGCCTATTTCGTTGTTGTTAAATTCCCATCCAAGAAGCACTACTTCATCAACTACATTTTTTTCTGCGCCATTTTCTATGTGCTGATAATTCCTACAGTACTATTGAACGGAATTTCCGTGCTCACCATCTTAAGGAACGTTCATTTAAAGTCAAAACCGTGCTACTTCGTTGTTGTTATTCAGTCGACTGTTGATTTGTTCGTCGGAATCATATCTCTACCATTGTGTATATTAGTTACAACAAAAGAGCTTTTGAATACTGCAAAATGCGTTGATATCATTATTGCAGACACTATAGCATTCATGCCAATGGTTGTATCCTTTTCAAATTGTTTTTTACTGACTTTGGAGAGATACATGAGCATTATACACCCTGTTTCTCATCGCTCTCACGTCACTAAAAGAAATATGTTAAAACTTCTTGGTTGCGTAATTTCGATGGTCATTGTTGTGGGTCCTATTTTGAAAGTGACATCCGAAAAGGTTCAGTCCACAACGATGGTTGCCATAGTAACTTTTCTTTTTACATTCAATACATTCGCCTATATAAAAATCTTCTTTGCGGTGAGAAATTTGCAGTTTCGTAACGATGCTATCGGTGTTTGGTCAGAAGAAGAAAACGTATCGACTGTTGGACGAAAACAAAGAAGATCGTTGCGTGAGAAAAAGCTTGCGAAATCTTGTGCACTTGTGGTTGCTACCAGCTATCTCTGTTATATGCCTTTTGCATTTTCTTATATCTATTTCAGAGATGATCGCATGAATTTCAGAGTAGCGATGGGTTGGTGTGTTGTCGTTGCTAGCCTCAACTCTAGCCTTAACTCTGTTGTTTTCTTTTGGAAAAGGCCATTATTGAGGGCAGAAGCATTGAAATTTTTGAGAAATGTCGTTCATTTCATTTGATAACATCATCATGATTTACACTAAATAAAACAAACTGAATGGAAAATAACTTAATACATGCACTCTGGGATATTGGTATATAAATGTGTTTTAATAGAAAGGTAATGAACTTGATGCATTGCCGTGAATATACTCATATAATAATAGACATAAAAATGTATATTTGTTGTAAATGGAATTTTTCATATATGCAGATACATAGAGACATGCATACTGAATATGTAAATGAAAAATTAACAACGCCACGTTCAATACTTTTATTAAATGTAAAAATAATAATAAATAATATGTTAAGGTTTGCGATATGAAAGGTTAGGAAATTTGATTAAGATTAAGTTTCAAATTCCAATCACATGCACGCCTTTTTATATTTGGATTAATTTAATAAATATTGTCATCCAATAAAAACAAATTTATTAAAGTTAAAATTCACTAT